CATTTGTTGCATGCACAGGTTAAACAAGGTGTGATCCTGTGTAGTTTTGTAATGCTTCCTTTTGCTTGGTTTTTTATTGTTGCTATGGCTTTTTTAAAAAGCATTCCTTCAGAGGAGGCAAAGGACTGCTTTTTTTAAATAAAAAAACCATTTTATTTGAAATGGAATGCAAATGCATTAATTTCACTCGTTAGAAAATTATATGAGGACCATGAAAGGGGATTAAGGCATTACCACAAGTAACAAAACATAGAAATGCCACTAGGCTGCACTGCACCCATCCTATGTCTTCAGTCTAAAACAGGGGTAGACAACATGGAGTCTTCCAATATGCTGCTGGACTACAATTCCCATCCTCCTTGGTTGGCCATTGACCATGCTGGCTGTGGCTGATGGGAACGGGAATCCAAAAACATCTGGCGAGAACTGTGCCCTATGAGACTGTAAGGGCAAGAGATGTATTGCAAAGAGATGTATGGAGCATGCCAAAATTGCCAATTTGCAGAAGGATTTAATGATATTAAATAAAATTGGGTTAATAACAGAAGTTTCAGGTATTGTTTATCTGTATTCTGATTTCTGGATTTTTTTAAAAGCAGTATCATAATCCTGCAGTTCTGAATAAATATTATGCTCTTCATTCATTTACCATTCATCCATGGGCAGAGGCACTGGCCTCTTTATAGCCATTTAGTGCCTTCTATGTTCCATATACTTCAGCAATATTATATATGCTATCCCCTTTCAAATATAAAATAAACAGCAAACAATGTGAGGATGTGGGAAGGGGGGAAGTTGAAAGCGAAAACAACTTTTAATAAAAACATTTCTCATGTTCCAGTGCTAGACAATAGAAACCAATCAAATCAATAGTGTCTTAAGGGGAACTAATGGGTCACCTTAAAAATGTTGTGGGTTCCTTAGGGGACCAGGCCTTAAGCATCACAATAAAGAAAAGAAAAGGGGAAAGGACAATTATGTTTTAGAAATTTTCTATGCCGTTAAACCGAGGGCCTTTCTGTGCGAGGCAACTTTCTGTGCGAGGCAATCCATAAAATGAAAAGAGATTTTGCCCGAAAGTTGACCCATTGCAGAAAATTTGCTTAAGGATAAAATAAAACATGTCTCCCTATAACAGACTCCAACTCAAGTATGTTCATTTGTCCAAGTCCTACTCCATAAAGGAGAAGGGCTCCGTTCCTCGACTTTTTAAAAAAAACCTTTTGTTCACATGCAATCTCCAGTTGAAGTGGCCAAGCTTCAAATATATACAAATTTCTACTCAATATACGTAGAATGTGGCTCATCCCATGGACTGAGACTAGTTTGGGAGAGCAACTGAGGTATTTGGATAGAGGAACATGACTGGGAAATGTTGCTGTCCAGACCCCCATTAAAAACCATATCCGCAAATACAGTATACAAGAAGCCACTCTAAAAAGGCTATTGAGATGGCATTGGACTCCACTCTGTTTGTCTAAAATCAGAAAAGGAGAGGCTGTGGTTCTAATGGAACACTACTTCATATGTGGTGGAATCGCTTCATCTGGCACTCATGGCTTCACCCAAGAATTGTGGGAACTGTGGTTCACCCTCACAGGGCTACAGCTCCAAACACCCTAAACAAACTACAGTTCCCAGATTCTTTGCAGGGAGCCATGTGCATTAAATGTTCTGTGTGTGTGCAGCCTAAAACAACAACAACAAACAAACACACAAACTGAGCAGCTCAAGATACTTGCATCTGGCATCAGAATGTGTCATATCCAGACAGAAAGTGTGACCTAACGGTCTTGAGTGATATCAATGAAAAGTCCCTGGGTTGATTTATATGTAGACACTTCTTGCAAAATCAAGCCCTGGTCCACTCATTGGCAGAAATCACAGCAAACAGCAGCTGATACCTAGTGGTCCACTGAAAACTGACCAGTGGGCTGCTGGGGCATCACATCCTTTGCTTTATATGAATTTGAAAGCTGGTGCCACAGAGGAGAACTTTGAGATGGCGAAAATGTACGAGCATCGATCACTAGTGCAGTCCTATATACGTTTATTCAGCATCAAGTCAGGTCGCGCCCAGTGAGCTACTTAAAATATGATGGCAACTTTATAAATTCATAAAGCGATAAGGGGAGAACTGAAACTGACTCCTTCCAGCCATTTCAGATTGTTCTGCCATTGTTATACTCTGATTTCAAGAGGATTGTTTGTATTCTAGCAACTGAGTTTTGTGAAATCCACACTCCCTTCCTCCTCCAGTGCCCTTTGATCAAGATATGCTCTATTTGCATTTAATAAATTGCTATTGCAATTTCCCAATTAGGTACCTGGGCCAGAAATCAGGCTGTCTCATTGCAACCACATCATATACAAATGAAACTCTACAGAATGGAGTGAAAAGAAAGCATAGGATACTTTCCAGACGGTGAGCCAGTCCTTAGACACTTAAAACCTCCAGCATCCATTAGTGTGGCAGGGAGAATGCTAGCGCCATAAAATGCCATGGGTGGTTTCAGAACTATATGTTAGGATCAATATATATTGTCAGGCCATGAAAAGGAGTGAGATAATTTAAAATAAAGAAAGAAATAATTTTTCTACGCCCTAAAACCGAGGGCCTTTCTGTGCGAGGCAACTTCTGTCTGGGCCCAAAGTGAATGAATGAATGTGTTACTTGGCCCAACTCGAAGCGCTTTTGCGCAACAACGGCCGCTCCGGAGACGCCGGGTCCCCCACCAGCGGGGCGCAGACCCCCCCGAGATTGGCCCGGCGCGTTTCTCGGGCCCCCGATGGCCGCGAGAAGTTTTTAATTTAGCCGAAAAAGGCCCAGATTTCCCGGCGCCAGGCGCGCCGAGCGGGACTCGGCCGCGCTTCTGCCTGGTTTTCCCCGGCGCGCCGCCTCCCCAGGCTGCGAGGCGGCCGGGCTCGGAGAGAGAGGCTCCCGCGGGTCCGTCTCGCCCGGTGCCCGGCGCGCTGCGAGGCGGCGAAGCGGCGATTTGGGCCGTTTTGTGGCACTCAAGAAACACAAAGTTGCAGCGGGCACAGGAGCCATGTCTGGCTGCGGAGGAGAGCGCGGGGTCTGCCAGCGCACCAATCAGCGCGCAGCTCCGCCCCTATAAATAGCAGGCAGCTCCGGGGCCGCACTTCAGACTTTACTTTTCGGTTCCGAGAGGTTCTAGCCCGCAGCCCGCCGCCTCCTCCTCCAGCATCAGCCCCAGCGGAAAGCCGTCGCGAGCAGAGGCGACCATGTCGGAGACTGCTCCCGAAGCGCCCGTGGCCGCGGCGCCGGCCGCCAAGGCGCCGGCCAAGAAAGCCAAGAAGCCGGCGGGAGCCGCCAAGGCGCCGCGCAAGGCGTCGGGTCCCAGCGTGACGGAGCTGCTGACCAAGGCGGTGGCCGCGTCCAAGGAGCGCAACGGGGTGTCCCTGGCGGCGCTCAAGAAGGCGCTGGCGGCCGCCGGCTACGACGTGGACAAGAACAACAGCCGCATCAAGCTGGGCCTCAAGAGCCTCGTCAGCAAAGGCACCTTGGTGCAGACCAAAGGCACGGGCGCCTCGGGCTCCTTCAAGCTCAACAAGAAGCAGCTGCACGACACGGCCAGGGACAAGGCGCGGCGGCGGCGGCCGCGGGGCCAAGAAGAAGCCGGCCGCCGGGCGCACCAAGAAGGCGGCGCCCAGAAGCCCGCCTCCGGCTCGGCCAAGAAGCCCAGAAGCCGGCCGCCAAGAAGAGCCCCAAGAAGGCGGCCGCGGCCAAGAAGCCGGCGGCGGGCGCCAAGAAGCGGCGGCCAAGAGCCCCAAGAAGGCCAAGGCCGCCAAGCCCAAGAAGGCGGCGCCCAAGAGCCCCGCTAAAGCCAAGGCTGTCAAGGCCAAGGCCAAAGCCAAGCCCAAGACGCCCAAGGCCCGAGTGGCCAAGCCCAAGAAGGCGGCGCCCAAGAAGAAGTGAAGAGGCAACGCCACGCCACGCCACGCCCGCCCGCCAGCAGCCCTCGCCATCCCAAAGGCTCTTTTAAGAGCCACCCACTTTCTCACACGGAAAGAGCTGACTTGCGCTGCTCCAGCGTCACCAGTGGTTTTCCCTTCTTGGAAGTTTGGAAAGTCAAATCAGACCCCCACCCGCCCGCTTTTTAATAAAAATAAAGGGACGCACTTGCACCCTAGTTTGCGCCTGCACTTCGGAGTAGCTATGCACAGGGTTAGAGGTTTGGTTCGCCTCTTTATCGATATGGTTTGGGGTACTTGGTTTTACAGGGCTGTATCAGGCATCATAAGCATCACGGAGGTTTCCCTTACTTGGGAGTTTAGAAAGTCACACCTCGCCCTCACGTCTGCTTTTTAATAATCAAAAATAAAAGGGACGCTGCAATCCCTGCCTGCACTTACACAGCATAGTCGACGCCGGCAGCTCGCCGCACGTTAAGCCATCGGGCTTCAGGAGTATCAATTTTGCCCCGCGACCTTGGGTGCATGGCCCTAGCACCAAAATTGGTGGGTGCCCAGGGAGTTGCCACCTATGTCTGGCACCCTAACAAAGGGCACCGACATGGGTTCCGGGACTGGCCTTTGGACAGTCTGCCCGCACCCGGACCGCTGTTTAATAGGAACGCACTCACTGACACTACCATTGACAGCGCTGGCACTTCTGACAACTATGCGCAGCTTCGTGGCTGTGGTTACTTGCGTGTGAAAGGCAGTGGCTTGTTTGAGCGGGATTACTGCAGCGCCATCAACTAAGCATGCATTTTTTGAAAAAAATTATCGATTCTTAAGACACGGAGGACCTCTGTCTTGTTCCGACCAAATGCCCATCTAAGCCATCCTCCTCCTTTAAGAGTGGCCAAATGCGAGGGACATCCGAGTGCAACAAAGCTTGGTGTACGAGTTCCAGGGGTGTAGACAGTTTTCCGCTCAGTGTTTCCCACTCCTTCCAAAAAAGCGATTATGGAAGGGGGGGAGGTGCGGCGAGTCTCCGTGATATATGTTGGGAGAAACTTATGGAGTCGTGCTAAACATTAGCAACTTTACTTGGGTTCATAGAAACGGAAGCGAATTCCAGCTCTTCCGGAGGAGAATGTGGTGGCTCTCAAAAGAGCCTTTGGGGTAATGAGGGGGTGCGGTGGGCTACGAGGTAGCAGGTGCTGCCTCACGCTCTTTCCCCGCGGATGCGCCTGGCGAGCTGGATGTCTTTGGGCATGATGGTCACCCGCTTGGCGTGGATGGCGCACAGGTTCGTGTCTTCGAACAGACCCACCAGGTAAGCCTCGCTCGCCTCCTGCAGAGCCATCACCGCAGAGCTCTGGAAACGAAGGTCCGTCTTGAAGTCCTGCGCGATCTCGCGCACCAGACGCTGGAAGGGCAGCTTGCGGATCAGAAGCTCCGTAGACTTCTGGTAGCGCCGGATCTCGCGCAGCGCCACCGTGCCCGGGCGGTAGCGGTGAGGCTTCTTCACGCCCCCGGTGGCCGGAGCGCTTTTACGCGCAGCCTTCGTGGCCAGCTGCTTGCGCGGCGCTTTGCCACCGGTAGATTTACGGGCGGTCTGCTTGGTCCGAGCCATTTTCTCGCCAGCAGCAAATAAACGGGACAAAGCAATACAGGTCTAAGACTGAAATGAATGAGCAAACAGATCGGAATCGCGGATATTTATAGCAACCCCCTCTTGACCTGATTGGTTGAAACAGCCATGATACATATTTTTCAAGTTCCCGGGCTACACCATGATTGGACAAAAGCGGCTCCTCTTCCATTCGTCAGAGCTTTTTCGTCATTCATTCTCATTGGAGCTAATGATACTTCCTTTCCATGATCTCGTTTCTGTAGCGAAAAAGCATCAGAAGATTGAGCGGCGCTGAGCTTTCTGTAACTTGTAACACTTAGGGAACAGGCCGTGAGATCCACATTATGTATCTTTTAAAGCGAGCCTTCCTCGGAGTGCTGCGGTGGTGAATATTAATTAAAGAGGGGCTCTGTGTGGCTTCTCCTAGTTAGGAAAGAACGATTAAGGAACATTCGAGCATTTTGGCATCCGTGTGTCTCGATCGGCGTCGGATGTTACACTGAAGTGAGCGCTGGGAAAAGAAAGCAGTTAATACTAGAACGGCATTTTAATAAATCATTTCCTCGACTCGGCTATTATTTAAAGCGGGCGATTAAAGTGGCACCAACCGATTTCTTGCCTCGCCACTTCAGTCTCGCTATTACTCCTGGGGCTGATACCCACTTACTGGGTGGTACGTAAAAAATTGCCCCTTAAAAGTAAAATGCACAAACCTGAATAGAACAATTTCCCTGTATGAATTGCATATAATTTCGCCTGCTAAGTATCTTTTACTGAGGCTCCAAGCATACACAAATAACGTGAAATAAGAGAAAAATCTGATTGGTCAGATTCAAACCCTCGCGGCTTGATTGGTGAAGAAGCCGAGCTACTATGGCGAACGCGCTGACGGGAAAGGGGCGTGGTGAAATCAGAATACGCCCCCTTTGTGCGGGTTTCACTCAGGTCGGGCTCAGTGCTATATATACCCGTGCCGTTGTTCCCGCAGCTTCATTCCTTTTTTCTTCGTCTGAGAGGCAGAGGCTCGCTCAGCAGAGATGTCTGGTCGCGGAAAGGGTGGCAAAGGCCTTGGAAAGGGAGGCGCCAAGCGGCACCGCAAAGTGCTTCGCGATAACATCCAGGGCATCACCAAGCCTGCTATCCGCCGCTTGGCTCGCCGCGGAGGCGTGAAGCGTATTTCTGGCTTGATCTACGAAGAGACCCGAGGCGTCCTCAAAGTCTTTCTGGAGAACGTGATTCGCGATGCTGTGACTTACACCGAGCACGCCAAGAGGAAGACCGTGACTGCCATGGACGTCGTCTACGCTCTGAAGCGCCAGGGCCGTACTCTGTACGGTTTTGGTGGCTAAGCTTTTCAAAACCCTTCATATACTTAAGAACCCAAAAGGCCCTTATAAGGGCCACCCACGCTTTCATAAAAAGAGCTGCGCTCGCTTGTATCTTAAAAAAGCAACGTTGTGATAAAATGAATGTGTTGCGATTTTTCGGTAGCAATGTAGCCTTGTCCTTCTAGAGTGAGGTTGCCACAGGAAACATGATTACGGTTTAGGAACTTGGGCTGGTTTCCAGCTTTTGATATTTTCTTGTCACATTTGCGCTACTTTTGTAGCAACCGACTGAGGTTTCCTCTTTAAAACTAAATACGTAGTGGGAGCTTGTGAGCTTGCTATTTTTTGGGTTAATTAAATAAAATCCCCACCCCCGGTTTCCCGCCTTGCTTTGTTTAATTTTAAGCCCCATGTAGAACGTTAATAAAGGAGTAATGCTGGTCGCCATTTCCTTTCTCGAGGCTTTTGTGGCAGATCTCGCAGCTGTTTTCCCCAAGACCTACGCGTCTTCAAATAGGTTTTCCGTTTTCATCTAAAAAAGCTCTGTATCCTGCCTCGTGTGTTTCTTAAAATAACACCCCTTTTAACGCGCGATTTAATCGTCGGTCTTGCTATACTGCAAATTGGGGAGTGGGAGGCGCGTTTATCCATGAACAAAGAAACCAGAAATGGCATAGAAAAAACGCGGGATTTCTAGTAGCTATCCAATTGCAAAGCAACGCGGGGGTTTTAGATTGGTTCCACCCAAACGCGTCACAAATCACGAGACTTCATTCTTATCTCCTTTTGCCCCGCCTTCCGTGCTGACTACGCAGGTGCAAAGCGTCGCTTTGTATGCTGAACGGAGCATATAAGAAAGTACGGTAATTGAGCTGGCCGCTTAACTCTGAAAAAAAATATTTTAAAATGTTGGGGGGAAATGATGTACCGGTGGCTTGTTGGTGTCTTAGGACAGGTGAGCGGTTGCTGAGCAATACCTTTTCAGGAGTACCAGTTATTGAAATCAGACAGACAAAGCTGTTGAGTTCATCAGAACTCTATCAAGAACCAGCAGTTAACACAGTTTCGTCATGCACACACATAGAACCTATTAAAGTTAGAGAGCAAAAGTAAAGAGAAATACAAGTAAAGTGTATACTGTATTGATTTTAGCTGGTTACACCAGGTATATAAATATATTCCAGTTTGTGTAGTGCTAATTAGCGGTTTGGCTTGAGCAGCAATTAAAAATAGTATCAGAACCTTGCCTGTTTACTTTCACTGCAGATTCTTAGAGATAGGAGAAACAAAATGGACAAAGTACATATTAGGACACTTTTTTGGTGATGCTAAAAATTGTCATGATTCCAAAATACATCTTGTTATGTACTGAGTTGAATAGGATCCAAAATGCAGCAGTCTGATTGGTCCTAGAACAATAGGATTCAGAATGCAGCAGTCTGATTGGTCCTAGAACAATCGGATCCAGAATACAGCAGTCTGATTGGTCCACAGGAGCCACCCAATCTAGCTCCAGGTGGAAGTGAATCCGCAATCTGATAGGCCTACAGGAGACTCCCAGAATTAGCCAATCATGTGGGGCCCATTGTTTAAATAATGTATATAAAACAGACATTCTGGGGGCACTTCCATTCCTCCTCACCACTATGAGCTAAATAAAGAGCATGAAATCTACTCTTGACTCTGAGTATATTTCACTGGCAACAAGGATGGGATCCCGCCGAGCTGACTGCCACACACAGCACTGCACCACCACCACCTGCTGCACCGCTGCCTCGCACCTTGTATCCAGGCTGTCGCACCATTGCCTTGCACCATGTATCCAGGCTTCAGCTCCAGGCCCCAAGGAACTCAGAATGGCAACCGACAGCAGCTTCTCGCCATTCAACCCGGCATCAGGAGACTGGGAAGCGTATGCCTCCCATTTCACCTTCCTCCTAGAAGCCAAAGGGGTCACCAACAAAGAAGATGCCAAGAAGAGGGCAATATTCTTCAGTGTCTGTGGAGAGGAGACGTTTGAAATCGCCCGGGCTCTCCTTGCGCCTGAAGACGTTGCTACTGTTTCTTACAAAACAATAATGGAACGGCTGAAGGGGCACTTCTCACCGCAGTCCTCAGTAGTGGCTTGTCGAAATGCCTTCTATGCAAAGCGGCAAGCCCCTGGGGAAACCATAACTGAGTTTGTGACCTCCCTCCGCCAAGCTGCCCGGTTCTGCAACTTCTCAGAGTTGGAGAACATGCTTCGTGACCGCCTCGTCGGTGGCCTGAAGGATGAGAAGCTGCAACGACGCCTCTACACCAAGAAGGACCTAACGTTCCAGGTCGCTCTGGAGGAGGCCCTGGCAACTGAAGCTGCCAAGAGGTCGATGCAAGAGGCACGGCCGAGCCTTCCGCCCCAACCGAGGGTCCACCACAAAAACCTCACCAACGACACAGGATCTGTCAGGGAGGGGGTGCACCAAGTACAGCGGTACACTCAAGCAGCACACAGACCACAGCTGCCTAAATGAGAATGCACTGATTCACCGCCCTGGGAAGGCGATGGGCCATGCGAACGCCCTCAGCAGGCTACCACTACCAGAAACAGGCCCTGACCCAGCGCTCGCGCAAGAGGTTATTAGCCTGGAGTTGCTTCCCAACCACCCCATTCAGGCACAAGAAGTTGCGCACCATTCCAAGAAAGATAAGATCATCTCCTGGGTCCAGGACTGGGTGTGGAGGGGATGGCCCAGCAGCAGCCCCAGGTCTGAATTTGTGGGCTACACAACCCATAAACATGAACTGTCAGCCCACAAGGGGTGCCTGTTATGGGAAGCAGGATCGTTGTTCCCCATCCCCTCCGCAAAAGGGTCCTGACAGCCCTACATGAGATACACCCAGGGGTTGTGAGAATGAAGGCCCTCTCCCGGAGTTATGTGTGGTGGCCAGGGATTGACAGAGTGATAGAGGCCTGGGTCAAACACTGCCAGGCCTGCCAAGAATCCCGCCCAGATCCCCCAAGGGCCCCAGTCCAGTCCTGGGAGTCCGCCCGAGCACCATGGTTATGCCTGCACGTGGATTTCGCTGGCCCCTTTCAGAGGAAAACATTCTTCATAGTGGTGGACTCCTACACCAAATGGCTGGAAGTTGTACTGGTACCGTCCACTTCGACGTCCACAGCCATCTGGGTACTACGCAGACTGTTTGCAACCCACGGGCTCCCTGACACTCATCTTGGACAACGGAACTGCATTTACGTCAGGAGAATTCCAGACCTTCACAGCACTGAACACCGTCCGCCACATCCGCTTGGTGCCATTCCACTCTGCCACCAATGGCCAAGCAGAGCGCATGGTGCAGGCCACCAAGGACACCCTCCACCGCATGACGTACGGGGATTGGGAGTACCGCCTGGCCACATTCCTTCTAGCACAGCACAGGACCCCCACCTCAACAACTGGCCAGAGCCCCGCTGAACTATTAATGGGCTGGCGCCTCGCAACCAGACTGGACTGCCTTCACCCCAACAGAGCTCAGGATGAGGTAGTGGTGGGGGAAGGCAGGAACCCCCAGACCTTTGTGGCCCAGGACCCAGTGTACGCAAAGAATTTTGGGGCAGGCCCAGCATGGGTACCCACCACAGTTACCAGGGTCACTGGCCCCATGTCTTCCGAGGTCCTAATGGAGGGGGGGCAATGCTGGTGCCGCCACTGTGACCAGCTATGGTGACGATTCCAGGGAGAAAACCAGGAGGAGGACAGGTCAGAGGAGTCCCAGGGGAACAGTGGGGCAGTGAGGCCCGTAGAGCAGGAGGGGCCAACAGGGGAGGCAGAATCAGTAAATACAGAAAGGACCCATGAGGCCGAAAGGACACTTGAACCAGAGCCACGACTGAGCGAGCCGGTTGCGGCAGACCAAACGGCCCCATCGCAGCCAACATCCTTGGAACACAGCCAAAACCCGAACCCCTGACCAGGGAACACCCCAGGCCGCAACGCACACGTAGGTGGCTGGCATACCTTGAGGACTATGAATGCAACCTCCCAGGCAGGACTGGAACTTCGAGGGGAGGGGTGTTATGTACTGAGTACTGAGTTGAATAGGATCCAAAAGGCAGCAGTCTGATTGGTCCTAGAACAATCAGCAGAATGCAGCAGTCTAATCGGTCCACAGGGACCACCCAATCCAGCTCCAGGTGGAAGTGAATCTGCAACCTGATTGGCCTACAGGAGAATCCTAGAATTAGCCAATCACATGGGGCCCATTGTGTAAATAATCTATATAAACCTCTATGAGGTGAATAAAGAGCATGAAATCCACTCTTGACTCTGAGTATATTTCACATCTAATGGATGTTGGTGGGGGCAAATGGAAGTTGATTAGATGTGTTTGTTGTTATCACATCAACAAGCTCTGTTCAGGCACCCAGAATAATGTCAGTGAGCATCAAATGTGTAGAGGAAGCTCCTGCTGCATCCCACCAGTAAGCGCCCCCCCCCCCCGCTTCCTGAGGATAAAATGGGAGAGCAATCCATGCTTGCCACTTTCAGTTCCTGGTAGGAAAGGTGGGGTAGACAAGGGAATAAAAATAATAATCAGTGGTGACAGGGGCTGATGGAACACAACCATTTATTTGGGCTGGGGGTCGGGGGTAGGGAACGGGTTCCTCATCCCTGCCCTACACAGTTTATATGCCTGTGAAAATCTTATTGAATACATGAGGAGGGCAGGTCACAAACTATAAAAGGGCAAGTCTGCCCCTCACACTGCAGCAATTGGAGAGCATGTCCCAGCTGTGGTTCCAAGCCCATCAGCCCCAGCTGATGAAGTGACTCAACTGCAGCGGCAAAACGTTGGCTTAAACAGCTAAGCACACAGCAGAGTTGTAAATGACTTGTGCCACTGAGATGGTGAGGGAGGAGTGTGCATTTGGTTAATGTATTACTCATGCTCTAAAGCAGTGAGCAGCACATTTTGCTGTCAGAGGACCGCACTCATTTGTGGGCAGCCCACTGGGGGCCACATGCAAGGGATGGGGTGGGGCAGGATTAAAAAGTGGGTGGAGCAATAGGGCTGACCTTCTAGGCTACCTTCTAGCCATGCAAATGTGAGAAGTTCCTACACATGCACACACACTTACATGCCTCTCCCTCCATGCAAGCAAGTTGTATCCATTCCAAATTTGCAATCTATTCCACAAAGATGGGGGGACAGGCCTAGTGACCAATGTGGCCTGGGAGAGTCCCTAGGATTGGTTGGAAACCTGAAGGCTTGCATTTGACCCCATGCCAGAGTAGGGGATTATTAACTACACATTTTAATGAAGAATTTCATGGATTTTAATACATTGTGTATTGCCTTATCAAATCATAGAGTTGTAAGGAATGCTTTAGTCCAACCCCCTGCAATGCAGGAATATGCAGCTGTCTCTTATGGGGGTAGAACCTGCAACCTTGACATTATCAGCACCACACTCTTAGCATTGAGATGGTACTGCACCCCCCACATATGTTGGCTGTGCTGAAATACTAGGAACTTTATTATTTTTTTTTATAAGATATTTATTAAGATTTTCAAAATATTACAAAATAGGAAAAAGAAAAGAAAAATACAAAATAAAAATAGTTAAAAACAATTCAGTCTTTCAATCACTTATCTTTCATTTGCTTGTTTCCCGGACCTCCTCATACCTCCCTTTTTTGTATTCCAGTTCAGTTTGTTGGTTCAGCAAATCCTTACCCTCTTTATTTGTCCTAATCTTTGGTCTTAAAATAGTAACGTTAGATTTTTACCTCTTAACAACCCATTTTTCATATTCCCTTAAAGCATTACAGCTGGAAACCACTTAATTTCTATCCAACATCGTTCTAACATTCATTGATTTTACAATATTTCTGTAGATAATCCTTGAACTTCTTCCACCGACTCTTCTCCCTGGTCTCGGATTCTGCCAGTCATTTCTGCCAGTTCCATATAGTCCATCAACTTCATCTGCCATTCTTCCAGAGTGGGTAGATCTTGTATCTTCCAATACTTTGCAATGAGTATTCTTGCTGCTGTCATGGCATACATAAAAAAAGTTCTATCCTTCTTTGGCACCTATTGACCGACTATGCCCAGGAGAAAGGCCTCTGGTTTTTTCAAGAAGGTATATTTAAATACTTTTTTCAGTTCATTGTATATCATTTCCCAGAAAGCCTTAATCCTTGGGCATGTCCACCAAAGGTGAAAGAATGTACCTTCAGTTTCTTTACATTTCCAACATTTGTTATCGGGCAAATGATAAATTTTTGCAAGCTTGACTGGGGTCATGTACCACCTGTATATCATTTTCATAATATTCTCTCTTAAGGCATTACATGCCGTAAACTTCATACCTGTGGTCCATAACTGTTCCCAGTCAGCCATCATTATGTTGTGTCCGACATCTTGTGCCCATTTAATCATAGCAGATTTCACCATTTCATCCTGAGTATTCCATTTCAACAGCAAGTTATACATCTTTGACAAAATCTTAGTTTTGGGTTCTAATAGTTCTGTTTCTAATTTTGATTTTTCCACCTGGAAACCAATTTTCTTATCCAACTTATATGCCTCCATTATCTGATAATAATGAAGCCAATCTCGCACTTTGTTTTTTAATTTCTCAAAACTCTGCAATTTCAGTCTATCTCCGTCTTGTTCCAAAATTTCCCAATATTTCGGCCATTTGGCCTCCATATTGAGCTTTTTCAGAGCTTTTGCTTCCATCGGTGACAACCACCTTGGAGTTTTATTTTCCAATAAGTCCTTGTATCTTATCCAGACATTAAACAATGCTTTCCTAACAATGTGATTTTTAAATGCTTTATGTGCTTTGACCTTATCATACCACAGATATGCATGCCATCCAAATACATTGTTGAACCCTTCTAGATCCAAAATGTCAGTGTTTTCAAGAAGCAGCCATTCTTTCAACCAGCAAAAAGCTGCTGATTCATAGTAAAGTTTAAAGTCTGGCAGGGCAAATCCACCTCGTTCCTTTGCATCTGTTAATATTTTAAATTTTATTCTAGGCTTCTTGCCCTGCCAGACAAATTTAGAAATATCTCTCTGCCACCTCTTGAAACAGTCCATTTTGTCCACAATTTGCAGTGTTTGAAACAAAAACAACATTCTAGGCAATACATTCATTTTTACCACAGCAATACGGCCCAGCAGTGAAAGCTTCAAATTTGACCAAATTTCTAAATCTTTTTTCACTTCAGCCCAGCATTTTTCATAGTTGTCTTTAAATAAATTCCCATTTTGTGCTGTCATGTTAATGAAATACTAGGAACTTTAGACTCCTCTCCAAATTTTTCAATTCCTCCTCTTTACTACAAAATTTTGTTACTACAGTGCATGATCTTGTTTTCCCCTCTTCCATCTCCATCTTTGGTGTTTCTTCTCTTAAAACATGGGCCACTTTTTTCTGCTGAAAGGTGAGATAAAAATCATTTTTTGGGGGGGAGGAATATACTCTTGTCAGTTTGATATGAATTACCTCGACGATACAATAGGGATTAAATGTGGCACTGACAAGTCCTATAATTAGGGAGCAATCCTAGCTCCACTTAACAAGGGAGTAATTTCCATGGAGCTAGTTCTGGGTCCCCCCCCCCCTTCTGAGTGTTCTTAGGTTATGCAGCTCTAATAAAATGAATGCTAAGGTTATTCATGTTGAATAACAAGGGAGAATCCGCACCGGAGGGAATTCCTCCTTGTGCTATGATTCCTCAGCACTACACAGGAGCCGTGCGCGTTCTTTCCGTGTGTATCTGTGAATCGTTGCGGGATGTGACTGGGCATGGCATGTTTACTTCTAGAAAGCTAGAGGCGGCCTGGAGGTTCCTCAGTCCGGAGAACAAAGACTGGGCGTGCGAGAAGGAGGATGAACCAATCGGAAAGCTTTGCCATCACTGGTCCAACCAGGACAGAGCCCGGGATATTCAAACTTTTTCAACGGCTGCGTTGCAGACCTCAGCCAATAGGACCACGAGGATTCGGCTATAAATATCCGCCAGCCCAGTCGCTGCCTTCATTGTTTCCAAGTACTGCAGAGAGGTTAACTTTGTTGCTGACTTCCTTGGAAAGATGGCCAGGACCAAGCAGACCGCCCGCAAATCTACCGGCGGCAAAGCGCCGCGCAAGCAGCTGGCCACGAAGGCTGCGCGTAAAAGCGCTCCGGCCACCGGGGGCGTGAAGAAGCCTCACCGCTACCGCCCGGGCACGGTGGCGCTGCGCGAGATCCGTCGCTACCAGAAGTCTACGGAGCTTCTGATCCGCAAGCTGCCCTTCCAGCGTCTGGTGCGCGAGATCGCGCAGGACTTCAAGACGGACCTTCGTTTCCAGAGCTCTGCGGTGATGGCTCTGCAGGAGGCGAGCGAGGCTTACCTGGTGGGTCTGTTCGAAGACACGAACCTGTGCGCCATCCACGCCAAGCGGGTGACCATCATGCCCAAAGACATCCAGCTCGCCAGGCGCATCCGCGGGGAAAGAGCTTAAAAAACTACAGAATTTCATTTCGGCAAACTCGTAACAACCCAAAGGCTCTTTTAAGAGCCACCCACTCCTTCATTTAAAGAGCTGGTCGCTGCTTAAGCATTTTATCAGGAAAAAATCTCATCTATGTTAATACTGTCCAAAATACATAACCGGCTATCCCTGGTATGGCTTCTACTGCATTTGTATCTTTGTATATTTGAGGAAGGACATAAAGTGAAAAGGTTGGGGGGGGGAATGGGCACTGGTGGGTGCATGGCGGATAGGGTTTAGCAGAGTATGGCAAAGGAGGAGACCTCACTACCCTATTCTCGTGAATTTATACGGACTCAAAGCACTGACAAGGGTGGCAGCAGCTCCTTCAGGCTGGAGATGCGGGGGATTTAAAGGATTGACTAGTGGTGACTGGCGCTAGCGCGTACTGGAATTTCAGCGGTCATTCTTGTGGGCGGAGTAAGGGAGGGATATACCTAGCGGGAAATCGTGTGTCTACACCCCTGGAACTCGTACACCAAACTTTGTTTCACTAGAGTCCCCCTCGCGAAACTGTTGGCCACTCTTCAGTCTGAACCAGCGATGACTTTTATTAAAATGCCCTCAATTCACGCTTAGCTGACAACACAGGAGTAATCACGCTCAAGCAAACTACAGTACACTACTGCCCTGTAAAACAAAGTACCCCAAACCATACTGCTAAAGAGGCGAACCACTCAACCCTGTGCGTACCTGCACCAAAGTGCTAGCGCAGAGTAGGGTGTAAGTGCGCACAGGGATTGCAGCGTCCCTTTATTTTTATTAAAAAGCGGGCGAGAGGGGTGTGTGAGTTTCAAAGTACGGGGAGAACCTCTGGTGCGCAAGTCAGCTCTTTCCGTGTGAGAAAGTGGGTGGCTCTTAAAAGAGCCTTTGGGATGGCGAGGGCTGCTGGCGGGCGGGCGTGGCGTGGCCTCTTCACTTCTTCTTGGGCGCCGCCTTCTTGGGCTTGGCCACTCGGGCCTTGGGCGTCTTGGGCTTGGCTTTGGCCTTGGCCTTGACAGCCTTGGCTTTAGCGGGGCTCTTGGGCGCCGCCTTCTTGGGCTTGGCGGCCTTGGCCTTCTTGGGGCTCTTGGCCGCCGCTTTCTTGGCGCCCGCCGCCGGCTTCTTGGCCGCGGCCGCCTTCTTGGGGCTCTTCTTGGCGGCCGGCTTCTTGGGCTTCTTGGCCGAGCCGGAGGCGGGCTTCTTGGGCGCCGCCTTCTTGGTGCGCCCGGCGGCCGGCTTCTTCTTGGCCCCCGCGGCCGCCGCCGCCGCCGCCTTGTCCCTGGCCGTGTCGTGCAGCTGCTTCTTGTTGAGCTTGAAGGAGCCCGAGGCGCCCGTGCCTTTGGTCTGCACCAAGGTGCCTTTGCTGACGAGGCTCTTGAGGCCCAGCTTGATGCGGCTGTTGTTCTTGTCCACGTCGTAGCCGGCGGCCGCCAGCGCCTTCTTGAGCGCCGCCAGGGACACCCCGTTGCGCTCCTTGGACGCGGCCACCGCCTTGGTCAGCAGCTCCGTCACGCTGGGACCCGACGCCTTGCGCGGCGCCTTGGCGGCTCCCGCCGGCTTCTTGGCTTTCTTGGCCGGCGCCTTGGCGGCCGGCGCCGCGGCCACGGGCGCTTCGGGAGCAGTCTCCGACATGGTCGCCTCTGCTCGCGACGGCTTTCCGCTGGGGCTGATGCTGGAGGAGGAGGAGGAGGCGGGCTGCGGGCTAGAACCTCTCGGAACCGAAAAGTAAAGTCTGAAGTGCGGCCCCGGAGCTGCCTGCTATTTATAGGGGCGGAGCTGCGCGCTGATTGGTGCGCTGGCAGACCCCGCGCTCTCCTCCGCAGCCAGACATGGCTCCTGTGCCCGCTGCAACTTTGTGTTTCTTGAGTGCCACAAAACGGCCCAAATCGCCGCTTCGCCGCCGCGCAGCGCGCCGGGCCGCGGGCGAGACGGACCCGCGGGAGCCTCTCTCTCCGAGCTCGGCCGCCTCGCAGCCTGGGGAGGCGGCGCGCCGGGGAAAACCAGGCAGAAGCGCGGCCGAGTCCCGCTTGGCGCGCCTGGCGCCGGGAAATCTGGGCCTTTTTCGGCTAAATTAAAAACTTCTCGCGGCCATCGGGGGCCCGAGAAACGCGCCGGGCCAATCTCGGGGGGGTCTGCGCCCCGCTGGTGGGGGACCCGGCGTCTCCGGAGCGGCCGTTGTTGCGCAAAAGCGCTTCGAGTTGGGCCAAGTAACACATTCATTCATTCATTCACTTTGAGCCCAGACAGAAGTTGCCTCGCACAGAAAGGCCCTCGGTTTTAGGGCGTAGAAAAATTAGTTCTTTCTTTATTTTAAATTATCTCACTCCTTTTCATGGCCTGACAATATATATTGATCCTAACATATAGTTCTGAAACCACCCATGGCATTTTATGGCGCTAGCATTCTCCCTGCCACACTAATGGATGCTGGAGGTTTTTAAGTGTCTAAGGACTGGCTCACCGTCTGGAAAGTATCCTATGCTTTCTTTTCACTCCATTCTGTAGAGTTTCATTTGTATATGATGTGGTTGCAATGAGACAGCCTGATTTCTGGCCCAGGTACCTAATTGGGAAATTGCAATAGCAATTTATTAAATGCAAATAGAGCATATCTTGATCAAAGGGCACTGGAGGAGGAAGGGAGTGTGGATTTCGCAAAACTCAGTTGCTAGAATACAAACAATCCTCTTGAAATCAGAGTATAACAATGGCAGAACAATCTGAAATGGCTGGAAGGAGTCAGTTTCAGTTCTCCCCTTATCGCTTTATGAATTTATAAAGTTGCCATCATATTTTAAGTAGCTCACTGGGCGCGACCTGACTTGATGCTGAATAAACGTATATAGGACTGCACTGGTGATCGATGCTTGTACATTTTCGCCATCTCAAAGTTCTCCTCTGTGGCACCAGCTTTCAAATTCATATAAAGCAAAGGATGTGATGCCCCAGCAGCCCACTGGTCAGTTTTCAGTGGACCACTAGGTATCAGCTGCTGTTTGCTGTGATTTCTGCCAATGAGTGGACCAGGGCTTGATTTTGCAAGAAGTGTCTACATCAACCCAGGGACTTTTCATTGATATCACTCAAGACTGTTAGGTCACACTTTCTGTCTGGATATGACACATTCTGATGCCAGATGCAAGTATCCTGAGCTGCTCAGTTTGTGTGTTTGTTGTTGTTGTTGTTTTAGGCTGCACACACACAGAACATTTAATGCACATGGCTCCCTGCAAAGAATCTGGGAACTGTAGTTTGTTTAGGGTGTTTGGAGCTGTAGCCCTGTGAGGGTGAACCACAGTTCCCACAATTCTTTGGGTGAAGCCATGAGTGCCAGATGAAGCGATTCCACCACATATGAAGTAGTGTTCCATTAGAACCACAGCCTCTCCTTTTCTGATTTTAGACAAACAGAGTGGAGTCCAATGCCATCTCAATAGCCTTTTTAGAGTGGCTTCTTGTATACTGTATTTGCGGATATGGTTTTTAATGGGGCTCTGGACAGCAACATTTCCCAGTCATGTTCCTCTATCCAAATACCTCAGTTGCTCTCCCAAACTAGTCTCAGTCCATGGGATGAGCCACATTCTACGTATATTGAGTAGAAATTTGTATATATTTGAAGCTTGGCCACTTCAACTGGAGACTGCATGTGAACAAAAGGTTTTTTTAAAAAGTCGAGGAACAGAGCCCTTCTCCTTTATGGAGTAGGACTTGGACAAATGAACATACTTGAGTTGGAGTCTGTTATAGGGAGACATGTTTTATTTTATCCTTAAGCAAATTTTCTGCAATGGGTCAACTTTCGGGCAAAATCTCTTTTCATTTTATGGATTCCCCTTTTTCTGCACAATAGAAACTGGTGATACTTATCATCAAAGCAAAGGCCAGTTGATCCAAAATAGGAGTTAAAGGTGATGGCAGATGAGCTAAGTGCAACTGCCATTCACACCGTATTCAGAAGTTCTGCTGTAGAAGCAGATTACTTATTTTGCTAATGTGAGCCCATGATGTTTTCAGGAAAGATAAGGCATTAAAATTGGGTTGTGAGGATTCCAAGTTACATTTTGACTGATAGATTTAAAGCTGAGTTATTAATCACATGCGACGCAGGTGGCGCTGTGGGTAAAACCTCAGTGCCTAGGGCTTGCCGATCGCATGGTCGGCGGTTCGAATCCCCGCGGCGGGGTGAGCTCCTGTCTTTCGGTCCCAGCTCCTGCCCACCCAGCAGTTCGAAAGCACCCCTAAGTGCAAGTAGATAAATAGGTACCGCTTTATAGCGCAAAGGTAAACGGCGTTTCCGTGTGCTGCGCTGGTGCTGGCTCGCCAGAGCAGCTTCGAGCAGCTTCATCACGCTGGCCACGTGACCCGAAAGTGTCTCCGGACAGCGCTGGCCCCCGGCCTCTTGAGTGAGATGGGCGCACAATCCTAGAGTCGGACACGACTGGCCCGTACGGGCAGGGGTACCTTATTAATCGCACGTGTCAACAAGTTTAACTGCAAAACCTCATAATGCAGCTTAAGATTTGGGGCACCAAGAGCTCCCTTAGTTCTCAGTCAATACAGGGTTAGACAGTTCATCCTGCTTCTTTTACCTCCTGAAATAAAAATATTAATAATCAAATGTTGCCATCCATCCAACTGAGGATGAGGGATACGTATGGGCAGTTTCAGAAAGAAAAATAGAAATTTAGGAAGCATTCACATCTTCAGTGCTGCAATTTAAATTTAAATTTAAACCAACTTAAATTTAAATGCTTCCAAGAGCAGAGCTCTTCTGTGCTCTTTTTATGGAGATTTCTTTGACAGAGTACCTTCCTTTGGTATAATTACATCAAGATACCTAAATATTCCATATAACAATTTGGAATGGTATCTCTGAGTCCCCTCCAAGCAGGCAGTTTTGTATTTGTGGGGTGGGATTCTGTGGCAGAAGGCATTCAGGCTAGACCTTTAAATCCTTTTAAGCACCCCTTTTTTACATATCTAAAGATTTAGTCAAGTACAGTGGTACCTTGGTTCTCAAACGCCTTGGTACTCAAATGCTTGGTTCCCAAATGCTGAAAACCCAGAAGTAAGTGTTTCGGTTTTCGGATGTTTTTCAGGTGAACATCCGATGCAGTGGTCAGCTATTGTTTCCGGGGTGCTTGCACCAATCAGAAGCTGCACCTTGGTTTTCGAACATTTTGGAAGTCAAACGGACTTCCAGAATGGATCAGGTTTGACGCTTATGTTTTTGCTATTTATTTTGAGTTTTTGTTTTTGAGGCTTTTTCAGTTAATTTGTCTTTGTGACTGTGTGGAACCCAGTTCAACTACTGATTGATTGTGTGACTGTGGAAATGGATAAAAGATCCAAACAATGACTATCTTCAGTGCAGGTAAGATTTTTTTTTTTATAAAAAAAATATCATCTACAATACTGTCATTCATTTTATAGTACAGTACATTGATTATTGCTTTCATTTTATGGATCAATGGTCTCATTAGATAGTAAAATTCATGTTAAATTCCTGTTTTAGGGGTTGTTTTTAAAAGTCTGGAATGGATTGAGCTGTTTTGCATTACTTTCTATGGGAAAGTGTGTCTTGGTTTTGGAACGCTTTGGTTTTGGAAAGGACTTCCGGAACGGATTCACTTTGAGAACCAAGGTACCACTGTACAGCTATGTTGCCATAGAAACAACTAGCAAGTGATACCTCCAGAAGGAGGTGATAGCAGGGCTTCCCCACCATGTCATTCTAGGGACAGGAGGGTAGGAGAGCAATAGGTCATGTGAAAAGTCTTTAAGATAATGCAAGGCTATCTTTAAAAAAACAAGAACCAAAAAACCATTTTCTTGGCTGTGCACTGGAGCTTGATTATCTGACTAGGCTCTTGTGAGGAAAGAGAAATTAATATGTAGCTGATGAATTATATCCACCTGGGCAAGTGGTAACACTTCTTGGTCAAGCATGACAGGGCATCCAATTTTTGCTGACTCCCCCCACCGCCCTGCGGTTCCTCTTTGCCATATCCCATTCCAAATTACTCTGGAATATTCTCCAACTCTCAGGATCAGCTCTTCCAGGTCAGCATGGCTCTACAGTGGACAGTGGACACCACACACACACAACACAAATACATACAGTGGTACCTCGGGTTACATACGCTTCAGGTTACAGACTCCGCTAACCCAGAAAGAGTGCTTCAGGTTAAGAACTTTGCTTCAGGATGAGAACAGAAATCGTGCTCCGGCGGCGCGGCAGCAGCAGGAGGCCCTATTAGCTAAAGTAGTGCTTCAGGTTAAGAACAGTTTCAGGTTAAGAATGGACCTCCGGAACGAATTAAGTACTTAACCCAAGGTACCACTGTTCCTGAAATGTTAAGAACCTTTATAACAAAGGGGCTATGACATAAGACATTCAACAAACTACAGCTTTCAAAAGAACACACAATATCTAGTTTGTTTTTTTTAAAAAGGGGTGTTTCATGAAATTGGGATCACCAACATACAGCCCAGCAAGAGTATATTGATGCTGGTTAGTTAATCAAAACACACATCAAGCCGTCTGTGTTCCAGTTTTAAGAACATAAGATCATAGCTGTCAACGTTTCCCTTTTTTTAAGGGAAATTCCCTTATTCCGAATAGGATTCCTCGCAAGAAACGGGAAAAGTTGACTGCTATGCATAAGATCAGACCAATGGGTTTCCTATTTCAGCAAGACCTGAGCACAACAGAACTCCCCTCTCCCTGCAGTTTCCAGCAACTGACATTACTGCCTCTGATCTGGGCTAGTAGTTTTCAAACATAACATAATCTTTAGCCCTTTTCCTTCCTGGTGGTGGTTGGGTTCTTTCTGGGTATTTTTTTTATTTTTAAAGCAAACGATCTTATTGCAATTTTTGCTGCCATCAGGTGGCAATTTACACTCATTGCAGAAACCCCATTGTTTTAACTCATTCGAGATTTTGAATTTCCCGCGCCGCCAAGTCGTAGTGGCGGGGAATTAAACCACGCCCTTCCACCTCCATCTGCTTCTCTTTGTTCTCGGGCCAGCATGGCGGAAGCCAGTGCAGCATTCAAATCTCGTTTTTTATCGAAGAGTAGGTTTAAGCACAGCTGAAGATGGAAGAGTGCGCTTAGGAAGAACCAGAAAAAACCACTTAAGAGGGGGAGGCTATATTCCCCAAGCGCAGAAGCACCAATTATTTTCCTGAAAGAAAATGGCGACCGCTTTCACTCTCAGAAGGCGCTCGAGGGTGGAATTGCAAGTTAAATGACATAAATCACTCGCAGGCAGCAAACAAAGCGGTAGGGTTAAACCTACTTTTATAGAAGCGGTTTAGCGTTACTCTTAATAAAGGAAGCCAATCCGAGGTCGGCTGCAACACTCGACTCACTTTTATGAGAAATCATTTTCATTTACCTGTGAAACGATAACGAAGGTAACAAAGTAACTCAGAATTATTTCCACATGCAATGTATCAATATCATAGATTAGGTGGTTCAGCACTTTTTAAGAAAAAGTGGGTGGCCCTGAAAAGGGCCTTTGGGTTTTTTGTTGTTTTAAGTGGTTTCAAGAACGAAGAAATCCCCTTAGCCGCCAAAACCGTACAGAGTACGGCCCTGGCGCTTCAGAGCGTAGACGACGTCCATGGCAGTCACGGTCTTCCTCTTGGCATGCTCAGTGTAGGTCACAGCATCGCGAATCACGTTCTCCAGGAAGACTTTGAGGACGCCTCGGGTCTCTTCGTAGATCAAGCCAGAAATACGCTTCACGCCACCGCGGCGAGCCAAGCGGCGGATAGCAGGCTTGGTGATGCCCTGGATATTATCGCGAAGCACTTTGCGGTGCCGCTTGGCGCCTCCCTTTCCAAGACCTTTTCCTCCCTTTCCACGTCCAGACATCTTCTCAGCAGAGCAGGAACCAAACTGTACCGCTAAAGAGAAGCTGCCTGCAACTTTTATAGTCTGGGATCGGACCAGAGTGGAAACCTGCACGAGAATTATATAGGCTCCGCCTCCCCCTTGTTCCCAGCATGTTGGAAACGCCCAGGAATTCTCAGTAACCAATCAACAGAACCATGGAAGCTGTCCAATCAGACCTCGTGGAGAAGTATCCAATCAGAGCTCGAGCCAGGGGAAAGACTTATTCGTGCTTGGTTATTGCGGGCTTAGATTCCAAAAGCGTCGCTCAGCTCAATGAATGGGGCGAATGCAGCCTCCAGTGTGCTTCCTAACAGCTCAGTTGCACGGCATGTGTTCAGTGGGGTTTACAGTCAGGTAAGGATTGCAGCCTAGAGATAGAGGAGCCTGCCTTCTCGTCTTCGGCCTGGAAACTCCAAGAAACTACGTGGCTTAATTCTCCCACGCGTCTGACATACATACCGGCTAACGCGGCAACGAAGCTCCAGCCCCGAACACTCCGGGGTTTTTGCGGGGCAGCGATCTTGAAGTAGAAACTTAACATTGGAAATGAGTCTCCTGCAGGAGCGCTAGCTTGGCCCCGCGGCTGCCGGGGCCGTAGTTGCCATGCAGCGTGCATTGCCCGGGCGCCGAAATTTGTGAGTGTCTGGGCCCCTTCACGGGGAATTTTGGGAGTGCTTGAACACCCCAGTGAGCCGGCACCTATGGTCTTCTGTGTGTTTTTCTTAAGGGGAGGAGCGGATAAAGTGGGTTTTTAAAAATAACCTTATCTCACAAAAGAAGCGACCGGGGGAAACCCATACAGGAGAGTGTTAGCGGACGGTGGCTGGCTCTCAGCAGTGCCTCTCCCATTTTACATGAAGATTAATTGAATATTAAACTCCCCGCGCTGTGATCATTCGGAGGAGAAGCCGAGAGATCCTGATAGCCAATCACATCAGGACGCGGGATTTTATTTTTTAAGGACCCTTTTCTTCGGCATTTTTCATTTTGTCTGTGCCCTTCCTTCCAGGCGGACTAGTATAACCGCCCTCCCTTAACAAAGGGGAGCCGTTCTCCAGTCGCCATTTTAGCCTGCGTTTCATCAGCTGTTCCCAATCCTATTCGCTCACACCAGCTCCCTTACTCGGTTTGCGTGTCGTTGCGCAATCCTGATTGCTGATGGTGGTTTAATATATAATTGGATGCAAATTTGTTACCCTCTACATACATGCAAGTTATTTTTCCCACCCGTAGGGCTTTCACCACTTTTTTTGGTCAGCCTAGTTTGCTATTCCAGATATTTTGGACCACAACTCCTGGCATTCCCTACCACAGGCCATGCTGGCTGCTTGGGACAGAACATTCTAGAGCAGCCTTCCTCCATCTGATAGTGGCTAAGACACTTCGGTACAAGAACTTGTGTTTGTTATAATTTTCAGGAAAGTATCTGTATTAGTCAGCTGCAGCAAAATGAGTTCTGTGGAACTTTAAAGACTAGTATTGCCATAATAGTTGTGTTAGTCTTTAAGGTGCCACAAGACTTCTGTGTGTGTTTGTTTCTATGTTGCAATAATAAAAAAGCACTACCATTGATACTTTCTTTTCTTTTTTAATTACATTGCTGTGAATTTCTTCTTTACTTGTACAGACACAGATGTCTATATCTGTGCCCAAATCATGCCCAGAAAGAAGATCCATCGTTCCCCACATCTAACCTCCCTTTTCAATTCATAGTCCCCTAGGCTCTTCTTCAAAACATCCAGTACCCCATAATCCTGCTTCCCAAACACTTGCAGCCCTTTCTTCAATGTAGCCTTTCACATCCTGCTCCCTGGCATGTTTCAGGTGTCTCTTCCAAAATGGTGCATTCTTTTTCCCCACCAGAAAGTTCTGAGCCTTGGTCCTAAATGTACTGTATCAGGGAGTCCCTAACTCATGTCAGCACCCTCTAAAAAAGGAACATTGTGTATTACATTCCTATTTCCTGATCTCTGTAGCACAGTGGTTTTCAACCACTGCCGTGGCACCCTGGGGTGCCTTGAATGATGGTCAGGGGTGCCCTGGGCAGTGCTGGCCTCTGTCCCTCTTTCCTCCCTTCCTCTGAAGCCCTCTTGCATCTCAGCCTCTCAAAGGCTTGCACAGCTATTGCAGCAGCCCAGGCTACAAGGCAAGCTTCCCAGGCAAATGGTGCCTCTGGGGCTGGCCAGGGGGTGCGTCCTATGCCCTTGTGGGGCAGTGTGAGGAGGCACCTCCCCTTGGGGCAGGGGGGCAGCTCAGAGACCAGAGGCAGCAATAGCAGCTGCCTGGAGGACTCACAAGGTGAGGGAGAGGAGTGTGTTTGAATTGGGGTGAGGGGCTGCCGGCTCTGCGGCAAAGGGTGACATAACTGGGCTCCTGGGGTGCTGCAGAAAGAATGTACAGTCATACCTTGGATCTTGAATGCCTTGGTACTTGGACGTTTTGGCTCCTGAACACCGCAAACCAGAAGTGAGTGTTCCAGTTTGCAAACCCAAATGCAGGGCTTCGGCAGCTTCCTGCAGCCAATCAGAAGCAACACTTTGGTTTCTGAACGTTTTGAAAGTCGAACGGACTTTCGGAACGAATTCTGTCCAACTTCCAAGGTATGACTGTAGTTGGTCAAGGGAGCTGTGGACTCAAAAAGGTTGAAAACCTCTGCTGTAGCAACAGGCCTCATAATTCATTTTGTGCTGCTTGCCAGAGAAAGAGTAGGTCCTGTTGTAGAACTGGCAATAAGGGAAAAAGGCAAGAGAGGGAAAGAAGCCATTTCGCCATTGACCTGGTAGCAATGAGGTTCCTTTCTCTGCAGCATTCCTGAAAGCAGAATCCAATGTGATAAAGAAGGGCAGCCTTTGCTAACAAAGAGATAGGATCTCTCTTCACTTGGATGCCTGAAGGCATGTTGTGGCTGGTTTTGCAAGGATTCCTCTTTCAACTGTGCTTTCAACTGTCACACAAGGCAGGACAAAATGTCCCGAACCATACAAAATCATAATGCACAGATGAAAAATTACCACCAAAAAAGATGAAGCATATCACAATATAAAATCCCAAAATGGTTTGTAGTTACATACATTAATTCTGCTCCATGTCTAAAGATGATGTGGTTTATCTCATCATTGGGGTAGACTGGGAATGTACGCTGAAGTGTACATTACAACCTGACTTACTGAAGTGGGGGATATATATATATATATATATATATATATATATATTTCCACACTATGTAGGAGACTGAATCCGGGACCTTTTGCATGCAAAGCAGGCGCTGAACCACTGATCCCTTTGCTATGGGCCAGTTGCTCCTCCCCATGGCTACATACCGTTACGGAGGTGGTTTGTTTGTTTGTTTAGCAAAAACCAAAGAGGGCAGGGCTATTGCGCCCTCCCTTCGTCTTTAATGTGCCACAAGAGTCTATGTTGCTTTTGCCACCTTACAGGGTTGTTGTAAGGGTAAGAAGTATCAGGATGTAAGTAAATAAAAGGGAGGGAAGGAGTTGGGAGCTACTACGAAGGGATTCGTTGTTAAGTACGGGGAATCGCAAGCTGAAGAGGTGTGAGGCAGAGCACGACACTTGGCTCTGATAAAAGAGTAGAATCTAGAAGATTTGAAGAGGTGCTTCAGGATTCCTTGTCCCCCCCCCCCCCCTTTCTTTTAACTCTCCTCCCGCCGCCCAAAGAGTGGGAAAACTGGAGAGGGCGAGGGAAAGGAGAGTTTAATTCCTGCTTTGCAAAGCTGAGCAATCAGATCATAAAGGCGGCTGGTGATTACTGTACTAGTGTATCCGGATACGAGCGCTTGGGGCGCATCTCCATCCGGAGTGAGTACTGCATGTGATCCCCTCTCCGCCCCTCCCCAATTATCCATCATGCTTTGTTTCCCGCACGTTTCCTCCTGTGGAGAGCAGGAGAGATCCCTTTCCCCTGATCTGTCTCCTGCAATGGAAAAGCTCCAGCCGCTGCCCTATCTCGCTTGCTGGCCGGGATCCCCCTTCCTTGCCTGTACCGCTGCTGCCCTGAGGGGAGGCGCCGGGGCTGCAGGCGGGAGCGTCGGGGAGTGGGTTGGGTTGACGCCTCCAGGTAGCCCCCGCGGTGAAACACTCCCACTTCCCTCCCTCTGCCATCTTCCCAGGGGGCGGTGGGGGGAGGGTCCTGCAAATAGTAGGAATGATCAACTTCGGATACACTTGCACTCCCCGCTTGTGCGCAAAAACTTCCGCCACGCCCCCTCTTGAAGATCAACAATGCCCACCCCCGCGTGTCCCTCCACGCGCCTTCAGCGTTTGTTGGCCTCCACACCGGAGAGCAGAACCGCGATGGTCGCTGACCAAGCCCGCTTCCTCCCCCTTGTAACAATGCGCACGCCGACATATACAGTGGTACCCAGTACTTAATTGGTTTCGGAGGTCCGTTCTTAACCTGAAACTGTTCTTAACCTGAAGCACCACTTTAGCTAATGGGGCCTCCTGCTGCTGCTGCTGCTGCTGCTGCTGCACCGCTGGAGCACGATTTCTGTTCTCATCCTGAAGCAAAGTTCTTAACCTGAAGCACTATTTCTGGGTTAGCGGAGTCTGTAACGTGAAGCGTATGTAACCTGAGGTACCACTGTACATACAGCAGGTGTCTGCCTGCAACTCCGGTGCTGCAATCAAGTTGCAGGCCAGCAGTGCAAACGCACAAGCGAAGTTTTGGTTTTTCCTGACTATAAAACTATAGGATAGATCTATAGGGGAGCAATGGTGGGGTAGCGAGGCAGCTTCACGTGCTCAGAAGAGGAGAGTGAAGTTCAGCCAGGGGTTTGGAGCAAGGGGGGGCTTCCTCTGAGGGAAGTCATAGAATTGTAAGGCTGGAAGGGATCCCAAGGGGAATCTAGTCCAACTCCTGGCTCCAACTAGGTGTAGGTTTTAGATCTGCTTTGCAGACCAATTCAATCCAAAAATTTGAACATGCCTAAAATTCAATCCCTCCTGCCAACCTAGCAGTTCGAAAGCACGTCAAAGTGCAAGTAGATAAATAGGTACCGCTCTGGCGGGAAGGTAAACGGCGTTTCCGTGCGCTGCTCTGGTTCGCCAGAAGCGGCTTAGTCAGGCTGGGCACATGACCCGGAAGCTGTACGCCGGCTCCCTCGGCCAGTAAAGCAAGATGAGCGCCGCAACCCCAGAGTCGGCCATGACCGGACCTAATGGTCAGGGGTCCCTTTACCTTTTAAAATTCAATCCAAAAATTTGAACATGCCTAAAAACGGCCAGATCCTTGCCACCTGTCCCTGGTGTTCAATCCAGGTTCTGGATGAAAGACTCTTGGGCAGAGTGCCTTTGATGGGGTCCCCTCCTCTTTCCAAGGCATTGCTGCCCACTCACTTGCCTCTGGGCCCAATCCACCCAACTCTTTGATGGGGGTGGCAGGGAGAGAAGGTCAATGTTCCTAGAGAAAGCTGCTCCGTCTCCTTGCTCTTGTCACTGCTTGTGTGCTTGGAGAGGACAGGTGAACAGGTCAGGTGGCAATTGCAAGCAGGAAGAGCAAAAGGGCCAGGAGGCACAAGGGTGACACTGGGCCTCCTGGGGCAGGTGGCCGTTGGCAGGTGCCTGACTGCCTGCCCCTGACACCCATGAAGCTTATACCTTAGGATAACCTTGCTCTCTGTAACACACAGGCATGGAAAGATAGACAGACACGCACACCAAACAAATGCCCAGCTAGAAGGCTTACATTCCACAGAAGATAAGGAACTGGAATTTGGTCAGGAGCAGGCTTTTATTAGGTTATTTTCAAGGACCTACCAAGGGCTTAGAGAGAGAGAGAGAGAGAGAGAGAATAAGACTCAACTACTTGCCAGTAAATAATTCCACAGGGGAGAGGGCAGATACTGCTCTCGGTTCTGGAATCTGACTTAACAGGGCACATAGGAACTAATCTGTCCTGCCAGGAGGGCACTAGGATGGGCATAAGCAGGCAAAGAAGAATGGAGCGAGGGCAACAGGACTTTGGCTTAAAAAATAAAATAGGAAAACTGACAACCCTAGCTCTCATCATACTTTTTCTGCTTATGAAAGAGGGTTTTTCCTCTCCAGTGTGTTCTCCGGTAGCTTATTTGACTATGGGCAAAGTCTACGCAGGTTCTGGGCTCCCAGGATCTATCAAATGCATCATTCTTGGAGACTACATTTAAACACAAAGACACACAAGCCTAGGCAACTCCTGAGCCTCCTCCCTCCAGTCCCCGGACAAGCCAAACATAAGGATACATTTCTCCAGCTTCCCAATATATTTTTTATGAAATCCAAATCATGTTTGCTGAAATATTTCGTGAAATGTTGCCTTCTCCTGAAGATCAAACTCTTTCTGAGGGCTGAACCTTTCCATGAAAGCAGATGCATCCCTTTTAAGCCTTCAACCAATTTTCAGAAAAGAACATTTGCTAGAAATAAACCACACTTACAGCTGGCAAATTAAAACCAGGGGAAATGGTATAGCATCATGAGGGCAGAAGAAAGGGGAGGTCAAACAGTGAGCAGGTCTAAGAAGAAACCTGCTGGCTCCACTATAAGAAAGAATGCTTGGTTTGATGGTCTGAGCCTACAGATAAAATCATGCAGGCACGCAAGCCTTCAGTTCGTCTCACAGGTGGCTACTGCTCTACAACCTGCAGGCAGAACCTTGCCTTCAAAGTAATTTTGCTCTAGCCAATGCTGAGCCAAACATGATAATATGGACATCTTTTTAAAAATTAAATTTATAGTCCTCATGATTGCAAAGAAAAATTCTGGAAATAAAAGTAGCAGTTTTTGAACCAAAGCTAAGAAAACAAAAGGGCAAGTAGAAGAACCTCAGTTTTGTTGTGAATCTGCAATTTTTAAGTAGGGTATTTAAGGACATGATTCCTGTTTGGGTTGGGTTGTTTTTAGCAAATGCAGTCAGAAATAGGGATACTAATATTAATAATAAGCTCTCCTAAATTAACTAAAACCTTTCTGGGCATCCCTATAAAATACAACAGGTTCAGTTCTGCTTCAAGCGTAAATTGATTTTTAATGGTTTGATTATACTTTCCCCACACTTCCCTCCAAGGAAGACTTAGAAACCATAGTTTTATCAGGTTGCTGAGAACTCTCTGGTCTTAATCCACCATCACCTCTAGGCCATATAGAAATACAATGCCTAAAATTCTTTGGTGAGCTGCAGTTCTGGAACTCGAGCCCATTGGCTTTGGCAAGGACAACATGCCTTCCAAGTTGGAAGGGAAAGGCAGAGACGTCCCCTAACTGTGGCCACTCTTGTCGAGGGGCAGAGAGATCAGAGGGAAAGGGAACCAACCAAGTCACACAACAGGATGATGCAAGGTTCCTGCACACTAGTATTTCTATTGCCCAACAATGCTGTCTGCTTTTCCAAAAGGGAAGACGTCCTGCACTGCAGCAAGTCAATAAATCTGCATCCTGGTAGAATGTCTGAGTGCACCTCTCCCATGACAACTAGGCAGTCCCTCCTTTACATTCCTGGGAACCACAGAGCACTACAGCTATTGAGGCAACATCATCTCAGCTTGGTCAAGCTCACTTGGACATAAGTATCTCCGGGGGCGGGGGGGAGCCTTGGCCCAAGAGTTGCATTTCCTGTCACGTCTTCATTATGCCCGGGAATATTAGGGGTCTGAATCCCAAAATGTTCAGTTACCTGTCTAGGCACAACCAGCCAGGTATCCTACCCCCAACCCACCGAAGACGTTATAACGGTCAAGCAAGTGCAATGTACTCTACCAACAGTAGTGGAACATTAGTAAAATAATAATAATAATAATAACAACAATAATACTTTTCTATCAGCTCACAATTGTAAATTCCTGCCCTACAAGGAGGGCGGGGAAATCAAAGTTCTAGCCGCATCGGGCAGAGTGACACCTCCGAAACCAGATCGCCTCTGGCAGGGTGGAGGTAGAGGAAAGCAGCGTTGGGAGGGGAGGGTGTTTATTCTGAGAAGGGGGCTCCCCGCCTAGTCAATTCCGCGGTGCAGCTTGAGATGGCGGGAGAGGTTGCTCAAGGTGATGAACCCTTTGTGGCAGACGGTGCACTTGAAAGGGCGCTCGCCACTGTGCAGCAGCCGGTGCCGTTTCAGGTAGCACTCGTGCCGGAAGAACTTGCCGCACTCGGTGCACTGGTAGGGCTTCTCGCCGGTGTGCACCAAGACGTGGCGGTCCAGGTCCCGCGGGCTGCGGAAGTACTTTTCGCACTCGCTGCATTTGTAGAGTTTCTTGCTGGGCCGGGCGGGGAACGCGCGGAGGTCCAGCTGCGGCAACAGGTGGCGTTCCAGCTCACTGCCGGGGCCTGACATCGGAGAAGCAGCCACGGCGTGGCTCAACTGGTGCTCCTCCAGTGTCTGCAAGTTCACAAAGGGCTGGCCGCATATCCCGCAGCTGAAGGAGGGCTCGCCGCCGTGAGCAGTCAAGTGAGCTGCCAGGGTGTTGCCATTGGCGAAAAAGGTCCCGCATTCACACTGGTACAGCGTTTCGGGGGGCCGCATGTCCGGAGGGTGGCAGGTGGGGCAGCCCCTGCTGTGCTGCTGGGCCTCTGGCCCCCCATCTTGCGGCTCTTCTTCCAGGCCCCGCAATTCCAGCATCCCATCGCTTGGTGGAACCTTCCCAGAGCACACTGGACAGGGCGGGGGCCTGTCCTTGGCATGCGTGAGCTTGTGGCGCTCCAGCAGCGCCGCAGCGTTGAAGTCCCGCTCACAGTCGGGGCACTTGAAGGGCTTGATGTCGGTGTGGGCGAGCCAATGGCGCCGCAGTTCGGATGCCAACTGGAAATGGCGCCCGCAGGCCCCGCAGCCAAAGGGCGCGGCCCGGCCTCGCCCGGCACTGCAGAGGTGCCCCAGGGGACTTTGCTCTTTCCCGCAGGCCAGGCAGCGGGGGGCGGGCGTCTGAGGGGCTGCGGCAGCGGGGGAAGCGCGGTGCTGCCGCTTGAGGTGGCGCCCCAGGCTGCTGCGGGAGGAGAAGCGGAGCTCGCAGACGTGGCAGCAGTAGGGCTTCTCCCCCGTGTGCACCACCTGATGGTGGAGGAGCCCCGTGGAGTCTCGGAAGCCTTTGGGGCACATGGTGCAGCGGTAGGGGCGCTCCCCGGTGTGGCTCCGGATGTGGTTCACCAGGTTGAAGGAATGCTTGAAGCTCTTGACGCAGTGAGGGCACTGGAAAGGCTTGAGCTCGGTGTGCCGGGCAAAATGGCGGCGCAGGTCCGAGCGGTAACGGAAGCTCTTGTCGCACTCGGAGCAGTGGAAAGGGGCCCGGGCACCCGGCCCATGGTCTGTTAGGAGCGACGGGTCGTCCTCCGCGTCCGAGTAGAGAACGGCACACTCTTCCACGGTTCCGGTGGCAGTCCGGACTCCACCTGGGGCCTGAAGGGAGTGCTGGCCCTCTGGCCACTCTTCATCGCAGTTCTCCATCTACCCAACAGTGCTTCTACGGGACAGAGAAAGGACAGTGAAAGAATCAGAGTGGGACTCCATGGCCGCCGAGCCCTCCCAGTATAAAAGCATTCCCTCACCCTGATTAAACCACACTATCCAGAACAGGGAGCCAGTGTGGAGTAGTGGTTAGAGTGTTGGACCAGGAACTGTGAGAGACCAGGGTTCAAATCCCCACTCAGCTATGAAACTCACTAGGTTACCTTGGGCCAGTTGCTGTTTCTCAGCTGAACCTAGATAAAATGGGGAGGAAGTGAACCATGCATGCCGCCTTGAGCACATTGGAGGAGAGGTGGCATATACCCGCAATCAATCAATCAATCAATCAATGAAGCCTAGCACAGAAGGTGCCTGCGGAGCACACACCTCTCCAAGATGCCAAGGCAGGAATCTTAGGAATCTGCATGTATATGAAAATGGCTCTTCATGTAGTCAGTGTGCTTGGTTCAAATAAGGTTCAGCTTATAGCTTTTGCTTCCAGAAACAGGAAGTGAGTCAAAGGATTTGGGGAATTCTCAAAACTTTTCAACTGCACAAGATGACAGAGGGTGGCAGACAGTACAGTCAACCTTGGTTGTCGAACGTCTCGGCTGCCGAATGTTTCGGAAGCCAAACGCCGACAACCCGGAAGTAACTGCTTCCGTTTTTGAGCATGTCTCCGAAGTCAAACAGCTTCCGAGGCGTGTTTGTCAATTTCCCCCATTGAACTTGCTTTGATCCTTGGTTTTGGAAGACAAACGGACTTCCAGAACGGATTACATTCGAAAACAGAGGTCCCACTGTACTAGGTTTGGATGTGGGAAATATTCTAGATCTGGATCTGTGCCCAGCTAGTGGTGACAATGGCTAGGCTGACCTTGGGGCGGGGGGGGGGGAATCATAGTCTGGACTCTCAACCTAATTGGTCTCACCGAGCTGATATGTGCATAAATAAGATGAGGATAAAGGGCACAACTGTAAAGATCACTCTGCAGATGGAAGTCCCATTAAGTCCAATAAATCTTACTCCCAGGAAAACATGTATAGGATTGCAGCTAAAGCCAGTAGGACATGGATAATAAAAAGCCCACTCACTATTTTCCGCAGCAGAGAAATGTAGCACACTCAGAAACATGCACCCCTTGAATTTTTTTGAATGAAATGAGGGGGGTCCTAGTTTTTGGGCGTAGTCAGTGAGAGCTAGGATTGTGTTTAAAAGGTTAGAGACTAGAAGTGAAGCCATCCTTTTCCAAAGTACCCGGAAGTCCCCCAAATCTGTGTGAAGCCATTCTGTCCTAAACTCCTAGCTTCCCCCCCCCCCGACTCCAACCCCAATGTCCTGACTTTCAGCCACACTTGGCACAAAAGATGTTCATATGCATGGCCAGCAACCCAACAGCCAACTCCGGGTCTCTTCCACACTATAGTTCTATGATTCTATAAACATGTAACACAGAAATTTGTCCCAAAATTGTAGGTGGATTTAAATTTGCACTTAAAATAATATTTAGGTGAAAGCTTAATTGCTACTGTGATACTGCCAGTTGTGAAGTGATCTTCCTTGAGGTAGCAGAAAAGACAGGAGGAAGTTAAGCCATGTATTCCCTCTTGGAAGCAAGTGTCAGTGTCCCTTGCCAGAAAACCCAAAAGACCAAGCGTCACGGATTCCACTTTCCCACCTTGGCTGCATAACAAGACCACATGCTTATGCATTCTGTTAATTAATTCAGAATAACTACTACTGCTCAGGTTCCAGAAATCCAAGTTGTTAATGAGTGTACTCCCACATCAGTTGTACATTGTGGAAGACATTAACCCATTTATCCTGACTGACTACAAGTAGAGGAAAAAAGATGCTAAGGATAACTTGTTTTATTTCCTTCTTATAATTATTTCTATAAATACATAATCCATATAAAAGACACTTGATAGGTAGAAGAACATCAACCATGACAGCCATAAAAAGGTAAAGGTACCCCTGCCCATACGGGCCAGTCGTGTCCGACTCTAGGGTTGTGCGCCCATCTCACTTAAGAGGCCGGGGGCCAGCGCTGTCCGGAGACACTTCTGGGTCACGTGGCCAGCGTGACGAAGCTGCTCTGGCGAGCCAGCACCGTTTACCTTCCCGCTATAAAGCGGTACCTATTTATCTACTTGCACTTAGGGGTGCTTTCGAACTGCTAGGTGGGCAGGAGCTGGGACCGAAAGACAGGAGCTCACCCCGCCGCGGGGATTCGAACCGCCGACCATACGATCGGCAAGTCCTAGGCACTGAGGTTTTACCCACAGTGCCACCAGCGTCCCTGCCCACCCAGCCATGTATCACACTAATAATACACAGTTGTACATGAAAAAGTCTATACCTAAACATACAGCTTTATCTTTTAAATATGTACTGCAATCAACACTAATGCTCGTTCATATCTTAAAACAAGCCCCCATACTACTTATTACTATTACTTTATCGCAACGTTCTATTTAGCTCATCCTGCTTCCTAATGTTCATAACTTCCTACTGGTGTATCAGGTTACTGAATCCTACTTAATTATAATTTAATTAAATCCTTCCTTTTAATTTAAAATCACTGGCAATTTTATATTATTGACTTGTTCTCTAATTGGGTTCAGTTTATGAGGTTTAATTACCCCCCTCCCTCTCCAGCTCAGGCACATAACATTCCAGTAGCTGACAGAAATGTAAAGAATTTTGGGTCCCGATATGATGTTACAATGCTCTCCATTGCATAGTTTAATGAACAATAAAAAAGCTGATCCCTGGGGATTTGTACTTGAAATAAGGTGTTACGGAGAACTAACCTGCCTTAAGTGATCTTGAATAGGTACCCTTACAGAACCCATGAGTTCTGGCTCCCAGCACTTCCCAGCAATGACCCCCCCACCCTGTCTGCCCCCTCCCTAAAGAACCCAGGCGCCCCCCCCCCCCGTCTCTCCTTCTTGGCCTCTTTATCCCACCTGCATGACCCACTTGGCTCAGGCACAGAGGCAGCCAGTGCCAAGGTGTCAATCACGGGGTGGGTCTGTTTCTCCCCTGTGTTTCCACCCCCCCCCCAAAGTCTAAGGGGAATCCCTCCCCCCTCCCCCTCTGCTCCCCACCCACCTCCCCGGTACTCACAACTTCTTATAGGTGCCGACATTTTACGGGGGGGTGGGGGGCCACTTCTTCGGAGGAAGGGGACAGAGCCTCTCCCCCGCCCCCAACCTCCCATAGCAGCAAGCAGCCAGGCTGGTGGTGGGGTGTTGACCTCTTGCGATAGCCTGTCCTCTCCACCCTCAAATCCAACCCCTATGGAAGTTCACAGGACACCCCACCCCCCACTCCGCCCCCATCTTTTCTGTGGGCAAGGAGGGAGGAGTAACAACGGTCGCATCTTCGCCATCTTTACTGTGGGCACGCAATGAGGGACTGGAGGCTCGGTGAAGCGACATTTTTTGTGTGGGCAGTCGGCTCAAAGGTGTGATATTTTCTGATATTCACAGCACCGTTCTGCAAAATCTCAGGGCCATACTAACAAGAGTCTTGGTATTTTTAGTGTAGGAAATGGGTTTATTATTATTGGTTAGAAGGGAGGGGGAGCGCGAAAACGATGGAAAGCACCCATCTTTCTTACTGGCAAAGGGAAGTGCAGCGAGGCCGCCATGTTTGCGCCGGGCAGTAAGCGAGGAGCTGAACGAAGGGACATGTCTTTGTTGTTACTACGGCAACTTCCCCGCACCATCCAATGGAGCCGCCATATTTGATGTGGGCAAAGAAGATTAAAGGTCATTTTTGACACTCAGGGAGGCGCCAAATTTTCGTTTTGAAATGCATAAACTAAAACAAAACCAAAACAGGTTTATCGTTTGCGTGGTCAGAGAAGCACCATTATTTATTGTGAGGGAAAAAGTAAGAACAGGAATCCATCAGTGATGAGGTAAGGAAGGAGGGGGGCTGAGGGGATCCCATATTTTAGTCTCTTCTTGAAAAACTCAAATGGTAAGTAATTGCAGTGTTTCTGCATCACTCACAGATTTATGAGGCTTCAACAGCGGAAAGAGCCGTAATTTGTCACCCCCTACGTTGACAGAAACTCCACAGGTGAGGCTCCTTATGCCATTATAATTCTGTGAGGCAATTTCTGCCTGTCATAGTGGGGCAGGGAAATTAAGTTAATTCACCTTAGCTAGGTGAATATGGGAGAAGGAAATTATTGCAATAAGGGTCAGGCTTTCCCAGTCAGCATCCATTTATACATAATTTTCACTTTACTAATAAGGTTCTCAAATGGAGAGCCAGTGTGGTTAGTGTCAGCAACTAGGACCTGGGAGACCAGGGTTCAAATCCTCATTCAGCCATGAAGCTGCCCTTAGACCAGTCACTGCCTCTCAGCCCAGTCTACCTAGCAAGGTTGTTGTGGGGATTGATTAAGGTGGAAGGGAGAACAGATTGCATGGCTACTGCCAGAAACATCAATCCTGGGTCTCCACCTTGAGCTCCTTGGAGGAAAAGGTGGAATATAAATACAATCAATCAATGCTCTGCTGAAGCAGCTTGTATGCCAGAACAATGCAAATATGTTTAAAACAGGGGGAAAGTTCTGTTCTAATCTATTCATATTTTAATTAAATTAAATTTACAGCACAATTTATCCTGACAACTTAGAATGGCTGACAGTGAAAAAGCCTCATTAAAAAAAAAACAATCACTGCCCAGTCAGTGTTGATTTTTAAATCGTATAATGTAATTTTTACATGTTTTCATTTTGTTATTAATATATATTTTTGTATTGATCTGTTTTGTATATCACTTTGTGTTTCTTTTGCATATAAAGTAATTAAGAAAATTTCTAAACACTGTTAAGTAAAATTTAGACAGTGGTACCTTGGTTCTCAAACTTAATCCATTCTGTTTTGACTCCGAAACCATTCAAAAACTAAGGTGCAGCTTCTGATTGGCTGCAGGAGCTTCCTGCACTCAAGAGGAAGCTGCGTTGGACGTTCAGCTTCTGAAAAACGTTTGCAAACCGGAACACTTCCGGGTTTGCGGTGTTCTGGAGCCGATTTGTTTGGCAATTAAGCCGTTTGGGAACCAAGGTACCACTGTACTCCCTTGCTTGCTTTATTGTGTCTCCACTCCAACTCCCTCACAGCTTCTATTTGTTGCTTTTTAAAACACACAAACATGCTTTGTCAGGTGAGTCTCGAAGGCAGTGCAGTTCCATGGATGAGTGCACTCTCAGTTGATCTTAAGGTATCTTGGTGGGACAGGGTGCAAGAAGGGAAGGGCTATAGTAGCTCAGTGGTAATTTGCATGCAGAAGGTCCCATTTCAGTCCTCATGCAGGGATGAAAATATCCCATGTGAAACTTTGCATAGCTGCTGTTAATCAGTGTGGACAATGCATGGTAGTCTGACTCAGCATAAAACAGTTTCCTAAATCCTTAGGTGTTCTCTAAACTCTATTGGACCTAAGCTATTTAGCATCTTGAATTGTGGCTGGAGGCCTTTTGCAGAATTTGGAAATTGGTGCATTTTTTTCTGGTAACTTCCTCCTGTTAGTTCAATAGTCTTCAATGTCAAGCCAACATGTCATTTGTAGTCACATCACAAAAAAATGAATGATGGCTGTTAGATCTGTACATGATCTTTGTGAGATAACCAGCCTCATACAACCAAGTCTAATTAATACACAAAAGGATTGAGATCATAAAACAAGCTGTCCTTAACCTTGGGAGGGACTCGGTGATCAATCATATGGTTCAACCTCCAGTCTACCTGATGAACTCAGCATGTGAGGTCTGAGTTGGTTGCTGTAGCTCAGACTCTATGGCTCTTACAAGCTACTCTTGAGTTCCTATACCAATACAGTGGTGCCCCGCAAGACGAATGCCTCGCAAGACGGAAAACCCGCTAGACGAAAGGGTTTTCCGTTTTTGAGTTGCTTCGCAGGACGAATTTCCCTATGGGCTTGCTTCGCAAGACGAAAATGTCTTGCAAGTCTTGAGATTTTTTTCGCTTTCGCCCCTTTATCTAACCTGCTAAGCCTTTAATAGCCTTTAATAGCCTTTTAGCAGCTAATCCGCTAAGCCTTTAAGCCTTTAATAGCCGCTAAACCGCTAATAGCGCTAATCCGTTAAGCCGCTAATAGGGTTGCTTCGCAAGACGAAAAAACCGCTAGACGAAGACTCTCGCGGAACGGATTAATTTCGTCTTGCGAGGCACCACTGTAATTTAGGATTTTCACCATTGTAAGTAAGTCAGGTTTTACTGACTGTGCAACTTTTTCTGAATGCTGTATGGAAAAGTACATTAATCTGACCTTTGGAGAGTTTGTAAGTAAACCATTTTTTAAAACTTATCAAACATATGGTCTTTTTCTACGCTAGGAAAAGAGTGCAACTTTGGGGAAAAAACATCTTGAGGAGACATTTTGGAACTCACTTTAAATTAAGGGCATATTTTAAAGGTTTAACAACCTCTATTTCCACATTTTACTTTGCTGCATGTTTTGTGATTTCAAACCTCTTGATCATGGCATCCAGGAATTCTCCTTTTTATATACCTATATTTCCTTACCACCAACAATCATTTCATCAGGAGAAACAAATAGTTTTGTGACTGAATCCAGGAGTAATCAGAGACTGAATGTCCTTTGAAGCTGAACTCTCATCATTTTGTTCTCTAACTACATTCTCAAAACCAGAGGCAATTGGCACTTTTGCTACACAAAACAACATGTATTTACTCCAGGTTAATTGAGCAAGGATAGCTAATACCCTTTGATTCTATACTGCTGCTCAGTAGCATTAAAAAAACCTGTTTCTCCCAGGTGACATCCTCCCCTTTAAGCATTCCTTAATGTACTCCTACTCAGCATTTTATTGTGTGATCTGCCTGAAAACTTTTTTATTTTTTAACTGCTGTTGGTTTTACAGTGGAACCTTGGGTTATGGCAGGGATCTGTTCCGGAGGCCTCACTGCAACCTGAAAATGACACACATTGAAGCGCCGCATCTGCATATGTACGGTGCGATTTAGAGCTTCTGTGCAAGCCGCAAACCCGGAAGTAACCTGTTCTGGTACTTCCAGGCTTGCCGCGGACATTCGCCAAAGTGGACGCAAGCGGAGGCGGACGCAGAACAAGGTTTGACTGTATTGTTATTTTTACTTTTTAAGGTTGAATTTTCATTGTATTTTGTACTACAGTGGTACCTCGCAAGACGAATGCCTCGCAAGACGAAAAACGCGCAAGACGAAAGAGTTTTCCGTTTTTTGAGTTGTTCCGCAAGACGAATTTCCCTATGGGCTTGCTTCGCAAGACGAAACGTCTTGCGAGTTCGTTTCCTTTTTCTTAAAGCCCCTAAGCCATTAATAGCCGCTAAGCCGCTAATAGCCGTGCTTCGCAAGACGAAAAAACCGCAAGACGAAGAGACTCGCGGAACGGATTAATTTTGTCTTGCGAGGCACCACTGTATGTTGGTTTTGAGTAGTGTAGCCTTGTGTACTTAGGGTTTTGTTTTTAAAAAGTGGGGTAGGAATTCATTAGTAAAAGTAAACAGTGGTTGTGTTAAGTGATGATTCCATATTGATATTTAAATTGAGCCCTGAAAGGGTTTCTGACCCCTGCAGAACCTTGGCTCCTGCAGCTAACTGGAAGCCACGGAAGTCGCATCAGACGTTAGGGTTCCAAATAATGTTTGCAAACCGGAACACTCACTACCGGGTTTGTGGCGTTCAGGAGCTGAAACGTTAGACTTGCAAGGTGTTTGGGATCCAAGGTATGACTGTACTGAGCTGCACTGACCAACGGTCTGACTCTGTATACAGCAGCTTCCTACTTGGGGGGGGTGTCATTGGTTCCCCATCTCTGCCACAGCTTGTACAACGTAAGCATGTAACTTAGCTTCATTATTTCTCAACAAAGCAACTTTATTTTATCTGTATATCAGAAGACAGGTAACAAAGTGTTCAAGAATGGTTATCTAGTCCTGTTTTCTCACATGATACAGTGTTAGTGAGTTAGGAATTGTTTGAAGAGACATCAATTTTCTAAACAGGCCCCGCTCCCATTTTATAATATTTGATCCCAAATGTTTCAGCTACAAGAATGCCCATGTTTATATATTGTCAGTCAAGACTTTAAACAAAAAAATCCTCACAACTCTCATTCTAGGCCAATCCACTTCTTCACCACGCTTAGGATATCTCCAGCTAAAAGCAGCACCTCCTTCTCCTTGCATTTAAGGAAAGCTTCATTGGGAATGGTGGGTGAATTGTGGTAGCTGGGATACTGCGTTCTCTTGTCATCCACGCCATGGTGCCGGAGTTCCTCAATCTGATCAGGCAGCTTTTCCAACTCCTGTCCATAAGAAGCTACCTTACTAGCCAGCATTGGAAGAGTCAGATTCCTGTCAAAGCGACCTCCCTGGTAGTATTCAACTGCTGTCAGGGCTTTCTCCACTGCCCGGTAAGTCTTGTAAAGCAGCCATTCAGTGCTACCCTGACCAGCATTACTGGCTGCCGCCTTCAGATCACACTTGGCTTGCCTTAGCCAGCGCCTGGCCTCCTCCAAGCAGTGAAGTTTTGATTGATCCTTTGAATACTTTGGCCCTCTCTGATGGAAGGACCAGAAGTTGTAGTTGCAGTGGCCTCCTCCTCCTCCTCCACCCCCACCCCATCCTCCTCCACCCCCACCCCATCTTTGCCTGGTGAATTCTGTACGCCTCTCTTGATGCTGATGAGCTTGCTGGTCCCATTCACCCCAAAATTCTGAGCTCCTCTTGTAGGAACCTCTACTTTTGGGTCCCCCTCTGGAGCCACTGGGCGTTCTATTGTTCTCCACCTCCTTGATCTTGTCTTTAAGGTATTTGAAAATTTCATTGGCAGAATCCTCTTGACCTATGTTTTTATCTGGGTGGTAGCACAGATAGAGTCTTCTTAAAGCCTTCCTCCTCTCATCCTCTGACAAGCTCCAAATTTCAGCCAAGCAGGCATCCACTTCTTTCTTTATCTCACTCAGTGGCCTCTCGTACCAGTTGCCGCTTGTAAGTGGTCTTGCAGTACTGCTAGCACCAGGGGAGCCTTCTGCCAAGACCACAGCTTTACTCAGATCAGATGCAGAGTTATTCCTCCGGAAATGGTAAAGGTCATAGGCACTGACTTCTGCATGCTGCCCTCCTCCCAAGTCAACAAGGTATGTGTGTACTTGGCCAGTACCGCTCTGCCGTGGCCCAAGGGCTTCAAGGACCACAGCGTAGAGGTAATGCTCTCTGGGCTTGGAAGAATCCAGGTAACCCACGTAATCTTCTGGCAGAAAGGTGTGGAGGATGCTCATGTCCAGGCTGTCATACCATTCCTCAGGGATGTCCTCTCCGGGAGGAGGCAGGATATAGGCATTTAGGTTTGCTGGCAGCTGCAAGGGCACTCTGCTTTTCTCTAGCACCTCAGCAATTTCCTTAGGCCTTTGGCAAACCAAAATCTGCTCAAGGACCATCAGGGTCCACGGGCTAAATCTTTGTCCTAAAAGCCTATTCAGTTCTGTGGCTAAATTGCCAGAGAACTCCACAGCCCACCGTGCATCTCTGCTCTCCTGGTGTGCAAGGTAAAGCTGCAGTTTGCCATCTGGCATTGTTGCAGCATACACTGTCTTGGCACACTGGGTTCCTTCCACACTCTGCGAATTGTGCACCATGGTTGTGCACACTTTTTCACAACAAACCACTTCTAGCCGCTCTGGTGAGAAGCGTCCTTCAAACATGCATTCCACTTCCTCTACTTTTGTCCCACCCTGCCATTTAAGCAGTGCAACCAGAGCATGCTGGAACTCGCAAGACATGAGTAGTTCTTGTAGCCAGTTTTGGAACTCACAGTGTTCCCCATAGGTACAGAGTTTCAGAGAGGACTCTTCCAGCTGCTCTTCAGTGATATCTAACAAGTTCTTGGGGCGCAAGGCTTCAGGCAGCCAATGCAGAAGCCTCTGCTGCTCATACTTGTCATGAGGTAGCTGACATATTGAGAGATCTATCAGAAAGCGAAATTTGCACTGCAAGCCCTGGGGTTCCTGGCCAGACTTGTAAAAACTAAATATTAGGCTGTTTGATGGATATAGCTTCCCATCAGCACAAGGCAGATGCAGTTCTTTCAGCTCTGAGAAATCCATTTGATCCTTTGCTTCATCTAAGAGCTGGAAGAGGAACTGAGTGGCCCTGAGCACTGTTTTGGTGAGGTTGGCATGCAGTTTAGCCTGCCTTACAGTGTCTGCATGAATTCTGGCCAGAACACTGGCATAGTGATGGATGCTTGCCTCATCTTCCACTCCCAATTTCTCCAGGACATCCATATAGGCAGCTAGCTTTGGTGGTAGCTTGTAAAGATACGGCCGGAAGTCCTTTGGGTATTTTAATGAGACCACCACATTCTGGGCCTCTGCTACCTCACCGCCATCCACTAGTACCACAGGGAATCCCTTTAAGCAGCCAGTCTCTAACGTTTGCTGTTCCGACAAATATCTATAAGCTGAATTTAGGACATCCTCTCGAGTTTTCCTAGCTTTCAGAGTGTCACATGGTGCCTGGCATACGTTTCTTAGATTCTCCAAGACTAAATGGGCTGGCAAGGTGCGCAGCACTCCCAGTTGTTTTAGGATGGTTTCTTTATTTTCCCCAGCATATTCAACAGAAGGCAGAATGACCGCTGAAGTCCACACCAGGTCTGCTTTCACAGTTAACAAGGAACCTTGGGGTGCCACAGGAGTATTACACTGCACGTATGGCGAGTGAAGGCAACACAGATCTTCAGAGATCTTCTTTGGCAATAGGAAACGGATCTTGGACACTGTTTTCAGGAAGGCCTCTGAGAAGGTTTCACTGGAAAGCAAGTAGCTCCAGAGTGCTCTCCTCCTTTTATCAAGATCATGGGCACCATCCTTCAGTTTTCCAGCCCTCAATGCTTCTTTTGCAATTTGGGTAGCCAACACTCGAAAGTATTCCTCAGAGATCTCTTGCTGCAAGCCCACATCAAGTAAGAACTCTTTCAACTCCCTTATATTCTCTGGCCACACTGAGTCATAGAATTTGCGTGGCACGAACAGAGAATCCATTCTCAACTCCTTGAAACACATTTTCTCCTCATAAAAGTAGGACACAGGACGCATCACACCTTGCTTGTCCCGGATGAAGGCAAAAGACTGGAATGTTGTCACCACTGTCTTTTTCTCGGCCTGATATTCCTCAGGATAATGCCTCTTGATAAGGAGGAGTAATCTCACAGCCTCCAGTACACGAGCTTCGGGGAGATGGGGCAGCCGAGGCAAAAGCTGCTGTACAAACTGCTGCAAATCGTTCATTACACCAATATTCAAGCTCTTACTGAGATGTCGGTTCAGCGAGCTATCACTCAGCAGGACAGTCTTCTCATCTACCTCATAAAGCTCCTGGAATTTCTTGGTTTCCTTTGGAATCTTTGATTCCAAGATGTAGATATTCCCGTACGAAGCCAACGAAACGTGCTTCCCTTGGTGTGTTTTAAACACAGGCAAGGATTTCAACTTGCTTAGCGATCCATGGTCATTCTTCAGCGTCTCCAGTTGGCTGCTTAGGAACCGCAACAGCGCTTCAAACTCCCACCCTTGGAGCGCATCCCAACACAGGTCATGATGAGCTGCCAGTTGTTCCAGCACTACTGTAGGATTCTCGATCTGCAACACACATGGCAGAATGCAACGTGCAGCGAGCTTTGGAGGCAAAAGAGAGGAGTCCAACTTGGAAAAGCCCAGTTTGTGGAGAATTTCAGTAACAGTGCCTGCTTGCCCAGGCATTATCGTGTTGAGGGACTCAAGGGGAACCAAGAACTTAGTGCAGCCACAACACACAGGGAGCATGGCACAACCTTTGAAGAGGGAAACTAGCTCTGCAAACATATTTTTCATTGTGTCTGAATTCGCAGTCATGCAAATCTGGTTCTCAAAGAAAGCCCACAATTCACTGAGCCATTCCTGGCCTTTATCAGTACTGACCCTGTTGTCCAAAGACAGCATCTCCTTGATGAAGGCCACAGAATTAGAGAGTGTAAAATCCTTTAAGAACCCCATATTTACTAATAGCTGCCTGGCCTTTCCATCAATTCGGCAGCCAAAGAAACAGTCCTGACGGTGTGGGAAAAGATTGTGCACACTGCTATGGTATGGAGGACACTGCTGAGTGAAGCACCTCAGCATGTTATCTTGGGTCACCAGCAAAGGGAGACCTTCCAGGCAGCTTTTGTCATCAGGAAGAAGCTTACTGAGGCAGAACTCGAGGAGAGCAGAACAGTAGCAGCTATTCTTCACAGGTGTCAGATGAAGTGGGCAGGGCAGGAGAAAGTTGGGCAGGTTCTTGAGGAAGCAGCAGAGGGAAGGAGAATCGAGGGTTAGGATATCAACTCCTGCCTTGACAAAATGGTCGCGTACCAATTGCAAATGTTGGAAGGCAGGGACAAAATTCATGCCCAGACTCTGAAGAGTAAGCTCAAGAACCTCACTTATCTCAGACTGCAGGAAATAGGGATCATTGGTTGGGTGGCCCAGTCTGGGTGCACTCCAGTGCACACTCACTTCTCCCACCTTAAATCTATACTTGAAATTAATCTCCTTCTGGTACACAGGGACCAAGGGAAGCTGCTCCATGTATGCCAGTTCATACACACGGGTCACCAGCTGTTGCCATGCTGGGGGGACATCCCTTGTCACAAATGGGAAATACTGCAAATAGTTTGATTCCAACCACTTCTCACATGCAGTCAGGGAGTGGAACTGCAGTGGTGTATCATTCAGTGCCCGGCGCAGCTCATAAAGCAAGTGGCAGTACAATGGGGCAATGAGACACTGCAGCAGCAAGTTATTCCAGGACATATTGGCACCACCTTCACCATCATCCTTCCGCAAGCCACGGCGAGCAGAGTCCACAGCAAAGTTCCCATTGATGTGGATGGGAAGGCCTGTTTCTTCCAGAAGCGGCAGTGTGCAGAAGGCCCTACCAGGTGGCCGTCCGTCAAAACAAGCTGCCACACCCCCACACGCCAAGTCCATGTTTTGCACGGTATTGTCACTCTCAAGCCCAATCTGCCTACCTACCAGCCAGTTGCTGGAAACTTCGGAGATACTACTCTTCACCTTCATTCTGTAGAAGACTCTCATTGGCTCGCCATCATCCATTCCACCTGCTGCAGCAGCCTGTTGGAGACGTTTCTGGTATTCCAGTCTTTCAGGCTCACCACCTTCAGCCTCTACCCGCAGCACCTCCTTCGGTGTCCCTCCCCTCTCACTTATTATAGAGAAGACCACACAGCGAACGTGGTTGAGGAACATCACAAGGCTGTCGGCTTCTTCAATGAGAGCCACCACAATTTTCTTCATGTCTTGCTCGGACACAGAGCTCTGGCAGATACGGGATGAGGCTGCACCATCAGGAGTACGTAAGGGTAACCGGAAAACTGTGCCTTGTTCCAAGTTAAACACATCAGGTAAAAAGGTATTATAAACATCACGGATGGTGTCTTTGACTTCTTTAGCAAGGTTGTACATTCCACCAGGTGAGATCTCATCAGAATCAGGGAGGTAGTGCAACATGGGGTCAAAGACGCACAGAGCACTGTCCCCCGTCACAAAGGCAGGGCAGTCAGTCAAGTGATAAACTGTATTGAAACCTAGTCCATATTTGCCGGTAGCATCTCTCCTCCCACCTTTGCCACCAGAGCCCAAGCGCTGGATCCCTTCTATGTCACACCTCTGGAAGGTGCGGTCATTGTAGATGCAAAGTGCCGGGCCTTGAAGTTCATTCCACTCCTTGCTGAAGACGCGATCAGTCGGGTGCTGTCGCTGATCCCAGACAAAGTGGACAAGATTTGCACCAGCATCGTCTGCATTCTGCAGCAGCTCCTTTAGCACATCCTGTGAAGAAGAGTACTCACGGAGGATGTTGACCAGCCGGGTACAGATTTCTTCCTTGGCTCCAAAATCTGTGGCCCAGGAAGAGAGACCCTGAATCCGCTGGCGTGACAAGACACGACCTTTTGTGGTCTGAATGCCACAGCGCATAGCAATTTCCCGCGGGATCATGGCATGACAGAGCAGGGTCCCTTTCTCATGTGGAAGCCATGGTGTGTCATCAAAGAGGAGTTTGGGCAATGGACGAAGGACTTTGTGTTTGTCTGGGAAAAAGACACTCTGGGCTTCATAAGGACTCAACTGTTGACCCTCTGGCAGGGCCTCGGCCAGCCCTACAGTGATCAACCTGACAACTAGGTCCAGATGCCCTTTGGAAAGAGACTGTCCAGCTCCCTCCTTGGCCAAAGTCTGCAACACAGTGGCATAGTCCTTCACTTTGAAAGTCGCAGGCAACCCAACACACTCCCACAGCATCTTTTGCTTCTGGTACTCCTGAGGCAGCTGGAAGAGGTATGGAGCAGCATCAAAGAACAGGCAATGGGCCACACTGCACACTGACACAAAGCCAGTGTCCATGAAAACAAAGGGGAATGTCCTTGCCCTTTGGGACACCTCCACCTTGGACAGAGGGTTCATCTGCACTATTTCATTCAGGAACGCATAGCAGATTTGTGCTATGTTTCCCAGCTCCATTCTGGACAGGGCATTGGAACTACGTGATGCTTCCTCCAGTTGCGTCAGCACTGTAGATATTGGTGGCTGACGATTCAGTCCTAGGAATTCCTTTAGCTCCGTGGAGAGCTTCAAGCCTTTACCAAGGGCTGTCTTGTCCAGGACAGGCTCAGTCAAGCCTACCAGGGGGTGCAGCTTATGGTAGTAAACCTCTTTGGGGCAGCAGAGTTTGCGTTGGTTAGCAGGTAGTACTGCTGGCAAGAAGGGAATGTCTCTGAAAGTAACCTGGGTAGTGTTGCTGTAGCTTTCTTGCAGGTGGTCCTCAAGGAGCTCTAGGATGCAGCGGGCACGCTGGCAGGCCTTGACTGGGTCATGACTCCACAAGGCTGCCACAGTTCTGGCTCGGGCTATCAGTTCCTCCATTTCTACACAATCTTTGGCCATGCCAAGATGCTCCAAGCGCAACAGCCTCTCTGGTTCCAGAAACCCTGTGCCTGTGGGGAAACGGCCATCTTCAGGAGCGTAGAGAGGTGCAGCGCAGCCCCTTGGGTGTACAAGTTCTTTAATGTTTCTCAGCAAACTATTGGGGACAGTTGGAATGCAAGGCCAGGATGTCAGGATCTTATTCACGCCAGCATCATTCATATCCAGAGCACGAAGAATGAGGACATCGCGATCAGGCACTGCCAGCTGAGCAAGATTGGGCAAAACAAGCTCACAGAGGAATCGTGCCCAATTGTAGGTGTTTGGCAACAGGACGTCCCCCTGGATGCAATCTCTGAAGTTCATCTTCACCCAATCTGGAACTGACACTGCCATCTTTGGCTCTGGCAAAAGTAAAGAGAAGACCCTGAAAGCTATAGGTTCCAGATGCTCCTGACAGGTAATGTCAGAATTGAGGATACAGGCATCCTGGGCTGGGCACCATCGCTGTCCATCAGAAAAGAGAACTGGCTGTTCCCCATCAACACCATTGACTAAAGCTTGGTAGAAGGCCTTGACTGTTTCACTGAATGGGTGCTTGGCACTGCACACGTCAGGCCAGAAAGCATGGTACTCATAGTCCTCCAGCAATCCTTCCTCGTACATGTCCCGGAGCAGGGACAGTGCTCCAAGCCAGGCACCCAGCACGGAATCCCGTAAGAGCGCCTTGTTCCATTTCCCCTTCTCAGTAGCTTCCCAGAGTCCTTTGCGATTACTCTGCACAGCAAAGACTGCCGTGAGATGCAATGGGAGTCCAGTGTCAATAGGAAGAGGTAGAAAGCAGAAGGCACGGCCCTTAAAACCATCTACATCTGGAACCCATTTTCCAGCAGCAGTGGCGGGGCGGAGGGGCAAAGCAACGCTAGCAACAGGAGGCGAGAAATGGACATCCTTTTCTTTTCCCTGTTTGAAGACCTGAAGGGCTTCTCCTTGAGCAGAGCAGGAGTGCAGCAGGTAATGGCTGGTGACCACACTCGACTTCCATGTTGCTGTCAACTGCACAATAGTGGACGTACCCATCCTGACAAGTGCTTTCCTGCTCACTGTGGCTAATGGCTGGGTGGTTTCTGGGGAACTGGAACCATGAGGAAGGTGGGTCAGTGACACCTCCTGCACTTTTCTCAGGAAGATCAGCAGGTACTTGTACATCTCCCGGAATCCAATTTGCAAGGATTTGATTCGACTGGGTCCAAACGGATCACAGCAGATCTGAGAGTCCTCTGCCTCCTCCTCAGTGCGGAAGGGCAGGCGGAGGAGCGTGCCTTGGTAATCATCTCCAGGTTGACAGCCAAAGATTCCTTTGAATGGTCGAAATTGTTCAGGAAATCCAGCGGCGACTTTTCGGTTCAATGTGAGACGCATGCCTGGTTGGCCTGAATTACGGATATGCTTCCGAAGGTGGGTGATGTTTGGGTCAAAGATGAGCATGGTGTGGCCACTGAGAAGAGAGGGCACATCAGTGATGTGGTAGACAGTGCAGAAGCCCAGCCCAAAGCGACCAATCTTGTCATCCTGCCGTTCCTTGGTAGCTGCACCTAGACGGATGATGTTAGAGAAATCTGTCTCGGTGAAGAACGCATCATTCTGGGCCCAAAGTGCGGGGCCCTGGCAGGCAGCCATGCCCGGGTCCAGGAGTCCTTCAGTGGTACCGTTATGCTCACGGAGATCGACTAGGAAGCGGCAAGTTTGGGCGCCAGCATCCTCAGCATTTTGCAGCAGTTCCAGGAACACATCTGCATCCTGGCTGTATTCACGAAGGATGTTACGGATCCGGAGGGTGATTGGCTCCGAAGGACCCCACGCCTGAGCCTCCAACACTTCCAAGCCTGAAAACCGTGTGCTTAGCATTTCCACACCATGGAAGTTAGCAGTGGCAGAGGAAACAGATTCGTGCACCAAAGTCGGTGGGTCGCCATCCAGCTCAGCAAGGTGTGCCCGATCCATGTCACAGTACAGCACAGAACTGGCCGGGCGTAGAACAAAACCGGACAGTCCTTGAATCCGCACAGGCACTGGCATTTCCCTTTCTCCATGGTAGCCATGAGCGCACAGCCAGTCCAGGACAGCTATCACGAGGAGCAGTTCAGCATGCATGCCGCCTTGTGGTCGGGCATTGATTTGATCTGCCAACTTCTGCATTGCTTGGCACACTTCCTCCTCTTTTGGTAACTTATGGACCCCCCATGCTGCAAACAGCTGGCTGTAACCTTGGAAGTCCAGAGGCACTCGTGACATCAGGGCTGTAAGGTCTAAGCCATCAGGGTAGGCCAGCACCACATCTGCAGCCAATGAGAAGCCAGTCCCATTCCACACCACAGGTCCCACAGGTGGCTTCTGGAAGTCCCTCAGGTGCCGTTGCATGTGCCGATAGATGCTGTGCAGCTTTGTAGTTAACACAAAGGCCTCCTCAGGGTGACATCCCTGTGCCAAGGCAGCTAGATTCTCCATCACTTTCTCTGGTGGAGGTGAGTTCTCCAGACCCAGTTCTTTTGCAGCTTCTGGCCGAAAAGCATTAGTCAGTCCCATGACCAGCCCGACAAGAGCAGCGTACCTCTCCGAGCGAAGCAATTCAGGTGCCAAGAAATCTCCAGCTGCCGCCAATGTGGAAGTGTTGGTGGCGGGCACCCAAGGCAGAGACCGCAGCCGCTTCAGCTCCTTTAAGGAGAAGCGTGAGAGTAGAGGAGTCTCATTGCAGACCCGGATGAGTGCCTGTGATTTGGCACTGGCATCTGCAGCCTCTTGCAGTTGACCAACTTCCTCCGCAGCCATCAATGCATCTGCTGGACAGACAGCACTGAGATCAGATTTCAGGCCCAGAACACGAAGGGTTTGCAGTGCTGCTGGCTCCCGGAAGGGCCCTGTGGGGAAGCGGCAAGGTCTCAATAAATCCTGCAAAGTGCGATTCTCTGGATCATAGAGGTCACTGGGCCTGCCCAACCTTCCTGATCCGCAATCCAGGAATGGCAGCTCACGACACAAAGTTTGCAGCTCTCGGCTCTGGCTGAAGAGGGAGTCCCCATTGTGCAGCACCCACAGCATGAGCCGCTTGGCTTCCTGTGCCCAGCTGGCATATGCCCCCTTCGTCATCGCCTTGATGCACAGCAGGCACAGATCCGGTGTCCCCAGGAGCTTCTGCCCGATTAGCAAGAGCAGGTGGCGTTCAGCTTCATTATGACACAACAGCACAGGCTCTGGAGTTAGCAGATCCGAGGGCACTGGTGGAACCAGGTTCTTCTCTAAAGCCAGGTGGTGCTGGGCTGGCACCAAGCCAGACCTGGTGGGTGGAAGGAGGGAGGGCATCTTGAAGAAGAGCGGCAACTCAGTTAGGACTTCGGCTTCTTTGGGGGAAAGCGATGCAGCCGTGGAGAAAAAAGCACTCAGGCTCTTGATTTGGCAGGTGGGCAGAGATGCAACGCGACCAGCCACAGATGCCACCCCTAAATGGGCAAAGACCTGCAAGACACTCCCAGGCGTGGGTTCTAGGACGTACTCTCTCAGCTGGCGGTGGCACCATTCTGGCTGCCAGCTCCGGACCACAGTGCATCCCAGTCTCTCCAGAATGCCAGCCACTTCGTCCGGCAGACAACGCCCCTCGTGGCTCTGGAACAGCAGAGTAGGCTGAGGCAGCAGCCGTGCCAATTGGATTCCACTGTGGGAGTTCTGTAGAGGAGTCAGTGGTATCAGGGGGCATCCCTTGAAGGGTGCCAGGGAGGGAGCATGGCGACTCAGGAAACTCCAGAAAGCAGAAAGCCACTCAAGCGGGGGCTGTTTTGGGTACTCCTTTGGGCACCAAGATACAGGAGCAGGGTTGCTGCTGACCCAGTCCTTAGGGAGAGATCCACGAAGGTTCTGCTCAATGACATTTTGATCCATGGAAACAAAGTTCCTGAATAACCCTGAATATGAGAGAGAGAGAGAGAGAGAGAGAGAGAGAGAGAAAGAAATCAGCAACCACCATTTGTGTGCACTTGCATTTCCTGTTGGGAGCAAAGTGGCTATGTATACACGACTTCTATGCCCAGCACTGAAAACTACTTTGGATGCAACTGAACTCCAATATGTATAGGTCTGTGAATGATTTGGTATCACAATGATGCTAGAGCACTGCTGAAGCAAAGTGAGCCTGAAACTGATCAGCGTACCAAAAACCAGCGTGGTGTAGTGATTACAGCAGGCAGATGCAAACTGTGGCCCATCAGATATTGCTGAACTACAACTCCCATCATCCCAGGCCATTGGCCATGATTAAGGGAGCTGGTGAAAGTTGTAGTTCGTCAACATCGAGAGGGCCAAATGTTGCCTGCCCCTGGATTAGAAAATAAGACTAAGGCAAAGGGGGACAACCTTCAGCCCTTGCTCTAATTTCATGCAGGTGGTGGAGGACGACCCAACAGAGAATGATGGAAGGGTGGCGGAATCCACTGCAAGCAATCAGATCAGACCTTTGACAAGAGTGATCCATCTCTACTGGTGGCTGGGGGGAAATGTTCCCCAACCCTGTGCTTAAGGGTTCAAATGCCCAAACTAGCTGTGAAGTTAATTTGTTTACTTGGAGACAGCCACTCTACTGCTATTTGGTGTCACGCTCACTATCTTTCCACCTAATCTATTTTACAGTGTTGCTGGGAGGAGAAAATGGCGCCCGTGTATAAAAAGCATGTGTTTGTACATGGTAGAACTTTTACACTGGTGGCAGCCAGCCTGGTGCCCTGTGGATGCTGTGGATTACCATCCCCATAATCTCTGACCATTGGCCATGCTGGCTGAGGCTGAAGGAAGTTGAAGTCTAGCATGGCCAGTGAAAATAGGAGTTGTAGTCTAACAGCATCTGAAGGACACCAGGGTGGGGAACCCATAAAACACCAGAAGCTGATCATGGTGCACCCAGGAAACTGAAAGTCTCACCCTTTTCTGCAATTGTTTGCAGATGCTTCAGCAGCTCAGGGTTTAGATCCTTGGGCAAGAACCGGTGAGCCAGGCCAGGCAACAGGATCCTGCAAAATCGGCAGAAAGAAACCACAGGTCAGTTAGGAAGGACAAAGGCAGGGTGACAAAGAAAAGGGATGTACTATGGAACAAGCACCCAGTTAATGCCACTGGTTTATTTATGGGGCTAACCATTTTAGGGAATCAAAGAAATGCAGCATGGGCCTCTTTATCCTGTAGGGCAGTATTTCTCAGAGGGAAAACTGGGTCTCAAAGAACTGCAGGCTGGCGCTAGGGGAGACACTGAGCCGAACTATGCATATGAAAAAAGTGCATAAAGGCCTCTGTCTCTTGGTTTGGTGCAATGTCTGAAATGAGCCATAGTGAAGACATTTGTGAACTGCCTTGCAAGGTGTGTATGTGTGCGTGTGCACATGCGTGCATTAACCATTATGCAAGTCCATTAATTGGAACATCTAATAGGGAGAGGACATTTAACTGTGGTAGGGCGAAAAGGACAATGCCGGTTTACCCTGGGGATCATATGTGGCAAGACTGCTCACCTGGGGAAGTTGTGGTTCTCGAGGAAGACCATCTCTCCAGAATCTCCAAAGCAGGTAAAGTTTCCATTGGCTGTCGGCAGCAGCGGCAGATTCTTCAGCTCCTGGTAACACCCATCTCCAACCAAGTACTCCAACAGCAACTGTTTCTCTGTCAAGGATATCCCATGCCACACACTGGTAGTCCGTCGCAGGGTCTCCCTGACAAACTTCGGTGTGGCCTCTTGCACCGCTGCCCTGCCTTTGGCACCCCACACCAAAGCTCGGCGCACATGGAGAGGAGCAGCTGCAAGCGGTGATCCTGCCAAAATGAGGGCCTTCTCCAGGGCCTTCTCTACTGGTTTACCACTCACTACCTCTGGCAAGATCACGGCTTTGCAGGGGTGGAGCAAACGAGGTTCCCCATCCCCGACTCGTACCAAGAGTTTCATGTCCATCAGTGTCTGGCATATCTGAACCACTAAAGGCTTGTATCGGAGTTGTTGGCTTTGGTCTGGGTCTGGCCACGCCCCATATGGGTTGTCCGGACAGGTAGATGCCAGCAGTACCATTTGGCAATAAGCAACAGGCAACATCTCCTCCATAAGCAAGTGGTTCCAACGACCATCGGCTCCCCTCGCCTGGGACCCCTCTTCAGACCACTGCACGTGTCTTCGGTCATCTGTCAGCTGGAAAGGGGCACTGATGTGCAGTGGCAATCCAGTGGTGTTTTCCTCTGTGGCCGGGAGCGGCAGGACGCAGCTGAGGCGTCCCATGCACTTGTCTTGCAAACAGTAAGCCAAGGACAACACAGGCTTAGAGCTGACCTTCACTGCGAGATCCCACAGTTCTGGGAAGGCATCCTTTTTCGCTTCAGCAGACAACACAAGCCAGTTGCACTTGCTGGCCTGTCCAGTCCCAGTGCCACATAGGGCAAGTGTTTTGATGTGGACACCCATGTCCAGTTTAGTGCCCATAGCATCATCAACAAGGTTTGCCTTTCCACTACTGCATTCTGCAACTTCCAGCACACCTTGGCTCATGCCCAACCCATTAAATGGGCGAGTGGTGGCCTCAGCCTTCAGCAGCTCACGGATGGCACCATCGGACTCAATGAGACCCAACGTCAGTTTCTTGATGTTCCTGAGGAACAGCAAACTAATGGGGGCATCATTCACGAACGAGAGCAGCAGTTTCTGCACCCGTTCTGGACTGTAGAGATTTTCTGAGATCTTCGATGGACTCTGTCGTAGCGGGAAGCGAAACAGGGTGCCTGGAAAGCGGCACTCCGCAGTTGGGCAAGGCTGGCCCAGAGACTTCAGTGCTGCCCAGAATGGTTGGAACTGGTCGGATGCCTCTTCCCATTCACTCAGCTCCCAGAGCTGACCCCCGTCATGTAATGCCATCTGCTGTGGGTCCAGCACCCCCAAACATTCATCAGAAAGTATAGATGGGAAATCTAAACAGAGTGAAGGGAAGGAATTCAGCCATTAAAATGTGGGTGCCCCAGTCTTGGTTCCTTTCCCCCCTTCATGCTCCTATTTCAATTCATCCTTATCTCTCTCAATTTCCCCCATCTCAATGATGGCATTAGGCATATTTCACTGGGGAGAGCATTCTACAAATGGGGAGCCACTGTTGAGAAAGCCCATTCTCCCATTCCCTCCCCCTCAGAAGAAGTACACAGACAAAGGTCTCTGAGGATGATTGAGGGGCCAGGTATGCCGATGTGGGGAGAGAGAGGTGGTCCCTGAGGTCTTGGGGTCCTGAGCTGTCTTCTAGGCCTTTTTCCCTATAATTCTTATGCCTTCCTCCCAAAGACATCTTGTTTTGAAGACTGACTATCTCCCAAATTGAGCCAGGCAGAACTTCTCACCTGTGATATGGTAAACTGAATTGAAGCCCAAGCCAAAGCGTCCAACTGTAGAAGGGTCATCCTCCTTGTGACTGATGCCTGGACTCTGGATCCCTTCCCAGTCAGCCTCAGAGAATAGACCGTTGTTATAGGCAAGAAGCGCAGGGCCTGAAAAAGAGAAATGTGGTCATGCAATTTTTACTCAAGTGCCTTGATGATGGTTTGATTCACAGTGTCACTCCCAAGCCAAATTTGACATGGCACAATGTCTGAATTGCAAACTAGGGTTTGTGATTGGCCAGCAAACCAAAACAGAAATCATGATTGAACATTTTGTGGCACGAGAGCCTGTCTAATTTAGCAAACCGTGGTAACAGCCACCTCCAGAGGCTGTGGCACCAGAGAGATGGGAGCAGGCTAATAAACCTGATTGCTATCAGAAGCAGACCAGGTCCTATAAACAAGGGCTGGAGAGCCCTGCCACCATCCCTGACCATTGGCTATAATCACTGGGACTGATGGGAGTTGGAGTTCAACTATATCTGGAGAGCCACAGCCCCCCCACCCCAATCTCTTTTCTAGATTAAGATTTCTGCAAACCATGATGTGATAACTGGAATAGAGCCAATATATTGAACATACTGGAGGCGCACTCTCAGGTACCCACATCGTTTGTTTAAAGCACATTTATACGATTTTAACAGTCATTGTGAGACGGGAGGAATCCGCTCCGTGGGAATCTGGGTCTGGCCGCCACGGCGAAGGTGGAGACCCGTTAAAATCACAGGCGGGAGAAGCCTGTGAACGTGGGATTCGGTGGGCACCTTTTGCGCCCCCCCCCCACTCGCGGGGAACCCCGGTTTTTGGGGCTCCGGAGCGACGTGGGGTGAGCGGCGCGGTGCATCGAATCGTCTGCTTCTTCCACGGAGCGAAGCCGCATAGCTGTTGCCAGAGAGCGCTGACCTTTTCCTGTGGACAATTTGATTTTAAAGTAATTACCCGTGAGTAAAGCTGAAACGGAAGAATTGAATTTCTAAATGTCTAATTTGGCACCGTAACGGGGAGGTTCAGAACAGGAAGTCCGCCTTCCCCTTTTGTAAATAGACTGAGGCAATGAAGTTGCAAGCTGGAGTCCTGGAAGGTCTTTTGTAAAAGATTAAATTTCCAACGGTAAAGAACATTAAACCCCCCCTTGGAGGCAGGAGAAGAGAGGGGGAAGTTGCGGATTGAATATGCCTGCGGGAGAGAGCGAAGAGACTTAAAACACTGCCGCTCTGACCCTGGAAACGGGCTGCTAGTAGGACTGACGTCTTTTGGAATGTTCATTGACAGCGTTTAGAACGTTCATTGACAGCTAGCTAAATAAGAGAAATACATTGTCTCTACTGTCTCCGGCTGCTTTAAAAAGGAGTAAACGTAACTGAAAATTGTAACTAATTTGGAACTAATCTTGGATTGTTTAAAAGAGGATACTATTGACTATTACAAATAGAAACTGTTTCCCCCTAGTGGAAGCCTTTGAAACCGGTTGCTTTACAAGAGCTGGGCTAGGGGAATTTCCAGCTGCAAGTTAAAAACCGTGAGACTCTGGGACTGACCTTGAATCTTTTAAGTGTTATGGTAAATGGAAGAGGAAAAACAGACCAGTCAACTGTTGACAAAACATTAAGGTCTGGGAGGACTTGGTAACAATCCAGGAGAGGTCTATCATTAGGCCCTCCTGCTCTTTTTGTTGTTGTCTTTGTACTAGTATATTTAAAACCAAGAGGAATGTCGACAGAAGAGGCTTTAGTGGCTGCATTATACAAGATAAATGACTCCTTGGATCAGCTTCACAGGAAAATGGACATGATAAATGCGAAAGTGGATGTTTCAATTACTAAAACTAACTTAAATACAGAAAGTATAAATAGTACCAATACAGAAACCACCCAGAAATTGATACAAGAACCTATTTTGATATGGCAAACTGTGGAGGAAATTGGGGAAAAAGCTGTTGCTGCTGAAGGTAAAGTGACACAACTGAAGAGAAAGAGAGCCCCAGCCCTACAGAGGCAATTTGATGAACATAAGTTGACGCTTGCTACGACTGAACTTAAAGAAAAACAGACGAATTTGAGGATTAGAGTTCACCTTTGGTGGACATGCCCAAGGATTAAGACACTCTGGGAGATGATTCATAACGAAATGAAAAAGGTATTTAAATATACCCTTTCGAAGAAACCAGAGGCCTTTCTCCTGGGCATGGTCGGCCAATTGGTGTTAAAGAAGGATAGGATTTTTTTCATGTATGCACCAATAGCAGCAAGAATACTCATTGTGAAGTACTGGAAGACACAAGATTTATCCATTCGGGAAGAATGGCAGATGAAGTTGATGGACTATATGGAATTGGCGGAAACGACTGGCAGAAATCCGAGACCAGGGAGAAGAGTCGGTGGAAGAAGATTGGAAAAAGTTTAAGACTGTTTATAGAAACACTGTAAAAATAATGAATGTTAGAAAAATGTTGGAATGAAGTTATATGGCTTTAGTAGAAATGTTATAAAGAATCAAGTATAAATAGATTAATAGTGTATTAAAGGGAAAATAAGGCTAGAATATGTTAAGATAATTATAGGATAGAAAACAGAGGAAGATGGAAAGGAATTGCTGAAATAATTAACAGAAGTGGAAAACAAAAAGGGAGGTGTGAGGAGGTTGTGGAAATAAGGGAATGAAAAATAAGAAATTGAAATTGTTTTGTGTTTGAAATGGTTTGTGTCTTGCTTTGTTAGTTCTATGTTTTTCTTTTTTTTCTTTTTTTGTTTTTCTGTTTTGCTGTGTTTAAATGGTTGAAAATTAATAAATATTATTTTTTTAAAAAAAACAGTCATTGTGAGAGCATATAAGGCCAGTGTTTTCCATCTATCCCAAAATGGATATTGTAGCACAGAAATGAGAATGTGGGAAACTACTGTACAGTGGCCAGCCATATTTCCCTCCCACAAGGCACCTGGAAGGACACTACATCATGGCAACTTTCCTCGGATGCATTGTGGGACGAAACGGCCCCAAAGTAGAGGAAGTTCACTGCTGCCTTCCCAGGCACAAAGAATCATTCTGGTCAATATAAGAAGAACTTAGAGAAGCCTTGGCTACTGACTGCTAAGAAGGAAGCCTTTGACCCTTGAAAGCATCCCTGAAAAATTATTATGAATTTCATCCAGCCAACTTCCTCCCTATAGGAGACATTGTGATTTCTCTGCTGGGCCCCCCAGAACACCCACCATTGGGAGGTGTCTAATCCATACCTTGGGTGCTTGCCAGCCCCTCTGAGAAAAGGCTCTGGGTTCCAAAACTCCGTGCATCATAGAGCAAGATCACCTCTTCAGCCCTTGCATCATCTGCATTTTGGATCAGCTCCTTCAGGAAGAAGAAGAGAATGAGAGTAGGAACAAATGCCAGGGGTCAACACAAACAGACTGTGGAAATTGCTACATGGATACCAGTCCCACATTCCATAAACTGCTAGACATATACAGGGGTCGTCAATATCACCCCTTTCAAACTTTACCTATTTAGAAAAGTGAGGACAAGCCATCTCCTTGCTGCTATGTCTGTCCCGCATCTGTAAAGGCTGGGAGACCTGGCAGGCTTCTTTGCTGCAAATCTGCACCTTCTTTAATATTGCACTAGAACTGGCCATTCTGATGTTTTTGGCATCCTTCTTTGGTACCCCTGCACCCAACCACTCCCACAAGCCGTCCTTTGGGCCTGCGCTTCAGAACAGCTTCCTGCTCTAAACTTGCAGTCTTCTCTTCCCAAAAAATCCGGGTGTTTGGCTGCCTCCTCTCTGTGAACACGCAAGTTGTTCAAGCCCTACTTAAAATGCAATCCATGTGGAATGCCTTTGCTCTCAAAAACGGCAAATGCAAAAAGCCCAGGCCCAGTGCTTAAAAAACTTACTTTTAAGATCTGACCCCCATCTGGGTACTTGCGGAGGATACCCTGCAAGTATTTGAGGACAGGAGGTGATTTTTGTCGAAAGCCCTTCCTGAAAGAAAGGCAGACGGTTACAGTAGTTAGAGTCTATGAATAGAAACAGAGAGACTTCAGTCTAAACAGGACCAGGCTATGGGGTGGGGTGGTGCACCTGGGAAACCTTGACCTCACTGCCGACCCGCCCAACCCTTGCACTGCCCAAGTAAACTGTAGCAATGGTGTAGCTACAGTAACCGGGGTGGAGGAAGGGGGGCCGGTGGGGGCGGTCCACCCCGGGTGTCATCACTGAGGAGGTTGATGTTCGGCACACTGCCCACCCACGACTCCCAAGCATATCCCAAGCCATCAGGGGAAGGGGCAGAGCTGCGCCGCCTTGCCAGCAGCCTTCCCCCACTTCCCCCTTCGTTTTGACAGCTCGAAGGAGGCTTGGGAGTTGCGGATGAGCAGCTCGCCATTGCCCCCCCCGCTTCCTTTGGGGGGGAGCCTCTCCTGAGCTGTCAAAAGGAAGAGGGAAGGGAGGAAGGCTGCTGGCAAAGCGGCGTGGCTCCCTCCCTGCCCAGGAAGCAACCTGCCATGGGTGGCTTGCTTTGCCCCCCTAGGTGTCTCGCCCCCTGGGACGCTCGGCGCAGGCGGCGCCCCCCTGGGACACTCGCCCTGCCCCCTGGGTGCACAACATGTGCGCAGCTCCTGGTGCCGCAGCAGCTAGCTTCACCTCTGTGAGAGCCACATTCCCAGTCGTGTGTGTAGCCACCAAATGCACAATAATACAAGCATACACAGGTGCACATGCATATACAGAGAGAGACAGAGAGATGTATTAACATGCACAGCAACGGGGGTTGAAAAAAGCCTTCTAACTTTTAGCAAGCCTAATTGCCAGGAGAGAGAAAGAGAAAGATTCCTGGAAATCTCAGCTGAGAAGAGAGATGGGTTAACCCTTCCCTCTCCAACTGCACTCTTCCCAAAGATCATCCTTCTCATACAACCATTGCGGCAAAAGAAGACTTCTTTGAAAAGACATTGTGGAGGGTTTATAAGTGGGGAGAGAAAAGGATTAATCACGCTTCTGGACCCAGCTGCAAACCCACCACCCTAAAAACAACCCAACCCAATTGAGCTTGGGGAAAAGCTTACTATTGGCTACAATAGAAGGCCTTTGCAACCTTAAGTTTAGCAGGGGTGACAAACACTATACACAGAATAAGGAGGCAACTGGCCCATGGTCCAAAGGTTCCTAACTCCTAGTTTAAATCCTCCCTCTGCTGTGCAGGTTTCCCTCCTGAGTGACACTGCATTGTTGTGGCATCTGCCTGGACAATTTAGTATTCAAAGGACCCTGGGCTGCCACTACTGACCCAGCTTGGCTATTGGATCCTACTGGCCAGCAAAAACTAAGTGAACTTCTTGTCCCAGGTAAGCCTTGTTCAAGGCTTGTCTCCCTGACATTATTATTATTATTATTATTATTATTATTATTATTATACAGTGGTACCTCGGGTTAAGTACTTAATTCGTTCCGGAGGTCCATTCTTAACCTGAAACTGTTCTTAACCTGAAGCACCACTTTAGCTAATGGGGCCTCTTGCTGGTGCTGTGCTGCTAGAGCACAATTTCTGTTCTCATCCTGAAGCAAAGTTCTTAACCCGAGGTACTATTTCTGGGTTAGCGGAATCTGTAACCTGAAGTGTATGTAACCTGAAGCATATGTAACCCGAGGTACCACTGTACCCTATACCCAGAGGTCTGTAGCCTTTTGTTCCTAACTTGCTTCTTCATCCTGCCTCATTTAACTTTTGGTTCTCACGACAAGCTCTCACCACAGTCTCCTGCCCACAGCCTAACCCTCAGAGCCACAGAGCTCACTGGGTGACCTTGGGCCAGTTCTTCACACACTCGGTCTAGCTCTGAGCTCCTTGGAGGAAGAGTCACCAAGGTTTAAGCAAGGTGTTATCAGATCCCAGATAGTTTTGGTTCTAACTAAACATCAGAAAGAACTCTCTGGTGGTAAGAGCTGTTTGACATTGGAACAGTCTCCCTCGGGAGATGGTGGACTCTCCTTCCTTGGAGGTTTCTAATCAGAGTTGGATGGCCACCTGTCATGGATGCCTTAGCTGAGATCCCAGCATGGCAGGGGGTTGGACTAGATGACCCTTTAGGTCCCTTTCAACTCTACAGTTCTATGATCAGCACATCCAGCACAGTCTCACTAGCATTTTTTTGTCCATGAGAAATCCCATGGATACACACGCACTGCATTTCTCACCTCTTCTTCTGCCCCTGAGACATGTTGATACCTGCAAAAGTGAGGAGAAAAATGCAGAATGAGGAAAAAATTGAGTGTATAATCTCACCAATACAATTTGCACATTGGTCCCCACTGAACAAAAAAAGAGCTCATAAACTATTGTTCCTTCTGTAAATGGACATTTTTTAACAAAACAGACAAGAGGAATCACTTACCATGATGTTACAAACACTCCCCCCCCCCTCATCTCTCATCAAAGGGATTTTGGAACAATAGAAAACCCTGCCAGGCTGCAGTTTGTTATGTGTGCTGGAAACTGTAGCTTATGTGAGGAAGAAACTACAGTTCCCAGGATTCTTTGGGGAAAACCAGGTGCTTTAAATGTATGGTAAGGATGTGACTTCTGTTACCAAAGGCAAAAGCAAACAGTCCAAGCCTGCCACAAGCAGTGTGGCATCTTTCTCTGTCATCTGCTTCCGATCTAAAACACGTTTACTAAATTATTATTACTGTAACTTATAAAATTTGTAGGCCGCTCTGTACCTGCAGGTCTCAGGGCAGTTCACAGGATAAAATCACAATATAAAAACACAAAGTACATAATCAAAATCAAAACAAAACCCAATAACCCCTCACAACACAATTTAAAATTAAGTCCTTTTAAGCCATTGGGACCAACTCACTTTAGAGTAAGCTTACTTAAGATTGACTGTGATCTGGAATGTGCTTTTGTTTTCAACAGACTGTGCAACAATTCCATGAGGTGGACAGGAAAGGTTGCTGATATTTATTTAAACCACTATTTTGCCAGATATACATTTAAGCCACTATTATACCATTTTAACAGTCGTGGCTTCCCCCAAAGATTCCTGGAAACTTTAGTTGGTTAAGGGTGCTGAGGGTTGTTAGGAACCTCTAATTCCCCTCACAGGAAGACAATTGCCAGAGTTCTCTGGGAAGAGGGATTTATTGTTAAATCACTCTTGAGATCTGTAGCTCTGTGAAGGGAACAGGGGTCTCCTAACAACTCTCAGCACCTTATCAAGTTCCTTGAACTCTTGCCAACTCCCAGTTCTTGTCCTGTGTCAGTTCATCTTTTATTCATTTTCTTATGCAGGCATACAACCTTTTTACTATTTATTATAGTTATTGTTTATTAAATTAAAACCTTTGACACCAAAAGCATTCCAAAGATTACAAAATAAAATGAACCTACAAATAAACTAGACAGTGTATACAAAGAATCAAGCCTGCACTGTTCTTTTCCTGAGAGTATGTTGCCTTTGAACAAATAAAAGTTACATAATCCAGATATTTCTAAAGACCAGTGGCATAGGTTTCACACCACCTTTCTTGTGTACATAATAAAAGGCCACCAAAAATGTCTCTCTTTTTTACCCTAGGTCAAACGTACCCTTATCAATACGTCAATTAACATGATTTCCCATGCTGTGTTGTACTATTTTGCTGTGTTTCAACTCTTGTAAGTCCCCCCCCTCCAAATCTCGTCACTGAGATTCTTGGAGCCCCACCAAGAACTTGTTTATGTAAGCTTTTCTGATTTCCCCCTGTAATAACAGATCCAGTTCAGGTGCTTTGGGGATCCCTTCCCTGCCCCCCCCCCACAATTACTGCTGAGGTTTCATTAAAAATCTTTCCCCAAAATTTGGCAACATACTTACAATCCCACCACATATAAGATCCAACTCACCAACATCCCCTCTAACAAAACTTTTTAATTTTTTTTTAATTGTTACAACCTAAAAGGTGTTAGAAATCACTTCTGCATATTTTAAAGTGATGTTTCCCTAAATTATACTGAAGTATTATTGTATGGGAACTTTCCTTCCAAGGCTTTCCACTGTTCACCTCCTAATATTCCTGTCTTTTCTCATGTTTCTTAGTCCAGCTGCATTTTGCATAACCTAGTAGCGTGGACCCTACTAATAATTTATCAAATATCCCTGCATCATTTCAAACTACAGACCCAACTGTAAACTTGTTCAGCGCCCCTAATTTTAAGGGGAGCACTTTGGAAGAATGGATCACAAACACGTAAGGGGAAGTGACACATCCCCTGGTCATCACAGGCCACTGAGGTTATTCGGTTCACTCCTTTTCAGCCATCAAGACAGTCAAACACACAATAAACAACACATTTACAGAGCCAGAACACAATGGAAGCACATGATCCGTTACAACTATTGCAGAATCATCATTTCCGGAGAAATTTTTGTGTTTCCTACCAAGGGTTGATAAGAGAGGATGTGCTCTGACTGAAACCTTTTTTTCAGCCCAAAGTCCACATTCTGGGCATCACATGCCTGTGGTGGGCATGGCAAGAAGCAAAAAGTGGACAGAGAAATGGGTGTGCCTCTTACCCTCATCAAGAAGGAAACATCCCAGCAAACTCAACGCTAGAGGTTTCTAGATGGACACAAACTTATATATCTATGCAAACAAAAGGCATTATCAAAAATGTTCAAGGACACCTTCCAAGCCAGCCAAAAACAATGGAGGAGGATGCAGAGCCCAGATGGTGTCTGGGGTGAGTGTCACGAAAGCAAAGGGGAGGGGTTTACATTTGTAGATTCCCAACTACAGTTTTATAGGAATTGCTTGGGTACCAGAACAGTGGGGCTGCTCACTTGCCACCTCACATTCTTCAGCCTTTCTTTTAATTGCTATAAGCAGGGAAACAAAATTCATTCAAGTGTCAAGGCCTTCCCTGATTATCACTGCATCCAGACAGTAGGGAAAGTTTTGCCTTTTGAATGCCTGCCAGCCAGGCCAACTAGACGCAGGAGGTTCCCCATAATGCAAAACGGTGATAATTTCACGCGGTACCATTTAGAATACAGCCATATTTGTATTTCTACTGCATAGTCACACTCTAAGCCAAGTCTACACTAGGAGAATGAGGTCTAAGAGCCCAGCACTGCACCATTTTAGTCGACAAGGCTAAACGTCAAGGCAAGTCGACGTTTTAACTTTCCCTCCCAAGTTTTATAAAAAGAAAAGGCAAGTTCCCTGCAAGTAGAAATTAGAGCGATAGGAACAAGGCCGAGCTATATATTTTTCTCCCCCGCCTGAAGTATTAGCTTTTTGCTTCTGCGGGGAATTTGCTAGGTGAGGAAAACCTCAAAAGCGATGGCTCGCAGACGCCAATCTCTCAGCCTCGCCTGCTTCCCAGGGCTGCTGGGAGGATAAAATGCGAACGAGGCACCTTGCGCTCTTTGGAGGAAAGGTGAGCTAGAAGTGTCTGTATTAACTAAGCAAATATGTTTAGGATCAGAGCATTTCGCTGTGTTTCCAGAGACGCTCGTACTTCTTCTAAGCCTGTTTAAACCCCGTTACTCCTCCCAAGGAGCCCAGGAGTCCTGTTGAATCGGTCCCCATCACCTGCCGTCTGTTATTACTCACCGCGTCTCTTGGAAGATGCAGGTGCGAAGATCCCCGCGCAGCTTCCCGGCCGACGATGACTAAAGAGCAAAATAGGTCCGCCGCCCTACCTCGCCTCAAGGCGGAGGGTGAGGGAAGCAGCGGCTGCTGCGCTTTAAAGATGCCAGTCGCTTTCGATTCCGGCGAAATGGAAACCGAAAGCGATTTAGCTCCGTTTGGGAAAGAGGCGGGGAATGTCTCGGAGCTGAGGAGTGGGGCGGGCACTTTTAGAGGGGGATGTGGGGCAAAGACGGTGGGCATTCAGTCCCAAAGGCGGAGAGGTGGAAGAGTCGGTATCTGATACACTACAGAAGGGAGTGGCCAAGATCGAGCCCATCCAGAGACAGCTATAGTTGGCAGGATCCCTGTCTTGCAAGGGGGTTGGGCTAGATGACCCTTTGGGGTCCCTTCCGACTCTTCGATTCTAGGATCCTTGTGATCTAGGATCCCTAAGTTACGGCTGGCTAGTTACGGCTAGTAACTATAGCGGCAGCTCTCACAAGGAAGTCCCACTGAATTCAGCAGAGCTTACTGCCAGACAAGGTCGTGTTAGGATTGTAGCCCAAGTCTTTGGGTTACTTTGGCACATACGGTGCACTGAAATCATACGCCTTCCGCCACAAAGAATCCTGGGAACTATAGGTTGTAAGAGCTGCTGGAAATTGTAGCTCTGGAAGAGGAAAAATATAGTTCCCAGGATTAGGGGACGCAATAACTATTAAAAGTGGTGTAAAGCTGTCTGCAGTAGGGTGGACTTTGAGGTCCCTACCAACTCTTAATACTGATTCTCACCTACCCCTGTTCTCTTCCAAAGAAGCACAACCAACCCACTGGGTTTGATACTCGCTATCATAGCAGATAATATGAGGCATACTGATGCCTTTTCTGTTTGGATCTGTATTTCACTTGTTTATTTCTGTTGTGCCATTTGAGTTGGTCGATAGATGTTTGGATGCGTGTCTGAAAATCAATGGAGATGATTGGGTGTACATCTGAAAATCAATAAAGATGATTTGAAAGTAGTACAAGCTAGCAGTCATGGTATGGAACGATTCATTTAAACCATATTCCCTCGCCAAGAATCCTGGGAATTGTTGCTTACCCCTTTTGTTGTTGTTTAGTCGTGTCTGACTCTTTGTGACCCCATGGACCAAAGCATGCCAGGCACTCCTGTCTTCCGCTGCCTCCTGCACTTTGGTCAAACTCATGCTGGTAGCTTCGAGAACACTGTCCAACCATCTCGTCCTCTGTCGTCCCCTTCTCCTTGTGCCCTCCATCTTTCCCAATGTCAGGGTCTTTTCCAAGGAGTCTTCTTTTCTCATGAGGTGGCCAAAGTATTGGAGCCTCAGCTTCACGGTCTGTCCTTCCAGTGAGCACTCAGGGCTGATTTCCTTAAGAATGGATAGGTTTGATCTTCTTGCAGTCCATGGGACTCTCAAGAGTCTCCTCCAGCGCCATAATTCAAAAGCATCAATTCTTCGGTGATCAGCTTTCTTTATGGTCCAGCTCTCACTTCCATACATCACTACTGGGAAAACCATAGCTTTAAGATGCTTTTTAAGATGCTGTCTAGGTTTGTCATTGCTTTTCTCCCAAGAAGCAGGCATCTTTTAATTTCATGACTGCTGTCACCATCTGCAGTGATCATGGAGCCCAAGAAAGTAAAATCTCTCACTGCCTCCATTTCTTCCCCTTCTATTTGCCAGGAGGTGATGGGTGTTAGTTTCTGCTTTCCTTCACTGTGCAGCTTTGCATGTCACGAGACAGGTGTTTACATTCCACAGTCTGTACTGTCTGTACTGTTGGAGTTTCTCACGGGAAAGGGAGACTGGATGTGACGTACACTGGTTTCCTGTTTTTTTCACTGTGTGATTCTCTCCGAGCTGAGAGAGGAGAGAGGATGCATTTTCTGCTCCTGCAGAGGCAAGATGTCTTTCTGTAATATACCAGCATTGAACTGTAAATAAAGCAATATAGAGTATGCAGCACATTTTCTTCATCCTTCCGCTGGCCACGAGGCTCTGCTTTAAATCAACACGTGGTTATGGGCTCCAGGGGTCGAATCGGAGTGCCGGCAGAGGATCGGAATGCAGAGGAACGGATCGGAAAGGAATCTGCTCTGCGCGTAGGGATGATTGATGAGGTATGTGCTACTGCTCCGGGCAGCCTGCCAGCTTCAAGTTAATGGCTTTATGGCTGGACTTTGAACTTTTAAAGCCGGTTTTGCCGGGAATAGGCAAAAGGCTCCCAGGCACAAGTCACTATGCTGGGGAAATCGAAAGTAACTTTTAAGTGTGCCTTTGTAATCAGGCAGCTGCAGCAGTGACGCAGCAAGATTTAAAGCAGCATAGATATGACGCTGAAGGCTAATGCCAGAGTCATGATGGCCCTTCAGGATGCTTGTGGGATTCCTAAGCTCAACAAGAAAAATTACAGCGACTGGGTTCAGTATGCAGAGGCAATTCTGCGGAAAGAGGGTTTGTTTGAGGTGATTACAGAAACCCCCCCAGTTCCAGTTACAGATGCCTGGGAAGCTAAGGATTCCAAAGCAAGGGGAACTCTTACATTGATAGTATCCCCAGAAGAGCTCTGTCTGTTGCGTGATAAGACCTCAGCCAGAGAAATTTGGGACGCTCTGAAAGAGGCTCACTTAAGGACAGAAGCTGGATCCACTATGTTTTATTTTAACAAACTGCATAATATGGCTCTTGCTGAAGGTGGAGATGTGCGTTTACATCTGATGGAGATGCAAAATCTGAGACATGAGCTGCAACAGAGAGGACTCAACTTTCCAGAGGCTGTGTATTCTTTCATGATACTACAATCTTTGGGTTCAGGTTGGGAGTCTGTTGCAACCCAGATTGCTGTGCAACCAACTGCTCAGCTGACAGTGGACTTTGTTACTGCCGTGATTTTAAATGAAGCAGATCGCCGGGGTGCTAGCTGCATGGGCAAGGAGAGTCTTCACAGACGTCATCCCATAGTGCAGTGGAACCACCAGATGGCGCCAAAGCTTTGAAGGCAGTCGAATGCTACTCGTGTGGACGTCTAGGCCATATGAAGAGGGAATGCAGACATCCCAGGGCCAAGACAGAGCAGCGCAGCGAAGCTCATCGCGCGGAAAAGGCCGAGGCAAAGGCAAAGGTCCGGTGTCTAGGACAACCCAGCACAAGGCTATGGTTTCACGCTTCACTCCAAAGGTTGCAGAGGTCCAGAAGACGTCTAGATCTTTCTTCGTTGTTGATTCAGCGGCCACCCACCACATGTGCAACGATAAGAAACTGTTTGTGTCTTTTACACCGCAGGAAGGTGCGATTCACCAGGCGGATGACCACACTATTCCCAGTAAAGGCTACGGAACTGTTGTTCTTCACAGTTTGGACTTATCGATACAGAATGTGCTTTACGTGCCAGACGCCAAACATAATCTGCTCAGCGTTGGACAGCTGAATGAGCGGAACATTGACGTTTCCTTCAAGAACAAGAAGTGCATCATCACAAAGAAAAATGATTATGTATTGCATGCAGAATATGTTGATCATTTGTTTGTTTTGTATTATGATGATGTGGTGCAGGATGACACTTGTTGCATTGCAGGTTCTAACAAAAGTTTGCATGCAGAATGTATTCACGATTTTCATCGCAAATTTGGTCATTTGCATTTTGAGGCAGTATCTAAAATGCCTGCCTTGGTTGAAGGTATGACTATTAAACCCTGCAGGTACCACATGAAGTGCAAAGCATGCGCAGCAAACAAGGTGAAAATGGCTGCGAAAGGTAAGGTGTCTAGTAGGAAAGCTACAGAACCATACCAGGTTGTTCATGCTGATTTGGTTGGTCCACTTGCGCCCTCTTTGGGTGGAAATAGATACTTCATGGTTCTCATTGATGCATTTTCTAGATATATTTTTGTGTACAATCTCAAGCAGAAATCAGAGGCTTTTCCTAGGTTCAAGGAATTCTGTGCTTGGTTGGAAAATGTGCATGGTAAGAAGATAAAGACTCTTTTCAGTGATCGCGGGGGGGAATTCACTTCTCAGCAGTTTGAAGCTTTTCTGACTGAGAAAGGAATTCAACACGATTTGTCTAGTCCTCGCTCGCCATGGCAGAATGGACTTGCGGAACGGGCAAATCAGACATTGCTTCAAGGGTTAAAAACCTTGCTGCATGATGCCACTCTTCCAGAGAGTTATTGGGCCGAATCTCTCTCGTGTTTTGTTTACAGTTACAATCGCAGGTTATCTTCAGCGATCGGTTGTACCCCCTATGAGAAGATGTTTGGCAAGAAGCCATACATCAAACACATGAAGATTTTGGTTCTGACATGTGGGTTCGCTCACCACAAAACTCCAAGTTAGACAAGCGTGGATTGCATGGTATCTTTCTAGGTTATCAGAAAGGGTCTTACAGAATAATGATGACTGACTCTAAGACAATTAAGCTCACGAGAAGTGTTGAGTACAATGCAAAGTGGGGGGAGAATGTGGGAATTTTCCAATGTTATCCTGATGACGGTGATGAGACTGAGGATAGTCAAAAGCAACCGCAACAACCCACACCCACTGATGAAGGTTCTGAGTCTGAATCTGAAACTGAATCAGGTGATTCAGAGGATTTCAAGAGTGCGAAAGCCTCTATGCGACCCTCTGAAAGCTCTGATCAAGAATTGGAGGAACCATTGTTCACAATAGGTCGTTTTTCTCCTAAGAAGGAAGAGGAGAGTGTTGAAGACTTAAGGCTAATTCGTAGGTCACAGAGAGCCACAAAAAGCAAACCTCCAAAGAGATTTGCTGATGAGTTTGCTACGATAGCAGTAACAGCTATTAAAAGCTCCAAGAAGGTATTTGAACCTTCAAGTTTCCAAGAAATCCAGGGTTTGGATTCAAAGGAAGCTGAGCCATGGTTAAATGCCATGAAGGCTGAGCTTGATTCCTTAGAAAGGAACAAAACATGGGAGCTAGTTCCAGTAGTTCCAGGAATGAAACTGCTTGGAAGCAAATGGGTCTTCAAAGCGAAGACAGATCAAAATGGCAAGATAGTCAGACACAAAGCCAGATTGGTAGCCAGAGGTTTTGCACAGGTACCAGGTGAAGACTATCACGAAACCTATTCACCCACAGTGAGATATGAAAGCATTAGGCTTATGCTCAAGCTAGCTGCAGAGGAAAATCTACACATTAGTCACCATGATATTAATACAGCTTTTCTGTACGGATCTCTAGATGAATCACTTTATATGCTTCCACCTGATGGCGTACAGGTAAAACAGGGATTTGTTTGTGCTCTGAAGAAATCCCTTTATGGTCTCAAACAAAGTGCACGGTGTTGGCACACAAAACTCACTGAAGTATTGTTTTCTCTAGGTTTTCAGCAAGGAAAGCTGATCCATGTGTATTTGTCAAAGAGGAGGGCAAAAGAAACTGTACTGTTTGTTTTATGTTGATGATTTATTATTCTTTTGGAAAGATGTTGCAATGTACAATAGCGCCCTAGCTCAACTGAAAGAGCACTTTGACATGAAAGATCTTGGTGAGGTAAACAACTACCTATCTCTGGAAATAGAGAGAGATCAAGGTGGTAACATTCTAGTACACCAGTCACGGAAAATTGCTGATGTGTTAAGCAAACTAAATCTGATGGATGCTAACCCTGTAGACACACCGATGACAACAGGTTATCAGGTAGATGACACTGAAGAAGCATTTTCTGACACTACACTGTACAGGAGTGTGCTAGGCAAGCTAAACTTCATTGCCAGATGTTCAAGACCAGACATTGCTGTTAGCTGTAATTTGCTAAGCAGACAAGTCAACAATCCTAGTGTCAAGGATTGGAAAGCTCTGAAACGCATAGCGCGGTATTTGAAAGGCACTATGCATTACAGACTGAGATTTAACAATCAGAAGTCTGGTGGTCTTGAGATATTTGCAGATGCAAGTTTTGGAAGTGACGCTACAGACAGGAAAAGTACGTCTGGAGTTTGCTATATGTACAATCAGAGTCTGTTTGATTGGTCATGCAAGAAGCAAACAACAGTTAGCTTAAGTACTTGTGAAGCCGAACTGAATGCACTGTCTTATTCACTTAAGGATTGTGAATGGTTAGAACAATTGTGCAAAGATATGAAAATTCCTGTCAAATGTCCAATCCAGGTTTACCAGGACAACAAAGCATGTTTGGCTTTGCTGAAGTCTGAAGGTTGTAAGCAAAGCACAAAGCACTTGCAATTAAAGTTGCAGCATGCTAGGGAATGTATTCAGAAGGGACTCGTAACGGTGTCCTATATGCCAAGTAATGAAATTCCTGCTGATGTATTGTCCAAGATTGTATCAAGGGATCAACACTGTACCTATGTACAGAAGTTGGGTTTGTACTGATATTGTGCAAACACGCTGCCCAGTGATGTTCACAGAAAGGGGGAGGATGTTAGTTTCTGCTTTCCTTCACTGTGCAGCTTTGCATGTCACGAGACAGGGGTTTACATGGGACCAGTGGCCATGATCTTTGTTTTTTTGATGTTGAGCTTCAGACCATATTTTGTGCTCTCCTCTTTCACCCTCGTTAAAAGGTTCTTTAATTCCTTCTCACTTTCTGCCATCAAGGTTGTATCATCTGCATATCTGAGGTTGTTGGTATTTCTTCCGGCAATCTTAATTCCGGCTTGGGTTCATCCAGCCCAGCCTTTCGCATGATGAATTCTGCATATAATTTAAATAAGCAGGGAGACAATATACAGCCTTGTTGTACTCCTTTCCCAATTTTGAACCAATCAGTTATTCCATATCCAGTTACCCCTTACGAACTACAATTCCCAGCACTCTTAACAAACCCCAAGGGTCAATGAGTCCAACCCCTGGCAATGCAGGAAGCTCAGCTAAAGCATCCATGACAGAGGGCCACCCAACTTCTGCTTAAAAATCTCCAAGGAAGGAGAGTCCACAACCTCTCGAGGGAGACTGTTCCACTGTTGAACAGCTCTTACTATCAGAAGGCTCTTCCTGGTGTTTAGTTGGAATCTCTTTTCTTGTAACTTGAAGCCATTGGTTCGAGTTCTGCCCTCCAGAGCAGGGGAAAACAAGCTTGCTCCACGTGACAGCCCTTAAGGTAGTTCAAGATGGCTATCATATGAGAAGCAACTCTGATCTTTTCTTTAGTCTCTGCCTTCTAATCTGTTGGTTCTGTTATGGCTATTAAGTACGGACAGGCGCAGATTGCTGTGCCTGCAACTTGGTGTTTTGTTTTGTTTTTAATGACGCCTCCCCACCAAGAAGTGTGCAAAAGCACACAGTTTGGCAATTGTGAATTCGCAGTTCCCTGGTTTTGAGCAAATCGGGAGAGATAAAAAGTGAGGGGTATTCCTCCCTTCCCGAGCACATCAGAAATATTTAGAAGCACAGCCAAAACAGAAATGAAAGCTTTGAGGAGTGTGCAGGCATGGAAAAAAGAAAAGCAGAAAATGACAATTGGTTCACATACCCCGAGTGGAGTGTTTAGGAGCCTGATGTTCCCCCAAAATATCAGATTATCATCATATCAGGCATGGGCATAGGCGGGGGGGCAGCTGTCCCCCCAATAAATAAAAATAAATAAAAATACATAGGTAACTGAGATTCTGTCCCCGCAACAAGAGACCTGCCCCCCCAACAAAAGGCCTGGCTACACCCATGATATCAGGTAATCCCAAATTTATAGGGGGGGAGCATCAGGATTGGTGTTTTTTGAGGACTATGGATGTGGGCTATGCAAATTAAATGGGACAAGCCCAAGACCCTCACAGAACTTAGTTTCTCATCTTTCTAGTGTTAAAGGAAACTGCTGCAAAGGTTAAGTCCACATGCATTTTTTTCTGCAGAAGTGAAAGTTTCATTTCTCAGCTTGCAAGTCGAAGAACAGAAACCAATAGTGCTGCAGTCTTGCTTCATCGGTGGAAATAGGCTAGACATGAGACTGGAGGCAAACCAGCTGGGCTACTGGCCCCAGCCAGGATGTGTAAGATAGGGCCCTTTGCCCTCCTTCTTAAACAGAGGGTCTTTCTTTCATCTCTAGCTGGAGAAGCCAGGGATTGAACTTGGGACCTTCTACAAGTACTTGTAAAGCAGTTGCCTTACCACTGAGCTATGTCTTTATGTTCCCACCTGAGTGTTGTAAATAATGGGTTGACTCTGGCGCAGGCACTGTAATACTGGTTGGCATCTGACTGTCTCAACAGGCAATGGAGTGTGCCTCCGAGGGTGAAGTCAATCTGCAGTGTTAGCAGTACTGAAGTGCTGGGTTTCCTGCATTGGCAGGGGGGTTGACTAGAGACCTTTGAGGCCCTTTCCAATTTTATTATCTGTGTGCCGACACATAATAGAGAAGAAAATGACCTGTCCCTGACCCCAAGAGGTTTGCAGCCTATGAAGCAACATGGCGAGAAAGAAGGGAAGGACACTGAGACAAAGATGTTGGCTTTTGCAGTATGGTAGCGCTGCAGAGAGCTTGCTGGGGAGACCATGCATTAAAAAGGGACTCAAAAATAACTTAAACAAGGTTTTAATTACAAAAACAAAAACTCCTTATACACTAAATACATCAACAACAAACCAGACCCAACCACCAACCCATCCCCCAGGGTAATGGGAGAGCTAGGTGCTGCTCCTTATATACTACACCCAATTGCCAACACAGCTTAATCAGTACAACTCAGCAGCACCTGCTATGTTTCACAGCTGTAAAGCTGGGTCTCGTTATCTTGCTCTGGCCCTTGCTCTGGCCCCTTAAAGACATACACATCGGGTGGAACAGTGATGAACCTATACATTTAAAGAAAACATTCAACATAAGGATGTGGAGGAAGCTATCGGGAAGTTGCTGCAACCTGGCCTGGATTTTAAGCAAGTACATACTCTCCAACATTTCTCTGATGAAAATAGGGACGTCCCATTCCACCATGATAATTTGACTATTTATACACCACACATCTTAATGGGTTGCCCCAGCACTCTGGGCAGCTTCCAATATATACTGTATAAAAACATAAGAAAACATTAAACATTACAAAACTTCCCTATACTGGATTGCCTTCAGATGGCTTGGGAGTCGGATAACTCCATATCATCCAACATTTCTCCAGTGAAAATAGGGACATCCTACCATACCCTCCAACATTTCTCCAATAAAAATAGGGACAGCCTGAAGAAAAGCAAGACATTCCAGAATCAAGAAGAAGAAGAAGAGTTTGAATTTGATACCCCGCTTTATCACTACCCAAAGGAGTCTCAAAGCGGCTAACATTCTCCTTTCCCTTCCTCCCCACAACAAACACTCTGTGAGGTGAGTGGGGCTGAGAGACTTCAGAGAAGTGTGACTAGCCCAAGGTCACCCAGCAGCTGCATGTGGAGGAGCGGAGACGCAAACCCGGTTCCCCAGATTACGAGACTACCGCTCTTAACCACTACACCACACTGGCTCTCAAATCAGGAACTGGGACGGCTTCTCAAAATTAGGGATGCCCCTGGAAAATAGAGACACTTGGAGCGTCTGCAGGTAGGCAGGCAGGTGGGCGCTGCTTGAGGACAGAATCAGGTTGGTGGAGCTGTGCCCCATTTGCACCAATGAGCTAGGTTGCACTAGGCATCTTGGGGGAAAGGGATGGAGACACTGCTTGTCCAATATGGTATTTTTATTGGAAGAAAATGTCTGGAATGGTGTGTGTGTGTGTGTGTGTGTGTGTGTGCACAACACCCACCCACAGCATGAGTCCATGACTCTGCTGTACTGCTACCACAAGAAAGAGAGAGGAGGAGGAGGAAGAGGAGGAGGAGGCGGCAAGTGGCAGGTGTTTGCAGGTGACTTAACATTCCCATCCCTATTTTTCCTCTTTCCCTTTTGTAACAGGCAGCAAAAAGGGCAACAGAGTGGTGAGGATCACAGCACAAGCCTCAGGGGGAGAGAAAGTGCTGAAGGGGTAAGCAGCTGTACTACTCCAGACATTTTTCGATTGGGCTGATTATCTAGATCATAATATTTTCTTTTTTTAAGAGGGACTTGGGGACCACAAAAGCATTTTCACCTAACAATTGTATCAAGGGGAATGCAGGAGTAGTCAGTTTTAAAATAGACATCTAAAAATAAATTAAAAACATTTTTTAAATGGACAAATTAGGGGGTTTCAGAAAATGTTTGGCATCTCAGTGAAGCAGTAAGGCGGAAGAAACATTACTAAGTTTTTTAAATTAATAGACAAATGGGGGTGCTTGGTGCGCCAGAAAAAATGTTTGGTGTCACAGTATCGAAGCAAGGAAGCAGGCAGCAATATATATTTTTGAAAATGTGGGGAAGGAACTAAAATAAAATATTTAGGCAGGTTGTGGGTTTGCTGCCCTGATCTAGATCCATTTTAATCTGGGTTCGAGACTAGGTTCCATGCTAAAAAAACACCTTCATCACCCTGCTGAATGACCAGCACTGGGAGAAGACATGCAGACAACTGTGATCCAGTCAGTTTTCTTAAGCCTCTCTGCAGATTTCAGAATCACAACCACAGTAGCTTTCTCTAGCCTGGCTGTTCAGGATGGGAGCTGAAGCAACTTTGCTACAGTCGTTCTCATCCTACTTGCTGAAAGACTGTTTCCCAGAAGCTGGTGCTGGAGGAACTTTCTGCTGAGGCCCACAATGCATGTTTTGTGAGGTTCCGTAAGGCTGTGTCTTCTTCCTCCCTTTGTTTCAGCATTGCATAAGTCCACTGAATGAAGTCATAGAATTGTAGAACTGAACAATTCCCTTTAATCCCACCGCTTATAACTCTTTCTCTCCCCACCCCCCCTTGTGTGTGTGTGTGTGTGTGTGTGTGAGAGAGAGAGAGAGAGAGAGAGAGAGAGAGAAGTTTAAGTGAGGCTTACATGTCATACATCTGGTCACGTGGGTCCTAGTCCATGAAAGCTTATGCCACAATAAATGTGTTGGTCTTCCAGGTACCACAAGACTCTGCTGTTTTGCAGCAACATATTCTGCTGCCCCACTGGGAAGTGTTGATATTTCAGTACTGAATAATTTGAATAGCTATTTTAATTCCTCCCACCAAATGTTTTCCGTAGCAAAGGTGCCACTTTTTTCTTTCTTTTTTAACAGAAGCATGTCTTTGTTCCTGTAACAACTGCCCAACAGACAGAATGAAGAAGAAGCCCTGCTGGATCAGACCAAATGGCCATTTAATACAGCCTCCTCACAGCCGCCAACCAGATGCCTATAGAACATCAGCACAAAAGCCCTCTCCCCATTTCTGCTCCCTGGCAGCTGATATTTCGAGAGACCATAAAGAAGAGCCCTGCTTATGGATCGAGCCAAAGGGTCTTTGGGTTGCCATACTTTGAAGAGAAAAAAAGAGGACATATTTGCCGACATCTACTTTTAACTATTTGAGGGACATGGGTGGTGCTGTGGGTTAAACCACAGAGCCTAGGACTTGCCGATGACGGTCGGCGGTTAAAATCCCCGCAACAAGCTGTAGCCGGCTCCCTCAGCCAATAAAGCAAGATGAACGCAACCCTCAGTCACGACTGGACCTAATGGTCAGGGGTCCCTTTACCCTTTACCTTTACTTTTAACTATGGATCTCTATAGCAACTCTCATCATGAAAAAGAGGACCTGTCCTGGAAAAAGAGGGTATATGGCAACCCAGCATCCTGTACTCGCAGTGACCAACCAGATGCCTGTGGGAAGCCGGGAAGCAGAGCCTGATTGTAGAACATTAGCCACTAATAGCATGCTCCTCCATGGATTTGTCCGACTCACTTTTAAAGCCATCCAGTTTGGTGTTCTCTTGTGGGAGTGAATGCCAAAGTTTTGTAATTAACGATGGAAAGAGCGATGTTATCTATGAAGGCGATGATATATGGAAACCATCTCGATTTGAGGATTGGAAGAACGGAAAAATTCACACAGGATTATTATTGGTGTTTATCGGCTTAAGGAGACTATCAGAAGAGATCATAAAGAAAAAAGAGAAAATATATGAACAAGATGTGATGTGGAAACAGCAAGATAAGACTGGACAGAATTATGAACTCTGTTTGGATTGATTTGGACTGGGATTTGGACATTAAAGCAGTAGCAAGAAGATGATCAGAACCCCCCTTCGGATCTTGAAATATGGGTCCCCTCAACAACAAAATTTAAAATTCGGCTTTGTGATTCGGAATTTATGTGATGTGATTTAATTTGATTTGATTGGCCGGTTAATAAAAATTATTTTTTTTTAAAAAGGGAGTGAATGCCAAAGTTTAACTATGGTATGCTTTGTTCAAGAAGTATCATAGAATCCTAGAGTTGCAAGGGACCGCGAGGGTCATCTTGTGTAACCCCCTGTGATGCATGAGTCTTTTCCTCAATGGGGGCTGGAACCCACAACCCTGAGATTAAGAGCCTCAGGCTCTGCTGACTGAGCTAGCCTTTTGTTTGCCCCCAATCTTTCAACATCCAGCTTCACATGGACCTACTGTTATGAGATCGGGAGATAAACTTATCGCTGTCCAGGTTCGCAAGATGCATATATTTATATATTTCTACCATGCTCCCCGCACCAAATGCCCTTTCCTCCTAAACTAAGAAGCTCAAAGCACTCCATTTTGTGTGTGGGGGGGGGACTTTTCAAGCTCTTGTCTGAGTTGTGGAGACCAGAACTCTACACGGTGTTCCAAGCGAAGCTTTTCCCAGCATGGGAAAGGGATGTGTGTGTGTGTGTGTGTGTGTGTGTGTGTGTGTGTGTGTGTGTGTCTGCCCTTAACATCATCAGCGCAGGCGGCCAAGCGACGAGGAGAAACAGAAAGTCCTGGATTTCCACGACAAAGAGTCCTTTGGCACCAGAAAGACCAGCTGATTTAATGTGGCGCTATCTGTCATGGAAGAAGACCACAGCTCCTCCGATACGTGAATCCTCCTCCCAAAGAGGCGTCGAACTGGAACTGGCACACACGCAACCCCTGTCCCTTTAAAAGAGTTGCATAGAAGGGAGCATTCTGTCAGACGCTGTTTCTCCCAGCACTGCAGCGCTGTGGTGGGAAAAGCCACGTCGAGGGGGGGGGGGATCTCCGTTCTCTGCAACTCTTAAAGGAACAGGATGACGACGACGACTCAACACCCCCCCTGCACTGAGCAGGCAACCCTGGTTTGGGCTCTCCCGAGCCTTTCCAACCTTCCCCGGGGGGTTCTAGGCACTGGAGGGTCGGCGCTGGGACCTAGGAGGCGCTTCCGACTGGCGCGCTCGCCTTCTCCGCCGGGTCCATCTGCTGGGTCCGTGCGCCTCCCGGATGCCCGGCTCCGACCAGCCCGGCTCTTTTGTTCTGCAGCGGCCGGGCGGCGAGAGGTTTCCCACCGGACGCTCATCTCCCCACCCACCGCCGGCCCATTGAAACCTTCAGTTGCCGCAGATCACAATGCAAAACAGGTAATAGCCGCTGCCTATGCCTCCTGGTTTGGGTGGGTAGCTCTCTCCCTCGCCCCCTGCTCCCCCTTCCTGCCCAGCCTAGATCACAAATGGGGCGGGCGGGGAAAGCTTTGCAGCTCCGGGCGCTTCTCTGCAGGCTGGGGGCGCAAGGAGGAAGGGAGGGAGCAGGACCCTCGATCTGCGAGGTGGGCGAGAGATGGTTTGCATTGCAACGGGTCTGCTCCCTTTAAGCGAGACTTGTTTGCGTTTAAGGGATCGGGGTCGAGCCGGGGATTGTTGTGATGAAGATGATTTTAACGCAAATGGTTCTTGTAACGCTCTCCTCCCCCTCTTACCGTTCCCTATCCAAGGGGAATTCCAGCTCCCTTAGAAGCCCCTTCTGTTTATTTATTATTATTATTTTTTAAATAATCCCAAATGCCTTCGGGCTGGCTCGTGATGGGAGTGAGGGAAGGGCACTCAGCACATGCCCAGAGGTGCCCTCTTCCCTATAGTCGAGGAAAATCAGCCCAAAAACAAAACACAAAAGAGGGGAGCACTCAGGATCGTTCTAGAATCTGTCGCTAGATTCTGGAAGATTCATTGGCCCAAGGCTGCCAAAGTCTCAGTTCAGATTAAGCAACGAAGCTGGTTCTTATGTTATGGCTGTGACAGTGACTTGGTCACAGGAATTTGGCTGAAAGATTGTGCTTGGCTCCCTTTTATCCAGTGTTAACAATCTGTAGGATTGGTGGATTGTGGAAATGAAATGAATTGGATGTTGCTGATGGGGGAATCTCTTTTCCTAATTCAAATTGACAGCAACATGGTGAATTTATACTCTCCCTATTCATCTTTTCTTTTCCCCCTTAACATTTCCAGTAGTGGATGCTGTTGGACTTTAGCATTTGTTTGTTTGTTTAGAAAAGTGCAAAAGAGCTGGATTTGGCAACTTGATGCATAGCATGATAGCTTTAAAATGAATCAACCAGGGTTGTTTTTAAAAAGTATTTCTCAAAGTTAAATTTTGAAAGTAGGGTTAGAAAATGGTCAGAATTCCAACGCAAACCACTGAAACATTGCCAAGCTTCAGATCTGTGCAAAATGTAATTGCCGTTCTAGTCGGTTCTATTTTGTATTTCAACATATTTCTGTAGAACTGGACGAGCAGCATCTGGAGAAAGTATTTGCAAAGAGGCTGGGAGACTGCTCTTTATCAGCAGATACCAGTTAAAAATGTATTAATATTCTGCTTAGGCTGTTTTCTAGGGCTGTATGGAAATGGGTTCCAGAGCAGAACAGACTCAACTCTGAGTCCTGCATTATAGCTGTGCCAAGAGATACCTGCTAGGTTTGTCTCCTGGTAATACAGATCTACATCTAAGTAATGGCAAGAGGTAATTCCCAGCAGATAAGCAAGTGAGTTTCTGCAGCTGACATCTGCTATATCTTGGGGATAGATGGCAACCCCCAAGGAGCCCTGGGAATTACATAGTTTGTGCGAACTATGTTTAGGGTACATATTCAAATGTCCTAAGCGTTCCTCCTTAACGTCTGTAAACAAGTCTGCTCTACTTGCAAAAGCGTGATGCACATTGCAGAATTGCAATAAGGGATATAAGGCAAGGGTCACACATAGAATTGCAATCTCCTTCTTTCTATCCTTGCCTCAGAGTCAAAGCCCCCACCTCCTATGCATGATCAAACTTGGTTTCTTCTCAGTTATCTGGAATAGCTACCCAGTCTGCATCCTTGGAATGGCTAATTCAGTTTAGAATTCCCACTTCACTCATGAGTGCATATTGAAAGCTGGAGGAAAACTGCACGCTTGATCTGTCCTGGGTATGGCAGGATGGTTAAAATTAGATTATTGGTGTTAACAGATCTTAAGTATGAGTAGTACAGACCCTCTTGCTGATGCAGTGCATGTTCATATATGAAGTTAGGGTGCACTCGCATGCAAAAGTCATTAATGTACAGTGAATAACTGTACACACAGTTATTCACAGATGTAAAATGCATGTCTTTGTGTATATGTTTTTGCTCACAGATACCTTGTAGACATATGCACGTTTGCATTCCCATCCACAAGGGAAGATATTATCTGCAAGACTCTCTTAAGACCAATTTAGACTGTGCACATGTGCAGACACTGTGCACCATTATATCCATGCTCGAGTGTGTAGTCACACCCACAATTCAGTGTATATTTTAAAAGAACTGCACACACGGTTAGAGATTCAGGTAAGTGTGCACAGAGTGCACATATACACTTAGGGTTTCTTTTAAATGTTTTAGATTTCAGCCCACTTTGGAGGAGGCATTAACTGGTGAGGAGACTGGGGAATTGAAATCTCATTCATAGTTTATGTAACTTGAGGGTTAACCCTGCTGAGTTCAAAAGGAATCACTTCCGTAAATGTTTCACTCTTGATCTCTAAGGTGCCCCAGTGCTTTTTGCCACTGTAATTTAAGGCGCCTAGGGTACTAGCCAACGAAGTCATACTCCGAGTAGACCCACAGAAATCAGTGGGCCTACGCTGAGTGTGGCTCAGGTGGCTATCACCCCATGTCTTTTGGAATGAATACTTGGATGTATTCTCGGGGTCTGAAATGCAAAGATGGTAGTGGCGCTTATACTTTTGCAGAAGACCAAATGCATTGCTGGGGTGGCGGGGTCTTCCTGGTGGGCTTCTCTGTGGTTCTCACTGTTCTCCCGTCTCCGCAGCGATGTCCCTGTAGCTGAACGCGCTCTTGTTCCTGGTGCCCAATGGAGCAATCTCACAGGTGGCATGTCGACAGGGGTGATGGGCATCCAGCGGAGCTGCAGGCAAAGGCTCGGGTGCTGGTGCCAGGCGGGAGTAGTTGGCCAAGAGCGGAAAACCATGGCAGCGTCGGGCTTGAAAACCAGGTGATAGAAACCTGCCCCCCAGTTCCTTGGGCTCACTATATGCAGACCCCACTCAGCAATGACAGCCCCCAGAACCACACGGCCTCAGAGGACAGGCCTTCTCATCCCGAGATCTACAGCATTGCCCTGTGGGGGCCCAAACTGCATTCGGCGCTGACCAGGCACAGAGGGGGGCGGTCCAATGCACAGGCCTCCCCTCCGGCCTCCAAGCATCTTGATCCGCCAGGAGAGGGAGACGCCGCAGACGAAGGGTCCATGGTGTTGATTGATGCTGAAGGGGTGCCCCACACTGTGTCACGCCAAGAGGTCGAGCAGGCTGGGCAGATGCAATCCTCTGAGCCCGAGCTATTGGCATCAGCCCCGCCGCCCCGGCAGCTGTACTTCTGCCCCATTTGCCTACGGACGTTCCTGTACCAGTCGGACCTGGAGCGCCACAGCATCACCCATTCGGAGAGCAAGCCGTACGTGTGCCGCGAGTGCGGCAAGGCTTTCAAGCGCTCCTCGCACCTTCAGAGGCACAAGCACATCCACACCGGCGAACGGCCCTTCAGTTGCCCGGTCTGCCGCAAGGGCTTCCGGGAATCTGGGGAGCTCCTGCGCCACCAGCGAGTCCACACCGGGGAGAAGCCGTACCAGTGCCAGATCTGCCGGTTGCGCTTCACGGAGCGCAACACCCTCCGCCGACACGCCAAGCGCAAGCATGCCCGTGAGACCTACTACCAGCGCTCCGTCGAGGAGGGAGGCGGCAGCTGGACAACGGCAGGAGACTGGGAATCGGAAGTGGTGGCGGGAAGCGGTGACTGGGGGCCAGAGGAACTTGGGAGTGGCTGGACCAATGAATCGGTGGAGGACTGGGTCGGGGATGGGAGCCACTGGGGAGAAGCTGCAGAAGGCGGGGCAGGAAGCACTCCAGTAGCTATGTCACAGATACCAGAGACAGAACACAGCAAGGACAAAGACAAGCCTGGGATCCAGCCCTCATAAATATGCAAAAACTAGGTGGGGTGGGGGGCACCAGGGACTGGGACATGAACTCTGCCCTGCAACTGTCTAAAAGGACTTAAACCTCTGTAACTGCATTGAGACTTTTCCTGCCCCCTCAAGCGAGGGCATGAGACCGTTTCCTAGAGCTGCTCTAGAATATTATGGCCTTTGAAGTATCAATGGGTGGGCATCACCAAAGACTGGAGAACGCTACTGGTGGACAGGGAAACATGACTGTCCCCTCCTTCCAACAATTATATCATGACATCCGGAGCTGCTGAGGGATTGGAGAAACAGTGTTATGTGTTAAACTCTGTGGCAGAGTATAGCAAATGAAACTGGGGAATTTGCTGTTTCTTGTGGTTTCCCAGAGGAATGGGCACTGGGTGATGTGTGCTCCTCTCCCGGTTTGTACCAAACAAAATGCCGATACACGTTGGTCCTCTGTAAGATTATTTGCCCCATTCTGAGTTGCTTTCTTGGCTCCTCCATGCAGTGGGGCATTTTCAAGTTTGCAAACTTTTCAATGAATTAACATATGCAAAAGAGCAGTTGTCTCCCTTTTCCTCCTTCCCCTTTCTTCCCCTGCCCCCACCTTTCCAAAAAGTGTGGCCTAAGGTTTGGAGATCTCTCCCTCAGCCCATAATGTGCGTGCTTGAGTCTAGAGTTTGAGGGAATTGAAATATCTGGGTACATGTGGAGTTCTATGTCTTTGTGTATATGTGTGTGTGCACTTCTCAATAGGTGTGAGGCAAAATCCTAATGTGTAGGCAGAGATCCAATTTGAATACGTGTCTGGAAGTGAAGGACTGAAAGGAAGGACAAGGGGAAGGACAACAAGCCCCAATCCCTCCCTTCTGCACACTGCAGCTTTCTCTCCTGTTTCCCTCTCAACATCCAGAGATGATGTGCACTTAATACCTCAGTCCTAAACACATACACTTACAAGTAAATTGCATTCAAATCAGCCAGAATTACTTTTAAATAAATGTATTTAGGGCTGAGGTTAGGCCATCATCTGGTCCAGAGTGCCACATGAAGCAAGATCTTGACAAAGAATGAGCAGGGCAGATGTGCCGGTGCCACCACTGCACCACAAAGGTTAACTCGTGCTTTCTCTGGATAAAGTCTTGAAACATCAATGTTTTGTGAAAAGTGCTGAAAATTCTGTGAGGAATCTCAAGCCCCTTCACAGAACTTACATTTCCCACTACTGTACTTGTAGACTGTTCAACCCATAAACTTTTGGGCTTCTCATCTACAATTCCCCCCCTAGCAAATTAAAAGAAGTGGGAGGCAGCAAGTTTACATAAACTCACAGTGTTCTCTTTGGGAAAGAACATGGCTGCTTTCAGTGGAGGCCCCCATTAGGGCAAATAGGGCAATGCCCCACCAACCTTAGTCTGCTTCCAACCAGCTGCCAGCCGCCTGCCTTCTTACATACAAGCAGCCTGCGGTGGCTGTGCCTGTAGCAGCTTCCTCCTCCTTAGTCTCTGTGTTGCCCCTTGTAGAACTCACCAGGGGAAAGGAATAGGGACTAAACTAGAATTATTTGGCTCTGTATCTCGTTGGCTCTGGCTCCATCTACTTTTGGGCTCTCTGCTTTCTGCTGTACCAGTTCCAGTGTGTGACAGTCACCACTGGCTGTTTTAAATGGTCCCAAACAGAGCTAGCCCTACCATTAGGCAGAGTGGAGCAGCAGATTATGGGGAGATGGAGTGGCATCGAAGTGTTGGAGGTCACATCTGTGTGTGGCATACAACCTGCTCTGCACCTTCTAAACTAGTCTGCTGACCTCAAGCATGGTGGAGGCTGATGTCCCGTTAGTTGCCAGTCCTCTTAGTTTCTGCGCATGGAATGAGAGGAGGCGCCATCTTGTCCTTCACCTCTGGTAGCAACTTCCCTAACCAAACACAAGGCATCTCTTACAGGGCAGAACACATGGGAGGAAGTGTGTGAGAGAGCATGCTGCAGATGGAGAGAAATCAGCATGGTGATTCTCCATTATTTCTGTTTTAAAAGTGTAGGCTTTTGATACAGGAAATGGTTAGACTCCCAAAAGAGGCAATGTCTGCAGAACTGAGACCACACTGTAATATTACTGTGACCCCGAGTTTTATAATTATTTTACATATATTTGGCATGTGATGTACATGAGGGTTGGATGTTTTCTCCTGTCTTTATGCTGTTGCACTTGATCTGAACTGAGATTTGCCCAGGTGCGTGATTGCACAAGCATTCAGTGACCTGCTTACAAGGTCACATCCTTGTACTCTGTGTTACGTCAGTATGAAAATAGCTAACATTCCCTTTCTTCCTTCCTCACAATCATAACTGCAGATAGAGGCTCCCATTTCATTTATGGCTGCTTCCTTGCAATTCCTTTCCTAAACCAAGTTCTTATTACACAAGTAACAAGCAGTGTAGAAGCAGCTTGAGAAATTGTTGGCTGCTCAGTCACAACTTATGAATGCACAGTGGCTCCCCATATGGATCTGCCACTATCAAGTGGTTTTCTTCATGGCACTGCAAAACACTCCTACCAGTGGTTTACAACAGCTCAGAGAGAAAACAAGAGTGGAGGTCCAGTCTGCAAAGTGAGCCACTGCTCACTGTTAATGACATAGAGCAATTCCCTTACTGATTCAGTTTCAAGTGGTGTGTCTGACAAGGTGTCTGTCCAAGCTGATGCTAAATGAGAATTTTATGAACATCCTTGTGGCAGTTGGAGAAAGCAGGGTTGGTTGTAGTCACTCCATGCTACTGAAAATGATGTGGACCCCCACCTTTCTAAACTGCAGATGATAAGAGGTGACATGGGTTGAACAGTCTGCATAAGGAGATATGAGAGCACTCAAAAATTCATTTTTGTAGATACCACTGCTTGCACCTCCAGAATTTCTCTTGAAGCCTAATTTCCTGTATCAAAAGCCTAACAGGGAGCAGAGAAGGCTTCATTACAAGTGTGCCGTGTGTGTGTGTGTGTGTCAGAGAGAGGGAGGACAGAAGCTGGGATAACTCAGTCAGTAGATAATCTCAGGGTCATGGGTTTGAGCTCCGTGTTGGGCAAAAGATTCTTGCATTGCAGGGGGTTGGACTAGATGGCCCTTGTGGTCCCTTCCAACTCTACAATTCTATAATTCTATGAAATGAGTGGACAAGAGGGTGCATGTATGTGTGTGAGTGCCTGTTTTCAGCAGAATGGCAAATTAAAACTAGCAATGTGGCGCGCGCGCGCGCACACACACACACACACACACACACACACACACAGAGTCTCCCATCCCTACTCTATTAGTCACGCCTTTTTAAGCTTTAAAAAGGGAAGCCAATATTTAAAATCTTGCTCATGCTAGCTGTACTGTTATCAAGGTCATTTCTATTCTCCATAGACAACACTACAAGAGGCAGGGGAAGAATGTGTAAACACCCGCTCTGAAAATAATAATCATCTCGTCCTCCCTTCCACTGATGTAGCTGGCACTGGCAGGCCACTCAAAATTGCAGCTGGTGGATAAGCAAGCAAACTTTGTTTTCCATTTTGCCCTCTGAAACATGTGAGAGAACCTACCCACTTAAAGCCCTTTCCCCCAGCTAATTTCCTCCCCCTAGTGCCACCAGAGATGAAGACAGTGTGTTCCAGGTCTGAAACCTGACTAGCATTGTAAAATATGGCGCCCTGTTTCGTGGAGGCCTTGCTGCCCATCCAACAAGATTGCCTCTCTTCCCATCAAAGGCTCTCCCTCTCTCTCCCCCTCCGCAAACTGCATGTGAGCTGGAGGACTGGAGCCAAGCTTTTGCCTTGAACTACCTCCAGGGCTGTCTTGTATGCCCAGGCCTCCAAGTTATCTTTGTTGCCATGGAGACCACCTTGAGCGCACAGTTGGGTTGTTACAAGCAGAATCTTTGTTAAGAAGGGCCTCAAGGCCTTGGCTGTCGTGAAGGCTGCAGAAGGATTAAATGGAAACACACTATCGCATCACTGTTTTCCTTTTTAGCCACGGGGATATGAAGCTCTTAAAAAAGAGAAACAAAATTATGGAAGCTGGGGTTTGGGATTCTCTCAGTGTGATACACCATGCCAGTATTGTTTATGCCAGCTGGGTTTTTCCTCCCCTATGGGAGGTAGCCCAAGACATCTGTTAAACCACTGGTCCAGTCCACGCCACATGGTGGCTGCTGGTTTGGATTATTTGGGGGGTTTTGTTTTGGGAAGCTAATGCCACATTTAAAGACAGACAAATGGCCCTGTGGTGTTCCCTGTGAGGATGGAACTGACACCACGAGGACCTTTATCCACACAATATTGTCACTCAAAATGGCAGGCTGGTGGGGCTGCTTGGGAGGAGATTTGCTCAAAAACACCCAGACCGACTATCTGTTATTTAATGGCACTGTGTTTGAGGAGAAGTGATATGGAAGTTCTGCCTGTGGTTGTTTGGCTCACTGATTCACACATGCAGAGTTGATGCTCCAGTCCTGAGATGATAAATAGGCATGTGTCAACCACGCCTTAAAGAGACAAGAGTCTTAAGAGCTGGAGGTGAGGTTATCTGTACCTTTAGTACTCTCTCCCCCCCCCCCACCACATGCACAACAAAATCCAAAGAGAACCATTCAAATTAGAGCTATTTAAAACCTAAAGGTTCTGGTCTGTCCCTTTATTATACATTTATTGCATTTATAACTGTATTTTTATTTAAGAAATTATGTAATCTGCCTTGAGGACCCAGTTTGGGGACTGAACGGTGGGATAAAAAAACCCCTTAAATAAACAGACTAAATAAAATTCCCCTCAGGTTTCCTGTGTTTCTGGATATGGAAGATTGAGTGTTGGTAATACACATATTTAATCTAAAAATAGCGGGGTCAGGGCTCCTTGCTAGATGCCATGCCTGCAGATGGTTTACAAGCAGTTGGAATTTCACTGGGCCAAAATTACGTAAGTGTAGGCTATATAACTAGAATTTTTCTTTGGTGTTTTATCTCCCTGCTACTTTTTAGATAGTTATCTTTCAGAGAAGGGACGCTTCCCCTCACAAACATCAATGCATTTTTAAAAAAGTACCTCCTTACAGTTTCTACCTGCTCAAAGTGCTATCAGTAGTGCCAGTATTTTTGAGCAGAAAATTGGGCATCTCTCCTAACCTGAGATAATGGTCACAATTCAGGGAACAGTTCTGAGGATACAGTGACAGTGATTACCCAGCTTGAGGCTAACTGATAAGGTGGGCTATATCTATATCATACATAAATGTGAAGTGTAAGTTCCTGGAACTTACCAAACCTTTGTGGAGTCTCCAATGGAAATCTATTTAACAACTTTAAGGGCCAAAACTTCAAAACGTTTAGCATTGTGAGCCCTTCTTCCATTCTAGCACACAGTGGCACCTCTTAAGGTGAGGAGAGTAAAGTAGACTGAAATTTGCTGTTCTGTGTGATTAAGTCTGCTTTTCTGAGGATGGGGAAATAGTCTTCTCCTCCTTGGTCCTGCTCTGTGCACATTTGCAGCCCACACTTGGCAGTACTCATCAAACTGAAGTGGAGTTGATGTTGCAGAATGAAAAGTCTGTTGGGTGAAGAATTTGACTCTCCAATTCACTTGCTTGAATGCTGATTGGTCATTGAGGGCATTAGATTTTTTTTTAAAAAAAGAAGTAACTGAAGATTACATTCTTGATATACCTGTATTAAGCAGGCAGGATGTATCACACTGGTTCATTGTGTGCCTGTGGAAATGTTATTTTGCGTCAACTGTTGTGGTAAAAGCTCTTAAGGTGCCACAGGTCCTTTTGCTGTTGTTTTCCGTGAAGTGCTCTTAGTAATTTGCAACACCATCCTAACCACGTGTTCTCAGAAGTCGGTCATATTGAATCCAATGGGGCTTACCGCCTGACAAGTTTGTTTAGAAAGTACGCAGACATTTACTTTAGAGCCAGTCATGCCCCACAATATTCATTTACTTAAAACATTTGTAGCTAAATCAAAAAATCCCAGGATGGTGTCCAGCAGTGTGAATAAAGCCAATTCACAGGCAACATACAATTAAAAAACTCCAAGAAATAAACATAATAATATAACTCAGCAAGACAACAACAAATTAAAACTGCAACCCCATTATCCATCCTTCCTATCGCTCACCCCAATTCCTGTGCCATTTGCCGGTTGCCTGGCAGGCAGATATATGGCAAATACGCGGCTTCTCAGCGCTTCGCCTCCATGTCAGGAAAAGCTTTTTCCTGCTGATGTTTTCTGCCTGTCAAGCAACCTGCTAAAGGCGGCGAGGCTATGCCAGAAAACACGCACACCAACACCGGGCAAGCTGGCAACCCCAACCGGGCTGCAAGCAGCCGCTGCGGGGTCGCGCCGCGCGCTGAGGAGCGCCTGACGAGGCACTATTTCTGCATGGCATTGAATTGCAGCAGCAAAGGGACACTGGGAGCGGGGAGGCGGCAGGATACGACGCTACCCCAGCAGCAAGGAAGGAGGAAACCGAAGCCAGCACGCGCGCTCGCTCGCGCGCAAAGGCCTGTGGGCCACGGAACGGAGGGAGGGGAGGTCAGAATGCGGAGAGGATTGTGGGTAGGAGGGGAGGGCAGGAAACGGCCTTCTTCCTTGGGGAGGGAGGTTTCCGGTTCCGGCCGGGCCTGTGTGAGTTGCAGCCTGGCAGTGCCCCCTCCACCCCCCACCCCAGTGGGACCAGAAACGCCCCCCGCGTCCGCTGGGGGCAAGGCGAGGGCCAGGGGGCTTCCCCCCAGCACCAATCCTGCCGCACAAGGAGCAGCCCCTGCCGGGGGCGCGGAGGAGGCTGGGGCAGCGCCACACACCGGTGAGTGCGCCGTCCTGGAGCCAGCCCTGCTCGCCCCCCCCCGCTCGGCCGCATAGGTTGGGCCCCGGGGCCTCCCCGCCAGCCCGGCCCCGCTCCCTCGCTTGGGTTAACTTCCGTCCCGTCCTATGATTCGCCGCCCCCCGCCCCGCCCGCTCGCCCGGCCACTGCGAACTCGGTTCGCCCCCTCCCGCCCAGTTCGCCTGCGCGACCCTCTCCCTCCGCCCCCTCCCTCTTCTCCTTCTGCATCCAGTAGCCTCACAGCTGGCCCCCAACCAGAAACCTGCGTTATGTCACTTTTCTCCCTTCGCTCCCCTCCCCGCCAACTCATGCACATCCAACCTCAAGCTGGAATTGTCATCCCATATATTGACTTTTATCTTTAACCTTATAACCTAGCACGGATGACTGTTTCCTTAAAGCCTCTCGTGTATCCGCTGCTTTCCCCGTAGATGTAGTCACATTCCCACCCCATCCTGCATTTTACCTTGGTGGTCAACTCCACGTTACTAATTCTAGATCGACCCCAATATAGATGGGGGCTCTTCTACTTACTGCAGGCTTGCAACCCTGCTGCCTGTTGCAAGCACCTTCCCTCACACTGTTTTCTCGTCCTGGTTCTCCCCCCATGCTATTTTATTAATGTCTAGGAAACTGCCTGACACCATTTCAGACTCTTAGTCCATTTAGGTTACAGTAGTGGTTTGCAGCAACTGCCCAGGGATTCAGATGAGTCTTTCCCAGACCTCCCTGAATATGGAATAGGTTGATCCTGGGACTTTTTCATAGAATTGTAGAGTTGGAAGGGACCTCAAGGGTCATCTTGTCCAACCCTTGCAATGCAAAGTATGTTTTCTGTGTCTGAGCCATAACCCTTCTCTTCGGATGCATTAAAAAAAAAAGGATGAAGAAAGTGTTACTCAAACCTGAGTGATAGCCACCTTCCCAAACAGATTTATTTCTGACTGCATCTACAGATTGCAGAGGTATAACCCTCACAGTGCTACTCTTGAACCTCAACACACTATTCTTACCCACCACTGACTGGTAAATGTGTTATATAATACTCCCGCCCCACTGCAGGCCCCAGGGGCATCTTGTACTCTTCATCATCAGTGTGAGGAATGACTGGACTTCTACAGTTTCAGCTAGAGCCCTCTCTGCTGCCTCCCACCCATTTCATGCCCAGGGTTATGCAGTACTTTGCTGCCCTAAATTGTAAACTGGCAGAAGCTCTTCAGGTTATGAAGAAAAGGTCATTCTCAGGTCTGCTTAACCAGATCCTTCTGTAATGGGAGATGATGTAATTTTGCACACACACCCCCAAATTGCTGCACAAAGAGTTTTATCTTGTGCCCCATAGGGATTAAGCAAAATTCCTTATCTGTGCATCTTTTTATGACTTATTCTGTTCTGCTAGTGATGAAAAGGGATAAGGATCTATACAAAACATTGCAGGCTTGATATTGAAATTTTTGCTTGGTCCTCTATTTCTCTCTCTCTGGCTATGTCACTGGGTGTAGCCCAAACATCTTAACTGGTACATCTGCCTCCTCCCTGATTTGTATGTTTTTCATACAGGGTGCAATTATCATCTGGGAATGTAGCCAATTGAAATATTCTTCCTTCATTCTTTTCCCTGTGCCACCACTTGAAAAACTTTCAGGTGTATTTGTCCCTGCAGCAGAACTGCTTTGCCTCAGTTATTGTGTGTTTGAATTGACCCTTTGTGGAGAATTAACAGGCAATTCCTGACTTGGAAAGTGTTCAGGGGAGGGGGGAAAAATGGGGGGGGGGCTTTATTGGAGTTATGGTGTTTCTTAAAAATGCCTTCTACATGTGGGGTTTAATGGGAATCCCCCCTCAAAAGAGAGAGGTAGATCCATGACATTTCCAGATGTATAGGGTTAAACCAACAATGGAACTTGGCTGCCAAGTATCTTAGCAAGCTTAGTTACATTACCCAGGAGTTCTGCCTCCTAGTGCTACGGGTTTAAATTGATGCACAAGACTCCCATTTCCTCTCTCAAGGGCAGAGGAACCCTAGTTCGCAGCCTTCCACCCTCAATCTCCTTGGTTTCTTGTCCTGCTGCTATATTCCTCCATTGTTGTCATTCTTTCAGCCCAGTCCACACCCCTGAAATCCACTAAGGCCCTCGCAGCCCTCTCCTAGATGATCCTGGTCTCACTTTATCCATGCCTCCATTGCTACCTCCTTTTCTTTACCTCATTCTTGGTACAGTGGTACCTCGGGTGAAATACGCTTCAGGTTACAGACTCCACTAGCCCAGAAATAGTACCTCAGGTTAAGAACTTTGCTTCAGAAATCGCACGGCGGTGCAGCAGCAGCACAAGGCCCCATTAGCTAAAGTGGTGCTTCCGGTTAAGAACAGTTTCAGGTTAAGAACAGACCTCCGGAACGAATTAAGTACGTAACCAGAGGTACCACTGTATTCCATTGTTCCCAGACCTCTGCTTCATTGCCCCATTTAAGGTAGATGCAAATAAGGCAGACACTGCACTGTTAATAAAATCTGTATTTTTTAATATAACTCCAGCGATAGGCATTGGGATATGTCTGTATTCAGTACAGCTCCCAGCACTTGGCTTCCATTGTTTCCTGTTGCAGTGCATTCCACTCCTCATGTATGAGAAATGTGGAGAACTGAGGTTGTATCCAAACAAAGTTAGTTGAACTTAAGTTCCATTGTTTTCAGAGGAAATTAAACATGTCTGACTATCTTCTCCCATTGATTTCAGTGAGACCTAAGTAGGTTCAGCTAACATAGTCTGCCTCCAACCCCTGGCTTCTAAATCTTACATCTGCTACATTATAACCCACCACATTGCCATTTGCTGAATTAGACCAGTTTTCTTTTAAATCTAGGGCAGTTTGTTAATGGAGGGGGTTGGGCTGGAAATGGGTGGTGATAGCAGTGCTGTGTACTACACAACTTCTTATCTTTGTCTTGCATGGAAAGAAGGGAGGTGGAGAAAGGGTGGGTATTTGGGATTCTTATCTAAGTATTTCCTGATACTTTAAAACTCTGAAAGTTTTCTCTCTGTGTGTAAGTATATCTGCAGAAAGTTGGTAAATGCAAGAGGCATTGTAAGTAACTACAAAAATGAGGCAAATTTAAGAACCCACAAGAAGGTTTTTATTTTTTTACTTTCTGAAGTGGCTGACTCCCCACCCCTCCCCCTTTTTCTTGCAGGGGTCTCACATTTGACTATTCCTTTGTGGAAAGTGCATATTTGGAAGAGAAACTGTGAAGCTTGTGTGCATATAATCAGATGTGGTGATCTTGCATATCACATTAATTGTTGGTTGTACATACACTCGAAGGCCATAGCATTCCAGGGTGTGCACATGGAGATGAATATATGTGTGATCATTATACTGGAGGCTATGGTTTCCTGCTGTGTCTGTACGAAACAAAACACATGCGTATGTGATCATCATATGTGATGATTTACATCGGGTTTCCTGCTTCCTAAACAGAAGTGCCTTCCAGCCTAATGTGCAAGGCAGTCCTTGAGATGCCCTCCCCCCAAGAGTCAGTCAGCCAGTGCAGTGGGACCACTCTAAAGCCCTACATAGCTTGGCCCCTACATCCTCCAGAGGCTACCTGCTTTTCTGTATCCCATTGTATCCCAACATTGGAAGTGGATGGTAACATCCATGCCAGACTTTTAAAGCATATGGCTTCCCCCAAAGAGTCCTGGGAACTGTAGTTTGGTAATTGTAGCTGTATGGTGTTGAACTACAGTTACCAGGATTCTTTGGAGGAAGCTATGTGCTTTAAATGTATGGTGTGGATGTGACCGATGGTGACCTACATGGTGGTGAGACTCTTAGGACACATTTGAAATTGAAGGGAAGTGGTGAAAAGCTCTTCTCTTCATGGCTAGATGCTGCAGAAGACCATGTGTTCCCCCTCACTGTGGTAAGTTTCTGCTGGGTAAAATGGTGGCCCATGCTCCCCATCAGTGCCCTCTATTGATGATCATCAAACTGAACCTTTATGGAACTCCCTTCCTTTGTAAAGTCACCAGAGACCTAACTGGAGCAAATATTGACAACAGTGCAAGGCTTTTCTGTTTGGAGAGACACGTAATAGCCAGAGATAGACAAATAAGATGTTATATATGGATATTGAAATGGACCTTTTACAGTAGTACCTCGGTTTTTGAACGTAATCCACTCTGGAAGACCGTTCAAGTTCCAAAACTGAAAACCCTGTATGGAAAACTCACTACAGAAGCCACGAAAACTGAGGTACCACTGTACTTAAATTTACTTACCTTCCCCTTGTCTTATCAGAAACAGATTGCCATTATGAAATATAAAATATTCACAACTGGATGAATTTCCATAAGTCATACAGGTTGCAGAATTCTGCATTTATGGGTGCAGAATACGGGAGGATCTTGAATGCAGAATAGTTTATATTTTATTATTAGGCACACACTGTTCTAGATAAGATGGGCAAGTAGAAAAGCATTCAGCCAGAAGGGATGAGAAGCCCACTTCCTTGAGGTAGAATCTTTGACGCATCAATCCTATACACATTTTAGTTTGTATCCCATCACGACCCCTCAGCCTACCTTATCTTACTGGGTTGCCATAAAACAGGTGGGGGAACCCTCTTCAGCTCAACAGTCATTCTCAAGGAGTGGGGCAGGTAAAAGTGCCATAGGTGTGCCTCATCTTCAAACAGTTGGCTATATACCAGCCATGCAAAAGCACATCCACCCATCTCTGCATCTAGGCAATTGAGACATTACCACAGTGGCAGAACACCTTTCAGCCAAGCAAAAACCCTTGAGGAGGATGCAAATAAGGGCTGGTGAAAGGGGCGTGGCCCCAGGGAAAGAGGTGTGGCTTGGGTAGAATTCCAAGGGCTGGGTGGAGAGGGCAGTGCTTGGCCTCTGAGCCTGAGTTCCCCCCATGCCTGTTATAAAATGTGGCAGCCCCATGTATGTATTCATACCTAGAGGGGCATGTCTGGGACTATGCCATTCTATAACAATCCTGTGAGGGAGGTTAGGCAGAATAAGAGTGGCTGGTTTCAGGTGGCATGAGAAACCTTTTTAGCTGAGTGGGAAGATGGAGTTTTCCATGTTCAAACTTTCCACACTGGCTTTCAGCCCTGGTAACCTACATTGGCAGCGCCCAGCATATTCGAGCAAGGAAAGCCACTTTGCAGAGGAGTTTGTTTTAAATATGCAAACCCCAAACTACAGGGACAAGCATGGGCTTCTGAACTCCCCAACGCGAGCCTGGCCTTGGAATGCTTTGTACCTGTGACCTCCGAGAGTCTCGTTTTTTAACCTCTGCTTAATACCAGCACTCCATAAATATTCAAAGAACTAATGCTTTAGCTGCATTGGAGCCAACTAGTACTGAATGGGTATAAACCCTGCTTGCCACTCAAACACTGGAGGATTGTCAAGCTTAGGAGAGTGAGTCACATGTGCTCTCATTGAGAGCAGGAACTAAAGCTTAGAGGCAGCACAGATGGTTTGAGACATATCCCAGTTTATTTTAAGAATGTTAGAACAGGTAAATGCCATCCATAAAAGGTTTGTGGGGCTAGAGAAACACCCCATGAAGAAAAGTTACAATATTTGGGCCTTTTTAAAAGCAATTAAGGACACAATTGAGGTGTATAAAATGATGCCAGCATAATACTATAACCCAGGATCTTCCAATGGAATAGAAGGGTAGGAGATTTAGGACAGACAAAAGGAAGTTCTCCTTTACCCCACGTGTTTTCTGTGGGATTTACTTGGTGATGACCACCGATTTAGGTGACTTTAAAATTAGATTAAGACAAATTCACAGAGAATAAAGCTCTCCGTGGGTAGCTATCATAATGACTATATACTATTATACAACTTCTGGGATCAGAGACAGCATGCCTCTGTATGCCAGTCTCTGATGGACAACAGCAGAGGAGACAGGTATTGCCTTCAGGTTCTGCTTGTGAGCTCTGCAGATGTTTCTGGACAGCCACTACAGAGGCTATATGCTGGACTATTTGGCCTTTAATCTGATGCAGTGAGGTTCTTGTTCTTATACCTGAGACCCTGGAGAGACACAGCCAGTCAGAAGTAGACAATATTGGGTTTGTAGACAAGTCTGACTGAATATAAGGCAGCACCATGGTTCTTTGCAATTAATTTTAACAACTGGCAACTTTTTCTTTTTTTAAATCGGAAAATTATTGACCCATCCCATTGTGTAAATGGAACATATCAGATTTTTTTTTTTTTTAAATGGGGCCACCACAGCAAACAGTGCTGGTGTCTTGGATATGTCTGGTGTGTGTCTACATTGGTATCCGTTTCTCTCCTTTGTCTAGGCAGTGCCCCCTCCCGGGCGGAGATGGAAGCCAATGCAGCAAGCGACGAGGGTGTGCATTTCCAGAGCTACCCCTTCGACTTCTTGGAGTTCCTGAACCACCAACGCTTTGAACCTATGGAGGCCTACAACCACGAGCACGCCAAAGCAGTCGCCGCCCTCCCCTGTCCACAGCCACAGTACGACTACACCCAGCCGCCCGCTGCCGCCCCACCTGCCCACTTTGACCGTGTCCCCACCGCTGTTGGCACCTCCAAGCCCAAAGCTGAAGGCCCATCCTCCTCCTCTTCCTCAGCAGCCGCTTCTGCCAACGTTCAAGTCAAGAAAGCCGAACCGGGGGCTCCTGCACCACCACAGCAGCAACAACAGCAGCAGCAACAACAACAACAACAGCAACCACCCTATACTGGTCCAGCAGTGGTGCCAGCGACAGGCCAGCCTCTCTTCGATAGTACAGCTGCAGCTGCAGCCGCTGCCGCTGCCTACAACACTCCTCAGTGGGGCATTGTGGACCTTTCTGGCCACCAGCACCTCTTCAGCAGCCTGAAACGTGGGCAGGCCCCGCCCCCAGCTACAGCCACTGTTGCCACTGACAGCCAGGCGGGCAAAGACGACAAGAACTACTTCCGGCGCTTGAAATATTTCATCGACCGCCGTTTCCCGTGCGGCGTGTGCCAGAAATCCTTCAAGCAGTCGTCCCACCTTGTGCAACACATGTTGGTACATACAGGCGAGCGGCCCTACGAGTGCACCACCTGCGGCCGCACCTACAACCACATTTCCAGCCTCATCCGGCACCGCCGCTGCCACAAGGACACCGAGGATGCCACGGCGGCTGCCAACGCGGCCGCTGCTAACGCAGCCGCAGCAGCTGCTGCTGCGGCAGCCGCCGCAGCTGTTGCCACCAACGCAACTGCTGCTTCTGGTGCCGAGGGAGCAGCTCAGCCTCCTACTCAGAGCGGCAACCCTCAGGTGGTTCCCGCATCCGCTGGGACGGCAGCCGCGTCTGCCCTCAGTGCTGCCATCGCTCAGGCGGAAGGCCCGTTCACCTGCTCTCTCTGCTGGAAGGTCTTCAAGAAGCCAAGCCACCTGCACCAGCACCAGATCATCCACACGGGCGAGAAGCCGTTCTCATGCTCCGTCTGCCAGAAGAGCTTCAACCGACGCGAGAGCCTGAAGCGGCACGTGCGGACCCACTCGGATCTCCTGCGAGTGCAGTGTGGGGTTTGCGGCAAGGAGTTCCGGGACGCTTCCTACCTTCTGAAGCACCAGGCTACCCATGCGCCACCCGGAACCTTGCCGCCACGCCCCGAGTACAAGTGCGACATCTGTGGCAAGGGCTACGTGGCTCCCCAGAACCTCCTGCGCCATCGGCAGCTGCAGCACGAGGGAGCCCAGCTGCCCAAGGACGGCACCAACGCCCTGTCCTACCTGCCGCCGGGAGCTTATCTCCTCCCACAAGACCCGCAGGCTACCGGTTCTGACGGCGACACCAAGCCCACATCCTACGGGCTCTTGGGTCACCCGCTGCTGGTGGGGACGGCAGCGGGCAAGAACTTCTGCTGCGGGATCTGCGGCCGCGGCTTTGGGCGCCGGGAGACGCTGAAGCGCCACGAGAGGATCCACACCGGGGAGAAGCCTCACCAGTGCGCCGTGTGCGGGAAGCGCTTCCGCGAGTCGTTCCACCTCAGCAAACACCACGTGGTGCACACGCGGGAGAGGCCCTACAAGTGTGAGATCTGCGGGAAGGTGTTTGGCTACCCGCAGAGCTTGACCCGCCACAAGCAGATCCACCGGCTGCAGCTGCCTTGCTCTTTGCCACCCATGGGGCCCTCGCTGGCACCCATGGGTCCTTCATTGCCGCCGCCTCCCGAAGGGCTGACCTACGGCTGCTCCGACTGTGGAGAGCGCTTCCCCGATCTCTTCCACGTCATGAGCCACAAGGAAGTTCACGTGGCCGAGAAGCCGTACCCGTGCGACGTCTGCGGCAAGTGCTTTGGCTTCATTGAGAATCTCATGTGGCACAAGCTGGTCCACCAGGCTGCCCCCGAGCGGCTCCTGCCACCGGACGAGACGGCCGCGGCGGTGGCACCTCTGGAGAACGGGCTGGCCAGTGGTGACAACATGACGTCTTTTGAAGACCACCACCCCACCTTGCCCAGCGGGGAGCGCTTCTCATGCTCCATCTGCGGCCAGACCTTCAAGCATTTCCTGGGCCTTGTGACCCACAAGTACGTTCACCTGGTGCGGCGCACACTGGCCTGTTCAGTCTGCGGGCAGAGCTTCGCGGGGGCCTATGACCTGCTGCTGCACCGCCGCACCCACCTGCAGAAGCGGCACTTCTCCTGCCCGGTGTGCGGCAAGCGGTTCTGGGAGGCCGCCCTCCTGATGCGCCACCAGCGCTGCCACACCGAGGAGCGCCCTTACCGCTGCGCGGTCTGCGGGCGTGGCTTCCTGCGCTCGTGGTACCTGCGCCAGCACAAAGTGGTGCACACCGGCGAGCGGGCCTACAAGTGCGCCCTCTGCAACAAGCGCTTTGCCCAGTCGTCCAGCCTGGCTGAGCACCAGCGCCTCCACGTGGTGGCTCGGCCCCAGCGCTGCCCCACCTGTGGCAAGACCTTCCGCTACCGCAGCAACCTTCTGGAGCACCAGCGGGTGCACCTGGGTGAGAAAGTCTACCGCTGCGACCGCTGCTCCAAGAGCTTCTTCTACCTGTCCTCCATCCTGCGCCACCAGCGCTCCCACGATGCCAAGCGCGAGCTGCGATGCGGGGCCTGCCTCAAGCTCTTCAAAGACCCCAAGTACTTCAGCAAACACGTCCAGGCCCACCAGGGAGGGCGGCCGTTCAAGTGCAGCACCTGTGGAGAAGCCTTCTCCAACACCTATGGCCTCAAGAAACACCGCCACATCCACAAGATGGAGCGCTTTGCCGCCATGGGAGGCCACAAGGAGCAAGCCTAGCGCTGGGGGCTGGGGAAGAAAATCTGGGCGGTCCTTTATCCTGGTACTTGAGGGTGGGAAGAGGAGGCTAGTTCCTGTCTGTTGCAAGCCACAAGGGCAGGCGTTTCCCTGTAGTAAAATGGCAGTAAGATGCTATGTTTGGGGAAGGATATGGGAGAGTCCTCAAGTCACAGTTGCATGGGGCAATCCACGGAGAACCAGGGATGCAACACAGGATTGGTTTACATAGGTATCCGCCCTGGACCTTGGTTTTCCCCCAAACAAATAGCTGTTGCCCTGTCCATCCTGGATTCCCTAGTCTAAACTGATAGGAGAGGGTGGCTGTCATAGAAATTACCTTTCTTACCAAGAACGGATGGACATTTATTACCTTTTCCAGGAAGTGGGAGCAGAGGAATGATGTTCTTGTGGAATAATAAGCCTAGATACTGAAAGAGAGAAGAAGCCATCTAGGTTCCTATTTGCAGGAAGATGTGGCTCTTCCTTTCCTCCATTTAAGTGTTAGAGCCAATTCATAAATTTTAGTAGAGGGCAGGACATGGTACAGTCCTTCAGGAGCGCTTGCCAAATTTTACCGTGAACCCAACTACCTGATCTATGCCATGTAGGTCTTGCTTCCTTTCTGGAGGAAAGACCTTGATTTGGGTGCTTCCTTTACCTCTGACAATGGGCTGCTTGTTCTCTTTCAAATACCTTAGTTGCCCATGGGACCTGGTTGCTGACAGAAGATAGTCCCGTCCCCCCGCAATTTACCTGTGTAGGAAATTAGAGGAGCTTGCTTGAACTTTGCATATTGTACAATATGATCTAAATGCTGCCACACCGTAAGATATCGACCTGTCTTCCCACCTCCAGGACAGTTACCACTTCATGATGCAGCTGGAGGATCATAAACCTGAATGCTCCCTCACTTTAAAAACAAAACACTCATAGGAAACAAGCGAGTCTGGAGGAAGGGTTCTAGCCTAACCTTCTCCCTGATACCTAGCTTTCCACATGCAGGGAATACAGTATTGAATATGAAAGAGCATTCAGATAGGTCATTTCCCCCCTATGTATCTTGAAGTGGTATAGGCCCAGAAAGACTGTACCATGTGGTCTTTTTCAGAATTTTCAAATTGACACACCAGTTAGCTAGTGTGTGTTGCCTTCTTCCCCTCATGCCAGAACCTCACATGGTTGTGGTTGCGTATGAAGCTGAGAGAGAGAGGAAAGCAAACGTACCTGGTGGCTCTGCATCCCAGGCCACAGTGAGATATGTTGCCTTGGTTTGCGCAGCACATCCTGTGCTTCACCCACAGTTCTTCCACTCCCACAAGCCCACCCTGTTCTTGGCAACGCTTTTGGCGCCCTCACATCAGATAAATGGCAGACTTAACTAGTTTGTGGCTGGAGTACCCCACAGGGATTTTTTCATCCTCAGTCTTAAATCATGGACCTTCTTTCCCCCTACCCAAACAGGAATACTGGTCAGGTATGGTCAAAAAGATTCTTCCAAACTCTCTAGCTCCCTGGCGTGGCTCCCCAGCTCCCTCTCTGGGCACCGCTCATCACCCTCTGGTTCTGAACAGGCAGAAGAGGAAGCTGACTTACTACATGCAACCAAAGAGTTCTAAGAGCACGCCCCCTTGTGGACGGTGGACACCAGGTGGTTCGCCTCTCCCTCTCCCTCGTGATCCAAGTTGACCTTCTGCATCTAATAAGACAGTTGTGACGGGGAAACTTTAATTGCTTTTCCATGCTGGAGCGTTCAGAGCGTGAAGACTTTCTTTCAGGTGGCAATACCAAAGGTGCCTCCTTGCCATTTCTGGTCTACATCTCTGCATCTGTATCCATAGTTCCTACTTTGGTGAGATGGACAGTCCAAGGATAGGAGGACCCAAAGATGCTTTTATTATTCCAGTGTGGTTGCCCAGTGCCTGGAAGAAGAGGGAAAGGGGGATGTTGCCAAAGTTGCAGAGTTGCCTGGGGATAGAGAATTGTGATAGAAATGGACTCGGCTGGGGGGTGCGGGCGTTTCTTAAAGGAAACCTTGCATCATTTGGTGACCCAGTGTCCTATTTGACGAAGAGTGTGAAGAACAGGAGATGGGAAGAGGGTTCAGCCTGTTATTTTCCAGCCTCGGTTCCACATTTCCTATGTTGGGTCAACTCCAGGGGGAAACTCTTTGTCCATGTTGAGTCAGGCCCAGTTATCTTAATGTCTCTGACAGACTGAAATACTACTGACTAATGTCCTTCCTCCAAAAGTGGCTGATACTGGATGTTCTCTTTCTTGTTTTATCTTTATACTAAAGTTTTAAGGCCTGAACTTGTAGCTGAAATTCAGTGGATTCTCCCTACGGTGGTGGATATAACTCTCCCTGCCTTACATGGAAACTTTCCATATAGAATTTTCCCTCCCTGACTTTGTAATTTGCCAATAGAGCTGAGTTTAATATTAGATTCTCCTCCCTCCTTATGAATACAAGTGTATCTTGTTTATACCATACCTGCTTCGTAGGAAGAGCTGCTTCTGCGTTGAGTTGAGCATGGTTTCCACGGAAACCCCACGGAAAGACGTGGTAACCCCAAAACTGATGACCTGTTCTCACACTAAAGGCTGTTGTTTATACCATCTACTTTATTACCCAGGAATAACAAGCGAGTTCACAACAACTAATCTAGCAGATGATTTGTCTGTCAAATTGTTTTAAGTGTAGGTTCCCAAATGGACGATGGAACATGACAGGGAGAAACAAGTCTTATGCATTCCCAGGTGACCTAAGACAAAAATACTATGTTTCGAAACCACAACATAACATTGTCTCACACATAACAGGATTTCCAGTGGATTTCCCCCCCTCCAGAATAGTTTACAGGCCTAAAATATAGAAGACAAATTTCCATACAACTATGGAATTCCTGTTTCAGTCACAAAATTTATGCTAATATATTCAGCCAGGCCTTGCCTATGAGAATGGTGTTCTGTTTCCTACAGTTGATAAAATGTAGTCTTGACTTTCATCCTAAGTTTTTAAAAGTTTTCTTCTTTTTTTAAAAAAAGAAAAAAGGTTTTAACGTTTTCTGACCTTAGCAGTTACTCCATCTTAACACCCCTTAATCACCTCCTGTATTCACAATGGTTAGAAAGTAGCAAGAGAGAGTTCGCCTCCCTGCTCACCCTTTTAATTTTTTTATTTACAGGTGAAGAGAGGGAGCTGAGGTCAAAATGGCTATCTTTGTTTCCAGCCAAAATTCTAATGCCAGAGAGCAGGCACTCTGCTTATCTGCCTGCTGTCACTTGTAAGATCAGGTTTGCTTAAGAAATGAAACTTGTGCCCATTCTTCATTCTAGGACTGGTTTGATTTTTCCAAGTATGTTTCCCTGTTCTCCGTTGTAGTTTGGTTTGGATAGTTGGTGCGATGCGAAATGGCCGTGCCTCCCTCTCATGTGAAAGATGCTATTTGAAAAAGAGCTGAACGGCACTTCTAATTTTCCTCTATAAGAGGAGTAGAGAGGTCATGGGATTAGAGAGTAAGAGGCCCGGGAGGTGGCATTCTTTGGCTTGAATTCTGTGGGAAAGTTCTGTAGGGACGAAGGTCAAAGACAGGTGTTCCAGGTTTTCATTCTGGTTGGACAATGGGATACTTTTGAAGACCCAGTTGGAGTGTGCGATCAAGACTTGCCAACTAACCTTCCTGCTTCACTGCTCTGCCTTTTATATAAATATACCTGGATGGACTCTTAGCTCTGAAGTGTGTGCATCACTAGGATGCTGGCTGTCCTACAGATTCTCATCACCCCTGATGCCTTGCCTGCTGTGAATGGGAATTGTGAAGATCCTCCTGTCTTTTCCTAGCATCAGACCTGACGTTTTAAGATGCCACAAGACACACAATCATCTGAACTTCCATCAGCCCTCCAGTTCATTGGGGAACATGGATTCTCTGGTTCTGACAGCGGGCAATGTTTTCCCACGCTCCCCACTCATCCCAAACTGGGAGATGGACATTTTTGAGACAGGACTCAAAACATTCCCAGACCAGTGACTGTTGCGATCTCTGAAAAGAGTCCTGCCGCAGATAGGATCCAACCCATTGCAATCATGTTAGCAAGGTGACTTTTTATATTAATACAGATCTATAAATACATACGTTTATATATAAATACTTCTTTTTCTAACTACCCCTTTCTCCCATTGGCCATAGGAAGTGCAGTACTTTTGGTGCCAAGATTCAAGTCCCTTATGATAACGTGTACTAAAATATAATATGTATAGGACCCCCTCATTGTCCATGCAGCTGATGGGCTTGGACCGATATAACCTGTCCCGTCCTCCTTGGTGGTGCCCCTTTGGGAACTGTACAGCGTGTGTTTTTCTCAGTCGGGGTTAGGGGAATGGGAGCGTGTGTTTGTGTTTTAAACCAAGCTATTGTTTTAAAAGTGTCTGATTTACGATGTACAGACTAAACAAACATTAAAAAAAAAAAGAATTGGAAAGCGTATGTCCCATGCATTGAGAGGGCTCCAGATTTGCTTGTTTTGCTAACTGTTGGTGTGGAGGGAGCTTTAATAATCCCAAGTAGCTAGACCACTAGACAGGGCTTCCTGAAGTGTTGGGACCATGTAAAGGGCACAAGAACATGAGGGCTTGTAGATCCCCAAGAACTGCAGCAAAAAAAGGAGATGGATACCCACAGTGGCTAGTATCATGTTATCAGAGCTTAAAACTTTGATACAAGCTGGACTGTGGGAAGAGCAGAATCCTATACCCAGCCACAGGAGAAAGATCAAGGTGGGTTTGCCAGAAATCTTGCACAGTCTTCTACTAGAAGGGGTTTTCTGCCGTCCTGGGGTCCCACCTTCCTCCTTTAGCCAATCAGGGCAGTGGGTAGGGCTTTCTTATTCTAAGTGAGGTGCCTCAGCAACATGAGCCACAGCTCTCCAACAAGTTGGTATGAAGGAGGAGGCAAGGCAGAGGAGACTCGGTGGAATCTCACTGACATTTAAAAATAATGTTGAGGTCATCCCTAGAAATTGAACATTCGGAAGCAAACGGTTGAGTACCAGCACTTCCAACTCTCTTCTCTGCCAGTTTCATATAGGCTACTGGAGATGGAGAAGGCTCAGATGATCCTTGGAAGCAAACTTGCTGGCATTCAAAAAATGCAGGAAAATTTCAACATTGCAGTTTTACACACATTCAAGTGTTGCTGTTGAAATTGAAATTTTTGTTAAGTCCAAAGCATTAACAAGACAAGTATCGGCATACCAAGTAGGATGCTTTTCTTTCTCTTTTTGCCCTTCAGGAACAGAGCGTCCCAATGGTATCTAGAAGCTGGGTGAATTTAAATCAGAATGTTAAACTTTGCAAGCAAATAAAGCGAGGAAGAATTGTTTTTGAGAAACCTTTCCTCCTTCTTAACTTTACAGGCTTAATGCCAGATCAAGGTGTTTGTTCATGTAGCCCTGGGCGGCCCAACTTTTCAGACCAAGTAGGCCACAAGAGTACTTGGACAGAGAACCCATGGGCCACAAACTTTGAGAAGGCAGCGCAAGACCTGATGGGGAGGGGCATCATATGTTGCTGAGGGCCACCAAAAACGGTATTGAGGATTGAGCATTGGACCACCCTGACGTAGCCTGTGTTGTCTCCTGGGTTTTCCAGAACCCTCAGGCGAAAAGACTTTCCTCACTTGCTATCCAGTCCTTTCACATTAAGATGTCTGTAACTGAACCTGAGACCTCTGTGCAAAGTCTCTGCTCTACCACTTGAGCTAGGTTCAATTTTGGCTCATCCCTAAGAGGATGGGCAAGTTGGAGAAGCTGGAGAGCATCTGGCCCAGAAGACTGCGTTTGGCTCTTGCTTCCTTTTTTCTTTTCCTATTATGTATGTGGGAGGGACCTTTATTAACACCAGGTAAATCTACATGATCTTGTGTGACAGACATTTCTGTGATGCTCCATTTTGAAGGAGATACTTAAAATTTATCTGCTATCACAAATGGAGCCTAAGCACTATGAGAAACATTGAAAATTTAAACTGGAGGTAAGTAATACTTCCAACATGGAATTTTTTTCTCTTGTGAGATTGGTACAATGCACCCAGCTCAGACAATGAAGCAAAAGTGCTGCATACAGGAAATGGCTGTTAAAACCCACCCCTGGGAGGAGACCACGTAAACTTCAAATGTTTATACTGCAAGATCTGCCATGAGAAATGCAGAACTGAGAATGCCTAGTCTCAGGGAAAAGCTAGAAAACAAAAGAATTCATAAAGTGTTCGATGTGCAACTGAGAGGTCTAAACTGATGATAATATTTGGAATGGATATTTAAGGTAGCTGTTTAGTGGAACTATCTTTGGTAACAGCAAGTAGCCTGAGAAGTTGGTTCAACAATTTTTTCTACCTAAATTTTTCCATTGGGGTTCTATGCAAATTCAACTATGTTTAACAAAATATTTTTTAACTGGCTAGTGCTTGCAAAGCAAAATGTCAAGAATAATTTGGTTTTAAATGTGGCTACAACTTTTCAGAAGCTTTTATTTCTACCTTTGGATTTCTGCTTACAACTTTTACAAGACTGGGGGACCTTTCTTCTAAAGACCTTTTCTCCAACTTGTTGTAACATGAACAAATCTTGATTTTCATCCTCTTTATTTACTTATAGCTCTTTTCAAATACATTTTAAAAAATCATTTCAGATTTGCCCTCCTGAGGGTAAAAACACACATTAGAAATTGTGGGTTATGATCGCTATGAGCAGGACCATGCATCTGCTTTTTTAAAAAAGCAACAACAACCCAATACTGCATCAGTATACCTAGTGTTGGTATCCATTAGTACAATCCTATGTCTACTCAGAAGTAAGTCTAATGAGTTCATTGGGCTCTCTTCCAAGAAAACGGATATAGGATTACAGCCCAAACCATCTGCACTCTAGCAATTGTGTACAGTTACACAAATGAAGTAAATGATAACTTGCTTATTTCATATAATACCATTTTTCTTCTGCTAGCAGTGGGAAGGGGCAGACACCTGTACAAGGCACTGGTTTCTAGAAGTGCTCAGCTACTCCTTGCCTCAATTTCAGAAATGTTACCGACCGTTAGCCATGCACTTTAGGCCTCTCTCTTCATTAGTTTGGTTCAGATGTAATGCCCAAACCAAGAAAAGTAGTAAGATTTGGTTCACAGGTAATTGCAAACAAACAAACAAAAAGAGCTGCAAGATCCTAGCCCTCAAGCCTATGGCTACATTTAGATGGAATGCCAAACCACACTTTATATAATCGAGCCTTTAGACTTATTAATACATCATTGTTGTACCTCAGCCTTCCAATAGGAGCACAGGATGGCCTAAAGCTACAAATAAAACAAATATTGCTGGCGGCGGCAGCAGCAACAGCAGAATACTACCTTGAGAATTGCAAAACTCAAGTTTGACCCTAAAGCCTGGGTAAATAAAAGTGTTTTCAATTTATGTTAAAAGATTTCTCCTGTAGGGACCAAACAAATATCCCATGGGGGAGAGTTCCACATAGAGCGTTGCTGCATAAAATACCCTTTCCTGAGTAACTGCACTACCGACTGCTCCCTCCCCACCCCCTTGCTCCAATTTCCTCCTGTACTTTGTTAACTTTGATTAAATCAACCATATTTTACTTGCAAGCCAGAATTAGAAACCATGGTTTGATTATAATCTCTAGGTCTAGTTTGCAGAAAATCTCTTATTTGCAAAGAACCAGAAAGAACAAGAAGAGGGGGTAAGTAACCCACAGCCAAGGCTTGCTCATGAAACGTAGAACCATCGTTTGGCATTCTATCCAAAACACACTTTTGGGTCTAGAACAGGCTTCCTCAACCTCAACCCTCCAGATGTTTTGAGACTACAATTCCCCTCATCCCTGACCACTGGGCCTGCTAGCTAGGGAGCATGGGAGTTGTAAGCCAAAAACATCTGAAGGGCTGAGGCTGAGGAAGCCTCGGCTAGAAGCTTGCTGTTTCTACAAAGTTAAAAATGAGATTCTCAAAGACGCTGAAATCAGCATCTACTGTTGCAACGGTGCAGAAATACGCGCAGCTCTGCCAACAGCTAGCGTGTCATCTCCCTCCTCAAGAGTCACTGTGACTTGGTACTCCATTGGTCTTTCGCCACCCCTTTACCACCAGGCCCAGCACCCTCCTGCCCATGAAGCCGGCGATGCTTGGCAAAATTGGAAGAGTTGTTGAAGCGCCGGCAACACACGGCACATTCAAAGGGCTTCTCCCCAGTGTGCAGTCTCCGGTGAGTGGCCAGGGCTGAGCTCTGTGTGAACCTCTTGCCACAGACAGCACACCCAAAGGGCCGTTCGCCCGTGTGCACCCGCAGGTGCTCCTTCAGATCTGTGGCACGACGGAACTGCTTGGGGCATGCAAAGCAGAGGAAAGGCTTGGAATCGAATGCTGACTGGGAGGGCTGATCATAAGGCTCGGGATCTTGGAAAGGAAAGCAAGGTGCAGAACCCCCCTCTTCCCAGTGCTGAGCGGTGCTTCTAAACTCCTCTTGTAAGGAGCCATGTCCAGGAGATGTGGAAATATCGTAAGGCAGAGAACATGGCTCAGGGCTCTCCAGTTCCCAGGGAGATACACCAGCAGGCATGTCCAAGGGAGAGCATCCTTCAAATTCCCCCCTTTCTCTTCTTGTCTCCAAATCGGTCTCTTCCCAATCAGGACAGGACCAGACAGACACTTTTGCTGTGAGAGCATTAATCTTCCCTGGGGCACACGCTTGAAATGCCACCTCTTTCTGCTTGTTGCTGCTGCCATCTTGCCTCAGCAATCTGAAGTGGCCAGCACCATTTTGTCTGAGGTCATGGGCAGCGATTCCATGGTGGCCATTTTGTCTTGGCGCTGAGGTGCTGAGGCGCCTGCTTGGATTCAGTGCGCTGACAGGGCATTCCCCTCTGCCATTCTGCTTTATGTGGGCACCAATGCTCTCCCCACTACTATGCTTTGGGCCCTTGAGGTAGTCTTCATTTGTTCTCCTTACTAAACAGCCCACAACTCCACTCTCTTGACTCAGCTTGTGGCTACCAGCTTCCAAAAGGCCTTTCCCACAACTGCCGTCGTCTAACAGTAGCTTGCCATTGTGGCTGCCGACATGATGCTTCTGTTCTCCCTGAATGTGGCTTCCCTCTGCTCTATTTTGCCTCAGGCCTATAGTGGGATTTTCACCACCAACGTACTTTTGGCGTCTGAAACTGTGGCCATTTTGCATCGGTCCCTGGCCGGTGCCACCATTTCCCCTCAGTCCACCTTTGCTATCACTTGCCTGCCTTAGACCCTTAGAATGGCCACTTTGCCTCAGTTCATGGTTAGGGCCACAACTAGCATTATCTCCCCTTAGTCTAATTTGCCTGAAATGGTCCACATCATCGCCAGGTTGCCTCAGGCCACTATCCTGGCTAAAGCCGTTCACATAAGGGCTGTTGGGGTCATGGCCTCTCTTGTTCTCGCCTTCCCTCAGTTCTTTGACGACCTGGCAGCCATTTTGTCTGGGCAGCAGGCCAGGGCTTATACTGTAGCCACCTTGTCTTTCCACCAGCTGGCTCAACTTCTTCTCAGGTAGGAAGGCGCAGTCCTTCCCGTCGCCTGCCTTGTTGCCGTAGCCAAACGGTTGCCCGTGGATGCGCTGGTGCTTGCGGAAGTTGGAGCCGTTGTTGAACGACTTAAAGCAGACGCCGCAGCGGAAGGGCCGCTCGCCAGTATGAATGCGCATGTGGCCAGAGAGCACTGAGCTCTGAGTAAAACGCTTGCCACAGATGCCACAGCCATACGGCCTTTCGCCTGTATGTACCCGCTCATGGTCGCGTCGGTCTGAGGCCCTCTTGAAGCGCTTGGGGCAGAAGGAGCAGCTGTAAGGCCTCTCAGCAAGGAAGGACAGGGCCTCTTGGTTGCCAGGCAACCATCCCCGGGGCTCGACCAAGAGGTTTTTGCAGCCCTGGCATTGTAGAGCCTGCCCTTTGGGCCCAGCAAGACTCGGCAGCTCCTCCTGGCACAGCGGGCAGACAGGGGGCAATCCTGGAGTTGCCTCTTCTTTCACTCTAACCAGCTGGATTTCCATTGGCGAGTCCACACCAGCAGAATGCCTGCTTCACAGCATCTTCCCCTGGAAATAGCAGGAAAGGCAGAGATGTAAACAGAGCGGGTAGGGTGGGCAGATCAAATAGCCAGAGCTTGAATTACACAGGGAGCAGTAGAGGCCTGGTTTCCTTACCTATTGCTTTTAGAAGGCTGAAGAGGAAGGAGATGATTCGGCTAAATCCTGAAGGAATCAGGGAATGGGGGGCTGCGAATGTAATTCACCTCCCTTCCCTAACCCAAGCCCACATGCCGCTTTCATTTAAGTAAATTTCTACTCAGCCTTTCTATCTAAGAATGCCCAGCAAGGCTAAAAGCAAAATATAAAAGCAACATCAATGTAACCAAGTTAAGCTGGTCAGTTGAGAACAATATGAAAACAAGACAGCAGCAGTTAAAATACTGAAGGAAATAAAAACCCTCCAATTAAACAAATGTCAGCTGGAACTGATCTGTCTTAAAGCAATGGCAAAAAATTATCAGAGGAAACACCAGAAGGGTCTCCTTGGGCAGACAATTCCCCAGACTCCATGTGGCCACAGAAAGGTTCGCTCTTGTGTGATCCTATTGAATCTTTCTTTCTTTCTCTTTGTTTATGCAGTTTTACAACTTATATATACACCATAAAATATTCATAATTATTTCTTATCCTTGGACTTCCCAGTCTAACTCTCCATGGCATTCTAGGTAGTATTTTGTCGGCTGCATAATCTATTATTCCACCCATTTTTGTCACAAATCTTCCCTTATTTAATGTTATCTGCTGCTCTTATGTTCATTTCTACTTGTAGGTTAAACTGACTATTATACCCTCTGAGATATTTTTCAAAACATTTCCACTCATCTCTTATCTGTGACTCATCCTTATTTCTTAGTTTTGCGGTCATAGTTACTAATTCTGTGTATTCTATCAATTTATTCTACCATATTTCTTTCGTGGGAATCTTTTTTTCTTTCCATTTCTTCACATATACCACTTTAGCTGCGGTGGTTGCGTTTAAAAAGAGATCGAGTGCCTTTTTCAGGATATCCTAATAGAAAGGCCTCAGGTCTTTTGGGAAATGTGATCTTAAGGATCTTTTTTAATTCTGTATTAATCATCTCCCAGAATTTTCTAGCATAGTTCCCATTGAATTTCAGCTAAAAGCAGAACTTACTACGAAGCCTTTACAATGTGTTTTAATGTGCCTGAGTTGGGTACAAATACTTTAAATGAATAAACAAGCATGGTATCCCCAGCTTAAATCAGACCTCACCAGGGGTCAGCAACCTTTTTCAGCCATGAGCTGGTCCACAGTCCCTTAGACCATGTGGTGGGCTGGATTATATTTTTTTTGGGGGGGGGGACTGAACGAATTCCTATGCCCCACAAATAACCCAGAGATGCATTTTAAGTAAAAGGACACATTCTACCCATGTAAAAACACGCTGATTCCCGGACCATCTGTGGACCGGATTGAGAAGGCGACTGGGCCACATCTGGCCCAACGGGCCTTAGGTTGCCTACCCCTGCTCTACACCCAAGGATGCAGAAGTCTCCCCCACAGCGAGTGTGTCCTGAACTTCCCAGATAACTTGTTCAGCTCTTAGCTCTAACCCAAATCTTTCCCTGGTTTAAATCCTCGCCCAAGGAACCCAGGCATCCTGACCACCAAGCTGACTGGCTGGACTTCACTGTTTTCAATGCTCATCCGAAGCATCCCAATTCCAAGTCTGCTGCTCCCTTCCCAGACAACCCAGGATCACTGCAGGGAAACTCCATGTGAAAAGGCTGTTTACCTCTGAATCAGAGGTGCGGGTGGGGGGTAAACAAGAAACGGGAGGACCACCATCATCTTTATCCAGCCCCTCCGGATGGATGAGCTCTCGGCCTGGCCCAGAAAATGCCATCCTTGACCCTAGCACCCCCCCACCTGCCCCAAATCTTGCTTTCTTACCTCCTAGGCCCCTTTCGATGGAGCCTCTGAACCAATCAAAGAGCCCAGCCTAGCGTCCCGGCTCCCGAGTTCCCCTCCGGGGCTCTTAACCCGCCCCACTCCCTCCAAGACTGGCACCCAGCCGCCTGCGCTCCAAATTTCACCGGCCCCCTCCCTCCCGGGCATCCTGGCTGCCAGCCAAAAGCGTCCCAACCCCGTCTAGATCTCTCCCCCCCCACCCCGCTGCGATCTCCGAACAGATCCCGCTCGTCCTCCTCCCTGAACGAGTCCGGCTTCTTGGCGGAGAGAACAATAGCCCGGAGCTGGGCGAGCATGGCCAAAGGTGGAGGGCAGGGGACCCGCCGCTGGCCAGGGGGCCGCGGGGAGCGCCATCGGCGGTGCTCGTGCTGCAAGCCCTCCGCCCTGCGCCTCTGGGTTGACTCGGGGTCCCTTTGTCCCTCCCTCTCCCCCCCCGCCTGCCCCCCCCCATTGGCACGCGAGTCCCCTACTCATCCTCGGGCATTGCACCCGGCAGCCACTCCTGGCCGCTGGCATCCCCTCCTGCTGCTCCACAAAGGAATCCCTCACCTGTACCTGCTCCATCCAGGCTGGTACCGGGGAGATTCTGCAGCGCCGCCGCCGTCCCTGTGCAACTTTCCGCCTCCTTCAGGGGGAAGAAACAGTTGGGAAAACTCCCCTCCCCCTTTTCCCTCCTCCCCATCCCGAATGCACACCTCCCCTTTAAGTGCAACCAAAAAGGAAATTAAAGGGAATTGGGAGATGGCCCTGGCTTTTTGTCTGCAGTCAGAAATACAAGCAATACATGACCACTCTTTCCCCTCCGCCCCACCTCCTTCCCCTCGTTTAAAGACACAGCCGCCCCGCTTGCAAAGTAGGGAGAATCAGAGGCTGGTTCTGTAATTTAGCTTAGTTGAAATATGCTTTATCCGCGGTGTAATAAACCAGGATGAATTAGAAAAGGGTCTATGCTGCAAAGCACTTTTTGCGATTCCAAATGCTCCAGTTGCAGTTAAAAATCGCCTTTGCATCTTTATTCTCAAGAGAGCATAAGAAGACCCACCCCTCCATATCCTGTTCTTTCAGTGGTGAACCAGATGCCAATGGGAAGCAAGGCATGAATGAAACAGCCCTCTCCCCTTTTGTGACTGGTATTCAGAGACACACTGCCTCCAACACTGGGTGGTAGAACACAGCCATTGTGATTAGTAGCTATCTGTAGTTTCATCCTCCATGAATTTGTCTGTCTGGGTTGGTGGCGAGCACTTCATACTGTGGCAGCAAACTCCACAGTTCAACCAGGGACGTGTGCCTTTCTGGAATCTTCTAACGTTCTCAGGATGGCTCTGAGAGAGAGGTTTTTCCTCCCTGTCCACTTCCCCCACATCACACACAATTCCATACAACTTCCTCACGAAAAAGCAGGCTTAAAAATCTATTTTTAACATATACTATCATACCAGCACCTCAGCTGTAACAGCTTTTATCTTTTCTCTCTAGACTGGGGAGCAGGATGTTATCGAACCAGTATGTACACCCTAAAACATATTCTGCACTGATGTCAGTTTGCTCTGAACAATTCTATATGCAGTTTTTCAAAGGAGAATTTGCATTTCCAAGCACGCCTGCTTTCATTCCACCTCCCCTCCCCCAAAGCAAGGTTCTGGACTGCTTGGCCAATGTATGGGTCAAGCTGGGAAAAACGAGCATTTACTCTATTCCTTCTTCGACCTCTGTGCTCATGTTCCTGTACTTCTTTATCCTGGTAGGCTAACATACCCAGCTTTTAAAACTAAAATAATAAGCATTCCAAATTCTCTGGAAATGCAAATGTTGGGTTCACAATAAAGCATGTAGCTGAGAAAGCTTATGCAAAACAAGTGATATACTTACATTTTATTGATTTACATATTTTGAGTACTCAGCTGGCAGATTCTTGACGCATATTTGGTTTTTGTAAAAAATAATAATTCATAAAAGGATGCTACTTTCAGTGTGCATCCCACACTTCCTCCTTCAACAAAACCTCTTTAGAGAAAGCCGAGACAGACCATTGAGCCATCTGTTTTGTCCACTCCACAATGCCAGGCAGCAGCAATCCATGGTTTCAGAGTGGCCCTACCTGGAGACATCAGGGATTGAACCTAGGACCATCTGCAATGGAGAGCAGCTGCTCTACCCCTGAGCTATAGCACCCACCCCCCTTTCTATGTTCAAGGAAATCAAGTGATTCTCCACATCTTGAGAAAAGACCTTTTGCAAATGTCTAGAAGTTACACAGCTGAAAGGCACTCTTCTCAAACCCAGCAAAGGGCTAAATTCTTGCCAACGGATCTACATCCTCTCAATGAAATGGAAGTAACACAGCAGTACTTTATTCGTTTAGCACACAAAGATGAACCAAAACCCCAGAGGATTGTTTTTAATTAAAAAAAAAAAAAAGGAAGACACACACAGTTTAAAAATTCCACACTAAATATGAAGCAGAGGAAATATGATCCAGGAATCTCCCTGGCAAGCTTTGGAGGTACCAGGCTAGCGGATACCTTGGAACACATGCCTGTATATCGATGTCTCCTGATTGTTTCTCCCTGTCGAGGAAACAGAGATTCTATGTTTGTTAATTATTGTAGGAAACCACAGCAGTCTTATCACATACATCCCACAGGCAGTAAGCCTGGGATGAAGACCAACATTTTTCTGTTGCTGCATCTCTGGGGTTGAAACCCACCCACCCCGTAAGTATATAGACCGTGGCCTGAAACTCTTTGGAAAGCTGGTTGAAATGGTTCTAATTAGGGGGCAGAAGAAAACAAGGCCTGACCAGAGTTGATGGGTTCACACATGGATCTGATCTGGAGGCTGGACTACCAGTAGCAGCAGCAGCCGCCGCCGCTGGAAGGAATGTAGAATCACCAACTCTGTTTCCCTGGAAAAATCTGGAGGGTTTGGAAATAAGAGACTGTTAAGGCTGGTAAGTTGGGGAATATCCCATATTCCATCCTTCAACACCCATACTCCCCATCTAGATTTTTAAAATAATAATAATAATTCAGAGCCAGAATTCATTAAAGCAGTGCTTTATAGATGGAAGGGCAGGTTAGGAGGAGCCTTAAGGAAATGCACCCCCCCATTCCTTCTAATTTTAGCCAAATTGTGGTCCCCTGTAGCCTTCAAAAAGCAGTAGCCAAGGGAGCTGCTGCAACAGGTAAAGGGTGCCAGGCCCTCTCTGGCTCCCCTGTAATTTGGGCACTGCCTTAAAGAAAAGTGACTTTCTTCCTGCACATGGAATTCAGCTGATGTTCCACCCAGCCTTCTCTAGCCTCTTGCTTATGCTCCTTCAATAGGCTCTTTATTGTAAGGGAAGGAGGGGGAGAAATTTGGGCCCAAGCGTTCTTGAGGTGGAATGTCAGGATTCAAGGCCACAGCCTCCATCGTACACCAAGTAGCCATGCTTGAGACGCTTGCAGGGGACTCAAAATAAAGAATCAAAACTGACCAGATTCGATTTGAACCTCTTGCTAAATTCAAATGGAAGCCCTGCATGGCTATTGTAGAGTAAGGAGAGTTCTCTTCATGGCTGCCCACCACCACCTGCTCTTAATCTGGAACCAAATTCTGCATGAAAGCAAAGCAGATCTTCCCAAAATAGGCATGCGCTAGTTTTCCTGACAGGCTGAGGTCTCCGTACTGTGTCTGTGGGTCGCAGTGCATACATGAGAGGGCTAGCCCCTAATCGATTCAAAGGCCAAGTCTGCAGATGAGGAGGTTTTTAACAGGCATGCATTGCCATTCTGCATGATAGCATACCCTCCAGGCATACGCAGAGGGGACAGTGTCTGTGCCATAATGCACGTTCTAGGCAGGGTCTGCTGGATTCCTCCCTCCACATATCCCCAATATGCCACAAGAACTTCTCCCTATGACACTGTGGCAGAAACAGATGCTAGCAGGCAATGCTCTGTGTTGCAGAGCTCAGCCCGTGAATCCATGCTGGATGTGAGTGACCTACGGGGGTAGTGGAAACTCGGATGGGGACAAAGCAGGAGGCAAGGAATCCCCCTGCCAGGTTGCGAGGAGCACAGACAGACGGGATAGACAAGGTTCTACAAAAGGCGGGAGGTAGGCCAGTGTGTCCATACCAAGTCCCTGCGGCATGAGAAGGCAGGAGGGACCTAAGCTGGGATTTTGCAAGCTGGCTATTGCATGCCGGATAGTTTGTGGCATAGGTGGGCGAGGTTCTCCATTCCCATTTTCCCCACGCAGCAGCTAGTCCTTGGGCCAGCAAATGGAGAAGTATCAGGTCCGTAAAGACACAGGGAGGCATTTGCAGGCCAGGGTTGCCGTCGCATGGGTGGGTGCTAGCTGCGCCCAGGTGGTAGATGTCTAAGGCCTGGGTGGGCAGCGAGGTTCTCATGCTGATCCTCTCGTGGCACAACTTCAGTCTTGAAAAGGCCGGCCTTTACGGTGTCGGGAGGAGCTGCAGGCGGTGCTTCCGGCGGATGTGCCTCTGGAGGGTGTTGCGCTCCCCAAAGCGCATGTGGCAGGCCTCGCACTGGTAGGGCCGCTCCCCCGTGTGCACCCGCTGGTGGTGCGAGAGCTCCCCCGAGTCACGGAAGCTGCGCTGGCAGATGGGGCACTGGTGGGGCTTCCGGCCCGAGTGGGTGTACTTGTGGCGCTCCAAGTGGGACGTGCGCTTGAAGGCCTTGCCGCACGCCCGGCAGACGTGGGGCTTGCTCTCCGAGTGGGTGATGCTGTGGCGCTGCAGGTAAGACAGGTACTCAAATGTCCGCGAGCACACAGGGCAGCTGTACACCTTGCGCAAGGACCCTCCGCTCCCGCCCCCTTCCGGGTCCCCTGCCGCTCCCACCCCCTCTTCCACCAGCACTGTGTATGGCAGCCCCTGGCTGTCAATCAGCAAGTAGCGCCCCAATCGAGAGGGTTCCCCTTGTTCTGTGCCTCCTGTCCCTCCAGGAACAAGTGCCCGCCTCCCTGCTCCTGGCAGCCCATTCAATCCCTGAAGGAGGGCGCTACCAGGAGAAGGCAATGGCGGGCGAGAGAGTTTAGGAGGCAATGTCTGGACACCCCCTCCCTCACCCCCCAGCTCCAGCTTGATGGGTTGTCCCACATGGCTTGCAGGCTCTTGTGGATTGAGGGGTTCCAAGGTTTCTGGTGGTCTTTGGGGGTCTCCTATAGACTTGGAATGTCTCTGCAGCTCCATAAGTATCTCCTTATGTGTATTCCCTTGGGTTGGAATGCCAAGTCTGCAATAAGAAAGAAAGCACATTAATTGGGAAAAGTGTGAGGTGGGAATTATATGGGTCACACAACTTTTAGAGCTGCAGTTATGTAGGGCTGCCAGTAGGGCTGGGTGATATCTGGTTTTCGACATTGTGATTATATCACCAGCTAAACATTGCAAAATCTACTGATATATCACAATGTCTGAAATAAGGATGGAGCTATGTAGAGGCATTAGCTGGCATCACAGTTTTTCCCACATCGTGATTTTTGCATAAAACACACACACACAGAGGATTCGTGATATACTGCCGGATCAAAAATTATGAAACAGTTATCACGATATGGACTTCAACCTAGCTGCCAGCCAATTAAAAGAGCTGTACTGCAATTGATTTGTCACCCACTTTTCTTTTTTAAAAAGAAACAATTCCATTAATAAATAGCATATAACCAACCCTCAATATAGATGCTTTTTAGAGAACTAATATAGCCCTTTAGAGAAGCCAAATATAGCTAGCAGCGTAATAAAGAACAGCTACCACTCATTGTTTAGAATAAGAGGCATTTTGAATGTTTTCTTATTCACACTTGGTACACCAATATCAGAACCACAATACCTACACATAATAAGTCACTGCGTCCTCACTGTACAACACTACCCAACAACTTTGGTGTCTACTGATTACTCAATCGACAGCCCAATGCCACACATGCTTACATGGAAACAAGACTTTGTTTGATGGGACTTACTCCCAGGCAGGACTAAGGCTGCAACCCTAAGCACACTTATTTGGCAGTAAATCTACTTGAATTTGGCAAACAAGCACAGGACTGGACTGCAAAATTTTAGCTGGTTCATTTATGAAGCTTACAGCTCCAGCAAATAAAGCTACTAACCCTGCAATCCTATATACATTTAATTAAGTATTGTTCCTATTGGACATTGCGGGACTGACTTCACACTTGCCTGGGCTGCTCCTTCCCTAGATTTGGAGATTTCACACATGTTGAGTTCCAAGGACGCTTCCTAGCAAAACCCCTAAAGACACATACTGTACAAAGTAGCATGTGAATGCAACCTTTGTTTTTTACCATCTGTGGAAAGAACCAGATCTTATTGAACTGTAGGTTACAGGTGGGTGATCTAAAGCCCCCAACTTTGTTTTATGGGGCTTCCAGCTTCCTCTGAACTCTCATACTTCCATCCCCCCCCACCCTGAGTTCCTCCTTCCTGTTGGCTTCTTCCTTATTTTTTCCATCTTTTGTCTCTCCCTCTCTCTCTTCCTCCTCCCCTTACAGTGCCTGGCATGCTCTGGTCCATGGGGTCATGAAGAGTCAGACACAACTAAACGACTAAACAACAACAACAGAAGGGGAAAGATTTTGAATGATACATATAAACTGGTTTTAATTTTTTTTCTGGCTGTATCATCATCATCATCACTTCCTGTATTTATATCCCACCCTTCCTCCCGAATGAGTCCAGGACGGCAAACAGATATACAATTCAAAAATAAAAACAAAGTAGAAACAGATTAAAACATTCTAAAAATAATTGCAGTTAAAAGCATACTTCTATCCAATGTTCTAGTATGCCAGTATTCAGTGTTCAGTTTGAGGAAATGCATTCCAGAACATTAACTGTATTGGTTTGTTGTACTACACAGTACTTTAAAAAAAGGATTTGTATACTTATTTGAGAATAACCCAATCAAACCCAGTGATGCTTATTTCTGAGTAGACCTGTAGAGAGGAGGTAGTTTAATTTGAAGTAAAAGTGGTGAAAATAGAAGCAGAGTGATGTTTATTCCAGATTAGTTAAGACAGAACAAATATGTCTGTGGCTCTTCCCACCAATTCTGACTCCATCTACTGCTAGCATTTGGCCACCCTGAAAGATGACCCCTGAAGGAATGTGGCCCACAACAGAAAAAAACACCCTGCCTACCCCATCTATAGCAGGTATATATAATACCATCAACCATTACAGCAGAGTTAGATGGCAGGGGATCTGTCTAAATAAATGCTGTCTAAAAGGCAACAGTAGGAAGATGTGATAAGATTTCATCCTTTACTCAGGCAAGGAGGGAGGAGAGGTTACAACATGGAGAAGGAACCACTAAAAATGGAAAGAACTTAGAAAACGTGGAAATGTAGTGCCAGAATCTAGGTCTATAGTATCTATACACCTCTTCACTAACACCTAGAAATTTGTGAGAATCCCTGACCTGAGGCTGTTGGGGGGAAAGTCATTTTATTATTACACCTCAGCTATACCAAAGTATTGCAAGCAGTTTGTGTTGCAGTGGGAATGTGTGGTCAAAGGTGGGGTTGGGGTTCACACGTCTCCTCCGCCTGTCCTCCATTTCTGGTTTTGTCCAACGTTCTGCCAAATGCTTCTGGGAAGCTTACAAAGCAGGGTGCTTAGAGGCATACTGATACTGAAGATCAAATTAGCTAACATGGTCATTCATATGGTCAAAGCTGGGGTGGAATAAATGGGAATGGCTCTGGTGGGTGGAGCTGAGGGAAGATATGGTGGGAGAGCTTTGGTCGGGTGGGTGGGACTTGGAGCACTTCCACTTTCTGTAGGCATCAGCTGCCTCCATCCCCAGCTCTGGGGTTCTTCCATCAACATGCTAATATAGGCCACCTGTCATTAGGTTATGCAACAGCTTTCCCAAACTCCCAGTCTTGCAGACTTACACACAGCCTAAGGACTGGCATCAAAATCCCAAAAGATTTTTCTTGGCAGACACCCAGGTTACTTTCTCTCTCAGTTAGCCCCCTTCCTCCATATGCAGAACTGGATCCAAACTTACCCTGCTTGGGTGGCGTTCCAAAGTCTCAATCTCAACTCTCATTTCTGCACCAAAACCTCATGCCAAGGTGAGGCAGGCACCAGAACATGCCCTTTGCTTCCATCCTGGAGTGAAGTAAGCTGTAATGTCCAGGTGGAGAACAGAGGGGTCTTCCAGTCTACGATCCAAGGCGGCAGTATTAGCTGGCAGTGGATGGCACGGATCCGAGCGAAACGGTTAGTGGCACCAATCCGGGGCGCATGTTGAATCACAGCCGGCAACAGAACATGGCCCAGGTCCAAAGTTACCATGAAGAAAGAGCAAGGGATTGAGCAATGCCACCTTGGCACCCGAGGCACGGCAGGCGGATCTAGAAGTAGCAACCCAAGAAGCAGCGAAGTTGGCCGGCAGCAATGATCCAGAGGAAGCGATATATGGGATCGGTGGCACCTATCCAGCAGGCACACACGTTCTGGCAAAGGTAAAAGGATCCAAGCCTTCAGGTTTCGGGGAGTTGGCATCCGGCTCCAAACGTCAGTTTAGCAACAGCAGCAACAGCAGCCTCCACCCACCAACCCGCCGCCCCGCTTGATAGCAGAGAGGGATATTAGGATAAGAGGGAGGTAAGCCTCCCCAGGTGCCCCTCCGCTCCCCCCAGAAAGCAAAGCCGTGGGCATCCAGAGCCAGGTGCACTCTTGCCCCGCTGCCTCCCCCTGCAGCTGCCCACCAGCAGCCCAGGCTCCTCAGGGGAGAGAAGGGGAAACTGAGGACGGGGGGGGGGGAGACCCCGGGGGTGCCCTGCGGAGGGGGGGAGGGTCTCTGTCAGGGTGGGGCTGAGCGAGGGGGGCTTCTACCTCGCTCTTCCTGGGGGGAGGTTGGAGGTGGTGGGGGAGGAGGAGGAGGAGGAGGTGGGTGTCGCAGCGAAAAGTGTCCTGACGGAAACGCGGCGGCTTCTCCCACCGGCTCACGCCGAAGAGGTTCCCAGATCAACGTTCGTCCTCTCGCGCAAAGGGGGAGCGGGTCGCGGAGGTGGCTTCTCGCGCACCTTCTGGAGAGCCGAGGGGGGATCCTGGCGCCCCCCCCCCCGGGCGAGGGCGCTCGCCTCCGCGACCCACGGAGACCCTGCCTCGCCTACCTTCCCTCCACCGCCTCCTCTCCAGAACTTGGCGCAGCCCCTGAATCTGTGCTCAGCATTTGGGAAGCATTGCAGGAAGCGATGCAATTAATGCATGCATATGTAAATACACGTATGATTTATGTATCTTGTATGCAGGACCCCCCGACTGCACACGAGCCTTTAGAGCAGCCTTTCTCAACCTGCGGGTCGCCAGATGTTGTTGGACTACAACTCCCATCATCCCTGAGCTCTGCAGGGCGGGAAGGGAGAAGATTGTGGCCCCTTTCTCCTCCCCGAGGACGCCCTGCTTAGACTTGAAACCCTTCGCATGCTTTTGCTGGACGAAGTTAAGTCCACGGACTTCAGCGGGGCTCAGCTTCCATGAAAACAGACGCGAGTAAAGAGCTGCAAGAAGTTAAGCCAGTCCTGTCCAGCGAACCCAGGACCAGAAACCCTGTTTTTTCTGCTCTCCTCCAGGTCCTTCACCACCCGGGCTTAGCCCCAGCTCTGCCTTCTCCCACCACACAGTGAACCCAGGAGTGGTGGGTTCAGCTTCTGCCCACTCGATCCCCCAAGCCTCTGCTACCTATACACTTGCTTCGTGTTATCTAGGTCCTCTTCACACACACACACACACACACACACACACACACCCTCCACTTTCTCCTTTGGTGTTTTCTGCCCTGGTGAAATGTCAAGCCCAGCGGCTGAGGAACGTGATTTTACATAGATGCAACAGGTGAAGCTTTTCCCAGAATGGTGAAGGTGGGATGGGGATTGATGAAATTCCTCAAGGAAAGCCATTCCCATCACTGCCTCTTTATTCATGGTGCACATGAAGAAGGCCTCTTCATGTCATAGCTGTCAACTTTTCGCTTTTCTTGCAAGGAATCCTATTCGGAATAAGGGAATTTCCCTTTAAAAAAAGGAAACGTTGACAGCTATGCTTCATGTGTTCTTAAGAGGTACATCTTCACTGTCCTCCTAAAAGAGTATAACATTAAGGCAAGATGTAACTCAGTTGGTAGATCATTCCACAGTTTTGTTTTGTTTTTTAAAAAAATATTTATTACTTTTCCAACAATTTAAACACTACAAAAAAACAACAACAATACAATACAATACAATACAAAAACACTACATAACACTAACACATTAAACTAACAAAACAAAACAAAAACAGTTTAGAACACATCAAACAATTTCAATATCTTATCTTTCATTCACTTATTTCAACGACCTCCTCACACCTCCCTTTTTGTATTCCACTTCTATTAATTGTTTCAGCAATTCCTTTCCATCTTCCTCTGTTTTCTATCCTATAATTATCTTAACACATTCTAACCTTATTTTTCCCTTTAATGCTCTATTAATCTATTTGTACTTAATTCCTTATAACATTTCTACTAAAGCCATATAGCTTCATTCCAACATTTTTCTAACATTCATTAATTTTACAGTATTTCTGTAAATAGTCTTTAAACTTTTTCCAGTCTTCTTCCACCGACTCTTCTCCCTGGTCTCGGATTCTGCCAGTCATTTCCGCCAGTTCCATGTAGTCCATCAACTTTATCTGCCATTCTTCCCGGGTGGGTAAATCTTGTGTCTTCCAATACTTTGCGATGAGTATTCTTGCTGCTGTTGTTGCATACATAAAAAAAGTTCTATCCTTCTTTGGCACCAATTGGCCGACCATGCCCAGGAGAAAGGCCTCTGGTTTCTTCAGGAAGGTATATTTGAATATCTTTTTCATTTCGTTATAAATCATTTCCCAGAATGTCTTAATCCTTGGGCATGTCCACCAAAGGTGAAAGAATGTACCTTCAGTCTCATTACATTTCCAACATTTATTTTCGGGCAAATGGTAAATTTTTGCAAGCTTGACTGGTGTCATGTACCACCTATAAATCATTTTCATTAAATTTTCTCTTAGGGCATTACATGCCGTAATTTTCATACCTGTGGTCCATAACTGTTCCCAGTCAGCCATCATTATGTTATGTCCAACATCTTGTGCCCATTTAATCACTTTGTGACATGTTGGCTGATTCCATCCTTCTTATAGATGACCAACATTAAGAAAAAATAGGACAGGAAACAGCATAGAATCAACAGTAAAATTATATTCATAAAATAAGCGCATCACAAATTGGTGGATCAGGTTAGGACATCAACAGATCTGGATCACCACTCAGGGGAAAGTTGGCTTGTACTAGCTGTTCCACTGCAGAAATTTCATGTGAATTCTACACACAAACATCCATTCTGATCACCCTGACAAAAATGCACCAATGCAGAGGGAAACACAATGGTGTAAAACAAATACACAGCTACTCTCCCCCAACACACTTCCACACAAAGACAAGACAGTAGGTGGGTGATAAAGTGGTATGTTTAGGGTGAGGCTTTTCTCTGCCACATGACTTCTCCCACCCACTAGGATAATGACCAGGCATTGGGATCCTATTTTTAATCTTAATTATGGGTTTTGGTGTTAAAATCATGCCTGTTCCTGCACATTCTAGGCTCTGTTCTGGCACTCCAGACTCCCCAAATCCTTCCACAGCCATCTTTATGACATGTCTCCTCTTCCCCCGCTGCCTTGCGGGATATCTTCGGGAGAAGAAAAGCCGAAGGAATAAACCCTACACAAATCTGGAGTGGAGCCCCTAAGACAATTAGATGGCACCTTGTATGGCTCCTTCCAGCAGCTCCTGCAGCCAAGCTGATGCCAAATGTCTTGCCCCGCTTTCCTTTGAACCACATCAGCGAGGCTGAGATGAGGATCTTGTCATCTGAGCAGCCCAGGACCTCCATACACGCTGCCCATCTTGTTCCCCAGGGAGGTCAATTTTGACTTCACCCCTTGATGTGCACTCCATTGTCTCTTGAGACAGATGCCAACCATCCAACCTCGTCATCCTCCCTCTCACAAATTTCTCTTTATCTGGCTGGGCCAGCTTAGAAGCCCCCTTTTATGGGGTAAAGTACTCAGCCCACCCACCTAGATGTTGAGAAATACAATTGTGGCTTGAATGGTTTATTTTGTGGGGGAGAGTGGATGAATTATAGTTATGCTCAAAGTTAACTGCTGGTCTTGATTTTGGTGACAATTAGCTTGTGACAGTGGAGACACCGGCCCACATTTCATGGTCAGTTAAGAAATATGTTCTTATATCCAAATCCTTTTAACTGTGTTTGTGTGGGGGGGTGGGGGTGTCATTTAAAAACACACACCATATTTAATTTTGGTTCTTGTTTTTATTGTGTATTCTATATTTTTATGCTGTGAACCACCCCAAGACCTTCGTATGAAGGGCGGTATACAAATTTAATAAATAATAAATAAGTGATTGTTCCATCTGGGGTTGGCAACATGAAGCCCACAAAGCCTTTGGGTTTCCTTCTCACTGGCCCCTTTGTATTGGGGTGGTTTCCTTCCCTGCCCCCCCCTCCCATTTTAAAAGCACACAGAGGTGAAGAAGGAAATTGGAAGAGGGATGCTGTTTCCTTGTTCCACCTCCATGTGTTTTTCAAGGACTCATATTGGCAGCTGAGCAGAAAAATGGAGCATCACAGAAGGCAGGAGAAGAGAGGGGGTGACAGCAGAAGGATAGAAAATGTGAATGGAAACTGAAATATACTCAGAGTCGCAAAGTGATTTCATGCTCTTTATTCAGCTCATAGTGGTGAGGAGGAATGAATGAAAGTCCCCTCAAAGTATCTGCTTTATATACATTATTTACACAATGGGCTGCACATGAATGGCTAATTCCGAAATTCTACTGTAAGCCAATCAGGTTGTGGATTCACTTCTATCTGGAGCATGATTGGGTGGTTCCTGCCAACCAATCATACTGCTGCATTGTTCTAGGACCAATCAGACTGCTGCATTCTGAATCCTATTGTTCTAGGACCAATCAGACTGCTGCCTTTTGGATCCTATTGTTCTAGGACCAATCAGACTGCTGCAGTTTGGATCCTATTCAACTCAGTACATAAAAGAAACTTAGTCACTTCATTTTCCTGGAGAGAGGGGGGCGGGTAGTATCCAGCAAAACAATTCCTACAGAAATTGCATTTCTTCCCTCACAGATCCCTGCCACCCTCCCACAACTCACCATCAAATCAACGTTCATATCTCTCCTCGTTGACTGAACCATAACCACTATAGATTCACTGCCTTCCAGGACTGCTATGGGCCTTCATCTTTATTTATTTTATTTTTTTACAAGGGATCCCCCTCAAAAGCACAATCAAATCCCAGGTCACCTCTGTATCCACATATGTGTTCGGTTATTTATAGTCACGTGGAAAAATCATGAGGAATTGTGCCTTGACTGAATGTTTCTGTGGTACTAGCAAGCACTGGATCTGTATTTTATCAATGGATCAGAGGGAAGGAGGTGCTAGACACAGGTTATGGATATTATTTAGTCCTTTTATACAGTATCTTGAAAGATATAATACTTGAAAGTAGTGATGTATGGAAGTGAGAGCTGGACCATAAAGAATGGTCCAAAGAATTGATGCTTTTGAATTATGGTGCTGGAGGAGACTCTTGAGAGTCCCATGGACTGCAAGAAGATCAAAACCTATCCATTCTTAAGGAAATCAGCCCTGAGTGCTCACTGGAAGGACAGATTGTGAAGCTGAGGCTCCAATACTTTGGCCACCTCATGAGAAGAGAAGACTCCCTGGAAAGGACCCTGATGTTGGGAAAGATTGAGGGCCCAAGGAGAAGGGGACGGCAGAGGACAAGATGGTTGGACAGTGTTCTCGAAGCTACAAACATGAGTCTGACCAAACTGCGGGAGGCAGTGGAAGACAGAAGTGCCTGGCGTGCTCTGGTCCATGGGGTCACGAAGAGTCAGACACGACTAAACAACTAAACAACAACAAGAACAGCAGAGATGGTGATCTCATGACCCAGAACTCGCCGAAAAACTTTTAATTGAGTGTATAGTAAAACATGGGCCCATAATTCCACTCATAAAAAGAGGGGATATTTCTAGTTGTAAAAATGTAGTCCACACACTTTGATGTTACATCTCTCTAGCAATTTCATGCCTCACCATGTCCATCAGATGGCTCTGCCCTGGCAGCCTTAGATGCCACCTTATGCCCCTCCCAAGTACCATTAGGTACTTTCCCACCAGCCCCCTGATTTGCCAGGCATCACTCCTTAGTTCCCAGGCTCCTCTTGCTGTCACAGGACCTGAATTTTAGACCAAGCTGCACTACCCGCAAGTCACATCTTTCCTGAAAATCTGGCTCAAATTTTTTGGTTATTAATGTGAGATGAAACAACAACAAGAACAGCAGTAGCTGGCGGGGGCAATTGCCCCCCTAAATCAAGTGAATAAATAAAAATCCTTAAGTAACTGAGGTTCTCCCCCCCACACACGTAAAACCTGTCCCCGCTAACATAAATCCTGGCTACACCCATGTGTAACAGCGACTGTGGTGTGGGGAAGGCTCTTGGCACATGCTTAGAGGTCCTGTCATCCTTGGTACTTAACATATTCCAAGGCTGGACCATGGCAGCATGGTAGACGGAGCAACCTCTGAGGCTTACGGAAAGTACTACACGTGGTAGAAAAAAATACTGGATTTGTAAGCAAGGCCATTTGTGATTTGCGTGTTTGATTGCGGGTTAGAGGGCCAGAAGAGTTGGGAGGGCCTTGTGGAGACAATTCCCTCTACTTAGCCTCAACATTTTCTCCCGGAGGCTGTTTCACAGGTGCATGTGCTTCACTTGATTTCTGGCAAGCTAGGCAGCTCGAACAGATTCCCATGCAAAGTATTGCGCTTGTTGGGAGACATCCGCGGCGCGCATCTGTGCTGCTAGATCCGCGATGGCTCATTTAGACGTTCAGACCTGCCCTCCAGGAACGAAGGGATTGCTGTGAATTATTAGATTATTATTTTTTGCCTCCAGCCGGCGACGTGCCCCCCCCCCCCGCTTCCCACTTCAAAGCTGTCTCGCTCCTCCTACTCCCTTTTCCTCGCCACCTCCTCTCGCTGCACTTTACAGACGCTCTCCTGCTCAGCTGCAGCCCGGAGCTGTTGTTTGGGACGCTCCGGCGTGGATGCGGTTTCAAGAGTAAGGTAAGAACTGCGTGTCCTGGCAGGAGCGGGGGGTTGTGAGAGACAGTCTCGGTCCCCTGCACACACCTTGACTTGATCCTTGCCCATCGCTACCCCCGCTGCTGGTTCTCGGGAGATCGGCCCCCCCAAGCATCCCGTGCGTAATGCTCCCCAAGTCTCGGGGCGCAGCGCCGAGGGCGCACGGGGGTCCTTTGGCGTCTCCAAAGTCTTGGCGCGGGCGTCGCCACCACCGACATTTGGGGACGGGGAGGGAGGAATCCTTCGTCACAGGGCAGCAGCCGGGGCCATTTTGGAGTGGTGGTGGGCTCTGCTTTTTTTTGGCCAAAGGCCCGATTTGATGGAGGGTAGCGGGTGGGGCGGAGAGGGAGGGTTACAGACCCCCCCTCCATCCCAGGCAATTCCTTGACGTCGTCTCGAGCCGGCCTGCCTTAGGGAGTTTGCGTGGGAGAAGCTTGTATCTGGTTACTAGCGAGATTCTAGTAGGATGCAGGGAAACGGGAGGAGGAGGAGGAGAGAGAGAGAGGCCTTGCTGTGGCCAGTTGGTTTGGAGTCGGAGAGAAGGCGAGCAAGTCTGGGCATCATTGAAGGACCAAGTAATGGCAATGAGGAAACGGGTAGGTGGGCAAAGGTCAATGACTGGCGGGGGAAGGAAGGCAAATGCCATGAAGATGTTAACTGTGGGGCCTGGATAGGCGGTGCTAGTCACCTGTCGGACTCCAAGAGGTGGCTCAGACCAAGATAATTTGCGGCCGGAAACAGCTGCACCTCCGGATCTCAAGAGGTGTGCCCCCAAATGCATTGCAATGTCCCAGAGGATGCTAGGAGGGACACAACACCCTGGTTGCTTCCCTGGCACCCCTAAGAATATTGTGACTTCCCTTCTCTCCACTGGTTGAGTTACTTGTCAGTTGGCTTTTGCTTCAAATTTTGGTTTCCAGAAGCTGAGCTTTTTGGGTTTTAGGTAAGCATGTTAGAGTCTGTGTGACAAGGAGGGAGTGGCCAAGCCAAGGAATAGAGAACTGGAGCCTGCAAGTAACAACTAGACTTTATCCACCTGGATTGATGACCTACTTTGGCAAACCCCCATGTGCATGTGCGTACACACACACACACACACACACCACACACACAGGCTGGGAGCCTCAATGGAGCTCCTCTGGAGGCTTCACCCGGGGCAAAAAAAAAACCTAGTTAGCCACCACCCTGCCCCCCACCGCCCCAGTAGCTATGGAGCTGAGCAATGTATTTATTAATAGCTCAGTTGGTAGAACATGAGACTTTAAATCTCAGGGTTGTGGGTCTAAGCCCCACTTTGGGCAAAAGGATTCCTGCATTGCAGGGGGTTGGACCAGATGACTCTTGCTGTCCCTGCCAACTCTACAGTTCTATGATTCTATTCTATATTTATGCCACTTCTTTCCATGGAAATATGAAACTCAAGGCAACTTGCAACAGATGCATCTTTCTATCTATCGATAACTGGTTGTATTGCCGGTTGCACATTTTAATCCATTTGGGAAAATGCTGTAGCAAATGCAATAATATATCAACATACAGAAAGGATTGTAACATGCAGTGGGTTTTTTTATTAGTAATTGGTTATTCTACTGCATTAAAGATAATAATTGTAAGCTGCATCAATACATAGAGAATGCATTCTGCAGTGTTGGGAGCTGGTTAAGAGTCTAGCTGCTGAAATATTGGGGGCTGGATCTGAAAAGAGATTGGATCCCATCCCTATATAATGGTCTGCTATTAACAGGTGTGCATTGTATTGTTGACTGAGGTTGGACAAGAGAGGTGTGTATGTGCATTTATGCAAGTTAGTGGCAGAATGGGAACTGAACTGAATGGAAGCGGGGTTCTATCTCTCCCCCATCCCCCAAACTGCCACCCACATAGGTAAAGGGACCCCTGACCATTAGGTCCAGTCGTGACCGACTCTGGGGTTGTGGCGCTCATCTCACCTTATTGGCCGAGGGAGCCGGCGTACAGCTTCTGGGTCATGTGGCCAGCATGACTAAGCTGCTTCTGGCGAACCAGAGCAGCGCACGGAAATGCCGTTTACCTTCCCGCCGGAGTGGTACCTATTTATCTACTTGCACTTTGACGTGCTTTCAAACTGCTAGGTTGGCAGGAGCAGGTACTGAGCAACAGGAGCTCATCCCGTTGCGGGGATTCAAACCGCCGACCTTCTGATCAGCAAGTCCTAGGCTCTGTTGTTTATCCCACAGCGCCACCTGCATCCCGCCACCCAGCCATTAAATTTGCAAGCATAGCTAAGCCCTAAACAATTTTTGTACTTGTGTCCAAGTCTAGTTTGTGTGTGGGTCCCTCTTAAAGAAACATCCCTTAAGGATTGTTGCACATAACACTTCAGGGAGCTTGAGCAGGGTCTCCTCTGACACTTTTAGATACTTCAAAGGGAGTCGGGGGGGGGGCGAGGCAATGACCTTCAATGGTTTGCTCTGTTCCAATTATAGAGAACGAGTGTGAGTCTGTGCACTCATGACTCAATGATTGAAACATCAAGGAGTAACTTGCATAAATGAATAGAGCCATCACAGATATAGCACCATCAGAGACTGAATTTTCACTGCAACTCTGGGCGACGGATGCTTGAGTAATCAAGGTATGTGATGTACACGCATGTGAAAGTGGAATCCATGAGTTTCACCTGGGTTGAGAGAGAGAAAAAGTTTATCTGAGCAAGAGAGCTGGCCTTACAACCCCTGTGCCTTTACAGGACTGCTGGAAGCAACTGCTTTGGGGATCACCTCCTATTTCATAGTGGGCATCGCTCCACTGCAGTGCCCCTGCCTTCCTTTGTTGCTGTGGGATCTCCTGGCCTAAACTATTAATTTCCCTGTCTTGCCTCTGTCCAGGTGTTTGGAGCTATTTCCTAAGTGGGCAGGTAGCTGTGTGGAAGATCTTGGATCCCCGAGTGTCACCCTGGCTCAGGTAGATATCCTCTTGGAAACAGTGCGAGATAGGGGGTACCTGGGAACTATTTTGACATGGTGAGTCAGATCTTTATATCCCTGCAGCCTATAGGCCAACTTTGACAGGTGGGCAGGGCCACCCATCTGTCAGTCAACTGATGTCATTACAGTGCCAAGTAACCTATCAAAATGGAGCGTTGGGGTGGGGTGGGACGGCTTCTGGAGGGATTTGGTAAGGCAGCACCCAGCAGGATGGGAACCTCCACCTGCCCATCATGACATAGACTCTAGTTTGTTGTCAGGTATTCACAGTGCTTTTTTTCTGGGGGGGATGCAGGGGTACACATACCCCAAAACATTTTGTGAATCTTTGTACTTTTATCCATTCACTGTATTTATTTTCCCCAATTTGAACTATAAGGTGGTGATTTTCTTGAGTCAAAATGAGAGTACCCCTAAACATTTTTTTAGAAAAAAAGCACTGGGTATTCAAATATGCAATTCCCAGCTATTTTTAGGAAGAGCTACACCTTATCCCTGCCCCCCATCCTGCTGTTAATGTGCATTATTGGAATTATACATTTATAGAGTGGGAGGACATACCTGAAAGACTGTAATTCAATGTTCTCTGAAGAGCACAAATTTTCAAAAAAGTGGGCTCCTTGGCTGGGGATTCTTGTCAGAGTATAAGGGAAGGCTACTTTGGAGTTCACTCATTAGGAAAATATAGGGGAGACAGAATCTCAGGCAGATCTGCCCAGTTAGATCACCTCTCCTGCTCTCTAGGTTAGCAGCATCCGTCCCACCTGGGGAGGGAGGACAATGACTGAAAGTAACCACCATCACCAACGGGCAACTAGGGGACGTCGTGGATCGGGAGCAAAGCAAGGTCAGTGTACGTCTGATGGGAGAGGGGTGGGTTTCAAAGGCCCTGAGGGTGGGAGAGGGGTGAAACTGCTCCCCTCCTAGTAGTGGGCCAAATTGATTGGATTGAGGTTCCTGCCTGGATAGCTCAGTTGATGAGAACATGTGTGCCATTGATTTCCGTGGGAACTTAGCTAAAAATCACGTCCGGTAATATTTTTGTCTGTCTTGAGACTGTTGATCTTACAAAAATAGAGGGGGGGGGTATTCTTAGGCGCTTACATTTTTTTCCCTGCCTCCCCCTGCCGTTGATATTTACAGTGAAGGAAGACAATGAAGCTTATAAAATAGCCATACCTTTGGACGAGCCGCACCAAATGGAATCGCAGACTCAAACTCAGCAACAGTTGTATTATGGTCTGAGCCCTCCTCAGAATTTTGATGGTGAGAAACAATACCCCCGCTTCCTGGCAGTAATATATGAACAAATACCCTTTAACTCTGTGCTAGATCTCATTGGGTGACTCAGCACCCAAAGTGCAACTAGGGCAACTAGGTTTTTTTGCCATTCTTCAGGTAAATACGCATCTGCTGTCACTTCCACAATCATGGCACTTCTAGAAAGTGACGCCGCCATTTCAGAAATCACAGCAGAAAAAGTGGTCTTTGTGGAGTGTAGGTGTGTGCAGGTTCCACACTGCAACATTTTGTTGTAGACACCGCTTGTTTGCTTTCCAGTTCCCATTGCAGAGCTCAGCAGTGGTTGTCTTCCACAATCAAATCCACAATCAAACATTTTGAATTTCTTAAATAAGGTGAAACTCAAATGGGACTAGAGGAGAATGATTGGGGGTGGGGAGAGAAATCAATTACTGTATGTGTCAGTTTACTCCTGCTGAAAATCAAAGTATTAGATGCAAAGAAGGCTATGGCTTCAATAAGGCAGGTGCAAATCTCCCTTGCCTCATTTGCTTCTCACAGGAAGGGCGAGAAGGGTTAGGAAAGGTTTTTGGGCAGAGTTAGGTGCGGGACCTTTGGGTGTTTGAAGAGAAGTGGGGAAGCAAGTAATTGTGAGCAAGTCAAACTTCCACCGTGACGTGACTGTGCTGCCCTCAGAGACACCGGAGATGCCAGCTCCCTCGTTGACCCTGGTGACCAGCATGAGGACTCAGCTGCACATAGCCCTGGAGAGGAACTCCTGGCTGCAGAAGCGAATCGAGGACCTGGAGGAAGAACGGGACTTCCTGCGCTGCCAGCTAGACAAGTTCATCTCCTGCGCCCGTCTGGATGCTGGTAACTCGAGAACTCTCGAGTTCTCCGGAGGCTGAGTGGGTGGGTGGTGCTTTGCTGGGAGGGGGGCCTTTCAGATTCTCTTGGAAGGAAGGGCCAGGGGAATGTCAGCCAAGGCACCTTGGTAGGAGGCAGCGCTATTTTTCTAGAAAAAGAACTCACCACGAACCCCTCCCTGGTTCTCTTAGAATGGCAATGGCATCCACCTGAGAGGCGCCTGAACGGAGTTCAAGTTGGAGGTCCCTGTGTTAGAGAGTCAAGGGCTGTGTTTTTTGGGGGGTTCTCTGATTTGAGGAGCTTGCCTCTAGCTGTGCTATGGCGGGCTTCTGTCTCCCTCTCTGTCTGATGCAGGCCCAGACAGAGCGCGGGGGGGGGGGGTATATGGGCCACTTGGCCCGGGCCTCCGATTCCAAAGAGGGCCTCGGTCAGCATATTCACAATCACAGGGGATGCACTGGGGTGAACGTGGAGGCGCAAAGGCGTCCAGGCCCAGACAGAAGGGGGGGGCCACATTATCTACCTGGCCCGGGCCTCTGCCTGGCTCTGCAAGACCCTGGTCTGATGCATCCTGCCCTTTCCCCTCCGCCCTAGATGAGCACTGCCGCAGCAAGCAGCTCCCACGGCGGTCCGAGGTGTCTGACAGCCGGAACGGGGATGTGACTGATGACGACAGTATGGGCTCCTGGATGAGTGCAGGCCCCGAGGAAGGAGGCTCTGCAGAGCACAAGAAGCAGAAAGGAGGGGTCAACAGGCGACGCTTTGCCAAGCCCAAAGTCCGCGAGAGGCAGAGAGGTGAGTGGCAATGGGGGTGTGTGTCAAAGTAAGGGACCACCATTTCAGCCTACAGAGCTGAAGGCAGAGGGTCCCTGCCCCCTTCCATGGCAGAAATGGGAAAGCTCTTGCTCCCTTTTGTGAGCAGAGACTGGTGATCTTAAGACTTGAATGTCTTTCTTTAAAAAAAAACCACAACCTATTACACATTAAAATAATAGATCACCATACAGAAAAGAGATGCTCTTCCAGGGGACAGATATGAACAGAGCTTATTCCAGCATAAAATCACCATTGCCCTTCTCTATAAGAATTCATTACAATTTCCTCCACCAACACACAAAATTCTGCCAGTACTGTGCCCCCATTTAGCAGTTCCACTGGCTCAGGGACAGCGATGACCAGGCTATTGCTGGACCCTAGGCATCCCCTGTAGGCAGAGCTTCTGGGACTCCAGCTCACTGAGTCATAGCAGCAAGACAAATTATGGGGAATTTTGTTTCCTCAGCTCACAAATCTCGTCAGACACCAGGGCTGCAGGAGGAGCCCTGGCCAGGTGCAGCACCTCAAGCAGCACCTGTTGAGATGGGGATTCTGTGTTTCAAATGGAGGAAGTGGCAGTGTGCGTTGGGTCCCCACTCCCAGCTGATCCTCCTGGGAGCAGTTCGGCATGGACTGGTCGCCTGGCTGGGCCTGCCATGCCTTCTGACCCCTCCTTTCCCTCTGGCAGCCCAAGGGAGGGGAGGAGAGGAATCCTGCCCCTTGGGAGAAACAGGAATGCCTCTTGAAACGCTGGCCTGTGACTCACCCACCCCTCTAGGTTTTCCCTCACAAAAGCATCAAGTCTTGATAAATTGCTGCAATAATATGTTCTCTCCTTCTTTTTCTTCATTTCTTGTTCAATTCTCACATTTCTCCACCCTCCTCTCCCGTTGTCCTAATCCTCCACCACTCTTTCCCCCCCTTCCTGTTGCAAACCAACCGGCTGGCCTGCCATGCACGATCGCTTGCTTCCATTTTTCTCCTCCACCTCTTCTTTCTCTCACCTTCCATCCTTTCTCTCTGCATATCCTCCTTTTCTTATCTATGGATGCTGCTCCTCAATGTTCAACACCTGCATTACCTGCTTGTTTTACTTACTGTTTTTTGCTTGGTCCCTGGGCTGTTCCCTTTCCTTCCCCCTTCCCTGGTGCTGGTATATTTGACTCTAATTTATCCCGCCTTCAATTTCTGCTTCCATCGGGTCACTGCCTCCTTCTGTCGGTCCTTCCCATTTCCTGTGATTTCTGCCTCTCGCAACTCTTGGGTGTTTTCACGAGTGGCCATGCTTCCCCATTTCTCCTCCTCAACCCTTTCTCTTGTTCTTTCCCCCACGCTCCTGTCTATGGGTCGCTGCTGGGGCCCTCTCCTCTGAACCCAACCCCCCCGCCCCCGGTGCAGTCAAAGATGTGGATGGGGTGCTGTGCCGCTACAAGAAGATCCTGTACACTTTCCAGAAGCTGCAAAGCATGAGCCGGGCCTTTGAGCACCACCGTGTGGACCGTAACACTGTGGCCTTGACCACGCCCATCGCTGAGCTCCTTATCGTGGCCCCTGAAAAGGTGGCGGAGGTGGGTGAATTTGACTCGTCCAAGGAGCGCCTGCTGGAGTATTCCCGCCGATGCTTCATGGCTCTGGACGATGAGACTCTCAAGAAGGTCCAGGCGCTCAAGAAAAGCAAACTCCTCCTGCCCATCACCTACCGCTTCAAGCGGAAAACGGACACCCCTGGCCCGGCGGCCAGCAATTCCTTACCCTCACCCACTACCCCACCCAAACCCCCTCCGCCCATTGCTGACTGCTTTAAGCGATGATTCCCCCTCCTGGCTTTGCCTGAACCCACTTTGACAGCCCTCCAGTCTCTTATTTCTGTCTAGTTATTGAGGAAGCTACTGCTGTGCTCCCCTGGGGCTCTTCCTTGTCAGCCCCCTTCACCCTTTCCCGCAGTTTCTAGTGCTAAAGGCAAGCTCTGCCTTTGTAAGGCAAGTGGGATGCTTTTATCCTGGCACAATCATCTCTTTGGGAAGCATCATCTGACCAGGCGCTCCTGTTTATATGTCAGCTGGCTAAAGGCTATGGAGAGATGAACTGGATTAAATTCACTCCATTTGCTTCCATCTTAAGAACTGGCAAAATGACTGCCCAGTGGGAGTAGCAGGGGAGCAGGTTAGTGGGACAGAGTACATCCCATGTGTAGGTAAGGTGCTGTGGTGGAGAGGTTGCTTCAGACTGGCTGTGCAGGTACAGTAACACCTATAGGACCGCCAAGGCATTCATCAGAGACGGTGTCTGCTGCCTTGCAAATAAGCAACTAGGTGACACATTTTTCTTACACAACACTCCCCTGCATACTGCTTATTTGTGGCACGTCAGCAGCCCCAAAGGGCTGAATAAACATTGGCAGAAATTTCCCTGCCTTGTTGCTCGGAGGCCATTTGTGTTTGCCGTAGGTAAGTGTGTGTGTTTGTGAGCTTGTTTTAACAGCTCCAGAACTTGGGGCAGGGATGCTCAAGATGGCTCGGCCTTCCCCTGAAGGCAATGCCTGTCTCCTTAAGAAGTTAGTGTAGGCAATGGATTTACCCGCCTCACGTGCCATCTCACTGCTCCCCTCCCCTTTCCAGCCTGCTGTGAAGCAAGACTAGAACTGGAGGGCGATTGCTGAACAGGCTGCAGTGGTCTTGCCTCTTGGCCACTTCCTTTCTTTTTTCTTTTACATCCAATGCTACTGGCACCTTCTTAAGCTTTTCTCTTCCTGTTGCCTTTTTGCTATAACAGTCCTTAGCCTGGAGGAATGAACTGCAGCATTTGGCTGCCTCTAAATAATTCCCTATAGTCTCCCAAAGAAATTCCCACATCCCAAGGCTTCCTTGCATCTCTTTACTGCCATGGACACCACCTGCCCTCTCTCATGTTTTCCTGTTCCAGGTTCTGAAGCTGGGCTGTGTTTGGTGGCAAGCCATTTGCACTTCCTTTTTTGCTTCCTGAGACAGAGACTGTGTGCGCCCTCCAACACCTCTGTGGCTTCAAGCTGCCACCTTATGTGCGAGCAAGGGTTTTGTTTGTTCTCTGCTCCTTTGGGATGTCTCCTCTTTATTCAGTGTAATTAATGGACTGTTTCCACTGTGCCTGTATCACCCAGTTTTTTCCTCTGTGTTAAAAAAATAATAATTTAAAAGGAAAATGTAAAAAAACAACAATTTACTAAGAGGATTTAAATTAAAGCATTTTGAATAAAACTCAGCAATGTGTGGTTTTAATTTTTCATGTTTGTATAATTGCTGCAAAAATGAGCAAATTTGTGGCTAGTTAAGGATATTCCTGGCTTGGAACAAGGAGATGAAGAGTTGGATGTTGGCAACCGATTCAAATCCTCAGCTGTATATTATCTGGGAGTCAGAGTTAAGTTGGGTGTTACTCAGTTTGTTACTAATTTGTAAAATTAATGGCATGCCCTCAGTTTTGGTGTGAGGATGAGAGAATTATTGTGAAATGTACACTAAATGGCACAGTAGAATTTTGTATAGAAACACCAGTCCCAGAGTGTGGCCTAAAAAATGCAGGAAGGCACTACTTTACTAAAGCTGGGCAGGTCTGGGTCTGGTCTGTGCCTGGATGTCTGACTGCCTGAGAACCACATATACTTTGCCTTGGGCTCCATGATGGAATAAATGTATGTCAGTGACGTGGAGAAGTTGTCTGATGAAATACCCTTGCCACAGCATTGGATAAAGTTATCTTGAAGCTGTGGTGCTACTCTCTGGAAAGTGGAAAAAATGTGCAATAGAAAGCAAATGAAGTGGGAGAGAAACACAGGTGCCTGATTCAGAAAAGGGATTTCCTTCATATTTGGTGAACTTAGCTTTTTGCTAGTGTGGAGTTCTCCTATGAAAGCCCCACTGGAGGAACAGGAGGGAAAATGCTGTTAAAGAACCTCAGTGGGGTGTGTGGAGAGCTTCACAGCGGTTCCCAAATGGTGGTACGCAGGGGGTCCATCTAACCCACTCTGGGTTCTATGGCATATACCCATCAACTGTCCGAAAATGCATGAGTATGCAGCGCCCAAAGCCACGTGTTTTTGGGTGCTTTGACTCACAGAGGAGCGCAGCCCAGAATATGCACATCCTGGTTCTGGGAACCACTGATCTAGATCATGCCCAGTGAAAGGCATGGGTGTACCTATACTTTGGCAAATGTTGCAGCTGACTTAAAAAAATAAAATAAAAGTGGTTGTATTCCAGCCATTGTAGGGGGAAGCCAGTCATATCTCAAGCCATGAGTGTTGCAGTCATTGAAACTGTGAAACGCATAAAGTAAAACAAAAAAACCTGGGAGCCCATCTCTCCTACAGGAATAGGAAAGCAGTACGAATGGAAGTGAATAGTAACCTCTGCCTTGTGGGTGAATTATGACTCATGGCATAGAATTTGAAAACAATTTCCTGCCCCCTTTTACAGTGCATCCACTATGCAGCTGATGGCTACTCCCTTTGGAAGTCCTCATTTAGGTGGGAGAATGTTGCTGCTGTTGCTGTGCTCGTGTCCCATTTTTAAGAGTTCCCCGTAGGCATTATTAGAAGAATTTTAAGGTCTCATATATAGAATAAATATTCATAAATGCACACATATCTAAATATATGAACCATGTGTCGGAAATAGTATGGGAGAGCAATCCTGAAGCCATTTTGACTCTCCCAATGACCTCAAATATTCCTCTGCAGGAAGGGAGGCAAATGGGAAAAGACTTCCCATTGTCTTTTTGCTTGCAAATCCTGTCTTAAGGTCATATTTGTGTATGAATAGGGCGAATCTGTGAGATGGATTCAAGAACTAAAGTATTAACCATCACAAAAGAATGGCCAGACTGCCCAGGTAATGCAATCAGTGACCATTACTGTATTAGGTATCCTGACGGATAGGATTTCTGCTGCAGACCGCCTCCTTCTGTAATGTATGTATGATGTTTTTTTGGGGGTGGTCTTGGGCTACAGGGTGGGCAATTTCAAAAGTCTATATAAAGGCTTGCACACCATTGTTCAGGGTTCTCCTCCCACCTGCATGTGGTAAGTGGGGGACCCTGTTGCAACAGTTTAATAGAGATCAGGCTTACTAGCCTCTTTGCTTCTCAATATACTCTCGTTGGCCTCTGTTATTTTCTCCTACCGATAGGGAACCCACTTAAGGACTCTATACGGGCTCCGAAATACCCCATAAGGAAAAGGGAGCTGTTTTTTCTTATAACAGCATTTTGTTGGCCCCTGATTGGAGAGGATGCTGATCTATAGTTGGGCTTTTGTTCCGATCCCAGCAGGACCCTTCTAAAGCTGACCCTCATCAAAGATTTTATTTCTTATAAAGAGCGGTCACCACGTGGTCAAAGTGCAAGAGCTGTGCCGGAAGCGACTGCCTAACGTCCGACGGAAATACTTGCCAGCCCCGGAAACAGTTGTGGAAGACTCGGGAGAAGCTGCGCTCTCTTTATTCTCCCCTCCCTCCTTTTTAAGCGGGAGCACGAACGGAAGAGCAAAACTCATGCGGCACTGAGAAACAGACGCTAGCGGAAGTACCCGAGGGTCTCCGGAAAATTCCGAAGGCGCAGGGTTCGGCCTTCCCCGAGGCTTTCCGGAAAAACCCGAAGGCACGGGAGGGGGGGGTGGCCTCTCCCGAGCGTTCCTAGGAAGGCTCTCCGAATAAAAGAAAAGCGAGCGAGGCTTTGTCCTAGAGAGGTTAAGGAGGCCGCCGAGCGTATTTCGAAAGCGTCTTCCGGAGATAGCCGAGCGTTTCCGTTAACACCCGAAGCTGCCGCCGGAAGTTGCCGAACTCAAGGGAAGGCGCTCCTGCGGCCTAGTGCGTGAGGAGGAGCTGGAGAGCGAGAGCTACTAGAGCAGCTGCGAGGCCGCGTTCAGGCCGCCCTCCTCCGTCCCGTCTCCGTTAACCATGTCCGACTTCGACGAGTTCGAGCGGCAGCTCAACGAAAACAAACAAGGTGAGCGGACAAAGGGGCGGGCGGGCCGAGAGGGGGTGGGGGAGAGAAAGCGAGCGAGGGAGGCGGCCCTCTTCGACATTGATGGCTCTCTCGCGCTCGCCACACGCTTTTCACGACGGGCCCTGAGCTGCCCTGGAACGGGGGGGGGGGGCGGGGGGCGGCTAAATGGCCCTCCCCTCAGCGGCGGGGACCCGAGTTAGGCCGAAGAGCGCGGCGACGGGGGGAGGGGCGGCCGGCCGGCCGGCTCTCGCGTGTCCGGCCGCTTCCTTCCCCCTCTCGTTTTATTTGGCGGGAGTTTGATCGTGGCGGTAACGGCCGCTGGGGAAGCGGGGGAGGGAAGAGAGACGAGGAGAACCGTTGGTGGCCCTTCGCGCGCGCCCTTAACGGAGTGGCGCGTGGCGGGGCTCTGGAATGCGGGGAGGGCCCTTTCCCTCTCGGGCCACTTTTTGCCCAATGAGGCGGACTCTTGAGAGCGAAGGGACCCGGAGTCCGTTTTGTTCACTCTCTTGGGGAAAGAGGGAGGCTGCCTAGTTATTATTACCCCCCCCTCAAAACAACAACTTTCCTCGCTTAGTTGCCTCCTGCAAAGAAAGCGCACGATGCAGCCTTTACGCCGCGTGGAGCAAAGCATACCGGTGCTTGCATGAGTCCCCGACTTCGCAGGATGATGGAAGAAAGGAGGGCCAAGTAAATAAGTAACTGGTTCTCCCGCCCACTCCCAGTGCAGGATTTGCGTTAGGGAAGGTGGGTTGTAAACTTGAGAAATGGGAGGGGAATGTTTGTTCATCTCGGTAAGTATTCCTCCGTGCTGAGAGGCAGAGGTTGCGTAGGATTTCGGAAAGGAGGCTTTTCCAACCCTACTTGGGACCTATTTGCATGTATAGCGTGCTGTGTACCACTGAGCAACACCCTTCTTCCCTTCCTCTCAAAACTCTCACGTTTGTGGGTTTTCTTACTATTTTTATCTCATCCTTTAGGGAGCTGAAAGTAACATATGGCGATACCCACACACCCCTTTTGCCCTCACAACAATCCAGGGATGGGTAGATGAGGCTGAGATGGTGACTGGCCCAAGATTATGCTGTGAGCTTCTTCACTGAGTGGGGATTTGAAGCCGGATCTCACCATTCTGATGTTAGCAACTATGCAACTTTGGCTCTCACATCTCTTGTCTCTCTTCCCACCTCTTCTCACTTATTTATCCTGGCCTTCCATAAATCCCATGAACTTTCCTCACAACCATGAGGTAGTCTGTGCTTAGAGTGAATGACTTGCCCAAGGATCCAATCTCCAGTAGTCCTCATCCAGAGCTGCCCACTACACCACACTGGCTGAACCACATTATTTCTTTTCCCTATATCATAGTATCATAGTTGGAAGGGACCCTGAGGATCATCTAGTCCAGCCGCCTGAATATGAAGCTGTCCCTTACAGGGAATATGCAGCTGTCCCTTACAGGGATTAAACTTGCAACCATGATGTTATCAGCACCACACTCTAGCCAGCTGGGCTATCCAGCTTTTCCTCGGTCCACTATTTTTTTTGGGGGGGGGGGGGGAGTCCAGATTTACATACAACTCAATCAACATACATTAATTAGATTTTTTCCCTGTCAGTACTTATGTTAAATTCACTCGGCCTGAGGAGCACCACTTTACACACACACTCAACTTGCCAGCATAATGGAAAACTACTGTGTCAGAGGAGCTTGCTGGCATTCTCCTTGGAGTGGATCTCTTTTAAAACAAGCTGCTTAGCATGGACACTGAGTAAAGTATTGTCTTTCCTTCTTGGGCTAATTTTTCAACCACCTGCAAAATACATTAACCCATTTCTCTTCGTTCGGCTCTTTTCTCCACCTTTTTACAAATCTTAGCTAATTAGAAAGGCCACATCACTCTCACTTACCTGAGGGTATGAATACCTATGAATCAGTATCTTAGGCACAAGTCCACTACAGTGTTACCTCTGAAGCGAACGCAACCCACGTGTGTGCGGGTCGCGATTCGCCGCTTCCGCACATGCGCGTGACGTCATTTTGAGTGTCTGTCCATGCGTGAGCGGCGAAACCCAGAAGTAATGGGCTCCGTTACTTCCGGGTTGCCGCAGAGCACAACCCGAAAAGGCTCAAGCGACTTCAATCCGAGGTATGACTGTACTCCATATTGGATCCCCAATAGAGATACATGTTGGCTCCTTTCTCGGTAGCATTACTATACTCTTGCATATTTTTGGTGGTGCTTCCTGCGGTGCACTGGGACAAATACAACACAAAATGATTCCCTTAGGGCAGGCATGGCCAAACTTGGCCCTACAGAAGTTTTGGGACTACAACTCCCATCATCCCTAGCTAACAGGATCAGTGGTCAGGGATGATGGGAATTGTAGTCCCAAAACATCTGGAGGGCCGAGTTTGGCCATGCCTGCCTTAGGGCAAGGCACTCCCAGTGGTCCTAGACTGCTTACCCAGGGGTCAGGGAAGATGGGAGTAGCAGTCCAGCAACATCTGAAGGACCACAGGCTGCTCCTTGCTTTAGGCAGCAATCCCACAGTATTTATTTCATAGCCAATTGTTCACATGAATACAGACAGAATGCAACCTTGAAATGCAACTGCAAAAATTGCCTGTCTGCATGGAAAAAGAAAATGCAAGCTACCAACATTTATAAGGCATCTCTCCCTAATTAATTGAGGGCTGTTTTGTTTGCCCCAGGTGATCAGACTAGTTGCTATTTGCAGGCGTGGCATAAGGTGGACCTTTTTAATAGGGCATGCCTTACTATCATACTAATCACGGAATCTTTAGTAGAGACGTGTGCACTCTGGAAATTTCCTAGGATCTGATTTGTCCAGACTCTTCTAATGGGCTGTATGTGATAATGTCACATTCTGATTCTGAAAAAGGGCATGCAAGCGCCAACTCACCCTGCCTAGTATAATAGGCATTTGGGTGTAAGCAGTAGCTGATCACTGCTATCTGTGGCAAACTGTATAAGCAACTGTTGTATGTACAAATACCAGTTATGCATACCAGTTATGTCCACAAATTCCCTTGTAGTGGCAAGTGTTCCGCCTGCCCTCTGACATACCCCAAGCAGCTGCAGAGTGGGGGTGGGGATTTTCCTGGCAGTTGTTCTTCTGCTGGGGCAATCCCTGCTCAGCCCCAAGGTGGGGCTGCACTTCTTTACTACTTCAAAATAACAAGCCCTTGTCATCTTTTCCAAATTCAGCCTTGGAACAGACAGTTGTCATTGACTTCACAAGGTCAAAGACCAAGATCTTGACCCTTGAGGGAGGGATAGGCTCCTAGTAACCACAAACTTTAGTTGGCTATCAATGTCAGTCAATATGGGCCTCTGGTAGTGGTTCCCAGTGGTGAGATGGACCTCCCTTGGGTGCATAAATTTCCATCAAGGGAATTGACCCCTGAGGTAGGTAGTGTCTACACCAGCTGGCAAGACCTGGGTAGGTTGAATGCCATCTGACAGCGTCCTTACTACTCAATTATCTCAGTTGGATTTGTGAAGTAGGAATTCAAAATTGCTGCTTGTGTGCGACTCCAGGAAATGATCAGAGATCCTGTTCTATTCCTTTTCTAAGGCTAGTGCACGGTTACTATTCAAATCTGCAGACACACACAATAATAGGCTATTTGCCTTTGACAATGTGAAAGGATCTTCACAGTTTCATCTAACAATATATTTTTGATGCACTTGGATCCCAGAAGATTGCATTCATTTAGCAGGCATGAGGGGAAGCATTCAAAAAGTTTTTTAAAAGTATGAAATGGTCTTACTTGTATTTTGCCTTGGATCTAGAATCCCTAGCAAAGACTGTGGGGCAGAATGTAGGAGTGACAGGGCCTCAAAGGAAAGTTTTCGGCCATTTAGTGCTACATTTTGCACTAAAACTGCCCAAGGCAGGAATGGATTCCTGTGTAAAACAAAGTTTAGTGATTTGGATTGATAGCCTGTGGTAATAGGAGAAAACAGGGTCTTCTCCTTGGAACTTCAAAAATAAGTGTTGGTACCACATCACTGTTTTGTTTGTTTTGCTTCCTTGCACAGAAAATAAACCAGAAGCACTACAGATTTCACCTATATTGACCTCTGCTTTGCATTGGTTCTCCCAAGCCAGACCCAAACATTCCTGTTACCAGAGAGCCTTAACACCCCCATGCCTTGCATGATACAGCAACAGATGTGCCATTACAAATACTGCTTTGTGCTGGTCATTGTACAACATTGCTTTGTATTGTTCCTTTCCAGCACAGCTGCATGAGTTGTCTCTAGTGTCCAAAACAGTTCTTCTTTATGTCACAATTTGAATTCTGCTGCTTGATGTTGGTGTGTTAATTCTGACTTGCTTCACTCCAAATAAAAAGAAGCAGTGGTTCCTGAAAAGAAGCATCCTATTTGTAGGAGTCAGTCTTGTGCAGAACCAAGAAAATGTTTTTATTTCTAGGAGACAATAGAAGCTGAGGTAGCCAGGCATTTTATTTGTGGCACTTCATAATGCTGCTCACCTTTCCCTGTTGTACAGCATTAAAAGAGGGCAGGGGTATAAATTTATGGGGCATAAGAAGAAACCCAGATTCTGCAGTTGACATGATTTATTTCACTTGTAATAAAATATGTAAAATTATGAGCTGCTTCAAGTACTGAAGGCAATGACTAGAACATTCAGAAGGCATTCTAGAGGAGGAGCTGCTGTGGAGAGCAGTAATCAAGACAGGCATCTGGCTCAAATATTTCGTTTTTCAGTTTTTAGCTAAATGATAGATGATGGCTGCAGCTTCTTTATCTGCTGTTTTTAAAAAATGGAAAGCAGAGATACTTGGAATATAAACAGCAAAAACAGCACCTTACAGCATTTTCTTCCTAGTGTATCCTTTTCAATCATCCAGTTCTTCCTTAGACGAGTTTGCAGCCTCTGATTTCATGCATTTCCTTTAAGAGACCCATCAATAACAGTTCTAACTTCCCAAAGATTGAGCCGTGTTAATTCCTTGAGCATCAGGATTTTTCTTTCCTCAAAAAGAGCTCCAGCTTGCTAGATTTGGTAAAAGCTGATCTTGAGATAATCACACCTTGCTAAAATTTTTGTCATGAATGTTAGCAACGAGAAACTAGAAAGAACCTCCTATCCTGCCTCTTTATAGCTTCTCGCTGACCCCTTTTTCCAAGGGCAGTTATTGCCCATTGTCATCTACAAGTGTGGCCAATTTAATTATGGCCTTTTATAGAGAATGGTAGGTGCTGAACTTGATTTAGGGCAGACATGACCCTCTAGATGTTAAATTCCAACTCACATCTGCCCTAATCATCATGAGCAATGGCCAGAGATGATGGACTTGTAGTCTGGCAGCATTTGAAGGACCACAGCTTATCAACTCCTGATTGAGGAGATGTACAGGCACAAAATATCATATCCCAAATCCTTGTTAAGCATAGGCACAACCTATCTACAAAAACACACAGCCTAACCAGCCTGTCAAGTTTATTCTTGGCACATGAGGGCTTTCTGACCCTTCTCATTAGCAGCCGCCACTATTATACTGGATAAATACCTGTTCATGAGATGATCCATTGCCATACAGCATTTGTGAGTTTGGTAATTTGCAACCAGACAAGACTCAGGCTAAGAAATGGGTCTATCAAGTTGAAGCAGTGGCTGTTGAGAGTAACCTGGGGAAATGCAGCCTTGGTTTCTACATACCACACCTTTCCAATTTTATGAGTATATTTGAGTTGATTTTCCTAGGGGGAGTGATAAGAGTTTGTGATAACCAGAAGTGTGACCTCCATTCCTATGTTGCAACCATTGGCATATCAAGCTCTTCTCTCGTCTTTAGAACGCGACAAAGAGAATCGTCACCGGAAACGCAGCCACAGTCGCTCACGGAGTCGTGACAGGAAACGCCGCAGTCGCAGCCGTGACAGGCGCAACAGGGATCAGCGCAGTGTTTCAAGGGATCGCAGGAGACGCAGGTATGGGTTGCAGAATGAAGAGCTTGGGTTTTCCTTGGGTTTCCACTTTTTGGGGTCCAGCAATATGCTCAAGCCCTGGACAAAACCTTAGATGCATAAGATTCATTGGGGCAAACTTAGTCCTGCCTCATTCATTTTCTGTTATCCATGAAGAAGTTGTTCTTAACTGAGCAGACCTGTCTTAAGAGGCTCTCTCATCCTTATGCTGACTTTTTGCTGAAAGAAGCTCTTTGCAAACATCAAGGAGCTTTTTAACCCTTGTATTCAAAGCTTCCAAATACCATCTCTGTTTTTTTGAGATGCTCATTATTTATAAAGTGCCTGATTAGGATCTGTACATAAAAATAAACTGCCTCTGCATGGAGACCTACGATTTAATTTCAGTTGTATGTACTTCAAAATCACGATTTGAAGCATGTTAGTAGAAGAACAAGATGGTGGGAATTCATATGGGAAAGAAAGCTTAAGGGCTCTTTCTGGTATAGAAGCACTTGGGATTGATTGATTTTTAGAAACAAAGGCAGTGTGAATTAGCAAATGGCAGAAACTTAGATGATTATAATGTATGTCCAGCAAGGGTGAAATTGAAATTCAGTTCAAGGGAAATGGCAATTCTTCTCAAAGTAAATTGGTTGAATTGTATGTACCATTTCCTAGGAAAGCCTTATGCTTAAGTGCCGCTGAAATGAAAAGAAGCTGTGCTATAGCTACATAGGAGCACACAAGACTAGTAGAGGCGATGTACCCAATTAATCATTCTTCGTGTGCGTTGTAGTTTTCACATCTGTTCTGCTTTGGGGGTTGGGGCAGGATTACAGAATTTGGCAAACTGTTGAGGAGCAAGAAAGAAGGGAAGGTTGCACTCTTGGCTGCATATGAGAGCGGTAGTGAAGCACTTTGGGGCACAAAAGCAGATTCATACGGTTTCAGCTTCTGAAACAGTCTCTGTGTGTGCATGCGCATGCACACACAGTTCTTAGTGACTGAGATTGGAAAGCACCATAACTGCTCTACAGATAAAATTGCTGTCTTGGTTCTGTTGCTTATTTGATGCTGAAATTTATTTGGTTTTTTTTTTTAAGCGTTTATTAATTTTCCAATAAAAACATCCAATTAACATATCAAATCCAATCCAATAAAAATAAAAAACTAAAATAAAAAAGGTCCAGTTATCTTCCAAATTGTAATAATTTTGTTTTGACTTCCCATGGTCTGAATTTCGAAGCGCATTCAACATCATAGTCCTGCCTCTCATCATCCTCAATGTTATTCATAATTCCATGTCCGATTTTTCCCTTCCACATTTTGACTCTGGTTCTACGATCCTCACTCATGTCAGAAAACCGATACTTTTTTTTTTCTATGGAGTGCAGATTGGTCCGTATATTGTAGTCCTTGAGCTGTTTTTTTCATCGCACCGCTTCATTTAATTGCATCCAATTTCAAAGTTCTGTCCAGCTCTTTGAGAGTTGTTATTTTGGCAGCTCCCAGATCGTTAATCTTTCCCGTCCAGGTGTTATCAAAGAAACAGAGAGAAATTTCCTTCTGTACCCTCCTTGTTGATTTATCTTAAACAGACTGTTTGCAATGTAGCCATATATCAGACAGTTAGCAATTGGCCTTTGGAATCTTCCCAGTCCCCCCTCCAGGCCCTAGAGGGGGGCTGCCAGACATCTATTTAGCCCTCTCGCTCGTAATCAAAAAAACATCTTTTTGCAAACAGTTGTATATGTAATATTGTTTCCAGTCTTTATAACCAACCATCCATTAGCTCCTGTTTCTCTTAATCAGGGAAGTATTTCAGATATTCAATAACGACGTGGTGGGAGACGCCATTTTGTCCTTTGTCCTTTGTTTTCGTCTTTAACAGACATTTCCGGTCTTAGAAGAGAAGTAGATCCCAATTATATATGAAAGTCCATCTGAACTCACTTTTTGAAGAGCAATTTAAGTTCTTAATGAGACTTAATGGCATGCATTACGGATTGTTGATGTTAAGGATAAAAGAATGGTTTTTTTTACATACCAAGCTCCTCCACATTCCAAACGTCATGATGAGGATCTCTTTGAAGTTCGATCTTTTGCACCAGAGACTGTACATACTGCAGGTTTTTTCCAGCTTCTTCAATTCAGAGCGTGTCTGTTTGTTTTCCAAATCTTTATATTTTCCCAAACAGATGCGTCCGGCTATGGGGTGGCGTCGCAGGAGTGTCAGCCGTCCCTAGCTCCGTGACCCAGTGCCCCTGCCGTCTGCCACATTGGCAATCTGGGGCAGACCGCGGGTCGTTGAGACAGTCCTCCCCTGCCCTGGGGAGGCTGCCAGGGCTAATTACCCCCATATCAGCCCTGAATTATCGGAACGGCTGAAGTCCGATTGTGTGGGATCAGCCATTTTCCACCGCCGGAAATAGTGGAAATTTGAAATTTGTTAATCAGGTTGAATACAATTTAAATACATATACTCTGATTTTTTAAAAAGGGGGTTGTATCTGTTTTAGGTTTTTTGTCATTGCTTGCCAGTAGCTTTGATTCTCCTTGGAGCAATGGACAGGACAGAAATCTTTAAATTAAATAATATTCTCATCTCCTGCTAGTCAGCACACTTCCATTTTCTTGGCTCAGATGAGTGTTGCAGCCCTATCACCACTGTCTGCCTTTGCTCTATGTGCATGTAATGCAACTATGAAAGTCAGAGAACTGCTTGATTAACGTCTTTGAAGAGCTCAGCATCTTGTTCACAGATGCTAATAAAGCACTGGTTTATTTCTGCTGTCTAACATCCTCTCTAGACAGATGCACTGTCTAGTATAAGTTTGACTATTCTCTCTCTCCCTTTTTCTTAATGAAGTTACAAAATTATCCATGGCTGCGTTAATAGATCAGTGGTGGTCTCTGCAGATCCCTCTGATCCACCCACCCCCATTGCCATACGCTGTTGTTTCTTGGTCCGCAGTCTTTGTCAGGGCACATGGGGCCCTGCTGCTGTTACTGAGTTGGCTGCCTGGGCCTGTTGTATCCACCAGGAATGGTTACAAACCCATTTTGTTTCTCAATTTCAGATCACCCCTAAGCCTAGCGGGTCCCCTGAGGTGAGTATTGCTACTTCTTCCTTGTGCTGACAGGGTTGTCACTTCCACAGTTAACAAAGGCAGCCATGCAATCAGATCTTGGGTGCAGATACAATTATCACATTTAGTGCTGGGATTCATCCTGGGGGTTACTATTAAAAGGGTCTGCCCTGGAGTCTTTATGTCAGGGTGGATTTGATTTAAATCAGATTGATTTAAATCACTAGTCAATAAGACTTGATTTAAATCTCTCTTTTTTTTTTAAGACTTATTCTTGCTGGCATAATCTTAATATTTACAACCAGATCAAGGTTTCATTTTTGGAATAATAAATTTTCAGAGTAGCTTTTACAGTTAAATCAAAAATTTGGTTATACTATTAGAAATACATAGGCAGATAATTATGAAATTATTGTGAGGTTTAATAAATTAACTGTTTACATTTGGACAACTTTTCTGCTGTACTTTATTGGAAGGAGAAAAATTATCATTTCCTTAATAGCAATTTAAACAATTTATTTAATTAAAGCAATAACATTATAGCATATGTATCCATTTTGTTAACTGATGTGGTTAAACTTTAAATTAAAAAAAAACCTTAGACTGATTTTTAGCACACATGAAAAACTTAAAACAAATACTTATTTCCTGCTAAGTAGCCTCAAAGAAATCCATTTCTTAATTATTTTAAATCATTGATTTTTATCCACCCTGGTCTATGTAGATCAGGCTTCCTCAACCTTGGCCCTCCAGATGTTTTGAGACTACGATTCCCATCATCCCTGACCACTGGTCCTGCTAGCTAGGGATTGTGGGAGTTGTAGGCCAAAAAATATCTGGAGGGCCGAGGTTGAGGAAGCCTGATGTAGATGGTGTCCCAAACTGAAACAAGTGTAGAGTTGACATGACTGGTACATTAATCTTCATATTACATTCAACAGAAGCTCAAGTGCTCTTTCCATTTCCAGCTGACCTTTTCCTCCCTGTCTTCCTTCCACAGCCGTTCTCCCAGGCATGAGAAGAAGAAGAAGGTTCGCAAGTACTGGGATGTCCCGCCCCCAGGCTTTGAACACATCACTCCCATGCAGTATAAAGCCATGCAAGGTGGGTCTGCTTCCGCTTCAGTCACCTTGCCTTAATGTATTGTAAAATAGTGTTATATGTTGCAGCTACTTGTGCATGTTCCTCTACCACGCAAATTAATGGAAATACAAACTTGTGTTGACCTTTGGAGGTTCTTATTTTCCTTCTGAAATGTTCTCCCAATTTCAAGCATGCATCTCCATTCCTGAAGAAATCAAATTGAAGTCAGGTATTTTCCCTTGGTGGATGAAGAACTCTGGATCAATTTTTCTCACTACACAGCTAGGCAAATAAGTGGGCTTCACTTGGTTCTCTTTTTGATTTTACATTTAAAATATATGTCTGCTTTAACTGGGAACAAGTTTCTTAATTTTGCCATATGAATGTTAAAAACTGCCAACACATTTATCTACTATCTGAATCTGGATCTCTTTTTCTCTCCTTGATTCTGGTACTTGAGGTTGGTGTTCTGCTAGTACACTTAAACAGACATATTCCTACAACTGTGAGTGCTAAAAACCTTAAATTGGGATTATCGGCCAATTATAAGAAAAAATTCCTTTGTGCTTGGAAGCTGCTTAAAGATTGCATATTGTCTTACCTGTTTTTTGAAAATGATACTTTGTCCTTCCAGAAATAGAGAAGTAACTTGTTAGACTTTTTGTGATTTCAGAAAATTGTTTACTTGCTCATCTCACCTCTCCCCACCCCACTTAATGGCGTGTCATTTGTTTATTATCATATAAACCACTTAGAAGTCACTTGGGATAAAATGTGGTATATAAGCAATATTCATAATTTACTTGTGCCAGTTCCTTTAAAAAGTGAATGCTGTGTAGTTTTGTTATCAGTCTCTCCAAATGAGGAGTGATATGCCTTGTGATATTTCCAGATGAGAATCTTCAATTTGTAACAGCTAGTCTTGTTTTCCCCCTTACCTAGCTGCTGGGCAAATTCCAGCTACAGCCCTCCTGCCAACGATGACCCCTGATGGACTGGCGGTGACCCCCACTCCTGTGCCAGTAGTAGGCAGCCAGATGACACGGCAAGCCCGGCGTCTCTATGTGGGAAATATCCCCTTTGGAATCACTGAGGTACTTGCTTGTTCCCTCAGATGTGCTCTCTGAACCCATTGGTGTATTTTCTCTCTTGGGTTAGGGGTGTTGAAAGGAAGATGCTTCGCTGAGAAATTTGGGGGAATAAGTTCATAGTGAAAACACGAGCCAGGTGAGGCTGAATTCAGCATTCAGATCTCTTTGTCCTGCTAACAGGACTCCAAAATGGTGTCAGGACAATGCAGCAGGTGCCAGAATTATGTTGGATTGTGACAGCCCTGTGCTCCTGGCTTCATCTTTCTTTAATCACCTAGTTCTTAAATATTCCTTTCTGAGAGATCATGTTTTAGACCAGGTCTTTTGAAATGCAAGAGTTAACTGCAATGCTCTTCTCTTTTGGAAATAGAGTAAATTACAAATTCTTCAGTCCTTAGCAATGGGGGGTGGGGAAGGTGCTGTAGGAAAGAAGTTTCATGTTTTCTCTCACGTTCAAAATGGTAGGGAGTTGAGGTTGGTAATCTGGCTGCAGAGGCTTATAATTGCTGTTCTATTTTTGATGGCCACATTCTCTTCCCCCAAGTACATTAGTTCCTTCTTTCACATTTCTTTCAGGGTTTACCAAGTGTTCAGGTGGGAACGAATTGTTCCAATGGCAAATTACTGTGGATTGGGATATTTGCTTTCTGTAGTACCAAGCAAGGTGACTTGCTTGAGCCTTTGCAGTGTTTTTACTAAGCTGGAACTTAAGAGTTAGAACTATGCAGAATTCCAGCATTGCTTCCAGTCCTCCTTTTTCACTGTCCAAATCTGTCAAGGGACATTACTGTGTGACACAGATGAAGGAATTTTATTTCCAAAGGGGCTATACATAATCTGCCATAACTTTTGAGCTGAACCAACTGTAATCCCTTTCCAGAGCTCTTAATTCATATCCTCCTTCTGCATACATGGTATGCCTCTGGCAGAGAAGACCAAATATCTGGAACAGAGGTGGATTCAGAGTAAAGAAAAACAGCTATTTGGGTGGAAATGGGAAATAATAATATTTGGGCTGTAATCCTATACATACTTGGAATAAGTCCCACTGAATTTAGTGGTGCCTCTGTCTGGGTAGACTGGTATAGAAGTGCACTGTTAGTGCCTAAATGACCAGGGCATTAAATATGGGTGGTCATTATTTGAATATCTCTACCAAAAAAAAAAGACCAAAGAGTTGTTTCCATTTCTTTTTAAAGTGGATAATGTGTGGGACTGCAATCCCCCCGTAGCCCCAAAGTTTGCTACCATCGCAGCAGGCAAGTAGGCAGTTTTGCTTTGTAATCCATTTGTGATCCTGAAGGCCTTTCTAGTGTGTGACATAAAACCTCCCCTTTTCCATTCTCTCCGTGACCCTCAACAGGAGGCTATGATGGATTTCTTCAATGCTCAGATGCGCCTTGGTGGCCTTACCCAGGCTCCTGGGAACCCTGTCTTGGCAGTGCAGATAAACCAGGACAAGAACTTTGCATTTTTGGAGGTGAGTTGAGGCATGTACATGCATTGAGGCAAGTGTAAGAGGGCACTTCAGATGGGTGTGATTCCAACATGCAGAATATGACAAGTTTAGAATTTCACATAATCTGTTGGCGGGAGAGGTCAGGAGAGAGTTTGGCTAGGCTTTTCTGGATGCAGGAGATTCTGAGCAATGCCTTGCTTATTTATATAGATAACATGATTTTTGTTGTGGAATTTGCTCTAGAATGTGGGACACACTTGGTGGAAATTCCATTCATTGTATACATGCAGAGTATATATGACTTAGATAACAACTTGATTCTATCACTTCCACAGTTTGTGTACTGACTGTTTAACCCCTTTCATCGCAAGGGTGGAATTCTTCCCTTAAGAACCCCCGAGCCAGCATTTTTCATTATCTGGCCCTTGAGTGCAGGCATCTAATCACACCCCCCAATAGGCCATACCACACATCCTTAACCTTTCACCTTCTCAGTTTCTGTTTGTTTGTTTTTGCTACTGCAGTTTCGCTCTGTGGATGAAACTACCCAAGCTATGGCTTTTGATGGGATCATTTTCCAGGGACAGTCGCTGAAGATCAGACGCCCACATGATTACCAACCGCTCCCTGGCATGTCTGAAAACCCTTCAGTCTATGTGCCAGGTGAGTATACTAGATGCACCCTGTTAACTAAGGAAGACCAAAGGGGATGGGCAGAGTTTTATGTGATTTACTGGATGAGACCCCACATAGTCTTCCCATATGCATTTGATCTGAAAATGTGACTGACACAAAACCCTTTCAACAGACCATGTTAACCCTTTCCCCACAGGAGTGGTGTCCACAGTGGTTCCAGACTCTGCTCATAAGCTGTTCATTGGGGGTCTGCCAAACTATCTTAATGATGACCAGGTGAGAAGCGGTTTCTTTCCTTCTCGCCCCCTTCCTCCTTTCCATTTAAGTGTCTTCATTTTATGGAGAGCCACTCTCCTTAGCTTAGCACAGTGCTTAAAACACCTGTGTGGGTGGCATGCAAGCATGATTGTATGCACGCACCCAAATGAAGCCCTTTGTTTTTCCCTTGTCCTCTGCCTCTCAGGTCAAGGAGTTGCTCACTTCTTTTGGACCCCTGAAGGCTTTCAATTTGGTGAAGGACAGTGCCACTGGCCTGTCGAAAGGTTATGCCTTCTGTGAATATGTGGACATCAACGTCACAGACCAGGTAGGGCCAGCCTCTCTTCGTGGTACTCTCTTTTTATTTTTGTTCCGCAGCAGCTCGCCGACCTGCCCGTGGGATAAGGGGGGTTCTTTATCCTTTGAGCAGGTGGGGTGTTTTTTTCTCTCCTCCCCTCTAGGGGGTGCCAGCTTTTCTCTCCTTACAGCACAGCTGCTGACTTAGCGGCAGACACCATCGAGTTAGTGTTCTGATCACTTCTGCTTTTTGTTCCCCCCAAAAAAACAACAACTCTCCCCGAATGTTAGTCGGAGAAGGCTTCGGCCTTTTTGCGAAGACCCCGGCCGCCGTGCCCGACCGAGAGCCGGTAAGAAGCCCTCCCCTCACCAGCCAGGGAAGAGCCGGGTCCGTAGCACATTTCACCTGTCCCACCCCCCAACCCCAACCCCAAGTGAATTCTCCATCCTGCACTCTTAATAACTTGAGTTTCCTTTCTCTCGCTGTGCTTAGTGTTACAGCGGGAGGGGGTGGAACAGGCCCTTAACCTGCAGACATGCTCTGCTTGCTAACTCCAGCAGGAGTTGTTAAATGCAAGTTTTGGCATGTGTAATTATAAACCAAAGGAAAAGCACCCCGGTTTTCCCCTTGCCCCTGTTGGAGAGGGGGGGACCTGTGGTGGAGAGGAAACACCCCACAAATCCCTATAGGGTTCGGAGAGTGTCGGTGGTAACTTTGCATGCTGAGCGTAAGCTCTCATTTCTGGGTTGCTCTCATAAGGGTTATGCATGTGGTTTTCTTTCATAATTGAGTGCCTCTGTTAGTGTGTATGGATATGTGTGTCTATATATACTTCCCACGCCTGCTTCCCGTCCCGTGCATTCTTTCTTCCCATATGTTACTTGGGAAATGTGTGTTTTCCCCATGCTCTTCTGGTCTCTCTGCATTCAGGAGAAAGCTGTGAGTTTTTAGCAAGAGCTAAAATCTTGGTTCAGACATTCAGAATTAGATGGTGCTCCTTTGAAAAAAAGAATTCTCAGATACTTAGAAAGGCATCAGAAGCAGAGGAGAGTTTGCAGTGTTCGCTGAGAGTAGGGTGACTAGCAGCTTATTTAAACTGTAGGAAGGTAGATCTTGGTTAGATGCTATTGGGATAAATGTCTTGTGAATGAGACTCAACAAGGAATCTGGGGTGATTGCTTTCAGGCCCTTTTTATGACTTTGGGATGTTGTCTGGGGTCTGGATACACTAATTTAATCCCCCTTTCCTCTTACTGTACTCTCAGTGTTATCCCTTCCCCATTGTGTACTGTCTGTGAGTGTGGTCTCCATGTGTGAGGCCCAGGGCAATTGCCTCATCAATTAATTAATTAAATTTCTATACTGCCCTACATCTGAGGATCACAGGCAGTTTATAGAGCCTGGCCTCAGGACAATGTGTTTGATTAAATGGCTTCCTCAAAGTACAATTCTGTTTTCAGTGTTCTGTGTACTTGGACTCTCAACTACCAAATTCAGTTTTTAGCCTAGAACAAAGCATCCTAAATAAGCTTGGCTTTTAAAAAAAGCCAAGTTCTCTTGCAGTTATGAAGAGAAGCTTGAAATGGCTAGCAGGAGAGAGAGTAGCTGAGTACAGCCTGCTGTGGTCAAGAATGGAGATTTCAAGGTGACTTAGAAAACACTTCTAAGTTTCTGTACTTTGCTAAGGTATCTAGGAGATGTATGAATTAGCTTTAAGTGATGCTGACAGCACAGTCCAGTGATTGTTAACGTAACTCTGTTGAAGAGAGTGAGATTTCTTACTCCCCAATCGTGCTTGAAGATTGCATCCCGAAAGTGCTGATCTAGGAGTAACTGCTACCATACGGTTCTCTGAGGCAAGGGAAAGTTAATATACCCAATGCTCTTGGGAGTTAAAAGTATACCCATTCCCTGGCAAGAAGAAGTTATTCATGATGAATGGCAGTCTGCAGCAAGGTGACATGTTATCAGTCCATAATGTTGTATACAAAAGTGAGGGTTTGGCAAGAAATAGCATTACTGAAGACTATCCTGAAGTTAACTTTTAATTGGTTCACCTAAAGGTTCCCTCCCCTCATTTATTAAAAATCAGTGTTTTGGGGTGCAAGAAGAAACATTACATAGAATCTGGCAAACAAAATATTTAGAGTAACAGGATCTGGAGTGTGATAGAGAACCCACAAATCCAGTGCTACGCTTAAGTATCTCCGGAATTCAAAAAGATCTCAGCTCTCTTAAAGTGCTTAATGATTCAGTTCACAGTGCACTCAGTATGACCTTGCTTTAGTTGCACAACTATTCTGAGAGTTGGCGGCCTACACTCACTCCCCTGGGATAGGGCTTGAACTCTGCTGTTCTGCATCCAAACTAAGAATGTCAGCTGTGTCAGTTTGTCTCCTGGTGCCATTTGCTCAGGCTTGTAATTTAGACCCGTTTTACAGATGGGATGCTGACAAAACTGGATGTTCTGAGCCCCAGCAGGTCCAGAGTTTCCAACTTCACAGAAATGTAATGTATCTGTTGAGAGCTGTGAAAGTCAAGGTCTTGGGTGGCATACGGCATTGTCGGGGAGGGCAATGTAGGTTTAGGTCATCTGAGTAAGGAAGTTGAAGAACAGGGGTGGGTGGATGCCAGTAAGTTACTTTGCAGGACACTGGTGTCCTGCTATTTTTGGTACTGGATACTGTCTAGTTGCTGCTCTGGCTGCTGATAACTTCCCACACACTCTAGAAGAGAGAGTTAATTGTGAGATTCTGCAGATGTTTGACCCTTACGTATGTTTGAAAGTTGCACAATGCTTAGTAATAAGTCTCTGATCATGACTTGCCAGGCAAACTCATGAGTCACAACCAAGGTGGGACTCGATTTGAATCCTATTTACAAAGACAAGACCACTGCTTCATCCACTGGATTGTACCAAGCAGAAGCAGGTAGGAGTGTGCCTTAAAGCCTGGACTCCTCCGTTAGCTTGCCATGTTTTCCTGTATGTCTGAGGCAGATGGCTCTCTGTGGCCCCCATGAATGGAAAAGGGGTTGCTCAAACTTGTACATTCGCATATGAGACTAGACTGGAAAGTAAACATTTCCTTGGTGTGAACCCTGGTAGTTAGGCCCCTGTTGGAGCTGGCTTAGTGAGGGGATGTGCAATTTAGAAGTATGTCAGCAACTACAGAGCAATGGAATTCACATTCTGGAAAAAGAACAGTCTGTCTATGCTAATGACATTTAGCTGAAGCTGAAACCTCACCTCTGCACTTTCTCCTTCATGCAGACAGTCCTTTAACCCCTTCCAACATTATGGTCTTTTTTTTTAACCTTGGTTCTATGCCCATTTTGGGTCCCGGCAGGTAACTGAGCTAAATACGGTATTAATGCCATGGCAGTGCAGTTCAGGTAGGAGTCTGGTTGGGGGGCAAGGAAGAAGCCACCTTTGTGTGCGTGACTGTGTTGATGTTTTAGAGGTGGGGCCAGAGGGTGGATGGGTATGTGGCTGGTGGCCTTGGAGGCACAAGATTTGAAGTGTCTGGATTCACTTTTTTCTGCCCTCACAGGCCATCGCGGGCTTGAATGGCATGCAGCTGGGCGACAAGAAACTGTTGGTGCAGAGAGCCAGTGTCGGAGCCAAGAATGCTACTCTGGTGAGGAAGGAACGGAACTGCTGGGTGGTGGGAAGAGAGGGAGGATAGGACTGGTGCTGTAAAAGAGTAAGGTTTCTTGCATATATTTGTGTGGGGAGGGGGTTCAGGAAGGTGCCAAGCGGTTCAAGAAGAGTAGGTTTTATCAGTGGCTAGAGTATGAGAAGACTGTTGCCTTTTTGTTCTGCTTGTGAGCTTCCCAGAAGCATCTGATTGGCCACTGAGAAGCAGGATGCTCCTTTGGTCAGATGATCAAGGCTCTTTCTTTCACTGTCTTTTTTGTAAGGGCCAATCTCTCTAGAGCAGAGACATGATTTCTCAATTTGGAATTCAGGGAGCTTCCCTATGTCACTAAAACGTATGTTCAGATCTCCCTCTGTGTATGTAACCAGGGCAAAATACTCTTTTAATCTGTCAGGGCCCAGTTCTGTCCTCACTGTGGTATCCAATAGATCTGGCTCTGTGGTGTGTGGCCGCAGTACATGTGAAGGACCCCTGGTAAAATGTAAAAATGTCATTAAAAAAAGAGGGTTGGTGACTTTCTGCATTGATAATGACACACAACCACCTGCATTAGTTTAAGAGAATGTGGGATGGCACTCTTGTCAACTGATGTACTTGAGTTATATATCGGAGGAAGAGTTTGTTTGCCTGAGAGGCAGGGCTTTAGAACCAGAGAGAAAGTTCCCAAGAACCACATGCCAAAATCTTCATATAGGTGATAATACAAAGGATGACTTCAGCTGCCACCCCTTCCTTTTATGCCAATCCATAGAAACTGAGCTGTCCCCTGTGCTCGTAAGAGGCAGAATTTCTGGGTTTAGTGGAAGGGAAAAAATGCCAGGGCTCCGAGGCTAGGTCTTTGTGTAGAATTGTTCCATGGGAGGATGGGGTTTTGGCAGCAGTGGCATGGTACTCATTTCTGTTTCTTTCCTCTTCCCCACAGAGCACAATAAACCAAACCCCAGTGACCCTGCAGGTACCGGGCCTGATGAGCTCGCAGGTGCAGATGGGAGGTCACCCCACGGAGGTGCTGTGCCTCATGAATATGGTGCTGCCCGAGGAGCTGCTGGATGACGAGGAGTATGAGGAGATCGTTGAGGATGTGCGCGATGAGTGCAGCAAGTATGGTGTTGTCAAGTCCATTGAGATTCCCCGGCCTGTTGATGGCGTTGAGGTGCCTGGCTGTGGCAAGGTACTTGGCAGTTGCTTATATTCATTCTCTCTCTCTCTCTCTCTCTCTCTCTCTCTCTCTCTTTCGGTGGGTGGGTGTGATGGGTTAGAACAGCAAAGTGGATAGGAACAAAGGAAGCAGCAGTCATGTCAGATAAAATGCTGCTGTTGCTAAACATTGACTTAGCACTAGGTAGAAAGGGGAGGGCAAAGTACTGGTTGGATTGCTGAAGTAACATGATTTGCCCCTAGAAAGCTCAAACTCTAGCAGAAAGACATACTTTTACAAAGGCATGTCAAGATTGTATCACAGCAATGCAAGTTGGCAGTTAACAAAAAAAGGGGTTGTGGGTACCAAGTACTGCAACCCTGACTCCTGCCACTGCTGATCCTTCTGGTATTCCCTCTCCAAAGCAGGATTTAAGAGGCAGTGGGTTGCAAAGTACTTTTGTTGGACTTAGGAGCCAGAACTCTTGGAGAGGTGGAAAAGCTTGAAATCTAGTTTGATGCCTTAAGTCCCTGTTAAAATCTTATTGCCACATTATTGTTCTGTGGTACTACACTGATTTAAAAACAATCAGTGCAAATACCTTATTACTTTGAGAACTATAAAGCTACGGTCAGTTTGTCAGAGAATGGGTTGAGTTGTTTCAGCATAATTAGCCAACAAAATCACAGACAAGAAGCATTCCTTGAAGGTTAGGTGCGTTGTGACAGCAGAGCTGATGGCTCAGATACCTTCTTCATGCATGCCCACTCTTGTAAAATAATAATAATAATAATAATAATAATAATAATAATAATAAAAAATCATAATTTATTTATACCCCACCCATCTGGCTGGCTTTGCAGCAGGGCTCTGGATCCAGATCTTACTCCTCCAGTTGCCCATCCCCACAGCTGCCTATGGACGCAGTTTTAAATGGGGTAGGTATACTATTAATTTTTCTTCCTTTCCCCCCCAATCCTCCTTCTAGATCTTCGTGGAGTTCACATCTGTCTTCGACTGTCAGAAGGCCATGCAAGGCCTGACTGGGCGCAAGTTTGCGAATCGGGTCGTGGTGACCAAGTATTGCGACCCCGACTCCTATCATCGCCGAGACTTCTGGTAGCCCAACCCTGAGCCAGGCATGGGGGTGGGGTGTTTTAAGGAGGCAGGGGCAGCTCGCTGGCCGGAGAGGCTCCTTTAGCAACATAGCCTGTTTATATTTTATGGCCAAAATCTCCTGTATTTTTTTTTCTTCCAATTGTCCCAATCCCTTCCTTTTCTATCCCTGCCACCAGCTCCCTCGGCCCACCCCACCCCCTCGGTTTCCCAGTGATGGTTACTCTGTAGTAGAAACGTTGTCTATTTTTCCCCATATCCCCATCCCACTGTGATGTTTCTGATTTTTTCCTAAGAGGAGTTTTGCTCTAAAACAAGATGGGCCCGTTTTGTTGTATTTTCCTTTCCTCTGCGCTGTGTGTATGGACGACTATTTCTCTAGCATTGTCTCTCATAATTAAACATTTTTTCCAATTCCCTGGTGTCATTTGGACATCTGTTCTTTATGTTTCTAATCCACAGTTGCAAGTTAACAAGCGTATGAGAATAACCAGCCCTTGGCCATAGGAAATTGCCTGGTTTATGTATAGATTTAATGATGGGTAGTCCCAGGAACAAAAGACAGAGCAAAATGATAAATCTAAACTTTAGATAATTCCTTCTAAGGAAGCCAACTGTATTGTAGATTAGTATCTGTGTCTACCAGAAAAATTAAGGCAGCATTTTGTAATTAAGAAACTGGCTTAATTACAGTGGTACCTCGGGTTACATATGCTTCAGGTTACATACGCTTCAGGTTACAGACTCCGCTAACCCAGAAATAGTGCTTCAGGTTAAGAACTTTGCTTCAGGATGAGAACAGAAATTGTACTCCGGCGGTGCGGCAACAGCAGGGGGCCCCGTTAGCTAAAGTGGTGCTTCAGGTTAAGAACAGTTTCAGGTTAAGTACGGAACTCCGGAACGAATTAAGTACTTGACCCGAGGTACCACTGCACTTAAAAGTAAAATATTGACTGTCTCAGATGGCATCTTTGTCTTTAGGCCTACCTACTGATGAATAACCTATACATTCTCACCTTTTCTAATGGAAGAAGTAGCATATGTTAACTGTTTCACTGCTCTGCTGCTTAAAGTTCAGGTGGTCAGTCATTAGTGGTCCTTGACTGGCTGGAATACCAGTATACCATGTATGTACTCAATTTCACAGAAGTACATAATTCCCCCAAAACTCAAATCCTCTCTCTCTCGTGTACACACACACACACACACTCTTTTTTCTAGTCCTTATGATCACCGCTTCCTCTTGCCAGAAAACTGCAATGATCTCTCATCACACATAATTTATACTGGTTACAGAGCACAGCTTCTCTTGCTGCAGAATTTGGGGTTCCATCACTGCTGAATTTTGATTCCTTTAGCAAAGCGCCTGCAGCCCTGCCCGTATATATTATCAAGAAGGCTATGATAACAAAACCACCTTGGTTAAAAGAACATCGAGTTTAAGTGATGTAAGCCACCTTGTTAAAAAATTGTATTAGAAAGGTGGGATATGCATTGTCATATAAATAAAAATAAAGCTAATGAGCTTAGAGGGATTTCACTTCTAGCCCAATCCTGCACATGCTCACTTAGAATTAAATTGTATTTTGATCAATGGGGCTTAGTGTCAGGTGGGTGCAGAACTGCAGCTAAAGTCTTGAAAGTTAGTCAAGTAGAAAGTAGCCTGGTAGCTGTTATCTATCCTGTCACACGAAAATCCAAAGGGAAAGTGGTTAATGGAAAATTTATTAGCAACCTGTTGATTTAAAAAATTGCTTTAGAGAGATGCTGAGATGTTGGATACTTTCTCAACATGTACATATTTAAAAAACAAACAAACAAACCAAAAAGTTCAACACTAGCAGTCTGAAGAAATACAGGTGTGTGGGTCTCCCCCCCCCCCCTTAGACAAGAGTTATATTCCGGGCTCCCACACACATTTCTGAAATCCTATAAAGTGAGGAAAACGCTTTAAACACCCTCTGCTACGCTCTCTTCAATCCATACAAAAAAATACTGTATCCCAAAATATCCACAGCTAGAGAACTAAAGCCAGCAGGAGGCTGAAGTGGCGGCTGTGTTACCCTGCACATCAGCTGTTAGGCGGGAAGGCTGAGCAGCATAAACAGCTCCTCTGCACCTCCAGTCTCTCTGGGGCTTCCTGCATCCTCACTGATGTTCTCTTCAGGCTCCTTGTGAGTCACAAGCACTCTCCAGCTCTCTCATTTCTAGGTTTGAATCAATTTATTTCCTGGCGCCTAGCATATATGCAGTTGCACGCAAGTCAGATGCCATGTTAGTGGGAGGATGCCTGTATATATTAGTACCAATAAAAGCAAGCTTTAAGTTCAGGTGTTTCAGGGCTGCTCTGATTCTTGTTTCAGAGTGCTCTGAGAATGTCGGAGAATGTGTACAACTTTTAGGATGAAACTGAGGCAACTCATATCACATTAGTAACCAAGCATGGGCAGGATGGTTTGTGGTCTTCTCTATGCAAAAGCAGGGTCTGTGAGCCTGCCATTTGAAGGTGGGGCCTTGTCTAGTGCACCACCCAACATTATTTCTTTGTATGTTTCCCTTCTGTTGGAAGGACCTGGGTGTACTGGTTGGGGAATAGTAACTACTTGTACTGGAGTTTACATTTTCAATTATTTATTTATTCATTCTATAAACTGGTGATTGCAGGATTCACACATGCTTTATAGGTCAAAAAAGCAATCTGTTTTGCCTGTAGTGAGACTAATGTCATTGTTTCTACATAACTCCATTTCAAAGACGTTATTAATGACAGGTTCTTATTTATTTGCAAGACAAATTACAACACCAACATTAAGAGAAAATGTAATGTTTAAAAACAGAAAATCAACAATAAACAAATGTAAAATTTATCACAAATCAGTAGATCTGATGCATCAGCACAGCTGAATCGACCTTTAGGCAGGGCCTGTGCAAACAGGTGAGTGGCAGGTTCCTAAATGCCAGTATTATCTGTGCCTGCCTGATGTTAATTGGAAGCACATTCCAAAGGACAGGTGCTGCTGTGTTAAAGCCTCTGGTCTTAGTAGACAAAAGACCAATCTCAGGAGCATCCAGCACTGTTTCTTCTGGCGATCAAAGTCACCAGGTGGGAGTATACAAGGTAAGGTGCTCATAGCTTGTATAACTTGGCTGTAAGCTTTGTATGTCAACAGCAAGACCTTAAATTTGACTGGCAGCTTATTGGCTCCCAGTGCAGCTTTTTCAATACAGGTGTTATTTGCTGTTGGCAGGGCACCTCTTCAACAGCTTTGCGGCAGTTTCCAAACCAAACCAATTGCAATGATCCACTTCTGACTTTTGTGAAATTTTGGTTGGCCCTATTGCTATGGAGGATGTTGTGTTGATTTGTTGGGGGGGGGGACGACAATTGCTGTGCAGATTTAAGATGCTGTAGCCTTCATTCTATTTTTCTAGAGAAACACAGAAACTGAACTTCTGTTGAGCATTTCAGACAGAACGAGGACCATTGTCCCTGCTTTCTTTAGCTAACAGCACCTCATTGAACTCCAGTTCCCACAATTCTGGGAGGAGAGGGCTATTAAATAAATGTAAGTGTGTCTGGCTGTTAACCAGAAGGCTGGTGGTTCAAGACCACCCAGGGATGGCCGTGGGCAGGATTCCTGCATCGCAGGGAGTTGGACTAGATGACTCTCGGGGTCCTTTCCAACTCTTAAGATTCTATGACATGTTTGGGCTTCTTGCCTATACTCCCTATACTTGCCTATACTTGGGCTTCCTGCCTATACTCCCAAAAAGCATCTGCAGACCAGAGGAAGCATTCTGATTATTCTTTTACACGTTGCTGAAGGTAGCATCTAGAACTTTTAAGCGCCAATTACCGGTATTTCAGTGTACCGGTACGGTTACCGGTATGCAAGCGACGGGTGTAACTCTTAAGGGGGTCCGCTGCTCAGCCTCTGTGGCCGCGTAAACCTCTGCAAAAGAAACGCTCCCAGTTGGCACCGTTCTTTCTCTACATATCTATGCCAGCTCCGATTGGTCGACTCCCGAGGGTGCGCCCGCAAAGGGATGTCGGCGTTATAGAACTAGACAAAGGGAAGAGCCACCAACGCCGCCGCTGTTCGTGACATTCCCTAACAGCGCAATCAATGTTATTGAGTCCAACGGGGCTTGCTTTCAGGTCAGTGTGTAGAGGACTGCAGCCTAACACAATAGAGTCTCTCCCTTTGCTTTCCAATGCAAAGCATAGGGACCGATCCTATACACACCTGGGAGTTAAGTCCGTCGAATTCAGCAAGTCTTGCTTCGGGGGAGGCGCCGCTTCGCCACACTGGTTCCCTGCCATCAGCTCATTGATTTAATTTCTGTTTTTCACTCATGGGACGAAACAGAGCTGCCCGTACAAAGTAATGAAGATATTCTAGATTCTAGAGGAGTTCATACCGGGCAGAAGTGAGGCAGCGGTCAAGACGGGAGTTCTTGCTCGTTCTAACTGGGATCTTATTTCATGTGTTAAATGTTTGTGCGTATTTATTATATATATATAATAAAATATATATAATATATATATATATATTCATGAAAACCTGCTGCGACAATAAACATAAGGAAAGAAATAGGGTGTTGCAGGACTTTTACGTCTAAACTTTTGGGCTGGTCTTATGTGTTGGTTCTGCATAGGCAGCACTCTGCAATTTCCAATCCCCGATTCCCAAAATGACTGACATGGCGGCACAAGCTCTATCCCATTTTAAATATCACTTCAGGGGAGCGAGTGAACGTGCGAGACGAAAAGCAATGCCAGGATGAAGGCGCGCCGAAGAGACCCGCGTACTTTCCTATGATACACCCCGCTTCTGCCAAGCCGCCAGCGAAAAAAACCGGAAGTCAAGGCTGCGTGAAACGCCCACTTTCCCTATCTCGGCGGCCTTCGTGCGTCTCGACACCCCTCCCGTATACTACCCTTGGTCTCACATCAGTTCCATCTCGATTATCTCTATGATGCCGGAAGTAGCGGTCATAGAAGCGGTAGCAGAAGAAGGGTGCGGGCGGAAGTGGGCGAGCGCTGGAGGCGGAAGTTGCGGGAGGTGAGCTTCCGCTTCCGTTTTGCGGAGAGTCCTCCCGGCGCCGCCGCCGCCACTGCCACTGCTGCCGCTTCTACCCTGTCCGCCGGGAGAGGCCCGGAGCCCCCGCGAGGGCCATAGAGAGGGGCTGGGGTAGAGCGGTCCCCCTCCCCCTTGATCTGTGGGCATTGCCAGGGAGACGAAGGAGTCCGGGGCGGAGTCCTCCCTCAGGCTGGGCCAGGCCGAGGTTTCTCCAAAGGGACGGAGCCGTCGCCTCTCCCCGCTCCCTCCGTCCCCGCTGCCCGCCTGACCCGGAATCCAGCGTGACGCCTCACCCCAGGTAGCCTTTGCCCAAGGAAGCTGCTCTGAACTCTGACCCGCCGGCCCCGGAGTGATCTCTGACCTTCCTGCCTGCGTGACCTTTGAACCCAGCCCCCTACCCGATCCAAGTGCCCCCCGCCTCACGATCGCCGTTGGAAACCCCTCTTGGCCTCGTTCCCTGGGAAAGCCCCACTCCTGAATCCACCCCCCTCGGTGGCCTGGCAAGCTCCCTCCACCGGCGGCCCTTGCAACCCCCCAACTTGTCAAGATCCCCCCGTTTTCCAAAAGAAGCCCCTGGCGATGCCCCCTGGCTGGGGGAAGTGGGGAGGCGGAAGCACCTTCTCTGGACCCTGAGGCTCTTGGGGGTGATATTGCTGCTGACTCCTTCGCCCGCCTAGAGCCTCCACTCACCTGGGGCTCATAAAAGTGTGACCAAGAGAAAGTTGCCCGGAAGATCTGCAGAAGAAGGGACACCGAGATCGTTGTGCCCAGGTGCGTGGCTGCTTGTCTGTAGGCGAACATGGCTGGGAGGTGGTGGAGGCCAGCCAGGAGGCTGTGTGGCAGCAACCCATATGCCCTTTCCTCTTTCCGGGCTGTTAGATTTTGTTACTGCCCTTTCATTTCAAACCATCCAAGATCAGCTCACGGGACAGGCGTGTCCTGCAAGAGTGAGTGGGAGAGGGAGCGCTCTCTGGCATCTCTGAAGTGAGGCCGGCCCCGTGAATGCAAGATGAGTTATATGGAAGGAATTGATTCAGTGGTTCTTGGTTGAAATAGAAGGATTTGCACCTGCCGACTTCCAGCAAATTGATAGTGGGGCTTTATTATTTTTATCTTGTTTATTGAATTTATATGTTGCCCAATACCTGGAGGTCTCAGGGCGGTTCACAGAACAAAATCAAAATATAAAACCACAAAATATATAATCAAAATTAAAAACAACAACCCAATGACACCTCCTCAGCACATTTTAAAAAGAATACAAAATATTATACTCTTTTCTCTGAAATACTAGAAAAGTAATTGACAGAAATTGATTGGGAGTTGGTTGAGAGCAGCAAAGAAATACTGTTTTCTGCTATATGTTCATTACAAAATGTGCTGGCAGTCTGCTTTTTGGTGGCTTTAGCACAGTGTTCAAAATTTCCCAGGCACGTTTTGCTACTGGGACGGATCCAATTGCGACTACGCGGAGATTTCTGGGGGCCAGGTTGGCGACCACAGTTTAAAACCTCTGCATTGGTCCATAGTTAATACCATTTCCATTTCCACTTTGTGTGTTTCTCTTTCTTGCATACTGGGCCAAGTGAATTGTTGTAAGAGCAAGCTACAGTCAAGCAGTGTAGTTGAGGTCATAGAAGTGTAGCATTGGATGGGAGCCTGAGGGTCATCTAGTCCAACCCCCGGCAAATAGACAGTCCGAGTATGCGAGGTTTAAGGTGCCATTTGGTACCTAACTTACATATTTGAGTTTCTAACAGTTCTTCTGCAGAATGCAAACGACAGAATTTGTTTCCAGAAGATGTGGCCAGTGAGCCAGGCAGCTTGAAGAAAGAATAAAGCTGTCAAAGCTTCACCTGTACTGGCTTCAGGATCAGAATTTGTATGCCTCTGAATGCCAGGTGCTGGGGAACGCAAGCAGGAGAGTGAAAAGATACCTGTGTCCTGCTTTGGGCTTCCCATAAGCCTGCGAGTGGCCATGGTGAGAGAGAGAGGATGCTGAGCTAGGTAGGCCTGTGTTTTGATCCTTTAGAGTTCTTCCTACATTCACTGAAAAACCTGTCAGCGATTGCTAGCCAGTAATGATGATGGAACCTCCCTTGGCAGAGATAACATACCTTTTGTTAACTAGATGCTGTGGATGAGCAACAGGGAACACTTGTCCTGGGACACATGGCTGACTATTGTTGGAGATGGAATGGTAGGCTCCAGCAAAGGGAATATTGTGTGATTTTTCAGCTTGTCAGAGCTACAGGAAGCTTAAGCTTGTTCCTTGTGAAATCTTTGCTTCTGAAGCAATTTTGGGTGGGGCGGGGGAGGCTATACTTTGGCCACTTGCTCTTTCATCCAAACAAGCTCCTCTGCCTGTATAAACACCTGGATTTCCTTTCTTTTTTTACTTCTTTACTTTCTAGCTTGGTTCTCATCCTGGATGCAGGAGTGGGACCCTTTGCCTATCAGTGCTGGCTTTGCCACAGAGCTTGTTGTTCTGGTGCTTGAGTTTTCAAGGTGCGGAGTAGGAGGAAGAGAAATTGGAGCGTGGCTTGTTCCTGCTTTCTGCCTCACTCCTCCAGGCCTAGGGCCTAGACGCCACCCCTGCGGTTTTGTTGTGGGTACTTATAGCAAAGCAAAGGTACTCTGTGCATATGCCAAGTTCCTCTTTTTATTATTATGTCCTATCTTGCAGTGGTAAGGCCTTGTTTAAAATTAGAGGAGGCATGAAAGTAGGGCAGGCACCTTGGGATTGGACAGGTGAGACAGAAGAGATTTAATGGTCATTGGGAAAGTTGCATGTCTTGGGGCAGGCAAAGGTACAGAACTGTAAGACCAGAATTGATCTTCCAGCTGTCTGACTTTGAACTATTTTAGGGTCACTCCTAGCTGTTTTGTTTTTATGTATTTTGTGTCCTCTTTCTTTTTTTTTATGTTGTGAACAACCCTGTGATCTTTGGATGAAGGGCAATGTACAAATTTAATAAATAATAATGTTTCGCTCCTGCTGTGAGCACTAGAAATTTGTGTTGCTTTCTCAAGGTGAATTCTTGGGAGTGCATTCCACCATCTGGCTGCTCCTGTTTGCTTTCGTAGATCCACAGTTCTGCCTTGGTTCTTCTTTTGCCAGCTTTTATTGGGGCCTGTGAGATTTTGGCTATGTATTCTTACTAGCTGATTAGACACAAAGTGGGAAGGTGATCTTACAAGGTGAATTAACAATCCACAATTTTTAAAAAAACAAAACTAACATATTTTAAAAATAACTTTATTGTTTATTTAAAAATTTTTTTACTGGTTTTTAAATTGTTGTCTTTTCTATGCTTTTAGTGGTTCTTATTTTTATCTGTAAGCTGCCTTGAGTCTTGTCAAAGAGAAAAGGAGGAAACAAACAAACAAACAAACAAACAAACACAGAGGTTAAATTTGGCATGTTAAGCCAACATATATAATCTTTTGAAACTAAATCAGTGTGACCCACTGTCAGATAGTGGCTAGATTCAGGATAGGAACAGAGGAAGTTGCCTGCTACTGAGTCAGACTATCGGTTCATTTAGCTCAGCATTGTTGGCAGAGTGACAGCAGCTTTCTAGGGTTTCAGACAGGAGAATAATTTGAAGGATTGTCTGAATGCAGCTATTGAGTCCGAGGACCGTTTTTCTGTGTAAATAAGTAGCCACGAACAAATAATTTTCTGATTTCCAGCATTATAAATTGTGACATCATGGGTCCTATGGTTGTGAGTGACGGGACAGATTTCCCTAAAAGACTTGGATACCAGATTCCTCCCCTACCCCCCCAATAATTTCTGCAGTTAGTAAATGTAGATCACTAAATGCTTGAAGCCTTCACCTGGGTGCGAGACAGCTTATCAGTGTAATACTGCAGGCTGACTCAGTTTCCTGGCCAGGAACCACCTGGGAGAAGAACCATCATGTAGTACAAAGGAAGGTAATGGGCAATTGGCACAGTTACCCTGTGCCAGGCAGCAGAGGAGTGTGAGCTCCTCCTCCCATGAGGGGGTGGTGAGCAGAAACAAATGCCAGGTTCAGAATTTCGGTATTTGATGATGTAAGCTGGGAGGGGGAGTTTCAAGTGGGCATTGGGTGGTGTCATAGGCTGGAGGAAAAAAATGTGGCATTTTTAAAACAAGGTTTGAAAAGGCGAGAGGGCAGGAGGAGAACTCCACGTGAGGCTGGCCGGGAGAGGCTGTCTGCTTTTGACCCAAGCCTGCTGAAATTATGAGGGGAGCATCTACAACAACAATTTATTACTTGTACCCTGCACACCTGACTGGGTTGCCCCAGCCACTGTGGGTGACTTCCAACAGAATATAAAAGAACACAAGACACATCAGACATTGAAATCTTCCCAAAACAGGGCTGCCTTCAGATGTCTATGGAAGGTTGTATAATTATTTCTTTGACATCTGACAGGAGGGCATTCCACAGGGCAGGCGCCACTACCGAGAAGGCCCTCTGCCTGGTTCCCAATAAACGAGAGACACTCTTGGGGTGTAATGTTCTGCACTTCCTCCATCAAAACCCAAGTGTAAATATGTGTAAATAAACCATATTTCTGAACGACACTACAGTCTCTGCCGTGCCTCACTCCAAAGGAACAAAAACCCTGGTTAACACCAAGACCCCTGGCATCTCATGCTTCACTTGGCAGAGATTGGAGTGGCCAGTAGCAATATATTATGATGTTGCTATGACTGGATGTCAGAGGCCGGTAAGTTATTGCTGGCACTGAGATGGCTCCATAGACCACCCACTTGTGCCCACCTGGTTGATTGTGCGTACTGTTTTCACACTTTGTAAACCTGCTGTTTACTGACTTTATGAATATTTACTCTGAACAAATAAGAAGCAAATACAAATTGCTCTGCCTAGTAATTTAGCACCAGCACTTGGTTCTGGGCACCTTGTTATCTCTAAACAGGCAGAGGTGCATGGCCTGCAAGCAGCTTGCAGACCGCTTCTGGATTGTTAACTACATTTACATTTCTAGGGCAGGGGTAGCAGTGTGGTCAGGCAGGCGAGTTGAGCAATGTAGGCGAAGGAGAAGTGAAACAGAAAAAAGCAACTCCGGAAAGAAAGAGTGTAAATGCACTCTTTAGTTGTAAATTAGTTGCTTTACTGGTTAGGTTATTGTAACTTAGGAAGAGCCCTGTGGGATCAGGCCCAAGTGACTAAGATGCTTCCAAGAAGCCCACAGGCAGGTCATGGAGGCAATAGTGTTCACCCACATGTCATGCCAATGACGGCTCAGTTAGATGAAGCTCCCCTCCTTCTGCCTGTCCTCACACCCTTTTAAAGGCAAGTTGTGGCACTGAACTCTGTGACTTGGGTGTGCATTGTATGCAGAGAGAGGTATTTCCTTTGTTTGCCCTGGATAATCCAAGAGTTTGATTAGTGGTACCTCCGGTTACGAACTTAATTCATAACTTAATCTGTTCTTAACCCGAAACTGTTCTTAACATGAGGCACGCTTTTGCTAATGGGGCCTCCCACTGCTGCCGTGCTGCTGGCATGTGACTTCCGCGCGCATCCTGGGGCAAAGTTTGTAACCAGGATCATCTACTTCCGGGTTAGCGGAGCTCGTTACCTGAAGCATTCATAAGGAGGACGGTACGTAACCCGAGGGTCCACTGTACACCACTTAGAGATATTTTTATATTTTGAGCAGTATGTAAAAGGTATTATTATTATTATTATTATTATTATTATTACTACTATTAGTCAAGCGGCTCTTACCATTTCCGCTAATGCTTGAGTGAAATTGCCCTCCTGTAACTCAAACCCACCAGATCTAGTCTGGACCTCTAAAGCAGCAGAGAAACAAGTGTTTGCCTCCATCCATACTTGAAGAGTGATATCAAGACGAAATATGCCCACTTCCTTTCACCTTTCCTCATAGGGTTTGTTTTCCATCCCATTCCCCATCTTCCTTCCCTGGACCTGTTCCGATCTGTCTCCTCCTTTCTTACTGAAGAACACAGGTATATCAGCCACCAGAACTAGAGAGAGGATGTAAGCTTCACTAAGGAGCAAATTTTGGTAGGTCTCAAGAGAATTATTGTGGGTTTTTTGCTTGCGTATGCTTCTCTGTGACATTATTTGCATCCTGCCCTTCCTCTGAGATGCACAGAGAGGTGGGGTAGGGTTGAAGCTTCTTCATGGCCAAACTAGGGCATAACTTGCATTTCTCACATACAGACCCAACAGTTTAGTGATTGTGCTGGTTTTGTATCATTCTGTTTCTGATAATGGCCAGATTGAGAACAAGGCAGGAAATCCATCCACGTGCACCGGTCTTCTTTTATTAGGCACTGTCTACATATCTTCGTCTCTCCCTTAGGGACTAGAAACTTTAAAGAAAATTATGAGGACATGGGGTTCTACATCCAGTACAAATTTCTCCCCTCGCAGTTACAGAATGCACACATCTGTGCCTGGTTAGTGCATTTCAAAGCGCAAGGGAAATAAGTTCTGCCAGAAAGAAAATCAAATTCTGTGTGTAGAACTACCCCAGCTTCCATGTGGAAAAGTCCTTGCTCTGTGTAAAGCTGTTCAGAAGGTACTTCATTCACAGCACAGCTCTCACAAAACTTGGTGGACTTTTATCTTCTTGCCGTTGGAATGAGTGGCATCACTCTAGGGGAAGAGCAATTATGTGGGTCAGTGATGTGCAGCTGAAGAGCCTGGAGAGACAAATAATAGCAAGAGACTAAAGCAGTACAAGGCAGAGAAACTTCTCTTTTTAAAAAAATGCTTTTTATTGGTTTTTCATTTAATACCAACAAACAAATTACAATAATATTCAACAGTCGTTTACCCACATTCTTTCCCAACACTCTGCCGAACATTGACTTCCCTCCCTCCCTTCAACAAGTTTTCTTGCTTCAGTCACCTTACCCCAGTTTCTTACTACAGTGGTACCTCAGGTTACATACACTTCAGGTTACATACACTTCAGGTTACAGACTCTGCTAACCCAGGAATATTGCTTCAGGTTAAGAACTTTGCTTCAGGATGAGAACAGAAATCGTGCTCCGGTGGCGTGGCAGCAGCGGGAGGCCCCATTAGCTAAAGTGGTGCTTCAGGTTAAGAACAGTTTCAGGTTAAGTACGGACCTCCGGAACGAATTAAGTACTTAACCCGACTGTACCACTGTATATCCAGTCAACTGTACCACTGTATATCCAGTCAGTCTACGTCATAAGATTTATTTCAGTCCTGTCAGAGTCCTGTCAGAGTCTTCAAATTTCTACAGTTATTATTTATATAGTCCATAAATTTACTCCAATCTATTTGGAATTTTGTTTCCTCCTGATTTCGGATCTTGCAGGTCAGTTTTGCTAGTTCCGCATAATCCACCATCTTTGTCTGCCACTCCTCTATTGTTGGTAAATCTGGTACTTTCCATTTTTGGGCTAACAAAGTTCTGGCAGCAGTCGTAGCATACATAAATAACCTTTGATCTGCTTTTTCTATTTCCTCTCCCATCAAGTCTAGCAAAAAAGCTTCCGGCTTTTTTGGGAAAGTGTATTTGAATATCTTTTTCAATTCATTATAAATCAGTTCCCAAAACTGTTTCATTTTCTCACATGTCCACCACATGTGGTAAAAATCTCCATCTTTATCTAAACATTTCCAACATGTCTTACTACTCATCCTATACATTCTCACCAATTTAACAGGTTTCAGATACCAACGATACATCATTTTCATTATATTCTCTCTTAAGGTGGTACACGCTGTAAATTTTATACTCTCATTCCACAGTTTTACCCAAGCGTCATACTCAATGTTGTACGCAAAATCCATTGCAAAGCACAGAAATTTCTCACAGACATTGCATGCATTCAGATATATAGGCGCATCCATTATTTTATGATCATATATTTCCCCCCCCCCCTTTCAAGTCTAGATTGGCTTGCAGGGCAGATCACAATTAAAAGGGTTATGTTGAGGTGTGGCAGAGGCAGTTGGTCATACTGTCAGGGTTCGCCTCCAGAGAGAAAGAAGGCAAAAAGAATTTCAGGTGGACTAAGAAGCTGACTGATAATAAACTCGTAGAAGCAGCCTTTCTCTTAATTCATGAGGTCTAGCAACTTGCTAATTAAAAAAACCCTGACATTCTTTCTAGGACCTCCGTGGATCACCGCATTCTGTGTTGGATGCAAGATTCTACACATGCTTTCCTATGAAGTTAGACCGCTGGTCTGTCTAACGCAGATGGCAGCAGCAGTTTTCCATGGTGTCAGGCTGGAGTGAAAACAGACAGGAGGCAGGGCTCAGACAGATGTCTTTGTCAGAGAGGGAAGCATCATTGCAGTCAGTTTGCTGGTTAACTTGAAAAATCTGGAGTCTAATTGGATTGTAATCCCTGCTGTCTACAGTAAGGATACAGTGATTTAGTGGCACTGTTTCATCTAAACTCCCACAATGAATTCATGAGTACCACCACCCCCCACACACACATCCAACCAGTTATTTTCCTCATTTCGTCAAGGAAAACTATTTTATATCTCTCCAGTTATCTGCAAACGTCACTTGGATTTACAATACCATGTTTTTCATTGTTTAAGAGTTTTCATCAAATGCGAGACACTGGCAGGGGTGGAATCTCTTATCCCAGAGGCTTTGTTTAGTAGTCCAAGTAATCATTCTGTCCTCTTGCCAGACTGTGGGATGCAGGAGGAGGAAGGGAGGGCAGAAGGGAGATTTAAAAAAATGATGGCGGGGAAACGAGTGCCCGTAACCGGAGGCTTTCGGTCCATTTCTCTTAGCAAAAGTAGCTGTCCTTGGAAACTGTGAAGGAGGGAGGGCCTTTGCCAAAGATGTGTTCATTGAGAGGTTATTTGGAGTTGGGGTTCTGGCCAAGTTCAGAGTCACTGGGACAACACAGGTGGGGGGGCACTGGATTGGGTTTGTTCAGGGAGGCTTTAACCCGCCTTTCCACACAGTTGAAGCAACAGAACTCAGTCTTGAATAAAAGAGGAGACAATGTGGAGTAGTGGTTAGAGCAGGGGTTGCCAACAGGGCACCCACCAGACATTGTTGGGCTCCCAGCTTCAGGGATAATGGAAATTCTAGTCCAGAAACATCTGGAGGGCATCATGTAGGCTGTGCCTGGGTTGAACCCTTGAGTTGAGGGAGTCTTGAGTTCAAATCCTCACTCATCCGTGGACTTCAGTAGGAGAGCTGGGACCAGTCACTACCTGTCAGCCCAACCTACCTCACAGGGTTGTTGTGAGAGGGCAGAGAGCCCACTGCCCTGAGCTCCTTGGAGAAAAGGGCAAAGGATAAGCTTAATAAATGTCTGAACCACTGCACCGTACTTTCTGAGTGGCTTTCCTTTTAACAGTTAAGAAATCAGTGCTTGGCTAGATGTTGAATAAATCTTTCTACGTTGGGGATGTAGAATATGTGGCTCTCTGGATGTTGTCATTTTGGTGGCTTATTATATAACAGGGGTTATTTCATCTCCCCGTACAGGTTGAAGAATAAAATAGTTAGGATGGCCTTTCTTTTCAACTGTAATAACTTTTCTTTACAAAATTGTAAGCTATCTTTAACAAAGCCCCCCTTGGAATCCTTGAAAAAGTCCCCTTTTACTGAGATCTTAGAGAATATAGTCTGATCCAACTAGCACGAGTAGGTGGTGGATGGGGAGCCACATTGGTGCAATGATTTATAACCGCTGGCTCCTAAGCCAGGAGCGCCACTAAGCTAAGCTCCATTCAGCTGAGTGTTGCAGGCATGCCATGATGTGGTGGTCTCAGTTGATGCCTGTGTGCCTCTGCCCTCTCCCACTGGATCTTCTTCAGCCGCCTCCAGTGTGTCTGTTTCGGAATTCTATGGCTTGGAGGCAGCGTAGAGAAAAACCGGAAAGGGGTGGAAGGTGGAAGTTTCCAGAATCTGGCCACAGTGACTCATTCCTCAGCAATGTGGACTTCCTTCCTTTTGACGTTTAAGAATGTTTGGGGGTCAGGCAGGGCCAGGGGCTCCAGGAAGCAGCGGATGGGTTTGGGACAAATGCAGCGAGTTGCACATCTTCCAGCCTTTGCTCCTCTCGGCTCCCAGCAGCTTGTCCCTTCCTAGAGACCCCGAGAGCTTTGCCTAGTCCACAGGTGCGGAGAGAGATTGTTGAATCCCGTACCTGATGATAGGAAGCTTGAGGAAAGTGTATATTGTGTATGTGTGCATGTATGTGTAGTTGCTGGAGTGCTAGACTTAAGACTAGGGCGATCGCACAAACATCTACCATCTATTACCCAGTGGATTGAATACCACACACTGCCCTTTCTATGTTTGAAAGCATGGCTTATAATCACCAATTTCATTTGGCCTGCCTGTGTTACTTTATATGTTTAAATCGAGACTGGTGGAATATTCTTATTGCTAACGTCATCTGGCAATGCGTGTTGTGGTTTATTAGTTATTTGGGTGTTTTTTCCTGTTACGTTATGAAATAATTGGGGAGGGGAGGAAGACAGGTTCAACTCCTTGCTGGATTATATAGCTTTCTGGAGTGGCCTAGGGCTGGTTGCTGTATGTTGGCCTGACCTATTCTACAAGGCAGTTGTGAGGATAAAAGGAGGGAACTATTTAAGTCACCCTCAGCTTTTTGGAGGAAGCATGGAATAAAAATGTAAAATAAATTTTCTGAACAGTGGATCTTGATCCTGGAGCCTGATGCTCCTTTGATCAGAGGGAGGGTATGGCATGCATCGTTCTTCTTTCCCCATCTTCTCCCCACCCCGTCCCTAAACAGGGTTGGGTGTGACACTCTTTGGGCTGCCTCTCACATCCCAACAGGTTGGATCTCCAAAAATTGTTAGACTGCAAATCCCATCATCCCTGACATTGCTGCTTGGGAACGATGGGGGTTATAGTCCACCAAACTCTGGAGAACCAAGACTGGGGGAAGGCTGCCCGGGGAGGTGGGCGTTGTTCGCCTCTGTTTGAAGTGCTGGACTGGAGCCTTTTTGCTTCCAATCCAGAACAGGAAATTCTTACCCGGCTATTGAACAGCAGAAGTTCTGAATCCCCCCTCTCCTGGTTTTGTTTGCTTCTGAAGTGTCTAGCCCTCAAGAATGTGCAGAGAAGCTTGATAGATAGTGGAAAGATAGGGAGAGTTCTTAGAAAAGAGGAAGGGGCGGAAGAGGACTTCCTTTGGTCTGAGGGAGAGGGTGGCTCCTTCTGAATCCTTTACGAGTTATCAGAATGAGAGATACAGATTGAAGCAGCAAAGCCTTGGAGACGGAGGCCGTTTCTCTTACCACAGACTAAAAAGTTGCTCTCCTTCTCTTGCCAGGCGCGTCTTGGAATGGCTGCCATGCCTGGATGGCTTCGGAGGGTGCCCGCAGCACACTAGGGACCCTCAGCCAAGCAGCACCAGGGCGGCTGCGGTGGCCTCGCCCCTCGGGAAGCCAGCCGGGACCCGGGAGGCCACCTCTCCTGGCGTGAGCCGGGCCCGTCTCAAAGCCGTCAACGGGAAGCTCGGGGAAAGGGGAGGCCGCCCTCCCCGCTGCCCACTCTGACAGCCGCCGCCATGTCGACCTCCTCGCTGCGCCGCCAGATGAAGAACATCGTGCACAACTACTCTGAGGCGGAGATCAAGGTGCGGGAGGCCACGTCCAACGACCCTTGGGGCCCGTCCAGCTCCCTCATGTCTGAAATCGCAGACCTCACTTATAACGTGGTGGCCTTCTCCGAAATCATGAGCATGATCTGGAAGCGTCTCAACGACCACGGCAAAAACTGGCGTCACGTCTATAAGGTAACGAGCTTGGCGGTGGTGGATTCAGTTTCCCTTGGTCATGAAAGGCGGCTCTGCCAAATCGAGGGAGGTTACTTAGCTCAGTTGTAGCATGTGCCCTTTGCCTGTTTAGGGCCTCAATTTCAGGCCCAGGTAACTTGGGGTGAAGCAGCGATAGGCAGTCTTTTCCCAGACAAGGGCAGGGTTTGGGTTTTGGTGACCCGTAGGGGACCACATGATTGGGGGGGCGGCGGTTTACTGCCAGATGGGGCAGCAAGGCCAGATCAGAAAGGCACAGAGACGGTATCTCAGCTGCAGGGAAACTGCCATGAGTACCACTTTGCAATTGCTTTTCCATTGCATAAGGAAATATAAAACCTTGAGCTCCCCCAGCGCCTTGCCTGTGCTTGCTTCTCCTTGGTGTGAGCTTTCTTATATCTGGTGAAACTGATGACGTTGCTACTTTCCAATGGTTCTCCAAATTCAAGCCTCATGGTTGCAGAGTGACAAGTGAAAGTATTGAAGAGAAGTGCTGAAGGATCTTGGCTGGCACAAGGCTGAGAAAGTGGTCCCTCCAGGGACCTTGGACTGGAGTCTCTGCCAATTGGGGAGTTAACTGTTCTGGCCTTATTGGAACATTTGTTCTGATTTGGTATCAGACAAATGTTAGATCTCGTTTTTAGAAGCCCCTCTGGCTAGTGCTTTGGGCCTCTTCCACCACTCTACTTCTGTGAAGAATTACGCACAATCTTTTCTCCCTCTCTCGTAATACTTGAATGACCTTCCTCATCCTGGCACCTTCTGTATGTTTGTTGGCATTCAGCCAGCAGTGCCAGGGATCAGGTGTGCTGGAAGCTGGAATCCCGTTTTTCTCCTTCTTCTTCCAGGCCATGACGCTGATGGAATACCTGATCAAGACGGGCTCAGAGCGGGTGGCGCAGCAATGCAAGGAGAACATCTACGCCATCCAGACGCTAAAAGACTTCCAGTACGTTGACCGTGATGGCAAGGATCAGGGAGTCAATGTGCGGGAGAAGGCCAAGCAGCTAGTGGCCCTCCTCAAAGACGACGAGCGTCTCAAGGAGGAGCGGGCCCATGCCCTCAAAACCAAGGAGAAGCTGGCCCAGACTGCGACCGGTGAGTGCTCATTCCCAGCCGGGTGGCCTCAGTCAGGCTGGCAAGCGTTGCCTAAACTGTTTAGATGGGTTGTGGAGCCTGTATGGTGTGGCTGTTAAGAGCAGCCATTGCCAACCTGCTGCCTCCAGATGTTTGAGACTTCAGACTCCAGCCAGCTTGCCCAGGTGGCTGATGGGAGTTGTAGTCCAAAACATCTGGAGGGCACCACGTTGGCTGGGATGGAGTATAAGCAGGTTCAGATCACTACATAGCTGTGAAATTAACTGTGCAACTTCAGGACAGTAGCTGTTTCTCTGAGCTCAGGAATGGCCAGTGTGGTGCCCTCCAGACGCTGATGGACGACATCTCCCATCATTCCTAACCCTTAGCCATGCTGGCTGGGGCTGATGGGATTTGGAGTTAGACAACATCTGGAGGGCAACACATCTGCTAACACAGCCTAAGTTATTGTGCAGGGTTGCTGTGTGAATAATACAGTTAGGATACACTCAACTCCCCCGTGCACAACCAAACTGCAAGGTACACTACATAAAACCCAACTCAAGGGGGATGGGATAAACGTTTTTATATAGAAATAATTTTTCAAATGTCGTTTGTAGCGAGCACAAGCAGTTAGAAGGGGAGGTGTGAGCTCTCCCTTGACCCCCTCCCAATTGAGTTAAGAGTGGATTGTTTGGGTTCTAAGGCAGGGGTAGGCAGCAGGTGAATTGGAACCTGTTGATATATCATCACTGAATTGAGGTAGATAAAGATTTCTGATTCCCAATCGTTTAACAGTGGCAACAATAAAACGATCCCCTTCCAAATTATACCACTGGCATGAAGAATGCTTGGGGGCAGTGGCTATAACCAGGAGTGAATGTTTGTTAGGAAGGAGAAGGAGCTCACTTTTCTTCTGCTTTTCAGAACTAATCCCAGTGTTCAGCATGGGTTTAATGCCCAATGTCCACCTTTTGCACTAGGCTCCAGTTAGTGGATCTTGGGGGTTCTAGTAAAAAACAACCCCAAGCACTCAAAGTAGATTCTTCAGGCTTGAAAGGCCTGTTCCAAGGTGGTCTCCTATAGCAGGAATGGCTATAGGCAGCCCATGGGCCAGATCCACCTGCAAAACAAACTGAGGTGAGGAGTGTTAAACAAGGTGCAGTTAGGCAAAAGTGTGCATCATTCTGTTTGTAAGGAAAAGCAGCAACGGAATGTGTGGGTTTGTGCTTGCGCTGTTCTCTTGCCACCACCTGCTAAGGCTGGGAAGACCAAAGGTCCACTGCTAGTTAGCACCTTGAGGTGAGTCCTTGAGGAAGGTACTGATATGCCTCTGAATACCAGTTGCAGGAAACTGCAGGCAGGGAGAGTTGCCGTTATGCTCAGTTCCTGCTTGCATGCTTCCCACAGGCATCTGAATTGGCCACTGTGAGAACAGGATGCTGGACTAGATGGGCCATTTGTCTGATCCAGCAGAGCATTTCTTATGTTCTAATGAAGAATGATAGTTCCCCAGGCCTTCTACCTCTGTACTGAAATAACTTCTCACCTTCTGTGTAGGTCAGGCACCCCCAAACTCGGCCCTCCAGATATTTTGGGACTACAACTCCCATCATCCCTAGCTAAAAGGACCAGTGGTCAGGGATGATGGGAACTGTAGTCCCCAAACATCTGGAGGGCCGAGTTTGGGGATGTCTGGTGTTGGTGCTTTCTGTAGCTGGAAAACTCTTTAGTGCTAGGTCATACCAGACCAGGACATCATCTGAGCCATATGATGCAGCTGTAAAGCTAAGCAGGTTCAGGCCTGGTCAGTAATTGTCTGGGAGTTTTAGGCATGCCACTGGACTTTCCTCATGGGAGGAAAGTGTGATGTGGATATAATATTTTTATTGCAGAGCTCGACAGTCTGGACAGGAACAGGAAGCTGGATTCTTCTGGCCACCAGACCACTTATGGTGGAAAATATAGCCTCCCTTAGCAAAATAGTGGGTTGTTCCCATGGAGTAGCCTTCTCCAACCTTGTGCTCACAGCTTTGCTGGCTTGGACTGACAGCGGCTGCAGTCCAAAACCGTCTGGAGAGCAGCAGCTTGGGGAAGGAGGCTGAAGAGATTAGAAGATGGTGTACAAAAGACCCTTCTGTGAGGATACTGGATAGAAGAAAAACCACATGTTCCTCTCTTGGGTTGTTCCTTGAAGTTGTCCTGGGAAGGTCTTTGGGGCCCGTCCCTATGTTGTTCCCTGTTGGTTCTTCTCCTGAAATGTCACCTGCTGAAATGTCAGAGACAGCCGCTCATCCCTGATAAAATGTGGCTCTGGCTCTGCAAAACCATGTTCCCCTCCCTCTTGAACTTGGCGGGTCGCCAGGCTCAGAGGCTAAGTTACAGGCCTCTGTGATCTGTCAGTGCCCCCTTTCCATTTTGATAACCCCTAGATCAAATTCCAACTCTGTTGTTTGCAAAGTGCCTGGCAGGGCAGAATGAGATAAGGAAATGGGAGTAGCTTTTGCTTCCTATTCTAAACTGCTCAGCAGAATTATGAGGAATTGGTTAAACATTAGAGGCATGTAATAAGCAAGAGGCAGGGGGAATTTCTGTCTTCCAGTCTGCTAAAAGGGCTACAGCCCATACTGAATGAGCTTATCATTTACCCCTTATCCGTATTCCCACTTAAAAACACCCCCACCCTCGACGTGCAGAGAGCCAGTCTGCTGCTATTTATTCTTCTGGTGAACACCCAAAGTCCAATGCTTCAATCACACAGACCACCTGATCTCATTCCTAAGCCCATTGATTGAAATACAATACAATAAATTCCTGAATACAGTCGCTTCTAAAGTGGACTATAGACTTTAAAACTATAAAATCACAACTGCAGATAAATAAAAAGCAGCAGCAGCAGTTCCACTCAGCCTACGGCAGTCCTGAACATTGGCTTCTCACTCTTGGATGTATCAGGATTCCTGCGGTGATTTTGGGCTGGGATAGCACAGGATGACCTGGAACAAGGCAGGTTATCCTGATGAGAAAAGCAGAGAGTGGGCAGAGCCTAACTAGAAGAGATAGTAGAGAGCACTTTTTATTTAAAAATAGCTCCCACCACCACTTCAGTCAGGTATATTGGGTGACCCCAAGTTCTAATTTTGGAGTAGAGAAGAGGCCATATCTCAGTGGTCAAGCGTGTGCTTTGTATACAGAAAGTCTTGGGTTCAACTCCTGGCATATCTTACTTAAACGAGTTGTATATCAGGTGCTGAGAGGGACCTCGTTCTGCCTGAGATGCTCGGGAGCTACTGCCAGTCAGAGTAGAATAGGTATGGGGGAACTTTTGGCCCTCCAGCTGTGGCTAAATGATAAATCCCAACAGCCCCAGCAAGCCTGGCCAATGGCCAAGCCTGATGGGAGTCAGCGTTCAGCCATGGGTTCCCAACACCTGAAGTAGACAATACTGTGGGCTAGATGGACAAATAGCCTGATCTGTTCTAAGGCAGCTTCTTGATTCCTTGATCTGGCTTGTTCTGAATTCTGCTGCTGTTGCAGATTAGAAGTTCCATTTTTCTCTTCCTCTTCTTCCCACCCCAGCCTGTCCCTAGTACTGGCAGCATTGGCAGTTTAGGCCTGAGGCTTCCTCATTAGCTGGCCTCTCTTCGGAGGACAAAGTGTGTGGACTGAAGCTTGGATGGAGCCAAAAACTGTTTCTCAAAAGGGTAGTTGCTGGAGCCTTCCACGTGGCTTGGAAGACATTAAGAAACAACTGCAAATTAATTGAGCTCTTTGCCTTTCAGTTATCCTAACTCTTGATTCAGAACCTGCTTTCATGCTGGGTGTGTCATATCAGTTGAGCTTTAAGCCCAGCCCTACAAGAAGTGTTCTCCTTTGGTCTTGCGGAGAACTAACTCTTTAGCCTACCATCTCTTTCTTTGGGCTCATATAATAAAGCCACAGTGATCCCCCCCTTAAGTTGTTAATTGGAATAGCCAGACAGGTTCCAGAAGGGCACATAAGCACTCTGGATAGTTCCAGGTTGAGGGAATCCCTAAAAGTCCACACCTCGACAGCCCAACTTCTGCTCTTTTATCACCCTTTACCGTTTCCCAAATTAACACATTGTTTCCCATCTCTTTATATACTATTCTTCCCCCCTCAATTGCACCCTCATCCACAGTCTGCCGTTTTGATGGGCCCAACATAGATGATGAATATTCTGTGGTTGCTAGGCAACTGCAGGGCCGGTATGAGTCTGCTTAGAGGCCTAGGAAGCCACATATTTGGTGTTTACTAAGCCCTTCCCCAGGCCCACAAAACTCCTCAGTGTGGCTCCAGAAAGCCAGTAAGTGGCAGCTCAGTCAAGTTTGGGAATAAGTATCTCATTTCTCCACTGAACAGATGGGACTTGTTCCCGAGCAAGGCTAAAATATGCCAATGACTCCCCTTAGTTCATCGGAGATAATTACATTTTTGCTCCTTTCCATTCCAATCCACCTCTTTCTTTCTTTCTTTCTTTCTTTCTTTCTTTCTTTCTTTCTTGTCAAGGATGAGATTTGGGAGAGACCAAGCTCTCCAAATATGCCCTGTACATTTTGACAGATTTGCGTTATCTGAAGAGCACGCAAGCGTCGGTTACACAAAACCTTTTCCCGGTGGGCAAAATAACTTTCCCATTAGCTGACACAGAGCTCAAAAGCTTGCAGCCTCCCGTTTGTGAGAGGAATTTGGTCTAGTGCTGTCGTATGTATTTCGGCCGGGCTTGTGTGTGTGTGTGTGAGAGAGAGAGAGAGAGAGAGAGACTCAACAGTTCCCTGCCGGGTTTCCCTCTGACAGGGAAAACATGCCCACAGAGAAAGATTAGTGAATCATCTGGCAGGCAAGTTCCTCTTTTGAGGGTAGATCCATGTACCAGGCTGGCAGAACTTGTTCCCTTGAGGAGAAAGTGGTGGTGGCGATAATGAAGGAAAACTGTAATGACCTTGACTATAGCAGGGAAAGCCACTGCTCTCCCTTTCCTCCCTCGGCCACCTCCGTCTCAGCCATGGCCGGAATCCCACCTCCATGACACTGCTTTGTGCGGTCGCCTGCATCCCTGCGCTAATGAGGGATGGCAGTTGGTGCCAGGCTGTCTAGGGGGTGGGGTAGACTTCTATTCAGGTCATGGCACAGCGACTGGGCCATTCTCCTCTCTCTGCTCTGTCACCACCCCCAGCCATCTCTGCCAAGGTTCGGCCAGAGACTGGGGCTGGATCTTCCACGGTGTGACGGCTGTTCCATCCATGTTCTATTAGCTGAACCAGGGTCCTTATTTCCCCACCCCTCTCCTGCGCATGCTAATTGCTGACATGTATCAAATGTGAACCTCATGCTGCAGTCAGGTGTGCCTCCTACCAGTGGTTAGGGGAAATGTCCACCTGCTTCCCCACAATTTCTGCAAATTTCTAAAACTGATCGCAGTTTATCCCGTTGGCTCAGAGCAGATGATAAAGTTAAAAAGGATTGCTTTTTTATTATTACACTCTGCATGGTGTTTGACAAAGTTGCAAGGGACAGCTCCCAGCCTGGAAAAACTGGAAAAATAAAATATGTTCATACTCTAAGTAGGCCAAAGTTAGTGCTAGCTGCTCAGGAATCCACTGAGCTCACAGAACCATCAGAGCCCAGAATACAAGGGGCCTGGAGAGATTGTGGGGCAGAGAAACATAACCTGCCGCCAGTTAACTGCACACCCACTTTTTCTGTAGTGGGTCACTTTTTGCCGTGGAGAATTAGTAAAATTTCAGGCCCCTGAGCAGCTAAGGATTTTGTATAGGATTTCAGTCCGTCCTATGATGTGGCAGCTTCCTGGGATTTGGAAATGCTTCAGCCGTGACTTCAAGGCTTCCCTGGTGTTAGAGCTGAACAGTGTGGAAACCCTTCTCGCTGTTTTAATTGGGTGCCCTTCTCCAAGCTATGGCTTGTCCATTTGTACATTCTCTGGCTGAGCAGAGATTGGCAGCTGGGTCTAGTCAAGTCCTAGTCCACTGCTGTGTAGGGGAGGGCAAACTTGTGGGATTCATTGTGTGCTTTGCAGCTGGAGCCAAATTCAGAGTGGTGGGTTGGGAGGGGATGGAGTCAGTTACCCACTAAACCCCATACTGGGGTAACCTGTGTGTGTTACAAATACAGATCTACACCTCAGTTACCATAGAGCAGGAACACAAAAGTTTAACACTGATTTGCAGAAAAGCATAGTCTTGATAGTCCTGTTTTACACTGAGGCTGAAAGAGAAGCATTTAGCACAAGGGCAGCCATGGGAAAAGGTATTCAGTTGTGTGTGTTTTTTATATTGCTATTGTTTAACTCTTGAAAGTCTGAACCCATGCTGATCTACTGCAAATAACCCAGAGATCTATAAGGTAGATTCCAGTTTGCCTGTCCTTCTGCTGTTTTTATTTTTTTACAGGTATTAACAAAAATTATATACTGCTTTATTGTAAATAAAACCTCTGAAAACCACTACACCATGGTTTGCTTTTTGCTCTCTCTAGTGATGCTACCTCCCCATAGCACTCTCCTGCCTGCTGTGTCCAGCTTGGACACCTTGTCCACCTTGGTGGTATTAACCCTTTCCTTTCCCACCCGCTTTCTTGTTTCTCAGCTTCTTCAGCTTCCTCATCTTTGGCAAATGCCCCAGTGGAAGCGGAGCAGGCTTGGCCCCAGAGCAGCGGGGAAGAGGAGCTGCAGTTACAGCTGGCGCTGGCCATGAGCAAAGAGGAAGCGGAGCAGGTAAGCGCCAAGGTAAATCTGTCACTGGCGACTCTTTGGATGGGCAGGGAGGGAAGGGATGTTGGGGGTTGTGGACGTTTGGAGAGAGATGTGGGTACGCCCTGCTCCCCCAGATGAGGGGATCTACTGTTGTGTTCTCAAGGCTTCTCCTGCAGGCAAATAATAAAAGCTGACTAGGAAAGCAGAGCTACAAGCTCTTTTAATTTGGCACTTTCCTAGAGGAAAAGCCTTTCCCTCAGATCCAGCTGGTTCTGGCTCAGAAGCGGGCAGTCCATGGAGGTGCTGGCCTGCTAATCTGCTTCCTGAGCATGTCCCTTGTATTCAGAAATTGAGTCTTATTCAGCTCCCCCCTCCCACCATGATTACCAATGGGAATAACAGGGGCAAGCCTGTTGACCTCTCTCACACTTACCCATTGATATTTCTGCAGCCCCCCTCACCGCCCTGCAATTTGGGGAACAAACATGGTAATCATGTTGAAGGGAGGGAAGAGCCAATCTGTGGTGCTCGTGAGAGGAAAGGAAGTGGATCATCTCAGGTTTTTATCCCCCCCCCCCTTGACACACTTAGTGGTGATACCAACTATATTTGCACAGGATAATGATAAGGAAGCGGGAGGTGGATTTGACCTCCACACCAGATAGCATGATCCCAAAGGCTCCCCTCCACACTATTCTGCACCTTGTATGCTTTCTCCCAAGCTGAGACAGAAGCAAAGGATTCTTTCGCCGCCTCTTTCTCAGCCTCAGTGGCAACTGAGGCCAACTGGAGGCCCTTCAGATATTCCCATTGTTCCTGATTACTGACCTTACTGGGAGGAGCTTGTAAGACAGTCCAGAAAGCCAGAGGCCTAGGAGCCTGAATGTTCCCCAGTCCATCTACCAAGATCACCTTTGGAGATCCTCTCCTGGGGTCTGCCATGATTTAAAGTGAGACGGGGCCTTTTCAGGGATGGCCTCATTTATAGACAGTGTTGACACCAGGGGTGCTTACCTACCAAGTGCCTCATAGTAGTGCTTTTATTGGCCATTAAAAAGGAAGCCTCATTGTTTTGTTATCTATTCTGCTTGGTATTGATGTTTGTCTTTTCTATGTATACTGGCCTGAAAATATTTTTATTGAGCAGCAGCCTTAAAAAAAAATCTTCAGATAAAATGATGCACTCAGTGAGAGGGCTAAAGAAGATTTTGCTTTTGCCTTGGCTTATGAGAGAGTGAACAAAGTCCAAAAGGAGGATCCTGGTAACTTAAAACACACACGTTGCAAGATTCACCATGGCTTACCACCCTGCACCAAAAAAGGTTCACTAATTAGAAAGCACCAGGGAGATTTGGAGCACCATGTAAAATGTATAGAATTCATAGAAATACATCCCATTAGTCCTGGGGCAAAGATCCATTTCAGCCCAGCAGGCCCAGACCCTCCTGACCAGCCACCCCAATAGTTAAAAGATGGTTACTTTTGTAGTAGTTGCATAAATTGGTTTTACCAAATCAGATTGCTGAAACTGTGCAATCCCCCCCCCCAATCAAATACTTAACATTTTGGCCCAGAAGGGCATGAAGTTCATGCCTCCTCCGTAAATGAATATTTTTTGGTGGAGTTGTAAATTGGTGGGCAGAGCTGATTCAGCTATTGGCCAATGTCAGCCCTTCTGGACCTTCCAGCTCTTGCTCAATTTAAAAAATATGCCCCCTGTTCGTTTGGTTTTTTTTAAAAAAAAACAATAACTGCTGACCAGGAAGGTGGGGGAAGGGAGGACATGAGATTTATGCTGACTCAATGAACAGATTGACTTGTCCAGCTTTGTTTCTAGTGTGTGACCCCCTCTGGGCAGACGCTGCTAGCAGAGCCTTGTGGGCGGCTGAGCTTTTCCGTAAGCATTTTGGTAATGAAGTCAGTCCCCGTTGGGGGAACGGAACCCTAGAGTTGCTGGCCACACGCTCCACTGGCCCACGTTGGGAGCAGAGGCTGATGGGTAGCGGGCCGGTCTGCTAGCTGCCATCTTGCGCCGCAGTGCATTCTGGGTAGAAATGTTAAAAGGTTTCAGGGTAGCTGTGGGTCTGTTTATTCATTTGTTTGTTTTCCTCAGTACTACTTGTGGTTTGAGAGGAATGGGGGGAAGAGACAAAAGCGAGGCACAGATGTGTTTGAACCGACGTTCCCCGGCAGGAAATGGCTTTTTGATTGAGATTTTTCATCCAGATTTTCGCACAGAGCCCCCCTGCGGTGACGAGCTCTCCCTCCTGGCTGGGGGAGATCGGGAATGCTTCCGTTCTCTGTCGCACAGGGTCCACACGAATTGATCCTGCCCCCTCAAAGACACCAGGTTTTGCCTACCTTTTTTCTGTTGTATGTTAACCTCTCCCGCAGCACCAGACTCCTTAGCAGCGCTGCCCCCCCCCCCCAACCACCCAGGATCGTGTGGGCTGCTACCTTGTTCAGGTTTGCCTGCCAGTCTTTCTCAGCGGAACAACACAAATTGCTCTTGAGCCATCAGTCTTGGCGCTTGAGGTTTTCTTTAGCCCCACACTCTATCCAGTATAATAATTATAATTAATGCTACTTGGGCCTGCTCTTCCTTTGAGTGAGAGGATGGAGGAGGGAGCTGTCTCCCATCCAGACACCCACCAGTTCCCTGCCCACAGAACTTCTGTGATTCTGGCAGCCCTTTGTCCCAACCTGTCGCCCTCCAGGGGCTGATGGGAACTGTAGTCCAGAGCCTCTGGAGGGGGGCCACTAGGTTGGACATAAGGCATGCAGCTCCCATTGGCTGTGCCCAGACCTGCCACTCAACACACGCCACGGCCAATCAGACCCTAAGTCCTGCTTTTTTTTTTGTCGCCTCCTTTCCTTTTCTGTGGCTCCTCCCAAGTGGGGTGATTGTGTTTGCTACCCCCATCCCAACCCTTGTCCGTTTAATTTTGGCTCCTTATTTTTGCCACCTTACTTCCACTTCCCTCCTCTTCCTCCTCCTCCTTCATGCCGCATTTCCTTCCACTTTGCCCTTGTTGTTTTCAAAACAGAAGGCCGAAAGGGAGGGGGGAGAGACAGAAAGACCCACAACAATTTAACTTTACTATCCAGGGAACTGAGCTAGAAATATTTATTTATTTTGAGGGGTGGGGGGAGGTGCCTGTTTCTACACCAGAGATGTCCAGCCTTGGCACAAACGACTCTTTCTTTCCTCCCCCCCCCCTTTCTGTCTGAAATAGTTTGGGGAGTCGCATGTCCTTCAGCATGAAGGGCTGAAGCTCAGTGGCAGAGCACCTGCTTTGCATGCAGAAGGTTCCAGGTTCAATCCCTGGCATCTCCAGGTAGGACGAGGCAAAACTCCTGCCTGAAGCCCCGGAGAGATGCTGCCAGTCAGTGTAGAAAATGCACAGCTAGGTAGACCAGTGGTCTGACTCTGTAGGAGGCAGCTTCCTATGTGACAGGGGCACTGAACCTGCGACCCTCTATATGTGTTGCTGGACTCCAGTTCCCATCAGCTCCCAGGCAGCATGGCTGCTGGTCAGGGCTGATGGGAGCTGTAGTCCAACATCTGGAGTCACAGGTTATTCACTTGTAAATCCAGAAGGAAGTGCCTTTCTTCCTGCCATAGAGGATGTCTGCTTCTCTAGAAGGCAGTTTCTCCTAGCATGCGGGAAGAGCGGGGCTCAACGTCACCTCTGTATCCTGCTTTTCCAGGGATCCCCGGTGCCACCTTTACCCTGACAGCACCCCTGTAAGGAAGGCTAAACAGACGGCACCAAGGCTTCTGTGGGATTTGAACCCAGATTCTCACGTTGAAGCTTTGCCCTGTAGCTGCTAAACCGTATTAGCTCTCTGCGATTTCTACGTCTTGCCGGGGATTTATTAAAGTGTGATTGGGGAGAAAGATTCTGGGATTGGCCTCTTTACAATCTCGTGAAGCTTGCTCCTCCTTGAATCTCTCCTAGATCACACCCCTCAAGCAGCTTGCTTTGGTTCACGTGAACGCAGCTTGCGTAGACAACTCGGGGGAATTGGAGTGTTTAAGGGGCTGTGGTTCAAGGGCTTCCCCAAATAGCACAAGTGTCCCTGGGAGGGAAGGTAGTTCCCCCAACCACACTGAAGAATACTTTAGCCGAGCAGAGGGGAAGCACAATGGATGGAGAGAGCTGAGAATCCGGGTGGTAAGGGGACCGCTAATCGAATGGGCGTTTGCCGCAGAACGTGGCGATATTGGGTTGTGTGCAGTGGAGGTGCCTGCAGTCCGCCCACCTTCTCCTTCCTTCCTTCTGCCCCTCCCTCCCTCCCTCCGCTGTGTCGAGCTCCATTCCATGTCTCTTACGTTGTGTTTCTTCCCCCCCAGCCCCCTGCAGTGGCCGACGAGGACCTACAGCTCCAGCTAGCCCTTAGCTTGAGCAAAGAGGAACATGACAAGGTTAGACGCACACCTCCTGCCCCCCACCCGCAGCAGCTCCTCCTCTCGAAATAATCAACTAAACCACTTTCCAGCCCCGGCCCCAGAGCAGGCCCCAGCCTCACACTTTCCCCACTAACTCAGCGTTCTCTCTCTCTCTCCACGTCCCGAAGCAGAGCGATGGCAACAGGGGTGCCGTGTCTCCATTTTTCACTTTTAGACCTCTTTAATTGTCCCGCTGTGTAGAGTCAAGATTTCCCGAGGTGCCTTTCCCCTTCCGAGGGAGGCCCGGAAGGTAGGACAGGTCAGTCCGCGTGTCCTGCTGCTTCGAGAGGCGATGGGTCGCTGGCGCCTGCTGAGGCGGGTCTTGCGTGCGTCTTCTGCAGAACAGAGGCAATGGACAGGAGGAGGAGGAACTTCCTGAGCCATGAGGAAATGGGGGCCAGGAGTGCTGGCTGGAAAGGGGAGGCCATCCCTTGGAGTAAGGGAGTTTTGGGGTGGGTGGATATTTAGCGGAGGATGAGGAAGGTGGTAGTTAACAGATTGGAGCAGCTTTGCCAAGCTGGAGCCCTGAGATGTTTCAGACTACAACTCCCATCAGCCCCAACCGGGCCGGCCAGAGCAGATGGGAGTTGTAGTCCAAAACACCAGGTTGGCAAAGGCCTGGTTAGAGCTTGAGGGTAAGGAGAGAGGAAGACTTCCGCTTTCTCCCTTTGCGAGTGGAGCTTACTAGCTTCAACCAGCAGCGTGGAGGAAGGGAGAAGTTAAGGGGAAACACCAGAACAGAAAGGCCAAGGCTGGCCAAGCCACTTCAGCATTGGGGGGGCGGGTGGTCTTGGAGCCAGAATGCCAAGAAGGGAGGCAAATGTAGATGAGGTGCTGTTCGCTTGGGCACCTGCATTTTCAAGGGGGGTTGCAGGGGGGAACGAATCAGGGCTCCCATGAAGGGGTGGGGGTGGGACGAGCTGGGCAGCCCTTGGCTCCTTCCTCAGCTCTCCGGATTGCCCTCTTGAGTTGGACAGAATCATAGTGGCGGCTGCTTGAAGCATCATCTGGCACACGGCCTGCAGCAGGCCCTCGCCCAGCCTGTTGCCCTGCACCAAAACCACCAGCCCCAGCCAGCACTACCCTTCCTAGCTAGGGAGGGTGGCTTTGGCCCTAAGTGCCAGGCGGGCGCCAGGCTGGGCGAAGGCTGGGCCATGAAACCTCCGCACTGCCTGCCTCTCTTGAAGGTGAGTGAACTGCTTTGCCCCTGGCCCACGATCGCTGTTGATGCCCTCTTGTCCCTCCCACAATCCCCTTGCAGGAAGAGCGGATCCGGCGTGGGGATGACCTACGACTCCAGATGGCCATTGAGGAGAGCAAAAAGGAGACGGTGCCTGCCAAGGAGGAGGTGAGGGTGGAGCGGGCAGGTGGCTCTGGATGGGTACCTGGGGCAGGGAGGGGAGAGGAGAATAGTAAGGGGGGCCATTGTTGGAGGCAGAATTGCCAGGTACACAGGCCTTGGTTTGATCCTGCAAGGCAGCACTTTAATGTCCATCTGAAACTTTTATTTTTATTTTTTCCTGCCAAGGAGGTGCTCTGGGTAGTAACCATGTGACAGTTGTCCATTTTCTCCTCCATGTACGTAGATTTCCCTACCCCTTTTTGCTAGGCTGAGAGAGAGAGACTAGTCCAGGACCACCCAGGGACTGAGTGGAGATTTGAACCTTGACCTCCCAGGGCCTAATCTGGCACTCTAACCACTGACCTGCACTATTTATTCCTTTGAGATGGAGATATACCCCACCTTTCCTTTCAATGAGCTCAAAATGGGGGTACAGTGTTTACTCACCCATAGTAATCTATGAGGTAGACGAGGCTGATACTCTAACCACGATGCCATTCTTGCTCTTGGGGTATTATAAAGCGGAGGGCGTGGCGGTATTGGGGGGGTTGTCACTGTTTTCCAAATGGGACAATAGAGACATGATTAATTCCCTGACCCGTTTCTCTGCCTGTCTCCCACATTCCTTCCCCACCTGCCCCACATGCAGTCATCCCTCATGGATCTTGCGGAGGTCTTCACCGCCCCTCCCACTGCAGACCCCTGGGGCGGCCCTCCTGCTCCCGCTGACCCCTGGGGTGGCTCTGCCCCAGTTGTATCCGCAGCTCCCACTGACCCATGGGGACCATCTGCTACCGGAGCAGCCCCTACAGGAGACCCGTGGGGGGCCTCTGCGGCACCTCCTGCAGCCCCCCCAGACCCATGGGGAGGTGCCCCGGCTGCAAGCAGTGACCCATGGAAACCTGAAGGTAAGAGCGAGAAGTGTCGGAACAGATCAGGATATGATAAACATGATTCAGCATTTAAGCCTTTTGTTTAAAATTAGGTTAACTGAAAGGGCTTAGGTGACCTTCCTCACTTGCTCATTTCTCTCCTGCCCCCTACCAGGAAAAAAGATACATTTTATGGGGCATTTATGGGTTTCTCTGTCCACCCCTTTCCTCTGTGTGGTGGAAGACAGGCAGGATATACATTTAAATGATAGCTCTTGTGCTTCGGCTCTGCAGCAATTTTCCTTTCAAGATTCTCCCTTCCCTTCCTTTTTTTTACTAGTAGGCAATTCATCATTTGACCCTGTTTGATGGGTGGTGTTATTTTATTTGCCGTGGCTCCATGGTGAGAACATTTGCTTTGTGCTTAGAAGGCCCCGGGTTCCTTCCTTGGGCCACACCACCCCCACCCCAGCTAAAACTATCAGTCAATGGGAACACAACGCCCGCCTGCTGCCAGACATCATTGGCCTAGAAAGACCAGCAGTCCGATTCGGTATAAGGCAGCAGCTCCCTGTGTGTGTTCAAACCTCGCAAAGATGCAGCGATCTCTTGTCGCAGAGCTTTCTTACCATCTCAGGCAGGACGCCCACTGGCCACTGAGAACTAAATTACCGTTCTGTCTGCGTCAACCTGGGACTCCTAGGTGTAACACAAACGCATAAACGTCCATCCTGATGCACAGCGGACAGGCTGTTTCCCCAGACGTTGATAAAGTCTGATGCGCTTGATGTTTCCCCAGGTGGAGGTTCCTCTGGGACCACGGCAACGCCACCCACAGATCCATGGTCATCTGGACCAGCTCCCACTTCCCAAGGGAAACCAGCGCCCGATCCTTGGGCTCCGGCATCCACGTTTTCTGATCCCTGGGGTGGCTCCCCTTCCAAGCCCAGCACGAACGGCACAGCGGGTGAGGGACAGCGAGGGCTCCTGAGCCCCTCGGCCTGGTGGAGGGAGGCTTGGGTCAGGCCGGCTGGGAAGTGGGGCTCCTGGGTGCCTTACCCCACGAACGAGATGCAGGGAACGGACCCCCAGCGCAGGATGGTGTGAGTCTGCGGGGAACGGGTCCCTTCCGCCCTTGCTCCCCTGTTAACCCTGCTGGCCCACCCCCTTCCCCCTTCTGCCTTGTCCCTCCCCTCCAGCTGGCGGAGGCTTTGAGCAGTTTGGCAGCCCCGGGGATGGGGACGAGTTCTCTGATTTCGACAGCCTGCGCCCGGCACTGCCCAAATCCGGGAGCAGCACAGGTGAGCCCTGCTCCCTGCATGGCTCCGCCTTCTCACCTCTGCACCTCCACTTTGCCCTGCATGTCCCCGTCTCTTGCCTGCCACTTTCCTTACTCTCGACCCCCGGGACTGGGTGGCAGCGTTTCCTGGCATTGCCCTCTGCCCTCTCTTGGGTCAGCCAAACTCAGCTCAGAAGTGACACCCCACGGACCAGTTTTGTTCCTGCATGTACTTTGAAGAGGGGTCTCTCTCTTTCTTTCTCCCCTTCTCACCCCCCACCCACCCTCTTTCCGGCTTCTTGTCTGACCCTTGCATGATTCAAATTGGGAGCATGTGCCTATGACTGTTGCAGAAACTGAAGGGTGTATCTCTGCTGGCCTTTGTCTTTTCCCTCCACGTTCCCTGTGCTCTTCTGCATCTTCCATTCCCTTCTCTCACCACTCTTTCCTGTCTGCCCCCACCAATCTCTCTCTCTCCCTCTCTCTTTAGGTGAGCTGTCCCTCTTAGCCGGGGAGGTGCCCATTTGCCGACCTGGCAGTGGCACTGACAGCCCCAACACTTTTGACATGGCCTCCATGGGCGGGTCGCTGCCCGAGATCTCCAAGCCAACGCGGAAGACCCCAGAGTCATTTCTGGGCCCCAACGCTGCCCTCGTCGACCTGGACTCCCTGGTCAGCAAGCCTTCTACTGCCTCTAGCATTGCAAAGGCCTCCAACCCCTTCTTAGCCCCTGGTAAGTGCTCTGGGGCCAGGGCACTCTGGGGGTTCAAGCAGGGCAGAGAGAAGGATATCTCCTTAGTTCTGTTTGGCTGAGTCATACAAGTCAGAACGGGGAGGGAAAGAACCACCTCTTCTTATATCTGCATGACTCTCGTTGGGCAGGAAACTCTTGCCAGGACTCTCTTGTCTGGCCCCCTATTTATGGGGCTTGCTGTTTTGAAGCAGGATTAAAAGCAAACCTCTTGATGGGCTTAAAAATCTCTTCCAGGGTAAACCAGGGAGAAAAATGCAGATGAAGTTGGTTTGTGCGGCTTATTTTGTGTAATGTCGCCATACTGAGTCTAATTGTTGCGATGAGGCATTAACCAAGGCAGAGACCCCACCTTACCCACCAGAAATCTTCTGCCCAGCACCTTCATGCATAACATCACAGCCATGAGGCCTAGAAACTTGCTTCACAAACATGCGTAAACCTCCTCCACTACTCCGTACCGCCCTGTCCTGCTCCCAGCCTGAGGTTTGAGCTTGGAGCGGGGAGGTTGGGAAGCACAACTTCTGGCTCCTTGGAGGCTCATGCAGTAGATTTGGATGTAGGAGCCACAGGTCATTTCAGTATTACTGGCCTTGTTTATAAGGCACAAATGAGACAAGTCCTCTTTGCTTTAAGCCAGGCCTTCCTTGAGCTTGAGTTTGGTGGGTGAAAGCAGAGCAGGGTTGATACGCAGTAACTTCCGGGATGGGCTTGAGCAGCAAGATTCAGGACAGAGAAAAGGACATACTTCTCCGTGCTTCAGCGCATAGTTAAACACTGTAACTTACTCCCACAGAAGGCAGTGATGGCCGCCAACTGGGATGGTTTTAAAAGAGGATTAGAGATATTCATGGAAGACAAGGCTATCAATGGCTGCTAGCCACAATGGCTTCTGGGAATCTCAAGCCACTGTGAGAACAGGATGCTGGACTAGATGGGCTACTGGCCTGATCCTGCAGAGCTTGATGATGTTTTATGGGGCCGCAGAGGAAACCAAGGCTCCTGAGAGTTGAGGGTGGGAGGCATCGACCCAGGACTTCTGGGTTCCTTTTAACTTGTTTTTCTTCCTCCTTTCTCTCTCTCTCCTCTATCATCCGCTGCAGGTTCAGCCCCAGCCCCAGCCGCGTCTGCCTCAACTACAAACCCCTTCCAGGCGACGGCAGCTGCCCCGCTTTCGCTCAACCAGCTCCGCGTCAGTCCGGTCCTCCCTTTGTCTCAGCCGGCGCCCCCTGCCTTCCCCGCCGCAGCTCCTATGGTCTCTGTCTCCCCCATGGCCCCCGGGATGCCCCTGGCCTCCGTTTCCCCCATGGTAGGGGTGCAGCCTTTGGGCGCTGTCCCGACTATGGGGCTCTCTGCCATGGGCCTGCCCCCTCAGAGCCTGCCGCCCACTGGCGTCGTCCCCAGCAGCACCTCAGCCGCCTCCATGGGCAGCACCAACCCCTTCTTGCTATAATCAGGGGGATCTTTTAGCCCTGTGGGGATGACACCCCCTTGTCACCCCCCCACATTCCCAGTTTGCAAAGGGGGGGCCCTTAGTTTCCACCCACAAAACGGGGCAGCCGGGAAGGCGGGGGGAGAGAGAAGGAAGGGAAGAGACTTAAGTCCTTATTGCGAGCTCCTCCACCCCCATGTTGGGGGTAGGGTGGACTTAATTTTTTCTCTTTTTGGTTTTGGTTTGGGGGCTTAATTGAAGAGCTCCTCCTTCCCCCCCTCCCCCGCTGCTCTTCAGGGCAGCTGGGAGACCCCATTTCTGCTGTCCTCTGTCGGCATCAGGGGCAGCTCCCTTTTCTAACTCAAGTTGAGGTTTCAGCGTCACATTTGAGGGGAGGGAATTACGAACCAACAACAGATCTAGAGTTGTGGGGGGTGTTGAGGGGTGTGTGTGTTGGTCTTCTCCAAAGGCAGGTGGTTGTTGTTGCTGTTCTTTGTGCCCTCTCCTGTATTGGCCACAGAAACCCTTCCCATGTTGAAAGGCGAGGGGGGATTATCATATTTTGGTCAACCCCTCCCACACCTTCCTTCATAAGTCTCTCTCTCTTTCTCTCTCTCTTCCCTTTTGCAGAAGGGATGGAGGAAGAGAAGTGGCCGTGTGCCTCTACCTGCCTCCCAGGCCCTTCCAAACAAAGTTTCCTTGTGGGTAGTGGGAGGGTGGGGAGAGACAGATGGACGCTGTCCTTTTAAATTATGATTTTATTTTGGTAGGCACTCCCCCACTTCCCTTCCAGATGTTTGGTTACATCTCCATCCCCTCCTGCCCCACCCCTGTGCTGGGACCAGCCCTTCTCTGCCTCTTCTTTTTTTTCCCACTAAGGGGGTGACGTCAGTGAATCCCCTTCACTACACCTGGGAACGGTTGAGACACTGGGAATACTTGTCTCTTCCATCTCCGGGGCCAGGCGGGATACCACTAATCTGCGGTCAGAGACCAAAAGCTGGATCTGGAAAGTGGGGCTGGACCATCATTCCTCACAGGGCGACGAGGCCACCGCTACACTTTGCCGCCTGCCCTCTGCAGACTCCCGGGCCGAAGGGAGCCACCATTTTTGTTTCGTTTTGCAAGCATCGTGGAGCCCTATTGGAGCATCTGGGGGTGGGGACTTGGAACAGCCAACACAGTCTGCTGTGAAGAAGGAACCTGGAAGCCATTGGAGGATCGATACTCTTGAGAACCTTAAAAAAAGAAAAAGTTTTCCAACAGCAACGTGTCCGGGGAGGGAGGGGGGGACTATTGCGGAATTTGAGTCTCTCCCTCTCTCTTGGCCTGCTTTGTGGAAGCCCAGAAACAGCCAAAGGCCCCCTGCCAGATGTGGAACGGCAGGGGATCTGTAAAGCCCAGCCGCCCTTCTCCATTTCTGGACTGCAGCAGGCCAGGGTGAGGACTCGGATGATGAGTGTGGACAAAGCAACAATGTCCCTGCGGAGGAGGAAATTCTCCCTCTCCCTCTCTTTCTCTTATGCCAACAGTGCGCATTGCTTGAAAAGGGAGCCGGGGGGGGCGGGGGGAGAGGAGAGGACACGCAGCCACACCCACAACCCAGGGACCCCACTTTGCAGCACTCTTCGCACAGGGGGTGATCAAATGCAGTCTGAGCCGTCCACTCTCCACATGTGACCTACTTTTCTCCCCTTCCTGCTGCAGCCTCCTCCTTTGTGTGCATGTGGGGGGTTTTGGGGGGTGGGGGTGTTGCTCCCACTGCTGACCCACTCGAGACCCCAGAGAGGACGTGCCATCTTTGACTTGTAAAACAGCGGAGTCCTCCGTCTGTTCCGACAGCACAGTGAAGAAGCCCCCACCATTCTTCAAGACTCGTTGAAGGAGGGAGGGAGGGAGGGGGGAGATGGGTAGGTGGCCTGATTCTGGCCCTTTGGGAGCCAGCAGCTTGTGGGGAAAGGGAAGGTCCGAGGCTGCGTGTGCGTGTTTGTGTGCGTGCGTGCGTGTATGTGTATATGTGTTGCTGCTGTAAGTGATTGTCGATTCTTATTTTATGCTACGGGGGGTGGGGGCGCTTACTCATTAGCACCCAGGACAATCTGCTAAATCCCTCATTCTTCCCCCACCCTCTGCCACCCCAAATCTCTTGCAATTGTGTTTCTGAAGTGGGTGGGACATCCTACATCTCCCTGCTGCTGCTGCCACCCCCACCCCACCCCAAAAAACCCCCAATCATGCCAGGGGATAATTTTCTCCCGACACCAGTCAGTATATTTGCAGAATCATTGTGTCATTGGTCAAGGGGTTGGGGTGGGGAAGAGTGGCTGTATGTGACCCTCCCCCTCTTGGCTCTACCCCACCCCGACCCCCAAGCCTACCCTGGTATGCATCAGAAAAATGCTATTAATGAAATGAAATAAATGGAAATTCTTCTATGGCACCCAAAGGCTTTGGCCCCTGGGTTTGCTTTTGAGGGAGAAGGGCAGAGCTGGGCTCGGGTGGGAGGAAGATGAGGGCGATGTTCATCATTTCAACCTTGAACGCGGAGCCTGTGGGCTGCCCTACCCCACGATTGTTGCTGGGCTACAACTCGTTGACATCTCTCACTACTGGCCGTGCTGGCTCAGAGCGACTGGAAATGGCACCTTAGAAAATCTGGGGGGCGGCAGGGTCTCCATCCATGACTTAGGCCATCATTTCCCTATGCAGTGAATTCCTACGAGACTGAGCCTCTCCTGAGGTGACAAACCCCTTTGTTTTGAGCTCCCCTTGTACAAAATCAGAGGCCGGAGTGCTTTGAAGGTGGAAATGTCGAGGTAAGTTAGGATTAGAACCACAGGAATAAGAATATAGAATCATAGAATCATAGAGTTGGAAGAGACCACAAGGGCCATCGAGTCCAACCCCCTGCCAAGCAGGAAACACCATCAGAGCACTCCTGACATATGGTTGTCAAGCCTCTGCTTAAAGACCTCCAAAGAAGGAGACTCCACCACACTCCTTGGCAGCAAATTCCACTGTCGAACAGCTTTTACTGTCAGGAAGTTCTTCCTAATGTTTAGGTGGAATCTTCTTTCTTGTAGTTTGGATCCATTGCTCCGTGTCCGCTTCTCTGGAGCAGCAGAAAACAACCTTTCTCCCTCCTCTATGTGACATCCTTTTATATATTTGAACATGGCTATCATATCACCCCTTAACCTCCTCTTCTCCAGGCTAAACATGCCCAGCTCTCTTAGCCGTTCCTCATAAGGCATCGTTTCCAGGCCTTTGACCATTTTGGTTGCCCTCCTCTGGACATATGAAGTCCCCCTCCTCCTCCACCCACACCAGTAAGTCATACCTAGGCAGAAGAACAAGGGCTTCCAACAGTAACTCTTAGGACTGGCTAAGATGGGGGTAACAAATGTGGGGCCCTCCAGGTGTCGGGAGATCTGAGTGGGCAAGCGCCTTCCAGACTCCAACCCCACTCTACCCACCCCCCCCCCCCGAAAAATCTGATTTAATTTTGTCCAGTGTGCATTGGAAGTGTATACAGACAAAAGACACAAGATTGGATGTGGTTGCTCGCAGTCTTACAAGGGTTTGCTATTTCCTCCCAGTATCTCTTGGGACCTTGAGAGTGTGCTTTGGGTTCAAATAGCACTGGTTGTTGTGGGCAAAATGGGCCACTGGATTGCCTCGTGAGTGATTTATGGCCCTGTGCTGCGGGCTGGTTCTGTTAGCAGATCGGGTTCCTCTGCATACGATAAGGTGCAAGGTGGGCTTGGGGGCTGAATGATTATGCACCCTGTGATGTGGGAGCAATTCATACTGGCACCTTAAAGGGGCAGTGGCTTGAAATAACCTGCGAGCATGTCTTACGTAACCATTCATGGAAGGGATGATGCCTTGGGTGTGGGCAGCAAGTCCCTTTGGACTCAACTAGAGGAAAGGCTATTCCCTTTCCACACCTTAGGATTCTCAACCCGGGAATGTTGCAGGAAGCCTTCCTCGGCTGCCATATAGATGCTTCAGCCATGCTCATTTGTTGTCTGTTAGGAGGGCCTTGGCCTACCTATGAAACCAAACTGAAGTGGTAGCTTGGGCTTAACCAACTCATACTCTACGTCAGGTGGGTGGTATTTTTATATCTTCCCCCTTGTTTAAAATCCATAAAGGTCCTTGCAAACCAAGCTAGCTGGAGAGCATCTAGCCATTCCTACTTGCTAGTGTTGTATTCTGTTTACATGTGGGAATATATTTTTTTTTCTAACAACCTCCGTCCCGCATACCTGTAATTTGAAGTGGTACAACCCATCCTGCTACCTCATTCTGTCACCTATGTAAATAAGGCCTCAAGATCAAGGGCACCAAGCTGCTGGTTCCTCTCTCAAGTTTGTTCTTTCTCATAGCCTGGATTTGCCCCTTAGCCACTCCTTTGCAATACAGAGAGGATACAATACAGTGACACTTGCCCCAAACTCATGCCTTCCAGATATTGTTGGACTACAGCTCCCATCATCCCTGAAATTTGGCCATGCTAGCTGGGGCTCGTGGGAACTGGAGTCCGGTAACACCTTGAAGGGCCCCAGGTTACCCACTCCTACCCTAAGTATTTGCAACAACCTAATAAGGTCAGGTTACAAGGGATGCAGGTGGTGCTGTGGGTTAAACCACAGAGCCCAGGGCTTGCAGATCAGAAGGTCAGCAGTTTGAATCCCCGTGACGGGGTGAGCTCCCATTGCTCGGTCCCTACTCCTGCCAACCTAGCAGTTCAAAGGCACGAAGTGCAAATAGATAAAGAGGTACCACTCTGGTGGGAAGGTAAATGGTGTTTCCATGTGCTGCTCTGGTTCACCAGAATCAACTTAGTCATGCTGGCCACATGACCCGGAGGTTGTACTCCAGGTCCCTTGGCCAGTAAAGCGAGATGAGCGCCACAACCCCAGAGGAGTCTGTGACTGGACCGAACGGTCAGGGGTCCCTTTACCTTTAATAAGGTCAGACCACATATTATTAGCCTATCTGAGTCGCAGAGGGGCTGGTGGATTTTGAGGTATGAACTTGCAACCTTATGGCTCACAAATCCTTAACAGCTACTTTACAGCACTTCTCCGATATAAACTTGCTGGCTGCAGGAAGAGGAAGTCCACATCACTCAAGCTACACCCAATGCTTGGAACGTTGAATCATTCACAAGTCATTGTGTATCTTGTATCTATAACCATGGCTTCCACCCACCAGAGAGCAACTCTGCCCACCCCTCCATCCACTTATTGTGCCATAACTTGCCAGTTTCCACTCCTGCCTTTTGACTTAACCCAGTGAATGTATAAGCAAGCTAAGTTTGTAATCTTGGGTTGGGTTGGGTTGGTTTAGGAAAAAATGGGCTATATCAGTACTGCCCCAAAGATGGTTGATAGCCTTGAATAATCAACCTTAGGTATCCAGCCAGCCCCCACTTCTTGATGGAAAGACCTTGGAGGTGGGGCCTCAAGACTAGACAGGATACGTGGGGTTTGCTTTGGGCCAAGTGTACACACGCAATTTAAGGTTTGGTTCACACTTTCGTGTACCTTGCTGGATTGCTCCTCGGTAGCTGGATGACTGTGTGAGCTGTCCCCATTGAAATCTGGGGTGGACATTGGAAGATCTGTCTTGACTGGTGGTTCTGTTTATCCCTTATTTGCACATGCATGGCTGTCTTTGGTGTTGCGGTCACCGCTTCATGCCCTAAGAGGAAGTGATGTTGCAAGCACAGACCTGATGGAAAATCACCATTGGAAACTATTTAATCAAAGGGTGGGGGGCTTGGTATGGTGAATTCTGGAGGGTTTGGAACATTAGCATATGCTGGGACATTAGCATGTGCTGGGACATTAGCATATATGGGGGTGCTTGGAACTTCTGCATATATTGGATTGGCATCCGCCTTCTCTGAACTATCAGAGCTCCATTCAGAACTCTCTGAGCTGTCCTCATCTCCTGAAGACTTGTCTTTTCCTTGCTCCTTCTGTTTGCGACGGCGATACCTGCGGTTAAAGAGAGGAACCCCCTTAAGAGCATAGCAAGACATCTGTTTTGGTTTTGCTGTTCATTCCCAGGCAGCCAGCGAAAGCTGATGGAATAATAATATTAATTTTAATTAATTAATAAGTGCTTTCAACGTTCAAAGGGTTTTGCATACATTATCTCCTGCAGAAAGAGGTCTGAGGCTCAAGCTGTCTTGCCAGGTGACTTCAGCTTGATCCATCCCATACATTTCAAGCACATGGCTTCCCCCAGAGGATCCTGGCAACGAGCTGCGTGAGGGGTAAACCAAAGTTCCCAGAACCCTTTGGGGGAAGCCATATGCTTGAAAGGAACGGCATGGATGTGACCTTCATGGTATGGAGTAGGTTTGAACGAGGGCTATTTTGAGTCCTTGGCTCATTCCCCTAAGCCAGGGGTGGAGAACCCATGGACAATAAATCCCAACATTCCTCTGGGCTCTCAGTGATGCTGGATGCAGCTGATGGGAGTAACCAAGATCCAAAATATTTGGAGGACCACATTTACCCATCCATACTTTTGTTGCTATGCTAAGACTCTGCTGTGTAGCCCAGTTCTCCCTGCCCTGGAGTTGAGCTACAGTTTTGCAAGAAAAAAAGAATAAATTACACCTATCCACAAAGACTAAATATTCATGAACTTACCACCATGCTGCTCCTATTCCAAGCAAGAGCATCAGTGGCACCAGCACTGCTGCAATAACATTGGGCCCTGTACAAAAGGAACAGGATAACATTTTTGAGAAGGCAGAAGTCTTGAGAGACCAAGGGGGGACCATGGTGAAGACCTGCATCAACGGCATCCTAAGGGCACTTGTAGCCAAAAACAGGTTCACTCACTGCGCTTGGACAAAGAAAACCACCAGAAAACCGGCAAGTACAGTTTTTGCATGAAGGTAAGGATTATTAAAAGGGACGTGGGTGGCGCTGTGGGTTAAACCATAGAGCCTAGGACTTGCTGATCAGAAGGTCGGCGGTTTGAATCCCCGTGATGGGGTGAGCTCCCGTTGCTCGGTCCCTGCTCCTGCCAACCTAGCAATTTGAAAGCATGTCAAAGTGCAAGTAGATAAGAAGGTACCGCTCCGGCGGGAAGATAAACGGCATTTCTGTGCGCTGCTCTGGTTCGCCAGAAGCGACTTAGTCATGCTGGCCACATGACCCAGAAGCTGTATGCTGGCTCCCTCGGCCAATAAAGCGAGATGAGTGCTGCAACCCCAGAGTCGTCCATGACTGGACCTAATGGTCAGGGGTCCCTTTACCTTTACCTTTAAGGATTATTAATATTGATACATACCCCGATGTCTACATGATAGCTACAGAGCAAATTAGGCAAAAGAGTAAAGGAGATGGGCCCCAATGAGGGTGTTCAAGGCTCCAGCTGAAGCGCCCCAGGCCACGTTGGCTCTCAGTTTGTACTGACATGTACAGAGAGTAGTGAGAGATGCTGTGACTGGAGGGAGACGTTAAGGGATAGAGGTATAGAAAGGCAGGTTACCTGCACATACAAAGGGGTCAAGGCAGGAAACTTTGATAAGCTGGCAGTTTGAACACTGTGCCACTTCATAGGGTCGGAACCGGGACTTAGCTGTGGAAATGTCAGGGAAAGAGGGGTTCCATTAGACAGTGACAACTTCTGAACATTTTGCCAATCTCTTGTTGATTCAGATGTAATGCCAGCTATGGTTCGTTGTGATGTCTGGACCGAATCAAGTCAGCAGATTTTGGTTTGAGAATGACCATCAAACCAGGAGCTGAAATGTGATATGAAACCTAAGGTTTGGTGTCACATATGAACCAACAAACCATGGTTTGGAATGCTGATCCAGTCCTGGAAGCTGCTGCTTCAGATAGCAGCTAAGTATTCTTCAGGGAATAGCGAGAAACTACCCAAAAAATGGTTTCCATTATTTGGAATTATTCCATTATTCCAGGCAGAGGGCCTTCTCGGTAGTGGCACCCGCCCTGTGGAATGCCCTCCCACCAGATGTCAACGAGAACAACTACTACCAGACTTTTGGACGACATCTGAAGGCAGCCCTGTTTAGGGAAGCTTTTAATATTTGAGGCATTACTGTATTTTAATATTGTGTTGGAAGCTGCCCAGAGTGGCTGGGGAAACCCAGCCAGGTGGGTGGGGTTTAATAATAATAATAATTACTGTATTTTTTGCACCATAACACTCACTTTTTTCCTCCTAGAAAGTAAGGGGAAATGTCTGTGCGTGTTATGGAGCGAATGCCTACGGATGGCGGGGGGAATCTGCTGCAGTCGTGAGCAGAGGATCCATGGTTCCTCTTCCTTCCCTCCTCCGTGACTCGCTTTGAAACAGCAAAGCGGGAGAAGAGCCGCTGAGTGGGGAGGAGAGAGGGACAGAGAGCCTGCTTGCTTTAAAGGAGCAAAGCGGGAGAGAGGAGCCGCACACGAGTGTAAGTGGCTCCTGTCCGGTTGGCTCTTTTAAAGCAAGCAGGCTCTCTGTCCCTCTCTCCTCCCCACTCAGCTGGCTAAATAGCAGCAAAGTTTTTCAGTGAGCCGGGAGGAGGGAGAGAAGCAGAGCCTGCTTGCTTCTCCTCTTATACCCCTCTTCTGCATTATTAACAGCATCCTTCTCCACCCACCCCACGCGTGTTCCTTGTCCCTTGAGTGCTTTTCCTTCCCTCCCCACTTAAAACGTGGTTACAAAGCATGGATCCACATGGATCCTCAGGATTTTTGCATTGGGCTACCTCAAACTCACCGTCAGATCACATGTCTGTGGCCACAGCATGAACCACAAAAATCATACATCCACTGTTTCGTTTAGAATATTTTTTTTCTTCTTTTCCTCCTCTAAAAACTATGTGCGTGTTATGGTCGGGTGCGTGTTATAGAGAGAAAAATACGGTACTATTATTATCATCTTATTTATTTATTTATTTCCTTGCACGTGTAGACATGGTAGTTTCAAATCTAAGTGTGTGGTTAGTGAAAATCATGGTTTGGTGGTATGCCTGAACCAACTCAAGGGCACAAAACTGGCAATGAATTTAAATAACCAGTAAAGTCTCCTCTTTGACTTCACAAGCACTAACACGGATATCAGTGCCAACCTGCATTTGCACACACAATCCCTGGATGAGATCCTTTTCATTTATTCCTGATCTGGTTACTGCCTTCTTTTTCCTGGGGCTGCGAGGAATGGATACCCACCATTTATAACTGGCATCACACACACACACACACAAACAGACACAATGGACACTTAAAAAAAAAAGCAGCAGACACCATATGGCCAGACAGATGCCCCTCTAGTTTGGACAGACGGACTCACCACAGGAAAGGCTGCAGACTGTGGATATAAAAGAGAAAAACAAAGGCATGAGCACTAGAGAAAGGCGATCCCTCCCCACTCACAGGACTCCATGGCCCTATCTTGCCCTACCCAAGAGGTCACCCCAAAACCCTGTCACCTCCATGATGTGTGGGCCACGTTCTCCCTCAGCTGTATGCCTCCGACCAGAGGTTCTGCCCTCAAGCACTTACCTTCCTTCACAAAGGCCTTAGATGCCTCTTCCAATCGCTTGACAAAATTCTTCTTCTCCTCCTCTGCCTCCCTCATAAGGCTGCCATGATCTGCAGGGAAAGAGAAATGGGTCGATAGAAGCCAAGGCTTTTGAGTGCAGCAGAAGGGATAGTGCCTGATCAATTGCCTGGTTAATTGGGGCCACCAAGGGGTGGAATGAGAGAAGGAGGGTTTGGGGGCATTTTGTGTTTGTGTGTGTGCGTTAGGAGCTACTGCAATGGCAATCAATGGCTCCCTGGCATAGTTGTGCTGCAGGCAAGTCTGGAAGGAAGAGGAGGACAGGCTAACAATAACAACTACCTTTCCCACTCCTCTTGATAATCTGCTCAAGGTGGAGAAAGAGAGTCCCAGCCTCACGCTCCATATGTTCCCGTTCTGCAGGGGAAATAAACCAAAAAAATGATGCCTGATTCTTTCCTAATTCTCCGTTTTGAACACACCCTCCCACACGGTGGAACCTAAGTTGGTGTTCTTTGAATGCTTCAGCAATCCTGGCCTTTAGGACCGAGAAAGGGTGAGGGTAACCGTGCATGCAGGTGAGGCAGTTGAGGAAGAAGCACACCCCTAACTGCAGGAATCCTTTCTACATGCCTGCTGTCTGCTAAGGACCTGTGTGTGTGCCTGGGATCCCTGAGCATCCCTGAATATTTTGGGGCTACTTCTGTGGCACTCCCAGTCTAATCAGGGAAGCCACCAGGCCAGGTAGATGTTGGCTTTGTCTCCTGCTGAGACGGCACCCTGGAATATGTTAAAATATTTCCCCGAGGGTGCAGGTTCCAATGGGAAATCAGCAATAGTAGCTCATCTGCCGTTCCCAATCTTGTTGAGGAGCCCTGGGGAAGCCCCTGAGCAACCCTGACAGTTCTTAAGGACACTGTTTTCATGTGCTCTAAATGACGCCACGTAGAGTCGCATGTAGGAGGCCCATGCGCATTCTCACAGCTTGTGGGAGGGAAAGTGGGTGCCAAGTTTGCTATGGTGTATGGGTTCCATATGGACATTTGCATCCCTGAAACTCCAACCACAAAAGTGCTTCCAATAAGAAAATCCTGTTCGACTGTGCTATTTTAAAATATGGGCTTTAATAATGGCTCTGACTGTATTTTGATTTGTAGCATCTGATGGCATTTCGTAAGCCACTTCTAGGTGTTGTCAAAAATGTTAAGCCTTGTATAAATTACCCAAATGAAAATAATGAAATAGATTGCTGCACACAGGGTGTTGTATAGGGACGCTATACAAAATGGAGCAGCTGGCTTCAACTTGCCTTCATAATCCATTCCGCCCACTGCTATAACTGCACCCTCCTCTCCCCTCGCCAGATGATATTCTGCTGCCCAACTCTTCCTGCTCACTGCAGCCAGTGACAACCGAGAAATCTATGTGGGTGAATTTAATCAGAGCAGAGTTGCATATTATCATTGTGCTCAACAAGACCATGGGCTCTTTGGTTCCTTGGACCAGGGATGGGGAAACCTGTGACCCCTCCCCCACAACACTGATGGGCTACAACTCCCAGCAATCATAACCATTGGCAACACAGGCTGGGGATGATGATGCGAGTTGGTTGGAGCCCAATAACATCTAGAGGGCCACAGATTCCCCATGGCAAGCAGGGGCGACACCTGTTCTCTTCAGCCATTTGAGTCATTAGCAAAATCAGCAACAGCTTTGTACTTTTCAGGGTATTATCCCACTGTAGCTGTGCTTCTTCAGACCCAGAATGGCCTCTGTCTTGGATTTCTGACTGGTCAGAAGCCTAGCCTACATCGCTGGGGGAGTTGTAGGGGGTTAAATACGGAGCGAGAGAACCATGTACTCCACCTTGAGCTCCTTGGAGAAAATAAATGCAGTACAGTGGTACCTCTAGTTACGTACTTAATTCGTTCCGGAGGTCCGTTCTTAACCTGAAACTGTTCTTAACCTGAAGCACCACTTTAGCTAATGGGGCCTCCCGCTGCTGCTGCGCCGCCGCCACATGATTTCTGTTCTCATCCTGAAGCAAAGTTCTTAACCTGAGGTACTATTTCTGGGTTAGCAGAGTCTGTAACCTGAAGCGTACGTAACCCGAGGTACCACTGTACTGTAATTAAATAAGTAAGTTCCAGGCTTTCGACCCACTAAGATTGTAAAATAAAATAAAATGGGGAGCTGGATAATGTGCCATTTGGAGGTTCAGAAACAGGGACCTTTTGCATCCCCGTGGAGAAGCTCCTCCCTAGTATCCGATGGACATTGCTTGCGCCTTCTCTTAATTCTGTACCCAAATAGTGTCTGCCATAGGTGGCGAGGTCTTCAGCGCTGCCTATGAAAAGCTTCCCCAGGTTTTTGGTGGCCTCTGAGTCCTGGCCAAGCAGCAAATAGGAGTCGTAGCCAAAGTAGACAATGGCATCTGGCCAGCAACGGAGGCATGTGGCTGCCAGCTGCACAGGCAGGGACCAGGCCAGCCAGCCGAGCAGCGATATCCTGGCCATAGGAACCAGGACAAAGGAGCCGCTTCCTGCTCAGGGTAGTGCTTGTTCTGAGCCAAGCTCCTCACCTGCTTCTTACATCACTTCCTGTTGTAGCATCACAGAGACTAGCGCCAAACGCACCGTCTATTTACTCTCTCTCTCCTTGGCAACGTTTCCATGTGTCATGGAGGTAGTTGCCTTTCCAGTGGTACCTGACTTCACGGAAGAGTTTTCACCGACTGCAGTGTAGGGGAAGAGGCAATGGCACCCCAGTTCCTGCTGGTGTTCCCCCTTTGGCTCTTCTCCCTCCAAGCGGTGGCTGGTTGCCTTCAGTGTGACCGCCGCTTCTTGGATTCTGTAGCCACCTTGCTGCTGGAAATGCTCCCAGCCGACCTTCCCGACCGAGACGCCCTCATACAACGGCACATCCAGGCCTTTGCTGACCTTCACGGCACCTTCCTCCGAAAGATGCACGAGCGAGTGCTGGGTGCGAACTGAGCAGAGAAGCGTCGGCAGGGCTGTAACATCTGGGGCGGGGTGGAGAAGGGTTGAGGTTACAGCCACAAATGTCTCTTTTGCAGATGTCCGAGGAGTGATGTCTATCAAATCAGATGTTATTAGTCAGTTGAGGGACATCAAGAGCAGCAAAACCTGGAAAGGTGAGCTGGGGGGAAGGAGAGAAGGAGCTGGGGGTATGGGATTGCATTTGGGATTGGGTTGTAGGTTAGAAATTTGATGCAGTTTCTGCCGAAATGTGTACTTAACCTATTTTACGCCTACGGAAACACAGCCGTCTCCCCAAATTCGCACTTCTCCAAATCTTGAAAAGCAGCTTGCCAGCCAAATAATCTGTGGGAAGACACATAGGCTAGGGTTAATTTTGCCTGTTAATAATAATAATAATAAATTTATACGCCACCCATCTGTCTGGGTTTCCCCAGCCACTCTGGGCGGCTCCCAACAGAATATTAAAAGCACAACAAAACATCAAACATTAAAAACTTCCCTAAACAGAGATGCCTTCAGTTTTCTTCTAAAAGTCAGATAGTTGTTTATTTCCTTGACATCTGATGGGAGGGCGTTCCACATGAATGCATATATTAGTGAAAATAGCATACCGAAATGCATTCTATATGGGGAAATTGCTTTGCCAAAATGTTTATGTGAGGCAAAATAGCACACAAAAATGGGTGTATGCTGGGGGATGGGGGTGGGAATCACACTAAAATGCTGAGAAATTTTCTGGAGGACTTAAAAAAAACACCAAACTGATATGGAAATGTGGAAAAATGAGAAAAAGAGAGAAACTAAAATGGACAAATTTCTACTTAAACGCTGAATCTCATAAAGCTATTAAATCACCATAGGGAGTGGGGTGGGGAGACCACCCAAATATTTAGGTGGTTCTCCTAAGCTTTGAAGTTCTGATCTCCTGCGCTCACGACCTAACCCAAATCCCCAGCTATGGGGACTATGGGTCCTCATAAACCTCCTCTTTGTGTTTGCTAAGGCCCCTGCCCCCTAATTTTATTTCTTTATTGCTGTTTAGGGCGCACGTGTTTTACTTTGTGGGGGTGGGGATTCTGAGCATTGCAAGTTCTTGTGTGTGAAATGAGTATTTTTGGTGCCCTAACCGTCCAAAAAGGCCAGGGATCCCTGATTTGATCCCAGATCTAAAGCAGGTCTGTAGCTCAATGGCAGAGATCCATTTTTGCAGGTGAAAGATCCTGGGCTCAGTCCCCTGCTTCTCCAGAAAGGGCTTGGGAGAGACTCTTGCTTTGAAACCTAGATAAGCCACTGATGGAAGTCCACAAAGCCAGGATTGATATTTTAGTGTCAGAATTAATTCCAAGTATATTCCTAACCCTAATCCTAAGTATAACATGTGAGGGGTCAGGTTTTTATGTGCTGTGCAGCTTTGCCAGGCTAAAATTCTAGCCCAACATCTTAGGAATTATCTCCCTCTAACAAACCTTAAACTCTGTTTCCTTCCTCAGGCGTCTTCCTGTGGCAACTCTCCATGTATCAGCTCCGGGTATCTCTGCGAAGGCGCCTGCAGCAGTCACTGGAGAAATTCGCCGACCTTGGTACCAATCGGGAAGGGAAACCAGAGTAGTTAAAGGCCCCAGCACCTCTTATTCTAACCCACTGCCCTGACCTTCACTTCCCCCTTTATCCGGGAATCCTGGGGTCAGGGTTGGGGCTCAGGGTGGGCCAGGGGTGCCCTCTCCCTATGTATAAAATACAGCTACTGGCAGTCTTGTAGCCAGCATTGCTCAGGAACGATGAGAAACAAAATCAGCGTGCTTTCGAAATCAGAGTTCAAAATAGGTGCACTTTTGAAATCAGTGGTTAAATTTGATGCAATTTTCAAAGATTCAGTCTGCAGTCCTGATTAAGGATGGCATGCAATTATATCCAAACTTAGACAAAAAACCTACTCCTTGATCTCAGGACCCATCATGCAAAATTTGGTTACGCTATCTTGAGAGGTGCCCAAATTGATATAGCAAACAGAAAAACAACTTTCCAAAATATATGGTAGAGGATAGGGACTGTCAATGCTTTCAGGACCACGGGCACATTTGCAGAACGGTGTAACATTTGTTGGCATCACACACACACACACAATCACTACCATAAAGCGCACACTGCAGCCTGTTCTATTGACTACAACAGAAAACTTCTTTCAAGGCCAAATTCATTTGAAGGAATTCAGCTGAGAGATGGGGCCTTGCAGGCACCATGCAAAGTGCCTGGGAGAGGGTGGGCCCTGACCCTGGAGATATGGCCAGGAATAAAACCTACGAATAAGAATATACGGCTAAACACAGAGCAATAACAAACACAAGAATAATGACTGTGTAACAACTTCCTGCATTAAACATCAACAGTTCAGTGAGGTTGAAAATGGGGGAGCAAGAAAAGAGCAGGTGACTCGCTGCGCCAGATGTAGATTTAAAATATACATATTTGCATTTTGGGCAGAACGTGCTCACTTGGAGGAAGAGCTTCGTTATAAAAGGGGGAACTGAATTGCTGTGGGATTGGTAGGCAGAGGTGGGTTATGATGTGCCAAACTTTGAGTTGATTCCTTGCAAATTGAAATAAAAAAATTAAGGTCTTAATAATAAATGTACCAAGCAAAACATGTACATAAATATATAAACCACATGTCTGAAGCAGCACAAGAAAACAGCCCTGAAACCATTTTGACTCCCAAACTGACCAAATGATTTCTCTGCAAGGTCAAAGAAAAGGGAGAAGCCTCCCCATTGTCTTTTCATTTACAAATCCTGTCTTAAGGGTATGTCTGTGTATGAATAGGGTGAGCCTGTGACCTGGCTCAGGAACTAAATATTTATCATTACAAAAGACTGGCTAGGCTCCCCAGGGTATCCAATCAAGTAAGCATTAACAGGTAACCTGCCAGACAGGAGGTAAACAACGCACTCAGATTTCTGTTGTAGACCGCCCTTTCTGTGATGTAGGTATGATGTATCTGGGGGTGGTCTGGGACTCCAGGGCTGGCAATTTAAAATGTCTATATAAGGGTGGGCACACCTTTGTTTGGGGTCCTCCTCCTCCTGCGTGTGAAGGGGGCACCCTGTTGCAACAGTTCAATAAAGATCAGGCTCACTAGCTGCTTTGCTTCTCAATATTCTCTGGTTGGCCTCTGTTATTTTCTCCGACCAATGGAGAACCTGCAAAGAACTCTATAAGGGCTCTTGTGTCCCCCATAAGGGAATAACGGCAGATTTCTGTTTATGACAACATAATTGTAAATTGCATACCAGCTGAGTGAGACTCCCTCTGTCTGGGTTTTAGGTCTCTAAACCAGGCCTCCCTCTTTTCTTCCACCCTCACCCTTCAGCTTGTTCTGAGGATTGCAGTAAGTATCAGACTCCCTCCCCCATCAGAGCCCTTCCTCCGCCCCCCAAGTTGCCCACACAGCCTCCTGGACTGGAACTGGATGCACCAGCGAGGCCCCCCAGATCCCTGCCTTGTTCCTCCCTCTGCAGCGGTGACTGAGGGCCCTGTCCTGGACTGCTGGACCTGCTTACGCATCGCCACCCAATGCTTTGATGGAGAGCTCTGTGGAGGTAAGACCAAGGTGGGGGGGGGGGGGCTTCCAGCTTCTGCCTTCTGTTCCCAAACTTGTGCACAAAGTGGCCATTGGTGCCTCCACTCTTGGCTGTTAAGAACTGGCTCCCAACACGTGTTGTAACTCTCGCTTCCTGTTCCCATTTGAAAGCCTCCATTTGGGTGGCTGGACCAGGGAGCAAGATAAGAGAGGGTTGCTCATCCTGGCCAAACGCAAGAGGCTAAAAGGATGTTTCTGTTGCCCCCTAGTGGAAGACAGACGCCTTGCAGAATATAATGAAGTTGTTCTTTACCTCTTCTTTGTTTGCGAGTCTGTGTTGGTGACCTCAGTTGTTCTTGTGTGAGTAAATGGCTCTGCAGAGTTCTCTCCCTTTCCCGTAGAATCCGAGAGTCCAAACTTTCAGGTTTCCTGACCGGCATTTGCCTTCCTTCCCAAAGAAGCCACTGGGCACCAACCCTATTGTGGTACACAAGACCATCATTCTCCCATCCTAAGGAACCCAGGAGCTCTTGCTACCAGCTGCTCCCATTCACTTGACCCACATCTGTCGACTCTGTCGACTGACCTGGGACTGCCTGCAACCCATAGAGCTTACTGAAGCCACCACTGAACTGTGGCCTTTCAAAGGAGTACAAGCATAGAATGTGGTGTGGAATTTAGATTTCTGAGAACATTGGCTGCCTTTTTTTCAGAAATCTAGTTTCTGGACCTCAAGGTTCCAGAGTAAATCTCCTACCCATTTCTATTACAGTCCTACCTCGGGTTAAATACGCTTCGAGTTGAGCGTGTTCGAGTTGCGCTCTGTGGCAACCTGGAAGTAACGGAGCGAGTTACTTCTGGGTTTTGCCGCTTGCGCATGCGCAGACGCTCAAAATGATGTCATGTGCATGCGCAGAAGCGGCGAAAAGCGACGCACGCGTGCGCAGACGTGCCGTCGCTAGATACGTTTACCTCTAGATGCGAACGGGGCTCCGGAACGGATCCCGTTCGTATCTAGAGGTACCACTGTACTTCTCCTTTCTTGCCACCAGATTTCCAAAAGATTTTGAAAACTTGATTGATGGACACAGGATATTCAAATCCAAGCAGAGTTAATACATGCTTAATTTCTGCTTTCTGTTAATTTCAGAAAGTTAGTTGACTGGGGTCCCCCCCCCCCGTGTGCAGGTATTTGCATATACAGAGGATCCCAGAAAGCAGACCTGGGTTTAAATTCAAGTCCGGAGATGGAGGTGGGGGCAGTTCTCAAAATGTTTGAGAAATGCTGGCCAGTCGCTCCATATGCAGCCATGTGAGATTGGAGAGAATGTTGAGATTGTAGCAAGAAGCAGCAAAAAACAAAGGGCAAGTCTTTAGCCTTTCTCTCTGATGTGTGATTTGTGTTGCAGGGAGTTCAAATGCAGAGGAGCATCTAAGGCTGTGAACACACCATGCATTTAAAGCACTTGACTCCCCCCCCCCCCAATATATTGAGAAGTGTCGTTTACCCTGCACAGAACTACAATTCCCAGGATCCTTAACCTACACTTTGTTGGATTTTTTTTGGGGGGGGGGAGAAGTCACGAGCTTTAAATGTGCACGGCCTCAAAAAGAGAAATGGCATCTCCCACCTGCAGTCTGAAGTGATATAGTTTGCTCCCCCACCTCAGCATTCTGCCACCTCATTCTGCCTCAATGTGCAGACCAGGCCCCATTCTGGACCCAGAAGACCCAGGAGTTTCTCTGCCTCCACTAACCACACTTCCCACACTTCCAGGTACTGGGTGTGCGTCAAGCATAAGAAGCAGATGCTACGAAAAGCACTGCGCCTTTAGGGCATTAGAGGCTGCTGGACCCTTCCAGGACCCCCTCATCTGTGAGCTTCTGCTGGTTAGACCAAATACAAAAATTTGCACTTGGAATAAAAGAACATCTTTGCTTCTTATTTCATAGAGTTGGAAGGGACCCTGAGGGTCATCTAGTCCAACCCCCTGCAATGCAGGATTTTCTCAGCTAAAGCATCCATGACAGATGGCCATCCAACCTCTGCTTTAAAACCTCCAAGGAAGGAGAGTCCTCCACCTTTCGTGAGAGTCTGTTCCAGCTCTTACAGTCAGAAAGTTCTTCCTGATGTTTAGTCGAAATTTCCTTTCTTGTAACTTGAATCCACTGGTTTGGGCCCTAGCCTTCAGAGCAGGAAGAAACAAGTTTGCTCCATCTTCCGTGTGAGTGACAGCTCTTCAGATATTTGAAGATGGCTACAATATCTCCTCTTGGTCTCCTCTTTTCCAGGCTAAACATACCCAGCTCCCTCAACTGTTTCTCATGAGGCTTGCTTTCCAGGCCCTTGATCATCTCAGTCACCTTCCTCTGCACAGGGAACAGAGAAGAGAGAGTTGCAAGCCCCTGTGGTGGATTTTAGGAAGATCTGGGAGGGCAGGCAGACTGTCTAGACCAGAGCTTTCCAAACTTTTCATGTTGCTGACACACGTTTTAGACATGCATCATTTTGCAACACAATACCATATTTTTCAGTGTATAAGACTGTTTGAGATGTACAGTCCCCATGTATAAGATGACCCCTATTTTTTAAAACCCAAATTTAATAAATTAAGTTGTTTAGCTTTTTGGGGTGGCGGGTGGGAGAGGTCACTTCCACCAGTCTCTCACCTGCCTGCCTGCCACTGCCGATCACTTGCCACAGCCACTGCCGATTGCACACCTCGCTGCAGCCGCCAGTTGTCTGCCCGCTCGCTGCCACCACCAATCCACCCGCCCACTTGCCACAGCCGCCAATCACCTGCCCACCTCGCCACAACTGCCAATTGCCTGCCCAATTGCCACACCCACAGCCAATCACCAGCAGGCCTCACAGCAGCCACCAATCACCCGCCCAATCGCCGCTGCCAATCTCCTGCTTGCTGCTGCCATTAATCACACGTCCCCTCTCTGCATTCACTATCCATGTGTAAGACAACACCCAATTTTTGCCTTTTTTTTTTTTTAGCAAAAAGCACTGTCTTATACATGAAAAAATATGGTAATTCAGTTTTACTAGGAAAGTGGAGGTTAAACTAACCCCCTTCCAGCCCCATGAGGAGCACGGGTAGCATTCGCATGCCACACCTACACATTGCAGCTGACACACCAATGTGTCACAACACAGTTTTGAAAGCTCTGGTCTAGACAGTAAGGATGGATCAATCAATCAATCAATCAATCAATCAATCAGGCTTCTCACTTCTCCCTTCTTCAGTTCAGTTCTCCATATTTCCACTGCAATTTGCAACTTAACAACAAAAAACTCTTGAAAATTCATCAGCATCTTATTTTAAATTTCCCCTGGTAAAAACTTTCTTGTATGCAGTTTTGACTAATGCCCATATTTTTGCAAGCATCAAAAGCATATGATGCATTTGTGTTTGTTTGTTTCCACTAACATTTTCCCCTAAGATAATGCATTTTTATACATATCGTTTGGCTGCAAATTCGGTGAAGTTCAAATTTCAAAGGGCAGGTGTCTGTTCCAGTTCACGTATTGGTTCAGGAAGTATTAATTGGGTAGCTTCTCATTAAAATGCAAACAAAATTGTATTCCACCTTCATGCCCACTAAACACCTTAGTCTGTGGGCTGGAGGGAATGAGGAAGACTTTATTAAAGCCAGATCTTTGCAGTCCAAAAAGAGAGAAGGACAGAAACAGACAACTAGCAGGGTGTGTCTGTGCGTATTTATTTTGTGAATATGAGGGATAAGAAGAGGATTGGAGGGCAAGAGGTGTAAGACAGAAAAACACACTAATTTTGGAGGCAAAAAAAGGATTTCTGGAGGTTGTTACAATGAAGATATGCAGACCACATTTCAGACTTCACAACTGGGAAGCTCGATAGGACCTTTTCCTTACGGGTGAGAAAAGGGGCGGATCTCTGCTAAATGTACAAGAAGAGCCGGTTTTTCCAGTACCTGATAATCCTGGGGAAAAGAGAGAGTTAGAGCCCCCCAAAACCCTCCCTAACCCTTTGACGAGTGCTGAGTGAGATGCCTCTGGGGCTCCCCCCCCCGCCCCATCTCAAGGTCCCTTTCTGGGAGAGGGAGAGCAGTGCGGCTGACTCTGAGCTACAGGAAGGTCTATTGCTTATACTCACACGCCTATCATCACCACGAAGAGCAGTCCACCCATACACAGGACAATGGCGACTCCAGTTTTGGCGATATCGGGGTCCTTTATGGGCTTTCCAAAGCGAAGGGAGAGGCGTTCCTGGGCATCCACTGCATGCAGAGACCCCAGATTCAGTGTTTTAGGCTGAGCACACATCATACATTTGAAGCACACTGAAAAAAGTACATCACACACACACACACACACACACACACACACACACCAAGAAACCTGGGAACTGTAGATGGTTTAGGAGGCAGGAATGGTAGGGGGGGGGTTGGGGGCGGTTACCTGCAGTTCCCAGGATTTGGGGTCTGTGTGTGTTTTTGATATGCTTTAAATGTATCTTTCTTCCCATACACAGTCATGAGTCTCAAAACAGGAGACCTCCATAAAAGAATGCAGTTTGTGCTTAGTCCCAACACAGAAAAATATATATCATGATTTATAAGAGACTGGGTTGTAGATAAGGAGGCCTATAATTTTTAAAAAAAAAATCTGCCATGAATTTGTTAGGCAGCCTTAATGTAATCCATTGTGGGGTTTGGGGGGGGTGTTTAAATAATTTTTATTAAATTTCTGTTTTACATTTTAGAATATTCACTTAGACAGCCTTAAAATATCAATGACTTCCCTTCCCCTCTTTTCATGGTTCATTTTGCACAACATAAATACCTGCATGTTTTATATAAACTAAACCATTCAGTATTCCATTATTACATCCATCAAAACTGATTTACACTGTTCAATTTATCTTAATGCTGACGTTTTAAAGTGTACACAATTTTCTTCTATGTATTCAATAAACATTTTCCAGTCTTCTTTAAACGTTTGTTCTTCTTGTTCTCTTACTCTATATGTTAGGTCTGCAAGCTGCGCATATTCCATCAGTTTAAGTTGCCAATCTTCTTTAGCTGGGACTTCGCTTGTTTTTCACTTTGGGGCTAACGAAACACGAGCTGCAGTAGTGGCATACATAAATAACCTTTTTTGATACCTGGGAATTCGGAATCCATTGTTTATAGGCCTCTCAGGCCACCGCTTGCAACAGCTAAGAACAGCGGCCTACCTTATAAGACTGTGGTAAAGTTTTCTGAGACAATATATTGCGGAGCACTTATAAGTCAGGAATGGGAAAATTTTGGCCCTCCTGGTGTCATTGGACTCCAACTCCCATCAGCCCTGGTCAGTGGTTATGGGGGGAGCATCTAGAAGGCCACAGGTGTCCCATTTAAATACTGATTTCATCATCCTTCCATGTCAAATTCAGATTAGGCCCTTTGTCCTTCAGTTCTGACATTTCTTCAGTCAGGCCTGCAAAAACTCCCTGCTTCATATTTGTGCAGGAATGCCCATGGGCCACCCAGTAAGTGCTGCCCTCCTCTGGAGATGGTATCACATGGCACCACCCTGAGTAACACCTTTCTGATGAATTCTCCTGGAAGCGAAACCTGTATTCTAATCTGGGCTCCCGCCTCCTGTCAGCATTTGGGCCTGGAGTCGGGATTTGTGTTTCCACCACTTCACTTTGGCCAAGGAAGGGAAGCAGAGCAAAACAAACTGGACCATCAAGGCAGCTTCTTACAACTTCCGTGTCAGGCTATCTGAACCGAATTGGGCTGAACAGGAAGAGTTCGTTGCTGCTGTTCCTACATGACAGGGCAAATTCATCTTACATCTCACCTTCCCCTTCTTGCGGGATGGAGATTGTTATGTACTGAAGTTCTCACCCTGGGCCAGCAGGGGGATACTGTAGATAGTTTTCACTCAGGTCCACGTCAGTTATTTTAGGCGGGAAACCCTGGGTTGTTGTTGCTACAATGTTGACAGCCGGCTGCCTATAAAAGCAGGCCGGCTGAGCTGTTTGCTGCTCAGTTCTGTTCCAGCTTACAAAATAAAGAGCTGCTTTAGAGAAATCGCTGTGTCGTCTGCTATGTCAACCCACAATTTAACAGAGATAATGGCCAGAAAAGGGTGTCATGCCTTGCTAGAGGATTCCTCCTCAGATCAGGATCTGGAGCCCCCCGCCCAGTGCCATCTAGAACCCTGGACCTCTTAGAGGAGCCTGTAAGGGGTCCCACCCCACAGGAGGGGAGCTCTGCCTCAGAGGCAGAATGACTCCCCAGCCCCAGGACTGCTGGCCACTTGAAGAGGCAGGTCAGCATCCTCACGTTCAGAAGGAGTGCCTGTTTACAGAAATGGACTCCTTGTGAGCAAGACTCTCCTCCCAAGGAGGACTTCTTCCAGAAACTTAACAACAACAACAATTTGTTATTTATACCTCGCCCATCTGACTGGGTTTCCCCAGCCACTCTGGGCAGCTCCCAACAGAATTAAAAGCACAATAAAACATCAAACATTAAAAACTTCCCTAAACAGGGCTGCCTTCAGATGTCTTCTGTGGTTGTTTATTTCCTTGACATCTGATGGGAAGGCATTCTACAGGCCAGGCGCCACTACCGAGAAGGCCCTCTGCCTGGTTCTATGAATCTACAGCTACATTGTGGGTGGGATTCTGGCCCCTCCTGCTTAACTCCAGGCTGAAAGAGCTGCTGGAATGATGTCTTCATATTAGTGCTGGGCCGTGTCTACCTTATCTTTGGATTTCCTCTGCTGAATCCTGGTGAATAACCTTTGGGTTCTTGCTTTTGCTTGGGCTGTCGCGATCTGCTTGTGCAGACTGCCTTGGGACCCTGCTGTCGGTGGGACCTAATCCTGGCCCCGCCCGAAACACGTCAGTGGGTCTGACACACACGCAAACCCAGACCCCACTTTCTCTGCCACATATCACGCAAACTCCTGCGTGGATACACTGCCCAGGCCAACGAATCGTTCCTCTTTCTACCTACCAAAGCACTGGCTTAGCGACAAGCAAACGGCGCTGGTCTCTTGGCATCCTTTGCAATTGAGCACTTTATAGCTCAGCCAGCCTGAGGTATCAGGAGTCCGGGAAACGGAGGAAGAGAAAGAGAAAGTGTGAAGAAACACCAGCCAGAGAGTAATATGGATGGTATCAACGTACGCCTACAGAACCCAGGATGTTAATCTTCTAGCAAGGCCCACTACATCCAATCCCAACACTCTGCAGTCCAGGGATTTGCAAAATTCCCAAGATGGGGGCAGGATCTTTCTATGTGTCTTGGGCAGTGCATGGCTGCATAGGGATGCCATGTGTCCTCATTTTCCAGGACACTTCCTCTTTTTCAGGGGTAAAAATTGAGACATATGGCCTTTATTTGCTTTGAATGGTCGTCATATTGTCCTCTCTTTTTTGCTCTTCAAAATATGGCAACCCTACATATGGAGCCAAGCCAGTCTAGGCCCAGGCCGCTTTGAAACCATATGTTTAAAGCACAAGGATAGCATTTTAAACAGTCACGGCCTCCCTCCCCAAGGAATTCTGGGAGCGGCAGTTTGTTCCCCTGTTCCCCTCACAGAGCCACAGTTCCTAGAGTTCCTTAGGAAGAGAGACTGTTTTTTTGAAAACCACTTTGAGAATTGAAGCTCTGTAAGGGGGCTCTTAACAAACTGCAGCTCCCAGAATTGTTTGAGGGAAGCCATGTAGGGTGTGAATGTGAAGAGAATCTTGGGCATCTCTTTGTTCAGTCATGACACTGATTAGGTTATTGTTCCGTCAAATTAAAAACACCCACAAAAAATAATGCAAAACTAGCAAAACTTGGGGCTGTTTTACAGATGAAGATGAAATGCTGGCACTAATTTTTTTTAGTTGCTGGGTGGGTAGTTGAATCAATTGCCTCTGATAGATTCCCCCCACCCCCTGAGTCAAATGCCCCCTAATCCTTCCCTGTAAGACAGTCCTTTCGGTTGTCTTTCTCCTAAATCCAGCCCTGACAATATATCCATTGCTTTCATAAATGTCTTTACAGCAGGGGTTGGCAACGTCAGTCCCAGGGGGCAAATGCAGCCCTCTATCCATGTCTCTGTCTAACTCTTAGAAATCTCCCAAGGCCAAACCCATCACTGGACAGCTCCACACCACCTCTAACATTTCCAGGGATTATTTTTTTTTACTTTGCTCAAATGTGTCCTTAAACTGCAGTAACGCCTCTTGCTTCCCTGGGTACACGTGGAGACATCTGGTTTGTGTGTGGCTGAGCAAAGTTGAGAATCACATTGTGTGTGGCCCCGGGAAGGTTGCCCACTTTGGAATGCGGCCCCTGGGATCACAAAGTTTCCCTACTCCTGCTGTATAGATGGCCTCCTAGCAACCCTCCCTCTATTCTCTCCATCCTTTCCTCCTCTCCTGAGGCCCAAACACAGCTAACAGCAGAACTGGAGAAATCCTCCTCAGCCTCCCTGGCCCATGTGCGTGCGAGAGACTCTGGCTTCCTTGAGCTGCTCCCACGCCGCATGCTATGTGTCCCCGCCACAGAACCACAACAGTTCTCATTTGCTTTCAATTGCCGGGTTCCCCTCCTCTTAATACCCAGCTAGGCAACAAGATGAACTCACCGCAGGCAGATTTGTCGCAAGCTGTGAGGGGAAGAAAAGCAGAGTCCGAGAATGAGTGTACATGCCCCAAATATTCTATTATCCCCAGATTTCTTTCTTTCCACATCCAAAGCGTTACCGCAGGGCAGAAATATTCCTGTCGATACAATCAACAGAACCCTGCAATAAAGCAGGGAGTTTTTCCTGGCACAGCGTTCTAATCTATAATACATTATTATTATTATTATTATTATTATTATTATTATTATTATTTGCATACCGCCATATACCCGCAGGTCTCAGGGCATCTCACAAGATAACATCGCAACATAAAAACACAAAATACATAAAATAATACATGGAATTGGGGGAGACTTGCTACCTTTCATTTGGTGTTCCTTTAAAGCTTCCTTGAGCTTCATAGTCGTTTTCCTCCGGAATTCAACCAATTCATCCAACAGAGCCTGGTCTTGGGGGTAGATCGAGATACATAGGATGTGTGTAACATTGGGAGCCCCCTACAAATTCCTTCTGTAAATGACCAAGAGGCCTTTTTCTGGCAAATGAGGCCCTGGGAGCTTCAATCCCAACAAAAGGGCACCTGAGGGAGAGAGGAGTTGGGATCCTCACCTGTCAGATGGGTTTGAAGTAGACTTTCCGTGCTGAACCTCGCCTCGTGGATCAGGGCGTCAACTTTGCTCTTAACTGGGGGGAAAGGGGAGTAAAAGGGTGGCTGTAGATCAGGGGTCAGCAAACTTTTTCAGCAGCGGGCCGGTCCACTGTCCCTCAGACCTTGTGGGGGGCCGGACTATTTTGAAGGAAAAAAGAAAATGAACAAATTCCTATGCCCCACAAATAACCCAGAGATGCATTTTAAACAGAAGCACACATTCTACTCCAATGCAATACTCTTCCCACCTGAGGGCAAAGCCTCATAAGGCTACACTACAAATGTAAAAACATGCTGATTCCCGGACTGTCTGCAGGCCAGATTTAGAAGGCGATTGGGCCGGATCCGGCCCCCAGGCCTTAGTTTGTCTACCCATGCTGTGTAGAATGTAGGAGCCTGAATATGCAGAGAGCAACAATTGGGAGGGGAAAGGGGCAGAGGGATTTCAAGAATACCAGGCAGCTGTTAAGAGTCTGGAAGGGCAGGCAGAGGTGATTGTTTGTGCATCTTTCCAGATAAAAACTTGGGTTTAAATACCCATACAGGCTGTGTACACATTACCGGATTAAGATGCAGCCAAGTCATTCTTTTTCTCCAATTCGGATTAAAGCTGGCTGGTGGAAAAACACTTTGAACAACAGGATAGATATGGGTTGTGGCTATGCGTACACCGCTTCCCAAACCAGCGCTGGGAGCACTTTGGGTGGAGGAAAACAGGAGTGTGTGCACAGCCAGAGTGTTACACGGCAGATTGAAGAAGCAGATCCTGTTCTCAATCGCAAAACCCAGCTCTGCCATTCTCAGGTCTCCTGCTCCCTCTAATTTCTGTGTCTTTGTCCTTTGCTGCCCAAGGGGATGCGGTAAAGCAAAGGGGCAGCAAAGATTGGTGCTGGGAGTCAGGGCACTGGGGGAACTCTTGGTTGGCACCAGACCTGCAGGAGCTCCTTTGACCTTGCCACCAACCCAGCAGGGCTGGGGGAACAGCTGCCAATCCCAAACTCTCCCCCCCCCAAAAAAGCTTGCCACCTCCTTACCCATCTTTTCCTGGTGAATGCCAGCATGAGAACCCCACTATTGCTCCACATTCTTGTGCACCAAGGAGAGGGAGAGTTCTCAGGTGATGCAGGTGAACAAAAATGCACGAAAAAACACATTTTTTGAAAAGTTCATTAAATGGTGTGGGTACAGTGAGGGAGGGAAGACGTTGCTCGTTATCAGAGATGTGATGGGCGGTAGCCAGTCTGTCACCCTTGCACAGCTAGATTTCACACTGCAATCCACAAACGGCTTTAGCTGGTAGGGATGCACTGCTGCGACCATTTTGGATTCTTATTTTTGCAACATTTCTGTGTCAGTTTGTAATTTTTATTTAAGTCCGCGTTAAGATTATTCTTGCTAACATAATACATTTTTTAAAAGGTTACTTTTAGGAATATATGCACTTTTATGCTGTTTGCCCACATTTCTGCAGTTGTTGTTTTTTAACTGCATCACAACATTTGGAGAAGTGTGAATTTTGATGGAAAGCTGCACTTTGGTTCATGCATTGTATTGGGAAGGGGAAATTGGGTCAGCTGGCATTAAATGCAAATGGAAACTGCTCTCTCCTCCATCCCCGCTAGATAAAGAAATCACATTTTCTCTGCAGTGAACATAGCCTTGGATGACTCATGCTGCCCGGGTAAGAACCATGCAGTCACCACCCAGTCAGATGATCAGCGTGAAATTCAGGCCCCTGGATTGTCTAGTGTGGACCCTGAGCTAAGCAGAGCTGGAACTTGTATACCTGCCAAGCCAGAAAACTGGCTGGTGGCATAGTGCAGGAAGAAATTCCCCTCCAGACCACTGAGGAGCACTTCGGCCCGCTCCCTGAGGCGGCTGTCCTGGATCTTGCTTGGGACAACCTCTGTCCGGAGCTTGGCCACATTCTCCTTGAACTTTTGGTCGCACTGCAGGCAGCCCCGGAGGCTTATGGGAAACCAGGCCAGAAGCAGAAGCCACAAAAGCGGTCCTAGGGGAGGCATGCTGGAGCCAAGCGGAATTAGATGGCCTCAAGGTTCCGCAGGAAGTGACATCACAGTGGGGGCGAGTTATGGAAGGGGCATCTGACAAGGGTTAGGTTTGCATAGGGAGAGGACAGGTAGGGACACCTCAGTCCGGGGGGGGCGGTTCTTCCTCCCCAAGGTTAGAACCCTCTCGTATCCTGTGGTTTCCATCAATGATATTCAGAAGCCTACTGACTCCAACCGTGGAGGCCATCGTGCATTTAAAGCACACACGCCACATCTAGAATCCTGATCACAGTAGTTTACCCTCACAGAGCTACATTTCCCAGGACCCTTGACAAACTACTGAAGGAGGTGAGGAATGAATAGGCTCTGTCATTGCCAAGAATACTCAAGCCTGAGAAGTGACTTTTATCTCATTCAGTTGCAACATCTTGGACACGCTGAACCACCAGGGCTCCTCGACCCCTTGGCTTCTCACCCCCCTTTCCCAAAGACAGGAGCCTTCTGTTCATGCTCAGGGGAACTCGAGGCAGGACTCTGGAGGAGGAGGAGGAGAAAGGGGAGGGAACTGGAAGGGGAATATATACTCTGTGCATATGACTGTGAAGTGTGCTTGTTTGTGAACTATCACACTTGCTCCTTCTACCAGTTCATGTATGGTAGAAATAAAGCTTTTTCTCCTAAACTATTCCTTGAGTGTCTGTTGACTCCCATGTCCCTTTCCCGGGCGCAATATTTTTCCCACCCGAGGGCAAAGCCTCATAAGGCTACACTACAGTTCCCGGGATTTTCCGGAGGAAAAAATGTTCTTTAAATATGCGGTGTGCATGCAGCCAGCATTTATTTATTCAGTTGTTTTAAATTTGTTCTTATTTAAGATTTTCTTGCGTAACAAAACAAGGAAGAAAATACATACAGCGTCTCCACTTTCAATTCATAGATTCTTTTTCAGAGTTTGTTTACATTTGGTATGAGACACTGTTGACGTAGACATTATGTGGTTGGGGGAAAAGAACGGGGAGAGATAGGGGAATAATGATCTTTTGTTCAACTGCCCAGTGTTTTTCCAGGGTGCAGCCAGAATTTATAAAGCGTTTTAGAGTGTTCAAAGCATTCCTCTTCCTCTTAATCTTGCTGCATTCTTTACAGCATCCCTAAAAGATGGCTGATGGTATGTCTTTGAGAAGGCATGCAGGCCTCAAGGGGAAGAGCATTCCCTTAGCCTTGGGGCCATCGTTGTAAAGGCCCTGCTTCTCACATCTGCAGTTGTATGTTCCTATACCGGTGCAGCATGAGGAGCAGGCCGTGTTTTGAAGAAGGTGGGCATGAGGGTGTTAATTTAAGGAGACAAATCTCCCGCCATTCCCTGGGCAAGGTTTGCAGAGACCAAGAACTAGAAATGGAGATGGGGTGCCGAAAAAACCACAGCACGGCCCTTTGCTCACTTCTCAGACGGCATCTTTACTTGATTCTCTCCTGCCCTGGATGGAAACAGCCCGGCCAAGCCTGGCACCGCCTGGAAGAGCTGGGAGGTGGTGTCGTGAGCATCAGTTTGGCGCAGGTAGCAGAGAAATGCTGTCCACAGGAAGGAGCAGGCCCCCACGTAGGCTGTGCGCAACAGGGGTGGCACAAGAGCAAAATTCACTGCCTGGTGGAGGGAGAGAGAGAGAGAGAGATGAGGAGGGAGGCACATAAACCACCAGTGGTTCTTGGATGGCAGCACATGCTCTGATTCTGCTGGTATTATTTTATTGACTGACCGATGATGATGATGATGATTTATTATTTATACCCTGCCCAAAGAGCTGAGGGTGCTGTACAAGGTGGTGCTCGTTCTCCCCAGCCCCCAACTTCCATTTCATCCCAACAACAACACCAACCCTGTAAGGTAGGCCAGGATGTGAGAAAGTGGTCACTCAGGGAGCTTTGTCGGGATTGGAGCTCCCTGACCTTCGTCTGACGTGGCAACCACAACACTGCATTGGATTCTGTAAAGGGGATGGTCAGCTTTATCACCCAGGTTTCTGGGCTCTTTGCTTCCTTATGGAACTAGCTTCTTCAAGAAAGTGAATGATTCCTAGTGACTGTAGGAATGCATCTGAACCATCTGAGAGGAAGGGGTCATCAGCATCCCATGGTCTTGGGCAGGCATAGGCAAACTCCGGCCCTCCAGATGTTTGGGACTACAATTCCCATCATCCCTGACCACTGGTCCTGCTAGCTAGGGATGATGGGAATTGTAGTCTCAAACATCTGGAGGGCCAGAGTTTGCCTGTGCCTGGTCTTGGGGAGGGTAGCTCTGTGTGTGCCTCTTAGACTAGCGATGATACCTCTCGTGCCTATCGCATACTTATTTGTTGTTCTTTCAAATATCTTATAAACTGCTCTTTACGGCCAAACCCTCAGAAAAAGAAGTACATAAAAAGAGTGCTCCTGTATGCGCTAGGCACACAAAGTAGGCGTATGATTATTTCGGGGAAACTGCTCTGAGTCACACAAGTCATTAACAGTCTAAAGAAAAGGCGGCAATGAAGAGAGAGAGATGTTCAAGGCCCTCTTAAAAGCCTGTGTTGAAGCAGCCAAGCATAAGCCAATCACAAGGTTAGTTCCATAACTGTGGGGCCACCACGGAAAAGCCCCTGTCTCTCACGTATGCTAGCCAAACTGGCCTTACCAACACGCATGTGAGCAGGACCTCCAAAGCAGATATTAGCATCTTTGAAGGTCATAGGGTGAAGGCCATCCTTGAGGTCACCCGGATCTCCAGCCAGTCTCTTTTAGGGCAATCCTTCTCAAAGTCCATGGGCGGTAGCTCAGTGGTAGAGCATCTGCTTTGCGTTCAAAAGGTCCCAGGGCTGGGAGAGATCCTTGCCTGAAACCCTGGACAGCTCCTGCCAATCAGCATAGACTATACTGAGCTAGGTGGACCAATGATATGACTGGGTCCAAGGCTGCTTTCCTGATGGCTATTTGGGGCAGGTCCCAAAGTATCAACCACTCTGTTGAACTTCTGGCACTTTCTAAAGCCTAAAACAAAACAAAACAAAACAAAACAAAACAAAACAAAACAACCCAAACCCCCAAACCCAAACCACCCTCCAGCAGGCTTTCTAACTGAATTTTGCTTTTATAGTTTTAATTCATATGTAATCTTATTGTTTTGGGTCTACTGAGAGACAGCTATAATTAAGTGGTGTACAGATTGTTGGAATAAATAAACAATTTCAATACATTCCCGGCAGGCTTTCAAAAATCCAGTGTATTCCTAGGGCAACTGGGAAGGAAGTGATGCATTTCAAATATTTTAGGTTTGCTTTTCAGCAGCTCCCTGACTAGCAGAAATGAAGCAGGGGAATGTTTTTCCTAATGCTTTATCCCTTTGTGACAGGAAAAACCTGCTTGTCTCTCTTGCAGTTGTCTATTGGCACAGGAGCTCTGTTTGGGGTGGGGTGGGGTGGGGTGGGGGAAGCTGGCAAGGCTTCCAGCTCATTCAGGGAAGGAAAGCATGGACCACAATACGTACCTGGAACAAGGTCCAGCACAGCACACCAGCCTAAATGGGGGGGGGGGGGAATAAATAAATAGCAAATTTAACATAAGGGTTAAAGATGAAGTTCCTCAACAGTGCTTGGATTTCACACTAAGGAGTTGCAGGACTTTGCTGTGGAGTCCACAGCAGCTACTTGAGAGCCAGTGTGGTGTAGTGGTTAAGAGCGGTAGTCTTGTAATCTGGGGAACCGGGTTCCCGTCTCCGCTCTTCCACCTGCAGTTGCTGGGTGACCTTGGGCCAGTCACACTTCTTTGAAGTATCTCAGCCCCACTCACCTCACAGAGTGTTTGTTGTGGGGGAGGAAGGGAAAGGAGAATGTTAGCCACTTTGAGACTCCTTAAAGGGAGTGAAAGGCGGGATATCAAATCCAAACTCCTCCTCTTCTTCTTCTTCTACTCCTGAGGCACCAAGGGTCAGAAGCTACCTTAACAAAATGGCTGACGGACTGTGCACCAAAGTATTATTCTTGTTATTTATTAATCGGCTTCCACATCTGTCCCAAGGCGAGGCACAAAATATAACGGAAAAGTCACAAAAATAACCGAAGATTAGTTTAAGAACAATACAAAATGGACACACACACCACACCTGTCCAACCAGCTGAGAAATCTTGACAGGAGGAAAAAGATATCTTCAGTTGTTTCTGGGAAATTCAGATAGTGGGCCCCTGCTACTATCGAAAAAATCTGGGAAAGAGAAGAGATCCCAGGAGACTTTAGGGATGCCAAAATTACCAATCTCTTTTAAAAAGGTGACAGAACTGATTGTGGAAAACTATCGAGGCATCTCTCTATTAGCTGCAGCCGGCAAAATTCTTGCAACGATCTTAGCAAACTGTCTCTTAACAATAGTCAAGGTGACCCTTCCTGAATCCCAAAATGGTTTCCGGCCTTCTAGGGGGACAGTGGACATGATTTTCACCACTCGACAGCTTCAAGAAAAATGCAGAGAGCAAAACCAACCCCTGTATATGGCGTTTATTGACCTGACTAAGGCTTTTGACAGGGACACAGGTGGTGCTGTGAGTTAAACCACGGAGCTTAGGGCTTGCCGATCAGAAGGTTGGCGGTTCGAATCCCCTCGACAGGGTGAGCTCCCGTTGCCCGGTCCCTGCCCCTGCCAACCTAGCAGTTCGAAAGCACCTCAAAGTGCAAGTAGGTAAATAGGTACCACTCCGGCGGGAAGGTAAATGGCGTTTCCGTGTGCTGCTCTGGTTCGCCAGAAGCGGCTTAGTCATGCTGGCCACATGACCGGAAGCTGTACGCCGGCTCCCTCAGCCAATAAAGCGAGATGAGCGCCGCAACCCCAGAGTCATCCATGACTGGACCTAATGGTCAGGGGTCCCTTTACCCTTTACCTTTTAAGGCTTTCAACACTGTAAATCGTAATGCCCTGTGGACTGTCATTCTGAAAATTGGCTGCCCAGATAAATTTGTAAACATCATTTGGCTCCTCCATGATAATATGACAGCGACAATTTCAGATAACAATGGCTCTCAAAGTGAACCATTCTCAGTGGGATCAGGTGTTAAACAGGGTTTCCCCAACTCTATTTACTGTATTATTTTCATTGCCATGATCCTACACTTTGTCGAGCGGAAACTCCCCACTGGAGTAGAAATCAGTGACCCTCCAGGTCCCAGCCCTGCCCGGGATACTGAAAAACTAGTCTTTATGATGCCACAATGCCCTCTTTTTTCTGTTTGCGTGTTTCTTTGCCTAGCACAGAATCTACAAAGCTGTTATTATTACCTTGTACGTTGGCCAAAACTTCTCCTGCAGCTTCCCAAATATGTTGCTTTCACCATCCAGGAGAGAGAGACCTGAGAAAGGGAGGGAAGCAAACTCATCACCTTCAAAGAGCTCTCCATCCCCCTCCAGCCCCTTCTTCACCCCTGCTGTCTCTCACCGGTGTAAAAAGCCCCGATGGTGATTGGCGCAGCGATGACCTGGTCGCAAGTGACCTTTGCTATCACCGTGGTCACTTTCGCTCCTGGAAGAAGGCGCTCCAGGCTCCGGAACCAGGCGTAATTGAAGTTGGCGTGGAATGTGAACCCGACCAGCGCCACTTTTGCCGTCTGCTTCAGATCCAAACCGTCGTGTCTGCGGGGATCCTGGCACGGCTTAGCCAACTTCTGCTGGGCTGCATCTGCCGCTGAAAACAGTGTGCCGTAGGCAACAACATTCGCCAGCCAAGGGTGGCGATGCACCAGACCAAGCAAGGGGTGCATTTGAATACAGATCTGGTGTGGCGGAAGTGCAGTTCCCCGAGATGGCCCTAGGTGGCAGCGTCCTCTGCTCAGGTGGGTTGCAATGTCGCCTCCTGCTGGTATATATCTGCAAATGCACACGGAAAGGCATGTGGCTATTACCTTCCAAGGCCAGAAGGCTGCGGTTGTGTTGGTCAATTGTGTGAAAAACTTGGGATGTGGCTTAATCCTTAAAGAGCTTAGGATCTGGGGATCTTAAGGATCACCTTCTTCCATATGCTTTTTTATTTTTTTTTTATTGCATTTATTTATTCCTCCACAGTTACTCAGAGCAGGGCTTCCAGTGGGGCTGCCCCTGTTCTGTGGAATAGCATTCCTGTCAAGATACGACAAGCGCCCACTCTCTGAACTTTCTGGAAACAATTGAAGGCATTCTTGCTCCAACAGGCTTTTCCAGCTGGGTGAAAAGATCTCTGCCACTGGTGTTTATTTTGTATTGTGTTTAAAAACACATCTACCATTTTCTGTGTTGTTTTTAAGTGTTTTTAGCTGTTTCAGTTGTCTCCTGTACGTTGCCTTGAGATGGGTGCATTCGGAAGGCAACCAACAACTTCTCTCACAGACAACATCCCCTCCCATAAAGTCTGCGGCAAGTGACAAGTGTTTTCTGAAGACATGCCTAGACGAGATGCTCTAAAGTGTCCTGAATTTCCCCTTTAAATAACCCTGGTGGTTATAAATCTATAAGGACGAGAGGGGAGGAAATGACCAGTGCCCTTACCAAATAACTGATCTTTCTAGTTAAATCAGTTTGAAACTAGTTTATGTTTACAAAAGAAACAGGAATAAACTCTGTCGTAAAGCTGTTTATATGGTAAACACAAATCTGTGTATGCAACATCCTTGCCCAGACTCCTGTTGGACCACAGTATAAATACTTACCTACACAGGGGTATTTCTGCACCTGCTTAATGCTGCCACAAACAGGATCATGTCATCTCCACATTTTAATACCCGGCTGTTCACACCCCTGTGTCACTTTTGTGCACCATCTCTGCACCACTGGATTATGCACTTTCCCCCACATGCAGTGAGAAGGCCTCGACACACACCTCAAACATAGGCAGCAGGCGCACACACCACATTTAAAGCACATGGCTCCCCGCCAAAGAATCCTGGGAACTGTAGTTTGCCCCTCACAGAGCTACAACCCCCAGCCTCCTTAATAAACTACAGTTCCCAGGATTCTTTTTTGGGGGGAAGCCATGCACTTTAAATGTGGTGTGTGCTCAGTACGCACTGCAGCCCCCAATTCTATGTGCTGCCCAACTACAACATGCCAACATCCTCTTCAGGCCTCTCTTTAATAACACACTTCTCCTATGGTAAGACAATCTTCTATATTCCACATTCACGGCAATGCACAGTTCTGCAGACTGCAGCCGCCTCTGCTCTCTCTGGGACGAAGCAGCGCTATCCTTTATGGGCATGATGTGTGTGCGCACCTCCCACAGAGCCTCTTCTGCCACAGCCTTTAATGCAGGACAAAAGGATAATGTTAAAAATCCCCCCTGCCATCATAAATATAGGTGGGAAAGATTGGATCTGAATGAAACAGGAATCCACATCGTTTTTGTTGAAAGGTTAGGGAGAGACATCTGTGAGCAGGATCAAATAGGAATTTAGCAGCTTGTTTGTCGGCGCCAAATGTTAGAGCGTTTGTTTAATTATGACATTTCTATTCTGTCTTCTCTTCTCCCACCCTTTTCTCTTCACAACAATCCTGTGAGGTAGCTTAGGCTGAGAGAAGGTGATGGGCCCAAGGCGAGACTGTGAGCTTTGTGGTGGCAGACTGAAGATTTGAACCTGTCCTCATCGGTCACTCTAACCATTACTCAGTTTTAACCAAAGTTCTGTCCTCTTGCAGAAAATCTGACATATATAACAAATTAATCAAGACACAGCCTGCACTTGTTTTTAGCAGAGACACCCAGTTCTGGGACATATGAAATAACCAGAAAGCAAAGTGTGCCTTGGAGCATGTACAAAGTGCATTTCTCGCACAGCAGAGCAGGGCCACAAACCACAGCATAGGTGGGTAAATAAATTCATCTCAGTCAATATTCTCTCTCTCTCTCTCTCTCTCTCTCTCTCTCTCTCTCACACACACACACACACACACACCCTTCTCTTTGTCTCTCTCAAGCCCACCCGCTTTTCTCTCTCATTGCGTTGCAGCCATTATTACCCCGAATGCTCTGTCTTCTTTTCTTCTAGGGCTAGAAGAAGCGATAAGGGACGGGTCAGCCACGCTTGTCTGCTCCACAGAACTATAAATATCCGGACACATGGTAAGGGTGCAGACAGGGCAGGGAAGGGGGTGGGGGTGGGAGAGAGCCATTGAATAGCCAATCCTTGCTGCATACTAAGAAAGTACAGTTGTGGGGAGAAAGCAAAGCAGCTGTGGAGGGAGGAAGTTGGCAGCCCATTTGAGAACCAAATAGAATACCAGACCCAGTCCCAAATTGCAAGCAGACATGTCTGGGGAAGACAGAGTTAATTGGGAGAGAGACCTGGGAAAGGGCTGGCTGAATCAATAGATCACACAAACACACAAAACTTATTTACCTAAGCTCTCCCCCTTTCCTCTTTAATCTTAATACTTACAATTTTGATATGTTTCTGTGTCATACCATTTCCTAATTGCTTACATAGGGTGATATCTCAGCTCTGTAAAAAAATACCTGTAAAAGCGTATTCAAATCACTTTCTTTCCCTCAAAGAATTATGGGCCTTGTAGTTTACCTCTCACAGAGTTACAATTCCCAGCAGCCCTTAACAAACTACCGAGCCCAGAATTCTTCGAGGGAAAGAATGGGCTGTATATGCAGCCTAAGTCCTACTCAGAATAGTACACCCACTGAAACCAATAGACAAATCAGATAAAAGTGTAGTTGTTCACCACAAGGAGTTATGGGTGATCTTCAATTATAGTCATCTCAGAAATCAGCAGACTGAATCAATGGACTCTACTCTCTGAACAAGACTAAGATTGAATATCACCCATAATTCTTTGGGTGCATTATTATCTTTTTTAAAGGATTATAGTTAGTTAAAGTTAGTTAGTTATACACCAGTTTTCCCCCTCACGGGACTCAATGTAGTTTACAGCTAAAAATAGGAACTGCTAAAAATATAGAAGAAACAATCATTTAAGAACAATTAAACACTGAATTATAAACAATTAAACACTAGAATTATATATATATTCTATTAAAGCCACACCAGTAATTTCAATAAAAACACTGGAGTCAGATGGGCAGATTATCTGCCCATCTGAATGGGGTGTTGTTGTTGCTGTTAATATTTATTACTATAAATGTTGTTGTTGTTAATATTTATTACTATATTTGTTGTTGTTGTCACTGCTTTTTTTCTGGGGGCACGCAGGGGTGTGCCTACCCCTAAACATTTTGTGAATCTAAGTTTGGCCTGATTGAGGGGCAGTATTTCAATATGAGTGGGAAAATGAGAGTACCCCTAAACATTTTTTAAAGAAAAAAGCACTGGTGGTTGTTATTTTAAGGTACCCATCTCCTGGGGCTCGGTCTGAAACAGGTTCAACATATCTTAACCTCTCACAACCTGTCTTTGGTGCCTTTCTTTCCTCCGAAGTGCTATTTGCTACCACATCAGCCTCTGGGAGTTATAGTACACTACTGTACTGTGTACATACTGGGAAAAGAAAACCATGAGCCTCTTTGTTCCGGCACCAGGGGGCGCTGTTTTATCACATGTGCACGGAACAGGTTTTCTCTTGCGCAATCCCCATAGAAATGAATGAGCCGGTGCTCCAGAATGCAGAGTCGATGCAATCTCCTGTTCCTTTCAGAAGGGCTTGCGCAAAAATAGGCCCAGTGGTAGACTGTGCTAATTCTTTCTCGTTCTTATCTGTTCAGCCTCATCTCTGCTGCTGGACACCTCTTGGGTACTTGGTAGGAGGGACTGACTCTCTTGAATGGTTTGGGTGGGAGGGCGGGCTCTTCTACTTTTATAGCTATTTATATATTTCTTTATTTAAACATTTATATCCTGCCTTTCTAAAACAAGCACACACAACAGACACAATGGTTCTTATCTAGCTGGCAATCTTTCCAAAACCAGAGGCGATTCAAAGAGACGCATTCAAAGCTGCTGTGCTAGCTTCCTATGTGTTATCAGCGCTGCAGAAGAGATTTTAGCCGGTTTGACTGTTCAGTGGTACCTCGGGTTACATACGCTTCAGGTTACATACGCTTCAGGTTACATACGCTTCAGGTTACAGACTCCGCTAACCCAGAAATAGTGCTTCAGGTTAAGAACAGTTTCAGGTTAAGAACGGACCTCAGGAACAAATTAAGTACTTAACCTGAGGTACCACTGTATGCTGATACATGGTCAATCCACATGACGTTTGGGACTATGGTTCATATGTGCACATGCCGTATTTCACTTTGTAATTGAACTGCAAGTTCCAGGTGGCTGTGATTACACTACGTGGTCAAATCCAAAGGCCCTTTGCAGTTTGTCCACCTGATTTAACTGCTAGATGATGATGATGATAATAATAATAATAATAATAATATTTATACCCCGCCCATCTGGCTGGGTTTCCCCAGCCACTCTGGGCACCTTCCAACAAAAGATTAAAAATACATTAAAACATCAGTCATTAAAAAATTCCCTAAACAGATGTCTTCTAAACGTCAGATAGTTGTTTATTTCTTTGGCATCTGATGGGAGGGCGTTCCACAGGGTGGGCGCCACTACCAAGAAGGCCCTCTGCCTGGTTTCCTGTAACCTCACTTCTCACAGGGAGGGAACTGCCAGAAGGCCCTCAGAGCTAGACTTCAGTGTCCGGGCTGAACGATGGGGGTGGAGACTCTCCTTCAGGTATACTGGGCTGAGGCCGTTTAGGGCTTTAAAGGTCAGCACCAAGTCTTTGAATTGTGCTCGGAAACGTACTGGGAGCCAATGTAGGTCTTTCAAGATCGGTGTTACGTGGTCTCGGCGGCCGCTGCCAGTCACCAGTCTAGCTGCCGCATTCTGGATGAAGAATTCTTTGTAACTTCCAGCTGACAGCGAACTGCTCCGCAAACAATTTTTCTTTTTAAGAACAATTTTATTGTAAGTTTTAAAACTACATTAACCAGTAAAATTCAAACTCATTTATAAGAAAAGACAAACCACAACTGCACAGAAAAGAAAAAGAGAAAGAAATAATAGCGAAAGGATAACTAAGAAGATCCTTTATCACATTTATATTGTGCATAACATATCATTTATCCACACACAGAAAGCCAGACTCCACCAGCTCCACCAATAATTCTGTGTGACATAAAAAAAGTGGCATCCTTCTATCTAGAGTAGCAGGTCTTGGGCATTTTTTAAAGCTGTGTCTCACCATCTTTCTTAAGCCATGCTGAGCACATGCACCTATTTGGGTTCCGATGAAGTTTCCGCTTTCCATTTTTTGCTCATGAGCTTTGCAGGTGGCAAGAATCTGCCTTGAGCGTCACACAGATAAATATAGCGTCGCACACATTTAAGTGCATCATCGCTGTGGATGGAGGACTTTGTTGAGTCACTTCTACCTCTAAAAGTAGTCCGGGGAACCTTTCCTTTAGGCCCTGCCCCAGATAACCTCATTTACTGCGATTCCCTTCGCTGCCTCCTGTGGAGTTTTTGCTGTGTCACACAGGCAACCTGACCCAGGCCTAGAAATCAGGAGTGGAGCCACACACCTTTATCCCACAAGGGGGCAGAGTAGCTTTGGCAAGACAGACCGCGGCAAGAGCTGTGGGCTTCGATAATCACAGCGCTGTGTAGAAAGCTGAAAGTTGAACTCCCTTATGGCTCCGTCTAGCTCAGTATTGTCTACAGTGATGGACAGCAGCTCTCAAAAGTTTCACAGTCTTATGTGGAGATGCCTGCTATTGATTGTGGGACCTCCTGAATGCAAATGAGGTGCTCTACCCCTGAGCTACAACATACCCTCCAACATCTCTCCAATGAAAGTAGGTAAAGGTACCCCTGACCGTTAGGTCCAGTCGTGAACGACTCTGGGGTTGCGGCGCTCATCTCGCTTTACTGGCTGAGGGAGCTGGCGTTTGTCCGCAGACAGCTTCTGGGTCATGTGGCCAGCATGACTAAGCCGCTTCTGGCAAACCAGAGCAGTGTACGGAAATGCCGTTCACCTTCCCGCCGGAGTGGTACCTATTTATTTACTTGCACTTTGACACGCTTTCAAACTGCGAGGTGGGCAGGAGCAGGGACTGAGCAACGGGAGCTCACCCCATCGCAGGGATTCGAACCGCCGATCAGCAAGCCCAAGGCTCTGTGGTTTAGATCACAGCGCCACCCGTGTTCCCAGTGAAAATAGGGATATCCTATTTCATGGGTATGCAAACTAAGGCCCGGGGGCCGGATCCGGCCCAATCGCCTTCTAAATCCGGCCCGTGGATGGTCCGGGAATCTGCGTGTTTTTACATGAGTAGAATGTGTCATTTTATTTAAAGTGCATTTCTGGGTTGTTTGTGGGGCCTAGCTGGTGTTTTTACATGAGCAGCATGTGTGCTTTTATTTAAAATGCATCTCTGGGTTATTTGTGGGGCATAGGAATTTGTTCATTATTTCCCCCCCAAAATATAGTCCAGCCCCCCCCCCCAAGGTCTGAAAAAGTTTGCTGACACCTGTGACCTATTCCATAACAAATTGTTATTATATTTATACCCTGCCCACCTGACTGGGTTGCCCCAGCCACTCTGAGCGGCTTCCAATATACAAAAACGTAATAAAATATTGAAGAACTTCCCTATACTGGGCTGCCTTCAGATGTCTTCTAAAGGTTGTATCTCCTTATCTCCTTGGCTCATAACTCTACACCCTCTGACGTTTCAGGGACATCCGAAGGAGAAGTGGGACATTCCAGGATCAAATCAGAAACTGGGAAGGCTTCTGTAAATCCAGGACTGGATAATAGGGACACCTGGAAGGTCTGCTACAACGGCCTTTCCCTGCAAACTGGGTTAGGTGTGAGGAGGCCTGTTCACACTGCCATTTTTGCAGTGCATGATGTCCTCAGCAAATTTATCTCAAATGGACGCGCACTGTAGTGTGCTGAAAGTGAGATCCTACATGTGCTGGCAGATGTGGCTGCTATGCGCTCCCCTGGTTATTTGAATTAAGCTCTGAGCAAGGGGTTAATGCAGCGAAATGTCATGGATCCGAGTTGCTGAGGATATATTTCAGTGCCGGATTGAAATGGGTCCAGCTTTGTCCAGACTTCGTTATACTTCAAAATGCACCACCGCACCAGTGCCCAGAAATAATGTGCACTGGCTTGAATGGGACTTACTCCCAGCAACCTGTGTATAGGATTGTTGCTGGGGAACAGAGCAATCCCAAGCCCTGACTGGGAACGGAAACACAACAACCACTGCCATCAAAAGTCTTGCTAGCGCAGGATGACCAGGACAAAAAAGAGGGTGTTGTGTTTTTCTAATTTTCTGCTATGCCGGCTCCAAGCTAGAAGAAGCTGAGAGGCCTGAGATGGTCCCCTCTCCAGGGATGAAGCACCTTAGGATCCAGCGGATACATGGCTGGCTATGCTCCACCCCATAACATCTAGTTTCACAGCCTTCCACTAGCCAACACCAGTGGGAATGTCGGTGGAGGGGCTCCCTGACCCTAGCTGTCAACTTTCAGATTTGAAAATAAGGGATCAGCAGCGTCGAAAATAAGGGATCAGCAGCCTCACCTGTCCAGGGGACCGTCTACGGGATATCTAACAATCCAGGATAGCAGCGGGAAACGGCACTGAATTAAGGGAATTTCCTGCAAAAAAAAGGGAAGGTTGACAGCTATGTCCCTAACCCTGGCCCAGAGGCTGATACAACCCAGAGCATGGGCGCATCTGTTACATCCTAAATCCACCCAACAGCAAGGATCAGGGTGTTAAGTTTGCATCTTAAACTCTACTTATTACTGGAATTTGGTTTTTAAAAAGTTTCCAAACCGCCCTTCGCCCAGTGGATTCCAGGGCAGTATACGAAAAGCTTTAAAAAAGGGGATTCATATAAAATACAATTAAAGAACATTTTTTGGAACTAAGAGGCAGCAAAAGCTATAAATATGTTTATTATATATTTATTATTTAGCACAGTAATTATGAGGACCAAAAAGAAAAACAACACAGCCTACTTTAATCATCATCAGCTAAGATAATTGTGCTAAACGCAGAAACAAGTTAGTTCACTGTTAACTGTCAGACAGCGAAATTAACTTTAATCCTTTAAACGTTTCAGCAATGTCAGGGAAAGTTTCTGTAAACGCAAACTATTCGTGGAACTACTGTTCTTTGTCACATTTATACTGAAACACCAGGATCAGCCTATAATTTTGTAAAACATGTGAAATTGTAACAGAAATCAAGCAAGCAACTATGAAAAAAGGCAGTTGCACACCATTCTTTAAGTATCATCACTTCATGGGATACTGGGCTGTGGTAATTTCCAGACGACCGGTTTTTCCACGTTCATCTTAATTTGGACAATTTGCAGAGGTTTTGTTCCCTTAAACGTTGATAGAATTAAAACGATATACATGCATACATACATAAGCACTCACACAGTATTAAATCCCTCCAGACATGCATCGGGCACCCCTTCTGCAGAGAGACACTTACAGGAAGCCCTTAAGCATTATTACTAATTTATTACTTGGCAGCGCAAGTTTTCTGAGTACAGAGTTTGGGAGTCCCTAGTTTTGCGGGTGAAGGAGAGAAACTGCAGAGGAGAAAATGCGTGACCCTTGGGGGGGAGAGAGGTTTTGGGGGAAAGCTGGGGGGGTCCTAGCTTCTGACGTAATCCCAATCCCCCTCCCAGCAGACAATAGACCCCATTCATCCTTCTTCCTCGCCCCCCGCCCCTCTCACGATCTGTTCACACACAAAGAAACCCATTCAGCGCCCAAGAGGGCCCAGCCGCTCTCCTGCCTCTGGTTGGTGGATTCCCCTGTCACTCATTCTATTCCCCCACCCGAAAGGGGTGTGTCGCTGCCCCCTTTCAGCCTATCTTTGTCTCGCTGTCAGATTTTCCCCCCCTCCCCGCCACCAGCGGCGCCGCTGCCACTCCCTCTTTTTTGCGATTGGCCGCGGTGGGCGTGGCCACGACACCGGGACTCCGCCCCCCCGCCCGGGGCTGCTCAGTTGCGGTTGGGCCTTGGAGGTGTCAACATCTCTCTCTCGCTCCTATCTGCTAAGGTACAGTGCAGCCTTGTCCAGGGCCCTCTTCTTCCCTCTGCGCTGCCCTTCTCTCCTTGGTCGAGTCTCTCTGTCTCATTGACGGCGGCTGGCAAGGGGCTCTGCCAAGGTCTGGGGAGTGGGAGGGGCAAGGGGGTCCGCGTGCCTGTGCATTTTTTGCCTTAATCATAGTAGCGTGCTCCAAATTGTTGATCGGGTTCCTTAGAGGGGTTGATCCTTTGTGGGGTGATCTTTCTTAAATGACAGAAAATGACATTGCATGATGGGGAGGGGGGTGGGGATTTGTTTAGATTTGTCTTCTGCTCATCCCCAGATGATAAATCAAGTTTCCCCCGCCCCCGCCCACCCCCCGATCTTTCTGCCTCGGCTTCTGCTGCTTCTGATCATGTTTTCTCTGCGGATCTGTGCACCGGTGTTGCTTCCTTTATATGTGTCCAGCGAGAGAGCGATGCGTGGCTTTCCATCCCTCAATCTGTTCTCTTCATTCCCTTCCCTATGTCTCTCTTATACATGACTCCATCTGCCTGCCCGTCCCTCCATCCATCTAGCCCTTCATTGGTGGCCAGCCAGAGAATGTCAGCTGCTGAATTTCTGCAGGGTTCCTTCTGATGCTCTCCTCCCTCCTCCATTCCCGCCTACACCCTATTCTGGGCTTTGCTCAGGTATGAATATGCAGTCCTTTCTTGCCTTTGAGCCTGTGACCCGGTAGCGTTAAATAAAAAAAAACTCACCCAAACCTACTGAGGATGTAAATGGGATGGAGGCAACTATTCCTGCCAAGGAAAAATACCTACAGCACTGTACTGCAAAGGCCTCTGGTAAGGTGTTTTTGCCGAGGCTTGGTGAGTGGAAACAGAACCGTTAATGTAAAGAGAAATGGAAGGTTGTAAAGGGGACTTAATCCGAAGAGGTTTGGAATGACAATGGAAGATGGCACTGCAGAAGGATGTGGAATATGGGTGCAGTTTGTAACCCTCGTACACCTGGATTTACTGGCAAGAATAGGCCTGTCTCCCGTCTCCCAAGGTGGCTTGGCAATGCAGGCTTCCCACTGCAAAGAGTTCTCTGCAAGAAGTGGAATTCTCAAGGATAATGTGATTCTGTGTGGCCTCTACATTTCTATATATCTGCCATGCTCTAGTAGCGGGGAGACCGTTGGGTGGTTTCAGCGGCTGAATGTGTCACCCAGTGAACCGAAAGCATGATTGCATGCCTGCATTCATTGCACATTGGGATAAAGGTGCTGGAATTTCTGAGTATTATGCCCAAAATAATATAAAGCATTTCAGGAATGCAGCGGAGTGTTTTCATGCTGAAAAAGTGAGGTATTTGTAGTTTGGGGTTTTGTTTTGTGGTGGGTTTTTTTTTGGTGATTTTCTTTTGCATGTGTCTAACCTCTAATTCAAGACAGCTGAAAGAGCCATCTGAATTTAATCAAGCCAATTACAGAGTTTTATCTAAAAGTCCACTAAAATGCTCAGATTTGATCTGCAAATCCGAGGAATGCTTAGCATTTGGAACTTGCTGTGTCAACAGAATGGTGAATTCCAGAGGGGTGTGTGTGTGGCTGTGTTAGTCTGTTGTAATGAAAACAGCAAAGAGTCATGTGGCTAATGATTTATTTTTTTTGGGTGGCATAAGCTTTTGTGGACTAGAACCTAATTCATTAAATGAATTGGCAAAATAGTTGCAACCCTTCCATTGGCCCAGTTCGCATGTAACACTAAGCTAAACTATAGCTTAGTGTGTGTGATCAAATCTTGCAAGAGCCTGGAGAGGAGATACTTGCCCACGTTGTTCCTCTCCTGTGGTTTCGCTGCTGTGCTAAGCCAAGGCATGATTTAGCTCAGTGTGTTATTCAGGTCCAGGCTCATGGTTTAGCTGTTCCAGGCAAACCATAAGCAATAACCAAGGTTTGTCCTAAAGTCTACAGCCAATGGTTTGCCTAGGAGAGTTAAACCAGGAGCCTGGACTTAGGCAACACAATAAACCATAGCTTAGCTCAAGTGGGTACGACCTCCTCTTTCAAGATCCTGTACACTTGATCATGGTTTGGCTTAGTGTAGTGTGTGAATGAGGGCATTGTGTGCTGTGTGTGTTCTAGTGTCCCTCACTCCCTTTAAATGTCTGAAGGATTTATTTTGACAGATGATTTGGTTTCTGGATTATATGACCCTCAACACTCACCAGGCCTTTCATAAAGTCACATTCATCTGTTCTTAAAACTGAGACATGCAAGTGGGAAAGGCAGACTTACTGTTCTAATGAAAAGTTGAGGATGCCTGTTTCGTTGTGGTTTAGTACAGAAAGTTAATATACTTGAGTCTTAAGAACTATCTTTCTTTTATCATGCCTGCCACTCAACAAAATGTGGGATGCGTCGCTCAAAAGGCATTTGCTGGCCATTAGTTAGCAGCCAGGAAGCGCTTTGTGTCCAAAGAGGCTGTCTGTCTGATTTCATAACCCTGGAGAGGTGAATATTTTCAGCTGAAGTGGGCCAGTGGAAATGGTGGTGACGGTGGGTTTATTTCCTGATCCTTGATGTCACATGTGTTTTTCATATTTCTGTGAACTGTGGCCAGAGATTTAAGGCAGACTTTTTTATGGGGAAGGTGGTAGAAGAGGAGTAGTTTGAGGAGACACGTGGTAATTGATGTTGGGATGTTCAGCAGTGGGCCGGACGGTGAGCATTTCGTTCCAAATTCTTGAAGGAGAGAGGGCTGCAGGGGTGGTTGCGGTGCTGTACGTAATGCTAGACATTACACAAATCAAAGAGGCTTTTTTGCTTTTTTTATTTTAAAAAAGAAGTTAATTCCAAGTAATCCTGGTTTCATGTTGAGCTGGGGCTAGAACCGAGAGAGATCTAGTTAAAACCCTCCCCACACAGCCGTGTCTCCTCTGGGCTTGAGCACCAAACAGTTATGTTGTCGGCAACCCGGTATTTATAGCTGCAACGGGCGCCTTTACACCATGGAGGCAGCCTGCTCCCTGCCCCCCACCTCCCAACCCTCCCAGCTCAGTCCTAAACTTGGAACAGGGATTTTGGCAGAAAGGTCTGGATACGTTGGGAGTCATATGAGCCGGCCGGCAAAACAATTAGCAGGCGTGTCGTGAGCTCTGCAGAAAGGGGTGGAGGGGGGACGTAATGTGGGAAGACGCAAAAGTGGCACACACGCCACACATATGTGGGGAGTGACACACATTCAAGTCGGGTTTGTTATTTCACTCTGTGACTGTGATAGTTATAAAGATAGTGGCCGTCACCCCAGAGAGGCCCAGGGTTCTTGGGAGTCCTGGCTCCCAGCCACTTGGCTAGAACCCACATAGCTCCCCATCCTGTTTCCAGATGAATCCAGGAGAGTCCTTTCTCCCTGTCCTCTTGCTCTGATGCAGGCTTCCCCAACCTGGTGCCCTCCGGATATATTGGACGCATCAGCAAGGCAGACAGCTCTGATGCATCTGGTGCCATCTTTCCTGTCACATAGCTCAGGACTAATTTCTACAAACTCTTCTGTGTTCCTTTCCTTACTTGCCTCTTGGACAGGTATGGAGACCCTGCAGCCGTTCAGTTGCTACTGAACTACAACTCCCATCATCCCTAGCTACTGGTGACACTTGCAGGGCTGATGGGAGTTGTAAGTTAGCCGCATCTCAGAGGGGCAAAGGCTCCTCACGCCTCCTCTTGGGGAATCCAGGACGCTAGTCTCCTGACATCTCTTATAGCCTTCCCTCAAGAAAGCCAACTATCCTGACTCCCAGATTCCTCCTACCTTTAAATCTTGGCTAGCCAAATAATGAATTGAGGTTCATTTTGGAAATTTGGTGGGTGGAGAAGGGGCTGCTGCTGTACCCCATAAGGAAAAGGGCACAGAATTCCCCAGGGACCCATATAGTGGAGTCCTAGAAGGGGAACTGGTGACCCATCTGCACTACACATTTAAGGCAGTATTATACCACTTTAAGCAGTCATGCTCCCCTAAAGAATCCTGGGTAATTTGTCAAGGCTGCTGAGAGTTGTTAGGAGACCCCATTCCACTCACAGAGCTACAGTTCTCAGAATCTTTTAACGCTCAATCCCTCTTTCCAGGGAACTCTGGGAATTGTAGCTCTCTGGAGGAGATGGGGATCTCCTAACAACTCTCAGCACCTCTTAACAAACTACAGTTCTCTGGATTCTTTTAGGGAATTGGTGACTGTTTAAAGTGGTACAATACCGTTTAAAATGAATAGATCAGATGGAGACTGATCAGATGGGGATGTGGGTGGCGCAGTGGTCTAAACCACTGAGCCTCTTCTAGGGCTTGCTGATCGGAAGGTCGGTGGTTTGAATCCGCCCAATGCGGTGAGCTCCCGTTGCTCTTTCCCAGCTTCTGCCAACCTGGCAGTTCGGAAGCACACCAGTGCAAGTAGATAAATAGGTACCGCTGCGGTGGGTAGGTAAACGGTGTTTACATGCGCTCTGGCTTCTGTCACAGTGTCCTGTTGCTCGAGAAGCAGTTTAGTCATGCTGGCCACATGACCCAGAAAGCTGTCTGTGGTCAAACGCCAGCTCCCTCTGCCTGAAGCGAGATGAGCGCCGCACCCCAAAGTCGCCTTTGATTGGACTTAACTGTCCAGGGGTCATTTAGCTTTTTTTAAAAAAAACCTTTATACACTTGAAATGTCATGAGGCCTACCTGGATGTGGAGTGAAATGGCATTTATATAGTGTTCATTGACCTTGCAGCGGGGGGACGGGGGTCCTGTGGCCCTTCAGATGTTGGACTCTTAAACTCCCATCATCCCTGACCATTAGCCATGCTGGCCAGGCCTGATGGGAGGTGGGAGTCCAACAAGAGTGGGAGGCCCACAGATGTCCCCACCCCTGGTTTAGGTTTTACATAAACCACACCGCAATCTCAATATATTCAGTTAAACACAGCAAAAAAAAGATAACGTAGAGATGTGCTCCCTGAAGGGTGTAGGTAAATGCATGTATTTGAACCAAGTATGTCGGTTTTGCAGATAATTATTGAATGGATGGCCCCCACTTCCTGTTCTGACCAGCTGTTCCTCTTCCCCTCCCTGCAGAGGCAGCTGCCATAGTATTTTACCTCAGAAACACAGCACTGGGGGTAACATGGCTGCTTTCAAGGCCTACTCTCCCTCCCTCCGTGCCCATAATCCCTAAAGCAGTCATGGAGCTTTGGGGTGCAGCCACCATTGCGCAGCCTAAAAGTGCCATGCTATGTTGATATCTCTGCTCTTGTCTCTCTGCTCATGGTCTTCTAAATTAAAAAGCAGAGAGAGGAGGGATTAGCTTGCAGGTTCAACAGAAGCTGCAGTGAGGAATTGGTCCCTGTGTTCCTCTCCCTTCCACACCAAGAGATACCGTGGCAGGAATATCTGCTAGGACTCAGCCAAGTACAAGAAGGATTTACTTTGTTTGCTGTCACTGTTTCCCTTGGGCCCCGGGAGCAGTTGCGGTGACTACGGCTGTGCTGCTGAGTTTGTGTTGCCTCAAAGAGCCTGAGATCCTTGTGGCAGAGGGCAGCTGGAGAGGGAGCCTTAGCAGTGCTGAGACAGCTCTCCATAGACGCATCTTCCCGCCTCCTTTTGGTAGCCTTGAAAAGCTAAAACCACTGAGATAGGTGTGGCATACTTTTGTCCGTGGCTCTTGCTTGCCTAGGAGAGTCGGTGTGGTATAGTGGTTAGAGTTTCCGACTAAGACTTGAGAGATCGGGGTTCAAATGCCCCTACCCACACACCCTAGCCATCAATCTCACCTCAGGCTGGTCACAGAGAGGCGGAGAATCATGTATGCCACCTTGAGCTCCTTGGAGAAGAGGAGGGCTACAAATGTAGTCAACAAATGAAAGCAATTTATTTTTTTGTTGCTTGGTTTGTTGGTCGGTTATTCCGCTGCATTATGTGGACGGTGTTAGAAATTAGCCAGGTGCGTTTTACGACTGACGCCGATCCAATTGTGACCATGTGGGCATCTCACGGTGCCAAGTTAGTGACTGGGGAAAGCAAAATGTCACTTAGAGAAGGATCTGAAATGTTTTCCTTGAAGCTTGAATTTGTTTTATTCTCGATTGTTTTATACAATATTTTAATGTGTTGTAAACCACTTGGAGATTTAAAAATATAAAGTGGTATAGAAATGAAATTATTATTATTTGCAAAAAATGGCACCTAGACATTCCATTGCAGCAACTGTAACCTAGGTTTAAGGTGCCATTTGGCAATAAGATTATATATCTGTGTTTCTAACACTGCATGTCAGATGGAAATCGTTCACTTGGCTTCCTTTTGGCCAAACGCTGGTCAACTTTGTTTGCTGAACACAAAACAAGTAAGGCCTGTGTGTGTGTGTGTGTGTGTGTGTGTGTGTGTTTGTGTGTTTGTGTTTGAAGTGTCTTGAAATTGTAGAGGGTTCCCCACTAGTCAACGCTGGTAATGGGAAACAGCCTCCTTGGTTTCTTGGGAGTTGGGGGAGCGGGCTATGATGTTGTGCTAGGAGGAGGTGGGCAGATAGTTCCCATCACTGCTGCCTTTGATTTTTGGGTTGTTGCCACAACAAGAAAGTTTGACAGGTGAGAAGCAGAAGGTGATGACTCCCAACACAAATAGGTTCGAGCGGGTGGCTGAGAATCAAGCAGAGCGTGCAAGTCAGGCACCGCCTTCTGGGGGTTTAAGGAGCCTCCGAAATTGGGGAGGCAGCCACACCAAAAATATTCCGGTCATCCCAAGCAAAACAAACTCCTGTGGCTATCTTAACTAACAATTATAGGACGATTTCATCCCACGGGATGCTGCTTCCCGCTCTTAACCCACTCAAGCCCAGTTTCCCTCTCTCCGCTCTCTGCCCAGGATTCCTCCCCTGCCCTCCATCTCTGTCTCAGGAGGAGCCCTCCCGGCCTCGAGTGCCCAGGAATCCTGGCTCCCAGCCTCTCCCTCCTCAAGCAGTAGGCATCAACCACTCCCTTCTCGCTTCTCATCTTCAACCAGCTTTGAAGATGAGATACTTCAACTGGCACCTCTGCACAGATCTGCGTTTTCTGCCTCTTTAGCCATGCCGCGCCCCAGAGGGAGACGCATTTGGAACCAATTACCTCTGGGCATGGTGCCACTCAGTGCGGCTTCCTTTTGGAATATCCGGGCCAGATCAAAAACCCACAGGGCCTAAAAGCCCTGCATGTCCCCCCTCCGCCCTGAGATTTTTCAGTATGGTGCAAATGTCTAACCCAAATGTCTCTTTATATTTCTTCCATGCATCTCCCTCCCTCCCTCTCTCTCTGCCTCTCCTAACCCACAGTGCCCGCCCATCAACATTTCTCTCATTGTCCGTTTGGTGCCGGAAAGGCGAGGGCTCGAAGTTGTGCTCTTCAGGTTGCCGTGCTTGCCAATACCAGCTGGGCTGTGGGTTTTCAAGGGCATTCTTGCGATTCCATTGCGGGTGCTGCCAATCTCAAACCAACAGGCGAGCGCCAGGGGGCATTGGCAGGGCAACCTCCATAAAGCAGAGGGGAGGGAGGAACTTTACCTCCTTTGACCAACTCCCCCCCCACAAAAAAAAACACAACACAAATTTTGGGTCATATTGTCCTTTACTTGTTTCAGCCCACTGTGTGCTCCCCCAGTTTCCCCATCTCTGTGGAGGCTTCTTTTACTGTCCCATTCTTTCTGGCACATCCCTGGGACACAGGACGCAGAAACACCCTTTGATCGTTGCGACTCCTTTCCTCTACACCTCCCTTCACCAAAGATTGCGTCCCCTTCCTGGGAAAGATGTTGTATTAGCTCACTTGCAAATGTGTTCCCTCGCATGGGTTTTAAATAAATAATCTGCTTGCTGCAATCCATGAGGTGTAGCATGAAATAAATAAATGATTCACCTACTATTTAAAATGAGTCTTGTGATGATCATAGCTACATTTGGCTCTCTCGAGAATCCAGGCATGTAGGGGTCACAACAAGACCTCCTGAGCTTTCTCTGCCAGATCCCGCTTCCTTCCCAGAAAACCTCGTGTGTTCAGGTTCCCAGATCTCATTTGCCAACTCCAGAACGGGGTCTCTGCAGTTGTCCTTTTACCATCAGGATAACGTGAAGGCAGCAAAGTTCAGCTCTTTGCCTTGAAAAGTTTCACCTGTTGATTTGTGCATTGCACACCTCTGTTGAGGAACTGGCTGGGTGTGTGCTTTGTTTCTTCAGGGCCTTTGGGCAACCCCAACATCCCCTACTACTCTCTAGTTTTGAGTTCTGTGCCACAATAAGGCTCCAACCTTTTTTCTTCTTCCCTGGCCTTCAAATTCATCAAATGACACTTTCCCCCAGGATTGCATCCCCATGTTGGGGAAAACCTGGTTAATTTCTGTCTGTCTCAGGCAACTGCTAAAAAGCACAAGAGCTCCACTAAGGGGGGGCGGGGGGAGACAATTATAGCCTGTGTGCTGGAGCTTGAATGAAAAATGCCTCAGTAAGTTCCAAACTTCTCTCTCCCTCCCCTCTTTGACCGGCTTCTTCTTTTTGTGGGGTTTGGAGCCTGTGGGAGATTCTAGGACCAGAGACCGTCATAGGAATCTTTTTGCTCTGTCAAGGCCTCGAGGGGCCTGAGGCAATTGTTTGCCACCACCCTAATGGCCTCACCCTGGGATTGCTCAGCAAATTAATTAGCTAACGAGGGCGCAGCTGGCTCGTTAGTGCCACTTGGCTGGGCACTGTTTGGCAGGACTTGATGTTGCTTGACGCTGCTCTTGCCTCAGACTTGCCTGGTTCGGGTGTTGTCCAATCCCCTCTGGTGGGGTGGGAGTGGGGCCTGGTGGGAGACAGACAGCACGGGATGTGCTGGAAAGCCGGGGCGATGTTCTGCCAGAAATGAAGAGAAAAGAAAAAGTTGCCCGGGGCAGGCGAGGGCTGGAGCCAGGACTCCTGGGTTCCTTTTAGGCAAGGACTGCAGCTTAGTGGTTTAGAGCAGTGGAACAGCGAGCCCGGACTCCTGGGTTCTTTGGGCATAGAGTTGGGCCTAGTGCTGTGGTTGCCTTTCCCTCTGTAGACAGTAGGTGTGGTACTTTGAGGGCTGGGCCTGTGCAGATAATTGTTTCCACACCTTATTGGTAAACGGGCCTATAAAACAGCCAAAGCTCTGGGGTTCCCAAAGTGTATGTTTCAGTAAAGGGGTCAGTAGAGCCAGAAGTCCTCTGGTTATTTTGCAAAGGGGCAGGGGGCTGGTTACCTTAGTCTGGAGATAGCATGTTTAAGGAAAAATGGCAGTGTAAGAGTAAGAGAGAGAGAAAGATCTGGTTAGCTTAGAAGAGGAGTGATCACCCAGGGCGTTTTAATTTATGTCAGTGTTTAGAATATGGCACCACTGTTGGTTCGAAATTAATTCAAAGTAAACAGGAGTGAGCTTGTTTATGCCTTGTAGAATGTACTAGACATGGAGAAATAAGGTATTTCAGGGTTCTCTGGAAGGAGAGGAGAGGAAACATCAGCATTAAAAGGGAAAGGAAAAAAGGAGCAACCTGGGATGTATGGTTTTTCTCTGGTGCCAGCACATTAGTGCTGCTGGGTTCTTGGGCAGGGGTGCGGCAGCTTCGGCAGGTGGTTGCCAGGCACAGGTACACTCAGCAGGCTGCACCTGCCTTGGTTGGCAGCCAAAGGGCGTCACCTACCACCCTTTGCTCTTTGTGGGAATATGTGGAGCTGCTTTCCCTCCCCCACCGTAGCACCACACAGACTTTTCTCTCTTTTTCTTTTTCTCTCTCTCTCTTCTGTCCCCCCTCACTTTCCTGCATATCTCTACATCGGAGAGCAAGGTGCCCAACCGGCAGCCCTTGCCCACCTTTCCTGTTGCACCGAGCTCTCTCAGTTGCACCCACCCTTCCTGAAATAGTTGAATTCCTAGCAACTGACAGATCAGAGCGGAGGCAGATCAAAGACCAGGTTGTTTTGTGTGTTTATATCCTGCTTTTCTTCTGCCTTGGAACTCCAAGGCTGTGGCTGGTTCCAAGTCTGAGGGGGCTGTCAGGAGTACCTCTCCCGGTGAGTTATTCTCTCCTATGTTGGTAGGTCTCCCTTGGGCATAAGTGGCGGTGGGCGATCTCATTTGTTCCCTGTGACTCTTAATGGAGGTCCTGGAAGCTGCCATTTTGATTTCCCACAATGCTCAGTGGGCTGCACCTGCTTTTTTGGTCATTTAGAGACCACCCTTTGCTCCGCATGTGAAGGGCACCATGTGGGAGGGATGCTATATCAGGAGCATTGTGGGAAATTTCAATGGCAGCTTATAGACCCAGCCACCCAGGGTACAAGGGTCATTAGTGGTCTCTGCCAGGGCACTAGGGCTTTGGTTATTACCCAAGGATGACGCGTATTTGTCTCAGGCCTGCTCAAGACATCATACATAGGGTCTCTCAGCCAGGCACCGACCAGAACCTGAACTCGGGTTACTTAAATTGTGCTGCGCCTCATTTAGAACGAAGTGCAGTGATGTTGACATCCTGAGTGTTTGTTCTGACCTAACATGAGAGGAAAACGCCAAAGAGCGGAGTTGCTTTGAACATATGCAGAGTGCTTCCCCATTTTTTATTTGCAGAGTCAGCACAGACAGCGCCCACATGCCTGGGGTTTGGGCTCTGGGTGTGCCGGTCTGAGCACGTGACACCAGACAAGTTTTGGCTCCTTGGATGCTCTGTTTCCATGTACCCAAATCAGGGTTCAGGGAAACCACTGGAGGCCAAGATGAGCAGGGGAAAGGTGATGTAGAAAGTGCAGGGCGCAAGACGCCAGGACAAGCTCCTTTGAAAGAATAGCAGCGACAGAGCGGTCCTCTAGCGCAGTCTCATTCATGCAAAGCAATGGGCAAAGCCTCTTGTCAGAGAGGAGACCCCGGCAGCCGGCTGTGCGCCTGGAACAAGGACGCGAGTGTCTGGCTCCAGCAGCCCAAGCAAGCGAGGCTGCAGCTTACGCCAGCGAGCCCAGCAGGGGGCTGGTGGGGGTGGGTGGGAGAGAGCTGGAAAATCTAGCTCATCAGCCAGGCGGCTGACTGGGGTCGCTAGGCTGGGAATGAGGGAAGAGAGGCTGGGGGCCTGGATTTTCCAGGAGGAGAAGTTAAACTAGCAGGGTGCTTGATGATAGCGGGTTGTAGGCAGCCAGGGTTCCTGAGGAGGTTTCCCCCACCTTTATGACACAGTTGAGTTGTTCAGCCACATTTTTGGCCCTGTTTTTCTAGTGTTTTCTCCCCTTGTCTGTTCCTGGCTTCCTTGTTAAGTCCCTTGACTGAGAGCAGCTCTGCTTATTGTGTCTAGAAGGTAACATCTGTGAGTCCACCGCCATCCAGTTTTTGTAAGTTCATACTAGAAAAGTGTCTGTCTGTGTGTGTGTGTGTGTGTGTGTGAGAGAGAGAGAGGAGAGAGAGAGAGAGAGAGAGAGAAGGGAGAGAGAGACAGAGAGACAGACAGACAGACGGAGAGAATTGCATACAATGACAGGTTCTGGCAAACCCTGAGTTTTAAAATATTTTCATCCTGATTCATAATATCTTTCATTAATTCATCTGCCAATAATTATAGTTTTATTGTGTATGGGTAAATAGGAATCTATTAGACTCTTCCACACCAACTTCGGAGTACAGGCCTATTTGACGACATATGGTTGTGGGGTTTTTTGTTTTGCTTTTTTTGGAGGGGGTTTCCCTAGATTTTGCAACATTTTGTGCATGTATCGAAATGGTGATTTGGGTTGTATATTACTTCCCAATCCCATTTTCTCTCTTTCACATGCCAATCAGATACCTCGAATCTTGCAAACTGTGCACAGAATCTTTCTTCAGTAAGATTCTATACAAGAGTAATGAACTACGTTAAGTATCTTAGAGAATTCCAACTTTGTAAGGCTTGTATTTTGTGGAAAGTGAGGTGGGCGTGAATGTGTTTGGGTGTGTCAGGCCAGTGATGATGATGGGACCTTACAAAAACCTTTTTTTTTTAAATGGCTATGTCCTCCCGGTCTTAAGGAAAAATCTGAACACATGGTGGGAGGTGGAAAATACATATGAATAAGAATATACTAGAAGGCGGTCGGCCAAATGGTCCCAAAGAAGGACAGAACTTTCTTTATGTATGCTACAACAGCAGCAAGAATACTTATTGCAAAGTATTGGAAGACACAAGATCTACCCACTCTGGAAGAAGGTGATGAAGGTGATGGACTACATGGAATTGGCGGAAATGACTGGCAGAATCCGAGACCAGGGTGAAGAGTCGGTGGAAGACGATTGGAAGAAATTTAAAGACTATTTACAGAAATATTGTAAAATTAATGAATGTTAGAATGATGTCAGAATGAAATTAAGTGGTTCTAGCAGCAATGTCATAAAGGTGTATGAAAAAATGGCTGGTTAATAGGTGAGAATCTAAAGCTATAATATATTAAGTTAAAGGACTAAGACAAAAACAAAGAGGGAAAGGAATTGCTGAATTAACCAATTGAACTGGAATACAAAAAAGGGAGGTGAGAGGAGGTCAGGGAAGCAAGGAAATGAAATGTAAGATACGGAAGGATTAATTTGTTTTTAAGTGTTTTTTCTAATTTTTTTCCCTATACTTTGTATTTTGTATGTTTTTTCTCTTTTTTTCCTATATTTTCCCTTGTCTCTTTTATTTTTAACTATGTAATTTTTTGTTTCTGAAATTTTAATAAATATCATTTTAAATATATATATATATATACTAGAAGGCCAGGCTTTAAGTAGCAACTACAGACAGTCCCCAACCCAACTCAACGGCTCTCCTTTTCTCTCGGCTCATTAAAACCACAGTATTCTGGCTGGGGACCCCAAAGTCCTGGTTCCAGTTACTTTTTGCTTTCCCACAATTGACTCCACCCTTGCCAAAACCCAGGCCTTATTTCCCAGTGATTACTTTGTAAACATGAACTGCTCTTTTATTGGCGTGATAATGTTTGTTTAAGACGTTCCAGAGTTCAACGGATTTGGTCAGGTTTTGTATTTGATAGTCAAGTCAATGCTTCAAATATTTCCTTTCCCTGCTCATCCCGCTCCTCAAAGTTTCATGCTTGGTGTTTTTTTTCCATTCGAAGAAGTGGGGAATTTCACACTATTTTGCCTGTGTGCCCTGAAATTTGCTGCATCTCTGGTGTGTGGGGTGGAGGGAGGAGATAAGAGAAGCAAATGTGTGCAGAAGTTCACAGGAGCAGTGAAAAACGTTTAATACCCCACTGGCCTTATCTGAGCATCTTCCAGTCATATGGTACAAAAAGACACAGGCACCTGGAAGAACTTGGGGGGGGGCACCAGGGGGCAATTATTATTTCCTGGGCATTGGAATTCTGTGCACCCACAGCTCAGGACTGGGGTGTTCCCTGTCTGATCTTTCCTGGTTTTTCTTCTCTCCCTGCCCGCAGCCATGGCTGTCCGAGCCCCTGCTCCGCGGGGCGACGCCAGCGCCGAGAGATACCTGTTTGTGGATCGGAACCAGGTGGGCAACCCAGCCTCCCAGGCTGACTGGACGGCCAAGCGTCTGGTGTGGGTCCCATCGGAGCGCCATGGCTTTGAGGCGGCCGGTCTGCGCGAAGAGCGGGGGGACGAGGTGCTGGTGGAGCTTGCCGAGAACGGGCGTCAGGTGCTGGTCGCCAAGGACGACATCCAGAAGATGAACCCCCCCAAGTTCACCAAGGTGGAGGACATGGCGGAGCTGACCTGCCTCAACGAGGCCTCTGTGTTGCACAACCTCAAGGACCGCTATTACTCAGGCCTCATCTATGTGAGTTGGCTTGCCTGGAGGTTGGGAGCCCTGCCTCTCGGCTTCCCCTTTCCCTACCAATTTCAACTTTCCCCAGAGGCCTGGCTGCCACCCTCCTGCCCACCCTCCACTTGGTACCACGTGGGGAGCCATTAGTCCCCTGGGGAGCCAAGGTCCCATTTCCTGGCACTCCTTGCTGTGAGGAGCCCCTTCCCCTCCATGAGAACCCAGGCACTTCTGGCTTCCAGGCCTGCCTTTCTCGAACTCAGTGCTTCCCAAACTTGGGTCTCCAGCTGTTTTGGATTACAACTCCTATCATCTCTGACCAGTGGCCCTGCTGGCTAGGGATGATGGGAGTTGTAGTCCCAAAACAGCCGAAGACCCAAGTTTGGGCCTCTAGACTTGCCACCTTCTGGCTTCTACCACCCCATTCTCTCATCCACCAAAAATACACCTGGGCTGAGAAATCCGAACGATGCAGCTCATACCATTGTTGCCACCATAAAGAGAGAAAATGTGTAGAGTGGCACATAGCCTGAATTTCTGGCGGGGGGTGGGGAATGGCGGTGGCAGCGGAAAAAATGTCATTGAGTGCAATGGTGCAGAGAACTACCACTCTAGGCCTTGTGTTCTCTTTGGAGAAAGCACCAGAAACTTGGTATTGGAAATCAGAATGGAAAACAGGCACTTTCTAGATTTTAAATATAAGTATTTTCTCATTTCAGTGGTGGCAGCTAGGCCCTATTGGGTGACCTAAGCCAAACTGGAGCCCATGTGCCCCCTACTGGGGAACAGTTCCCGGAGTTTGTGCTCTTGGCCCACAGATCTGTTCTCCCTTCTGAGTGGAGGTGCGGTTTTGTTCAGATGCTGAGCTGTTCAGTCATAGCAGGCGCTGGTGCCAGGGAGGAGGAAGAGCTGGTTCTGGGGCTTAAAAGTTGGGCCTTTGTTGTTCCCAGTTTGTGGAGCCCGGGTGCGTGGGTGATGACGCCAGAAGGGGGGAGCTGAGTCTCCTCTACCCCAGTAACACACGCAGCTTAGCTACGAAAGGAAGCGGGGAGAAATGCCCCCTTCTCTTCTGCCCTGACTGGCATTGTCAGCTTTGGTTTCCGTGCCACCCAAGCGGGCACAAAAGGCTGCCCTGAGAGGCAGCGTGCCAAGGCATTCTCTCAGCCGCACGTCATTGCTGACTCGCGGACAGCCCAGCAACCCTCCCTTCCCCCGTTCCAGTCCCCACCCCTGCAGCTGGGTATCGGGGCGGGGAACGGACTAGACCTGTTTAGCTAGAACGGGAGCCCGCGACGAGGTGTGAAACAAATTCTCCCGAGGGCGCAATTGCAAACACACACACTTCATCTTGAGAGTGGAAGGCACTAGATTGTGGGTCACCTAGCTCTGCCACCTGCTTTGGGGCAGAGGGCCTCTTCTGTGGGAGATCCCAGCAGGGGGCACCTTTTGAGAAAGTGCCGCATGGAAGGGGGTTTCTGCAGCTTCCCTGGGCGGCATCTTTTGCTCAGGTGTCCTTCCCCCTCTCTGCTGTTTACCCTACACCTGCCTCCCTGCAGTCCCAGTCTATTGCTTTGTGTTCTGTTCACATTCATCCAGTTTTATGCAGGCTTCCAGCCTCACTGGCCCTGCAGTAAAACTGTACAAGCATAGTCAGGGTAGGCCTTTGGGGTTGGAGCAGAAGCCCAGGGCTCCACTCAGCAGAGCGATTTGCAGGGTCCCCAAATACTGTCGCAGCTCTGGTTTATCTCATTTTGAAGTTGGGCGCAGAAATAGACTGTGCCCTTCCCGTATGCCCGTGAAGTCCAGAGTCTAAAATTATGTAAGCTCACCACTGGATTGCTTTGCCGTGCGTGGAACTCGGCTCTGAGTGTGGTACCATAAACCACCCCAAAATCGGGCCGGTGGTGGTGTAACAAAGACCAATCAACATTCAGCTTAATAACCAGGTTTAAAGAAAACCACGGCCACGGTAGCATTAAGAATCGGCCCCCGTTGGGTTATGTGTGAACAATCTGTTTATCTTCTTAAGCTTGCCCACTGTATTTCCTTCTTTAAAAAAACCCTGGCCATATGTACCCAGGAGTGCCCTTGCAATGAAGCCACACGAGGCAATTGTTTTGGGGCAGGGGATTTTCTTGTGTCCATCAATCCACATCATTTTTTTAAAAAGAGAGTACCAGTCCAGAACCCAGAGATTTTTCAGAGTTGAAAAAGCTGGAATCACCTCTTTCTGCCGCATATATATTCTGCCCCCCAACCCCCAATTGCTGTTCATGTAAACCAGGTGGTTGGTCCCTGCTCAGCCTTAAGATACGCTTGATTGATAAATTGGAAGTGGATTAACTTAGCCTGCATCTCTTTTTCTTCCTTTTTGCTTCCTCCCGAAGCAGAAGCAATTTTCGAATTTTCAGATGTTGGTTTTGGAAGGAAGCACGGCAACTTAAGAGCGCTTGTGCGCAGGCATATTTTACCTTGCGGTTATGTGTGTGTTTTGGGAATGGGGCTTGCGGAGAACTGTTCTGACGTGCTGCTCCCCCTCCCCCTTCCTTCTCCTGCAACAACAGACCTATTCGGGGCTTTTCTGCGTGGTCATCAACCCTTACAAGAACTTGCCCATCTACACGGAGCAGATCGTGGAAATGTACCGGGGCAAGAAGCGCCACGAGATGCCACCCCACATCTATGCCATCTCTGAGGCTGCCTATCGGAGCATGCTGCAGGGTACGATTTGGAAAGCGAAGGGGGCACACAGAGGTGCCATACGTTTCAGACACTATGATGCCGCTTTAAACAGTCACGGCTTCCCCCCAAAGAATTCTGGGAGCTGTAGTTTGTTAAGGGTGCTGAGAGTTGTTAGGAGACCCTTATTCTCCTGATTCTTTGGGGAAAGCCATGAGTGTTTAAAGAGGCATCTCATGGCGCCATAGAAGTGTGAATGTGGCCCGAGACTAGGGCTTGCTGTGGGAGGTGGGGAGGGGTGGAGAAGTTCCAGCCATTCCCCGTTCCAAACTGAATTGGCGGAGGGAAGAAGTGTGTGGCTTTGGGGTGAGTGCGCAGTGTGGTATGTGTCGGAGAGGTCCTAAGAATCCTGTGGTCGGTGAGCTTTGGGTGGGTGGGTGGTTGCATGTCTGCCTCTGGTGCCCTCTGGCGGAGGAGACAGCTCCTGCCTCTTGTCTCTGAACCGTCTCTCTTCTTCCTTTCCCCCCTCCAGACCGAGAGGATCAGTCGATCTTGTGCACGTGAGTGTCAGCAGGAACGGTTTACCTGCTGGGGAGGGGCTTTCAGCAGCAGGTATGTGGGTGAGCCAAAGGTCATTACACACCCATTGCTTCACATGCCTGTTTGCCTGCGGCTGTGGAAATCTCTGCGGGCCAAAAGGGCACCGAGCACCAAAACACACCAGTATCTGTCACAAGGCATGCTATTTAAGCAAGAGGATCCCTGCAGGCCTGTCAGCTGTCCACAATGTGGGCTGTTGTGCTCACACAACCTTACAAACACCCATCTTGAACCCCCGGCTTCGTTTGCCCGGCTTCCTCCTGTTCTGTTCAAATGCCAGACAAAAATGATTGATCTGGGGCCTAAACCACGAGGCTTGTCTTCATATTAAGAGGGAAGTGAGTAATGACTCTTTACCATTTAGATATTGCTTTAGAGAAGCCTTGGCTCTGGGGACTACAACTCCCACCAGCCCCAAGCCAGCACAACCCCCTATTCCCCTCTCTGAGCTACAGTTCCCAGAATTTCCTGGGAAGAGGGATTGCTTATCAACACCGCTTTTAGAATCGTGGCTCTCTGCGGGGAACAGGGGGTCTCCAAACAACTCTCAGGACTTTAAGCAAAATTCCCAGGATTCTTTGGGAAAAGCCATGGCCATTTGAAGTGGTCCCATGCCGCTTTAAATGTTCAGTGTGGATGGAACCTCTCTGTCAATATGCTGCGTCAGCTGAACTGATGTGCGATACAGACCCAGGAAGCGGGAAGAGAGGATGCTGCATTTATTTACCTCTTTAGGAGACCACTTAGATGAAGCTGGGGAGGGAGAGGGGGGTGAGCGCCACCCAGGATTGAGCCCCCTCTTTTTCTCACCCCTGGTGTCTGGTCTCCTTGGCAGGGGCGAGTCAGGTGCTGGGAAGACGGAGAACACGAAGAAAGTGATCCAGTATTTGGCCCACGTGGCTTCATCGCACAAAGCCCGGAAGGACCACAATGTGCCGGTGAGTGACCTCTGGCCGATGCGTGGTGTTTTAGCATTTGCTCCGCTCTGCCCCCCCCCCCCCGTTTGAAAATGCCCCCTCCCTGGTAAGTGGACTGGCCTGATCTCTCCGCCAACCCTTGAGCAGAGTTGACAGGCTCTTCCTCCCCACTCCCCCCCGGCAGCCAAGTAAAAGATGCCTGTGTGTGGCCCGACAGCCTCCCAGCATCCAGGGCTCAGCTTTGAGCCAAGGCCAGCCCGGGAGCTTTCCCCAACTGCTGGTGCTCAGACTCCGGAATGCGTGAAGTAGCGGGAAAGTGGAAGCACCCTTCCCCTGAGTGCCTTCCCCTGCCACACCCAGTCTGTGCCCGCTTGGAATGTCTGTGGCATCTGGGCAGAGGCATCCGGGCAGAAGCCAGCACCAAAATGGCCTGCCCGTCCCTCTTGTGGTGTTGTCGAAGGAAACGCGTTGCTGCCTGTACCTGTCGTAGTCATTCCTTTCAACCTGCGTCGCCACGACTGCTCACTCTGTCCTTCCCACCTGCCCTGTGTGCCTCTCGCTCACCGTGTCCTCCCCCCCCCCGTCTGCCTCCCTCCATCCCTCCCAGTCACTGCCGTTCTGTCTCGACGCCCTCGCAGATCTGCAGGTGCAGGGCTTGTCCTCCCAAGCGCTCCTGCGTCTTGGCGGAAGTAACACAAGACGAGGCAGTTGGTGCCCGCCCTGTTCTCTAAGTGGCCTACTGGAGTCAGGATCCCTTCCCTTTCTCTCTCTTGTCCGCAAATATGATAGAGATTTCACCTCTTCCTCCTCCTCCCGCTTTGGAAGTCCTGGGCGCTTAACAAACTGGAGAACGAAACCAGGCCCGTAGCCAAACATTTTGCGGTGAGGAGGTCTACGTGGGGGCAAGGAACTACCGCAGAACTGCCAGAACATAAGTACAGGCCACCTGATATGTCAGAGTCAATTGTTCCCTGCGGTAATAAAATAAAAATGAATTAACATTTTAGGAATAAGGGTTTGGTTCTCATGCGTTAGTTATCCCAACACTCACTGGCCAGAATGTTGGTAGTGGGGAAGAAGTTTACACCTAAGTTAAGCAGTTGGGCAGACTAGAACCTGCAGGCCTCCCCCCTATATAGCCACAAATAAAAGCGTGAAGAAAGTTGACAAAAGAGAAGCTTTCCCCTGCTCTCATAATATTATGACTCAGGGGTCATCCAGTGCAGTGAAGTTGACAGGAGAGCAGATTCAGGATAGGCAAAAGGAAAGTACTTCTTCACATAGTAAAATATTGGTGCCTGATAGAAACATTCTTGCTTAGACAAGCCTATCCAGGTGCTTAGAATGTTGCAGGTAATTTCAATCTCTTTTGGTATTTCAACTTTTGTATGTTTTAAAGTATGGTTGTGAATTGTTCTTGGGTTTTCTAGTTTTATCTTTTTGCAAACCGCTTTGAGGCTTTCCCCCCTTTACATTCAAGCAGTGTATACGTTTTATGAAATAAATAAAATATATAATGAGTGTGGAGGGTTCCCTGCCATAGGGACCTGGTGATTAGGCCAGTTTACGTGGAGGAAGATATGCCCTAACCCAGGCATGTCCAAAGTCCGTTTTGGGGGCCTAATTCGGTCCCTCAGTGTCTGATTGGCCAGTGAAAGGAAGCAGGAAGTTTGACTAGATGGACCTTTGGGCTTGCCCTTCACTCTGAGATCCCTTTAAGGAGGAAATCGCAAAGAGTGAATCTGGACTGGTTGCAGGACTTGGGGGCAGAAGGGGGAAGCTTAGAGGGCTCCCATTTTCTGTCACTGCTAAATGATATTTAATAGCAGTGGTAGTGATTAATATTATTGCAGAAGCCATTCTATTATCTACAATGTCATCAGCGTACAGGGCATCCTACAGAGTCGCAGTAACCAGAGCAAATGCTCCCTGCCCTCTATCTCGACATGGGGGGCATTTTCTCAGGCGTCTTCTTATCTTTCTTGGGAGCTTACTGAAAAACCTACAGAAAAGTGGCACCGTCTGTGCAGAGGGGCATTGGCAAGCCTGGCTTCCCTGGCCCCAGCACCCAACTGGATCTGGCCCTGGAGCCCAGTGCCTGCATAAGTGTGTGTTCAGCTCCGGGCCTTCCTATTGTGCTTCTGTTCACTTCTCGCAGTCTGGATCACATGGGGAGGCAGCTGGTCTTACCTTACCAGATGGGCATTTGGGCCCTCTCGTTTTGTAATGGGGGCTGCGTGTTTGGGAGGAGGGGTGTTCTTGTGGGCCGTTGAGGGGACCCTGCATTAACCTCCCCTCTATTGTCTTGCTGCCCCAGCCGGAGTACCCGAACGAAGCCAAACAACAGGCAAGAGAGCGCAATGCATGCCGCTGAAATGCCAACTCCCTGCCCCCCCCGCCAACCCCCACCACTGCTCCCTCCTCACTTGCCTGCCCTCCAACGCTGATCTCTGGTCACTTACTGGCTGCCGCTCCTGACAATGCCGACTCCTTGGGCTGCGATTCTGGCTTCGAACGCTTTTCTCGTTGGTTTTTTAAACTTTTGTGTTCTGTCTTGAAAGCGGTTCAGTGGGCTCTCTTCCCTCATCAGAGCCAGGGCGCTGGGCTCTCTTGAGAAAGGAACAGGATTCAAGGGGTGCTGGGAAAGGGAAGAGGGGCGCCTGGGTGCCCTCCCTGCCCACCACCGACCCTTGCATTGGTTCCCGGTTCATGTTACTGCGTCACTGTTGGGTCTTTTTTTTTTTTTCGTTGTCTGACTTAATCCTTTGGTTGTTGTTCATTTTTGTTTTGTCTTTTGTTTTGTTTTCCCCACCCCACCTCGTCTTGCTCCCTGCTCTCTCCCTCCCCGTCCCCATTTCATGTTTCGTGACGTCATCCCCACCCATAGACCTCCAACCCTGCTTCCTACGTGAGTAGTTTTCCTGTTGTGCTTTGGGGGGGGGGTTCGGGTGGGTATTGCTCCCTGGTGCACATGCTTGTGGGGTTCACCCCCTCACACACACCCTGTGGTCAGAAAAATGGAAGATGGAAGTCGCTTTGGAGTGATTCCCTTCCAAGAGGGCAGCCAGCTTTCCTCCTGCCAGGATCTAAATTTCGCAGAGCACTGCATCTGCCCACCCACCGAAAAAAACACATTTCTAGGGCTAGAGCCTTGAGTGCTCTTTCTACACAGCTTCAGCTTTTGCTGCTTCTGGGTCTGGGCAACCCCCCCACTCCACCCCACCCCCCACCTGACCTCTTTCTCTTTCTTTCCAGGGTGAGCTGGAACGTCAGCTGCTACAAGCCAACCCTATCCTGGAGGCCTTTGGCAATGCAAAAACAGTAAAAAACGACAACTCCTCACGATTCGTAAGTCGGCCTTTCCCCCCCCAGTTGGTGCTTGCATGTAGAAGGTCCCATATTCAATCCTCGGAGTCTCCAGGCAGAGGGGTACATAGGGGCTGGTGAAACCGGCCCCCGCCAGGGAGCAAAAATCACCTATCGGACTATGGAGTGTATGATGTGTGTGGCGACATGCCGCCTCTGTCATGGAGAACTCAGACATGGAAGAAGCTCCCCTTCTCGCAGCGTGGCACAAAGGTGTGAGGATTTTTCTGTCCTTCCGCCTTGCCTCAACCTCACTACGGATGCTTCCAAGTACTAGAGATGCGTAAAATGTGGTAATTTCTAATGCGGCTGCTGTGGCAAAGTCAGTTTTTTCGGGGTGGGGTTGCCTATACAGGTCCCTGCCAAAGGACTCTCAATGTGCCTCTGTCTCCAGGCAGGGCTGGCAGAGACCCTTGCCAGGCGAGCTGCTGCCAGTCAGTGCTGAGCTAGGTTGACCAAGGCAACTTCCTGCATTCCTATTGTTACGGCATGACACCATTGGGTCTACCGGTCTGCCTTGCCTCTATCCAGCAGCTGGCGCAGGGGTCCCCTTCCCTGCAAATCCCCAAGCGCCTGGTTTGCAGGAGATTGGCACTGTGATTTCAGAGCTCCAGTCAGTGTATTGAAGTGCCCATATCAAATCAAAATAACTGGCCACAGAAAATCCTGGAGTGCTGGCTGAGTAGAGTCTGAAGGTGGGAACATTTGACCTCTTTAGAGCATCTTGCCTGTGTTTTAGCTGCTTCCTTGAAAGGAGTAAGTTGCCCTTCCGTCTGCTTGAATGGTGGCAATGTTAAGGCCCAGCCACCTTCTGGGGGAGAACTGAAGGGCAAGAAGCAGCGCAAGGTAGCATTCATTATGTGGCCTGTTGGAAAAATAAAAAGGAACCAAAAGCCAGCTCAGCATCCTGATCTTGAAAGAGCCGCTCTCCCTCCCCAGCAACTGATATTCAGAGGCTCCACCATTACTGCCATCCAGCAACCCCCTGTTTACCTTTCCTCTACTGGTGTTCCCTGCGGACCCATCTCCCCATCGCGCAGGATGCAAACCCGTTCAAGAACAGAGTTGTAGAGTTGGAAGCGTCGTCAGTGTCCAACATGGGGCTGAAGGCCATGCCCCTGAGATTCAGAGCCATCGTGCATCTTCCCTGAGCCATCTTAAAGTGCACCTTAACCCACTCTTCAGAAAGGGCAGGTTGTGTACACAACTGTGTTTTTCACATCCCCACCTGCTTTGTTGAACTATGCCAACAAAGCCTCTCCTCCTCAGGAAGAAAAACCAGTTTCTTCCCGTCCTTGCCGAAGATCTGCTTTCAAATCCCCTTTGTTGTTGTTGGGAAATGTCACTTTTCGGTCCCTCCTTAAGAAGCTGAAATAAAGTGTTTTATCTTCCTTCTTGTTGAAAGGAGAGGAGTCGGCTTCGCATCACCCAGTAATGCTAAGTTTCTTCCAGTTGGTGCAGAGGCGAGTTTCTACTCCTTCCTGCTGAAGAACGATTGATTAGCTCTGACCCCATCTGCAGTTGACTGGGAGAAGGAAGTCTGCTCTTAGCTTCTGTTGGCAGCCTTCACCAACCTGGTGCCCTCCAGAGGTTTTGGACTAGAACTCCCATCAGCCCCAACCAGCAAGGGAATTCTGGTCCAATAGCACCAAGTGGCCCAAGGCTACTCTATAGTTTGTCAGAATGTTTAAAAGGGCAGGGGGAGGAGGAAGAATCTAATAATTTCAGAGCATTCTTATTTTAAAATCATGGTGCATTGAGTGATGTCCAACATTAGTCATACTCAGACTGATAGAAGTCAATGGACTTACATTAACTTACTTCCATATATTTCAGTGGGTCTGCTCTGAGCATCACTTAGCTGAATATCACCCTTCTATCACTATTACGTTTAAGGCTAGAGAAAGCATTCTACTCTGGGTGTGATGTGCACGCATCCCCTGATTCGCACGGGGGTTGCATTCCTGGCCCCTGCGCATGTCGGCGGAACACATGTAAACCCACCCCTTTTCTGGGTTGTGGCGGTGATGTGGGCACGCGCACGATTGCAAGTGCATTGAACAAGCATAAAATGGTTGTTGCCTATATGTTGTGTTTGCCAGGGATCTGGGTATGTAAATGAAGCAATCGTCCTTTACAAAGCCGCTGAGCCCTTCTGATCTCTGTCTCATTTCTCTTTCCCCTCCCGCTGTGTTCCTCCAGGGTAAATTTATACGGATTAATTTCGATGTAGCTGGCTACATTGTCGGAGCAAACATAGAAACATGTATCCTTGCTTGTGGAGTTCCATGGATTTCGTTCAAAAACTAAGACTCCCCTGAGTTCTGTAGGCAAGAGAGCAAAGCCTGAATTAGAATAAATATGGGATCCCGGATGCGGCGATCCCTGACAGCTTAGAGGCACCTGTGGATCCTAGACCCAGGAATTTCTGATGGTGTTCTTAAAGCTTTGGGTCCCCAGGTGTCATTGGACTACAGCTCCCATCTGACTAATCTGGCTGGGGGTGATGGGTTTTGTAGTCAAACAGCATATGGGGGAGCCAAGGTTGAAGTGGTAAGCTAGGGAGTCTCATAGCTGGCTTTGTGGAGTGGGGATACGTGTTTCCAGATGCAATTGTCCTTCCTCCTTAACCCTGAGCCGCCCAGACCTGCTGGAGAAATCGCGAGCCATTCGCCAGGCCAAGGACGAGAGGACTTTCCACATCTTCTACCAGCTCCTGGTGGGCGCCGGGGAGCACGTGAAAGGTAAACGGATGCTGTGCACTCCCAGAGCAACATGAAAAAGGAGGTCCAGTCATCCTCCTCCCACGCTTTTGGACCTAGGCTTCCTAAAGCAGCAAGCAACAAACTCAAGGGAGAAAGAGAAGGGCAACGCTTTAGCCTTCTTGCCTCTCTGCATAAATCTGGAAGTGGAACTGGTGGGGAGGGCAAGGATGACAGCAGTAGAAAAGCAAAGGTGGTCATTGATGACAGAGCAGCGTGTCTTACAGCACGGGGAGCTCCTGGGTGTGGGGATTGGCCGGCGGAAGTGTGGCACCCTTGCCTCAGAGATGCCTCTTTTTCCTCAATGGCGCTACAGGGGAGCTGCTGTTGGAGCCCTTCAATCAGTATCGCTTTGTCTCCAACGGATACCTGCCCATCCCAGGACAGCAGGACAAGGAGATCTTCCACGAGACCATGGAGTCAATGCGAATCATGGGCTTCTCGCACGAGGAGATACATTGTGAGTCGTGTGTGTGTGTGTTTGTGTAGGGGATCAAGAGAACAGCTGTGATCTGTCTAGCTTGGCCTTGGCCAGCTTGGTTGCCCTCCAGAGCTTATGGACTCCAGCTCCCATCAGCCCCAGCCAGCACATCCAGTGGCTGATGGGAGTTGTAGTCCAGAACTTCTGGAGGGCCCCAGGCTGGCCAAGGCTGAGATAGCTGATCACTATTTGCTGACTGCGTCACACCACATTCCTCTGGGGATGTTCCCAGGCAGGGCGTGATGGCGACACCCGTGACCTCCTTAAGTCGCTTTCAGCATCCGGTGGGCAGAAACTTGCTGCTTTTGAACATGAAACCTGTCATTCTGGCCCATGTGGCTGGTAGTCTCCCCAGTCGCCATCTCCTCCCATGTATATCACCTAATCAGAAATTAGTTTAGGTGTTTTTTTTTAATTAAGAAAAAGATGACAAAGTGACTTAAGAACCTGGACTAGGAATCAGGAAGTCTTTGCTTCAGACTGAGACTCTGCTGTGAACTTGCAGTTCTAAACTCAGCCCTCCCATACCGTGCAGAGATATAGAAAATAAACAGTGCAGGGTTGTCACGTTACCTTGTTGCATTTGGAGGACTTTGGGTGCTCTCAAGGTGTTGCATGTGCTTCCGTAGCGGCTGCTGCCGCATCCCATTGGCAGTGAGCTTCACAGGTCTTTGCATTTTCCTTCAACCTGCTCCCTTAGCCTCTTTTGGTGGATGACCTTGGGTGTTTCAGTCTGCGCAGAGGGGTGGAGGCGGAAGCGTGCTCACACTAAAGGCCTTTATTCCCCCCCCCCCAGGTATGCTGCGGATGGTCTCAGCTGTGCTGCAGTTTGGGAACATCGTCTTCCGTAAGGAGAGGAACACAGACCAGGCCTCCATGCCTGACAACACAGGTAGGAGCGGGGGCTCACCAGCCCTGAGAGGCAGGCAGCTGGATTTGCGGGGACGGGCTCTAGCGGGAGGAAGCCTATTTTGCAGTCAGAGCTCAGCCTGCTTTCTGGAATATATAAAGCAGTGATGGCTAAACCATGGCCTTTCAGGCAGCTGAGACCCCCCAAGCAAATTTTTCTGCCCCACACAAGACTCCACTCATTTTGATGGCAGCAGAAAGGGGGGGGATTAAAGTAGACACAGCACTCGGGTGGGTAGAGAGGGTTAACCCTTTCTGCCCTGGCCTGCGTCCTGATGGAGTCTGCCTCCTGCACAGTCATTGGCTTGAGCATGGGCGCGAGGAGGGGGCAGTAGCAGATCTGCGTGGATCAGCTGAGGAGTGTGTGTGCGCACACCCGTGTTAATGCAACTTCATGGGTATGTTTCACCTTCTTAAAGTAACTTTCCATTGTGTTTTAGTGATTGGTCGTCTGTTTGCCTGAATTTTTCACCCTGAGATTGCAGGGGCAGTTTACCCAAAACCCCTGAGCACAGGGCTGGGGAACCTGGTGCCCTCCTGATGCTGCTGGACATTTGCCATCTGCTCCAGAGAGCAGGGCCTCGCGGGGAAGGGTGTTAGGAGCCCATCAACACCCGGAAGGGCCACACGTTTCCCCACCCATGATCCAGGTTAAAGAAAACATACACAAGCAACCATGAACAAATGGGGGGGGGGATACCCATAAAACACTCTTAACAAAGTAAAATGCACGTGGACTAGAAACTTCTTAAAAAATAAGGGTTGTGCAGAGAGAAGCTAAGATTATTCAGAATTGAAATTCTGTGCAATAGATCCTAACTCCGGGAGCGCATTTAACTATTGGCTCAAGAGGTTAGGATGAATGAGTCTTGGGTTCTCTCAGGTCTTCTCCTGTGGCTGATACGGTGCTGTGGCAGGGAGGAGGAAGGATGAGGTAGTTGCTGTCCTTCTTTGGACTGGGCTGCAGGACTCATCCTGTTACTTCCCAGCCTGCCACTCAGTTCTGCTTCTGCCATTTAGCTGGGCTAGCAGCAACCAGGTCGTTGGGTGCGTAGGCAGAGGAGTTGGGCCAGCAAAGCCTTGGGTGGCCAGTGCGAGCCAGCAGGGGACTGAACTAACAATGGGGTTGTTGCCGGCCTGTTCTGTGCCCTCTGCAGCCGCCCAGAAGCTTTGCCACCTCCTGGGCATGAATGTCACCGAGTTCACCCGCGCCATCCTTACCCCGCGGATCAAAGTTGGCCGGGACTATGTGCAGAAGGCGCAGACGAAAGAGCAGGTTGGTGGCAACGTCTGGGGTTCTGGGGGTGCCAGGGGGCGGGATTGGGTTGCCTGAAGCATCATTGTGGAGGCGGGCGGGAGGAGGTTTGAAGTGGTGAAATGAGCCAAGCCTGGAGCCATGCCTCCCTCTGCCCCCCCTTTCCAGGCTGACTTTGCGGTGGAAGCCTTGGCAAAAGCGACCTACGAACGCCTCTTCCGTTGGCTGGTGCATCGGATCAACCGGGCCCTGGACCGCACCAAGCGCCAGGGCGCCTCCTTCATCGGTATTCTGGACATCGCGGGCTTTGAAATATTCCAGGTGAGGACCTGCAGCTGCTGAGCATCCACCTTCCTTTGGTCTGCATGTAAATCCATCCTTCTTATCCATTCCATTATCCTTTCCCCAAGCCCTTCCTGCTCTCACCTGTCCATTGTATTTGCCTTTGACCTTCGTCCCCGGAAGAAAAAGGGAGGATGCTCCTCCTTGCTTCTCTTCTTTCTGACACGGGCTCTGTGCTGCTTTAGGGGAGGGGAGAGAGAAAGGAAGGGTTAAAGTTCAACAGGTGTACCTGTACCGACGCCACTGGATGCCCATGTGGCACTAGCTAGATTGCTGCCTCTCGCATCAATCCAAAGGCACAGTGTTTATGCCGGGAATGAAGCCTTTTGATGGTAGTTTCATAACTGGGGTGTGTGGGGAGGAGCACATCCGGTTTGTGCGTAGGGCAGGTATAGACATGCTTGGGCCAAAAGCACCTCTAATGGTCTGGTTCCCAGCTGATTGTCTGGGCTTGCATAGCTCGCACATGTGGTATTTGATTCCCTGCGTGGTTAATTGATTCCCTGCATGGGTGAAAAGTCACCTGACAGTGAGGTTAGGTGATCTACAGGTGAGTGTTTGGTGATATACAGGAGACCATTTGGAGTCTCATGTAGAAGCAGAATTCACACATACATATACACACATGTGCATAGATAAACATCTATATCTACACACACACGCGCATTAAAAATCAAGCAAATGTACTCACATAAAACCAGCACAATAATAATGCATCAGCAACAATAAGTCAAAATCCAAAGTTTTTATTGCATTCCAGAGGGAGAGGGAGCTTGGAGGGCCCCTGTAGGAGAGGGCTTCCTAAGTTGTGATGCACCTACCAATTTTAATATCCTTGAGCAGAAAAGGCAGAAGGAGCAGGGCCCTGTCTGGTTGTGACACATGGGGAATTTCATGCGGGAGAAGATATTGTGGGGCACCTGAAGTCAGAGGTGTTCGCTCTTCTTGCCAGGAGCTGATCTCCACCTGAATGCTTGTCTTTCTCTCTCTCTTTCCTTCCCTCTCACTGCCCCCGCCCTGCAGCTGAATTCCTTTGAACAGCTCTGCATCAACTACACCAATGAAAAGCTCCAGCAGCTCTTCAACCACACCATGTTTGTGCTGGAGCAGGAAGAGTATCAGCGAGAGGGTATTGAATGGAACTTCATTGACTTTGGCCTGGACCTCCAGCCCTGCATAGACCTCATCGAGAGGCCGGTGAGCTGCCTGGGGATGGGAGAAACGAGATAAGAGACACACCGTGCTTATTTGGGGAAAGTCTATTCCATTTATAGGGAAGAGGCTTTCTTCTACAAGGTATTGGCCGGGGTGGGAGATTTTGATCGGCACCTCAACAATCTGACATTTTTGCCCCAGTCTATGAGGAGGTTCAGTGGAATCTGCGCATAGGAGCATCACACATGCTTCCTTTTTTGCTGTTTGTTTGTTTTAGCACGCACAAAAAGAAAGAAATGCAATAGCTGCAGGCTTCTCCCAGCAGGCAGATGCAACAATGGAGAAGGTTGCAGGAGACTCCACCACACTCCTTGGCAGCAAATTCCACTGTCGAACAGCTCTTACTGTCAGGAAGTTCTTCCTAATGTTTAGGTGGAATCTTCTTTCTTGTAGTTTGGATACTTGCAGGGAGGTTTTTGTCCTTTAAAAAAAAGCAAGCATGCAGGAACATCCACAAACACTATTTTTCCCCTCCTCCCCGACCCAGTGTGTGTTTGGCTGAATCACCTGGGACTGTTGGCACCCCTTGGCAGTGCACTTGCACCCCGCTAATGACATGGTGTGACCTGGAGTATGTGGATTGATTTTCCTGTGAAAGCTGGTAGGCGGTTAGGAATCTCAGCTCCAGACCTTTTTATCTAGGCTGATCCTACAACTAGTCATTTAGGGTGTAATCACCACACCTCTTTCACTCGCATTTTATATTCCTCCCATGTTTTCCTACGGAGTCTTCCTGGAGCTGGTGGGGTTCCCTTACCTTGAGAAAACTAGCTTAAGGGGGGGGGACCCGCAGCAGTAGCCCTGTGGGTGATCCTTAGTGCTGTTTTACTGTCCTCTGGGAGGTGCATGGCTTTGACATGTTCATTGACATTCTTGGGGAGGAGGCATGTTGTTCTAACACCTCCTCCCTTCAGGCAGAGCTGTGTCTTGAGCACCCCTTTCTGGTCAACACCATTGCCGGGTGGGTTCTCTCACTCCCTGCAAATACAGCATTTTGACAATTGTTTTGCTTTAATAAATGGCTCGAAATCATGGCGCAGGGAATGGCAGTGGAAGTGTAGGCATCCTGATTTTGTTTAAAGAACCTTATACAGTGGTACCTCGGGTTACATATGCTTCAGGTTACAGACGCTTCAGGTTACAGACTCCGCTAACCCAGAAATAGTACCTCATGTTAAGAACTTTGCTTCAGGATGAGAGCAGAAATCGTGCGGCGGCAGCGGGAAGCTCAATTAGCTAAAGTGGTGATTCAGGTTAAGAACAGTTTCAGGTTAAGAACGGACCTCTGGAACGAATTAAGTTCTTAACCCAAGGTACCACCGTACACTTTTCCAGGCACTCAGTACAATTGACTCTTTTCCAGTCTGTTTATCCACACCCACAAACAACTCTTCCTAGTGAGGCAATTTCAGCTTCTGCCTCAATTTCCCCCTTGGGTTCCCTTGCTTAATGGTTTTGGTTTTCCTCTGTCCCAGGCAAACCCCCCAGGGGTGCTGGCTCTGCTAGATGAAGAGTGCTGGTTCCCCAAAGCCACTGACAAGAGCTTCGTGGAAAAAGTTACCCAGGAGCAGGGAACCCACCCCAAGTTCCAGAAGCCCCGGCAGCTGCGGGACAAAGCTGACTTCTGCATCATCCATTACGCTGGCAAGGCAAGTTACCTCCACCCCACCCCCATGCTGGGTTTCCCCCTATTTGCTGACAGTCCTGGGCTCACTTGCATCTTGTGGTTCTTCCTGCTAGGAGGCGAAAGCCCAGCTGCTGTGTTCTAGGTCTGCAGGTGTTGCTGGACTACAACTCCCATCATCCCTGACCATTGGCTGGAGCTGATGGGAGTTGTAGTCAGGTATCACCTGTAGGGTACCAGATTGACAAAGGCCAGTCTCGTGACCTAACTGCAGTGTCTAAAGGAGGGGGCTCAGAGCTCCGTAGTGGAGCTGAGGTCCCAGGCTGCATCTCAGTTAACAGGGCTGGGAAAGGCCTATTGCCTGAGGGCCTGGATAGCTGCTGGCAGTCGGACTTTGGCCCCTTCTTTCAGTTTCATTTCATAAAATTTATATACCGCTTGATTCTAAGAAAACTTCTAAGTGGTTTACAGTGATATAATATTAAAAGGATCAAAAAAAAAGCTTGCATTTAAAAGATTGGCAAAATCAGTGCTTTTTTTGAGGGTCCAGGGGTATGCACACCCCTAAACATTTTGTGAATCTTCGTGCTTTTGTCCATTTACTGCATTTATTTCCCCCGATTTGAACTATAAAATGGTGATTTTCTTGAGTCAATATGAGAGTACCCCTAAACATACTTTTTTTTTTAGAAAAAAAGCACTGGGTAAAACTATGAGTAGCTAAAATAAAAATAAAACACATGTAACTTCTTCATGAGGGACGCGGGTGGCGCTGTGGGTTACATCACAGAGCCTAGGACTTGCCAATCAGAAGGTCGGCGGTTCGAATCCCCGCGACGGGGTGTGCTCCCATTGCTCGGTCCCAGCTCCTGCCCACCTAGCAGTTCGAAAGCACGTCAAAGTGTAAGTAGATAAATAGGTACCGCTCCGGCGGGAAGGTAAACGGTGTTTCCGTGCACTGCTCTGGTTTGCCTGGTTAGTCAGGCTGGCCACATGACCCGGAAGCTGTACTCTGGCTCCCTCGGCCAATAAAGCGAGATGAGCGCCGCAACCCCAGAGTCGGCCACGACTGGACCTAATGTCAGGGGTCCCTTTACCTTTACCTAACTTCTTCATGGCTGGATAGGCTTACTTAAGCGAAAATGCCTTAAACAGATGCTGAAAAAAGCACAGCAAAGGCTCCTGTCTGGCATCAACAGGCAAGGAGTAGGTGCTGCCACAACAAAAGATCGATTTCTTACAAGCGCCAAATGAGTATTATGTGGCACTTATGATCAGTATGAGGCCCCTGACCACTTGCATCCAAAGGAATGTGGCCCTTGACCCCCCTCCCCCCCAAAGGTTGTCCACTTCTGTTTTTTTTTAATAAGATATTTATTAAGGTTTTTTAAAGTATTACAATAGAAATGAAAAAGAAAAGAGAAAAATACAAAATAAAAACAGTTAAAAACACACATATTTTCAGTTACTTATTTTCCTTTAGCTTGTTTCCGGACCTCCTCGTACCTCCCTTTTTGTATTCCACTTCAGTTTATTGGTTCAGCAAATCCTTACCATTAGATTTTAACCCATTTATAACCCTTTTTTCATATTCTCTTAAAGCATTACAGCTAGAAACCGCTTAATTACTATCCAACATCATTCTATCATTCATGAATTTTACAATATTTCTGTAAATAGTCTTTAAATTTCTTCCAATCTTCTTCCACCGACTCTTCTCCCTGGTCTCGGATTCTGCCATTCATTTCTGCCAATTCCATATAGTCCATCACCTTCATCTGCCATTCTTCCAAAGTGGGTAGATCTTGTGTCTTCCAATACTTTGCAATAAGTATTCTTGCTGCTGTTGTAGCATACATAAAGAAAGTTCTGTCCTTCTTTGGCACCAATTGGCCGACAATGCCCAGAAGAAAGGCCTCTGGTTTCTTCGCAAAGGTTGTCCACTTCTGGAGTAGACACTATTGGGCTTAGAAATGAACTGAATGGTCCAACTTTGGGATATGGCGGTTTTATCCCTGCACATGGCTGGGTTGTGATGCACCCATAGGTCTGATATTTATGCCTTTTCTCCTTCGCTCTCCCCCCTTTTCCTTTGAAAGGTTGACTACAAAGCAGACGAGTGGCTCATGAAGAACATGGACCCCTTGAACGACAACGTGGCTACGCTTCTCCACCAGAGCGCAGACAAGTTCACGGCAGAGCTGTGGAAAGATGGTAGGGGGCCTGGGAAGATCTAAGCTGATCCGTTCATAGGCCATCTTCTGTCACCAGTGTCCTCCGGGCGGCTTGCAGGGATTAAAACAAAAAAAGCAATACAGTCGTGCCTTTGATCCCTAATGCCTTGGTACTCAGACGTTTTGGTTCCTGAACGCCGCAAACCCAGAAGTGAGTGTTCCGGTTTGCGAACATTATTTGGAACCGGAACGTCTGACGGGGATTCTGTAGCTTCTGACTGGCTGCAGGAGCTTCCTGCTGCCAATCAGAAGCTGCGCCTTGGTTTCTGAACATTTTGGAAGTCGACCGGACTTCCGGAACGGATTCTGTTCGACTCCAAGGTACGACTGTATTGCAATAGAACAATGAAGATAGTGGGTAGCTTTAAAACAGAGAGTTAACTCAATAATTAATGAGTCACGGGGAGTGGGGAGCAGTTGCCTGCATTGAATCTGAGTCTCCATACTTACACATATTATTAACCTGTTTTAACTTAGTGGCCTGTAGATCTTAATAACTGTCAATATAACTTCTCAAAGCTGCTTGAAGCTCTCTCTTGTTGCTGCTGGTACTAACCACTTTGCTCTTTGCTCTTTCTGTTTCCTTCTATCCTTGACCCACCTCTCTCTTTTCCCCCTGTAATGGATTGCTTTGCGAAACCTCACCTCCCCCTTCCCTGCCTGGCCCTGTCCTTTCTCCAGAGATCCAGAACATACAGAAGGTCTATTTCTTTGACAGCTATGCCGTGGCATCTCAGGGTCCAGCAGAAAGTATGTCCCTCCTTCCCACACATGAGCCACCAGCATGTAGGAAGGGAGGGCTATAGGCAGGTTTATGAGGGGGGAAGACATGCACCCTCTTCCTCTTAATATCTGGGGTGCGGAACCAGGGGGACCTCTAGCTGTCACCCAACTCCCATCAGCCTCAAACCAGTGTGGCCCATGGTCAGGGATGATGGGAGTTGTAGTTCAGTAATGTTTGGAGGGCCACAGGTTCCCCACCCCTGTTTAATATTTTCTAGATGAGCCTTTTCCCCAAACTTGGGGAACTACAAACAGATGGGACTACATTTCCCATCATCCCCGACCACAGAAGCTGCTAGATAGGAGTGATGGGAGTTGTAGTACAACAGCATCTGGGGACCCAAGGTTGAGAAAGGCTGGTTTAGACCATGGGCGGGGAACCTCCGCTGTCAGTCTGCGACACCCACCATCCCTGACCATTGGCTAAGAGAGCTGAGGGTGCTGGGAGTTATAGTACAACAACATCTGGGGATCCAAGGTTGTAGAACATTGGTCTAGACCAGCCTTTCTCAACCTTACGTCCCCAAATGGGACTACAGTTCCCATCACCCCTGACCACTGGTCCTGCTAGCTGGGGGTGATGGGAGTTGTAGACCCAAAACAGCTGGAGAACCACATTTAGGAAACCCTGGTCTAGACCATGGATGAGGAACCTTTGGCCCTCCCAGTATTTTCAGTGTCACAGCTCCCATCATCCCTGGCCATTGGCCATGCTGGCAGAAGCTGGAGTCCATGAATCTGGAGGGCCAGAGGCTTCCTATCTGGGGTCTGGATAATTCAGATGTGATTTCCTTTACTAACAGTGCACTCCTGCGAATTGGTTTAATAAGTCCCATTCTTTTAAATAGGGCTTAGTCCCTGGCAAGTGTGCTGTGTTTTCAGGAGCGCAGCCTCAAAGCCGCTCGTGGACTTCAGAATTAAATTGCCGTGGTTTCTTTTCACTCTCTCCGCTCTGCCCCACATGTCCTCTGGGTGCTACCTGGGCATGACGCTCCCTTTCCTCTCTGCAGTATCTAAACCAACAGCAGCCCAAGAGCACCTTGAGGCTTCTCCCTTCAAAGGCCCACTGAGGCAGATGGGAGCAAACAGGCCCTCAGGACTGCTGGGAAACACTCGCCTTGTTTTCTTCTGCTCTCCAACGGCAGTTTAAATTGTGTGGATTAAGAAAGCGGAGGTGTGAGAAGGGGCTCATTGAAACTTGTTTCAATGTCCCTTGAGGGCTGGGTTTCCACTGTCCTTCGTCACATCCGCTCTGAATGTTTTATGTATAACTTAAGTGGGTTGGGAAAGGCCATTGGCTCCAGGTGGCTTCCGTTCCCTCAGGGAGGGCTCAGAGGGGTTTGGGCAGTTGCAATGGGTGTTACGTGGGGTTGGGAGGGAGGGAGGAAACCCACAGATTCCTGCATTTCCCCCTGGGGAGTGGGCTGGAAGTGCTGGACGTGAGCTGAGAAGCCCCTTCCCCCTGTTCCACAGTGGACCGAATTGTAGGCCTGGACCAAGTGAGCGGGATGGGAGACCTTGCCTTCGGCTCCTCATACAAGACGAAGAAGGGGATGTTCCGGACGGTGGGGCAGCTGTATAAGGAGTCTCTCTCCAAGCTCATGTCAACCTTGCGCAACACCAACCCCAACTTTGTGCGCTGTATCATCCCCAACCATGAGAAAAGAGTGAGTTGCTCAGGCGACAGAGGCCTGTAGTGCGTATGAGTGTCCTGGCATTGAAGGGAGCCCATCGGAGAATGTCGCTTCTGCTCTGAAGCAGGGGAGGCCTCCTTCTCTGTCAAAAGCAGGCCCAAGCCTGCCTCTGGGTGAAAGGGGAAGGGAGTTTCTTGGCCAAAGGGCTGTGTGGAGACCTCTGAGTGTCTGGAGGCGGTTGGAGGATGCCTGGCGGTCGTTGGATTGAGGCTGAATCCCAACAAGACAGATGTACTGTTTCCGAGGGAGACAAGGGCGGGCGGGTGTGGGGAACTCCCTGGTCCTGAATGGGGTAACTGTGCCCCTAAAGAACCACGTGCGCAGCCTGGGGGTCATTTTGGACTCACAGCTGTCCATGGAGGCGCAGGTCAATTCTGCGTCCAGGGCAGCTGTCTACCAGCTTCATCTGGTATGCCAGCTAAGGCCCTACCTGCCCGCACACATTCTTGCCAGAGTGGTACATGCCCTGGTTCTGTCTGACTTTAGAAGACAACTAAAATAGGGAAGTTTTTAATGTTTGATGTTTTACTGTGGTTTTATACTTTGTTGGAAGCCGCCCGGCAGTGGCTGGCGCAACCCAGTCCAATGGGCGACATATAAATAAATTATTATTATTATTAGTAGTAGTAGTAGTAGTAGTGCACATCTCCCATGAGGGATGATGGGGATTACACTCTCGGTAACTTTAGTCGCACCACAGGCCCTCCATCCTTGGCATGCAGTGGCTAGAATGTTAGACAGGCCAGGGAAACCTGATTCGAATCCTCCTCTGCCGTGGTAGCCTTGGAAAACTGGTCCAGTCCCACCTCGCATGGTTGTTGGGAAGATTAATGAGGGATAGCTCCCCCACATACCACCCTGGGCTTCCTGGAGGGTGGGCAAGGTATAACTAAGAGAACAAGCAGTATTACTCTGCTTCCTGAAGTGCCCTCTGACAGGTCCTGCTTCTTCCCGGCTCCTATTACAGGCTGGAAAACTGGAGCCACACCTCGTGTTGGACCAGCTACGCTGCAACGGAGTCCTGGAGGGAATTCGCATTTGCCGCCAGGGCTTTCCCAACCGCATCATCTTCCAGGAATTCCGGCAGAGGTACCCGGAGGACTTGAGGGAGGCCCGGCCTTAGTTAGGAGGGCAACGGGCGTGTGCCCAGAGGGGTCTGCCCCTGTTCTCAGCCCCTGAGGCTCGGATCCACCATGGGCCTAACTCATCCCTGGTATCTGAGGGTGTTAACGTCAAGCTCAAGTGTGCGTGGTGTCCATGCGATTTGTAACCTCCCTGCTTTCTCCTTCTCTCCCGGCAGGTATGAGATCCTGACTCCAAATGCCATTCCTAAAGGCTTCATGGATGGGAAACAGGCCTGCGAACGCATGGTACGTGGGGCTCTCTGGCCAGGGCGATGGGGCAATGTGGGCTAGAACGGGCCCAGATGCAGAAAACCAGAATGTCCTACCGACTAATCCCTCCCACCCCCCAAAAAACCCACCTTCTGTTTCTTTTCATCCTTACAGATCAAGGCCTTGGAACTGGACCCCAACCTCTTCCGCATCGGCCAGAGTAAGATCTTTTTCCGCGCTGGCGTCCTTGCTCACCTGGAGGAGGAGCGGGACCTGAAGATCACAGATATCATAGTCTCCTTCCAGGCAGCTGCCCGCGGATACTTGGCCCGCAAGTGAGCACGGAGCCGCTATACTGGGGCAAATTGCCCGTGGGCCACTTTAAAGCAGGATGTCATCAGATTCTGGGGCAGGGAACCCAGAGCTGTACAGGAGGTAGTGATGGACTCCCAACTCCCATCAGCCCCAGCCAGCCTGGCCTATTGGTCAAGGATGATGGGAGTTGTAGTCCAAAAACACCTGAGGGGGTCAGAATTCCCCCCATCCCTGACAACAGAGGAGTAGACAGTTATAGAACTGTAGTATTGGAAGGGACCCCAAGGGACATCTAGCTCAACCCCCTAGAGAGATCTGTGAGCAAGTGTTTGGCCTGTTGCAGGGGTGCCTCTGTGCGCCTCTGGTGAAGCTGTCATGGCTGCCACTACACACACACCGCAACCAAGCAGAGGCCGTAACCTGTTCTGTCAGCTGTAGAGCAGCCAGTTAGGCTTCTTTCAAGCCTGATTGTACCAGAGGGGAGAAGTGGGGGAAAGGGAAAGGAATGTGTGGGCACCAGGGAAGCAGATACGTGTGTCATTCCGGAGTCGTGGGTTCAAACCCCGCGTTGGATGAATGATTCCTGCATTGCAGGGGGGGGTGGACACAGTGACCCTTGTGGCCCCTTCCAACTCTGCAAGTCAATGATTCTGTGATTCTGCCCATGGGGTCCATGTTGGCAGCCTCTGGCTTAGTACGCTTGGGAAGCCAGAACTTCTGGTATTCCCTGGAGAGGGGTTTTCACTTCATCCGCCGCCAGTGCTTGGGTGGAACCTCTGTGACTGGCCATGCCCTCTTCTCGGGAATCTTGTGACGGGACCCATGACTCTTCCTCAGAACTCTTCATTGGGCACACAGAGTCCCTGGGCTAGGAGATTGCTCTCCACCTGGCTCCCTGACCGCCCTCAGTAGGCCTTCTTCCTTTTGTCTCCTCTGGAGTCAGAAACCTATATGAACCAAGCCAGCTGCAAACACAGCTTCACTGGTGGGCTTTGCATGGAGGGTGGAGGGGAGGGTAAGGAATTACAGAAGGTTCCAGCATTGCAGGGGGTTGGACTGGATGGGGGTCCCAGCTCTACGTTTCTATGATACTACATGCGCAGAGCCCTGGCTAAGGTACCTAACCGTGCTTTTCTGACTGTGTACACTTCCCTCTCCTCTCAGAGCCTTCATAAAAAAGCAGCAGCAGATGAGCGCTCTCAAGGTCATGCAGCGTAACTGCGCCGCCTACCTCAAGTTGCGCCACTGGCAGTGGTGGCGCCTTTTCACCAAGGTGGGTCAGGCGGCGATGCTAAGGACGGGGGTGTCTCATAGGACATCAGGCATGGTTTGGGGAAGAGCAGCCTCACGGGCCAACTTGAGACCTGTCCCATGGAGGGCGGAGGTTCTTCCTTCTCAACCCCCCCACCCCAACCTCCCACTTTGGCTCTCTCAACACCTTCCCCTCCTTTTCTTCCTCCTCCCCTTTTCCCCAGGTGAAGCCCCTGTTACAGGTGACCCGTCAGGACGAGGTGATGCAGGCAAAGGCAGTGGAGCTGCAAAAGGTGCAGGAGAAACACGTGAAAACCCAAATGGACCTGAAGGAACTGGAGAACAAATACCAGCAGGTGAGCAGGGAGAGTGGGAGGAGCCAGGAGTCCTCAGCCATTAAGCCGCACCTCCTCTCCTGACATCTGCAGCGGAAGCCCCACCCCCTTCTCTTTCAACCATTCACTTGGACTCTCCTTGCATTGCCCTCCATATTGGCCTTCCTGCCTGCCTACTCCGTGTCCTGAAACAGATTTTATAATAGGTCCGCCTGAACTCCTTTTTCTGTTGGGTCACATCCACACCATAAGCACTCTTATAACACATTAACAGTCATGGCTCCCCCCACCCAAAAAAAGAATCATGGGAACTGTAGTTTAGCCCTCCCAGCAACCTTGGCAAACTACAGTTCCCGGGGCTCCACACCTGTGGTGTACGAGTGCATTAGTTGTATGGCGCAGGTGTGACCTTTCATTTGTGAGGACTGCATCCTCCTCCTCCTCCTCCTCCTCCTCCTCCTCCTCCTCCTCCTCTATAATTCACACTGCTTGTACGTTCCGCGTCAAGCTTCTACTCCCCACTGCTTAAATGCCGGGATTGGGATAAAACCTTCCTTACTTAATGGTTTGCTGTACCCTAACGTCCTGAGCTAGGCTCCAGGGGGATCTGATGCCTGTCCCTCCTTGCTCCTTGATCCCGTTTCCGTGGCTAGCTCTCGGAGGAGAAGGCCATCCTGGCCGAACAGCTGCAGGCGGAGACGGAGCTGTTTGCCGAAGCCGAGGAGATGCGGGCGCGGCTGGCGGCCCGGAAGCAGGAGCTGGAGGACATCCTGCACGAGCTGGAGTCGCGGGTGGAAGAGGAGGAGGAGCGTTGCCAGCAGCTGCAGGGGGACAAGAAGAAGATGCAACAGCACATCCAGGTGAGTTGGGAAGAGAGGACCGTCCACCACCACCAGGAGGAGCAAAGGAGGAGGGCAGCTGCCGCCCACTCCCTTGCGGGAAGGCGGCTAAATTGATCCATGCAGCTATACGTTAGGTGTGGTGGGTGGAACGAAGCAAGAGTTTTGCTTCATCTGCTAACGTTTGTGCAGAAATCGGCTTTTCTCGGACCAAGCTTCTAAGGGCATGCACAGAGAGAGAAGGTTGGTTGTTACCAGGTTAGTTGTGACGCTGAACGGGGCCTTCTCAGTGGTGGTGCCTCAGTTGTGAAATTCCACTCCTATAAAGGCCTACCAACCAAATCCCTTTAAAAATCATCTTTAAAAATAGGTCCTGGTTTTGTTGTGAAATACAGTCAAACCTTGGTTGTCAAACGTAATCCGTTCCGGGTGACTGTTCAACTTCATAAACGTTCGACAACCGAGGCATGGCTTCTGATTGGTTGCAAGAGCTTCTTGCACTCAAGCAGAAGCCATGTCAGACATTCCGAAAAACATTCGAAAACCAGAGCATTTACTTCCAGGTTTTCAGCGTTCAGGAGCCGAAACATATGATAACGGAAGTGTTCGAGAACTGAGGTTTGACTGTAAATGCTTTTGTTTATGGCATCTGCAGAGCCCTTAGGGTGACTTGCACAGTCATCCTTGCGTCAGTCCTGTGCTGCAGGGTAGACTTGGGGGTGAGCGACTGCCCTGAGGTCGCCCAGTGAACTTTGTAGGTGAGCAGGGATTTGAACCTGGGTCTCCCTGGTCCCAGTCCAGCCACTACACTGGGCTTGAATATTCTGCTAACCCTGCTGCTTTGTTGAGGCAGTTCCAGGGCTTGAAATAACCGCTCCGCTTCTTTTATATGGCCCGCTTCTTTACGTATGCCCATTGTCCCCTGCTCTCCCTCCTCCCTCGTAGGACATCGAAGAGCAGCTGGAGGAGGAGGAGGCCGCCCGGCAGAAGCTGCAGCTGGAGAAAGTGAGCACGGAAGCCAAGATGAAGAAGATGGAGGAAGACCTGCTGGTGCTTGAAGACCAAAACTCAAAACTGCACAAAGTGAGTTGGGGGCCTTTCCTGCTGCAGCCTCCCCACCTCTGGCACAAAGCAGAAAAAGGCGTTATTTGTGGTGTGGTTTTTTTTGCCTGCCTGCCTGCCTTGTGTTTCGTGGCCCATCCTTGCTCTGGTGGGCAGCCCTTTGGTTGCTTCTGTTCATATATCTAAAATTTTATTAGTTTTTTAACATATAATATTCAGCAGTAATTAAACATACTTTTACATCTTATTCGATTTTTTTTGACTTCCACCAGTCCTGTCTGAAAATTTTCCAGTCTAATCTCTTAGTATGCATTTCTTATTTTCCCTATTGCATTGCAGTCTCATAATCAATATCTCTATCTTTTTCTACTTTGTAACACTTCGTATCTTTCTCCTTACAAAACTTCTTGTAGTCCTACTAGCGTGGTTGCTTCTCTTCTCAAGCGCTTCAGCAAGTTACGTTTTATTGTGTTTGTTTAGAGTTGAAAACCGATAATATATATATATATATATATATATATATATATATATATATATATATATTAAAAAGAGGAGGAACCTCAGCCTGCTGCTGCTGCTTTGTGAGGAGCAGACTGCCCTTGGTGCGGGGGGGCGGCGGATTTAAACTATTAAACTCCACAGTTGCAGAGATGGAGAGATAGAGGTGAAGAGGGGGCTATTTGGGGGCCCTAGAGACACTTCCAAGCTCCTGCTGGTTTTGGGGGGCTGTTTCACTCATATACCAGCTAGTTCAGGCAGCGCAACTACAAGCTGGATTGGAGCTCTTGCTCAACAAGCCTTGTCCCCCCTAAAAAAAAGATCAGATGTTTTGCAGTAAGGAAAGTTAACAGGGAAATGCTGGATCACCTCTGCTTTGGCCTGCTTTGTCTGACCTTTCTGCAAATGAATTGGGGTGGGTGCTCAATAAAGCAGCTTGTCTGGAAGTGAGATCTAGGAGGAGGCGGATGGGTAATAGAAATGTTGGCTAGGTCAGGACTCTAGGAGCCTGGACTCCTGGGTTTCCTGGAAGTGTTAGGCATATTTGGATCCTAACCCCCACCCACCCTGTGTCTTTTTACACCCACTGCCTTCACCAGGAGAGGAAGCTGATGGAGGAACGTCTCTCCGAGTTCACCTCCCATATGGCAGAGGAGGAGGAGAAGGTGAAGAGCCTTTCCAAACTGCGCAACAAATACGAAGCCGTCATCGCCGACATGGAAGGTGCGTCTGGGAACGGGAGTACACAGAGGTGGGGGGCGGCCTAGATTTCTTCCCTGGGCACTTCAGACGCCAGGAATCGTATTCCTTTGGTGTGGCAATTGAAAACTGGCCTCTTTGGGGAAGTGCTTCTTTGGGGAGGTGTCTGTCCCTCCCCTACCAACTGGCAGCCTCTTGGCTAAAGTCCGTGCACAGAGAATGAGCTGCGCAGGGTGTTGGTGGGGCCACAGCTTGGTAGGAGAGCACATGCTTCTCCTGCAGAGAGTCCCAGGTTCGCTCCTTGGCATCTCAAAAGGAAGACAACTGGGGAAAGGGATTCCTGCCTGAAGTCCTGGAGATCCTGTTGGTGCAGGCCAGGGTTTCCCCAAACTTGGGTCTCCAGCTGTTTTTGGACTACAACTCCCATCATCCTTAGGTCAGGGATGATGGGAATTGTAGTCCAAAAAACAGCTGGAGACCCAAATTTGGGAAACCCTGGTGTAGACCAAGACCGGGCTTAGCCGATAACATAACAAGAGCCCTCCTGGATCAGGCCAGTGGCCTATCTAGTCCAGCATCCTATTCCCACAGTGGCCAGGCAGGTGTCCTTACTGGAAGCTCCAAAGCAGTTCCTGAACGCAGCTCCCACACTCTCCACTTGCGATTCCCAGTAACTAGCATCCAGAGGCTATATTACACTGCCTCTGACAGCGGAGGTGGAACATTAGGGACCAATTTTGGGCTCTGGTTAGGGATGGGGAACATGTGGCCTTCCCAGGCAATGCTGGACTACAACTCCCAACATCCCTGGCCATCAGCCACGCAGGCTGTGGCTGATGGGAGCTGGAGTCCAGCTGCATCTGGAGGGCCGCACGTTCCCACCAGCGATGAACAGCCTGCTTCGTGTGCTTCTGCAATGGGGGCGTCCTGTTTCCTTGCTTGACCTTTCCCCCATTCTCCCCTCCCTTCGCCCTTCTAGATCGGCTAAAGAAGGAGGAAAAGGGGCGCCAGGAGCTGGAGAAGCTGAAGCGCAAGCTGGACGGGGAGGCTGGGGACCTGCAGGAGCAGGTGGTGGAGCTGCAGCAGCAGCTGGAGGAACTCCGGCAAGCGCTGGCAAGGAAGGAAGCCGAGCTACAGGCAGCGCTGGCCAGGTAAGTGTGCCAGGCTGGAGGCTCCTGCCTGTTTGGCAGTGGAGGCTGATTCAACAGGGCACTGCCCAGCCAGCCTCACTCTCCCATCTGCTGGTAAGCTAGGCTGGCTGCAAGTAGCCTCAAGGTGGAACTCTTCCTTCCCATTTGTTAGGATTCTTTTTTGTGGGTATCCAAGAATCAACAAGGGAAGCAGAAATGCGTAAGAGTTTAAGCGCCCTGCCCTGCAGATGGTTGTTATGGCTTCCTCATAGGGAATCCCTTAGAGCAGGGAATAGGCAGAAGGTAGATATGGGGATCTGCTGGAAGATCTCAGGGTGGCTTTTGCAGCAGATCTCATCAAGGATGCCCGGCTCTTGGTCGTCCAACAAGTAGCAATGACTTTTCCTTCCCAATTAGGCTTCTGAAACGAAGGAAAGCATTGGTGGAAACTATGAATGGACTTTTTTGTGTGTGGAAGGACTTTGATCTCCACTCTGGTACTTGGGACACATTCCTGGGCAGCTGAGATGCACTCAGAGGGGCACTTGTCTTTTAATTCTAAGCATATGCCTGCCCCTTTTAAAACCCACTGTTTTGCACTTTGCTCCAGCTAGTGGACCTTGAGGGTTCTAGGGTGAAACAAAGCTGATACCCTGACTTAGGGCAACCTAACTAACCAAAGTCATTAACCTATGACTCCCAAGCATGGCTTAGAAAGAAACTTCCTTAAATTTCTGAAGTATAGGTACAACTTTGGGTTAGATTCAGGGGAACACAATTGCTCCTCTGTGCCTCTTTGGCATCCTGCAAAGATCTTCCTCTCTTCCCCTTTTGGGTGCCTGCTGCCTGCCACTAGCTTTCCTCCTCCTCGCCCTCCTCCCCGCTGCCCCCCTTTCCCTCCGGCCCACCCTCAGCCTGGCCCTCTCGCCCCTCTGACCTTTCCCGCCCGCCTTGCAGGGTGGAGGAGGAGTCCGCGCAGAAGAACGCCGTGCTGAAGTCCCTTCGCGAGCTGCAGGCGCAGCTGGCTGAGCTGCAGGAGGACATGGAGTCCGAGAAGGTGGCCCGCGCCAAAGCCGAGAAGCAGCGGCGGGACCTGGGCGAAGAGCTGGAGGCCCTGAAGACAGAGCTCGAGGACACCTTGGACTCGACGGCCGCGCAGCAGGAGCTACGGTAAGGGCCTGGTGGCAGCCGGCAGTCCTGCCTGGACCCGGAGGTGGCCGCACCTGGGGATAAGTAAGCCGACAGGAGGCAGAGATGGCCATCGACTTGGATGGTTTTGAAGGAGAGGGCTGGACAGACCCATGGAAGACAAGGCTATCCAGTGATTGCTAGCCATAAGGACTGGGTTCTGCTCCACAGCCAGAGGCAGTAATGTGCCTGAAGGCCAGTTCCTGGAAACCGCAGGAGGGGAGAATGGGCTCTTGCGCTCAGGTCTTGCTTGTAGGATCTGGCCAGTCACTGTGAGAAAAAGATGCTCGACTAGATGAGCTTCTGACCTTGATCCAACAAGGCTCTTAAATTCTCCCCTACTCCCTTAGTGGTCTCTCCAGGGCAAGCCCGCCTCACCCTGCTAGCCTCACCCTGATCCCGTCCTTTCCCTTCCCCTGGCAGGTCGAAGAGGGAGCAAGAAGTAACTGAGCTGAAGAAGACCATTGAGGACGAGGTCAAGGTGCACGAAGCCCAGGTGCTGGAGATGCGCCAGCGGCACACGTCTGCCCTGGAGGAGCTGTCGGAGCAGCTGGAGCAGTCGCGCCGGGTACGGGGCTGGGGGTGGGGGTTGCCGGGATGTTTCTGGGGGATTACAGAAAGGTGAGAGGGAGCTGGTAAGAGTGGAGATACGGAGAATCTGTGGGGCCTTCTTGGACTGCAGCAGCTCCCATCATCCATTGGCCATGTCGGCTGGTGATGGAGTTGGAGCCCAACAAGATGTAGAGGCTGAGAAGCTGGAAGGCTCTGAGAGCCAGAGATCGGGAAGGCCTAAGACCAAGGGTGGCTTGGTTTTCAGAGGCAGGGATGGGTTAGGAGAGGCCAACGGCCCAGAAAAAAGGGAGGGTCTGCCCCTAGTTATCATTTATTTATCTATTGCATTTATGCCCCACCTTTCCTCCAAGGAGGTATATACATGGTTCTCTTCCTACCCATTTTATCCCCACAAAAAAAACCCTGTGAGGAGGCTGTGACTGGCCCAAGGTTCACCCAGGGACCTTCCTGCCTGAGCAGGGATTTGCACCCTGCTCTCCCCCAGGCCCTAGTCCAAACACTCCGACCGCCACACCACATTGGCTCTCCTCTGGAGAACACTCAAGCAGAGAGATTTTTTTAAGAAGTCATACATCCCCCTGAAATAGGTCTGTTAAGTCCTTCAGCCCAGTTTTAAGCACATCCATTCGGTGAGCCCAGCAGGATTCAACTTGCCTTAGTAAGCCTGCTTAAGGATCATGGAGGGGAGAGAGCAAGCAGTGCCCCAGAGCCAGGCCCTCGGCGGGTTCTGATGTCTTTTCTTCCCCCCCACCAGTTCAAAGTTACCCTGGAGAAGACCAAGCAGGCCCTGGAAGGGGAGAACGTGGAGCTGCAGAAGGAGGTGAAGGTCCTGCAGGCAGCCAAGCTGGAGTCGGAGCAGCGGCGCAAGAAGCTGGAAAGCCAAGTCCAGGAGCTGCAGCTGCGGGCCACGGATGGTGAAAGAGTCAAAGCTGAGCTTATGGAGAGGCTGGGGAAGCTGCAGGTGTGTGTGTGTGTGTGTGTGTGTGTGTGTGTGTGTGTGTGTGTGTAAGTGTGTGTGTAAGCGCGCTCTCTGAAGACAACCATCCTTCAAATTGCCTTCTCCTTCCACTCCCAGTTCTCATTTTCCAAATCTTTTTACCCATGTAGCCTCCCAGGCTTATTAAGGCTCTCGTGTCTCTATAGCTGTCCTCTGTACCTTGCAGGATTTGTGCCGAGTCAGCCCACAAATTCTATGTTTAGAATTAATTGCACAAGATATTAAGTGCCCCTATAAGTGCCTGCGTAATTCTGCTGCAGATATTGAGATGTTTAGGGGGGAGGGAAGTTGAGCAGCTGCTGGGGGTGGGAGATGGCACCAAGATGGTAAGACGGCAAGTAAAAACGGAGGGGAAGAGTAGGTAACAGTCACCGAAACAGCCCTGGCAGCCCAAAATTATACAATGCTATGCCCAGTTGCCAATCTGTTTCCTGAGCCCCAAACGGCTTTCATGGTTTATAAAGCCTTTCTGTGCATTCACAAGGACTGGGAATAGGCATTTTAAAAATATATAAAAGAAAGCTGAATTTCTCAGAATTCCACATTGTGCACCAATTACCAGAGTGGGTTACTTGCTTGTTTGGTGGATGCATAGAATACACAACCAGAGTCTTATTTTTAACTTTTGACTTGTGATAGATGGATGTTTTGATTTCCCTTGATGCATTTGGACTTTTATCTTTGGTATGTGTATGTGTCTGTCTCTCCCCGTCTGTCTGCTGCCTTCGTCTCCCGGAAACAGAACGAACTCGACGGAGTCTCCGGTACCCTTGGAAGTGCAGAGTCCAGGGCGATAAAGCTTGCCAAAGATCTGGCCAGTGTAGAATCCCACCTGCAAGATTCCCAGGTACATGGCAAAACCTGGGAATGCGAGACAGAGAGAGGCTGGACCCTGGATGATAGAGGGTGGTGGTTTGTGCCGGAAGGTGGGGGCAATACTCAGAGGGCAAGAACAGAGAATCCCTTGAGGTTTAGGGACAAGGGGAAAGAATGTGTAAAGGGTAAGAAGCAGTTTCAGCTTGTAAAATGTTGCTTTATGTCCCAAGCATAGCCGTGAGTTCACAAAGCAATATTGGACAAGTAAGTCACCGTTACATTTGGCCTCTGTTTTTCTGTTTCTGTAAATGCGAATGAATGTGTTCTGTCTCATAGGGTGCAGCAAGATGAAAATTTGTAAAGTACCTGCATATTCCACATGCTAAAAGAAAAAGTATTCTCCCTGCTCACAAATACATTTTATCATTAAATATTAGTGGCCTGTGACAAAAATAGGCTGTAAACAGCTAGGAACCCAATGTATCTACTTGTAAAACAACCTCGGAAAGAAGATCTGCCTGGAACTCTCTTAATGTTAGGAGGGGCAGGCACTAATGAGCATTGCTAGATAGCATGTAACGTCATTTGGGGGCCACGAGTAAAAAGACCATGCTCCATCCTTTCATGCTTCTGCCACCTGCCATAGAGGCAGGTCTTGTAATGCGTTAGGGCTTAATTGCACCTAGTCCCTGTCTTAAGTTCCCCAGGAGAGCTCTAGTAGGTGCAGAGAGAACAGTGGGCTGAGAGCTGGGGCACCTGATTTCCTGAGAGGGGAAGAAGAGGAGTAGATCTGGACAGGTTTGGTCTCTTAGCACATGTCCTTTAACCCCACTTCTCAATCGCAGGAACTGCTCCAAGAAGAGACGCGGCAGAAATTGAATCTGAGTTCTCGAGTGCGGCAGCTGGAAGAGGAAAAAGCGGGTCTGCTGGAGCAGCTAGAGGAGGAGGAGGCTGCCAAGGGGAACTTCACCCGCCAGATCCAGAGCTTACAGCAGCAGGTGGGAAACAGAAGTGGTTGACAGGCAGTCCTTCACCGCCATACACAAAGTGTGAGCCAAAAGGAAAAATCAGGTGTCATTGGCTCTCGTGGGTCCACCAGAGAAGGCATGTCGGACAAGCTTTTATCTGAAGTCAATGGCTTTCTCTAAGGAGAAATGGAAAGATCAAGGCTTCCTTGCCCCCTTTCTCCCCTGTGGATTGAACTGGGGAAATGTATATCCTGGCCCAGTTCTGCCAGATCACTTTCTTTGGACCTGCACACAAAAGGGAAGAGGGACTTGGTTTCTCTGCCACCTCTTTCCTGGCACCAGGGCTTGGAAAAGTGCCCCTGCAAACGTAACTAGTTGGTGCTCCAGCCGAGGTGTGAAGTGGAAAGCGAGTTGCTGCTTTGCTCTCCGTGGGGAGAGGCAGCTCAGCTTGCCTTCCCCTTTCAGCCAGAGATTTGCTGGGAAATATGTTAAAAAATTATAACGGAACATGATATCTGGGTAAACACATGCTAATAGAGTTCTTTTTTAAAAGAAAGAAAAGTCATTTTGCATCATCAGCATTTGAAGAAAGGAAGAGAGGGGGCTGATAAATCGGTCTGGGTGGAACTGGGGCTTTTGCTGCAGAAGCCTCTCATAAACTTGACTTCCGAAGTTCCCAACACCCCTTTGGTTAGCCTGGCGCTGTGCGGACAGTGTGTGACTTCCCCTGTGGCCATTCCGCCAGGTGATGGAGACCAAGAAGAAGCTGGAGGACGATGCTGGGGTAGCCGAAGCAATAGAGGAGGCTCGGCGCCGGGCAGCCAAGGACCTGGAGGCCCTCTCCTTGCGCTATGAGGAGCGGGTCCAGGCCTGCGACAAGCTGGAGAAAGGACGGACTCGGCTGCAGCAGGAGCTGGACGATGTCACCGTCGCCCTGGACCAGCAGCGCCAGGTGGTCTCCGCCCTCGAGAAGAAGCAGAAGAAATTTGACCAGGTGAGGCCTGTGTTTCCCCCATCTGGTCTTTCTGCCAATTAGCTGTTCTGCAGTTTGCCCCTCAGTCACTGCAGTTGGCTATACACTGCTTCCCGACTGGGGAAATAGATGTCTCTTCCCCTGCACACAAACAGCCCCTGTTCTAATTCAGTTCTAAAATGGCTTTGTGTACCTGAAAAGTGGTGTCTCAAAAACTACGCCCACGACAAGTCTTTCTTTGGCTTAGAAAAACCATTAACTTAAACAGGTCTTTCACCTGTGATTTGGAACTATTCCCCTCACAATGGGATCTCTTTATTCCTGTCATTTTGGATACCATTTCCCCCCACCTTCCCGTCTTTATCTTAATAGTAACCTGCATTCCTGCATCTCTCTCTCTCTCTGCTGCGTCTGGCATCCCCAAAAATCCTAAGTTGAACCCAATTCTCCGCTGCCCAGTCAAGGACAGCTTGGTCACTGTTTACATTGAGGCCTCTTTGGATCATTGACAGATGCTGGCCGAAGAAAAGCTGATCTCTGCCCGCTACGCCGAGGAAAGGGATCGAGCAGAAGCAGACTCCCGGGAGAAGGAGACCAAGGTGCTCTCGCTGAGTCGCGCCCTGGAGGAGGCTCTGGAGACACGGGAGGAGCTGGAGAGGCAGAACAAGCAGCTGCGGGCAGAAATGGACGACCTGGTCAGCTCCAAGGACGACGTCGGCAAGAACGTAAGGGAGCCCGGACACCTGGGTCCACTGGAAGGGAAGAGGGGGTGACAGTAGGGCAGAAATGTGCCGAGAGGTCTGGCTCTCATTCTCTGAAGAAGGAGGCAGGAAGTAAAGTTTTTTCAGGCTGCCACTTCCTTTAAAACAAATTCTTCTCTCCCCACCCCTCCCTTGCAACAGCAAGACCCACAATTATTATTTTATTTTAAAAATGGAACCTTCAGATTTCTAAGACTCCAGCACAGTCACGAGTTTGGGAAACTGCGGCATATGGGATGTCATGCAAACTTAGGAATACTTTGAGAGGACGCCAGCCTTTCCACTACAATCCCCTCGGTGTGATCACGACACTCCACCCCTTACATCAGGGGTGTGGGACATGTGGCCCTCCACATGTTGGAGGACTCAAACTCTCTTCAGCCCCAGCAAGCAGGGTCAATAACCAGGGTTGTTGGAAACGGTAGCCCAGCTTCTCTCACCTAGCACCCCACCCCCGCTTCTTCCCATCAGGTGCATGAGCTGGAGCGTTCGAAGCGGGCCCTGGAGCAACAGGTGCAGGAAATGCGAGCCCACCTGGAGGAGCTGGAAGACGAGCTTCAGGCCACGGAGGACGGGAAGCTCCGCCTGGAGGTCAACATGCAGGCCCTGAAGGCCCAGCACGAGAGGGAGCTGCAGAACCGCGACGATGCCAACGACGACAAGAAGAAGCTGCTTGGGAAACAGGTGGGGAGGGAGGCTGGGGAGGCTCAGTCCCTGTCAGCCTTTGCCCTGTGTGTCTAGAACAAAAAGTGTCAAGACTAGTGGCAAAAGGGCCCTTATTTGCATAAGAGGACCAGTGTGGTGCCACAGTTAGAGGGTGGCAGACTTAGACGGATGGGTGCAAGTCGTAACCCAAATGAACTCTCACAAGGTGGTCGTGAGGCTTCATGGGAGGTGGGTGGGCAAGGTTGGATTAACCATGAAGCAAAAGAAGCATGTGCTTAGGGCATCAACAGAAGGGGGGCACCACAGAATTTTTTCCGTTGCCAGATTTTTAACATTCAAGGTCATAAATCTCTCAGCTGAGTGTTCATTTTCTCAGTTGAAGTATGTTAAAAATCCCAACAGAACAGCGATGCAACAATATGGATGCCTTATCTGTGCTAAGCAGAGATGCAGATGTTTCTCCTCCTGACGTTTTCTTGCTGCTGCATCCCCAGGTGCGGGAGTTGGAGGCTGAACTGGACGCAGAGAGGAAGCAACGGGCCCAAGCGCTTGCAGCCCGGAAGAAGCTGGAGCTTGATCTTCAGGAGGCGCTGGCACAGCTGGATGCGGCCAACAAGGGACGGGACGAAGCAGGGAAGCAGCTGCGAAAATTGCAGGTGTGTGTGTGAGAGAGAGAGAGAGAGAGAGAGAGAGAGAGAAGGAAGGAAGGAAGGAAGGAAGGAAGGAAGGAAGGAAGGAAGGGAGACACTGCCTCGTTTTAATTTTGTAAAAAAATATCCTTACTATATTTTCAAAACTTAATAAAAGACAAGCAACAAAAGCAGCTAACAAATGTTTCTCCACAACCAACCAATGCAGCCAAAACAATGCACATATATAAGAAGGTACATGAAAACTGGTCTGATAAATCTCTCCACGGATAGTATTACAAAAATGCAACACCACTATTGCATTGTCTCCCGTATTAGGGTTTTTTGATTATTCCAATCAATATTTATATCATAAGGGAGATGTGAAACTTTTAAAATAGTAGATGCTTGTTTAGAGATAACTAGATGTTGGCGTTTCACAATAAGCGTATCTCTTGATTCTTGATACACTTGATTCTGGACAGTCACTCTGGCAGAAAAACTGAACTGCCAAGTCTGAGCAAAACAAACCCATTATCTTTTTATGTCACTTTTATATATGCGGCATGAGGGCCATATGAGATACTCCCTGATTATATTATTTAGACAGTGCCCTCGATGCGCAATCTACACGAACGTACAAAGACATGATCCTGCTCCAAAGATCTTTCAGTCTAAAAATTCAGCACACAGGAGATGACTGAGAAAGCAGTGGAGGGGGGGATAAAGAGGGGAAGGCTGTGTGACTTATTTCAACAATCCCTCCTTAGGCTTAGCTACAGGTAGGGCAAGGGTAGCCAACATGGGAGTCCTCTGGATGTTGTTGGACTTGCAACTCCCATGAGCTGCCAGTGGGCCAGAGGCATTGTGGGCACTGTAGTCCAGCTACAACAAGAAGGGTCATAGCTTCCCCTACAGTAGGGTATGGGGACTAGGGCATTGCCATACAGTCACTTGCCTGGGAGGGTGTGTGTGTGTGTGTGTGTGTGTGTGTGTGTGTGTGTGTGTAATTCCTCAGCCTCCCTTATGTTCTTGGCCTAAGGAGTCAAGCTTTTGCTGTTTTTTAAGCATCTTTTCCCTCCCAATTCCAGGCCCAGATGAAGGAGCTCTGGCGGGAAGTGGAGGAAGCCCGTGCAGCCCGCGAAGAGATCTTCATTCAGTCCCGCGAGAGCGAGAAGAAGCTGAAGAATCTGGAGGCAGAGTTGCTGCAGCTGCAGGAGGTGAGGGGTGAAGCTCCATGGAGCCTCCTGAAGGAACTGGAGAGGCAGCGGTGGCTGGTGGCGGGCAGATCAATTGTGGACACCCTTCCATTTTGCTGCCAGCTTCAGCCCATCTTGAGCCAGTGGAGTGGAGTCCCCAAGGCAGTTGGATCACGCCTTGCAATCCTCCTTCTGGCAACTCCATAGCCAACCCAGTGCCAAACATATTGCTTTGCTTTCCTTTGGACCACATCAATGGGACTGGGGGGTGGGGCTTGTCAACCTCCATATACAATGCCTAGGCTTGCCGTCCTGCAAATGCGGCAAAAACAATGTGGGAGGCAGCAGTTAGGAGTTAGATGGGCGTAAGGAGAGATCATTGTGTCTCACTGGTCAGCTACTGCCCGCTTTAAGCCAGGCAAACCCCGGTCAATAAACTGCTGACCCGCCAATGTCCGCCTGCTTCAATGGGGTTTGGACAAGCACTCAGCAAGCAGGCCGAACTTCTGCTCCAAGTCGATAGGTCTCTACAGCCACAGCTGTAGTTTGACTTCAGCCAACAGGTTGACCCCCAAAAGTGCACTCCTTCATTGTCTCCCGAGACGGACGGATGCTAACCAAACCAATGTAGTAGACAGGGGGTTGAAAGTAGGACACCTGAGACCTGGATTCAAATCCTCCCCAGCCATGTAGCTCACTGAATGACATTGGGCAAGTCATCTCTCTTGTCAATGTGACCTACATCACATCTCTCTCATATGCACACATTTATAGTTGCAAGGGCTCTTAAACTGATAAAAGTGCCAGGAGTGTCAGCACAGAATGGCTGCCATTCCTCTGTACCAGTGAGAACATACGAGTATGTGTGTCTTTCTATATAGATCTATTCCACACACACACACAGCTTGAGCCTATTCTAGGCGAATGGGAATAATAATAATTATAATAATAATTTATTATTTATACCCCGCCCATCTGGCTGGGTTTCCCCAGCCACTCTGGGCGGCTTCCAACAAAATATTAAAATACAATAGTGTGTCAAACATTAAGAGCTTCCTTAAACAGGGCTGCCTTCAGATGTCTTCTAAAAGTATGAAATGCTGCTGCTGTTTTTTAATCAGTGGATAATGGGAAGGATACCCTCTTTCCTGTTTTGACCTGTTCCTCCCTATCGCCATCCAGCCTGCCTTCTGCTGACCTTTTCCCATCACTTGCAGGAACTGGCAGCGTCAGAGCGAGCCAAGAGGCAGGCACAACAGGAGCGGGACGACCTGGCGGATGAGCTGGCCAATGGGAACAGTGGCAAGTGAGTGGGGAAGCCCATTTCCCATGCTCCTTTGATTCCATTGAGCATGCACAACGGATGACGTTGTTTTGTGTGAATGGAGTTTTTTTGCCCAAGGGACTGCTTAGTTAAGGCACTTAATCTGCTCAGCAAGCAGCCAGTGTGAACACAAAATGGTTAGCTTTCGAACGTTGCTCTAGGGGTAATTAATCTGGATCAGGGTTGCCTCTTCTAGGCTTGCCTTTTAATCTGGAATTGGCATGGTTTGTTCATTCGCTTTGTACAGAGAATCCAGATGACATGTTTTTTTTTTGGGGGGGTGGTCTGTGTTGTACTTATGTCCTTTATTTTCAGACGTGACCTGTTGTGGGTTTTTTAAACGTTAAAATGCAGTGGTAGCGGCACGTCCAGTGTAGATAAGCAAAATATTACTGAGGTTTTCCAGGGCTAGTGTGCCAAAGCTGCCGTTCAAGAAGGGACCTCAATAAGCAGGTTCCCCTTTTTTCCGTTTTTAAGTAAAACAGCACTGTTTTTTATAAAATGGAGGCGGAGAGCAAGGAGCGGACATTAGTTATTGAAGACTTCCCCCCTGCCCAGAGGAAGGAACTGACTAAGAATCAATTAAGGGGTTGTTCATCAGGTAACGCTGCTGCCGCCATGTTGAACAGGAAGTGATTAGAGGCTGAAGCCCATTTTAATTTTGCTTCCACCCGATTGCAGAAAAGCAGTATCTCAGTGGCGCTAAAGGCTCTAGCCTAAATGGTGGGGTGTTCCTTGGGTGGGCTTCCTCCAGAGATTTTTCTCTGATCAACTGCTGTACCACGGCCCTCACCCCCAAAATTACGCCCCCTCAGGTCTGCTCTCATGGATGAAAAGCGCCACCTCGAGGCCAGGATCGGTCAGCTGGAGGAAGAGCTGGATGAGGAGCAGAGCAATATGGAGCTCATGAACGACCGATACCGCAAGCTCAGCATGCAGGTGAGCAGGTTCCCCCACCCTCTTCGGAGCAGGCCCTCTTATGGCATGCGCTCCCTGGCCCTGTGGCTCTGAAACTGCCTCCTGACACACACACACCCCATCTCCCGTGTCCTCTCTGCAGGTGGAAACGCTCACCACAGAGCTGGCAGCGGAGCGCAGCTTCTCGCAGAAGGCCGAGAACGCCCGGCAGCAGCTGGAGCGCCAGAACAAAGACCTGAGGGCCAAGCTGGGAGAGATGGACTCCTCTGTCAAGTCAAAGTACAAGATGGCCATCGCAACCCTGGAGTCCAAGGTGGCCCAGTTGGAGGAGCAGTTGGAGCAGGAGTCCAGGTAGAGCCCTGGGATCCAAGGTGGCAAATCCACCCCCACAAACACCCCCACACCCAGTGCTTTGAGCTGGCGTGGGACTGAGTGGTTAGAGCGCTGGACATAGTGCAAAATGAGACAAGGAGCCTGTACGCTCCCCGCCCCTTATGACAAACAGCTTTAGATTGGACGTATTTATTGTTTATTTATTTTTTACATTTATATACCACCTTTATATTCACTCCAGGGACGCGGGTGGCGCTATGGGTTAAACCACAGAGCCTAGGGCTTGCTGATCAGAAGGTCAGCGGTTCGAATCCTTGTGACAGGGTGAGCTCCCGTTGCTCGGTCCCTGCTCCTGGCCAACCTAGCAGCTCAAAAGCACGTCAAAGTGCAAGTAGATAAATAGGTACCGCTCCGGCAGGAAGGTAAACGGCGTTTCCGTGCGCTGCTCTGGTTTGCCAGAAGCGGCTTAGTCATGCTGGCCACATGACCCGGAAGCTGTACACTGGCTCCCTCGGCCAATAAAGCGAGATGAGCGCCGCAACCCCAGAGTCGGTCACGACTGGACCTAATGGTCAGGGGTCCCTTTACCTTTTTATATACTCTCCAGGTGGTTACATGGTTCTCCCCTCCTCATTTCATCCCCACAACCACCCTGTGGGGTGGGTTAGCTTAAGGGTTAGCGGGCTTCATGGCAGATTCAAACCCTGGTCTCCCAGGTCCTAGTCCAGTACTCTTTTAACTGTTACACCAGACACTAAATAGATTTAGGCTGGTTAATTAGCACGAAAGGGGGTTGTCAGGGAACTGCCATCAGTGCCGGAGGGAGAGAGCAAAATCCAGAGGGATTCCAGAGAGCATCCAGGGATTGGGAGAAGCAGCCCATCTTCTGGGGAAGAGAATCAGCGTAGCACCAGTGGAGAAGGGGGGCAGATGGGCGAAGCGGCGAGGCGGTCCCATGACTCCTTGCCTGGGACCAGCGGGGAGAGTAGGGGTCCTCCGTTGCCCACGCCCTCCTTGCGCAGAAGGCTTTCGCGCAGAGAGAGTAGGAGGAGACTAGGCGTCAAAGAGCTTCTTTGCTGGAAGAAGTTTAAGAAACGCCCACTGACGGATTCTGCCAGCGATTGAGACAGCCACGGATGAGTGGCTGTCCGGACAGAAAAGGTTCACTCAGGCAACCCAGCCAGGTGTTTGCACTGGCTTACGCACGAGCAACCCCTAGAACCATTACAGGGGTGTTTTAAACTCCCCCTTTGTTCAGCACCACTCTCCTGCGGTCCCATTGAATGACAAACAAGACACAAAAAATGAGTGGGAGATCTCCTGGTGTCTCTTCTAACATGGCCTGCATTGATGTGTCCCGGGTTCAAATCTCCGCCCGACTGCAAAGCTTGCCAGGTCAGCTAATGTGACTCGGCTTAATCTCCCTCAAGGGTTGCTGTAAGGATAAGGTTGGGGGAACACCACATATAACACCACCTTGACCTCTTTGGAAGAAGGATGGAATAAAAGTGTAGTGTTAATACACACACGAAATATATCGTGCATATATACTGCTCTCACATGGGCTCCCAGTATTCTCCCACCTAGTTTACTGAATAAAATTTCACCTTGCTTATTTCTAGGGGTGGGGCAACATCAGAGGTTCCCAGGCCATTAATTAGGGCTCTCTTCCACATTTTCCGTTTTTTAAAAAAAATTAAATTCTCTGATTTGCACAAACTGCATATCTTTCTCTGTCTTGCTAGCTATGTTGCAGGGAGAGCTATGGGGAAAACTCTTATAGTGAAGACTAGGACCATGAGTGAATTTGCAGCGGGAATGGACAAATAAACATTAAGAATTAATTTCTTCAGAATAGAGGTGGCCACTTTAAGCATGCTTATCAAAAAGTATGAGCAGACGTTGGCATGTAGAACAGCCCTAAGGAAAATGTTGTCATGTCTAATTTCCCCAGGAATGGATACAGCTGGAAAAATATACCTAACCTATATAAAGGCACCCCAGCTTCCCCCTAAGCAATGGTGGGTCCAGGAACATCCCCAGACTAAATAATAACTCCCACCCACAGCCAACCTGATTTCTTCCTATATTTTCTGTTTTTTTAGGGAGAGGATTCTATCAGGGAAACTTGTGCGGAGGGCAGAGAAGAAACTCAAGGAGGTGATTCTGCAAGTGGATGAAGAGAGGAGGAACGCAGATCAGTACAAAGATCAGGTATGGCCAAGACGTCTGTGTTCCCCACCCACCCCTCATTTTCAGCCCTGGGGCGTATTTTCAGTGCTTGGGACTCATCTATCAGAAATGTTGAAGAGATAGTCAACAAAACCTCTGAGCATGTGCAAAACACCTTCCCTCACCATTTATAAGTTTCCCAGGGCAAGGCTTTCAGCTTCAGGGCACGCTTTAACCCTGCCATCTTTTTCCTTTATGCTAGATTTTCAGGCTGCTCTGCACGGACCTATTTTACAGATGCATACTGTTTTATTTATCTTTTTAGCCTTTGTTTTTCTTACTTTTTTTTTAATCTCCCTTCCTTTGAAGGCAAAAAAAAATAGTTCCCTAAAAATAAACAAATATTTAGAAATTAAGCAGCCACACAGTATTTAAAACACTTCCCCCCACGTCCTGCATCTTGACCTCAGCGACTTCGTTTCCTTAAGTCATAAAAACGGGCAGGTGAAATGGTGGCTCAGTAGCCATATTGAACTTAACGCACGTCGAGCTGCCTGGAAGATTTGCATGCCTTGGGGATCCAGTTTTCTGCTCACCTTAGACCTCTTTCTCTCTCTCCCTCTCTGTTTTCTGGCAGGTCGAAAAGAGCCACCTGCGGCTAAAACAACTCAAGCGGCAGCTCGAAGAAGCGGAAGAGGAGGCCTCTCGGGCCAACGCCAGCCGCCGCCGCATGCAGCGCGAACTCGAGGACGTCACCGAGTCAGCAGAGTCCATGAATCGCGAGGTGACCAGCCTGCGGAATCGTCTCAGGTGAGCAGGGTTATTATGGATGAGCGGGGGCTTGGCCTGGGTGGGATCTGGGTGCAGGACGCTTCTTCAAGATTCAGACCCTCTGCCATATGCCTTGTGACTAGTTCCTAGCCCTAGTAACAGAGGAAGCCTTAGACCGATGGCCCATCTTGCTCATCATTGCCTTCACTGTTGGCTGTGCCTCTCCAGGTTTTCAGGCCATTAGGATGTCCGGGATTGAATTTGAGACCTTCTGCCTGCAAGGCAAATGCTCTGATCCCAATATAGGGCCCTTGACACAGCTAGTTGAGAGTAGATTGCCCTGCCTTGTATGTCCCCCATGTCTTCCTGTCCCCACAGGCCCTTAGATGCTCCCCTTTTTGTCTCTTTTTCTTTTGCTGTTCTCATAACTCCATAAGCCCTAGACCTGTATTAAACATGATGCTCAATATGCTACAGAATATAGCTTCAGGTAGGGCTGCCGCATTTCAGAAAGTGAAATTTGCCCCAAAAACTACACTACTGACACAGGCTACCATATGTCCGGATTTTCCCCAAACATTTCAGCAATTTCCGCCCGGATGCTGTTTGCGAGGGCTGAATACCGGCTATGCCTGGGAAATTCCAGACGTATGGCAGCCCTGGCTTCCAGTAAATGTTTATCACAGTCATGACCACAGAGAGACAAAATGGCTAGAGCAGCACTCACACAGCCTGGGAAAATGAGAAGCTGCTGTTGGCCAAGGTTGTCTCTGTGGGGTTGCCCAGTGCATCGTTCCACCCCTTGGCAGCTCAGCATAGGTTGCCTTGGAAATTAGAGGAGGAAACTGATGCAGAAAGTCTCCCCTACACGCCCACACAAAACGGATCCACACTGGATAACTAGAACCTTTAGAATACGCCTGCACTAGAAAAACATGCAGTTATTTTAAACGGTTCCGGCCCGACTTGCTCCACTCCGCAGGCAGGCTCTTCTGCTGCTCCCTGGCACAAGAGGTGGGGAACTGGAGCCAGACAGTGGCCTGGATCTTTGATTTCCTGTAGGCCAGATTTTATACTTGTTTTAAATAATGTTAAATCAATTAGGTGAAATCCTTTTTCTGCTTTGCAGAGACAGCCCAGGTTTTAGTACCACCTCTCTTCCACGGGGGCGGGCGGGGGGATGACGACGACTCAGAACCCTATTTCAAGGCAGCGGTAGATAGAGAACCTGGAAGCTACTGTTTTGAAGCCTTCGCTCCCCAATATCTCTGAGGATTTTCAGCCCCCTCGTAACAGTTCTGTTTCCAAGCACAAATCCCAATTAGCCCCCGGTTCTTCAGCCCGGGAACCTAGGGAACCCAACTCGCTTCCCCATCCTGTTTATACTTTTTTCTGACTTTCCCGTCTCTTTCCATGTGGAGTTCTTTCCAGATCATCCGTTCATGCTTGCACCTCTCTCTCTCTCTCTTTTTCTTTGTCTCTGTTTACATCCCATCTTTTTCTCGGCCCAACAGCAAGTTAGAACGCCGGCAGCGGAAGTACGTTCTCACTCCCCTGTTGTTCTGCATGTGTGTGCTGTGCAGTTTCGGAGTGTGTGTGTGTGTCCACGCACGTGCAGTTGCCGCACAGAAGCTCCTGGCTTCCCCCCTCCTGTTTAAGGGCTGGAACAGATTTGTCATGGGAGATCCGCATTCTGATTTCCTCCCTTCCGCTGTGCACACACCACGTGACTCTCCCCCTCCAAAGAATCCTGGGAACTGTAGGGTTTTTTTAAAAAGGACTGCTGGGAATTGTAGCTCGTCTGAGAGCAAACTAGAGTTCCCAGGATTCGTTGTGGGGGAGCAATGTGCTTTAAATGTGCAGTGTGCACCCTACTCTTGACATTCTGACCACTACACTGTGATTTTTGTGTGTGATGTGGCCGTAACTGCCTTTTTGCCCATCCCTCCAGCAATACTTAATAGCATGTTGTGAGCGGGGGGGTGGGGGGTGGAGAGAGCTGAGCACCAGCTCTTTAATTGTTGGGAGATCTGACCCTGGATCTCACCCTGCCATGCCTGTTTCTGCCCTGATGGCTGCTATAGAGAGGAGAGCAGGAGTGCTTGCTGACATCCCTGGCAACTGTTGACTCTCAGTTAAGGGAGCGCTTTTAGCTGGAGTGGGTGTGGGCAGGGGAGTGCTTCTACTGTGAAGGCGCTTGCTATGGACGTGAGCTTCCAGCTGCCCCCGTCCCAGGAAGAGGGGACAGGAAAAAGCCCCCAGTAAAGCTGGTGCTTCTCTCTTCTCTGTAGACAAGGTGTGCTTGTTGTAACCTCAGTAGGCTCACTTTTTCTATCCAAAGAGATTCCAGCTACCCAGTGTGATGTAGGTGAGAGAGAGCAGACCCTGTGGGCGCTTTCTCCCCAAGCAGTAGCTGCTTCTCTCTTGGCAATTGTACCATCATCCACATTATTTCCAAACTGAAAGAGGCAAAACGAAAGTGGAGGGGGAGAATCCAGAATTAGACGGTCCATTTAGAAATGCCACAGATGGTTTGGAGAAGGCGGGAACTTAGGGTTGCCCTTGCAGTGATGTCCCGGGCGGCATTTAGCAGGTGAGGCTGATGCCAGTATATAATTCAGAAAGCCTCTTGGCAGAATGCAAAGCACAGTTGCGCTTGCCCAAAAGGGAAGTACCACAGTTTCTTAGCAAGGATGCTCTGGGGATGCGGGCAGTGGTGAAACGGATGCCCTGTCCCTTGCATCTCTGTGGTGCAAGCTCAGCATGGACCGTTCTGAGAGGCAGCTTTGGCACAGATTTCAGCGGGGCAATTGGGGCGGCATCGGGAGTGAGTGCACTAGGCAAGGAGCTTGCCACTTCTGCAGGCTCCAGCAAAATAAACAAGGGTCAGAAGAGGCTTCCGGTTGCTGGAAGGCCACTGTGCAGTGTGGCTGTAGAAATGTTTGCTGGAGGGAGATGCTTGAGTTGCGCCAGAACAGGAATAGGGGGCAGTGGCCCTCCTGATGTTGTTTGGGCTGCAGCTCCCATCATCCCTGACTATTGGCCATGCCAGCTGGGCCTGGTGGTGCTTGGCAGCCCAATAACACCTCCCAATGCCTGCGCTAGGGGCATTTGCCAATCCCAGCTTAGGGAGTCGAGTACCTGGGAGCATGGCTAGCTTTTGTGGGGTGGGAGTTGATACTCAAATGTCCGCTGCGGTGCCAATACAGATTCCGTTTTCCCTCTTCATTGCAGGCGCACCCCCCTGAGCTTCACCACCCGAACTGTGCGGCAGGTGTTCCGCCTCGACGGCGTCTCAGACGAGGAGACCGAAGACCCGGAGAGCGACTCTCCGTCTGCAAACCACCAGCCTCCTACGCCCCTGACGCCCTCTCAGGGGCAGCAGCCGGCCCCCCCTGCGGAGCCAGCCCAGACTGAATGAGGCAGGGATGTCAGACCCCAGGGGGTGGGGGGGTGGATCGCAAGACCAGGGGCGGGGATTTGGAACCCCAACCTTGCTACACTGTCTGACATGTATACAAAAAAAAAAGGAACCCCCTCCCAACACTTGCCCCCACCCTCCGGCTTCTCTTTCAAGGGTCTCCCAGCTCTCCTATCAGGCTGCACTTTAATATCAACCACCCCTGAGGGGTGGGAAATCTGGGAGGAGGGAGGTTTAGGGGTCAGGATTTTAACTATATCCCTTTAAAAAGAAAAAGGAAAATCCAACTCTCAAATAGCCATTGCTTCTCCGGCACCTTCTCTCCCTCCCCCATCCAAAACCCATCTTTCTCTTCTCTCCTCCCAGCTCCAGTACAGATATATATATAAAGAACTCCTTGCCCACTACTAAGGAAAAATATACATATCAAAGTTTGGGCATCAAAGTGGCAAATGTACACAGACTGGGGTGGGAAAGGGATGGCTCTATGCAGCCCTGCTTCTCGGGGTTCATGCAGCGATCGATCCCCTTGCCTGGCACCCACATGCACCCAAGCCCCGGCTGGAGACAGATGCTTTCTCGCAGGGAGACCCTTTGCTCTCAGCGCTGAGGGGCAGCTGTGTCGGGTGTGGGGGCCTTCTGCTCCCTTTGGTTCCAGCCACTCCATCTCATCTCCTTGCCTTCCCGTTCCCCTTCTTCCCAGGGGGGTGATGGGGGAGCTGGAGGAGTGAGTCCTTGGGATGCCTTCACGTGAAGGATACATGTGGAGATTTTTTTATCATCTCTGGAAGGCGGCTTCCCTCCAGCACACCTTAGCCTGCTGGAGTTACTCTCTGGACCTCCCACCTGCCTTTCTCACCTGCCCAGACTGTGGGCAGAGGAAGATGCGGAATGAACTGGAAACCATTCATCTCAGCCTGCCTTCTCTCGTTTTTTTGGACTGGGATTTGGATCTCGCCCTTTCTGCATATCGTTGTCAGCAGCCAAGAGCACTTTGATCTCCTCCTCTTCTCTTGCCACCATCCCTAAACCTGCTGTGGTGGTGGGTTGCGTGAGGAAGCCAGGATTTGCAAACCCTGTAGATTCAATAGCAATGACAGGCCACAAGCTGGCCAGTTTCATCTTGTCTGATTGCACATGTGTGTGGAATTCTGCTATGTACCGTGCACAGAATTTGAGTTCTAGGGACTCTCTGCATTCCCTTTTTTTTTTTTTTTTGTCTTCCTCCAATCCAATAGAGGGGAAAAGAACAAGCCAAGTTGCTGGTCCTTGTGAGCTGTGGATATACATTCAAAAACTTCCAGATGAACGTCTGCAGAAACCTCTGGTGTTCAGAGGCGGCTGCATCTGTGCCCTCTTAGCTACTTGCCTGCTTTTGCTTTTGCACCTGATCGTTCTTCCTATTCCTGTATGGCTCCTTACCAGAATTCAAGTTCTGCTAAAAAAAAAAAAAGACCCCAGAAGCTTGAGGCAGGCAGTTGAGTTAACAATGCAAAATATGCCTACATCTACATGCAGAAATCATATTGATTTACTGAAGGGATTTGATCTCTGGTGCAGAAGCTGTGGGTTAGCACAAAGAACGAAGAAAGTGTTAACAATAATAAGCTGCTGCTTCCAAACTGTCCTCGTTCCTCTTTTGCTGAAACACCAGGATATGCTTTTGGTATTTGGAGGGAGACGGGTCATCTTCCCCAAAACCTACTGGGTGCGTCTGTGAGGCTGGGTTCACAAGCAGCTTCATTGCTTGCAATGAATTCTGATCCTTGCTCACCTTCACCTGTTTTAGGAGCAACAACTTTGCTTTTCTCTCTCAAAGTCTTGGCACTGCTTATCACCACTGTGCAGGGCCAGTTCATACACAGCCATGCCTGAAAACTGCACGAGGGTTGGTTGCCACGGTTGCAAATCTGGGAGTTTCAACTGCTTCCACATATGAACATACAGATAGCGTGTGAAGCAGTCCTTATCTCAAGGTGCAACAGGCAAGCTAAGAGTCCCTAATTATCCAGGGGCTCTTTTCTTTTTTTGCTCACTTTGGTTTCTGATTTTAATTCCTTAACAAGGGTGCACAAAGGAGCTCCTCCCCTTATTCAGTTGGGCAAGGCTCTGACAATGAGCTGTCTTTTGTTGAGAATGTGCAACCCAGTTCTATGCATGTCTACTCAGAAGCAAGGCCCACTGTGTTCAAGGGGGCTTACTCCCAGGCAAGTGCCCGTAGGGTTTCAAGCTTAGTAATATAAAGCACTTTTAAGTATATGCAAAGAGTTTTACATTTGGGCGCTATAACCTTCCAGCAGATTGTCTTCACCCCCAAAGGTGTTCTCCTCCATTGTCTCCTGAGGCAGACGGATGCCAACAATTTACATCCATTACTTTGGAATAGATCCATTGTGCACCTTATATAAGCTAACAGCAGATGGGCAGAGTGAGACCAAAAAATAATAATCCAGCTTCTTCCTGCACCTAAGACGTGTGGAGAACCTTTAGTACCCTCCAGATGTTGATATACTACGTTTCCCATCATTCCTGGAAGTTGTACTTAAGCAGCATCTGGAGGGGAGGGCAAAGGTTCCCCATGCCTGCCTTGTTAAGGAGTTCAAAATGAAGGGTTTGCAAATCCTAGCTTGGACTCAAAATATAAACATCCACTTGTGCCTGGTCCTAAGGCTCCAGGAACTGGCACTGGGGGTGGGGTGGGGTCTGTCTTTCTAAATATATATATATTTGAATAATTATTATTTTTTTGCATGGTGGTTTCTTGTCTTAATTTGTTCTAATTCTGTATTATTATTATTATTTGTTTCTAACAAAAGCATTTTATTCCAGGCAACTTGATTTTGTTTTTTTCTCAAACCCAGGGGGTTTGCATTATTATTATTTTTAATCTTTTTGTCCCCCCTTCTCCCCACCCTACCATTGCTGACTTGGATCTGTTTGGAGTTTCTTATCCTGATGTAAAGGGCCATAGCAATTATCCTGCTCCTTTTTTTGTTAAAAAAAAAAGAAAGAGAAAAAAAAGAATACTTTTTAAGAAAAAGTATGTCTTCTATTAAAAGCTCATCTCGAATTACCAGTCTTCTGCGTGAAATATTATTTGTTTTTGTTAATGAATTGTTGGTTTGGGGGGGGGGCGCGTTGATGCCATGCTGCTACATGTTGTCAAAGATTTTACCTGCAAGGCTGGAATTCTGGAGCTGTGTATTTCTGGGGGTAACTTTCAACTGTGCAAATACAGTCAGCTGCCCATTCCTGCAGAGTCTGGGTTGCCAGACAGCCAAGCCTGGCGGCAGGGGTGGGGAAGTGGTAATTGTGGTGTGTTTTTGTACAGCAGGTCAGATTATCTAGTCTTTTGGCATCTCTCCAGGGAACTTGGGCTGGGAGAGTATTTCACATCACTAGATCCTTTTAACTATGTGTGTCAAAAACTGAGCCTCAGAGACCATGGGCCAAGGGGTCATCCAGTCCAACCCCCTTTTGTGCTGCTCTCTGCCCCCCTGGCCATTTCAAAAACATGCCAGGCTACAACAGTGGGCCTGCTCTGGACTCGACCCCTGCAGGCTCCATCTCCATCCTTCCCAGCGACCAATTATTTCACAAACGAGCCCACTCCCTACCATTGCAGGGTATATCCTCAACCAGCAGCTATTTGCTGTTTGTATTAATTTTGGGAGATCTAATGGTTGCTCCCTGCTCCCTTACAGCTAGGGTTGATTTTGGCTCTCTTTTTAAATGGAGAATTCGTGAAACTGAGTGACAAGCCAGAAAATAAATGCCCTGCTCTCTCTGACCAAACATCATAGGAACCTGACTCAGGATAAGTCAGACCCATCTAGCTCATTATTGTTTACAGTGGTGTCCCGTGTCAGTCGTAATCCCGCAGTAACCCAGATGAAAGACCTGTGCATGGGCGTAGCTCTTAAGAGGGTGCCGCTAGATCAAGTAAAACAATAGAAATACTTCACTAACTGACCAATCACGTCGGTTCTGCCCTCCCCAACAAAAGCCTTGCCCCCCCAACCAAGTCTTCCCCCTCCCCCAAAAAAATCCTGGTTACGCTCATGGATCTCTGGCCCGCCAAATGTTGGACCATAACTCACGATCCGTAACCATTTGGCTGTGCTGCCTGGTGCTGATGGGAGTCCCGCAACATCAGGGAGAATGCAGAATAACTGCAGTCGATCCCAGGAAGGGGGCGGGTTACTGAGGTACCGGCGCACGAGCCCCAGCACCTTTTAAAAAGCAAAACACACTCTCGCCAGTTCCCAAAGGAGGAGACACACGTGCTCTTAATACAGCTCTAAATACAGGACTTTGGAACGCCGAGTTGCATTTTGGCCGCGCGTGGAACGTGAGAGGAAGCGACGCCATTGGCTGGAAGGGAAAGAAAGGCTTCGGGGACGCCGAAACTTCCCTTCAGCCCGCGCCAGGCCATTGGCTCGCAGCTGTTCTATAGGCGGGGCTCCGAGGGTTACAGGTCCCGCTTCTGATTGGCTGGCACCTCGAAGTGTCGCAATTGGAGATCAGAGGAGGTGAGTCCGGGGGGGAAAGCGTTTTGTTGGTGCCTGGGAAAGGGGAGCTAATGGATTCGGGACTCCGGACGGGCCTGACCCGTGTTCGCAGCCGCCATGTTTCTGCGTGGTAAACGTTCGTGTGAATCGGTGGCTGGAGACTGAGGAGGGTCTGTATCTCTCACCCCTTGCACGGGATTGTGTGAACGGCCTGAGCTGCCATATCGCTTTCCAACCCTTACAGCTGAAATTCCAGGTACATTTATCTGGGAGTAAGTCCCACTGAAGTCAGCAAGGTTTACTAAGGAGTAAACTTGTGTAAGGGCAGATTTGGATGCCTTGCTCTCCAAACCTCACTTTTTGACTCCCCCCGACCCACTTTCTGTGGTGAAAGAAGGATGCGTGTTTAAAAACAGATTAGGAATAGCTACTCCTCCACTCAAGAACACTTGTTGCTATTATACAGTGTGTAACGAGATGCTAATTTTGTTTTATTTAGAACATTTCTATATTGCCCTCCAGTTAAAAAAAAAGGCCCCAGTTTACAACATATCAACAAACAATAAAACAACAGCAATCCAAACCACAATGAAAGTTGAAGGCTGAACAACCTCAGCTAAGTGATGGGAGAAAAGCATAACAGCCTTGGATTAATGCCTAAAAGATTAATACTGGCAGCAGGTGAGCCTCCCTGGAAGTAATGCAAATGCAAAAGTCTTACCCCAAGACGTCAAGCATGCTTCCTCAAGATGGCAGGGGTTCCTGGAAGTAAAATGGCAAAAAAGGGGGTCTTATTTTATTGGGAAGCTGATACAAGAGGAAAACTTGGCGGGCAGCCATAGCTTACTGGTAGAACAGATGAAGGTGTGCTGAAAATAAGTTCCAGGGAGTATCTGATCACAGATGAGCCCACCCACAGGTAAGATGCATCCTCCAGGACCTCGGGAAATTCCTATTGCCTGGTGTCAAAACAATTCATCAGTCACAGCTCTGACTTGTTTTGTTGGCTAAATACCCAGAAATGAAGGAGCAACCAGGCTGGCTTACCTTATAGAAATCACTTTGATGAGAACCTGCATCTTTTGCTTCGAAACCTATTGTTATGAAGCCTAGAGACTTCCCTAAAAGAGGTCACCACCACCTGGAGTTAGGGAAGCAGGTTCTTTTATGTTTTTCCTCTGCTTGTATCTTTTTATCTTAAGAGAAGTCAAAGGAAGTGATTCATTTTTAGGGGGGGGGGAATAAATAAAAATAAATAAATAATTATCCCATAGGGTAATTTTTTCTACTAGAGATGATTTAAAAAGAGAAAAGGGGAAAAAGCTGAGTTACTACACCTAACCCCCCCAAAGTTATGCTATAAATTACTTTTTGCACTAGCCTAAGAGGATCATGTTTATTTGAAATGGTTTATTTTTATTTTTTTTTATTATTATTAGAATTTATATACAACCCTATACCCCAGGGTCTCAGGGCGGTTCACAGAATAAAATCAGGATATCAAATCACAAAATACATAATAAAAATAAAAACAACAACCCAATAGCATTTATTTCTTTAAATGCTGTTTTTCTGAAGTTTGAAGGAGCTTATGAAATAAAAGCAATACATTACATTCCCCAGCCCCCCAAAAATCCCAAAACCAATACCTTAAAACAGCCAGCCCAATTTATACAATGCTAGATAACTAGCAAATTGGCTGTTACTCTGTATTCTCAGTTTCCCATAAGCAAATGTTATTTGCATGATGAGGTCTCTTGGAGCCCTCTGTGCAACCTTTTGAGTTTTTGTTACTGGTTCAAGGAGCAAGTCAGGGGCTGAAGAGAGTTCACAGTGGGCAACCGCTAGCCAAGATCAGGGGCCCTGGAATCATATAAAACAGCAAGGGGAAGCCTGTAGCTTTGCAGGTGTTTCCTGGACTACAACTCCCATCACTCTTGGCTGTTTGCCATGCTGGCTGGGGCTGATGGGACCTGAAGTCCGGCAATTTCTGGAGCTGTGTCCCAGGCTCCGCATTTGTGGTGTAGAACAAGCATGAGGTGGTGGTTGCTGAGGAGCGTTCACATTGATGAACATGCATTGGCCTACTTAGGTGACAGGTGGCAGTTAGCTAGGGTTTGAGGCAGAAATAATAGGATCAAGGATTGTTACCCAAGGTTTATCTTCCGTCTATGGGAACCCCAAGGGCTGCTCCTGTGCTCAGTGTCTTCTTCACAACCTAAGGCAAGGTTTGATGTTGCAAAGGATTCTGGGACACAGTCTCTGTTTTGTGCAGGGAGTGAGCCATTCCGCAAGCAGCAAATATGCTGGAGCAGAGCTTTGGTTTCCTCCTTTTGATGTCTGGTCCTTGGCAGCTTCCTGTCTGTGTGAGCAAGAGGCGAAGCTTATACAATATGGGTTATCCTTTCTTGGCCAGCAGAGGGCACCCACCTCCCTCCTTCTGCGTATGGGGGGGGCGGAAATCATAAATTGCAGTACTTGGACATAGCTAATTTATGAGATGATTTGGCTGGCCTTCAGTGACCCACTTTCTCTCAGGCTTTAAGCTACGTCACCAGGTTGTTGTGAAGATGCCATGAAAGGTGGATAAACAGAGACCTTAACTGAGCATTTAAAAAATACCGTATGCGATAATTTTGAAGAATAGGGACGTTTTTCAAAACTGCCATATGAGCACATTTTTTCTCTCAGATTCGTCATTCCTCCTTTCTTCCTCTCTCTCTCTCTCTCTGAAGCAGGAACATCTGCTAACGTTCCCTCTTCCACACAAGTGCTAAAAAACGGGGCAGGGTAGAGCCTTTGCATCCAATTACCCTACTTGGAAGGGTAGGAATTTTGTCTTTGCATTCAGCCAGCTGCCACAGTGGGAAACCCACCAGAAAGACCCGGGCACAGCAATTCTCCCTGCTTTCGATTCCCAGCAATGGGTGTTCAGATGACAGTGGAGGTAGAATATAATTATTGATTTGATGTGTGTGTGTGTGTGTGTGTGTGTGTGTGTGTAGATTAGGGATGGAAGGATCTGCCCAATGCTTTGTGTACTTCCAGTACTGAAATGGGATTGTTTTGTGACAAGGAAAGCAATGGAGAAATGCACTGGAAAATGTAGGATAACACACCTTCCAACATTTCTCCACTGAAAATAGGGACATCTTACTCCATCATCATCATCATCGCCATCATCATCATGTTATTATACACTGCCCATCTGACTAGGTTGCCCCAGCCACTCTGGGCAGCTTCCAACATATATAAAAACATAATCAAACATTAAGCATTAAAAAACTTCCCTACACAGGGCTGCCTTCAGACATCTTCTAAAGGTTGTATCTCTTGGGGGGGGGTCACATAACTCCCTACCCTCTGACATTTCTCCGATGAAAATAAGGACTTCCTAAGGGAAAGCGGGACATTCCGGGATCAAATCAGAAACTGGGACAGTTTCTGTAAATCTGGGACTCTCCCTGGAAAATAGGGACTATTGGAGGGTCTGGGTGGGATAACAGTTGCTTGATGTAGCATTGCGTAACCTCACTGCAAGCACATTGGACAAAATGCTGAATAAATAGCCAATACCATCTAACCTCCTTGCAAAGAAACCTGGATGAATACTCCATAAACAAATTGTCTGGAAGCAGCTTCCATCTGCTCTATTTTGTACATGTTGGCCCTTCAGATATTTGGAGACGGCTGTTGTGTTTTCCCCTTTTCTGCTCCAGTCTAATATTAGCCATTTTTCATTCTACTCTGCAGGATCTCTCAAAATTCAGTATATTAGTTTGCTTGGGATTAAAGCAACAAACATTTCCCAGTGGCATGCAAATTCAAAACACATTTTCTGACCTTATTAGACCCATAGCCTGCTTTCGAAAAGGAAAAGGGGGTGGGAAGACCATCTCTAAAGGGTACCAGAGTAAAATGTAAAATCCTAAAACACGAGCAAATATTTATATCAAAACATCCAGAAGTAACTTCCAGGCTCTTCCCCTTTACTGTCTCTCAGCTCGAAAATGTCCGTGATACGACTTGGAAAAGTGGTCCCCAAAACCAGCATCCTCTTCCTGTGTGACATGCAAGAGAAATTTCGCCCGAATATCAGCTACTTCCCTCAGATTGTATCTGTGGCAGCTCGGATGCTAAAGGTAAAAGTTGTGTAGTGGAGAGGCTTGCTGGGCTATGAGAAACAGGTGAGGGACGTGGATAGGGAGGGGAGGAGGGAAGGGAAGGCAAGGGAGGTTAATTCTATTAATTAGCAGGGTTGGCTAACATCGATTAAAAGGAAGAATGTTTTTGGCCTCTTAAGACTAGTTCTGAAATGGCTCTCCGTGCTGGAAGGCGGAGTGTTCTTCTTGTAATTGGCACTCTCCAATAGGTGCCTACAGGAACTGCACCACAGTCAAAGAACTGTAGAGTTTGAAGGGACTCTGAGAGTCATCTAGTTCAACCCTCCTGAAATGTAGGAATATACAGATGGCCCATACAGGGATCGGACTTGCAACCTTGGTGTTAGCAGCAGCATGCTAAGATTCCTGCATTGCAAGGGGTTCGATTAGATGACCCTTGGGATCCCTTACAACTCTACGATTCTATGATACTATGCTCTAAACAACTGAGCTAACCTATTATGTATTGGTTGCAGCAGTGTTGATAACTTGGTTAGGAGCTGGTTTGGGTGCTTAGCGAGTACCTTTAACATTTGCCACAGTTTGATTAGAGACCACGGTGAGGGAGAAGAAAAATAAATGTTTGCACCATTGCCACTGACATATTTAATATATATGGCCTCCAAAGCTGCAGCCTTTGCCACCCATAAAAGCACTATTAAGCTACCCAGTTGAAGTTACACAGATGGACACATGGGGGCAGCCTAATATCGACTAACACTGTCTCATGAGAAGGCTCACTTCCTTCCCAGAGAACCCAGGAGTCCTGCTTTAACCCTCCAATGGCCTCTCCCCTCTCCCTGCAGGTTGCCAAGGCTCTCGAAATCCGGACGGTGGTGACCGAACAATACCCCAAAGGCCTGGGCCCTACGGTGCCAGAGCTGGGTGCTGAAGGCTTGCCGAAATATGCCAAGACCTGCTTCAGCATGGTTACCCCAGAGGTGGAGAAGGAGATGGCCGCTGTTCCCGACCTGAAATCTGTGCTTTTGTGTGGGATCGAGACACAGGCCTGCATCATGGTATGAGGCTGAAGGTCTTCTTCCTCGCAGGGATACAGATGTTACTGATTGACAGGGCACAAGATCTGACCTCGGGATAGATGGGCCTGTGTGTTTGAGCGGTGCCAGGACCCCAATAGTGAAGAGAGGCCTGGCAGACCATTTATCAGCAGGTTTGATTCTGTTTGTTTAGGGATCGATGGAGACCAGGGTTCTCTTCTCCTCGTACAGATGGTGCCACCGTTTCCCTCCTCCCTTTCAGTTTTCAAATCCTTAGGAGTCCAGGAAAAAAGCGCTTGGTATCCCCCCCCCCCTCCAGTTGAAAGGGAAGGAAGGAATTAAGGCAGTTGCATTTCCCTTGCTCCTAACTGGAGGGGAAACATCCTTCTCGGCTAGGATGCCAAGCCGTGTAGAAGCCAGGGGTGTCCACAGAGACACAATCCAGGGACAACAGGGACAACTGTGGTGCTGGGACACAGCTCCCTTCATCCCTGACCATTGGCCATGCTGACTGGGGCTGGTGTGAGTTGGAGCCTTAAAAAAAACATCAGGAGGGCACTGCATTGACTATCCCTGGTCTAAGGAGGAGCCTCAGAGCTGGGTGACACATGAATAAAGTCGCCACCAATAATGGATGAGTGATCTCTGATAAGGGACACAAATCTAGAATCTTTTAAGGAAGGCTGGAAACTTTTTCTAGACTATTTTTTAAAAAATATTATTTTTCATAAACTTTTCTGAAGTTTAAAGAAAAAAATAGCAGAATATATTAAGAAACCTGTTAAAGGGGATGAAAGCGGATATGGTGGAATTTTAAGATGCGATTGTATGCAATCGTGATCATAAGCATTGAGGGTGGGGGTGAGCAGGAAGTTGTTAGTATGAGAGAATAAGGATTTTAACTGTTGAGTGATGAAACGTGACTTTGAACCTTGAAATAAAAGAAATCTGAAAAAGAAAATTGGATGGGTGGAAATGAGGCGTGTGGTTGACCCGCGTTTGATGTGTCTTTTCTCTTTGGGTACAGAGCACAGCATTGGACATCATGGAACGAGGCCTGGATGTTCACGTAGTGGTGGATGCCTGCTCTTCCCGCAGGTGACTGGTGGGATGGTCCCAGTGGGCGGCAGGAAAGGGCTCTTTTCCTCCCCCCTTGTATACTAATTTCTGTGGTCTTCTTTTCCCCCTCTGGATTCCAGTCAGCTGGACAGGATTGTGGCTTTGTCCAGGTTACGCCAGAGCGGTGCCTTCCTCACCACCAGCGAAGGGCTCATTCTGCAACTGGTCAGAGATGCCGCACACCCCTGTTTCCAAGAGGTAATTTCCCAGCCTCCTTTGCACCCCTCAGCCTGCCACCCTCCTCTACTATATGGGCTTGTTTGAATTACTATACTTATGCTCAGTAAGCTGGAATAGGAACAAGACTCGTATGTTTGCAGACATACTTCTTCGTGCCTCCCTTTGTCGTGGGAGCGAACAAATCAGGAACTTTTCCAGTTAGCTATAGTTTCCTGTGACATCTGAATCAGGAAACTCTGGTTTAACAGTTTCTGAGCCAGCCCAGGATGCTAAGTGAGCCTCAAGGCATGGTTTAATATCCTGGTTTGTGCCAAAGGTATTTACCATAGTTTCCCCCACTTTGGACAAAATGGGAAGTTGTAGTTAATGAAAGACTTCCTGGTTTGTCAGCTCACCCAACAGGAGAATTGAAGGGTCTGCGTGTGCAGGCAAAAGACTCGTTCATATCTCTGCTTACAAAGCCTTTCAGCCCTTGCCAGCTGAGTTTGCAATTAGAGAGCGTGTTTATCTCCACCAAAGAGGTCTCCCACAAACTCCCAATGATGTATAAATGACTCCCAATGGTTACCTGTGCAGTTTGGAAGAAGTCTAGAATTCCTTCCCTTTGGAGGAGATGGGTTGAAAACACAGGAATAGCAATTCTGTCTCCCCTAATCCAAAGAGGACAATCGCTTTGAATAATCCCTCACATCTCCTGCCAAACTCTGATTGGTTAACTTACTGAGAAACTGCAGAGTGTTTGGAAAAAACATAGGGCCCCTGACAAGATATGGGGCTCTTGCCTACATCTGCTCCTTATCCCTTTCCTAAATAAGTGAATCCCAAGAGCGAGAGCAGAACTAGGAACAATTCCTGCTCCAGAATTAGCAGAAAGTTTGATTTGATACATTTAAGGCTTAGTCGAGACCAGGGTTCTCTTTCCCCAGCGCAGGTGGCGAAATCAGCACAGCAAAGCTAGGAATATTATTGCCAGTTACTGCTGTTGCAAGTGATTTCTGTGCTTTTTGCATAGAAATGTCACTGATGCTATCTTCTGCAGCTGTAGCCTTTTGGCCCATTTGCTCACCGTTCCTCCCTGCCCCCCCCCACCTCAATATTCAGACTTGCGTGAGAAATATAAATGAAACAGCAATCAAAAGAAGATAACACTTCATGCATCTGATGATGGCTTGGCCCCAGACCATGAAAGCTTATGTCACAATAAATCACAAGGCTTCTTTTCGAAAGAACAAGCGTTGCTTCCTTAGGGGAGGCAGAGTTCACAGTCCCAGAGAGGTGGCCTATGGATGACCCAAGATATTCTGCAAGGCTTTTCTCATGCATATAGGAAGGAGTTATTTCAGGATAGTAACAATAAATAATGTTTATTATTTATTCCTTTTGACAACCAAGGTACGACTTTAATAAGTAATTTTAATAGTAATGAATTGCCGTAATCATTGTTTCCAAGGGGAAAGGGGACGGTTCCCTGACTTAGGAGCTTACCATTACAATTTCAACCATGCAGGGAGGAAATAATGGATAGACAAAGTAAGCAGGCAGGGAGGCAGGCAGAGAGGAGCCTGTCGTCTTCCAGATATTGCCAGGACACAGCGTCCCATCATCTCCAGCCAACATGAACATTTAGTTTATTGCATTTATATCCTACTTTTTATCCAAGGGGGTGCACATGATTCTCCCCCCCCCCATCTCATTTAATCCCCACCAAGAAACCTGCGAGGAGCGTGAGAAGCTGCCTTATACCGAGTCAAACCATTGGTCCATCTAACTCCATATCGTCCACACTGGCTGGCAGCAGCGCTCCGGGGTTTCAGGCAGGGGTTACTGCCAGCCCTACCTGGAGATGCCTGTTGGGATTGAGCCTGAGATCTTCTGCTTGCGAGGCAGAGATTGCCCAAGGTCACCCAGTGAGCTACATGGCAGAGGGAGGATTTGAACCCTGGTCTTCCAGGTCATCATCAGACATTCTAACCTCTACACCAGCCCAGCTCCCATCGGTCAAGGATGATAGGAGCTGGAACCCAACAAGTTTTGGAGGACCACGGGTTCCGCCTTAGTGGGCCACCCCAGTGCTTGTGCCAACAAGATGTGAAACAAACTCAGGCAAGCCCTGATTTTGTGAGTAAGACCCAATCCTGGGGCAGCAGCTTGCCAGGCCATGAGGACATGGAGAAGATAGGCAGCCAAGGCCTGCCTTATTTAGGAAGGGTGAGCATGTATTGCTTCTGCTGTATTTCCTTGTTTTCTTTCTTCTTAGCGCCTTCTCTAATCTGGAGCTTGCCGGATATTGTTGGACTACAACTCCCATCATCCTTGACCAGTGTCCATGCCAACTGGGGTTTATAGGAGTTGGAGTCACAGCTTCTGAAAGGCAACCAGATTTGTGGGGCCGGGGGGTGGGGTAACTGCCTCGGAAGAAGGTTTTGAAAGAAAGCATAGTTGGTAGCCCCGGAAGATTTCACGTCTGCATCTCCTTCTCTCTCTTTTCAGATCCAGAAGTTGATTAAGGACCCTGCCCCAGACAGCGGCCTTCTCCCCCTCCTGAAAGAACCAGGCCCCCTTTTCAGCTAAGCCAGCTGCTCCATTGATCCTCCTCCTTGCCGTAAAGCATCTCCAACTGCTTAGGTCTGCCATTGCCACACACTGGGTAGGAGAAGTGGAATCAAGATGTGCAAATATAATTTTTATACAGGAAATTAGGGGGTTGTAGCCTATCCTGGAAAACTGATACCCTAATGCCCAATTTACAGCTTTCTCGTGATTATTCAGTGGGATGGAAGTGTTTCCATTTTTGTGCACAAGTTTGGGGGCATGGGCCCAGGTTCAAATTTAGGACCCATCTGCACTACACATTTAAAGCAGTATCATACCACTTTAGACAACCACGGCTTCCCCGAAGGAATCCTGTGCTGAGCATTGTTAGGAGACGCCCCCATGTCCCCTCACAGAGCTACAATTCTGAAGAGACTGCACCAAAAGATTTGTGGCATCTTCTCACAGATAGGCACATTTTGTGTGGCATTCAAGGTACATGAGGAGGATTTTGAATTCTGCACTTGTAAAAATGCCAGATCCCGCCCCCCCCAACCATAATCTGCAGTTAGAATAAATGATGTTCATTTATTTTTGCACGTATTAATCTGATTTGCGCATTTCCTTATTGGTCAGGTTCTTGAAGGTGCGTCTGCATATGCAGAATTTGAAATTGTTTTTCCTTCTATGCATTTTGTTGCAGCTTTGGGAAATTTGTTTAAGAATGTTGAGAGGTTGGTGAGAGAGACAAGGGAGATATTAAAAGCAGAAAGATGAGGAGCTGGGTTTGGGGAAGGGGAAGCACCTTGATCTGAAGATACCCCCGCCCACAACACACCTAGTGCTACTTACATAATTTCTTGTTCTGCCCACAATTATGAGGGTAGATATTTGGTTATGTTCAAGGACAGATCCTGATGATTCAGTAATGCTTGCCAAGTTCTGACTTTTTAGAGTCCTCTTATACATACTCTCTGGTACGTATGTATTCCTCGGCCTCAAGAGGGTTGCCAACTTTTAAATCAGTCTCTGTAGCTGTGCCTTTTGATGGTTGCTTTAAATGCAGCTACACACCAATGAGAGCAGCCTCTCTCTGCAGTAAAGAGAAGGCTCCTAGGCTTTGTAGCTTTGCATTGGATAGTGCCAATTCCACAAAATGTAGCTTCCTCTCCCTCCCACCCCTCCACACTCTGCGGCACCAATGTAGGAAAAGCCACATGTGCGTTATTGGGGGGGGGGGGCGTGTTTGTGGAAATGCTTGCTATGAAACCTGGCAGCTCCACATGGGGCATATTTGGAGCAGAAAGGCTGAGCTCACCATTTGTGTGCAGGTGTGAAGTGAGCTCTGTGCCTTTCCAGAATGCCAGCTCCGGCGAGAGCCTGCTTTAGTTCCGCACATCTCACTGCTGTTAGGCTGCCAGTGAAAGAAAAGACCCGCTGGAAACCAGTGCATGCCCATCAGTTTACGGTGGATCAACTCTTGAGTGGAGTAACGCACTGCATGCGACAACTAGCGACAACTATACTTTGATATAGAGATTTGTAGCGTGTTGGCATTAAGGATTTAATCCTTTGGATTCCTATGCTCTGCAAAGGGTAAGCTGCTTTGGGGAGATGTTTCACTCCCCTCCTCCCCACCCCAATTGTGTTTCTGAGCAGCAGAGGCACTGCAAGGAGGAAAGAGCAGAGGTCCCCGGCTCCTGGTTGAGCCTGTGATCGCTTTAGGCAGGGATCGCCCACCTTCCCGTGTCCTCCTCGCTGCCCCTTTAAGACCCAACTTTCTCTCTGCTCTGCTCCCTCATCACAACACCAGCAACACGTGCCTGCTCACGTGCTCCCAATCCCGAGCAGTCTCCTGCTCCCCCTCCCGCCGCCTCGCCATTGGCCAAAACTGGGTCAGGCTCCTCCCATCTGCTGCTCTGCTATTGGCCAAATCTAGGTCAGAGCCCCACCTGCCCCATGGCAGGCGCACATGACAGAACGGGAAGGGCGCGGGACGGGGGAGCTGTGTTTGCAAATCTCGGGCTGTTGGGCTGCCGATTGGAAGAGAAGGGCGCCCTTAGCTCCGCCCATTGGGCCCTCGCGGCTCCTCCCACTTCGAATGTTGCAAAAGGAGGGGGGAAAGACCCGAAGACAGTTGCAAAGTGCTTAGAGGAAAGTAACTGGAGCAATTTTTATTTATATGTAATTTTTTTTATAAAAAGAAAAATTGGTTGTAGATTCGCATTTGGGGGAAAGCCGGAGCCAAGGATTCTGGAAAGCGGCAGGATCTGCTTTCGGTTTCCCTTTATTTTTATTATTATAATATAATAATACTGATTAATAAAAGGAAGGTGCGAAGAGGTTCCCCCACGCTCGGATTCCCTCACTGCCTGCTGAGAAGACGGGGTCTCCCCTCCCCGTTTATAGATCACGGACATCCCTCTTCCAGCCTATTTAGGATCTGACTGGAAGAAAAAGCAGCGGAGATCACCCGTCGCTGCCGCTGCTGCAACTGCGAGATCCTTAGCAAAGGGATCGACTGGGCATTTTGGATTTGCTGACTTTTCCGTTTTCCTTTGGCGCCTTAAATCTGCTAAAGCTCGCCGAAAGCTGGTGACTTTTAATTCTAGGGGAAATAATTTTGTTCTAGCAACATTGGAAATACAACCCTCCCGTTCCCTAGGGAAATCTCGTTGGATCTTAGGAACTCTTTACTCCACCCCGTTCCACATTTTCCAATAACTTCATCGCAAATATATATATATTTCTTTTCTTTGCCCATCTTTTGGGGAGATCTTCCTCAGAGCCGGTTGGCTGCTAAATTTGGATCGGAGTGAGGCAAGGTGGGGGCCATCGCCTGCCCCTCCGGAGGCTTGTTTCCAGGCTGGTAGCAGGAGAGAGAGAGAGAAGACAGCCTCCTCCTTTAAAATAAAATAGAAAATCCCACCCCAAAACCTACACTTCAACTTCCTTTTCCAGTCGAGCATCTAATCGGTGAATCTCCCTCGGGGGTATCTGCTGCTGTTTTCCACAAGGACCTTTTGTTTTTATTCGCTGTCCCCTGCTCGACACCATAGAAGAAGGGCGAAAAAAGCAATTTTCAGCGGCGGGCACCTCCTGGATCTTCCTGCTGCTGCTTTCGCTATGGCCCGCCCAGCCACCCAAAGTAGCCCGGCTCCTAGCCCCATGCTCGCCTCTCCTCCTTTGGGACTAGCCACCCCGAGCTCCACGATGGTCAGTCTCAAGAGCCTCCTTCAGGGACCGGTCAAAAGTCCCGACCGCCGAGGGGCCAAGGATCTGGGCTCATGTGAGTGATACCCCTTCGATCCTCCCTTGCAATCATTCCTCCACCTGGTTCCTCCTTTGCCTGCCTGTCCATCTCTCCCTAAGTGTACTTAGCTCCGTATTTCCTCTATACATGCATCCATTTTCTTGCTGCTGGTGGTGTTTTTTGTATTAATCTTCAGGGCACTGCAGAATCTTCCCTAGAGTTTGCCCTTGAAATGGCTGGGTCACTCTTATTCCCATTTCACAGATAGGGAAGCTACTGAGGCAGGGTTGTCATCCTTAGCAGAGGCAGGATTTGCATATTTGCATAGGAGTCTGCCTAGCCAATCATGTCTCCCCTGGGCTACCATAGAGGCCATCCTTCTACTTCATACATCTCCCAGGCATCCCATAATATTAGTCCGGGCCTCTCTGTCGTTTCTGTGGCATTTCATAAATGTCTGCCTTCAGTGGAAAAAAGAGTTTTGAGGCAGTCTAAAGACGAGCAGAATTATTGGCACATAAGCTTTGGTCTGCTCAGTCTTTAAATACATCCCATAAATGTCCCTCTACCTGCCACCCCATCCATCTCCCCACCCCATAGTTTATCTCTCAACCTGTATTCACCCCCTTTATAGCTGCCTCCTTGTCCACCTGGCTTTTCACGCCACCCACCTGCCTTATATCTGTCTATAGGTCCCAACCTGCACACACTTGTCCAATGCTCATACGTATATAAAAAAATTGAGCCATTTGTTCCCTCTATTTTAAAAAAACAAAAAACCATAACAAAATATGTGAGTTGCAAAGACCTGCTGAGACTCAGGGCCCCTGGAAAGGGAAGTCCTTCCTATGAATGATATGCAGTGATATTTATATACTCTTGTCCTCCCTCCCCTTCTATCCAGATGGCCTTCAGAGCCTGAACATTCAGCTTGCTTTCATTTTGGGCTTTTCCATCTCAATTGCGGGGGGGGGGGGGTGTTGAACTGTGTTTGCTTTCAATGCGGCATTGTTAATTCTTTCCATCCATGAAATGTTCCTCTCCTGGGTTGTGAGTTCCAATCAAAATGCATTCATTCTAAATAGGGAAGGCCCCATGCAGTGGGTTCATGTAGGACCCACATATGCGTAGGGACAGACCCATGTTTACTTCTGGATGGGATGCCACAGAAGATCTGGAAGGAGGTCGAAATCTAGTTATTGCAGGAAGGGCCTGGGACCTAGGCTTTCTGGAGAAAGAAGGTAAATGCCTTTGGTGGCGCAAGATTTAGGAGGAGCCACGGAGCCTGAACTCCTGGCATGTTTGGGAGAGGAGGAGGGGCATTAGGGGCAAGACAAGCTTGGGGGCCAGGACTTCTAGATATATGAGGCAGGGGACTTCTATAGGTGGGATAGCTCAGTTGGTAGAGCATGAGACTGGTGGGTTCAAGCCTCATTGTTGGGCTAAAGAATATTGCGTTGAGGGTTGGGCTAGATGACCCTTGGGACCCATTCCAACTTTACAATTCTATTATAATTCAATTGCCCCTACCGTTGCGGTGCGTGTGCATTTCAATCCCGGATCGCTTTTCTGCCCCTTGGGTGTTTGGCAAGATGGGCAGCCGGTTTTGAGAGATCTAAGCAAAACAATGACAGAGAGTGGGCTGGGGAGGGGACGGATAAGGCCTGTCAGGTTTTCTGGGTGGGGAAGCGGTTGGAAGGGGGGGGGCGGAGAGGACAGATTGGCGAGCTGCCCAGGACTCCGGGGTTCTGTCGGGCAATGCGGTGCTGAGTGCGAAGGCGGCGTGCGTCCCGGATTCCGAGGATCGGGAGGGGAGGGGGAGCTTTGGGGAGCCCGGACGCCTGGGTTCGCTCGCTGCTGCTGCTGCTGCTGCTGGAGAGGTGCCAACTCGCTAGGGTTTTCCAGGGTGATCCACCAAGCGGTGTCTCTGGACATGCGCACAAGCTCCCGTGCGCGTACACACACTCACCCAAACACACACACACACACTCTCGCATCTGCTGGCTGGCAGCAGTAAATCCCTTAAAGCTGCACACAGCCTGGCCACGGGACGCAGCAGGAGGGAGCGAAACGTGCGCGCGGGCGCTGCTGTGGCGCTTCGCCCCGGGAAACACTCTCGCAAGACTTTTTCGCACGAGCGAGCGAGCGGGCAGCGAAGGGCAAGGCGGGAGGAGGAGGAGGCGGCTAGGACATCGCAGGGGCACCCAGGGTGCCACCCGGGGTCAACGCCCCACGGAGGGAGAGGGGAAGAGGGAGGTGCACCAGGGTGGCGAGGAAGCTGCCAGCCACAAGCTGGCATTTGGGCTCTGGCCGGCGGACAAGATGGGAGGCGGACACACCGACACGGACGGTGGGTATCTTTGCGGGCACTTATTGCGCGCGCTGGGGCGGGGGGTGTGATTGGCACCCTGCGGCCGGGGTGGGTTTCCTGTGAATTCAGGCAGAGCAGATGGGCATCTCGGACTGTTTCAGGGTTTTTATTTCAGTTTGATAATATTGACAGGAAGGTGCCCGGCATTAAGATGGGCAGAGTGTATATATCTTTTTTTGGGGGGGGGTCTTGCATCTTGGGCATCCTGCCACCCGTCCTGCAAGGGTGCCATTCGCACACACACATAAACAAACGTGTTTGTGCACAGGCACTCTTGACAGATTTGTTTGGGTGCTGACTAGTCTTGGCCACCCCAGTGTTATTGTTGTAGGTTTGCCCCCCCCCCACCCAAAAGAAGGACCGAGTTTTGCTTCTCCGCCTAGAGCTGAATGTCAATCATTCCTCTTCGGAACAGAAAGTAAACTGATGTCCTGCTTGAATAGGCTCCTGCTGGCTCCAGCCATTGAGAAACTCGCCTGACCCTGGTTACTTTGAGGTTGTTGTTGTTGTTGTTAATGACCACTCTCCAATGCTTTGGGCGGCTCGATCCTGAGCACGTTTTACTTGGAAGCAATTCATTTCCAGAAGGGTTAGTAGTCTGTGGCACCTTTTAAAAAGTTTATTGTGGGTATCAGTTTCATCGGATACACAGAAATGGACTCTGCTCCGCAAAAGCTTATGGGCACAATAAATGTCTTATCTTTTCAGGTGTCAGGGGACCCTTGGTTGTTTATACATGGAAGCAAGCTTTATAAATGCCCGTTGGCTTTACACCTGAGTAAACATGCCACTGGCCACAGACTGATAGAGATGCAATTTCATTATATTATTCCTGGTGCGTTCTGCAACTTGCAGGTGGCTTTCCTTTTCACAACAGCCTCCACAAAGCTGAGTGTTGTTCCCATTTCACAGTTGAGTAAAACTGAGGCTTGAGCTTTGGTAGCCTCTTTGATTGGTTCCTAAACTGATTTTATATGTTTTTGCTTGTAATCATATTTTGGAATGCTTTTATCTGTTTTGGATTTTTTTTAAAAAAAAAAATTATCTTGTTTTGCCACCCTGGACTACTTGGAGAGGAAGGGTGGGATATAAATTCAATAAATAAATAAATAAATGACCCAGGCTTTGAATATTTGACTCATAACTCCAAATTATATCATTTGGATAATATTGACTATGGCAGGAGGAGGGCGTTCAAAGATTACAGGGGGGGCGGCAATACTAGGAAGTGGTGGTGAGTACTTTGGACCAAGTTTGTGAAGCTAATACAATTGAGGGGCAAAGTTAAGAGTGGTGACAAAATGCATAGAGTTCAATTCATTTACTACACTGTTCTGTATATTTTATTGCATAATTTCAACAGTTGTATTCCTGCCTGTGTCATGTTCCTCACAACTCATAATCCTCATGAATAATATCTCCCCCTCCTCCACTACTTCCTTTATCTTTGCAATAGACCTGACAAGGTAGTTAATAATATTCCCATTTTACAGATGAGGATAACTGAGGATTAAGAACTTGCCCAAGGCCGCCCCGGTGACTCCAATGGCTGAGCCAGGATTTGAACCTGAATCTCGGATAGCCTATCATCTGAGTCGCTCCGACTCTTTGGTGATAGTTGTTTGGGGGGTGGGGTTCATTGGAAGAAAAGTGGAAGAGGGTTGTCTGGGGTGGATTTGGAGTGGATCAGCTGCCCAGGGTTGGGGAGCTGCGCAGTAGGCAGCCGCGCACAGGCTTTGCTTGATCTGTGGGGCGTTGCGGGTGACTCGCCCAGTTTCGGGGTGCCAGGCTGGTGTCACCGCAAGAGGTGTCAGCTGGGCCCGGACTTCTCTCCCACGTGTCCAGGCAGAGTCAGGGCTCAGGTATGGCGTGCCACTCCCAAGCCTGCCTGAGCCTCGTGCAGGGGGGTGGGGCGTCTTCAGGAGAATCCTGGCCTGTAAACCACAAGAGCCCTCAAGCCTTCGGAGACCTAGTGAGGGGTGGAGGGGGTGAAGGTGGCAGTGGGTTCTCCCCAAGTGCATGGGAAAGAGGGTGACCTTGGTTAAAGAATGGAGGCAACCCGCTGGAACAGACAGTTCCTGGCTGAAGACCTCTGGAATTGTGGGACAAAAGGAAATATGCAAGTCTGTCCTGATTCCTGCCCGCTCACTCCCAACCTTAGCTAAATCTCCCTCTACCCCGATCTTCTATAAGATTTGATGCTTTATTATGCTTTTATATTTTTTGGAAGGCACCCAAAGTGGCTCAGGCAACCCAGTCAGGTGGGCAGGGTACAAATATATTATTATTATTATTATTATTAACAACTATTATTATTATATAATGATAATAGTTGTTAATAATAACAACAATAACATAGTTGTTAATAATAATAATAACAAAATAATAATAATAATAATAATAATAATAATAATAATATATTGCAAAAGAGGCTGGACTCCTTCTGTAATCTGAGCACTATGGGGGAGCGAGTCTAATGATATGACCCCGAACTCCTGGGTCCTTTGGTATGGGAGCACAACTTAGTGAGCTTAGAATAAGGGGAGCTCTAGCAACTGGGGTTCTTGCGGCATCCCCTGGTGTGGCCTGGGTGGTGGTGATGGGCACCTGCCCAACGCCAGCACAGAAGATGCCAGTCAGATCTGCCCCCCAGAGAGCACCAAATGCTCCCTCCCCACACTGATGCCCACACCAGGGTCACCCGGCGGCTCCTGCCGCTGCCCCACCTAGACCAAAGAGGAGCGAGCTGGAGGGATTCAGGCAGGCAGATGGGCTGAGCGAGCTCCGAGGGCGCAGGAGAGCGGAGCCCAATCAAGCGTGGCTGAGCATGGGGTCATCTGGGGTGAGGCAAGCGCTCACGTTTTTTTTGCTGGTGAACGGCATGCAGGCCTCTAGGGCTGGAGAGATAGGGATGGGGCCCAGGCAGGTTTCGGCAGCCTCCGCGGCTCAAAGATGCCGACTGCCGCATGCTGCAGCCACCCATCCCCACAAGATGCATCTCTCCCCGCCATCTGGCCCTCTCATTGGCAGCCTGTCCTTTTTCTTTGCCCACCCACCTGCACAGCCTGCCTGCGCCCGGAGAGGAGGACCGTGCAGAGTTTATATTTGAGCAGAACTGTTTTGTCTGCTTTGGGCCCTTGGGCTGTGAGAATGTAAGGAAGTGAGAGCCCCATGCAGGAACACCCACCCACCACACATGTAAGGCGTACGACTTCTCCCGAAGAATCCTGGGAACTGTGATTGAAGAGTGCTGGGAATTGCAGCTCTGCAAAAGATAAGCTAGAGTTCCCAGGGTTAATGGGGGGAAGTGGTGTGCTTAAATGTGTGCTGTGTACGCAGCCACCCCCACACTCAAGCGCCAAATGCAATGCAAAGCCACATGCAACTAGATAGATGCTGGGATACCCGATTGCTTGGGAGAGGCAGGTGGCCAGGACCCCCTTACTCTGTCCTGGGTTGCCTGGGGCTGTCTGGATTCAGAGGGTGGCCAAGCCCAGAGACTGGAAGCAACTGCCTCAACACTCTGGCCTTTTGCACTTTGCACCCGTGCCCAGGGATGCCTGAAGCTCCCCACGCCAGCAGTGCTGGGTGTTGTATTCCAAGTGCACACAGCCATGTACATAAACATTAAGTCTTGCTGATCTCTCATCCTCCCTTGTGCAGTAGGATCGATTGCTGTTCACCTTGCAAAACCCTTAGAATTGCAAAGTTACGGCAATTACAGGCTTCAGAATGGTTATTTTCCTCCTTTTGTCCATCTTCCCAATCCATCTCCCCAGTCCACTTCCATGTCAACAGTGTAACATTGATCGGTTTCCTTTATTCCGCTGGCCCTGTGCTGTGGAAAACCTGCACACACACAGAAGATTCGTAGATTTCCGCTTTCTTGGCTTCCGGCCTCTAGGTTTCTGACCCTAGATGCTTCTTATCCCATAAACCTTCTTCCTTAACCCGAGCTTCTCCTCCTGCCCCCTTTTCTGCAGGTGTCATCAAAGACAAGGAACGCAAAATGGAGGACGACCTGAGCATTTCGAGGCCTGGCCACTGCGCCTACCTGGGCTCCCTTTTGTGGGAACGCACGCTGCCCTACAACGAGATTGAGTATGTTGACTTGGACGAGTTTTTGCTGGAAAACGGGCTGCCCCCAAGCCCAGCTCACCAGCCCTTCTCGCCGGGGAGCCAGCCCACGGCCTCGCCTTCCAGCGGGGTGGTGGTGGACCTTAGCCGCCCGGCCTCTTGTGCGTCGTCCTCTTCCATCTGCTCCTCGTCTGGCGAAGGCCTAGTGGGTAGCGATTACGACCATCACGGCAGCAGCCAGACAGGTAAACTGTGCTGTACTTTGGGTGTGAGGGTGGTGCTGGTGGGGAAATGGGAGTCAAAGTGATTGCTGGCATTTGTCATCCCTCCCCTTGGAAGGAGCTGTGAGAATATCAACTCACCCTTCCCTTGTTTCATATAACTTTGTTTACGCTCCAAGCTCCCCGTGTTTCTGAGCTGCACACCTATTAAGTTTTAGCTGTATGTTTGCAAAGAGAGTCGTGGTGGGAACTGGAGCTCCCATTCTGAAGACACTCAGTTGACTCTGCGAAATAGCTCTTGGGTTTCCAAGGCTAAAAGGTGTTTTTACAGTCTAATAGTGGCTGCAGTGGAACAAGGGTTATATTGTAGTGCCCCATTCACTTCAAGGTGAAGGACAAACTACATGTTACACAGAAGTGCATGGAACAAAATGAAAAGCAGACTTGGGAGGCTGAGATTTGGAGTGGAGAGGCAGGAGAGAAATGTGTGTTTGATTCTCTCCCTTCTGGCCTTTTTCCTGTCCTTCCCACCCCCTCTGCTACCTGCTTCCAGGCTACAAGCACCAGTCTCTCCTTCTATTTGTCTGACAAAATTAGTTATTGTGTTATGCCTTGGAATAAATTATGCAAAGCATGCAGTGTTTACTCCAAGTGCAAAATTTAGCCTACCTATTTGGATATATTTTTTTTGGGGGGGGGAGATACCTCTGAGCACACACCACTTTGGATAGGAGGAGTGAGCAGTTTCTAGAGCCCTTCCTGTTTGGGAGGGCAGTTTCATGTTCCCTCCCTGGTTGCAGAGAAAATTGAGTTTCTAATCTCCTCCCTGATTGCAAATAGTTTTTCAATCCCAGCCTCTCTGGGTTGCAGTGGCAATACCAGTGGCCCCCTTCAGGCTGCTGCAAGAATTGCGCTTCCCTTCTCCTTCCTAGTCCCCCCGTTGTCTGATGCCCCCATTAAATTTTGGTTAAATAATTATGTTTGCAGCAGATGTTTAATACACCATTGCAGAAAATAAAAGCAAATTTTGCTCTGTTTTGGATTTAGTCCCTTCCTGGTTTGCAGAAGCAGATCAGATGGTTTCTACCCAGTTTAGATCACAAGTATTAAGAATTTCAATAGGGTCCTCCATGCATTTTTTGTTGCAGAGAGTGCAGAAGGAAGGTTGCAGCAGTTCTGAAGCTATACAGGTGTGGACCTAGTTGTTTGCCTTGGATGAGAGCTTCATGGGTATGCTAGGATATTAAAGAGAAAACTTTGGGGTGCAATTTTATACTATTTATAAGAGTTATAGGGACGCGGGTGGCACTGTGGTGTAAACCACTGAGCCTTGGGCTTGCCGATCAGGTCGGCGGTTCGAATCCCTGCGAAGGGGTGAGCTCCCGTTGCTCGGTCCCTGCTCCTGCCAACCTAGCAGTTCGAAAGCACGTTGAAGTTCAAGTAGATAAATAGGTACCGCTCTGGCGGGAAGGTAAATGGTGTTTCCATGAGCTGCTCTGGTTTCACCAGAAGTGACTTAGTCATGCTGGCCACATGATCTGGAAAAACTGTCTGTGGACAAAGTCGGCTCCCTCAGCCAGTAAAGCAAGATGAGTGCCGCAACCCCAGAGTCATTCGCGACTGGACTTAACTGTCAGGGGTCCTTTACCTTTACAAGTGTTATAAAGATTTGCAATTTAATGCTTGTGTTTAAATAAGGTGTGGGGGGGTCTTTGGCCCTGCAGACATTGCTGAACTACAACTCCCACCAGGCCCAGCAAGCACAGCCAGTCATGATGGGAGTTGTAGTTCAGCAATATCTGCAGGGCCAAAGGGTCCTGCACCTGGTTACTTTCATTATTTCATGTGTTAACTTTAACATCTCATGTGTTTTAGAAACTTGGACTTTGTGAGATGGTTGGATGGGAAGTGAATTGTGTTTTTTTCATTTTGGGAGGGGGCTCCCCACCTTCTAAAGTTGCCAAGCGCTCCTAAAACTAACTTTTCCACTTCTTGAAAATACTGGGTGCTTTCCCTGAAGCTGAAATACTATATTTTCAAACTGTCACTTTGAGTTGCAGTAATTACTGATATTGTTCAGATTACCGCCTCCAATGTGTGCACTGGATTTCCATGAGGAGGGCAGGTTAATGTGGGTTTAAACTCGAGAATAAAATAGACAGTGCTCTGAAAGTTACCTGCTACCATTTAATACTTACTGTCCCTTTTCTGCTTTCATTTACAGTTGTGGTTTTTGGTGCGATTTGGGAAATCGCAAGAGAGGAGGGTGGATATCATGAGATGTTTGGGTTTTGTTTGAAACGCAGAGTTGGGAGACTAGCGCTTGTGGTTTGTGGAGAGAAATATCGGGAAAACAAGGTAGTGGGACGACTTTGACGCCATCCTTAGTGAAGTACAGCGGGGCGCTTGGGATCCGTGCCCTCGTGGCCCCAGTGAGCACTCCAGAGAAGGTATTCTTACCAGCGGTCTTCCTTCGCAATGGTACCTCCTCGAGCTAGTAGTGGGCAGCGTAGACTTTGCTGGTGGCTAAAGGTGACGTAAAATGCAAAGGAATTATGTTTTTCACAGATGTAAGTTGGGTAAATTTGGGTGCCCCCCCCCTTGAACCACAAAGCTTTACAGGGTATTAACAGAGGGCCACCCACCTATGTCCCCATATTTCCCCCCAACTTTTTCCTCCCACCCTACTCTACAAAGTACAGTGTTTTCCACTGATCTAATCCAGACATCTGGACACTCAGTACTTTCTCTGTTCCAGAGAACCCAGGAATCCTAAATACCCATAGGCCCCCCTCCTCCTATCTCCTCACAGGAGGTCTCCAACACCCATCCAAGTTAACTAGACGCCCCCCTTTCCCTTCCGGAGAACCCAGGAGTCCCGGGCACTCGCCTGCACACCCCCTTCCCCCACATACGGATCCTGGATGTCAGCGCCTCGAAGCTCCCCCATGAGAACCCAGGAGTCCTGGACAGTATCTTCTGCCCACGTACACCGATCCCCTCCCCCCACTGGATCGCTCCTCCTCCTCCTCGTTCCTAGCAATCCTGAATACCAACAGCCTCAGGTTCCCTCCTCCTCCTCCTCCTTAGACACGCAGAAGAATTACAAATACCAACAGCTTTCTCCACCCCCCCTTGCATTAAAAAAAAAAGAACTCAGGAATTCTGGATTCCCTCCTCCCCCTTTCCAACAATTCCGTGGGGGGGTACTGGATGCCCACCCCCGCGGCGGGGTGGGGTGGGGGGAGGCGCGCTCTCGTGTGCCTGTGCGCGTGCACACAGGCGCTCCTTGCCTGCCCGGCGCGGCGGCAGGCTGCGGGGAATCCCGTGTCTGCTGCTGGGCGCGGAAATCCTGCGCTGCTGGCTCCCGCCTGGGAAGCCCGGTCTCGTGTCTGCTGCACGGAGCCTCCTGCTCCCGCTCACGTGCCTCGCCCTGCTTCTGCGAACACATGTCGCGGCTCGGCTCCTCTCGCTGCCAGCTGGCAGGCGGCCCCCTTCCTCGGCGCAGGGCGGGGCCAGCGGGCACGTGGGGATGCGGTGTGAGAGGCGGCGCTGCTGCTGCTGCTGCTCCTGCTGCAGCAGCCCGAGAGGAGGTGGAGGAAGCGGGTGCTGCTGCTGCTTCTTCGGGGCCTCTCGCAGGACGGGGGCGGCAGGGGGCGTGGGCCTGTGGGTGGCCGCCCATCCCGGCTGGACAGGTTGGGCCGGAGGGAGGCGCGGCCACGCAGGACTCCTGGGTTCCCCCTGGAGGGGTGGGGGTCCGGCGAAGGGGATCAGATTCTGGCTTGCTTCAAGGAGAGGTGGGAGTGGAGATCAGGATTCCCGGGTTCTTCCACATAAAGAGGGGATTCCGGGGGGCGGGGGGGTGTAGGACCCCGGGTGGGGGTTCTCTCTGGAGAGTTGTGGGTGTGGGTGTGTGGACTCCAGGGTGTTTCAGGGAAGTCGAAACCCCTGTTTTTTTTCCGGGTTGCGTGTGTGGTGCCTAGTGGGTGGAGCGTTGGGCTCTGGAGTTTCTTGGTTTCCCAAGGAAAAAAATATGGGGGGGGCACAGGACTCTTGGGTTCTTCAAGAGGAGAAAGGGCAATGGGGGGGGGGGCAGAGGGAACCAGGATTGTGGGTTTCTTCAAAAGGAGAGTGCTGTAGTAATGGGAACAGGAGTACGAGGTTATCCGAGGAAAGAGGGGTTTTAGTGTTGCCTAAAGGAAGCGGGGATTCTGGGGTCCCCTGCAGGTGTTTTTTGGGGGGGCGGAGACTGGTGGTAAGTGTATAGGAGTTAAGAGAGATCTAGTTGAGGGTGGGGCGTATGACTCCTGGCTTTTCTGAGGGGGCAGGTGGGGGTGGATGACCTTGGGAGAAGGGTTCTCTATCCCAAGTTTTCTGAGGGTGGGGGCATGAGAGCCCAGAGATCCAGAGGGTGGAGCTTAGTGATAGGGGGGAATGGTGGGAAGGCAGACACCTGAGTTGAGGGGTGATGTGGGGACCCTGGTCTCTGAGGAGAGTTGCAATGTTTCTTTTATTGGTCTAGATCAGGGTTTCCCCAGCTTGGGTTGCCGGCTGTTTTTAGACTACAATTCCCATCATCCCTAACTAGTGGGTCAGGGATGATGGGCATTGTAGTCCCAAAACAGCTGGAGTCTCAAGTTGGGGAAACCCTGGGCTAGAGCTTCCTGGGCTTGCTCTTGTGTACTTGTCTGCTTTGCCCCAGCAACCCCAAGCAGCTTAGAGGGACGGCCATTTGCCTCCTCAGAGTTGCCTTGCCTCCCAGTTCCACGATGAGCTTTTTCAAAGCGGTTGTCACTTGTGAAATGGTTGTCTGGATCCGCGCTCTCACATGCCTCGTTCCCCCATCTGTTAGGCATTTAAACAGATCGGCAGGGCCCACGTGGCTAGCTGGACACCGCATACTGCATAGTGCTGTTCCCAAAACGGCCTTGCAGTGCCGTTTAATCCTCAGAAATTTGCCAGCCCCTCTGCGTGTCTCTAATCCCCATCATGTGTGCAGCTGCAGCTGCCTGAGCAGCAGCGAAGCCCTGTGTCCCCAATTCACCGTTCCACTTCTCAAGAAGACACACAACCCTACAGCCCTCCTCCTGAAACACTCTGCAGAGAAAAGAAAACCAATGGGGGTGGATATGTACATAATGCAATGTCTATAACATATGGATGTGCATGTGTGTTTGTGTACAAAGGACTCAGTAGAGGTTACAATGGAAGTGTGGGGCGGACCAGCCTGCAGATAGCCTGTTGTGGGTGCTGCTGCCCTCTTGCGGGTTCTCTTTATTTGCGAAGCTCACCTGGATTTCTCCTTCCTCCACACCCATTCCAGGTCCCGTAACACCTGTGTCCCGAAGCACGCCCAGCCCTGTGGACCCCGAGGGCGTGGAGGTCCTCATGAACTTTGACCCTGACCCTGCCGACCTGGCGCTGTCGAGCATCCCGGGGCACGAGACCTTCGACCCCCGCAAGCATCGGTTCTCCGAGGAAGAGCTCAAGCCACAGCCCATCATGAAAAAGGCACGGAAAATACAGGTCCCGGATGACCAGAAGGTGAGAGAGGCGCAAAACGCACTGATCTTAGAACAAATATTTTAAGAGATTTTCCTTGGATGATATCAAATGCACAGGGGAGCCTGTGTTGCGTCAAATGCTATTGGACTACAGCTCCCATCATCCCTGACCCTGACCATTGGTCCTGCTGGCTGGTGGGAGTTGGGAGGCCAGGAACATCTGGAGGGCCACAGGTTCCCGAGCCTTGATCTCTGCTTTGTCTGCAAGCTCCTCCCTACATTCCCCAATGTAGCTGAAAAAAGCTTGGGTGCAGGTGGTGGTTTTTAATTTGGCCGTTTATATATTCAGCAAACAGCAAGTTTTAAAAAATCACAACAAAAAATAACTTAGCAATGAAAACAAAACAGTGTCATAATCGCAGCTCATTAAATTAATACCCCGCTTTTCTTTCAAGGTGCTCGAGGCGGCACTCCTGGTTCTTTTCCCCTCCTCCTCAACTTTTTTATTCTCACAGCAACCCTGTGAGGTAGGAGGCCTAAACTAGGCTCTTCCTTGCCCAGTGTTGTAGCCCAGGGACAGCCAGTGTGGTTTCACTCCAGTGCTTGTTGAACTACAACTCCCATAATATCTCACCACTGGCAGCACGTTAACTTCACAACAGGAGACAGGTTGCTTTTTTAATTTTCTTTTTAAAAGGTTGGGCCGTTTTAAGTAAGATCGAGAAGTTTGGGGAATTGGCATTTGTTATCATATTACTTGTTTAAAGCACTTAGCATTTTATTTAACATTTTCTAAGCTTTTTCCTGTTGACTGATACCCGATAGCCAAGGTTACGGTGTACCAGCTGTGACCCTGCCCACTGTGGCACGTGTCACTCGACAAGATTTGGGTGGAATCCGCTGGCGTGAGTGGGCAGAGCTAGGCTTGCTGCCCAAACCCTCCCATTTTCGACTGCATGCTGTACACAGAGCTGCAATCTCCAGAGATTGTTAAACCAATCAGTCCCTGTTCACAGGGGACTCTGGGAATAAGAGTCTTCTAATAGCTCTCTGCACCCTCAACAAACTACAGCTCCCAGAATTCCTTTTTTGGGGGGAGGGTGAACCATGACTGTTTAAAGTGGTATCACAACATTTTTTTTTATTTTCTGAAATAAAGTAGCGTTTTAAACACATAGTGTGAATGTGGCCTGAGAAAACAGGCTAGGGAAAACATCCCTGTTCCCCCAGCACCTGCTGGCCATCTGTGCTAACCGAGTTTGCGCAGCAACTGGGGCGATGGAATAAAAGCTTGCCCGCAATATCTTTGCTTGTCTTTGTTTTTAAATAATAATCAAACAGCTGCAAAACACTCCTTCTCACCACCTTTCCTCAACAGCATTCCCTAACAGTATTCTATAACAGTACACACTACACCACTTGATCAACTTATATAGTTTTCAAATAATCAATTTACCCTACCACATCGCTGCATTCGGTGCAGTAGGTAAACTCTCCCTGCTAATTAGTAAAATTGTTAAGATACCTCAGGTCTGCTGAAATGTCAAAAGCTCACAGATGTGCTACCATGCAGGTTATAATTGCACACACCTCTGAGTAGCACCATTGACCACATTAATATCAAGAAAACCCAACAACACCATGGTCCCAGCCACTGCTTTTTAGGAGAGACAGACAGACAGACAGATGTGAAACACCAGTGTAATGCCTTTGGCCCAAAATGCCTGCCTGAAGGGTAGTTTCCACCCCCAGGGATTTTGGTGGCAGGGCTAAGGCAGTGAATTTCTCTCTGGGGTTTAGCGGTTTTTCACGTGCCAGCTTCAGGGTAACAATGTTATGGGCGGGAGAGAGGCTGTCTGGGAAATGCACTGCTGGGTACGAACCTGTTTTCTGAGCTGGCGGTTATGGATGATTGCCTGGCATTGTGTGTCTCAAAGGCAAGGAGCGTGTCCATGCGTATTTTGTCAAGCGGTGACAGGAAAGGGTGTGTCCGCGCATGCATGACCGTGCACATGCTCTTTCAAGAAGTATGTGTGTTCTTTTGGGGAACGTCAATCTCTGTCCGAGATTCCAGAACGATGTGTTGCCACCAGCATACAAAGATATGATAGAAAGAGGCACAGGAATGCACTTTGCCGAGAGATAGAAGCTGGCCTAAAGTCACTGACTGAGTGTTGTGGCTGTGGGTAGATTCGAACCCAGTACTCTGTGTGCTACATCACCGCACTGGGAGAAGTAGTCATACTTACTGGGGCTGGGGAGGGGGAGAGTTGTAGTTCAGCTGCATCTGACAGGGCAGAGGTTCCCAACACCTGACCTATAGTATTTGCACCTCTCTCTTTAGCCAATAAGCCTCCCCAAGTGCCTTATTGAACTTTTTTTTTAAATATTTTAAAAAAGAAGACATTTCCTGTCCTCAGTTCAACAATCTAAAAAAGAAGACACAAAAGGAAAAATGGAAGGGGAGGGGAAAGAAAGCACGCTCAGGCACCAAATCTCAAAGAATTCTTACTAAGACTAGTTTGGATGCAAACAGTTCCAGGATGCTGGGGTAGAATGGGCGCTAGTAGGTGACAGATTATTATGATTTATTAAATTTGTATACAAGGTTCATATGGAGAAATGCAGGAGAAAGAGTGAGAAGCAGCTTGAAATACCTCTGCTGCTCTTTTCTCTTGCTTTTAGCATAGGAACATGCAAGGCCTGCAAGCATGTCATCAAAGTTAGCAGCTTTCCTGCCCCTGCTTGCTTATATGATAAGTCCAGAACACCGTATGAAGGCACGTAGTACAGCCGCCCTGCTGGAACTAAGCAGGCCTGCCCCTGTTCAGTACCCAGGTGGACTATTGCCTGGGAATCATGCCGTAGTAGTAGTAGTAGTAATAATAATAACTTACTTACTTACTTACTTACACACCCTGCCCATCTGGCCGGCCTCCCCAGCAGCTCTGGTTGGCTTCCAACAGAATATTAAAAACACGATAAAACATAAAACATTAAAAACTTCCCCCAAGCAGAGCTGCCTTTGTATGTCGTCTAAAAGTCAGATAGTTCTTTATTTCCTTGACACCCAATGCGAGGGCATTTCACAGGGCGGGCACCCCTGCCGAGAAGGCCCTCTGCCTGGTTCCCTGTAGCTTCACTTCTCGCAGTGAGGGAACCTCCAGAAGGCCCTCGGAGATGGACCTCCGTGTCCTGGCTGAACGACGGGGGTGGAGAGCTTTGAGCTCCCTGGACAGAAAGTAGATTTATTAGCAATTTGTGGACTCTTCACAAGCCTACACTGACCTGTTTCGTTTTGTTTCTCCTACCTAGGACGAGAAATACTGGAACAGGCGGTACAAGAACAATGAGGCAGCCAAACGCTCGCGGGACGCCCGCCGCCTGAAGGAGAACCAGATCACGGTCCGGGCAGCCTTCCTGGAGAAGGAGAATGCCGTCCTGCGCCAGGAAGTGGCCAACATCCGCCAGGAACTGACCCGTTACCGCAGCATCCTCTCCAAGTACGAATCGCAGCACGGCACCTTGTAAGGCCCGCGGCAGCAGACGGCCGCGCTCTTCTTCACCGCTCCACCGCTCTGACGTGGTGGGGCCACCCTGGTTTTTCAACCCTGACCCCCGTCTTCCCGAACCGGGCAAACAAATAATCAAACAACAGATGTTTGGAATAAGGGGAAAGGTCCCGAGACGGACGATTCCCCACGTGCGGGGACTGCCGTGCTCCAGGTGCTCGACAGAAGGGATAAGACTTCCTGGGTTGGCCTGAGCTGACCCTCGCCAAGAAAAAGGGCAGTGACTTGGGAGACGTTGAACTGGGCATCGTAGGCACACGAGACACACCGCGAACACACAAGGGCTCTGTAGCACACTGGAAGATGTATTACACACACACAAACACACACGTGCACACAGTACCCATTCTCTCTCTCTCCACGTACATGCTAGAGTTTGGTTCGTTGGCAGACTTTTCTCTCCAAACGGCAGAATTCAGCCCCCGATTGCTGCAGCTACTCACCTCTGCTTGCCCTGTTGTGGCATGTGGCTTAGTGACACAGTTGGTCCAAGGAGGCATCGGGGTGCCTGTGCTTGCTTGCTTTTTTCTTCCGACATCATCGCTTTTCAGTGGACATTTCTTCTTCTTCTTCTGCACACAATTTCTTCGACTCCTTTCTCCCGTCGACTCTTTTGTCAGGGTTGGTGGGGAAGGACACGAGAAGGCTGCAAAAGTGGACCCCCACCCCCGAGCCGTTCTGGGCTCCCATCTCGCAGCGGGTATCGAACCACTACGCCCTCCTCCCGCTGCACCCTTTGCAAAGAGAACTTAGAGGAGGCCTGGCACCCTGAGAAAAAAGAGGACACAGGAGCGTTGTTTTTCTCTCTCTTCCTTTTGATACCAGTAAACGTCAAGACTTCTGCCTGCAAAATGCCAAATTAGAAAAAAGAAAAGAAAAAAAACGGGTTGTGCACTCAATATTTTTTCCCCACAATTGGACAAAAGGGGCTTTGTGTCAGAGAGCAGGTGTATGGGTTGTTAGTGGAATGATTACGATTATCTTATTATTACTATTATACCTGTTTTTTAGTTAAAAGGCAAGTGATGGTTTCTGTTATTTTCCCCCCTTCCACCACACCACACTTTTCCTCATGTTTTGTGTCCAACACTGTCTGATGTACGTCATATGTATAGAAACTAAAAGAAAAAGAAAAACGAAAAACACAGAACCTCATTGGTGACCCTCCATAAATATGAACATATATATAAATATATATATAATTTTCTCTTTTTTTGTAAAGCAAAAAGTATATATAGAGGCTCCAGGAGAGACTTGAGAGATTATGTTCTTCTTAATTGGGGAAAGGATGGTTCTTTCGTACAGAAAGTGAATGGGGGGGTAAGGGGGAGGGGGGAATACGGTATTTTTATCTCCTTTGGGGAGGTTCCTAGTCTTTTTAATTTTCCATGTAACAGTGTTGCTGAAGACTTTGGGGGGTGAAACCACCGGACTTGACGGAAGGCTTTTATTTCGAAAGGATGTTTACACAGTTGTATACCATGAGCAAACTAGGAATAAAGAAAGACAGGATTTTAAAAAAAGAATGAACGAAACCCGAGATCTTTTGTGTCGTTTGTATTAACCTTTCTGTGTGCGGCTCATATTTTACCAACCTGGTGCCTTCCTCTTGCTGTACTACAAGTCCCATCAGCCTCAGCCATTTCTGGGGTTCTTTGGTCCACTCATTTACAGAAAGGCGTCATTTTCCTATCATTTGCTAATGTCCTGCTGTAACAGGTAAAAGGAGACTTAAAGGAAAACAGCTACGTTAATTGGTGGGAGAGGAGGAGGAACCCACCAGCATTCTGTGCAAAGACAACTAAATTCTGCAACTTGACATTCCTGCCCATTTTGCAGCAGAGATTTGCTACAGGCGTTCAGAGCAGGGGACAAAGAGACAGAAACATAGGGAGGTGCATCGTACGGAATGAGACCATTGGTCCATCCAGCTCCATATTGTCTACAGCAGGGGTTCCCCAAAGAGAGGTCATTGAACCACCAGTGGTCTGCAAGCTTCATTCAGGTGGCCTGTGATGTGTGTGGCTTTGCGGTTGAAGATGGGAGAGGGTACATCCCTGTGTTCAAGATTCACCTCTGCTTTTAATCCTAATTCTGTTGCTTATAGCAATAGAAACACAATTAAAAATCGCGCATCAATCTAGTACAGGGCATTGCAGTCGCTGCAACAAGCAGATAAAACCATTAAGCAGCCCTCTGCTATTCTCAAGAGATCCATGGGGGAGAAAGTGTTAGGAACCACTTGCCTACGCTGACAATAGCTCTCCAGGATTTCGGACTGGACATTCCCAGCCTTCCCTAGAGTTGCTAGGAACATACTGCAGATACCCTGCCACTAAGCTGTAGCCCATCATCATCCTCTAAAAAGCCCAGCTTCTGATGTTTCATTAGGCCACGGGTGAGGAACCTGTGGTCCTCACGTTGGGACTCCCAACTCGCATCACCCTTAGCCAACTTGGTCAGTGATGATGGGCATTGTAGTCCATCTGGAGGGCCAAAGTTTCCCCACACCTGCCGTACAAGATGGAGCGAGCCTGCGTAGGAATCGTTTGGCCTTCAGTTCCCAAGCTGATTCTGCAAGCAACCTTTGTGAAGAGACCTTGTATTAAGGTTGGTGTGCATAAATTGAGAGAGACTGGTTTTCTTTTTTATGTGTTATTTTATTACTACATTTATATCATGCACAGAGATGGGTGGGTGGGGAGTGTCTAGAGCAGGGTTTCCCTAACGTGGGTCCAGCTGTTTTTGAACTACAGTTCCCATCATCCCTGACCACTAGTCCTGCTAGCTATGGATGATGAGAATTGTAGTCCCAAAACAGTTGCAAACCTAAGTTTGGAAAATATAACTTACTTGTTGCATTTATATCCCACCTTTTTCTCCAAGGAACTCAAGGTGGTGTATGTGGCTCTCCCCTTCACCTCAGTTAACACTCCCCATTGTGAGGTATGTTAAGCAGAGAGGCAGTGACTGGCCCAAGGTTACCCAGTGAGCATCATGACTGAGTGGGCTTTTGAACCATGGTCCCCAATGTCCTAGCCCAACACTAACCACACTGACAAGAAAGTGCAAATTGCAAGAAGGTGTCATCACTGGGCGCTTCTAGATGGGGACCTTGTTTTGCAACTGTGTCATAAAGATCTGATTTTATTTCCCCAATTTCCTCTGTGGCACACAAGCGTCTTCACTTTGTCATGCCTGCCTCAGCCGAGTGGTTGCTGCTCTGATACTTGCTGTCCACATGAGTGACCAGAACAGGCTTCCTCAACCTCGGCCCTCCAGGTGTTTTTGGCCTACAACTCCCATGATCCCTAGCTAGCAGGACCAGTGGTCAGGGATGATGGGAATTGTAGTCTCAAAACATCTGGAGGGACGAGGTTGAGGAAGCCTGGACTAGGTATGTATATTGGCTGTATTTCTGTTCCTTGGGCTTTGGCCATTCTTTCTGCTACTTTTTTCCATTCTGGACATGCGTACTGCTATTTCTGCACATGTGGGCACACACGTTTTAAATCCCAGGAAGTGTGCAAGAACAAAGACTACCAGCCTTGGTTATGATGCTTCACACAAAACAGTGGGCAAAATACAGACTTGGAGGGAGGTGGGTGGAGATGTCCATTTCCATTTGTTGTGTTCTTTTTAATAGTAAATACTTGCACAACAGCTTTTGTTTGTTTAGCCTGACCATTCAAAAGTGATGAAAGGCTTAGCAAAAGATTTTGTCCGCCCCCCCCCCCGCCCCCGGAAGCCTGATAGATGTGTACTGTGATTACATTCTCCAAGAGAACCCTTTGCATTTTACTGGGTGGTGATCCTGGAAAAAAATAATCTGCTCTGAAACAGCCATACACGCAGCAACACCTCAGTTTGATGCTTCAGATGGCTGGAAGCAAAATTGCTAAACTGTGCTCAGGTGAGGAGCGGGTGGGATTATGGGTGTAGAGATTGAGACTACCCACTCAAACATCAGGACATTTGTCCTGCACCAGTGAGCTTTTGCATAACAGCAACTGCCGATGTATCATGGGAATTCAAGAGCAGGAATTCCCACCAGATGTGCTCGGCTCGTTTGCAGCATGTCCACACGAAACATTCGTATTGATTTTTATTGCTTCTTTTATTTCTTGTATTTGAATTTTTAAGGAATGGAAACTGCAATACAAGATCAGAAATAAAAGAAGCAATCAAAAGACAGTTCAGAACCATGCAACATCTTGCACAGCATGTTGCAATTGCTGCAACAGGCAGAAAAAAACCTTCAGTGGTTCTGTCAAGACTCTTAGCAATTCTTGGTGGAGGGTGCAGGGAGGGGAGTTTGGAAACCACTGACTTTGAGGATTTACCATTGCACTTAAAATGTTAGAAAGAGAGAAAGTACAGGCTGGCATTTTGATATAGATGCTGCTGGGGGCTGGGGGGTGGGGCTGGGTGCATGAACAGCGCTGATTCCACAGTAAGCACACTTCTGGATGTGCACTGGGTGGGTGGAGGGTGGATATAATTCAGGACAGACCAGCCACTGATGGCAGTGAGAATATAACATAATAAATAATAGAATCAGATCAGGAAAGGCTGGGTGTAAATGCAGCCAGAAACTGGGAGAGAATATTTACAAATAAGATGCACCAAACCTTCCATAATTGCAAGTGAGGAGCACTTCATGGCAAATGAGAGTGTGTTGAAGTGAAGCCTATAGAATTTCAAGATTACAGAACAGGGACTCTGGCTGAGCTTCTACCTGGTCAAACGTCATCACTATAGTCACATTTGCTCCTACCATTTTCTTTTATCTACTTAACAAAATAAATATTTATTTAACCTCTGAGAAATACGTAGGATTTCTGTTTTGGCTTAGTTGCATATGCAGGTGCATAATTGGCGCAGGTTCCTTTTGAAAGCAGAGTTTGTCAATTCCTGCGAAAGATTTCTTCATCCAATCCCCACAGTTACCTTTTATGTGTGTGGTTTTTTTAATGCACCAATTACCAAGCACTGCTGCCACCTGGTGCCCAAAGTGAGACACTGGGAATTTCAGTCTTTCAATGCAGACTTCATTTGGAAGGAAATGGGCACACGATTTGAAGAAGCCCAGTAGTTGTTTGGAGCACCCATCTCTCTCGAGACAATGGAGTGCACCTCCAGGGGCGAAGCCAAGCTGCTGCGTTAACAGCAACAAAGTGACCTTCCCAGGATGCAGTCCTGGGCAGCGGGTATGGAGGTCCTGGGCTGCCCAGATGACAAGACCCTCATCTCAGCCTCACTGATGAGGTCCGAAGGAAAGCAGAGCAACACGTTTGTCACCAGCTTGGCTGCAGGAGTCAGCGGAAGGAGGCATACAAGGCACCATCCACTCCAGATTCGTGTAGGGACTACTTCTTAGCCTTTTAATCTCCCAAAGATATTCCACAAGGCAGCAGAGGCGTGTTCCTTCTAGATGGGCTACCTTCCCAGGTTGACGGGCCCCACCTGCCCCTCACTTCCCTCTACCGCACATGCGAAAACCGCCATCTTGGACTCACTACTGGTCTCATCCCCTCATCTGCCAGAGCCTGTCTTCGCATGCAGGAGAAGCCCCTAACTCACCCAGGGTTTGAGGCCCATTGGCTACCCTCAACTGGTTTAGCCAGCCAGTCGAAGCCATTTCCCAGCTTTGAGGAGCCAAAGGTGAGAGCCAACCGCAGGGTGGGCACCAAAGATGGACAAGCTACCCCAGAAGTAGCAGGTACCACCACCAGAAGTACTACCCCCTCACTCTAAAACCCCATTCTCCCAGGAGAGACGTGTGGCTCAGGCCTGCTGCTGGCCCCGCAGTGAGTGCCACCCGGCGTTTTGTCACCCCCGAGTGGCAACACCTGGGGCAGCCAGCACCCCACCCCTTCCTCTGCCCCTGTGCCAAGTAGAGGCTGTTCTAAAGCATTCCAACTAAGTGATGAGCCATAAACTACCCGCAAGACTTGTCTAAAGTCTTGCAAACAAAGGTTGTGCAAGATCTATCTCCCTATCTGAAGAACAAAGCAGGGTAGTAGTATCTGCCAGACATCAGGCTAATTTAAAGCCACTGTCTTCTAGCCACCCAGGCCCATGACGAAACCGGTGATTAGCGTAAGAGAAGCTACGGATGGGTCTCCTACTGCCTGGCTCAGCACAGCTGACTCCCCTGCGGCACTCAGGAAAAAACAAGGAGATGGATATCCATGCTATTGCTTTTATTGCATAGTTTTTTGGAGTTTTATTTTTATTTATTTCATTTTAAACATTTATCTCGTTGACAGGCAACACACAGGAGGCAGTTGCAGACATAAAGGTTAACCAGTACAGCACTTCAGACAGACATATAAACAACCCAAACCAAGGCTGCATTTCTCCAGTCAAAGATGCTGAGGGCTGCAACACCCACAGGACATGGGACCTTGGAGGGAGGAGGAGGAGGAAAAGTGCAATGAGCTTGGAATGGACACAGTCACAGATCTGATGCACAAAAAAAAAACAAAAGGTTGATGGGGCTCACAGGCAAGGCTGAACATCGTTCCCAGGCCAGATCACCACCCCCATTTCTACACTGCAGCCTAAATGATATTAAAATACACTTACATTTATGCAGCAGTGTTTAGATTTGTGGAGAGGAGGCCAGGAGGGAGGGCAACTGCAGGGTCAACAAGACAGGGCAATGCGTCACCCCTCTTCTATTAAACTGCCTACACATCTTTTTTTGTAGCAGCTTGAAGATGTAGACAGCAAATAGTCAAAGGACAGGCCTGTATCTCGAGCCAAAAAAAAATCTGTTGAGAACAAGCAAGCTTTGCTGGTCAACACAGAGCTCTCGCACTGAGCTCAAGCATTAACATTTGCAACTTGGTTTATAGGGAAACCATTGGCTATTTTGAGGCGTTTTTAAAAGGAGAGAGATAATTTCGGCGGCAGCTTACAAGCTTTGTGCCCTGACAGTCTATTAAAGGCAAGTCAGTCCATTTCCCATGTCACAGGGGGCTGGAGTCCCAAAAACTACAGTTCCCATCATGCTTTGTGCTCGCAAAGATGAGGACTCCAGCAGCAGCTAGGGCACCACCTGCTTGTTCCATTGTTGCTGCCATGATCTTGTGTTCCCCTCAAAGATTGCCAAGTGTGTTGTTATCCAGCAAGTGCATTTGGCCACATTTATAACACACTCTTAGACACACTTACACAGAAGTAAGCCCCATTTAACCCCAACGGGCCTTGCTTCTGGGTAAGTGGATCAGTGGCGTAGCGTGGGGGTGCAGGGGGGGCCAGCCGCAACATCTGGGGGTTAGGGTTAGGGGGCGCAAATCCACGGGTTAGGGGGCGCAAATCCACGGGTTAGGGGGCGCAAATTACTTGCCTTGCCCCGGGTGCTGACAACCCACGCTACGCCACTGAAGTGGATATAGGCCTGCAGTCCCCCCCCATTTCATTTAGATCCCGCCTTCATCCAAAGAATCATAGAACTGTAGAGTTAGAAGGGAACCTGAGGATCATCTAGTCCAACCCCCTGCAAATGCAGGAATATGCAGCTGTCCCATACGGGGATCGAACCTGCAACCTTGGCGTTATCAGCACCATGCAGTCAGGGGGCATCAAATGTGGGAGTCTCCAGCTGATCTCCCTTCCAAGTAGTGACCCCAAGGCTGGCTGCTGCATCACATCCCTTCAGAACATGCAGTGGGCCCCTCCCCTAATTAGTTAATTCCACCTTTCCTCTACTTATTTTCGGATAGTGTATATTATGGTCCCTCCCTACTTTTTTATTCTCACAACCACCCTATAAAGTAGCTAAGGCTGAGAGCAAGCCATCAGGCAAAGATCACAGATCTTGAGTGGGGATTTCAGAGTGATTCTCCCCAATACAAATCTGACCCACTAACTCCTACATCATACTGGTCCCTTTTATCAGGAACCTTTCAATAGGTTAGAATTAGCTGTGTTAACATTTTGCGCAGCAAAGAGTTCTGTGTTGCATAGGGCATGGCTATCCGTCAGAACTCACTTTCTACAACTTCTTTTAAATGAGTTACGTAAGCTTCCACCCCACAAATGAAACTGACTCAAGCCACAATGTGAGGAGGTGGCTGAATATTGTTTGTTAAGATGCACACCACAGAACCCCAGTCCCTGAGTTTCCTGGCCAGGAGCCATGACAGCTCGACTGGTTACAAACTGATTTAGGAGAATACGCCTTCAGACATGCTTCTACCCCTTCACCAACTTCAGGCCTTGCACTAAAAAAATAAATAAATCTCCAAAACCATTTGCCATATTTGCCTGTGTTAAAAAACGTTTCTCTGCTATCACAAGGGACTAGAACCTTGGTTGTTAACAACAGCAATGCTAGAAATCTCAGCCAGTTAAACATGCAGCAGGTCCCAGATTAAAAGACGCAGTCTTGCCTGCCAGTTTATTTTCTCTAAGATGTTAACAGTGAGGACGATGAGGTTGAGATGCGACAGGGGATGGGAAGAGCTGTAAGGCAACCTTGCAAACCTCTACCAACACATGAGTAGTTCAGGGCGAGTTATTAACACCCGAGCACAGATCTATGCATTAAAATTAAGAGCAGCGATTATACAGGCTCCAGAATAAATTAAGAGCAATAAGCAGCTGAATAATTTCTTCCTTGGCATATTTTGCATTCTATTCCCCAACATATATAAATACCAAGCACGTATGCATTACTACTTTGAAGGAGGGGGGTGGTATCCTGTGTTCTTCCAGTGGATATATCTGATAACAATTTTTGATGGTTGCTAAGCAAGTGAGGGCAAACCTTGAGGGTTGTATGCCACTAAATTCTGCTCAGACTCACTGAAATTTATGTCCATAATGGGTGTGAAACATTGGACACAACCCTGAATATTGCTCCTCCAAGAATTCTGCCCACAAGTCCCGATCCTGAAAAAAACCAATTTATTTCTGCATTGCTGAACTTCCCTCCCACCAGAACAAAAAGTGTTTCTGAGGGGACAACAGAGTGTGGTGGCAAGTGCTGGAATTGACAGTCCCCGGCTGAGGCCCATATCCCAGGAGGGGGATCCAGGGCTCTGCTCCTCCTCGGTGTTGCTGCTGTTCTCCCGACCCTCTCCAAGAGCACAACCGGTGACAGGAGCAAAAATAAGTGCCACCCTCCAGCTACACTGTCCTCCCCATTTCGGACAGTGGGGTTTGCGACAAGAAGGACACCCCCCCCCCTTGCGGGATCTGGAGCAGGCGCTGGCGCTGCGAGAGTGAACCGGATCTCCTCAGGGCGATTCTAAAGCTACTCTTCTTGATGCTGGAACAAGTATTTAAAGCTACGGTAGTCGAAGTCAAGACTGTGCAACGTTATAGGAAATATCTGTTTGTTTTTAAAGTGCAACAAGCAGCAAACAGAGAAGCGATGCTTCCTAAGACACTGCCTATGAGGTAAGCCACAAATAGAGTTATATAATATACATTTAAAAGGGGTGTGGGGAAGGGGTGTGGGGAGAGAGGTGGCTCAGACCCACGGAAGCAAGTGTTCCGCCTTGTAACCTGGCAGGCTGGGTGAGGGTTGTGGCCCGCTGCTGCCTGAGAACCTCTCCCACTGCCTGTTTTTGCAGTCCCAGGCAAGCAGCAAAGTTTGGTGAGGGCCCTGGAAGTCCCACACAGGGCTGGCGAGCTGTGTGAAGCTCGGTGGTTCTGCACAATTGTTATCTGGACAGTAGAAAACCCTCTCAAGAGACAATCATTCCTTGCTTCGTGGCCCCGCTTAATATGGCTGTGAGCCTACGCTTTCATACATTGAAACACACAGTTCTGTTGTCCTTTCCTCACCCCCCCCCCCAAAAGCCAGATCTGTGGAAAGATCTACATAATTTAACGCACATTAAATGCTCACGACTTTCCTAAAAGAATCATGGGAACTGTAGTCCGTCCCTCCAGAGTGCTACCGTTCCCGGCACCTTTAACAAACTGCAGTTCCATGGATTCTTGGGGGGTGGGGTGGGAAAGCCATGTGCTGTGAATGTGTGTTGACGGTGCTTTAAAAGTATGGATCTGCCCTTTTGCGATCAACACTTCTTAGTGATGGATTCACCAGCTCCCACTAGCGACTTGTGGGAAATAGGGAGAGAGTGGGAAATAGGGCAAGCTAAAGTATTACTAATAAAATGCCTAGGAACGTTCACATGAACAAAGAAAATAAAAAATCTTGGTCCCTTCAATTGGCTTTCCTTTTCAAACAGCAGTCATTTAAGCCCACACTAACGTCAGCGGATCTCCAAATTCCCCCAGTTTCCTCCTGAGTCAGCCTTACATGCCACCTAAACACCAGAAAGCAACTGCCACGGAGGGTCTTTTTCCCAGAGAGGAAGCCGCCCTCCTTGCTGTGGCAGGCAGAGGTCTCTGTGTTGCCTCCCAACAGTGTCATTCATATGCTCCGATTACAAGGATCAAAATGACAGCCTGGCTCTCAGGAGGTTTCTGTGAGATGGAAACTTTGCAGGATGGCCTTTCCTTTGTAAATAAAACCTGCTCTCTCTCACACACACTTCTCCGGCTACATTCAGAGTGAAGACAAAAACCAGCAGCTAAAGAACGTAAAAACTGCTTGTTAACCTAACGGGACCGTGAGCAGTCGTGTTAACAAAGAGCAGCCAATGGCCCAAGTCCATGCCTACCTAGGCCACATTCACACCTTACATTTAAAACACCACCACACCGCTTTAAACAACCATGGCTTGCCCCAAAGAATTCTGGGAGCTGTAGTTTGTGAAGGGTGCTGAGCCTTGTTAGGCCGTCCCTATTCCCCTCACAGAGTTTAAAATTCCCAGAATGGTTTACGGATCAGTCCCCCTTCCCCCCGCAACACCTCTTGGCACCCTTAACAAACTACGGAAAGCCGCAACTGTTTAAATTGGTTCTGTGGTGCTTTCAATGCATGGTGTTGATGTGTCCACTGCAGGGAAGAATCTCGTTTCCACCTTTCATTGCAAAGTTGTTTTTTTCAGATGCAAATGGTGGGGCAAATGGTGTCCCACAGTGGCTAAAGAGATGCCTGTGGAAAGCCTACAGACAGGACATGAACACAACCACACTCTCTCACTCATGCTCCCCAGCAGCCAGGATTCAGAGGCTTGGATACTGGAGGCATCGTGAGGAGGAGCCAATGATGGCCGTATCCTCTGCGAATCTTTCTAACCGCCTTTTAAAATAGTCACGCTTAACAATGTACTCTGCGAAGAGAAAAGACAGAACAAAGGAAGTAGTGTGGAACTTTCAGCAAATTAGGAACCCTATTATGTTTTGCTCCATTGCTGGCCTAGATGTCAACCCACTAGGTCGACCTTTGATATACAGGCTTTCTCCCATGAGGAAGTGGGGAAAAGTTTTGCCGGTGGAATCTGCCAACTTAAATCTCCTGATTCGACATCTCTTAAGAGACACAGACAAATACATGTATGGTGAACATCATTTCATATACGCACACACACACACATTTCCATTACAGTATTGGATCATTTTAATTGCTTGTTAACCCCCACATAGTGGGGAGAAAAGAATAATAACAAACCGCCCTACCAAAGTTAAGCCCCCACCCGTGAGAAGAAGAAAAAATTCCAGTTACATTCATCAAGTTTATTCCTAGAGAGAGCCAGATTCGGAGGTCATTAGTGCAGGGGTTGGGGGTCAGTCCCATCCCCTTTCACTACACCTCCGGCTGGCTAGAAAGGAGCCAAAGAAGGCTGTCGAGAAAGTGGTCCCTTCCTTGCCCTAAATGTCCTTGGTCGCCCTCTGAAGGAGAGGTGGCCGAAGAACCAAACACAACTCTGAAGAAAGATGGCAGATCTCCCTTCCCAGGGTAGACATAGAGAGGAGGGGAAACGGCTGCCTTCGGTTCTGTTAAGGGTTTAAAAGGAGGGGTGGTGGTGTCAAATAGAAGTTAGTGTTTTGTGGGCTGCCTCTTACATTCAACTCCCTGCTACAGTGGTCTCACTGCTTTCACACACACCCCCACCCTGCTTCCACCCCGGCTGAGCAGACCGTACAAAGACGAGGAGCAGCAAGCAAGGCTTAGTGTTCTCTAAGTGGCTTCTTGTGAACCACAGGCAAAAAGGGGCTGCAAGTTCGGGAAGAGAGGGTGGCCTCAAAGGGGTCAGGGGGCTCCCATTTAGCAGGAGAGAGGTGTGTGATTCAGCAGAAGACACAAAAAGAGTGGAGAGAGAGAACAACACTAGAAATTGGGACGTGACTCTTGGTCCCATGGCTTGAAGGAAAGTTGGTGTGGCATTTCCCCAGCCCACTCAGTGCCCCACTCATCTCTCCAACCCACACCAGCATCTCTCTCCCTGTCACTTCAGACATGGCCCTGAACCATGAGCTGCAAAGGGATGGGAGTCTTCAGTGTTGCTGCCCCAGACTGGCAAGCAGGGTAGCGCAGAGGTGTCCCCCGTCTCTGGGACAAGTGGTTGGAAAAGTGGAATAGAAGGGCCTCCCCAAAAAGGAACAAGGTGGAGAGGATGGTGGGCCTTGTAAGGGAGGAAAGGCTACATCACTTCTCGACCCAAACCACACCAAGGGTCCTGTAGCCAAGCTGCTCCTTCTTGATGGGAGATGCAAAACAGGCTGGCAAAACCAGGCCTATGCAGGTGGGTGAGGAAGGGAGGAGGAGGTCAACATTCAAAAGGTTGCATGGACAGCAGCAGAGGATCATGGGGAGTGGGCAAGACTTGCCACCCAAAGGCTCATTAAAGGAATATATGGTATGTGTGTGCCAAGGCCTAGAAGAGCAGAGGGAGGTTTTAAGCAGCTTGCCATCTGGGTGGCTGGAGGGGGCACTGCAAGTCAGAACGCTCACCCGCTACCCACACAGACAGTACCCCCGATCCCAAGCCTCAGGGTCCCTCTTTGCAGCAAAGGGGCAGAAGAGAACAAAAGTTATGTCAGATCTGCAAAGTGCTCCCGCATCCTGGGTCAGAACGCTGTGATCTTCACCTGGTTCACGCCGGTGATTAGATTGGCCACCGAGTGGTGGATCTGCCCCTGGATGGGGCCGTACTCCACCCTCTCTCCGTCAATGGTGAGGATCCCCTTGCGAGTGAGGGGCTCGATGCGGAAGGCCCGGACAGGAATGTGGATGAAGTGCGGGCACTCCATGTCAAAGTGAGTGCCCTTCTCCGTGGCCAAGAACAAGCGGATCAGGGCTGCCCGGGAGATGCCCGCCTTGATGTAGAAAAGGTGGATGAGGCCGTCGTTGAAGCAGGCAAAGGGCGCCATGAAAAGGTCGGTTCCCAGGTGAGACTGGTAGATGGCCAGCACAGAGACAAAGTCCTCCTCCACTGTCACCCACGACTTGGGCACCGGCTGGTCTAGAGGCGCCAGGAACTCGTCTGGGGGGCCGTGCACCTGCCGGGGAGACAGCGAGACAGCAGGCGTGGTCATGGGCAGCCCGGCCTCCCTGCGGTCAGCCACGAGCTCCTCCGACAGGTTCTCAAAGCTGAAGCTGGAAGAGTGGAAGCTAGAGGAAGAGGGTGGGGAGCTGGGCGAGGGGGTGGGCTCGTCGGCAGGCTCCACCTCCTGGAAGCAGAGGGCGTGGCGTTCCTTGCACAGGCCCAGGTCAGAGACGGTGCGGTGGAGCGGCCCGTGCTGGAAGGGGAGGCTCCCGTTGGCCGCCATGGTGATGCTGCGCAAGATGGGGCGGTGGGCAGTGCCCTCCAGGGCGGGCAGGTAGGAGAGACGCCCCCGGTAAGTGTTCATGGAGGCCAGGCGGACCATCGTCCCCAAGGTGAAGCGAGCCGGGCCGATGTGCCGGAACTTCTCGCTCTCAATGTCCACGTCAGAGATGAAGCCCCAGGCCACGCTCAGGAAGGAGAAGGAACGGGAGCCCGACGCGGTTGTGACCGACACCAGGTCCAAGGGGGTCACCGCCCCGTGGCAAAGCAGGAGGGTGCAGTTTGTGAGCAGCTCCTGGCCCAAGGTCTGCTCAAACCTGCCCGACAGAGTGAGAAATGTGTCAGGGTTGGAGAAGCTCACTTGCACATGCAATCAAATGGTGAGAGGCTCCCTAGAGAGGGGGGGACAAACACTGCCGCAATGTGGGGTGCAAAGGCTGCATCTGTCACGGGGCAACAGTAGCACTTACATTTCCGTTTAGCCGGCGAACAATAGCTGCATGTGCAAAATGAGGAAGAAAGATATAAATAGCTCAGGGCCGTAATACCTCAAGGACTGCCTCTCTCCATGTGAACCTACATGGACCCTGCGAACATCCTCTGAGCTGGAGACACACTTTTTAGACAGGCATCATTTTGTGACACAGTAATTCAGTTTTTCTAGCAAACTGGAGGTTAAATTAACCCCTTTCCAGCCCCGGAGGAGCGTGGGGAGGGTTCGCGCAACTCACCTACACACTGCAGCTGACACACTAGCATATTGCAACACAAAGTTTGGCAAGCTCTGTTATACACCTTTAGACGTCAGGCGAAAACGTTCCTCTTCAACCAGGCCTTTGGCTGATTGACATCTGATGCCGTTTTAAATGTGTTGTGGAAGGGGGGCGGGATATTGATTTGTTGTTCTTATTTTTACTATGCATTTGTGGTTTTTATATTGCAGCTTTATGCTGTGAACCACCCTGAGATCTATGGATGAAGAGTGGTGTACAGGTGCACCTTGGAAGTCGATCTTGCAGCCAATCGGTAACCACGGAAGCCCCGTTCAGACTTTCGGCTTACAAAAGAATGTTCGAAAACTGGAACACTCACTTCCGGTTTTCAATTGTTCGGGAGTTGGAATGTTCGATTTCCAAGGCGTTTGGGAGCCGAGGTACGACCGGACTAATATAAAGTGTCCCAGACACAAGTGTAGCTTGAATGCTGGACTACACCTGGGTAGACCCAGGTTCAAATCCATATCCATCCGAGAATCTCACTGGCTAACCTTAAACCAGTCCCTCTCCTTCAGCCTCAGCCTACACCTCACAGGGTTTGTTTGTTTGTTTGTTTGTTTATTATTAAATTTTTATTAAACTTTCATAACTCACAGGGTTTGTTTCGAGACTAAAAGGGAAAAATTTGTATCCTGCTTTAAACCTCTTGGAGGAATGGCAGGATGAAAGCAGAATAAATAATGACCATGATTACGGTAATTAGTTCTCAGCATTGGCCAAGCTGCTGATGCAACTTGCTCCCTACCCTTGAAAATGCAAAATTACTTGCTCAAAATTACTGCAGCAAGTAGAACAGCCAGCTCTGAAACTGCAATCTGGCCTGGAAGCCCTGCCAACCAGTACCAGGTAAGTGGGAGCCTAATTAGCTAAAAAAGCAGCAGTCTGTGTATGTTTGCAGGGATTCTTAAATGCATCACCTTCACATATCCAAAAGTAGAGATCAGGTCCGGCTGAAGATGGAGCCCCAAGTATAGCCTACCCCCCTGCTTCCCAGAAGTGGTGTGGTGCAGAGCCCGTGTGGTGCAGCGGTTAGTGTACTGAACCTGGGAGTCCCGGGTTCAAATCCCCGCTCAGCCATAAAGCTCACTTGTATGACCTTGGGCCAGTCACTGCCTCTCAGCTTAAGCTGTGAGGATGAGAATTGTGTGCATGTCACCTTGAGCTCCTTGGAGGAAAAGGTGGGATAAAAATGGTACGAAATAATACAATCACTGCTGCAGTTTCTTTGTAGGAAAGCTTTTGTAGTGCAAACACAACCCAAAAACAGCAATATGAAGCAACTTTGGTACCAACAAATACAAATTTAAATATATTTTTTTAAAAAAAATAAGCAAGAAGGTGGACTAAGCAGATCCATTAAGCTTTCCCACTTACCCAGCTCTGAAGTTTATGGCTGCAGCTACTGCATTTCCAGACCCACAAGGGAGAATACCAAGGGGCATTTTTATGGCTTCTTCCCAGTCCGGCCGTTCCATCAAGCCATTAATCACCTGGAAGGAAGGAAGGAAGGAGGAGATAGGAAAGTATTCATAACCTACAATCCTAATAACGCAGGAAATGGGATGTGTGTTGGGGGGGGGGGCAAGAACAGCAGTCTGCAAATTCATGATCCAAGAAACCCAAAATTCTCTCACTTAAGGAACTGGGAGAGCAAAGACAGCTGGACCTTCCGCTTTTGATCCATTCCAGCAACGTGCCTTGTAAAGGGAGGGCTGGGGGGAATTCTAGGCCTGGTTCTAGTCGCAGGTTCTGGGCCCTGGAAAGTCCCTGAAGATAACAAGTTCAAAACCCAAACAGGGGCACCAAAGCCTATCATGCATTTTCTTCACTGCTCTAATTTGCAAAAATCTGAGTCAGGCTTTTTTGATGCAGTATTCAAAAGAAGAAGTACACCAGGACATTCACACACATGCCCCAAAGCAATGAATTGGGTCTTATGTGCCACAGTTCTAAGGGAGCACAAAAGGGCAACTCAGGAGACAAGTAACAGGAATAAACCCTAGTGAGTAGCCTAAGGGGAAGGTTCCAGGAGGCTGGAAGGCCAGTGCCTTGGCTAGCACTTTGTGAACAATACCTCATATAGAAGCCCATCTCCTGAAATGGATACAATGCCATCCCACTCAGCCAAGTTGATGTTCTGTACCAGCTCCCGGGCATGGTTCTGTCTCTCTGGGCCAGAAAAGGAATAAATAGCATACAGATTAGTAGCAATTCAAAGCCACACTCCCACCCGAAGAAACTGATTCAGCGGCTGACCACCAGGATACGATTTTGACCTGTTCTCTATGTCTTGTCCTAAGCGGCTGTCTACAAGTGAATGGAAACAGCAAACTGTTTGGGAGAAATTAGTATTGCTGCTGCTGAAATTATATTTGCATGCATACGTGTGTGTGTGTGTGTGTGTGTGTGCATGCATACATGCATGTACATATACATTATACAAATATAAACGGATGGGCATCACAATTTATTGCTGCTGTGATCGAAAGCTTTGAGGCTATACATTTAGAAGATGAATATACATTTAACTTTCTAGCATTTAATGCTAATGATTACTTAGGAGTTAAGAGCTATTTAAGTGCTCAAGAAGCTTGGCATACCTTCTTTCCGTAATCTAGGATTATTACCCCCTTGTCACAGGTTGCTGTACAGAAGGACTGAGGCTGCTGTTTGCCTAGCAAGTTGGTGGCCGAGGCAACATTTCAACCAGGAACTTATGGCTCACAGGTTCTATGGCTCTTGCCTAGCTGCCGCCACCACCACCACTACTACTGCTGCTGTTTTTTGTTTAAACAAAAGTAAGGTAACGGTAAAGGGACCCCTGACCATTAGGTCCAGTCATGACCGACTCTGGGGTTGCAGCATTCATCTCACTTTATTGGCTGAGGGAGCCAGCGTACAGCTTCCGGGTCATGTGGCCAGCATGTCTAAGCCGCTTCTGGCGAACCAGAGCAGCGCACAGAAACGCCGTTTACCTTCCCGCCGGAGCGGTACCTATTTATTTACTTGCACTTTGACGTGCTTTCGAACTGCTAGGTTGGCAGGAGTAAACAAAAGTATCTGTTCCCAAATATTGCTGTGTTCCCATTTCTAACTGAGTTTCACTAAAGTACTTAAGAGTAGCCCAGCTAGTTCGGTAAAAAAAGAGCCCCACAACAAATGCATGATGATGACAGCAGCCCTCCTTTTCTGTAGATCCCCCGTTGTCTTATATTCAAAGATAGACTGCCCCTAAACACGCTGGCTCCATTGAGCTAGTATGGCTCAGAGTCACCAATAAGAACCAGCCTCCTCCAATTTGTCTAACCCCCCCCCAACTCCACTTTTGAATCCATCTACAGGCTGTGTTTCCTCTCCCCACATCCACAGGAAGAGCTGATGGTCACCAAGCTAGATGGCTTTGAAACAGGATTAGACAAATTCACACCCACGCTCTGCGTCCACAGTGGGAAGCAACAATACTTCTGAATACCATTTGCTGGAAACCACAGCTCGGAGGGTTCCCCACTAGCATCCGGCTGGCAGCTGTGAGGACAGGATGCTGGGCCAGACGGGTCTCTGTCCTGGTCCAGCTGGCTCTCCTTATGTTCTTACCCCCCACAGCATCCATTCCCCTTCCCCTTGAAGGCCACCTTCCTTCTGCTGCCACCTCACCTGTCTGGATCAAGTTGAAGCCGATGTCAGCCTCTGTGATCATGGGGAGGATGTGATTCTGGCACCACTGCAGGGCATTGCCCTTGCCTCCAAAGGGGTTCAGCAGCAGGAGCAGGCGACGGGGACGGGGCAGGAGGCTGCGGCTGATCTCTGGTTTGAGGGGAGAGAAGAGGGTGAACTAATCAGGTGTTTCATTTCCCCTGTTTGAGCTGCATCTGCTCAAACAAAACAAGTTTCTTGCAAAACAAGCAGCTGCCTGTGCGGTAAAGCTTTGCTGCTACTGATTATTATTATTAAGGCATCAAGGACCAGCTTCACACATTACTATAGATCCGGGGAACTTCTGACCCTCCTGATAATGTTGAACTCCACTTCCCACCGGCCCTGACCACTGGCCACACTGTCTGGGGCCAATAGGAGTCCAGTCCCATGGGAGGGGGCTGGCTCCTCAAGGACCTCCTCTCTCCATATGAACCTACCTGGCCCTTGCAAACATCCTCTGAGGCCTTCTTTGTGTGCCTCCTCCACGAGAGGTCTGGAGGGGGCCAACACGAGAATGGGCCTTTTCTGCAGTGGCTCCCCATTTGTGGAATGCTCTCCCCAGAGAGGCTCACCTGGTGCCTTCATCATACAACTTTAGGCACTAGATGAAAACGTTTCCCTTCAACCCTTCCCTTTGGCTGATTGACATCTAAGGCCCTTTTAAGTGTGTTGTGGAAGGGGGGATTATTGGGTTGTCTTTGTCTATATATCTTTTGTGTTTTTTATATTGTAGTTTTATGTTGTGAGATCTACAGGTATAGGGCGGTATACAAATTTAATAAATAAAAATAAGTAAATATCTGCATGACACATTTGACAGACACACCACAAAACCGATTTCAGAAGTGCTCGTGACACTGCAAGACATTCACACAGCAAGTGTGCATTCCCACGTGACATGGGTAGCTGGGAGTTCATGCCCTAACAATGTACAGTCATACCTTGGAAGTCGAACGGAATCCATTCTGGAAGTCCATTCGACTTCCAAAATGTTCGGAAACCAAAGCATGGCTTCTGATTGGCTGCAGGAAGCTCCTGCAGCCAATAGGAAGCCGTGGAAGCCCGTCAGACGTTCGGATTCCAAAGAATGTTCGCAAACCAGAAAACTCACTTCCGGGTTTGTGGCGTTCGGGAACCAAAACGTCTGATTACCAAGGCGTTCAGGATCCAAGGTACGACTGTACATTGGAGGCAAATGCCCAAACTGTGGTCGTTGCTAGCTTTTGCCTGTGGAGGCTTGCTGATCCCAGATGCCTGCTGTGAATGTCTGGAAAACTAAAGTGGAAATCTGATCAAAGAAATCTAGTCAATAAATTATACCAAGTCTGAACTGATTCCGTCTACCTGGATGAATAAAACAATAGTTCTGAAGATGCTTTCTTTGTTTTGATAGTTGATCTATGTAATTGTCTGAGCAGAAGCAAGCCTTCCTTGGTGCAAAAGAAGCAGGAAATGCTTCTCTTGCAATGGCACAGCCTCCACCCATGATTTTTCCATAAGCACTTGTAGTAAAAAATTGTTTTCTCAAGCCAGTGTCACAGAGGGATTTAGCGTGCTGGAAAGACCCAGGTTCAAATCCTCACTCGGCCATGAAATTGACCATGTAACCTTGAGCAAGTCACTCTCACTCCATCTCACCTTACTTCACAGGGTTGGTGTGAACATTAAATGGAGGTGGAAGAAGTACAAGGCCCTTGGAGGAAGGGCAGGATGAAAATGTCGTCAAAGTAAGCACATAAAAAAATAACATTTTTATAAGGCATTCTCCACCCAGCTGAGTCAAACCAGCTATCTTGTATGTCTAAAGGACCTTAGGTCTGTTCTTTCCCTCTGTTTATTCAAAGTGATGTATTTTTAACTTTATTTTTATTCAAGTTCTTACAAAGGAATAAAGAATTCTTTAAAAACCATGTTTTTTAAAGGTTGGCTGACCTTGTTTCCAAACCTGCTGCCACTTGAGCCTGATCAACAGATTTATTTATTTTTAATATCTACTAATGTAGAACATTTAATCTGCTAAACAGTGTAGCCCCAGTGAGCACCACAAGAGAAACAAGGGTGGATGCTGACATTCACACAAATACCATTTCCAGTTTTCATGGGTGGGGCTGAAAGCGTTCATGTATTCTTAGACATTAACCGGCAATCCCAGACACATTTTCTGTTCATCACTGGGATGTACAACACACACACACCCTGGAAAGCTCATATTTGCAGTGGCCTCTAGTTTAAAGTCACTTGTTTCTACAGTGACTTCTTATGGTACTGCAATATGCAGCTGACTCTGGGGAGGGAGCTGTCACTTAGACCACAAACAGATTTTCAGGAGAGTTAAAGGTGATACTGAGAGTCATCATTTCCTGTGGTTTTCATTCATGTATGTGCTTTTTTCAAAAACCGTGGTCTCACCTTCGCTAGCCTTTACAGGGCACCGAAAACCCAGAAATAATGTTTAACCACAAATAGTGTAATTGAGACAGAAATTAAAACTGTGTTTGCTCACCATGACTAATGATAGCTGCCATGCCACCTTTAGCTTTCAGGGCGGGGGAAGTATCACTCCTCCTCATCCTTATATAGGTGCCTTATATAGGTTGCTTGTCTTTTTAAAGCCATTCCTTACAAGAGTATCAACCCTCGCTAACCTGCACACACACCCAGCGCCTTCCTCTTAGCCCGAGCCACACCATACATTTAAAGCAAAGAAACTGTAGCTCAGCCCTCAGAGAACTAGAATTCCCAGAACCCTTTTAACTAAACTAGAAAGTCTGGCTGAGAAGAAGGTAGCAGGCTGGCTTTGGCTCCAGGGCTGCAATGCTGTGGCAGGGGAAAAAACAACCCCGCAAGTCCCAGGATTCTCTGGGGGAAACCATGTGTTTTTAAAAGGATGGTGTAGCTCTACAGTCTCCGCTGGAATCATCTCGAAATGCTGACTGTTCCTGGCATGAGGCTGTGACCTAGAAATGGGAATCCCCACCACTACAGACTTCCCGCTAGTTTTCCAAGGGCAAAAACACATGAGATAAAAAAGCATCCAGGCAGGCAGGAAGCCTTAATAACTAAGGAAGGAAGCTCTGCAGCCTGAGGCTCCAAAATAACTAATCCATCTTGGAAGGCAGATACTAATTTGGAAATACCCACAGAGCATAACTGGTTATGCCAAGCGGGAGGCCAAACGCTCTCTGGGCTGTACCTAAACTGAAGGTAGCACTTCGCTGTGCAGCCAAGGTCGCGGCCAGCTGCATTCAGTGGCGCAAGGCTTTCATAAGACTTTCAGGTATCTTGAACTCCTTTCATAATTCTGGAGGGAACACCCAACGAGAAGAGCTTGTGCCCATTTCAATACAAAGAGGAACAAGATGAACTTTAAAGAGATGTAGAGACAGAGCATTCATTAGGGTATTCCTTTGAGCCAAATTTCACAACGTTGGGATACTTTGGGGAGGGGAAGCCATTAGGTGTCAAAACTGCGAGAGGCAATTTAAACATTGCAGGGGGTTGGGCTGGATGACCTCAGGGTCCCCTCCAAGTCTACAATTCTAATTTCCTCCCTGTTGTAATAGTTTTGCTGCTGACAGGGGGAGCAGAAGAGAGTTAAATCCTCCCTCAGTGCCTTCTCTGATTCCATTTAATATCCACCCGACCCGACCAGGAATTTGCATTTTTAAAAACTTGCATCTTACATATAAAGAATATAAGGGACTGGAGCTCCCCCCCTTTTTTTTAAGCCTCTGGGTCCAGGGAGGACCTCTTTAAGAGGTGGGCATAACTCACTCCTGAAGCGAGGCATTGCCCACTTCACTGACCCTTTTCACTAGCCACAATGGGCAGGTAAATCAAGAATATGTAAAATATGTAGAATATGTGGACTGCAGGTGAAGGGTTTTGTGCGTGGCCAACCTTTGTGACAAATAAAAACATGTCTAATGGAAAATAATAGTCAGGGATATGGAAAACAAGTCCTACAAGGCAAGGCTGAAGAGCACGTTTAACCTGAAGATAAGAAGGCTAAGGGGACTCATAATAAGACAGAAAAATTTGTTCTCTGAGGGCCCAAAGGTCAGGACTAGCTCTCATGAGGTAAAGCAGCATTCCTGAATCTGGCGTCGTTAGACTCCAACTCCCATCAGCCCCAGCCAGCGCAGCCTGTGGTAAAGGATTAAGGGAGCTCTAGTCCAACAATGCCAGAGGCCTATATGCCCCCAAGTGAGCCAGGCCACAGGGAGAAAAATGCTTCACAAGAAATGATAGCAGCAACTTTGTTCCCCTTCCTTCTTGTGTTGAGGGCAGAGTATGCATACAGGTATCCAGTTTTATGAGAAAACAGTGGGAAAGGCACGTGCAGGAGATACCCATGGGAATGTTTTGCCCTGAGAATGAATGCAATCTGCGAGGAGGCCTTGCTGATGAAGAGGCAGGGTTGTGAAAACAGGAACTTGGCTCCGTCCTCAGTGGCTCCCACAGGGTTCTGGGGAATGAAACGAAAAGCCACCTGCACTGCAATCTGGGACACGGATGAAAGAGCACATAACATGCGTGGCACATGAGGGAGATCCGGACTGCTTAGGGTAATGAGAGGCGAGGTTGCACTGTGAGCTATGTGCATAGATAGATGTGCCATCTCCGAGTGCCTTCTGGTGGTTCCCTCACTGCAAGAAGTGAAGTTGTAGGGAACCAGGTAGAGGGCCTTCTTGGTAGTGGCGCCCTCCCGGTGGAGCGCCCTCCCATCAGATGTTGAGGAGATAAACTACTACTATAAATTTTCCAGTATTGGGAAGTTTTTTAATGTGCGGTGCTTTGCTGTGTTTTTATTACGTTGCAAGCTGCCCAGGAGTGGCTGGGGCAACCTAGTCAGATGGGCAGGCTATAAGTAATATATTATTATTAATGCATTATTATTATTATTAAGGCCAGGAAAGTTACCATCTCTACAATCCAGGCTGAGGAAGGATGGAGAGTTCGGCTACCCCTGCCACTACATTACCATGCTTGGGGTGTTGCAGGAAGGGACTGTTCTCCTTTAAGGGCAGACTCGCTTTCTACACTGGGCACAGAGGAGTGCTCTGGCTAGCCTTTGCCGGCCCACCTGCTGCGCCACCAGGGCAGGGCTTGGTGATTCAAGACCCAGGGGGCATCGCTCCATTGGGTGGGCAGTAGCGCACGCACGCACGCACACACACACCTGCTAAAGGAAGCAAGGCTGTGTCACCATGTTCTGAAGGGAGTGAAGGACTCTACAAGGCCATCTACAGGCTCTGTTCAGTCCAGAGACAAAAATTACTTAGCATGAACGCAATTGGAGTCTGCTGAATCAGGCCAATGGCCCATCTTCTCCAACATCCTGCTCTCACCGCAGCTGAGCCTGCAAGGTGGACATGAGAGCAACAGCAACTCGTGCCATTTGTGATTCCCAGCGCCTGATATTGAGAGGAATGGTGCCTCTGACAGTGGAGGTAAAAAATGAAACCACTGTGGCTAACAGGCACTGATAGTCCAAAATATAAGGTGGCTGGTTGTTGTTGCTGTTTTTCTGCAAAGCTGCCATTTATTCTGGGGGCGCCGCGGGGGAAGAAAAATAAAAAGTGCCACACTTTGGGGTGGGGAAAACAGCTTTAAGTTTGTAATGTTCCACGACCTAATCTGTCAGGGCTTCCTTGCAAGAGACTCTGAGTAAAGGATGGGGAGACATTAGGCAAAATCAGCAATGGGGCACTGACATCCAGTGTGGCACAGGGGTTAGAGTGCCAGACTAGGATCTAGGAGACCAGAGTTCAAATCCCTACTCAGCCACAAAGCTTCCTGGGTGAACTCTGGGCCAGTCACCGTCTTTCAGCCTAAACCTACCTCACAGGTTTGTTGTGAGGATAAAATGGAGGGAGAGAACCACACACACCCCACTGGGAGCTCCTTGGATGAAAGGTGTGATTTATACACATAATAACAAACAGAATTGCTTCCTGCAATTTCTTTGTAGTTTGTGCTTACTCAGCACAAACACAGTCCCAAAACATTGGTGAGAAACTACTTATTCATTTCCCTGGCTCCCTAATATGTCTTGTCCAGGTTTAAGGAGGCCCTTGGCTGTGTGTGTTGTCACTGTCACCACTGCAACTTGGCTGCTGCGACCTTACTGGGTGGCAGATGTGGCTACCCAAAGAAGCCCGAAACAAACTATATCAAGTGCTCTGAGCCATTGCTGGAAAGTTAGCATGGGTGCCCTCCTTCCCAGTGCAGGGATCAGCAATTGTGGGTGGGGGGGAAGGGGGCTGGAGCCAGGTAGCTGCAGGAGAATGCCAGATGCTGACACCTGGGCCCGGGGTGTCTTCATCCCTGGACTATGGAAGCCTGCGGGAAGGATCAGCGCCTTTTCTTAAAATCACTTAAGTGCCCAAAAAATCGGCTTCTGAGAGGTTTGCAATGTAGAAAAACCAGCTAGGCAAAGAGTAACCTAAAGAAAACAATCCCAATCAAACACTGAAGTATAAACAGAATTAAACAGAATTAAAGTATGCAAAACCATCATTAGCAACCCATGATTAAAATATACAATAAAATGAGTCCTTTCAAACATTACAGTAACAAAGACAGGTGTGCTTAGCCAGGGCACGGCTATCTATGGTAGGGGGAGGGGGAGGCACTGCTGTACAACCATGATCTGTACAACAGGCAAGAGGGAACTGCTGCTTCATTTCCTCACTCTTAGGATCTGGCCACTGGTTGTGCTTGCTGGGGCTGATGGGAGTTGTAGTTCAACATCCAGAGGGCCAAAGGTTCCCTCCACTCTGCTCGGAGCAGAGAAAGCAGGAGCTGCTGCAGAACCAGGGCACCCTAGGGACCCACAAGGGTGGGGCTCTTGGCAGCAACCCAGCAATGCCCACCCCTGATGCCCGTCCCGATTCCCAGAGGAGGGGAAAAACAACAACATGCAGCCAGAAAATGCAAATAGGGTCTACAGAGTAATAACGCAAGAGATGTCCTCCAGCATTCCTGTAAATATTGCCAGTGGGAATTACGTAAGGACTGTGTTGTGCCCATGGGCCAACCTTGTGCCCATGAACAACAGAGAGAGTGAAAGCACTCACAATGATGGTGAAATAGTCCCAGGAGTTTCAACACACAGGACGATAATGATCCCCGAGTCCATGTGGATCAAGGCAACCCTTCAGGCAGGTCTTGTGCCATTCTCAACCCACTGTTTTGGGACACACCATACACAGAAAAGGAATGCGGCTCCCTAAGCCAAGCATAGGCAAACTCGGCCCTCCAGACGTTTTGGGACTACAATTCCCATCATCCCTGACCACTGGTTCTGCTAGCTAGGGATCATGGGAGTTGTAGGCCAAAAAAATATCTGGAGGGCTGAGTTTGCCTATGCCTGCCCTGAGCAACAAGCTATTGTCCACCCCTGTCCTATATGCCTCAGCTGGCGTAATTCAAGGGTACAATTGCACCCTTAAGCACTTCATAAGTAATAATTTATATTCTGACTCTCTTGCAAAATGATCAGAGCAGCCTACACTCCCACAAGCTCCAGAGAACACAGTCAAGGGACAGGGATGTTGAGAGCTGTTGTTCTGCAACATCTGGTGAGCCAAAGGTCCCCCACACAGCTGTGCATGTAGAAGAGGCCTGTCCAACAGGTCGATCTCCTGACCCTGAATGATCTCCCCCCCACAAAAAAAATCTCAACTTTGCCTTTCCAAAGTTGTTCACTGCCAATTTTTTTTATAGTGGGAGTAGATCGCAGTCTCTTGGGAGTTGGACATGCCTGATGTAGAAGTTCCCAATCATACCAACTAATTCTGCCAGGCCCCTTCAAGTGAGCTGTGAAGTTGTTTTGGCAAAGCCAAGGCCAATCTTCAGCTCATGGCAGACACTGGACAGGGAGAGCCAGAACATTGACCAGACCCAACGTAAGTCTTTCCCATTTCTAAAAGTTGGCAGGTGCCCCTGCAGAACTTGTTAAGATGGTTTTGGCGTTTCTCCAGCAAGTGGTTAGCTTTTTCCTATTTGCTTTTGGCACACTTGTGGAAAAAAGACAGACAGATACCTCTCACTCTCACAGTAATAAAGATATGCAGCCTGGATTCCATCACATCCTTTGATAAAACCACCCCACACAAGTCACGTAAATGTTAATTTGTTCCCAACCAGGTGCAATTCTGAACAGTGATAAGACATCAGAATCCACGCTGGAACATCCTGGCCTCCCACAATTCATAGTCTTTCTCACAGTTTATTTGCTACCGCAATCACATCTTGCCTTCTAGATCTCTTGCTCAGTCCCATTCATTCCCAGGCCACCTATCCACATTGCTGCCTGACGTTCCTCTCTGGTCTGCTGAGGCCAGCCACTTCTCAGCCTCCACTGACCTAGCAGCACTCATGGGTGCTACCAATGAGTCTTCCAGACACGGGTGGACTACAGCTCCCATCAGCCAGAATGGCCAATGGTCAAGGATGACGGCAGTTGCAGTCCAACAACACCTGCAAGGGAACTGTGGAGATGGGCATATTATTGCCATGTTAAGTGGGATGAAAGGCAACCATTTTGTTACTCTTTAAAAATCAACTTAATCTTTAGATTTAAAGACCTCTAATCATCATGAGGGCATCGTGAAGCCTGTTCCACACACAAACAAAAGCAGAAATCCCTTAAGAATGCAAGCTTGCATCTTAGTAACGCTTTTCAGCACAAGAGGCCACACAAAGAGGGATATATATACACACAGCAACAAGGAACTGGAAAAGAGATGCTGTCTTATTTAAGCAGAAAGTGCTTTTCACACACACTGAGTTTCCAAGCACCAGGTTAGGCCTAGTGGCTCTATTAAATGGCGGGGGCAATGAAGATGTGTCCTTCTCCACTTGCGTGTTTAGAGTCCCCTCCTACTAAAATATCAACTTCAGGGGATCAAGCCACTAAATATTTTATTTCCATTCTGGTTCAGCTGCAGCCGAGGTGGTTCCAGCTTCAGGCCAATCAATGCTCAGTAACCAGTTTTGCACAGGCTTCGTTCCGGTTCACGTGAGAAATATTAAAATAGAAAGGTGCAATTGTTATAATCACAGTGCAGTGAAGAAAACTAATACAGTATGTTAAGTGTTGCAATTAAGTGTCAGCAGCAGAAAGTACTACGCAAGCAAGAAAGAAAAACAATGGAGTACTTAAAACTTGTGCACTTTAATTTAAAATGACACAGAGACTTTCATAATAGGTAAAGGGGGGGGGGAGCACAGGTTGCCCATCTAGGTATACAACTGGAAGTATCTGCTTTGACTCTGAGGCAGTAGTGCTTCTGAACACCAGTTGCTGGAAACCATGGAGGCAGGGGGAGCGTGCTTGTGCTACTTGTGGGTTTCTCACAGGCCAGTGTGAGAACAGTGTAATTGACTAGACAGACCATTGGCCTGACCCAACAGGCCTCTTCTTCTGCTCTTATCACTTCGGAAACATATTTTTCATGCTATCATGTAATTTCCTTGGAAATGGTGTTGTGGCTTTCCCCAGCTGACACTTTGCAGTAATTTTTCAGTTGCCCCTTTTGCAGAGCAGCTCCCAGCTTTTGAATTGGTCCCCACAACCATTGCTAGTGATGCAAAGGAAAGGCTTCTGCAGTTCAAAGCTATGCCAGGCTGAACGCCATTTTGTAGGGCCGTTCGCAGTGGGTTTAAAATCGCAGAATTGTGGACTCGGAAGGAAGGGACCCCAAGGCTCATCTAGTCTAGCTGCCTTCCGTACAGGAATCAAGAGTGAAACGATCCCCAGCAGCTGGCTATCCAACCTGTTAAAAAGCCTTCAGTGAAGGAGATCCCACTTTCTGAGGTAGTCCATTCCACTGTCAAACTGCTCCTACTGTCATACAGTTCTTCCTAAAGTTTGTCTGGAATCTCCTTTCTTTGTCATTTGAATCTGCTGGTTCGCGTCCTCCCTCCGGAGTCACAGAAAAACAAGCTATGGAACCATCTTCCATGAAACGAACAACCCTTCATATACTTGAAGATGACTGACATATTTACTTCCCAGTCTTCTCTTCTCCAGGCTAAACATACCCAAGTCTCTCAACCGTTCCTCATACTAACTGTAACCCTTCCGGCAGCGACATTATTTTTGGTTTCCTAAGTGCTTGGCTATACAGTCAACAGGTCAAGCAACCTAGTATTCTTTTTTTTTTTTAACAGTGCCATCAACAACAGCAACCAGGAGTGTGTGTGGAGGACAGTCAACAGCCTTGAAGTGGTGAGCCTCTTTTCAATGTCTTCCAGACTTCATTGTGTATCCACCTTCTTCAGCCTACCCAGCTTCTCTCAAACAGATGAACTACGCTCACTTGAGAACTCTTCTCCTGGAACTTCTGTGGCAAACTTCACCTCTTTTCAACCAAATCTGGCCAACTGTCCGCAATGGCAGAGCATAGGCCTTAGCAGCACCCAGGACAAAAGTGTTTGGTTACTCAGGAGGGAACGCTGCCCTTTAATATCCCTCATCGCAACCGTTATTGGAACAAGTAGTCCACCAACAAGAAGTTGTATACCTAAATTACCAAGAACAGTGCCATATGAAGTCTGGTTGCACAATCCAACATCGTGCCTTGGAGCCTGTTTGATCAATTTCACCCCCAGTAGTATTGTTTGTATAGGCTGAAGGTCCAGGTGTGCTGCGCCTCGGGCAGGAACAGATTGCCAACTCTGCACAATCAAAATACCCACCCTCCCACCCACACATTTAATCCTCTTTATAGATCTCCAATCTTCTATTATGATGCCTTTCATAACAGAAGGTCTAACCAGCACACAAGGAGGGTGCATGGCGGCATGGGGGAGGGGCTCTGCAGTGGGCAGCAATGGTGCCCTCCCCCTTTCCCTTCCTCCAACAGATACTCTGCAAATGCTTAGGTTGGTCCCCACTTCCCTGTCAAGGTTTGAGTTCACACCTGCTTGAATGGACTCCATAAGGTCCTTATTCCATTTCCCATTTTCCTATGCCCCCAATCTGAGGTTAATCTGGGGCTTTGTCTTACACTAGCAGCCTTGCGTCTGGCATTGCTCAGGAATTCTAAGAAACTAAAAAAATAATAAAGTAAACTACCAGTGAAGTTTTAAAATAGGTGGTTAAAAACAGTGGTTTTCAAAGGTTCCATCCCCCATCTTGCTTCAAAATGGCAACCCATTATATCCATACATAAGATAAAAACCTGCTCCTTGACCTCAGGAATCATCATGCCAAAGTTGGTTACAATATCTTAAGTGAAATCCAAATGCTTTCCAAAATACATAGTAGATTCCCATGCCTGTTCTCAATGTATATGTAAAGTCCACGGGATAGACACGAAATATGTCCTAAAGCACCCATCTTGTATTGTGGGGTCCTCTTCACACAGACGCCTCAGGTTCAGCTCTCCTGATCACACCCCTGTAAAAGAGGAAGGAGGCCTACTCTACAAAAGCACCAGCATGTGGTAGGAACGAAATGCTTAGGAGATTGCAAGGTGGGCAGGATGAACTGTGTACCACTTCAGACCAGCCTTGTATTGAAGCACTAGCCTGGGTAGCCAAAGGCGAAAAGGAGCTGCATTGCAGGCGAGTGAGAAGACTAGTGGATGGAGGACAAAGGAGTCTCCCTCTCCCCTGTGCCCAGCAGAGAAAGCAAACGCACTGCAAGAGGAGGAAAGCTGCCCTGGAGATAGGCAAATATTATGCTGTTAATCCCTTTTAATAGATTGCCCAACGCAAATGAAACCAAGCAAGTATTCACATTGAAGACAAGGCCACAAACACACAAGCATACGAGAGTTGCCAAACCTGCAGTAAAGGAGGCACAGCCCTGACAAATGGCTAAGATCTGTAAAGTTTTGACAGGTTGAGGAGAAAATCAATGTTTCAGCCACTCCCTTGGCCCCACTTGCTTTTCTTTCCTAACTTCCAGGCAGGGTTAGAAACTCAGACATATAAGCTAGGCACCAAATGGCTCCTTCAACCAAGGTTACAGTAGCCAAAACGGAATGTCTAGTTGTCATTTGGGGGCAAGATGGTGGTAAAGTCTTATTTTTCAAATGATGGACTGACTGTGATTGATTATCAGTTAAACATCTGGCTAGTTCAGATGACATCCTTGAGCTAGGCTAAAAGCTTCGAGAAATTAAAAGAAGAAAGGTCACTTTGTCCAGGGATAGCCCACATATATATTGGCCTATTCCATCCTCTTTTTCTTAATGGTCCATTCATAACATAAGGAGATTCTTCACAACTGTGAGCAGGACAGTGGGTTGGGGCAGGTGAAGACAAGTAACAACAATTAACTATAATGTCATTTATTGCTCCTGCTCAGGCTGCACAGAAAAAGCATTTCAGTTCCTGAAATTTATGCTGACTGTGCAGATAAAATATAACTGATAGAATTCTACAGGATGTGGTATTAGTTTGTGAAAACAGTTAAGATCCCCAAGCATGCACCTCCAGATAGTGGAGATGTCGGGCACTATCCTGGCACCCAGGCGTAGTCACTTGGTCTCAAGTGGCTGCTAGCCAAGGCCAAAATGCCCCTGGCTAATTCCGAACACTGCTTCCAGGCCCACCTACCCCCACTGCAGCCTTTCGTCGTCGTCCCCCTTGCAAATGGAGGGCAAGCCTTCAACGCTTAGGGACATGGCCAAGGTGGGACTGCATTTACCACCTCACAGTGTCCAGAGCGAAAAATAGGTCTGGGAGCCTCTCAAGAATGTCCCAGGTGACCACCTGCCGACTTAAACTCACACTCCCACCAAACTCAAGGGAAACTACTAAGATCTGAGATCTACACAGTCCTGCCCTGGGTTCTCTTTACGGGCCAAATTAAAGCAGAGGTGCTGAACTTCTTTTTTTTCAAGCAGAAGAGCCCAGATGGGAAAAGCCCATCTGGAATCAGCATGTCTGTGGTGGGTGCAGCCAGAAAATGAGCGTGGCAACACATGAATACACACATACACCCACCCAGCCCAGCACATGGCAGAATGGTGGTAACTGGTGTTTATCCATCTAGATGGCTGGAAGGTATGACTTGTCCTGTATTCACTTCATGCATTTTAGCTAAACATTGGAATATGATCAGTTGAAGGAAATGTTAGCAAAATGCATTTTCGCGTCCTTAATCGGGGAAGTGAAAGCAAACACCAAGGATTTCGGGTACGGAAGATTCCAGAGCTCTATTTCTAACAGCACAGGGCTGGGCTCCCGACACTCCAGCCAGCCTTGGTCAAAGGTCAGGGATAATGGGAGCTGAGGAGTTCAGCAATATAGAAAGCAGATATGTCCCATCCCTGCCTCACAGGAAAAGCCAGTCCCACAACCAGCCTGCCACTATCTCAGGTGTATGCAGACATAGCCTGTGTAAGTGAAGTCCTATACACTACCCAGAAATAAGCACATTTGAAGTTCAAAGGGACTTATCCGAGGTAAGCATGAACGGAACTGCAGTCTTTATTTTTATTTTTTAAAGGAGTCATGGGAGATTTTTCTCCACATGGTTCCCATCCACTTTTACATCATAAGTATGTGTAAATCAAATGCTGGGTTCAGTTATCAGTCTTGTCTTCCTCTTCCTGCTCTTCAGGTAGAAAGATTTGGCGGGGGGGGGGGTGATAAATGATAATTTGACAGCACCACTTTTATTGTTTTAAAAACTCATTCTATCATCTCATTATTCTTGTTTTTTTAAAAAGGCACCACCCACTTTAGAAGTTACACTGGTGTAGACGAGGTTGATGGCAGGCGAGTTTGTGACATCACAGACTGCCAGCTTCTGCTGCAAATGTACAGACCTTATTCTGCCCATGAGCTTACCCCTTAAATGTTGTTCAACTCCCAACTCCCACCATCCTCAGCCAGTATGGCCAATGGTCAGCGAGAGTGGGAGCAGTAGCCCAGGAACATTGGAGGGCACCATGTTGGCTACCCCTGCTCTGAGACAGAGGGAAAAAGAGGGGGAACTTCATTTGAACAGAACGCAGCAAGAGCACTTTCAGAGCATCTCCGCCTTTCAACTAATGTTATGAACTCCCTACACACCCCATTCTATAAAGCCAAAAACTACAGTAGTGCCAGAGGCAAGAATCTTACAAAACTCTGTGTATTACAATTATTCTCATGTTATGTACAAGTTTAGTACTATAATCCTCTGCCCTGCAAGATAAGCTGGGTCATTTAGTAAGTATCTCATTTAATAAGTTAATAAAATACTGCAGAAGCTAAAGGTTCCAAGAATCATAGGGAGGGTCTGCCAGCATTACTGGTTTAGGAGGATGGACTCCAGGATATCTCCACCTAGGCCAGCCTTTGCTAGCCAGGCATCCTCCAGATCTTTCAGACCACAAACCTCACCAGCCACAATCAGTCCAACAGCTCTCTAAGTCAAGAGAGAGATTGTGGGGATAGACAAAACATTATAAAACTAAGGGATTTTGGTATCTAGGTCTCCTGAGTTCTTGAAGACAATATTAGGAGCAGAGACACGGTAGTAAACCTATTTGATTTTGTGGAGGAGAGTGTTAGACAAACTCTACATATTTGGCAAAATCACATGGCAGGGGCTTTTTTAAAAACACTTCCCTATTTTGGAGGGGGTGGGGAGGAGCATATCAGGGGAAGGGCTAGCATTGAACACCTCCCTGATGGGTCAGTTTTCTACAAGCAAGAAGGATTTTATAGGTGAAGCATTAAAAAAAATTGGTGATAACCCACCTACAATGTGAAGCATCAGAGTCTAGGAAAGGCTACCACTTGTAAGTAGCGAGGACTCATAGTTTCTCTAGGCAAGAAGCAACACTCAAAGGATTGTGCAGGGCATCCCTTACCTGTTTCGCTCGAGATGGGGATCCCCAAGACCAGGCACTTGATGGCAGCTGCCCACCTCTCAGCCACTTTTAGGTTATCCTCGTAGCACTCTGCGCTGTCCACCTGAAAGGTCCTCGCAGTCCGCTGCCGCACCCGCCCAGAGCTCACCGCCACCTTCCTCTTCTTCAGCGGGTAAGCGTAGACACTGAAGAAAGCTGACTGGTTTGCAATTGTGTGGCTGCGCATCGTGTGGCAGCCCACCACATCAATCAGCTGCAACACCGTCCGGTGATCTGTATCTGGCTTGGGCACCAGGCGCTGGATATGCAACTCTGTCCGCGTGAGGCTGAGGGCGTAGCGGGTCCCCTTCGGGGGGTGGGCACCAAATTCTCCATGTAGGAGAGTCTCAGAGCCTTCCCCGCATGCCCCCAAAAACATGTTCATCTCGCTACGGAGCCCCAGCTTTGCAGTTTTGCTTTTCACCTTTTGCTAAGCCTGTCAACAGCTGGTTGCAACTCACTGCAACCGAACCTTTTCCCGTTAACCTCTCCCCCAGAAGCAGCAGATTTAAAGAAGAGGATTTGAAAATCTTTTCATTTCCTTAGTAGATTAAGTGGCTCATGCAGCCCTTTAAACCAAGAAACTTCCTCCACAGCTCAAGCTGCCCAACCGTTTCCCAGGGTTTTCTCTTTCTTCATTGAGCAAGATCCTGTGTGTCAGTAAACAAACAAACAAAAAGTTTTAAAGGGGGGAAGTGTATACACACACACTTTTCTCCTCTTGCTTCTTCACAAAAAGAATGCTATAGGGCAGGGCCACATCAAAAGCCTACAGGACCAAAAATCAACCTGTCTGAGCTACTACAGATTTAGGACAAGAAAGAAAAAAAGGAAGCCTTGCTATCTGTGTAAAGACCAGGGGAGAGAAATGAGATAAAAGCTAACAAAGGTTTTTTTAAAATGTTTGCATTCCCTAACAAACAAGTACTTTTCAGGTGTTTTCAAATAATATGATTTTCACCTTCAGGCAAGGAGCTGAAGAATGTAGTCCGGAAGGTGTCCCAGCAATGAGACTCTCATGAATCCAAATGAGTCACTGAGGATATGCAGCTCTCACTGGGAAGAGATCCCAAGTCCAACAACTTAACAAAGGATGCCAGAGAAGTTTTAGCTGTTCAGGTGATGGTGCTGAGGAGGAAAAAGAAGGAAACAAAAGAAATGTGGAAATACTATTTGGAAAAGGCTGCCTTTAGGACTTGAGCTAGAGGCCAGGTTTGGAGGCTGTCGGTTTTTTAAAAGAACGACTTGCCTAGCATTTCATACCAGCATACTTTGGCAGCTCAGCTTTTAAAAGAGCTTAAGCTATGATCCAGATTGTATATCGCCTTCACCACCTAACACCACTATTTGAAACGAGTGGAGGGCAAGAGAAGACAAATCATTTCACCACCACAAGCTTATAAATGAAATCGAAAGGACGGGAAAGAAAGGCTTTTTTTCCCTAAAGTGCTATAAAAACGTAGTGCAAATGCAGCGGGACTATGAAGTATCCCTACCACCACACACCAAAAAACGAGGCGCCCAACTCACCCCCACTTGGCGCCTTTGTCCAAAGCATACAAGACTACACTGAGGAGAATCAGTGCCTGCTTGGAGTCGGTGGAGCAGAGTCTTGGAAGAGCGAGCGGCGGGGATGGGGGCAATAAAGGAAAACCAAGCAGCTCCGTGCACTTTCGAGCGCCTCCCTCCGACACCTGACAGGCGACGGTCCCCGGCCCCGCTCAGCAGTTCCTTTTCCCTGCCATCCTCTTCCTGTTCGCTCTCCTCTTCGCCCGCCCGCCACCCCCCTCTCGCTCCCTCCCTCCTGCCTCTCCCAGCTCCACGCTCCTTCTCGTGCTCAACTAGGAAGTGCTCTGTTTTCTACCTTGGGGGAGGGATGAGTCGGGTGGAAAGGGGGCGGGGAGAGTTCGCCCTTAGCCTATGAGAGAGAGACAAGGCCTTTCGCCGGCCCATTCAGGAATGCCGCCCCTGCGCGCCGGCGAGTCAGATGCGGCGGCATTGGTGGCAATGGGTGGAGGCTGCCATATTTGTTCAGGGCAAAGGTGTGGAGAGGCAGCGGAGAGGGCCATCTTCACTAAGGGAAGGGAGCCGTAATATTAGAAGGAGGCCGGGTTTTGAAGAAAGGAGAGGTCGCAGGGTTTTGTAGTGGGGGCAAGGTCACAGCGAAAAAGAGACTTGAGTCTATTTCCATAATAAATGGCGGCCATCTTTAGTAAGTGAAAAGGATGGCGTTTCAGTCCGGGCCAGGGGGAAAGGAAGGCGTAGCGGCCATGTAGGACGCGGGCGAAGTTTTAAGGCTTCGCTCGACGTGCAGCAAATCATCTTAAGTAAGGGACAGGGTACGCCTCACGGTAGTTCACGTATTCGCACCATCTTTGAAGTGGTCAAGGCGCGAGGACTTAACACCCTACCCCCCACCCCGACGATAGCAGCCATCTTTGTTACTGGAATGCAGGCTTTGGTTTGTTGCTTCTCTTCGCGTGAGCACCAAATGAGTCGAACAAGTCGCTTTCCATAGGGGCGTCCTCGTATTGCATCCTTCTTTCAAGCAGCTTTTCAAGGGATTTTCGTATTGGCTTCCCCAACTTCACCCAGACATTGCTGATGAAACAAGTTCACCTGAAAGATCTAGTCTATATACACTATTAATGTTGTTATGAATTGGAGGGGTGGGGGCGATTTAGGCTAAATGCCTGGGTCCCCTTCTAATTTCTGGATCCAGCACAGATTCAGTTGTTGGAATAGCCAGGCCAGCCTGGTAATGGCTTGCTAAAGAGGAGTCTTTATGAAGGACGAAGGGTGTGGATCTTTGCCAGAGGGCAAAGAGTGCCCCCCTCCCGTTAGAAAGACCAAAGGGCAGAGTGGAGAGCGGAGTTATGTGAGCTAGAAACTGGAGGCAAACGCTGCAGCCTGGAAAGGCAGAGAGAGATGCTGTGGCTATGGGAGAAGCAAGACTTTTTAGGGTTGATAATGCCATGAGCCCCTCCATCATAGGCTCACGTTGGATATATGTGTAAATAAACCATACGTACTAAAGAAACCACAGTCTCCACTGTGCCACATTCTAAAGATAACTGGAACCCTGAGTAAAGTGCCTGGAACCCCTGGAATCTCACAGCACTCAGAGATTGGAATGACATAAAAATATAATTATTATGTTCAACTTACTGATTGCACGTTGATAGCACCACATGCTTACTGCATTGTTTCCTGTTATAATTGCTGTGTTGCTTTAATGGGATTGTTTTATTTTGTATTTTAATTATGAATGTTCGTATTTTAATGTTTATGTTACGGATGCTCCCACTTTGTAAATCACTGGAAGCCTATTTTGGGATTAAGTGGTCTGTAAAATGATAATTATGATGCAATCAATAAAGAATGGATGATTGAGGAACTGTGGACAGCATCATACACAGTGGTTCTGAGACACCCAACCATAATATGGGAATAACAACAGCCGGACTACATTGCAGAGCTGTTTGTGACTCACTGAGCTCAGGCACAAAACGGCAATATGGAAATAATAACTCTGAATATAAATATATTCCTGTAGAGCATTTCTTTCTTATCTTTTTAAAAGCATCCTTGTTTATATTTTCCTTGCACAATCAGCCCTTAGCTTGAAAAAGCATTGAAATCCTGGTTTTGCTTCTACGTTTTCGGGCGGGCGGGCGGTATTAACTACATGTTGCTGCCCAGCATCAGCTTTGAGATTTCCCTTTCGTTTCCTGTCGGAGAAGTGGTGTAGTGGAAACGATGTACTGTACAGTAAATAAAAGAAACTAGGAAGCTCCGTCTTCGACCCAAGGAATTGTCAGTCTACAGCTGTCGTACGTCTATGGTGCACATCCTAGAATTACTATAGAGAACAGAAGCCACGCCCCTTCCTCCCGTCTCGCCCCTTCCTTCCCCACAATTCTTTGCGCTCCTACAGCCTCTTCCTTTCCCTTTTTTTCCGGGCGCCGCTGACGCTGCCATGGTGAGTCCTGATACCGGAGGGAGGTGGGAGGTGAATCGGTTGCAATCCTTCCCGGGGAGGCGGCGTGAACAGCGGGTGGTGCCGCGCCGGTGTGGAGAAGGGCCTGGAGTGCCCGGGGAGACTTGTATTGGCGGGCGCAGCCGGTGCCTGGAGAGACACCACCGCGGAGGGTGTGTGTGTGTTTGTGTCTTTAGGAGCAGGATGGATTTGGGGCCTAGGAGCGTTGCTGGAGCCGCTTAAGATTGGACAGAGGAAGGGGGAGTCTACACGCGTGTGTGCACGTCCTGACTTTACACAGGGGGAAATAAAAAAACACGTCTTATCTAAAACACGATTACGGGCTCGTTATATGGTAAAAAAGAAGGCAGACGAGAAGCTGCGGCATGCTTTCTCGGAAAAGTTTGCTCTAAATACCCAGCTGAAACGTAGCCGTTCTCTTAGAAAGTCTCTGCGGCTTTGGCATTTATAGTTCTTTCTGTAACAGCCGTTATGGATCTCCACATTTTGGGAAGGGTCGTAGTTCAGTGGCGGGGTATCTGCCTGGCATGTGGAAAGTACCAAGTTCAGTCCCTGGCATTTCCAGGTAGGGCTGGGAGAGATTCTTGCCTGCAAGCTGGGAGAGGTGCTGCCTATCCATGTGGACAGTTCTGAGTTAGATGGACGAATGATCTGACTCTATAAGGCAGCTTCCTGGTTTCTAGAAATACTGCACTTTTCAGCCTTTCAAAGCTGAGTATCTTTTAATAACATGGAGCGTGGACGTTCAGCCTTTGCACAAGGAGCATAATAGCTTTAGAACGGAGATGGGGTTGTAATTCACCATTACCAATAAACAAATAACCTGTGACCCTTCTGGATGTTGTTGAACTCCAGCTCCCATCAATGCCAACAAAAAAGGTCAAGTGATTAGCTCCGGTGGGAGTTTCAGTCTAGCATCATCTTGAAGGGCTGCAGGTTGCCCATTCCTGATGCCAACCAGTGAGGTTTACATCATAGCAGCAGCAGTAGTAGGCGTGGCCATAGTGAGAAAGGAGTATGGAAGATGCTGTTTACTTTTGTGTAATAGAACTTTATCCATGCAGGTGTGAATGGGAAGGGGGGGCATCTTAGAAGCAGAGAATGGGGCAGTTGCATTGAGAATGGATTTTGCAGCTAGGCATAACCCTTGGTTATTCATGATAGAGAAAGAGAGGGGCTTAGCGTGGTGGGTCCTTTGGGCATGTGGGAGGTGAGCATGCAGGCGATTAACAGGTTCTGATGTGAAAGAATGGCTTGGATGAATGGAGCTTGTGTGTGCAGAAGATGAACATGTACTTGGGGTGCCTGTTGTCATGAAACAATAAAAAGGGAACCCCCTTAATAAACTACATGCAGTAACAAGCAACTTAGACCACAAACAAATTTGCTTTGAATATCAACTTCCCTTGGTTGTATTATTATTATTACTATTAATTGAATTTGTATACCACCTTTCATCCACAGATCTCAGGGCAGTTCACAATATAAAACACACAAAATAAGAATAAAATCAAACCAATAATCCCTCTCTCTCAAACACATTTAAAGAAAAGGCCCGTTCTTATGTTGCCACCCTCCAGACTTTCATAGAGGCCTCAGGATGATCTCAGCATCCTGGTAGGTTCATATGGGGAGAGGCGCTCCTTGAGAGTCCTGAGCCATTTAAGGCTTTATAGGTCATTTATAGGTCAGGCTTTATTGCAGTCCTGAGCCATTTAAGGCTTTATAGGTCAAAACCAGCACTTTGAATTGGGCCCGTAAACTAATTTGCAGCCAGTGCAGTTGGGCCAGGATTAGTGTAATATGCTCAAACCATATTGCGCTGCTGAGCAACCTGGCCACTGAATTTTGCACTAGTTGAAGTTTCTGCACCGTCATCAGAGGCAACTCTACGTTGAACATGTTGCAGTAATCCAGCCTAGAGGTTACCAGAGCATAGTGAACAGTAGTTGGGCTGTCCCTGACCAGATAGGGGTGCAGCTGGGCCACCAGCCCAGTATTCAGTTATTGCAGAAACATTCTTGTGCATTTGGCATTGTACTTGCAGAATGGTTTGCATCTACAGTGGTACCTCTGGATACGAATTTAATTAATTCTGGGGGTCCGTTCTTACCCCCGAAACATTCGCATCCAGGGGCACCTGTTCTGCGCATGTGCGTGGGGTGGAAACCTTTCCATTACTTCCGGGTATGCCACATGTGTAGCCCAAAGGATACGTATCCAGAGGTGTTCGCAACTAGAGGTACCACTGTAGTTGCTTGTAATTAGATTAGTGTAATCCCTGTACTTCTTTCCTCTTGCACATTGGCCATTTTTTGGGGGGGTATTTGGGGAGGGGCTGCAGCTAACAGGGTACAGCACATGCCTTGCATATGGAAGGTCCCAGGTTTAATCACTGGCCTCTGCAGTCAAGGCTAGGAGAGACCCTGGAGAGCTGCTATCCATCATTGTTGACACTGCTGAACCAAATGGACGTCTGTCACAACCTATTACATTAGTGCTGTCATGGGCAATTTTGAGAATAGTTTTCTTCCCAACTTCTCTTTTACCTAAGCTTCTGATCAAAGAGAGAAGGTGGACAACTAGTTGGCAACATTTTATAGCATACAAAATGTCCCAAAGTCTTTGAACGTTGATTGTCTTCACAAGCCTCTCTATGTGAGAGATTGTTTATTTGGCACCATTCTGCAGATGAAAAAAATGAGGCTGAGGGGGAAATTGCCGCCAAAATTAACTCTGCAGTTTTGTGCACATTTATTAAGCTGTAAGTCCCACTATTTTCAGTGGAACTTAACCGCCATCTGTACAATACCTTTAAGCGCTATGATACCACTTTAAATGGTCTTGTCTTCCCCCAAATAATGTTGGGAACTGTAGTTAGTTAAGGGTGCTGAGAGTTGTAGGGATACTTTATTTCCCTCAGAGAGCTACAATTCCCAGAGTTCCCTGGGAAGAAAGTATCAGGTTGGTGAAGGCTGGCGCAGTATATGCTGCCCAGTCATTAAGAAACCCAACATTTCTATATCTCAGAAAGGAGGGAGGTGTGGTTGTATATAGGCACGTCTGGCAGATTCTCCCACAAACCCACTTACGTGACAGCTTCTCTTTCTTGGTCCCAGGGAGTCGACATACGCCACAACAAGGACCGGAAGGTTCGACGCAAAGAGCCTAAGAGTCAGGATATCTACCTTCGCCTCCTGGTCAAGGTGAGAACCAGCGTGATTGAAAATCTTTGGTTTCGGAGATGGCTAAGAGCCAGAATTCCCGCAGGTCATGTTCTCCCTCTCCCCCCTTCACCCATGCTTATTTGTGTGGTGGTGGCATACTGGAATGTGTGAGTCTTTTTACAGAAAGAAGGCTCTAAGGAATTTGGGAAGCTGGGGACTGACCTGCTGTGGAAAAACAGAATTAGTGGGTTATATTTGGAGGCTTGTTGTTGGGCTGGAAGCTGAATTGTGGACATAATATGGAAAGGGAGGGCAAAGGGACGGGCCAACAAGACCCCCAAGTATCCTGTCAACCCCTTTGTTGCCTCTTCAGCTCTACAGATTTCTTGCTCGACGGACCAATGCAAAATTCAACAAGGTGATTCTGAAACGGCTCTTTATGAGCCGCACCAACAGGCCTCCGCTGTCTGTTTCCCGCATGGTAAGTGCAGATTCCCCTCCCAATCTCTCTTACCTTTTTTTATACGCTTCCATAGGATGCCCTACATAGGAATTCTCAGTTGCTATCTTTCGCTTTCACACCACCCCTCCAGATCCAAATTCAGGAATAAACAGCCACCTCTGGTGTGACTTTGCCAGCATTTTTCAAGCAGTGGAGCAAGGCAGGAAGAAAGGAAAGGAGCAGGACTATGGCCCATGGTGTGGCTTTTCCCTATTTAAGGGTGTCAGAAGAGCCTGGCTAGATCTGTCGAAATGTTCAATTTGCGCAGCATTCTGTTCCTACTGTGGCCAACCAGATGCCTATGAGAAGCAACAACAGCACTCTCCCTGCTTGTGATTCCCAGCAACTGTTGTTCAGAGGCATACTGCCTCCGACAGGGGAGATGCAATATCTCCATTGTGTCTAGTAGCCATTGATATTCTCCACGAACTTGTCCTCTTTTAAGCCCATCCAGATGGGCGGCATATAAATAATAGAGTAATAATAATGCTTATTATCATCATCATCCAAGTTGGTGGCAGTTAGTTGCATCTTGTGTGAACAAATACCATAGTTTAAGTATGCATATTGTGAAGTCTTTCTTTTCCCTGTCCCAGATCTTCCAACTTTCAGCTGCTTAGGTTCTAGTATTATGAGAGAGGGAGTATAACTTTTCCCTCCCCACATCTTTATCATGTCCCCCCCGCCCCTTTCACTTTTTTTTTCTAAACTAAAAAGGGCAATGCACTCCTTCCCCAACCCCAAAGCAGTGGGTTGCTGTGCAGGTTGGTGGCCCAGTAAATCTAGTGAGAGATGCAGCTGATCATGCTAATGCAAGTTATAGGAGGAAATGGTGAGGCAAATCCATTCTCTTGCTGTCCCAGTTAAAGTAACCTGGGTGCGCATTCATATATAAAAAAGGAGCCCACTCCTTGTCATATAGTTAAACCACTGCCTGCTGTTCAGACAGCTAATACGTGCGCATTCACTGTGATCACTCTTTCTCCCTCTCCAGATCCGTAAGATGAAGCTCCCAGGCCGGGAGAACAAAACTGCTGTCGTGGTGGGTACAGTGACCGATGATGTTCGCATCCAGGAAATCCCCAAACTGAAGGTAGCTTGGCTAGTTGGTGGTGGAGGAGCTGTTCAAAGGGCAGGAACTCAAGAGGCTTTAGGCAGCAGGAGGGATGTTGCTTTGACAGCCTTGAAAACTGGAGGTGTATAGGAATGTCTGATAGGCATGTGATGGCATGGAAGTGGTTGGCGCATGCAACTTATAATTGTACATGCAGTTGATGACTGGCCATCGCTTGGACTGTAATCTGTTTATGAGTTTTAGTTCATTAACTAAGCATTCCAGGTCTGCTGCCTGGTTAATCAGGAGAGCATCCTTTTATCCAATCAGAATGTTCTGATTCAATCAATTAATTGCACCCCTAGTTATAATAATTAACTTGGGGTATAGATGAAGGTGCAAATTTTATTTTTGAAGCAAACAAATGACATACTTCATCTCACGTTGCAACCCGTTTCCCTTTTCCTCCAAGGTTTGTGCCCTGAGAGTGACCCGAGGAGCCCGTACCCGCATCCTGAAAGCTGGTGGTCAGATCATGACTTTTGACCAGTTGGCCATGGCTGCCCCCAAGGGCCAAGGAACGGTGCTGCTTTCTGGTGAGTCGGGAGGATGGTACCAAGCTCTTGAGGCTTGCGAAGTTCTTGCAGGTGCTAGTTTGCTGCTGATGCCTCAGTATGACTAAAGCATCTTTTCTGACTTGCCTCCTGCAGGACCCAGGAAGGCTCGCGAAGTTTACAGGCATTTTGGCAAGGCCCCTGGAACCCCACACAGCCACACTAAGTGAGTACCTCAGGCTCCAGGTCTCCTGCTAGCCTCTTCCCATTTACCATGCTGCCCCTCAAGATAATTGTAGGTTTTTGAGGAAAAAATATGATTTTTCTCCTGTTTACACAATCACTTTATTACTTCCTGTTCTTCTGTGGTATAGCTTCAGTATTATACTTACAAAGGGCCCTAAAAGGCCTTTTCTGACCTTTGAATCCCATTCTTCCAAGGAATCAAGTCTTGGAAGTCTCACCATAGCGTTCTGAACCTCATAGCTGCCTAAGAGAGTTAATTAGGCTATCCTGTGAGCATTAAAACAGGCTTTCCACACCCAATCCCAAGTATTTCAACTAGTTGGCAACACTTTATAGCGTACAAGACACATTCTCTTGCATGATTTGCCATACAGCCATGACCCCCCATTTGCCTCTTTTTCTCTGTACTCTAGAAGTTGAAGGGGGGTTTGGATTCAGATTACAGCTCTTGGATTTCAGACGCTCTGGGAATTTTGGGAGAGGAAGCAGAGTAAATTCCATTGACGCCTTCTCACTTTTTCAGGCAGCTAGGACAGTCTGTGAGAGGGGGGAGCCTTTTTGGGGTTAGGGAGGTGAAGGATAGAAGGTGGGAGCAAGAGAGCCCCACGATTCTGTAGCACCTCTGAATTCAGAGGCTACTGTGCACGCATCTCCTTCCTGAAGCAGTGTATCTACTAGGCAAGAGCAGGCTCCTATTTGTGTTACTAACTCCTCTTACATTTTCCACTTTGCAGGCCATACATCAGATCCAAGGGCCGCAAGTTTGAGCGGGCTCGAGGTCGCCGTGCCAGTCGAGGCTACAAAAACTAGATTGGGTCTTGAAATATTTGAAGGCTGTGATGCGATGGATTAAATTTGCTATTCTGAATATAAATTAAAAAACCCCATGTCGTGTCATTTGTTAAGACAGTCGAGCGCTAGGAAGATTGTAAAGGCAGGTTGTAGACCCAACAACGTCTGGTTTGCCTGAACATCAGTCTTTTCTCAGGATGTCTCTCCCCTCCCAACCTGCTTTGAGTCTTCCCACAATCTTTACTGAACATGAGTGGATGAGATGACCCAATAATTATACTATACAATTATACTTATAATTATAATTATACTATACAATAATTATGTGAAGTGTTTTGGAAATGTCAGACATAAAAGAAAAGTGTCAGGGAGGGAGGGAGAGAAGAGAGGTATTTGCAGGAGCTGGAGGGTGGGAGACATGTTGGTTGGAAAAAGGACTCCTGCTGGTGCCTATCAGTTACTGAACTAGAATTTTAAAATACAGTTTAGGGAAGACTTTTTTTTTTTTAAAGATAAAAGTATTGCTAAATGTTGGGTCTGGGGGTGCTCAACCAAGATATCAAATGAATTTTGGATTAGTTTCCTGGTTACTATCACTGGTGGTCAAGGAAAGCAGAAACACAGGTGTCCTAAAAGGTGCATTCATTCTGCAGCACGGATTCTGACGCACCAAGTAGGGCCCAGCAATAAAATTACAATGCAGGTGTGGGAATAGGAGCAGCGTTCAATGAAGGTGACACAGAAGTGTTGAGACTGTTGGGGGAGCAGGACTCCTTTGCCCTAGCCTAGCCCCATGGGGTCGTGCAGCAGGCAAGCCAGGTAGCAGGAAATGGTCCACGCCCTGCCCACTTGGCCCTCCATGTTCTGCGGGTGAACGACACGCAGGAAGCGGTAGCCGAAAGCCTTGTCCGTCAGGCTCCGCAAGCTCAGCACTTGCCTCTTGGCCGCCTCCTGCTGGGCTGTCAACTCCACAGGCCCTGCCTGCAGGAACGGCGGCAACACAGGCAATTCTTTGCCAGTCCCGGCACTGAACGTCAGGAAGCCGCTGGGAGCAGCCAGAGCATAGCCGTGCAGTGAGTACCGAGCCCTGGGAACCTGAGGGGCATCTCCTCCTCTGCCTCTTGACCGCCCCTGGGCTTCGAACAACAGTTCTGCGCAGTCCAGAGCCACCAGTGGCACATCATGGTGCCTGAGTGGCTGCTGTGGCTTGAAAGCATCTATGTAGCGCTGGCTGCAGGCAACTGGGATCTGGAGGGAGGAGAAGACATCTGTAAGAATGGCCGGCTGCATCAGGGCAGTGACCCATCTTGTCCAGCATCCTGCTCTCACAGTGGCCCACCAGGAGCCTGTGGGAAGCCTGCAAGCAGGATCTGAGCATAACGGTACCCTCTCCCTGCTACCTGACTTCCAGGAACTGGTATTCAGAAGCATGACTGCCTCTGACAAAGGTTAAAAACAGGAATGGGGAACCTCAGACTCTGGGACGAATCTGGCCCTCCAAGCTACTCTTACCTGGCCCTTGGGACTCTCCTCACGCCACACCCCTCTCCCTAAGCCACACTCCTCACTGGCCCTGCTTTGCTCCTTAACTGCTTTTGCCTGCCTGAATTCTTGATCTTTGATGAGACCTCTTGCTTGCCTGGACAGGAGATAGAGGGTATGCATAAAAACTATCCTGCTGTACAAAGGTAAACTATATTTGTTCCCCTGCCCACCCTTAGCACATGGCCCCCAGAAAGAAATGTGGCCCTCGTGCTGCAAAAGATTAATGCAAACATAGGCCAAATTGCGCGATGGTTGGGGGCTCTCATTTCTGGATTGTTAGTTTCAAGGAATGAGGAGAGGGTCAACAGGAAAGGGGGCAGTAGTTCTGCCTTCTGTTTTGATTTGAGAACTGACGGGGGCAAAAGAAATTGGAAAGCAAGGATGCACATGCCACAGTCCAAACCCACAGAAAAGTTGTGAAGTCCTCCCTTTGAAACCAATAGGACCAGTTTGTTGTGGCTAACACACACCACTTAATTTTTATGGGGACTTCACCGCGGGGTTAATTTTCATTGGGATTTGTGCTCTTGAATATCATTTTTACTACTGAATTCAAGAAAGTTCTCAGTTGGGAGGGGCAACAGCCTAAAAATCAAGGCGGGGGGTGGGAACCAAACCATAGACAATAGAATGTGCTTCTACAGCACACTTTTCTTCCCTTTCTACACATGGGGCTGGGAGAACAGTGTGAACTGGACTTCTGGACTTCATCCACCGGGGGCAGTGCAGGACTGGCAGAAGAGGCCCTTCTCAACCAGCCTTGTGCCCTCCAACTCGCTGGGGCTGATGGGAATTGCACCTCAAAAGCCTCAGAAGAGAAAGGCTGCAACCACGCACCATCTGAAAGCTCCTTACCACCCACCCTTTAGTCCCAACCCAATTATTCTACGCTCCTTTCACCAACACCATTGCACCTCTCATTAACTCTCTGGTGTTGTTTTTCCGGGGCGTGTAGAAAGGAGGAGTTCTTGCCTCGCTTTACTCACTTGTCGCAACCTCCGCTCCATGAGCTCCGTCCAGCTGGCCCAGTAGCGGGAGGCCGTGGATTCGGAGATGTGGAACCGGAAGGCCAAGTCCTGAAGCAGCAGGCCCAGGCGCAGGCGGACGAGCACCAGGAAGAGCTGGTTGTCGGGGCTGAGGGCGCTGTGGGGGCTGCCTTCCGGGCTCCCCACCTCCCCATGCTCGCCCTCGAGGAGGAAGTCCAGAAAGGCCACCAGGCGGGGGTACCTGTCGAAGCCCGTGTAGAACCTCAGCCGCTTGCCGTCGCCCTGGACGCTCTCGAGGGAGAAGGCCCCGTGGTGCGCCTGGGCCTCGCGCTGCCCCCTCAGCTGCCTGCTCAGCGAGAGGACGGTGGCGCCGCTGGCATCCAGCTCCTTGCGCATGCGATGGCCTGCAGACTCCAGCTGCTCCCGCTCCCAGCGCAGGTTCCGGTTCTCTTCCTCCAGCTGTGAGACGCGCTCTCCGAGGTGGGAAAGGAGAGCCCACTTCTCACTGTCCGCGCTCTCCTGTGTGCGGCAAAGGACAAAATGGCGGCGTTGGCATGGCTTTCCGCAAAGTTGCCCCCACCCAACTCTGCTTCCTGCCCACCTAGTCAGCCCGGACACTGAGGTCCAGCTCTGAGGGCCTTCTGCCGCTTCTCTCATGGCAAGAAGTGAAGTTACAGGGAACCAGGCAGAGGGCCTTCTGGGCAGTGGCGCCCACCCTGTGGAACACTCTCCTGTCAGATGCCAAGGAAATAAACAACTATAGTGGTACCTCGGGTTACAGATGCTTCAGGTTACAGACTCCACTAACCCAGAAATAGTACCTCAGGTTAAGTACTTTGCTTCTGGATGAGAACAGAAATCGTGTGGCAGAGGGAGGCCCCATTAGCTAAAGTGGTACCTCAGGTTAAGAACAGTTTCAGGTTAAGAACGGACCTCCAGAACGAATTAAATTCTTAACCCGAGGTACCACTGTATCTGAGTTTTAGGAGACATCTGAAGGCAGCTCTGCCTGCATAAGGACGTTTTTATGTTTTATTGTGCTTTTATATTTTGCTGGAAGACTCCCAGGGTGGCTGGGACAACCCGGTCAAGATGGGCAGCATATAAATAATAAAAATATTATTATTATTAGTCACTGGTCACCCTCACCTTCAGCTCTTGGTGTTCCTTCTGGTTGGCTTCCACCGCTCCCTGCAGGCTAAGAAGGCGCTCGCTCTGGCGGTGGGCTGTGTCCTGCAACTTCCTCACAAGCCTCTTCAGGGCATGTCCTCCTTCTGGTATGCAGTATGTGCCGTGGTCATGCAATGCAGCCATGCCCTCGCAACAGGGTGACGCGCTGGTGTTTTTCACCTGCTCATCTGCCACAACCAGGTCACCAGGACCAGAGGGAAGGCCTACTGAACAATGATCGGCTTATTGGTATTTCAATAGCGTGGTTGTTGCTTCAAGGGTCATCCTTATTCCTGGCCCTTGGTGCCCCTTCCCCCCCTTCCCAAGAAGCTCTAGGAAATGTAGTGCCCTGAAAGGCTAAGGGCACAGTAACAAATTTGCTCCACCCTCCCCATGCCGAACTGTTTTATCCTGTAAAGACCTACATTGGCTCCCAGTACATTTCCAAGCACAATTCAAAGTGTTGGTGCTGATTTTTAAAGCCGTCAACAGCCTCGGCCCAGCAGACCTGAAGGAGTGTCTCCGCACCCATTGTTCAGCCCGGACACTGAGGTCCAGCTCCGAGGGCCTTCTGGCGGTTCCCTCCCTGTGAAAAGTCAGATAGTTGTATATTTCCTTGACATATGATGGGAGGGCATTCCACAGGGTAGGTGCCACTACCGAGAAGGCCCTCTGTCTGGTTCTCTATAACCTCACTTCTCGCAATGAGGGAACCGCCAGAAGGCCCTCGGTGCTGGATCTCAGTGTCCGGGCTGAACGATGGGGGTGGAGACGCTCCTTCAGGTATACAGGACCGAGGCCGTTTAGGCTACTGGGCCAGATTGAAGGTGCTGAGTGTATAAAAGCCTTGGGACCACCTTTCCCTATTCCTACCTGTTATTCTGATACGTTCTGCAGCAGCGTTGCTAGCTGGTCCCTTGTGCCACATGGAATTGAGCACAGCAGACTCTATACTGTGGAATTTATTCAATTTGTTGATTCGCTTTTCACTCTAGCTCAAAAACCTTTTTATTTTTGCAAAGTTACCCTGCCATGTGAGCAGTTTTACATTCTTCTGATCTTTGCTTTTACCTTTAATTTTATGTACACCACTCTGAGAAGATCTCCCCCTTTTCATTTAGTGGTATAGAAATTTATGTACGTATAAATAGATAAGCCTTGAAAAGTCCAGGCTCGCCTCTTTGGCATCACAAAGAAACAAGGGATTCTTTGTTTCCAAGAAGCCCACACACCTTCCCCTGCCAGCGAACCAGTGAGGCTCCTCTCTGATTTTACACTGTACAAGCGCCCTGTGCTCTCCCAGAAATCTCTGCTTCTCATGTCCAAGAAGGAGATACATTGCTGCTGTGTCAGCTGCAATCTAGGTCTGTGCTGCTTCTTCATGCCTCCATCTCTGGCCCACAGTGGGGCAGCACACACCCACACCGGCTCACGGCATTCCTGTTAGGAGGATTACATTTTGTGGGCCTCTCCAGACTGATGTTCTATTGCAAGTTTCATCCGCAACATGTTCTGTGACACAAAAATAGTGCTGGACTTATTCTGCTTTAGCTTGCGATGCTTCCCTGATACTATCACACGACTGTTTCGTAGAGCAACAAAAGTGGGACAAAATTAAACCGGAACATGTGTGGCATAAAAATTACAGAATATCAGCTGCAGGATATGTGCATCCGATTGGAAATGGAGGAATGTGACTAAAGGATTGAAAGTGGGATCCTGTCTGACCACCGTGATAGCATCATGAACATAGATCATCATGAATGTGCAGTAAGAAGAACATCTGGAGGAGTCCCTGTTTAGTAGTACCATGTCTTTAATGTACACAATAATCACCACAACCCCTCTCCTGATTTGGGGTTAACTTGGAGATTCACCATGACTTCAACCTGACTTTGTGATTATCTTTCATAAGCAAGACAGACCATACAAATTTTTAAAACCTGCATACATCACTGCAAGTAACATAACAGACATTAAATTTTCACAGCAAATTGTTTCTGTTTCTGCGGTTGCTCTTATGTGACACACAAGATATCAGAGCAATACAGAAACCTTTTGCTATGTGAATTTAAGATGACCTCTGTTTTGTTAGCCGCTGTTACAATATATAGTTTAAGTCAAAAGTGACGAACTGCATCCTTCCAGGTTCCAGACTATTTTTCATATATGGGTCATAGCTGTCAACTTTTCCCTTTTCTTGTGAGGAATCCTATTCGGAATAAGGGAATTTCCCTTAAAAAAAGGGAAACGTTGACAGCTATGATATGGGCACATATAAAGAAAACATTGCTGCAAAAATACTTGGATCCTATTAAAATGTACAAGGAAAAAAGATACAGACGTAATACTCTCTCTCCCCTCCCCTCTCTCTCTATGAAGCAATAAAGTGCAGATGCATATATGAAGCGTAACAGGGAGGGATTGCTGCCCGAATTTGTGGAGCATCAATACTGAGGAGAAGGGGAGCCCTGAGATAGGCTGAAAGCGGCAGGTTTGGGGATGGCGATGCACCCCTGTTGCTCAGTACCTGGGAGGGACCGCAGCTCAACTCCATCGCGCTCGCTCTCCCAGCCTCGTTTTCGATCCAAAATGGCCGCCGCAGTGAATCAGCCCTATCTGTCTCTACTACCGCGAAAGGCGCTGTCCGGTTTTCCCTCAACCAAGATGGCAGCATCAGACTCGAAAGGAATGAGTGAAGCGCGCCAGGAGTTGGGTCCTAGTTGCTGCGTATATAGTGGGTTCCCTCATTAACTCCCTCCCCCCCCCGGGGGGGAAGAGAGAATCACAAAAAGTAAGCACACACACACACAGTTTCGTGACGCCTTAAAAACTAAACACTTTGATTATGGCATAAACTCCCGTAGATTATAGTCCATTTCAATCAGATGCATACTATTAAGTGTCACCCATCCTTGCAGGTTTATATGGACACATGGATGTAAGGAATGGGGGATCTGTAATCATTGGGGTCAGAGGCAAATTGAAATAAGGAATATGAGGAAGGGTAGAGCATCCACCGCTTTGCATGCAGAAAGTGCCAGCTTCAATCCATGGCATCACCTGGCAAGGCTGGAAGAGACGCCTGGCTACTGGCAGTCAGTGGAGAGAATACTGAGATGCATAGACCAATGGCCTTATGTTCCTGTAATTACAGATAGTGATAGTTCAATTATAGCTAACTGTCTGCAAAATAACCCAGCATTGGAGGATTGGAATCATAGAACTGTAGAGTGGGAAGGGACCTTAGGGGTCATCTGGTCCAACCCTCTGCAATGCAGGAATTTTATTGCTCAACATGGGGCTCGAACCCACAATCCTGAGATTAAGTGTCTTAAACTCTACCGACTGAGCTATCCCACACAAGATTACATGTCATGCGTCTAACGAAATGGAGTCATGTCGTTCCTAAAATCTTAAAAAAGGTAAAGGACCCCTGACAGTTAAGTCCAGTCACAGACGACTCTGGGGTTGCGGCGCTCATCTCACTTTACAGGCTGAGGGAGCTGGTGTTTGTCCATAGACAGTTTTTCCGGGTCATGTGGCCAGCATGACTAAGCCGTTTCTGGCACATCGGAACACCGAAACCAGAGCAGCGCACGGAAACGCCATTTACCTTTCCGCCGGAGCGGTACCTATTTATCTACTCGCACTGGTGTGCTTTCGAACTGCTAGGTTGGCAGGAGCAGGGACCGAGCAACAGGAGCTCACCCCGTCGTGGGGATTCGAACCGCTGATCTTCTGATTGGCAAGCCCAAGCAGCTCAGTGGTTTAGACCACAGCGCCACCCACGTCCCTCCTAAAAGCTTAGGCCACAATAAAATTGATTAGCCTTTAAGTGCCACAAGACTTGGTTCTTTTTGATGCGACTAGCATGGCTGCTTCTCTGGAAAAAGCACAAACAGGTATTTCCTTAATCAGTGGCATTATTTTCCCCTATGTTGTGGCAGCAACGGGAGCAGGAGCTGCTTGATCATGGGGGCAGTGGGTGAACCCCCTAACACAGCCTTTGCTAACCTTTTGAGATGGTTTGGACTACATTTGTATGCGCACCATGCATGTAAAGCACACGAGGAAGCCCTAGGGTGGTGGGGCAAAGGTGTCCATTTGAAATGCACAGATTGTTGAGGTACTGCGCACACGACTTTTTGATGAACTCTCCTCAGATAAGGATAGTTGCCTGACTGTGTTTTTCAGAGAAGGAGCAGCTGCAGGGGCTTTCCTTCATCATTCTGGAAAGAGCATCTAGCTCCTACTGCTTCTAGCCCAGAGCTGAAGGGAGGCAAACTCTTCCCTCTTCCACTGGCCCAGAGCCTGGGGTACCCTGCAAGAGTTGCACCCCGTGACACTCAAGAGGAACATCATGCCAAGAGAAATAAACTGTGCCCAGGAGTGATGCAGTCAGTGCTATTTATGCATAAAGTTCAGATGCAGACGTGGCAAAACTCTGTTATTAATTCACAGCAGTGCTAATTGATGGCAACACAATCTTTCTGACTTTGCTATGCTAATTTAACACCTGGAAAGGGAGGGCGGAAAAAACAAACTTGGTCTCAGCTGAGTCCTAAATGAATAGGAATCCAAAGACATTATAAATTCTTGTTCAACAATTTCACTCTCTTGACATCTTTTAAAGTTCCTTTGTTGAAGAATGGCAACATTCTAGTCTGCAGCAGAATGCCCTTGGAGAGCGAAATGTTCTCCCACTGGTTTCTGAAATGTTGCCATTTTTGTATGTTGAATTTGTGTCCATCTATTATTCTTTTGCCTGGAGACAGACCTGCTGGTCCTCTGCAGAGAGGCTGGAATAAATGAAAATTCTGGTCCTGTGAGGAGGCTAGGAATTTCGGGGTGCCTTTCAGCACATACTCTGATCCTTTTGACTTTTTTCACCATCTGGCAGAGAGTTTTATTTCCACTTGAAGAGAGGGCTGAAGACTTGAAGCCCCAGGTACACCTTTCGAGAACTGAGGAGCAGTGAAATAATGATGCTAAAAGGGCAGGCGCAGTAGAATCTGCTTGTTGAATTAAAGGTGAGTCTTAGAATAAGGCATTCTTTAAAAAACAACAACCCAAAACAAAAAAAACCCACTATTCACAGTGTTCACACCTTGCAACAGTTCCAGATTCAACCATCTATATTATACCTCATAGAAACATAGAACTGTAGTGTTGGAATGGAATGAATGTTGTTGGTTATCTGAGGGTGGCATTGAAACCAGAAGAAGGTTTGTGTTTGGCCAGGTGTAATCCAGACTGTGTCACATAGCAATGGAGAGTCATCAAAAATGGATTTGAGAATTGAATCTGATGTTGGCTTCTCAAAAAAACCCCACCCACCTTATTTGGTCTGAGGCTGCCACCCTAGTGGTACCTTGGGTTAAGAACTTAATTCGTTCTGGAGGTCCGTTCTTAACCTGAGGTACCACTTTAGCTAATGGGGCCTCCCACTGCCGCTGCGCCGCAATTTCTGTTCTCATCCTGAAGCAAAGTTCTTAACTCGAGGTACTATTTCTGGGTTAGGGGAGTCTGTATCCTGAAGCGTCTGTAACCTGAGATACCACTGTACTCCAGAATCCTAGGTCTCCTGGGTCCTGCTTGCTAGTTCCCCATCTGAAAAGATAGATAAAAAAAAAAACTTGTATTGAATGGCATTTGTACAGTCACTTCTTTTTTCTTGTTCTCCCTCTGCTCTGGCAATACAGATTTTGCCTGCGAGCTCAGCAGAGCATGTCTCCTTCCCTTTCTGACTTTTGTTGTTGTTGTGTGCATTTTATCTCTATTACACATTTCCTCCAAAGAGCATCTTCGGACCAGACTAGACAATGCACTTGTTGCTATGCCCTTTTTAAAATAATAATAAAAACAACAACAACAATAACAGTATAATTGTAAGTATGGGGAACTTGATTTTCATTGGGACTGTCGTGGAGTTAAACCACCCTCAGTATGTGCCCCAGTGCCCTATCTAACCCCAGCAGCAGAACGCAAGCAGCATATTTAGTGCCACATCTAGTCTTCATAACATGCCATACATTTAAAGCACATGACTTCTCCCAAGGAATCCTGGGAAATGTAGTTTGTTAAAGGGCTGGGAATTGTAGCTCTGTGCTTTAAATGTATGGTGTGTACACATTTACTAGAGCAGCCTTTGCCAACATGCTGCTGTTCAGAAAGAATCATAGAATTGTAGAAATGGAAGGGTCCTCTAGGGATCATCTAGTCCAACCCCCTGCAATGCAATGTTGTACTACAGCTCCCATCAGCTGAGACTGATGGGAGTTGTGGTCCAATGACTTCCAGAGGGCGCCAGGTTGGTGAAGGCGAGTAAACCCCACTGAGCCCTGTGAGGCCTAGTTCTGAGTAAAGATGCAGAGGGTTGCATTAAAAGCCTCACAGCTTCCCTGCAATGGGCTTCATTATTTTCCTTCTCCCATCTGGTTTTCCCGTCTCCATCTCAAGGGTCAGTCGGTGCTCAGTGGTCACTCAGCATGCCCAGTCCTCCTTGGACTGTTTTGGAGGTTTCCCGCCTACCACTTCCGCTTTAGGGCCATCGCACACCCCCTCCCCCCAAAACGCCTGCTTGATCCCTTCTTATAACGCAGGTGTGAGGGAACATGTGGCTCTCCAGATGTGGCTGAACTACAACTCCCATCATCCCTTGCCATGGACTGGGCTTGCTAGCATGAATGGAAGCTGGAGTTCAGCCCAAAGATTCCCCATTTCTGCTTTAGAGAGCGGATAGGGCCATTTTGGCAACGTAAAAATCCACACGTTGGCCTCTGAACTCAGAAATGGAGAGAATAATTTTGTAGGAGGACACCATGAGATTTTCCTAAGAGAGAGATAATAGGGCAGATAGAAACCTGTCACACAAGGTCTGGGTATTTGTAGGGTACATCTTCCTTGTTCCAGCTTTCATCCCTTTCAAACGTTAGATTGAGGTCCACAAGGATGTTTTGTGTGTGGCGCCCCCTGGGCTATGGAATTCTCTTCCCTCTCTTTTCCAGCACAGCTGAAAATGTGATTATTCCTCTGAGCTTTCGCACACTGTTTTCATTGTCACCAGCTTTTAAATGTTAAATAAATATTCCTTTCAATACTGTTTTTTAAATACTTTTCGCCGCACTGTGGTTTTAAACTTTTATATTTTTTTAACAAACTAGGTCATCCTGCTGAAAGGCAGTATGTAGACATTGTTCATATATTATCATTATTTGGAGCTTGCCAAGGAACAGACAGAGAGGTATTATAAAAGTGTTACTTTGCACAACAGACAAACAGCATGTGGTAGATGTTGGTCAGATAATGTCTGTCAGTATCCTCTTTTGCAGGCCTCCTAAATAGAGGGGGCTGGGGGGGGCAGATAGAGCTTGATTTGTAATGCAGATGCAGCCTTTGAGCATTACAGATCAAAACTAGCTGGGAGCTCTCCTCAGAGGAATCCTGAAGAGATCTGCTATCAGAGAGAGAGTGCCAAGTTTGCCTGTTGAAGCAAAAACAACAACAAAGCATCTCGTTGAGACACCTAAAAAGACGAACACGTTTATTATGGTTCATTCTTTCATGGACAGCAGCTGGGCTTCCCAGACTGATCTGTGCTTCGTTCAGGTGGTTCGCAGTGTGTCTGTGGATTCTTGGTCGAAGATGGGAGACGGCACATCCGTCACATTAAATATTCATATTTATTTTTAATTGCATTTTAACGGCTTCTTTTATTTCATGGATTTTATTGCATTACAATTTGAAGTCTTTGGAATGTAATAAAATACAGCGCATATGAAACAAAAAGCCTTTAGAAGTCACACAGCATCTAGCACAGCACATTGCAATTGCTACAACAGGCAGAAAAATCATGGTTCACCAAGATCCTCAGCAATTTTCAAGTGGTCCATAGCAGAAGAAACTTTGGGGACCTAGAGAGCCCACTTCATCGTGCAGAAAAAGTCTCCGTGTAGATACTTTAAAGCACATTCTTTCCCCTCAAATAATTCTGGGCACTGTAGTTTCTTAAGGGATGCTAGGAATTGTAACTCTCTGACGGGGGCTAAACTACAGTGCCCAGAATTCTTTGAAGGAAGGCATCTTCTTCAAATGTGCTTTAAAGGTATAGGATGTACACAGCCTTAGGCATAAAGCAGGTTTCAGGTTGCACTGAGGATGCCAGAGGAAAGATTCCACCATGGCTGTTATGCCATGAGAAATGATCATGTTTTCCTTCATGCCTGCTTTGTGCCTCACAATAGGAACATTACTCCATTTAATTTAATATTGTCTACACTGGGTGGCAGCAGCTGTTCAGTGCAAGATCAGGCCTGGTATTTGAGAAGTAAGGGAGGCAGAGGCAGTCAAAAGAGATTAACTGCAACAATAGTTCAAAGGCTCATGCCTGAGATAAATTCAAGATTGATTCATTGTTGTTGTTTGTTTTTTTAAAAGCAAGCGATATATTCTAGAGGCATGTAAGATGTGGGTCCTAAGACCCTTAATCCCACTCCTTAAAATACAATCTGAACAAAATTGGTGAAGCAGCAAAGAGTTTATTGAATACAATATGTTCTTGCAAGAGTGGGTGTCCAAAGTAGGCAAACCCCAGCTTTGTCAAAGCATAAGCTTATATTCCCTATACAGTACAGTAGTACCTCGGGTTACAGACGCTTCAGGTTACAGACTCCGCTAACCCAGAAATAGTACCTCGGGTTAAAAACTTTGCTTCAGGATGAGAACAGAAATCACGTGGTGGCAGCGGGAGGCCCCATTAGCTAAAGTGGTGCTTCAGGTTAAGAACAGTTTCAGGTTAAGAACGGACCTCCAGACCGAATTAAGTTCTTAACCCGAGGTACCACTGTACCAGAAGCACAGGTTCCCCCCCCCCCGTCTCCCCATTGGCTGGGTACTACAAAGTTTACAGCCTATCACAACCACCTAATTATCCTACCAACATTCCCACCTCTGTTCACTCTGATTCACCCTCTACATTTCTTTATTATTCCCCTTATTTGGTCTATGTTCCTATGCAATTACTTGCTAAGCCAAGCAAAAATACCGCCTTCTGATCACAAGCTCTAACATCTCTAGTTAACAAGTGGGAGTTGATCTGGACTGCTGACAAACTTGTCTACTTATTACAACCACATCCTGACCACAAGCTCTAAATATCTCTTAAGCTGTCTGGACTGCATACATTTGTTTGTTTACCTGTTACATTTGTATGTGAAAAAGCAACATCCTCATTTCTCACAGGGCATTTGTTGTAGTTATTTATTTATACCTCATAATTACCGGCAACATTAACAACGCAGGTCAAACAGCCACACTTTCATTTCTGAGGGGAAATGATGTGAGCATTGGAGAGACTGGGTTGGCATCAGATTTCATGGGCCTCTCAGCATTTTGCCACCCAGTGTCCCCACCAACACACACAACCTATTTCCCCTTTGGTCACGGAGCATTTTTTCCCCTTTTGCCACAGCCACCAAGGCCTCAGTAGTGGCAGCAACACCACTCACTGATGCCCTGCAGTGTTTTCGTGGTGCTGCTTTTGAATGAGAGCCAAAGCTAGATTCCCAGCTGCCACGGCTGCTCGCCATCTTAATTTAACCAAATCCAGTGCCCCAACTGTTAAGTTGTGGGTGAACACATCAGACGACACAGCGATTCTTCAAACAGCTCTTGTTTATTCACAGGCCCAGAACAGAACTGGGCTGAAGGGTTCAGCCAACCTGCTTATATAGAGCTCAACTACAAAGCAACAGTAACAACTTTCTGTAACTATCCAATCACTGAACGTCACTTTCAATTCCTTATTTGCATATGTGGACCTGAGTGAAAACTATCTACAGTATCCCCCTGCTCATTCAGGGTGAGAACTTCAGTGCATAACACCAACCTATAGACCTAATGGAAGCGATAGTTTTCTATAGCTGCACAGCACACATCTTTATAAATGTCAGCCAGGGCATTGCATTCTGGGTGAATTAAATGGGTGGGTGGATTCTGTGAATGAAACCAAGCTTGGCTCCCACCCCAAAGCGGCACCACCACCCACCTACTGCTCAGACAGCTGTCTGGGGGCCTGGCAAGAGGGCAGTGAGCCACACTGGGGCAGTGAGGAGCCCTTCTGAGTCCCTGGGACTCTCAGCCAGAACCTGACCTGGCTGACCATTGGCACCAGGCCTGGACATGAATATACAGTATTGATATAAGTGTTTGTTTGTACCTGCAGCAAACATCCACCAACACCAGTTCTTGGTTGTTTCCCCCCAAGGGGGGTGGGAAATAGCTAGTCAATCCCTTCCCAATGCCACTACTACCCCTTCCTAGTGCCAATACTACCATCAAAATGTCTTCCCCCCAACTGGATTTCCCTTAAAAACCAAACCAAACCAAACCAAACCAAACCAAACCAAACCAAACAAAACACTGTGTATCACAGCATTGGACTACACTACAGGGTTTTTATGAGTCCAAATGGTTACCCAGTATTGCCAATAAATTATCGCTCATAAATTTTGCACCCCTGGCAGCTCCACTTTTGACCGTCTTTCATTACAGAATGACAGCCTTGAGGTTTGCAGCAGAATGTCTTAGGAAACAGAAAGTTTATCCCGCTGGCTTCTGAATGTTACATTTTTTAATTTCCCCCAGAGATTTGACCAGTTTATGCAATGTAGAGCATAGTTCCATGATAGGGGCTAGGAATTTTTGGGTGCCTTTCAGCACATACACGGACTTCCTTTGTCAGCTGGGCCACTATGTTTCCTGTGTGCTGGAGGCACCCAAATCCTGGAGTCCCAGGTACACATTTCTTCAAGGAACCAAAGGGTGGCCTTGAACAACCAACCTTCTGATTAACAGCCAGATGCGCTGATCCATTGCCCCACCTGAGGAAATGATGCCGAAAGGATATGAGTATTATATGAGCTATGATCTAAACCTGAAGTAGAAACTGGATCAGGCCAGGCGGCCAGATTATTATCTCCCTCGCCTGCTGTGGGTCAAAATTGTCAGGAGGGTGGTGTCACCCGCTTATCAACCAGCAAATTTCACCATCCGGTTTGAAATCAAACTATGTGAGATACATGGGTGGAGGGGGTGATGCCAAAATCAGAATGGAGTTTGGCTGTGTACATCTTAACAGCTTAAAATGCAGCTAGCCTGCTCTTTTTCTGAATTCGGATCAAAGCTGGTTCAGATCAAACCTTGTGTATACCACTTCCAAAATCAGTGGTGGGAGTGTATTGGATGTGGAATAAACGGGAGTGTGGACACAGCTTTGAACTATGAGTAGATTGCCAGAGTTTCTCTTACACACCTCTGACAATAAACATTTATCATTTGATATCCTTTGTTGCAATTAGTTAAATTCTGTGTGGCTTATATGTTGGCCTCTGGGATGAAGCGAAGGACTTGATTTGTTTGGATCCATATATGAGATATTCCTCTTACGTTTTTTTAAAAAACAAATCTTTTACTAGTGTGGTATTTCCATATGATCCAAAAATTATGTTAAAACCAATTGTTTCCCATTGTTTAAATTGTCGACAATTGTCCTGGTTATAAAAAATGGGGATGATATAAGAAAGGAATTAGCAGGGAAATGGGTTTGTGTGCATGTAATTTTTTATACCATCTTTTCCATATTTTTTCAATTGCCAATAGGCAAGGGTTATCTAATTTTTCATTTGTCTTTGGATTACGCACCAGAAATGTGATACTTTCCCATTTTATGGCTCCACTCTGGCGAGTGTTCAATTTTTATCCATATCTAAGCTTTATTGCCTTGAGCAATGGCAATTAGATTCTTAGTGTGTACTACATCATGGCAATATGTAATATTTGGGATACTCAGAGCCCCTTATGATGTTTCACTCTATAATGTGGAAAGCCTGATTCTGGCTTTCTCCCCACCTCAGTGGATAAATGTGATCATTAACTTTTGCTAGGTTTGCTAGGCTGATATCATGGCTGGAATGACTTCAAAATTTTGTCATCGTTTTGGGGGAATTACGATTCTTGTTGCAGCATTTTTTTCCTGAGCCATGGAAGTTTCAATTTGTCCCAGTTTATCAGTGTTTGTTTTACAGTTTTGATACGGGTTAATACTTTATTGTGATAAGCCAATTCAAGATTTGGGGGGAATTAATTTTCCTAAATATTTTAAAGATGTTGGACGAACTTTTAAGCCTATAGCTGGTGGGCGTGAGACATTTATACATAACATTTCTAATTTTTGATAGCTGATTTGCAGTCCAGCAAATGCACCAAAAGTGTAAGGTATCAATTCCTCTGGGTTCGTGATCATAATGGCAGTTCGAACACTTCAATTCACGGTTATATACCCTTGATGTCACTAAAAAAGGAATATGGCAGTGAACCCATTTGCAATCAGGATTTATTACAATTTATTTCCTTATGCGAAAAGAAGAAACTGATATTGCAACACATTGCAATCAAGTGTGGCTCCAGATTAATCCCAGTGGAAGGGACCAGGAGCCAAAATCCATTCCCCTCTCTAATATATTTATTCAAAGAAAGGAAGAGAATTTGGCACAGGCCCAGCATAATTAGGAGCTCTGCACAATTAATCCCGGAAGAAAGAGCTGAGCCTCTTCTGATTTCACAAACGGGAGCTTCGCTTCTCTACCTTACAAATAAATAAATAAAAATGACTCCTATTCAGTCTCCCCACGGCTGGATTCTGGAGTGTGGAAACACAGCGAGATCTCCCGTGTGCAGTCTCTGGCGTGGGTAGTTTTCTGATCTCTCAACAAGATGCTGAGATGCCCAACCCTGCCTCACATTTTGCAACACCCTTTGAAGTGAGTCAGCCGACCACAACCCCTTAGGGACAACCCTGGAACCGTGACAACCCTGGGGATCAACTGCAGGAACAGTTGTCCACAGTCCAGGTGAGTAGAGAGAAGAGGTGACACAGAAGCGTGTGCAACCATGAGGGAGGGAAGGTTTGCCAGTGCTTGAGGAGGAGAATAAAAGCAAAAGGAGAGGCCCTGCTGCTTAACCCTGCGGCTCCTGGGAAGAAGCGGAGAAGCGAAGAAGCAGAGAAAGGAGAGATTGGGAAGGTGCGTAATCTTAAGGAAGCGGGAGAACGTCGGATAAAACAAAGATGGGGAGAGGATGTGCAGAGATTTCTGCAGAAATTAGGATATGCACAAGAGAGGGAAGGGGGGGTGTAAGCAAGCAGCAGGCACCTGCCCCGGGGTCGCCGTTTGTGATATGCCTGCCCTGTCTTGCTCCTGTTCATCTCTTGCTGGTTAGTATAGATACAGTATAGGTAAGAAGTTTGCAAGGTAATACAGTGGTACCTCAGGTTAAGTACTTAATTTGTTCCGGAGATCTGTTCTTAACCTGAAACTATTCTTAACCTGAAGCACCACTTTAGCTAATGGGACCTCCCACTGCTGCACGATTTCTGTTCTCATCCTGAAGCAAAGTTCTTAACCTGAGGTACTATTTCTGGGTTAGTGGAGTCTGTAACCTGAAGTGTATGTAACCTGAAGCGTATGTAACCCGAGGTACCACTGTATGTGAGTTTGTATGTTTGCAGACTGGAGGAGTGTGAAGCAGGAGGGGAAAGGAAGCGAGATGGGGGGAGGCATGAAAGGAGGATGAAGACAAGAATGTGTGAAGGAACTATGAGAGACAATGGGGTACAGTGGCTAGAGTGTTGGACTATTTTTCTTTGGCGATCACTCGTAGCTGAGTGAACATGAACATGGTTTCAACAGTGAGTCCGTAAGTGACTGTGGAGGCCAATTCTGGATCCACAAGTCCTTCCACAGTAGGGAGATAGGTTTCCGGGCGGGAGCTGATCATGGTGAGGGTTTGCTAAGCGTGCCTTCCTCTTAGTGCGTTTCTCCCTTTCATACTGAGTTCGAGCATCTTCAAAACCATGACACCTTTGGTAAACTAGGACCTGGGTGGCCAGGGTTCACCTCCCTACTCCATCATGAGGTTTGCTGGGTGACCTTGGACCAGTCACTGCCTCACAGCCTAACCCACCTCACAAGAGGGTTGTTGTGGGGATTAAATAAGAAGGGGGAGAACCAGGTATGCCACCTTGAGCTCCTTAGAGAAAAAGGTAGGATTTAAGGGGGGGCAGTAGCACTAAAAAAAACCTAAAAGGGGAACAAGGAACGTGGGCAAAGGAGGGAGAGAGAAAAGCAAGTGTGGGTAGAGAAGAAATAGAAGAAGAAAATACAGTAGTACCTCAGGTTAAGAACTTAATTCGTTCTGGAGGTCCGTTCTTAACCTGAAACTGTTCTTAACCTGAAGCACCACTTTAGCTAATGGGGCCTCCCGCTGCTGCCACACCACTGCCACACGATTTCTGTTCTCATCCTGAAGCAAAGTTCTTAACCCGAGGTACTATTTCTGGGTTAGCGGAGTCTGTAACCTGAAGCGTCTGTAACCTAAAGCGTCTGTAACCTGAGGTACCACTGTGTACAAGAAGATGGAGGAAAGAAAAACACGTGTGGGGGGGGGATGAGATGGAAAGGCAGGTGAGAAAAGGGCAGAAATCTCAAATACAAATCTGTGGCATGACCACATTTGGAAAGCAGTTCTGGTTGCCTCACCTCAGAGAGGATATTGTAGAGTTGGAAAAGGTTCAGAAAAATGGCAACCAAAATGAATGAGAGGGTGGAGCAGGTCCTCTGTGAAGAAAGGTTTGCAGTGTTTGCAGACTTTCGTTTAGACTGAGAAAAGGAGAGTAAGAGGTGCCACCACAGAAGGTTGCGAAATTTTGCATGGCATGGAGGAAGCAGGTAGAGAAAAGTTTTCCTCCCTCTCTCATGACAACTGAGCTTGTAAACATCCAAGGAGTGATAGAAGGAAGCGTTTCACACAGCACATCGTTAAACTATGGAACTTGCTCCCACAGAAGGAAGTGACAGCTTTAAAAGAAGATTAGGCAACGGAGGAGTGGGCTGCCAGTGACTACTAGCCATGATGCCGATGCCCTGCCTCCGTGGTCAGATGCAGTAAATGCTTCTGAACACCAGTTGTGAGAAACCACATGAGGCGAGACTGATCTTGGGCTCAGCTTCTACTCACGGGTTTCCCACAGGTATTTGGTTGGCCACTGTGAGAACAGGACACTGGACTGGTTGGGCCAATGGCCTGACTCAGCGTAAGGGAGTGTTACGGAAATGACGGGGGGGCACATCTTTATAGTTATTACAGTGGTACCTCGGGTTACAGACGCTTCAGGTTACAGACGCTTCAGGTTACAGACTCCGCTAACCCAGAAATAGTACCTCAGGTTAAGAACTTTACCTCAGGATGAGAACAGAAATTGTGCGGCCGCGGCAGTGCGGCGGCCCCATTAGCTAAAGTGGTACCTCAGGTTAAGAACAGTTTCAGGTTAAGAACGGACCTCCAGAACGAATTAAGTTCTTAACCTAAGGTACCACTGTACAATGTTACAAATATCATGCCTGAATGTGTCCTTTCGACTTGACAGCTCAGGAAAGATACCTAGCTTTATAAATTCGTAGAAAATCCATACTTTAACCGACTCTCCTCATTCCAAGGCCATTTTAACCCTCGAAGAATTTTGGCTCCACCTCCCTCCATGAACCCAGAAGCAGGAAGTCAAGTAGGCAGCAGGAACAGGGCATCCTGCCATAAATCCCCAAGTGTGAGAGTACATACAGGGCACCCCACCCAGGGAGTGACCAAGGGGGCAACAGTAGACATTCCCAGAGGCAGTTTAGCAAGTCAGGTGTTCTGAAAGCCCATCTTCAGACAAGTCCTGAGGGAAAGGATATGTAAAGAGTTTTATTGTTCTTTCGGTGATGGGTACTTAAGAGGTGTTGGGAAAGGTGTCTGATAAAGTGACCTAATCGAAACAAAATAAAAAAAGATCCTTCCAGTAGCACCTTAGAGACCAACTAAGTTTGTTATTGGTATGAGCTTTTGTGGGCATGCACCCTTCTTCAGAAAGTGCCCTAATGTTGAACTTGTGTAACCCTTGAATACCCCTCCCCATTTGTGACATGCTAGTGATGATGCATCAATGATGCTGCTCAAAGTGTATTCTGGGGGAAAGAGGGAAGTTCTAAAAGAGGTTGTCACCCCACACTCGGGGTTCTTACTCTTGTGGGGATCGGTTGCACAACAATATACTGACCACTGTTTTGCTCCTATATTTGGCAGGAACCTCCTTCCTTTCTGACTGTATAGACCCGTGGGCTTTGCCCCGACGAGCTGGGCTGTTGGGTAGTCTCTCACCCCAGAATTTTCCTTAACAGGCGCTTCCTCCATTCCTATCTGTGACCTTCCAGATGGGGCAGGACTGCAGCTCTCACTCTTCCTGGCTACAGTGGTACCTCGGGTTAAGTACTTAATTCGTTCCGGAGGTCCGTTCTTAACCTGAAACTATTCTTAACCTGAGGTACCACTTTAGCTAATGGGGCCTTCCGCTGCCACCGCACTGCCAGAGCACGATTTCTGTTCTCATCCTGAAGCAAAGTTCTTAACCCGAGGTACTATGTCTGGGTTAGCGGAGTGTGTAACCTGAAGCGTCTGTAACCTGAAGCGTATGTAACCCGAGGTACCACTGTATTGGCAACATTGGCTGGGGTGCTGGAAGTCCATCAACATCTGGAGGGCCACCTCTGGCTTAATGCACACCTGCTGGGTTGATGAAGAGGGATGTCAATAAGGACAACTGAACAATTAGTTCAGGAAATTGACACACTGTCCTCTCAATTGTAAACAAATGAGGTGTCCCTTCCACACCCAGCGACCCATACAGATTAACTGGGACCCTGTCATCACATTGGGTGGAACTTTCACCTACTTTCTTCCAAAACATTGCCTGTGCTATTTATTTGGTACGCTGCCTTGGACACCTCAGTGTGGCATCTGTGCAATGGGCGCCTGGTCTGCTTTGAGCAAGGGGTGTTTGTGTACCACTGGGTTCAGACTCTGGACTATTGAAAAGGGCCAACCGTTAGCTGTGTAACTGCCCAGTCCCTGGGGCTAGGAGAAGAAGCTAGCATATCTAGGCATCTTGCAGTCTCCTTGAGTTTAATTATCTTTTTTCCTCAAGCAAGTTTGAGAGCTGTGCTCTGGAGCCGGCAAAGACAAAAATAGAGCTCCTGTGTTTATTTTGACTACTGTAGGTTAGCTCCTAATTTCTCCAGGGAGCAGCGTTCAGGGAGACCAAGTTACCTGGTTGCTTTAGATGTGCAGTGGTTTATAATTGGAGAAGTAGATGGCTTTGTGTGGAAAAGTCTCCCTTCCCCTCTCTACCCTGCAGACCTAGAACTTTCTGCAAATCCCCAAATCTGTAGCAAAAGAAAATTGCTCCTCACCCAAATGTGCAGATGGATTAGTTGCCTTTAAATCATCATCATCATCACCACTGCCACCACCACCACTATTTGGGAAACAAGTGTTTCCCAAACATCATTTAGCGAAGAATACTTTTGAATTAAAATTAAGGGCACACGTCCCCCTTACATCCATCGAAGGCAAAAGAATACAAATTACCTGTCCTGAGAGGAGCTCTGTGTTTCTATGTGAATTACTGTCCTGGGTGTGGAAGAAGGCAAGATCGGAACAGTGACTCATACAGAGACATAATAGCAACCTCCCTTTCTGGGCAAGTGGCTTTTGTTGGGAATCAATGAATGATCCAATCGCATCTGGTGCAACAACCCAACAAAATTAATCCAACTAGAGACAGAGTGGAAGAAGGCAATGCTGGAGCAGAGAATGGTGTCAACTGTCTTGTCTGTTGGTCCTTAGCTAGTGAGCTACTACTGTGGTGTAATGCTCAGTGTGTCAGACTAGGATTGGGACCACTCCAGTTCCAATTCCTCGCTCAACCACGAAACTCACTAGGTCACCTCCAAGGCTTCCTGTGGGGACAAAAAGATTTCTAAGTGTGGAAACAGGGCATGGCTAATGCTTCATGCCCAGCCTGCAAACTCCTCAAGGCTCATCACATACAGCTAGATGGACCTAGATACCACACCATGTATTGAAAGCACTCTTACACCACATGGAGAATTCTGGGAACTGTTTATTAAACAGAACTACCCCCCCCAACCTTCTGTATGGGGTTAAATGTAGCAAATGCATTTATTTAATTTCCACAAGTTTTGTTTACTTTAAATAACGAAATGCCCTTTGTCTGGTGTGTATTATTCATTTTTAATAATAATAATAATAAAAAATAAAAAGAACTTGTTTATGCAGACAAATGTTACCCCGAGATAAGAGTCAACCAATAACTTGGTTGTTGTGTCTCACAGCCTAACTTGCCCTTCAGGGTTGTTCTGAAGGTAACACCAGAGGCAGAGAGAGAGAGAGATCACTTTGGATGCTACCTTGAGCTCCTTTGGAGGAAGAGTGAGGTTGACATATAATGAATAATATTACAGTGGTACCTCAGGTTACATACGCTTCAGGTTACATACGCTTCAGGTTACAGACTCCGCTAACCCAGAAATAGTGCTTCAGGTTAAGAACTTTGCTTCAGGATGAGAACAGAAATCGTGCTCTGGCAGCGTGGCGGCAGCAGGAGGCCCCATTAGCTAAAGTGGTACCTCAGGTTAAGAACAGTTTCAGGTTAAGTACGGACGTTCAGAACGAATTGAGTACTTAACCCGAGGTACCACTGTAGTCTTTTACACAACATTTGATATTTATTCAACTCACTTTCAGTATAATAATTTCTTACGTTTTGACTTCCCATCCTTACGCCCATGATGTTCCTGTTTGTATTCCTTTATCTGATGCCATAACTTCAGCAGATAAACTGCCATTTATTTTCTAATGTATTATAACTTATATTACAATCATTACTTCCCTTGCCTATTATTCAAATCCTGCTCGCGATTTCAATTGAAGCGGGGGGTGGCGCCAAAGGGGAATGCACTCCTCAACGAAGTTCTCCTCTTTTTGATATTTTATTGTTACTGTCAACTTCGCCATCTCTGCATAGTCCATTAACTTTAAAATCCATTCTTCTTTCGCTGGGACTTCTTTTTCTATCCACACCTGCACATACAGGATTTTGGGTACGGTAACAGAATACATAAAGGACCATCTCTTTTAGAACCTCTGTCCCTGTGAATTATTGTTCTTAACACACACACACACACACACACACACACACACACGTAGCAAACCATTGCAGCCAGTTTTTGAAGACATTAAGCAACCGGTCTCACACAGAAAACAGAAGAGATACATGCATGCACACAAGCAGCAGAGATGCATTGGAAGCAACCAAGCCCAGCTGGCCTGATGCAACAAAGGGAAGAGCTCCTGCGCCTTTAGGGATTGCGTAGAAGAGGGGCTTGCATCATTTCAAACCACACCCGAAACCCCTTCTTTTTTGCACAACTATTAACGGTGCCGGAGCCTTGTTCTCTTCTGAATTAGGGCAAAGCTAAATCAGTAAATCACACAGCGAGACCTGTGGGCAGGTGTTTGGGACTCCTAGATGGATTACTTCAATTGTCACAAGTACGCATGAGTCATTTTCGTTTGGCACATGATGTGCCTCAGAACCCAGTTCTACAAACAATGAGGAGCCGTTCACTCCTGGGGTGTTGCTTATTGTGTCAAGTGTGGGAGGAGGCCTCTGGTCAGGTCCAACTGGCATGGCTTGTTTCTCTGAGCCCTGTGGTATTATTAACTCCTGATGTTGCCAATATGCCCATACACCTCTGATGCCTGAGAGGGGTGGGGAGCTGCCCTTGACTTGAGGAGAACTTGCGGTGGAAAGGGAGATGTGCAATGCAGTTGCAAATGTCTTTAGAAGACACAGTAAAACTTAACCATAAAGGAGATATCTTCCTATACACATAAAAATATAAGGCTGTCATCATGCAGTCTCCACTGGAGCATTTGTAGCGCTGTGTTACAATCCTGAATTGTCATAAAGTCAGGAAAGGGGATGGAAGTGAAAGAGAAGGCAGGTTTTAAGACGACGGCGTTAAACAACAGCAGAGGTTTGAATAAAGCAGGGATGGAGAGACACAAAGGAGCACTGAAGAAGTTATGAGGGAACAGGGAGAGTGGGGGCCTGGGTGAGGTGGAATGGGAAGAAGTTGAGGGTAGGCAGGATTAGTGAGCAGCACAAGGCGGGGCAGCCAGTGTGTGTGTGTGATCTTGTGATCACATCCACACCAAGGGCGATACAGTGGTACCTCAGGTTACATACGCTTCAGGTTACATACGTTTCAGGTTACAGACTACGCTAACCCAGAAATAGTACCTCAGGTTAAGAACTTTGCTTCCAGATGAGAACAGAAATTGCACAGCGGCGACGCATCAGCAGCAGCGGGAGACCCCATTAGCTAAAGTGGTGCTTCAGGTTAAGAACAGTTTCAGGTTAAGAACATACCTCCAGAACGAATTAAGTACTTAACCCGAGGTACCACTGTATTCAACTGGGTTTTACTCAGAGTAGACCTATTGAAAACAATGGCCCTAGCTTAGGCTGCATAAATACTATACCTTTAAAGCACATTTGAAGCTCATTCTTCCCCTCAAAGAATTCTGGGCACTGTTGTCGACCCCTCGCAAATTCCATCAACCCTTAACAAACTACTGTGTCCAGAATTATTTGAGGGTGGCGGAGAATGTGATTTGAATGTGCTTTAAAGCTATAGCATCTATGCAGCCGTAGTCATGCTTGTTAATTTCAGTGGTTCTGCATTTAAAGCAGGATCACTCCTGACTGCTCAGGGTGACATGAGTGTTGTTACGAGACCCTCATTCCCTTCACAGAGCTCCAGTTCCCACAATTCCCTGGGAAGAGGGATTGATCATTGAACCAGTCTGAGAGCTGTAGCCCAGTGAGGGGAATAGGAGTCTCCTAACAGTACTTGGAACGCTTAACAAACTAGAGTTCCCCTTTCCCCACCCCAATCTCTGAGCAGTGTGAGATTCCTGGGGTGCCAGGAATTCCTTTGGAATGAGGCACAGCAGAGACTGTGGTGTCGTCTTTAGGACATATGGTTTATTTACACATATATTCAACTTGAGCCTATGATGGAGAGGTTGACAGCATTAACACCCCAAGAGGGCCTTGCTTCTCCCATAGCCACAGCTTTGGATTCAAACATCTCTCCCCCTCTTTCTTTTCCCAGCTTGCTGCTTTTCTTCTAGCTCACCTTCCTGCACTCTCCACTCTGCCCTTTTGTCTTTCTAACTAACCATGAGTTTAGGAAGGCCCCCCCACAGAGGGCTATCTCATACAGAGCCCCCTTCCTTTGTTCCCTTAATGGCCCATCACCCAGGCTATCACCTAAACAGGAAGCTAGCCTGGCTTTTCCAAGAGTTTCCAAGGTGGCCCAGGCATTTGGCCTAAACCTTTCCGCAAACTCGTAACAGTATGTTAATCCTAATAGATATGAGAGGGTTTAAGGCAGATGTGGGAAGCTAATTGGCAGATTGCTATCAGTGAAGAGGTGTGGACCTCAGTGGAGGAAATTTCCATTTAAATTGATCTCTGCCTCTGCAAGAGAGATAGCATAAGAGTGCAAGAATGGCACCTCACACCTATTTAGTTATACATACAGTGGTACCTCAGGTTACATATGCTTCAGGTTACATACGCTTCAGGTTACAGTCTCTGCTAACCCAGAAATAGTGCTTCAGGTTAAGAAATTTGCTTCAGGATGAGAACAGAAATCATGTGGTGGCAGCACAGCAGGAGCGAGAGGCCCCATTAGCTAAAGTGGTGCTTCAGGTTAAGAACAGTTTCAGGTTAAGTACGGACCTCTGGAACGAATTACCAGTAAGTATTTAACCCGAGGTACCACTGTATAGCTAACCTATATGGCTAGCTGATATTAGTTTCTAGTACAGTGGTACCTCGGGTTAAGAACTTAATTCATTCCGGAGGTCCGTTCTTAACCTGAAACTGTTCTCAACCTAAAGCACCACTTTAGCTAATGGGGCCTCTCGCTCTCGCTGTGCCGCCACCACATGATTTCTGTTCTCATCCTGAAGCAAAGTTCTTAACCCGAGGTACTATTTCTATGTTAGCGGAGTCTGTAACCTGAAGCGTATGTAACCCGAGGTACCACTGTACTGTACACATCAAACTGTTGGAGAGGTTTCCAGATGTCGGGTTCTAACCAACATATGTGGTGGGCATGTGGAAAAGTGGCTCATTTCTGGGGGGATGTATTTGTCCAAATAAAAGCAATTACTGCACAAAATGTCTCTAAATGTTCAGATCTGGCGCTCCTCAGTCTTTACATGGGAGGTAATATTAACTTAACAGCTCAAACCTCTAATACGTTCTCTACTGCTAGCAGCTGTGCTCATGATAAAGAGATACGTAGAGGGCGTCTCTCTGACAAATTGGTACAACAAAGTATAGCTAATAGTACCTGTGGAAATAAATACATAATAGACTCAAACTGGCACAATGTTTAAAACACAAGTACTCTTTTTGTATTGGATTGGCACAGTTTTGTTATGTACAGGGCTAAAAAAAAGGAAACTCAATTGCTCCACTCACGTTATAAAACATTTTTGTTACCATAAACTGTTTACTGCCATCTTTAAAAATAGTAGTGTGGGATAAGAACCTATTACGTTATTTGGTCGTTATTGTGCATGTGTTATTTAAGCACGAGCTTCTGTGTTAGGCTGGTATATTTAATCACTTATTGGTATAATGTTGCTGCATGTTGAAATGATTTAATAACAAAATAGAAAATAAATTTAAGAATTAAAAACAAAGCAAGCTACAGTTCCAAGGATTCTTTGAAGGGAGCTGTTGACTGTTTAAAGTGGTATAATACTTCTTTAAAGGTGCAGATGGGGCCATACATTTAACTCAGATTTAGAGCACATGGCTTGGCCCAAAGAATCCTAGAACCTGAAGTTTACCCCTCACAGAGCTACATTTTCCAGGACTCCTAACAAATGACAACTCCCAGGATCCTTCGGGTGAATTCATATGCAGCAAATGTGCTTCAAATGTATAGTGTGGAGGTGACCTTTCTGTCACAATCCTAGAAAGCAAGTTAGTGGGGTGTCACCTCATGAAACTTCTTCACAAATGGATAATTATCTTGTGGAATTCACTAAGACAGCTTTTTTTTAAAGGAGAGAATTAGGATGCTTCCAGACTGTCAACCTCATTCTGACTGCAATTCAGTCATATCCTGGCAAGTTCAGGATGTGAAATTAGAATTGATTGGGTGGTCTTGCGATGATGCAAACCCACTTCCCCCAAATAATCTGTCTTTTTGCGGTCTTTAAGGAAAGGGATGGGGTGGGGAATGCAGCGCAATGTCATCTAATTCTCCTCATGAACAAATGTGGCTCATGAAACAGGTTGCTTCCCAACCTGAGGCAAATTCGTGGAGGTCGCTCAGCAACTGTTGGCCACAGTGGGATGATCTCCATGTTTGCAGTACCAGATGCTGCTGAGAAACAAGGAGAGCCATCCGTTGCCTTTCTGCGTCTTGCCTGTGTGCTTCTCAGAAGCAGCCACTGGAGCAGAATGCCAGATGGGACCTTTGATACGAAGCAACAGGCTCCTCCGCTGCTCTTGCAAACCTCCAAGGCACTTCAATTGATTGTAGGGGAGCTGAAATCTAAGTGCACTATAATTTATTCCCCCCCCCCCGCTCCTCCTCTATACCAGAAAGAGGGAATAAATTATGCCAGGGCATTGTGGGATCTGGGGGTGCTTGCAGATGACCTGTTTTATTGAGCATTCATCCTGATTTGTCTGCCGGGAGATTAGATGATGTTGGCTGTTTAATGAGCATTTTTTACTCTGCTTTCTTTGGTGAGGCGGTTCAATATCAGTTGCATCAAATTAAGTCCTATTTCACACCTGCCTCTGCATTCCCTGTCACTTACCTTATTGCAAAAGTCTAATCTTTTGGGGAAGCAGATTTGTTGTGCAAGAGCTCCCAACCAGCTTTAACGGTGCAGCTGGAGTTTGCCAGTAAGCGATTGAATTCCACCTGGAAATAACATGAATCTGGAAGCACCCTGGGCTCCAAACTCTAAGGGCCTGCCCACACTATGGCTTAATGTAACCCCTTGTGACCCCTTTAAAACAGGAGTCCCTCTCATCCATTTGGCATTCTTCCCCCAGCTACTGGTGTCTCACATTTTCTCCCTTCTAAATCTGGGAGTTCCCTATGATTTGAATATCTGAGCTGCATCAGTTGCATAGGGAATCTCCGGATTAAGGGAGGATAAAGTGTGGGAGAGCCATATTTGGAGAACACTAGTCACAGTGAGGGTGGATTAAATGAGGCACAAGGGATTCACAAACTGAGTTGTGGATGGGCCCTAACTCCTTTTCACCTGGTCCAATTCACTGCTCCACACTATTGTATTCTCTCACCACCACACCTGATATTTCATAAATCTTCCCCTCTCTTTTAGAAGCTCCATCGCCATCCGTCTCACAGCCACAGAATTTCTTCACTTGGGAATCATCCTTTTTCAGCCAACTTCTGCCTCCAGTCAACACCCTTTCTGTTATCTGCGGAGTCCCAGGATGTTCAAGGAATATTTCCAATACAAGGGGATCAGTTTTCCTCAAATTATCTACTCAGGACAGGTGCTGCAGATGGTGGAAAACAACTTCCAAGTTCGGGACGACGATATTTTCAATGTCACCTACCAAAAATCAGGTACAGGGGAAATGTCTTTGAAATGCTCCCAACAGGTTGTGCTCAGTTTCCCTAGTTAGAGCTGAGCACCAAGGGATCTTTATTAATGATGCAGAAACTCAGACAAGCCAGTTGTAAGGTAGTGACACACTTTTATTCTAATCTCATCCAGCAAGCTTGGCATGTGGTTAGCTCAGCTACGCTTTGTACACACACAATAGGTGTCACGTGACAGCTGAGATTAAACTTCTTAACAAGCCATTATTTCTGAGATCTCCCTAATAAAAAAAGGCCGCTTTGCAGAGGTGAGTATTTTCCACCATGTATCTTGGCACAATGCCTCACCCAATGCACACACAATGCCTCACATGTGAGGTGCAGGATATTGTGGAGGGTGTATTCCATTTACTTATTTGTCCAGACCTGCAAATCCAAAACAACCTCACCCAGTCCTTAGCTTCTCTTGTTACAAGCACAGGCTGGTTGTAAGAAGTCACAGAAGGGAATATTGACTACCTGCCCCTTCTTCAAGGTCAGTGGGTTCAGATAGCTGAATTCATTGTTTCTGGGATCAAGGGATGCAGGTAAATGTTATTAAGCACAGCTTCTTTTTTCATAATGTTTTGAATTTTACATATACTGCAAACTTGTGGGCTTCCCGGGCAACCTGTCTTATTCAGCATTCATCCTGACACAGGGAGATTAGATGACATTCCCTCCTTGATAAGCATCCACTCTGATTTGTTGTGGAGAGGCTAGATGACTTTGGGCAGTGGCGCCAACTTGAATAAAATATTGGGGGAACCCCACCACTCTGCCCCCCGCCAGAAGGTCGCCAGAAGGATGGAGTGAAAGAGGCTGGAGACAAGGGAGTGCAGCCCAGGCTGAGTCCCCACCCCCAGCCCAGCACAGGCTGCATTCTGAGGCCCAGGCAGCTGGGCTCTGGGCATGGGAGGTGGTGCTATCCGAGCCGGGGCTGGCACTGAGATGCTGAACTATGGAGCTCACTGGCACACGACAGTAGGCCTAGCCTGCGCACTGCTGCCTCCTCTCACTGCCCCAGGGGTGCCATCTTGGGGGGGGCAGGCCCTTCAATATTTTCAAGGCCTCCCAAATTCTGCTACGATCCTCAAAAGCACATGCTAGGGTGAAGCACCCCTTTGACGATCACCTTCCAGGAAAGTATTGTATTGGTAGAGCACAGCCCAGGAGGGAATCGTTGCCCGTGGGCAGGCTGGAGCTAGGCACTTCCGAACTAACCTGTGCTTCTTTTGGGGCTCCTTCATAGGGACCGTGTGGATGCTGGAGATTTTAAGCCTCATCCGTAGCAATGGTGACCCCAGCTGGTGCCGGACAGTTCCCAACTGGGACCGAGGGCCTTGGTACGAGACCGTGATAGGATACAGAATAGCTTTGACCAACAAGTCACCACGCATTATCAGCTCCCACCTGCCGGCACAGCTCTTCGCAAAGTCCTTCTTCAAATCCAAAGCCAAGGTAAGACAGAAGAAGACCTTACTGAGACACACTCCCAATGATTTTCATAGCCCCCCCAATGATATCCCCACCTTTTCTGCCAACAGGTCATCTACACAGTCAGGAATCCCAAAGATGTATTGGTATCCCTCTACCATTTTGCTTCCATGTTTCGTCCCTATAAAGACCCCGGCACCTTGGACCAGTTTCTGGAGGGCTTCCTAAAGGGAGATGGTGAGTGAACTGAGGGGGTGGGAGGCAGGGGCAGTGTTCTCCCCCCTTTAGTTTAGAGGGTCATGCCTTCTCCCAGCCCCCTACCACCCACCCTTGGTATTCCTCATGCCCCACACGGTTCCTGCCTAACACCGATTGTGTGGTTGCAGTGCCTTTCGGATCCTGGTTTGACCACGTTAAAGGCTGGCTGAACTTGAAGGACAAGGAAAACTTCTTCTTCATCACATACGAGGAGCTGCAAGAGGTTGTTATTATGTTATTATGCTAGTAAAATACAGCTTTGCATTTTTGCAAGCACGGATACATCCTGCCACCCGGAGCAGAATGTATCCAGGCTTGTTAAGATAGCTCGAACCTGAAGGTCGCGAAAAGTGTGAGAACTCCCACACTCTCTCTCTCTCCATGCCGGATTGTGTGGGTATGTGGATTTCTTGGCTTCAGATCTGACTGGCACATCTTCTCCCCCTGTCCCCAGCACCCCCATGTTCAAATGTGTGGGGCACAATGCATTTAAAGCACAAGGCACCGACCCCCATGCAGATCCTGGGAACTGAAGATTATCCTTCTCAGAGCTACAATTCCCAGCACCCTTAACAAAATGCAGTCCCCAGGATTCTTTGGAGGAAGTCTTGTGCCTTAAATATGCAGTGTGGATGTGGTTGCTGCCTTTCTGTTCTCTGCAGGGCCAGCCCTACCATGAAGTGGAGCGAAGCAACTGCCTTGGGCGGCAGCTGCAATAGTCCATTTCCCTCCCCTGAGTCCCCAAAGCTAGCCTGCTCTGGGCTCCCTAAGGTAGCCTGTTGTCCTCAGATACAGTGAGGGGTGTTGTCCCATTGCCAGCACTGAACTGTGGCTTTGTACAAACTATACATTTAAAGCACATTCAAAGTACGTTCTCTCCCTCAAAGAATTCTGGTCACCGTAGCTGACCCCTCACAGAGTTACAGTTGCCAGCGACCCTTAACAAACTACACTGCCCAGAATTCTTTGTGAGGCAAAAGGTGCTTCAAATGTGCTTAAAAGGTACAGCCGCTTGACACATTTACACCATACATTTAGAGCATACCCATTGCACATTCATAGTGCATTACTTCCCCCCAAAGAATCCTGGGAATTGAAGTTTGTTAAACCACTCTGGGAAGTGTACCTCTGTGAGGGGAAAACCACAGTTTCCAGGATTACTTGGGGAAAGTCATGTGCTTTAAATATCTGTCAGCTGTGCTTTAAATGCATTGTGTGGATCTGCCTTAAGATTCAGCTGACAGTCTGGTTGGATTCTGTACAGGTTATTAGGGTGGGCATGAGGGATGCTAGTCAGATCACTGGAGAAATTATGAGGTAGAGGATAACCTCCTATGTTTCCAGCAAGGGACGTAAAAACATCCAGGTTAAAGACCTTTCCAGCAATCTGGGTGTCTTTGACTGTGCATTAAAAATGAAACAAAAAACCAAAGACCAACTTTCTACCTGTTTAATTACTTTGATCCAGCCCTGTCCATAAATGAGTGAGTTGAGAGCATAGTGGGAGACCCAGATCTTCTCTATCTCTACCAGGGCTTCTCAAACTTCTGAGTTCATTGACCTCTTGATGGACTCCCAAATTCTTAGGAATGCAAATTCCTTAAAGTGTAAAGACATGCTGGAGCTCTGGTATTCCTGGTGAGCCCATTCCCCTTTCAAGCTGAGGGCTCTTCTTGTCACCCTCAGCTTCCTTCCTTTATACTCCTGACATTTTCCTGCCACCTTGCCTCCCCAGACTTAGCAAACCTCCTTCCTCTCTTCATCTCCTCCATCCTTCCAAGGCAACGTTTGCCATCCCTTTTTATTCAGCTGCCAGCGCCCTTCTCTTAATGATGCCCTTTGCCCTTATCCCTGCTTCAGTCAGAATATTGCTCTGGCTATCTTCACTTCTTTGTCTGTTTTCTATTTGACGTTCTGCTTGGTCCCTTTCTGTTTCACATATTCATTCTCTCTTCCAGTCTCACTCTCGCCTTTCTGCCAGGCCCTTGTCCTACCTTCACTCCTGCACTCCTTTAGTGTAGGACAATTCTTCCATTCACCCACAGTCTCTGCTGCTACACCTTTTGGTCCTGCTTCCATTTCTGTACGCAGGTTCCTCATCTCCTGTTTCCCCTTTCTCAGCGGCTTAGACCCCACACCTGAGGTGTCTCTCCTCTCCCTTTGTCCTCTGTCAGGCTGGGCAGCGCTGTATCATCACCCCTGCAAATGTCACTTCCAATTGAACCTTCTGGTTGAACTGCCAACACTTCAGCGCACCAGAGACGCAGCCCCCCTGCATGTTCCTCACAGTAATTTTGGCCCCCTTCCTCAAACTGCGATTGCTGAATCACCATCTGTTTGTTGCTTTGGAATTGCCACAACAGCCCGGTTAGCTTTGAAACTCTTTCCATGTGTGGTGTCAATGTGCTTAAGCGTGTTTATCTCAAGTGTGCATCCTCTGCAGCTGCTTACAATTTCCGCCATCATTCTCCAGGACCTGCGAGGAAGCGTAGTCCGAATTTGCCAGTTCCTGGGCAAGGACTTAGACGATGCAGCCATAGACTCAGTGGTGGCGAATGCCTCCTTCGAGGCCATGAAAAGCAACAAGATGTCGAATTTCTCCCTCTCGCCCCGCTTCCTCATGAACCAGAAGAAAAGTGCTTTCCTCCGCAAAGGTGACAGTAGGATGGGCTGGGAGTGATCTGTCCGCAGTGTGTGCCTCAATTAGGGGTGGCAGCCATTGGGAATCCCCCACAAATAGTCTGGTGGCAAATTTATTATGCCATAAGTTTCCGTGGACTTCATAAGATGCATGGAGTGTGATCCTTCAATTCCAGGTGCATATAATAACGAACATGGGTGTAAAGCTCAGGGGAATGTTAAAGCTGAAGTCCAATAGCAATTAAATGCAAAAGGTGCAGTGAGCTCCTTAAATGTATGGGATCACCAGTGATCTTATGAAGCAGACTTTCAAACACAAAGGCTTGTGCTATAACAAATTAGCTAGGTTTCAAAGTGCCACAAGGTGCTTAATTTTTATTATTATTATTTTTTGCCATGACAGACCGCCCTCTAGGTGTGTGTACTAGCCTCAGCTCCGCAGCAGTACCAGACAGAACCTCCCCTCAGTACTACTTGTTGGTTCTGTGTTAGGCTCCTAGGGGGTTATCCTCTGTCTTCCCAATTCCTACAGTTCCCTCATGGGATCCCCAGCTCACCCCAGTTAATTTGTGTGTTTGTGTGTGCATGTGCTCTCGCGCGCGAGCACACACACATACACTTATGCTTATGTGTGCCTTGATAAAACACTGCAACAAAACAATCTTGGCGTGATCTTATTTATGGCGAGGGCTGGGCAAACCTATCAATTTCGGTTCCCCCCAGTTCTTCATTTTCCCAGTCTTCATTTCAGTTCTCCACATTTCAGTCTGCAATGAAAAACAAAAATTTCTTGAAGATTCATCAAAATTTCAGTGCAAGCTTCTCAAAGTATAAACATGGCTATTTTGCAACTTGTATAGAATTTTGCCTAATATGCACATGTTTTCGCAAAATATAGTTTCTCCCAAAATAATGCATTTTTGCATGTTACTTTCATGAATATATGCATTTCTATCAATGCTTTACCCCCAATATATGCATTATTGTACATATTAGTTGGCTTGCAAACTGCATTGAAAAAGTTGTAGAAGTGCAAACCGGAGAAGAGTGAATTTCTGACGATGGCTGTGTTTTGTTTCTTGCATTGTTTTGGAAAGAGATAATTAAGGTAGGTTCATCTTTAAATGTGAACTGAATCAAATTTCTCCCCCATCTCTACTTATGACTTCATCAAGTTTTATGTAAGTGATCTTTGACTGCACATGTAACCCCATGCACTGGTGAAACACTGCACCCAAAGGATATTGATGCAACCATACGTTCTGTCCCACCAAGGTTGCTTTTTTTGCAGTGTTTTATCAAGACACATGTCTGGATCCACAATGCAGAGTGAAGAAAAAGGCAGAATATGCAGCGAAGGAACTAAAATCTATAGCAAACACCACAGGCACAACACTACACAAAATCTGGGGCAGGGAACAAATTCCTAATGCATTGGTTTGACTTGGAAAGAAAAAAAAAGGGTAATTTACAATCTAGGAAATGAGAATTTTGGAAGCATCCTTGTTTCTTGCTCAGTAACTTGCAGCTGTCAGGTATGATGTAAATCAGCTCTGCTCAAAAACATTTTTAATTAAGGTGAGGCAGTTGCAAAAGCTCACTTTCCAGTGTTGCCCTGATCTCCAGTCCCTGGGTGAATGCAGGAAGCACCAGTGAGTTCATCCGGGATGGGAGGAGGAAGATGCTATTCCCCTGTATTGTTATGCAATTCCCCAATCTCTCAGCGGTGAGAGGATTCAAGGGTGCAGCACCTTTGGCTTCCTTTGGAATGAGGTCACTGGAAGCTTACTGGCGTTTTGTAATATTTGTGCTTGTTTGCAAATGCACAGGTTGAACATAGGTGGAGGCATGACATTAGGCACCCCAACAGACCCCTGAGAAGTTCACTGGCATCCATACCTAGGAGAACTGACAGTGCCTTCAGGGCTCCAAAGATGCTCGCTCTGTGTCTTTCTTTAGCCTCCCAGCAACTCTTCCAAGTCTATTTTTGTCTCCTGCCTGCCTGTATACACCCAGCTGGGAGTGGAGAGAGACAGACGCTTCCCATTCAGATCTTTGCCACCCATTAAAAAGGGCAGCCTTTAAGAGACATCAGCCTACAATTTCCCTAACAATGGGGAAGCTGACAGGCCTAAACTTGCCCAGCTGGTTTGATCTACTCCAGTAGTCCCTTTTAGAATCATGGGATTGGAGGGGATCCTCAGCTCAGCCGCCAATCCCATCCTAACGATAGTTAGCTAAAGAATTTAGGACACAGGGCAAAATGTACAGGCATTGTTCTCACATTTTGTGTGTGAGAAATTTGCTTGCCTCCCACTTTCAGTGTTTTCCTTTATCCCCCCTCCTCACAAACCCTCACACAAAAAACCCCCAAACCCTGCAGACACCTGCAGTTCTTCCCTCCGTCCCCAAATCCCCAGATACCAATCAGAGAATGTTCCTGCTGTCCTTGCACCCCCAGAGTCATGTGGCTGGTCCCTGTGAGAGCAGGAAGCTGGACCAGATGGGCCATTGGCCTGATCCAGCAGGGCTCTTGTGTGTAGCCATCATTTGTTGTTGTTGTTTAGTCGTTTAGTTGTGTCCGACTCTTTGTGACACCATGGACCAGAGCACGCCAGGCACTCCTGTCTTCCACTGCCTCCTGTAGTTTGGTCGGACTCATGTTGGTAGCTTGGAGAACACTGTCCATCCATCTCGTCCTCTGTTGTCCCCTTCTCCTTGTGCCCTCCATCTTTCCCAACATCAGGGTCTTTTCCAGGGAGTCTTCTCTTCTCATGAGGTGGCCAAAGTATTGGAGCCTCAGCTTCATGATCTGCCCTTCCAGTGAGCACTCAGGGCTGATTTCCTTCAGAATGGATAGGTTTGATCTTCTTGCAGTCCATGGGACTCTCAAGAGTCTCCTCCAGCACCATAATTCAAAAGCATCATAGGAATTGCCTAAGAATCTGGCAGGGTTGTCCTCTCTCCCCGTTATTGTTTATTTTAGTATTGGAAGTTCTGATGCGAAGTATCAGAGCAGATGAGAACGTTAGAAAAATAAAGGTAGGAAGTAAGGAATTTAAATTGAAAGCATTCACAGATGATTTAGTAATCACTGTAGAAGATCCAACAATCTTACTTGAACAGGTTATTTATAAGATACAAGAGTTTGGACAAGTTGCTGGTTTCAAACTTAATAAAAATAAAATGAAATTATTGGTTTAAAATATCCTGAAACAGGATAAAGAAAAAATTCAACAAGAAATAGGTATAAATATTCACAACAAAGCGAAATACTTAGGGATATGGCTAACACCAAGGAATATTAATATGTATATATAAAGATAATTATGAAAAAGTTTGGAAAGAAATAAAAAGGAAATTAGAAATCTGGAACAGAACGAACTTGTCATTATTAGGGAGAATTTCAGTGATCAAGATGAATGCCTTGAAAAAATGTTGGTTTTATTCCAATCAATTCCAGTGATAAGTAATATAGCATTTTTAAAGACCGGCAAAAGGATATTTCAAAATTTATATGGCAGGGCAAGAAGCCGAGAATAAAATATAGATTATTAACAGATACTAAAAAAAGAGGAGGCTTCTCACTGCTGGTCATGAAATTATACTATGAAGCTTTATGTATTTGTTGGATCCGAGAATGGATCAAATTAAAAAAATACAGAACTATTGGATTTGGAAGGGCATGATAATAGATTTGGCTGACACGTCTACCTATGGTATGAAAAAGCTAGAATACACCAAAGTTTCCAAAATCATATAATTAAGAAAGTGATATTTAAAGTTGGGGCAAGTATAAAGATTTATTGGAACAAAAAACACCACAGTGGCCTAAAAATCTGACCAGTGGTCCCTCCATTCCAGCACTGAGCCCAACCAATGAAATGATCTTAGGGAGCTCATAAAGGCCGTGTGGTGTAATGGTTAGAAGGCTGGAATAAAACCTGACAGACCAGGGTTCAAATCCCAACAGGGTCGTGAAGCTCACTGTATGACCTTGGGTCAGTAATAGTCTCCAGCCTAACCCTACCTTATAGAGTTGTTGAAAGGATAAAATGGAGTGGGGGTGGGAGAACTATCTACATCCCGGTGAGCTCCCTGAAAGAAAGGGGGCATGGACATGTCATGAACAAGGCAGCAAACCGTGCTTGATGGAAAAAGCAATCCTTAGCTGTTGCCTCTAATTTCAGTAACCACTGTTCCTTGCTTTGTTAACCCAACAAAGCAAGGCTATTCTCATGTTCTTATACTACCTCTGAATGCACCTCTATTTTTAGCTGTTACCAATAAGAATCACTGATAGGAAGACACACTCTCCCTGACTCTGCCTGTTCCTCATCAGACAAGGGGCAACATCACAGCTCTTGGTGGTCATCACGTGCTTGTAGAAATATTTCTTCCTCCATGTCTATCCTGAGAATAACTGGCAATTACTTTCTGTTACTGGTTTCCAGGGATATCCGGTGACTGGAAGAACCATTTGACCACCACGCAGAGCGAATGTTTTGACCAGGTCTACCAGGAACGCCTACGAGACTTAAACGTCACATTTCCGTGGGACAAAGAATGAATCTGGCCTTCGCCGCTGACTCTCTCCAACACCGGACTGATTTAATATCTCAATGGGATACCAATGGTGTCTCAGCACAACACGCTGTAGATTAGTGGGGACATCTGGGGTGGGCCAGAACTCCTGGAACTGTGGGAGGAGAATGGGGTGTAGTGAGAACTGGAGTCAGAGCTCCAGGAAGGGAGTGAGCTGTGGCGGATTAGATTCCAGAGGTCACCCAACTATGGCTCTTAAGCCCTGAGCAATCAGGGCACATGGCCAGGAAGGCGCATGTTGCAGCAACCTTGCTGAAGCTAAGCAGGTCTGGGTGTGGTCAGCAGAAGACCACCTGAATAGCCCTTTGTGCGATGTCTTAAGTTCCATGATGGGAGAAAGGATGTATTGTAATAAAATAAACCAATATCCAATGGTTTCAAAGTCCAGTGGTTTCAAGAAGGCGACACGCATTAACAAGAGGGTTCCTGACAGTCTTTTTCTAGAGGGGGCTTCCATGTTGGCCTGTTGTAGCGAGACAGCCAGGAGTCTGGTGGCACCTGAACAGTTAGCAGATGCTTTGTGGCATGAGCTTTTGTGGACTACAGGCAAACACAGTATATGCACACACGTATGGGGTGAGCTGCACTGCAGACAGCGTGGTTCGAAGGAAATGGAACACAGGAAAGGCAGGTGATGGTGATTTCTCTGTCGGACTGCTCCCAGCTGGTTACGAGGAGCCGATTGGCCAGCGCCACAAATCAAGTGTGCCAATCACTTGCTTGGAGCACCAGGCCCCTGCTAGAAGGTTTGCCTTGTCATGGAAAGCCAGAGGAAGCAGGTAACAACATACCATAGCTTTGTCAAAGCAGGTGCTTCTCCTGGCTCTGCCCCAATAGGAAACCACGAGGGAGGCGGGACAGGAAGTAGGAAGATGCAAGGCTTGCCTGCAAGTATTTAAAGGCTTGTAAGAGGCGACTGAAGAGTATTCCTGCAGGTGGCTTCTGGTGTGCTTAAAGTGGTGGAGCACAGAGAGAGGAGGAGGGACTGGAAAAGTTATGTACCCTCTTCCACACCATCCTCAGCAGAAACCTTGCACACCACAATAGCCCTTTTTGGCTTACTGCCTCTTCCCTCCTCCTTTTTTCGCCTTGTGCCCCTTTCTATGCCACTGTTTTTGCCTCAGTTCCCAGCCAAGGATCAGAATAATCCGGAATTCCCACCCCTCCAGAATCAAGGGGACGCGGGTGGCGCTGTGGGTTAAACCACAGAGCCTAGGGCTTGCCGATCAGAAGTTTAGCGGTGCGAATCCCTGCGATGGGATGAGCTCCCATTGCTTGGTCCCTGCTCCTGCCAACCTAGCAGTTCGAAAGCACGTCAAAGTGCATGTAGATCAATAGGTACCGCTCCAGCAGGAAGGTAAACAGTGTTTCCATGTGTTGCTCTGGTTCGCCAGAAGCGGCTTAGTCATGCTGGCCCAGTGGTGTAGCGTGGGGGGTGCAGGGGGGGCCGGCCACACCGGGCGCAACATCTGGGGGTTAGGGTTAGGGGGCGCAAATCCACGGGTTAGGGGGCGCAAATCCATGGGTTAGGGGGCGCAAATCCATGGGTTAGGGGGCGCAAATTACTTGCCTTGCCCCGGGTGCTGACAACCCACGCTACGCCACTGTGCTGGCCACATGACCCAGAAGCTGTACGCCGGCTCCCTTGGCCAATAAAGCGAGATGAGCACTGCAACCCCAGAGTCGGCCACGACTGGACCTAATGGTCAGGGGCCCTTTTGCCAGAATCAAGAATTTGGGGAAGATTTCCACCAGGGGGCAGTAGAATATCTATCATCTATCAACACCCAGTGCAAGGCCCATTCACACTTAATTCTGCCTGCTTTCCTCCCCCCACCCCACTTTAACTCAAGTAATTGCGTTTACATGGTTACAACTTTGCACATAGTAATTATTTCTGGTGCCCCAGTTTCTCTGCTCACCGGCTTTTGTGTTGGGAATGGCTGTCCCCAAGGGAGCTGTATTTGATAAGGTCACTCTCTAGCCATCTATTTCTGTCTCCAAAGAACTGAAATCTTAAAGGTATCCGTGCTGCGTCTTTGCTGTGTTGGCTCACTAGCAGCAGCTACTGCTGGATCTTCCAGTGGTAATTAAAAGACTGAAGTGCTGCTGGGAGAGAATGGCGAACTCTGCAAGGGTTGGGGAGGGCGCATATGAAACAATCATGGCACCATTTTCCATCTTGTCCTGTTATCCGGCCTCCTCTTTACCTTGCGTGTAAATTGTTCACAGTTGAGCCCTGGAAACCTAAGAAGTTGTTTTCTTATACGGAAGAGGCTAATGAGCAATTGAGAACCACTGTTTCTTGTGGGCCATTTGGGCAATCTCACAGACAAAGCTGCTTTTTACTAGGTCAGGCATTTGACCCATCTAGCCCAATATCCAGCAGTCACGAAATTAAAAGACACCTGCTTTTTGGGAGAAAAGCGATGACAAACCTAGACAGCATCTTAAAAAGCAGAGACATCACCTTGCCAACAAAAGTCCATATAGTTAAAGCTATGGTTTTCCCAGTAGTGATTTATGGAATTGAGAGCTGGACCATAAAGAAGGCTGATTGCCGAAGAATTGATGCTTTTGAAATATGGTGCTGGAGGAGACTCTTGAGAGTCCCATGGACTGCAAGAAGATCAAACCTCTCCATTCTGAAGGAAATCAGCCCTGAGTGCTCACTGGAAGGACAGATCCTGAAGCTGAGGCTCCAATACTTTGGCCACCTCATGAGAAGAGAAGACTCCCTGGAAAAGACCCTGATGTTGGGAAAGATTGAGGGTACACGGAGAAGGGGACAACAGAGTACGAGATGGTTGGACAGTTTTCTTGTAGATACTAACATGAGTTTGACCAAGCTGCGGGAGGCAGTGGAAGACAGGAGTGTCCGGCGTGCTCTGGTCCATGGGGTCACGAAGAGTCGGACACGACTAAACGACTAAACAACAACAACAACAGCCCAGTATTCTCTATTGCAATAAGCAATGGACCTCCAAAGTTGAGGCTTTCCCATGCTGAAGGATGAATCTGTCAATTCTGGTTACTCTCCGTTTCTGGTGGAAAGTAAGACGCTGAAAGAGGATAGCCAGCTGATTTTCCACACACACACACAAAATGAGAATAGTGTCTGTACATTTTGTCTTGTATCTCAGGTTCTACAAATGCTAAAAATTTAGTCTCTCTGTAAAATAAATAAACAGATAGATAGCTAGATAGCTAGATAGCTAGCTAGGGGTTTGGAATCTGGGGGTGATGGTCCATCCCGGGGAAGGAACTCTCCTCCCCACCCCTACTGTACACCTATGTCGGTCTCTCTTCTTCATCTAGCCTGGTAAACAAGTGGAATATGAGTTGCGGGAAACCCCAGTTATCCACACCATGCACTGAAATGTCGCAGGTAACTCTACAGGAGTGGCAGGGCTCTGTATCCCTTTCTGCCAGCCCACAGCAGGCTGGTAAAAATAATAATTGCAGGCTAGTAACTTTGGTGGGCTTATTTGCAAGGCTGCTTTAAAGCAATCCTCACAGAGAAGAAAAACAGCTGGGGGGTGATTTGGTTTGGAGAGGAAAGTGCTGGTATACATGTGTGTCTGAAAGATTCAGCTCCTCATCCCACCTCCCACCTCAAATTTTCTTTCTCCCCCTCCCCCCAATATTACTTTACATGGCCTGAGTTGGGTCATGATGGCATGCCGTTTGTCCCTGATCTAGCTGAAAAAAAGATCACTGCAAAGAAATCAAAGCTTGTTTCGAAAACTGTTCTTTAATTAATAATATTAATCTGTATTCAAAAGGTGGATTCTTTTGGCAACAAAATTCTCCCCTCTCCCTGCTCCCCAGTTAAGGTTATTGAAGGCCATTCGGAAATGATGGTCACCTTGGTGTGTGTTTTCTGTTCTCTTAAACATCCCAAAATATACTGAGGATTTGGGAGGGGGCTCTCGTTTGTATTTTCCACCCCAGATTTCCTCACATTGGCACAGAAAGTGGGGTGGAGTTTCATGTGTATGTCTCTGCCCCAAATATTGAAAGAATCTCAGGATTTGTGAGGTTGTCCCTGTGTATCGTTTGTGTTATCCTGTCCCACCCCCCGACTTCCTGAGGTTCAGAACATTAATATAGAAGGAAACCACCCTGTTTGAGTTTTTGTGGCCGGTGGCTCCTGAAGCTCACAGAATGTCCCTCAGATATCTTGGGAGTGTCCTCATACATTATGGGGGATAGTCTCCAACATTTATATGCCCAACCAGACATTCTGAGCTGTTTGCAGCATCAGGGGAACAGCTGTCTGCCCAATGCAGTTTGGCTGTGCTGCCCCAAATTTGGGTTACATTCTCTCTCCCTCATGTTTTGGATTCACGGAGATTTTGAGTGTGTTTGAACAAAAAGCCAATTGCTTTTGGGAATAAGCAGGGAGGCAATGTCAGAGGACAAGATTCTAGTCCTCAGGCATCTGGGAAAGGCCCAATCCCTTTTAAGATATGGCTGTTCAATTGAGTACGCCACGTTCTGTTGATAAATAGCAGTGGCCTCATTTTTAGAAACCTCTGGAAGCCGTATTGTGTGGGTGTGCATGTGTGTCCCAAACACCCCTGAGGCATACATTCCGTTGTTGTTCACAGGCATCCTGTTATTCCCCTTTCGCATGGTGGAAGGCAGTCTGGTCACCCAGAAGTGGGAGGTTACAACTTCCTCAGTTAGACATCAAATTCTGAAGGAGCCACAGCCACCCTCAAACATTCAACTGGTTGCAGCACATCTCAGCTACATGACAGTTTTCGGAGGACGTGTACCATCCACTGAAAGAGAGAAGGGGGGAAATGCAGGTTATGGAAAGGGATTTGTTTTTAAACAGATCCTGCCTGTGTGTCAAATGCTCCAACTGACCCTGTTTGCCAGGGATGGTCCCTGTTTTCTAGTAACTCACTGTCCTGCTTTTGGTCTTTTGAGGAACCAGGCCTATCCTTTAATCCCCCCCCCCACTTTATCTTACTTAAAAATCCAAGGCAGTAGTAGACAGGAATCCTATACTGCCTAACCTGGTAGTAAGCCCTGCTAAAGTCCGTAAGACTTGCTTCTGAGTAGATGCATATAGGATTGCACTGATTAACAAACAGACAGACTACAGTTCCTATAATCTCTGCTTGTTGGCCATGCTGGGGCTGATGGGATTTGGAGTTCAACAACATCTGGAGGGAAAGCAAGGTTCTTAATCTCCTTTTCCAGTCATTTTTAAAGATTGTCATTAGTCTATTTTTTAAAAAATCAACATGCATTGCTGAATTTTGATTGCAAGTCACCTTGAATGTCTGATAGAAAGCCAGGCTGCACATGCTGTAAGTAAACAGATAAAGGAAGGAAGGAAGGAAGGAAGGAAGGAAGGAAGGAAGGAGAAAGAAAGAAAAAGGAAGGAAGGAAGGAAGGAAGGAAGGAAGGAAGGAAGGAAGGAAGGAGAGTAAAACCTAGCAGGTCTGAGCATGAAAGAACAGAGCTCAAATTCCTGGCCTGCATACCATGGAGCCTGTAGTTGCCCCCCTTGCAACGTCGAGTGGGGCGCCGTGGGTCTCGGTTGCCCCGAAGGCTTCGATGGAGGAGGGGCTGGAGGGGTCTCGAATTGTCACTCATGCTCCGGAAAATTTGGGAAGGGAGGTTCTGGCTGAGAAGACGAAGGGAGTGTATCTGCAGAAGAGAGAGAAGTGGGGAAAGGAGGTCAAGAAGGCAGTTGAGGATCAGGACTCCTAGGTTTTTGAGAAGGGCTGGGTGTGGGGCAGGTGAATCTAGTGGGGAGGGTGAGTTAAGGAGCTTTTCTTGATGCTGGGAAATCCAGAGACTCCACTGCCCCAGGGAGGAACCTACTTGTACAGAGGTCATGTTGATGGGTCGGTCAATAAGGATCCAAGTGGCTGTTTCGTAGCACGGAGGGGTTGACATGGATCCTTGGTAAGTAATGAAGCCAAAAGTCTCTGGGTAGAGATCTTCCAGACTCAGGTCATGTAGAAGATAAGCATCATCTGGAGAGAGAGAGAGAGAGAGAGAGAGATGCACACACAGGCGAGTATCAGAAGAAGGGCCCTATGGGATTGGATCAAAGGTTCATCTAGTCCAGAACTTTGTCCCCCAAAGCGGCTCTGGCGGGTCCTTCTGGGAAACGTAAGGTAACACCCCTCCCCTGTTGTTTGTGTGCAGCACACAGGATTGAAGACATCTGCACAGGTGAGATTCCACATAGCTGACTCACAGAGCTGCTGTTCCTGAACGTTGGTTAAAACCATCTAGGCTAGTGGCCATTCCATTGTTATGAAACAATGCCATTCTCCATTTTTAAAACTCCTGTCATGTCCTCTCCCGCAACCACCCCCTCCCTGGTTAGCTTTCCCAGTCCTGACCATCTTTGCCAAGGGACCTCTAACGTAGTCCTCTTCCCACTTACTCTTATACGAGATGCGGGTGATGGTCTCTCTGTTTAACAGCCTGGTTAGGAATGGGTTGGGGCTTGGTCCAATCTGCAAAGAGAAATGAAACAAAGGCCTTGCATTTTGTCCTCTGATCTCCTGCCCAACCTTGAGCTGGCCAGGGACCCATCTGGCACGCCCTAGATTTTTATTTTATTTTTTGTGGGGTTGGAAGGGAGAGGGAGAGACTCACATCAGCAAAGATCGAAATGACAGCCAAACCATTGGGATTGCGCGACGCCTCTGAGATATTGGGGTAGAGCTCTTGGTTGTAGTGGATCAGCTGAACCTAGAGGTGGGAACGAAAGAGAAAAAGGCATATGCAGACGTAAATAAAGCTTGCATTTTGCAGATGTGGAATGACCGATATACGTATTACATTTACATCCTGCCTTTCCTCTCAGGATCCTAAAGCAGTATACATGGATCTCCTCCCCCCTTTTTTTGCCCTCCTCCCTCTTTTATCCTCCCAACAGCCCTGTGAGGTGGGCTAAGCTGAGAGATAATCACCCAGTGGCGCAGTGGGGATTTGAACCTGGGTGTCCTCAATCCTAATGCAACAACTCTGGGCTTTTAAGAACATTAAAGGTAAAGGTAAAGGGACCCCTGACCATTAGGTCCAGTCATGACCGACTCTGGGGTTGTGGCGCTCATCTCGCTTTATTGGCCGAGGGAGCTGGCGTACAGCTTCTGGGTCATGTGGCCAGCATGACTAAGCCACTTCTGGCGAACCAGAGGAGTGCACAGAAACGCCGTTTACCTTCCCGCTGGAGCGGTACCTATTTATCTACTTGCACTTTGACGTGCTTTCAAACTGCTAGGTTGGCAGGAGCAGGGACTGAGCAACAGGAGCTCACCCCTTCGCAGGGATTCGAACCGCCGACCATCTGTTCGGCAAGTCCTAGGCTCTGTGGTTTAACCCACAGCGCCACCCGTATAGTAAGAACATTACTATTTACTTAAAGCCTTCGTGTGCTGTGCGTTTTATTGGTATTGGTTTTTTAGGGCTGCAGTCTAACACAGCTGGTGTAGAAACCCTTTAAACGAATGTGAGGTTGATTTGAGGAAAAGTTTTAATGGCACTCAATTTTCCTGCATGTATAGATCGGCGTCTGAGCTAAGAGTATCCACAAAATGCACCAGTCTGAGCAGGGCCTGAGATCACCTCGGCGGAGAAGGTCTCGCCGTCTATCCGATGCTCGGAGCCAAACCCATCTTCGCTACCAAAGTGCAGGCGCAGCTCCTGGAGGCGGTGACTGTACAGCAGAGGCCCTCCAGAAACGTTAACCAGCTGCAGTGGGTCTGGGCGGAAGGAGACATGCCGTCCCGTGTTGTACATGGTGCCACTGATCTGCGGGGTGAGATGATGTAACAGGGAAAGGAGATGGGGGACAGGAAAAATCCAGCGGCACGAGTATTATTTACACCCTTTGTTCACCCCAGCCATAATGAGGGACATTTCCTTCTCGGTGGTGGCACTTAAACCTTGGAACACTCTGCCCCAGTTGGCACTTTTCCTTGTTTCTCCAGGTAAAATGCCTACACTGTTACAGTGAGCTTGTAGCATGATTGATGACTGAGCTACTGTTTTCCCTTTGGTTACGCTAAGGAGATTTTATCTGCTGTGCTTCTTTAAAATTCATGTTTATAATATTTTATTACTCTGGTTTTAAGCTTCGTTTGGTCACAGCCTTCAGGGTCCTGGTGATGGGACAGAAAAGTGGAGTTAAAATATGTCAATATACAGGGCTGGATTATGGCAAAGCAACTTTCCTATTGAAATCAATGTGAAAAGATTTGGTGTGACTACTTCATGATGTGCACACACTCCTGTTTACTCTGCATACAATATGTTCCCACCACTGGTTTGGAAAGCAATGTATGCACGGCTTTACCCACAATCCATAACTATCCTGTTGTTTCTTATGAAATGCTACATTTTGGTATGTTTTCTTAAAACTTGCTTTGATCCAAGTTGGAAGGGAGAAGAAGCAGTGTTTTAATAATAAACATGCAGCCTTAGTCTGGATCCATTCTGATGCTGTTTATTACTGCAAGCTTAGGCACAGTTAAAGGTAAAGGGACCCCTGACTGTTAGGTCCAGTCGACGACGACTCTGGGGTTGCGGCACTCATCTCACTTCTGGGTCATGTGGCCAGCATGACTAAGCCGCTTCTGGCGAATCAGAGCAGCGCACGGAAACGCCGTTTACCTTCCCGCTGGAGTGGTACCTATTTATCTACTTGTACTTTGACGTGCTTTCGAACTGCTAGGTGGGCAGGAGCAGGGACCAAGCAACGGGAGCTCTCCCCGTCGCGGGGATTCGAACCGCCAGCCTTCTGATCAGCAAGCCCTAGGCTCTGCTGTTACCGGGAAGTAAATTCAATGAACCTTGCAAACACCTTTGTCCATGGCTTTCCATGCACAAGCACACACCTTTTTCCCGCCCGTGCTTAGTCGAAGTGGAGGGAGGAAAGGATCAAACACCATTTGGCTTGTGTTGACATCCACGGGCGACTGGCGCTTGCCAATGGCGCAGAGGCTCCAAGCCGAATTCACAAGACCCCAGAATGGAGGACCTGCAAGAGGAAAAAAAAGGAGCCCTGTGGAATCCTTGCGCAAGAGCCGAGGAAATGATTCGCTTTCATCTGCTTGCCCATGGGGTGCAGATGGAAGGTTGGAAAGAGATGGTACCTGGGGAGTGTTTCAGCGAGACCATGTAGGGAGGATGGGGGGGGGAGGGGAGGCAGAGCACGCAATGGGGTTTGTGTTCCACAGCTTCCAGTGTTAATTTTTAAAATGCATAGATACAGGGTGCCTCCAGATGTCCTTTTTATTGTGCATACATCATGACTGCACTCTTGATGGCTTCAGGGTGGTTAGTTTCAATACTGTTGGTGCCTGCAAAAGTTGCTGGTGGGGGGGAGGGGGGAGGGACACATACTGCTTTGTTTCCACTAGTGTTCCAGGGGGTACCTTTGTTTTATTTTGTTTTGTGCCATTATGTTTTTGTTCCACTGCTATGCAGGGCTGCCCCACCAGACAGCAATTACGCAGTAACACTGGGGGAGCGTCGCAGATGTGTGAGCAGCCCAGTATAACTCTAACAGTAATGCACAATTTATTGTGTCAAGGGCACGTTGTGAGGAACATCCACATGCGAAAAGCCACCCCACCAATCTGGATGGAACAATAGATGCTGAGGACCATTTTCACACAAAAGGCTTGAAAGCCCTCACTTTGCTGCTAGCTGCTAACGGCTACTGGGTTGCATGGATTTCGTGTGAAGGCATATATGATTGTTACTAGTTATTTATTGAATCTATACCTCACCTTTTCTCCCAAAGGAGTGGCAAACAGAAGATTCACAATTTAGAAACAAAAGCAAAGCAAAAAGCATTCTAAAACAGCCTCAACATTCCAAAAACAACTACAGTGGTACCTTGGGTTAAGTACTTAATTCGTTCCAGAGGTCCGTTCTTAACCTGAAACTGTTCTTAACCTGAAGCACCACTTTAGCTAATGGGGCCTCCTGCTGCCGCCGCGCCTCCGGAGCATGATTTCTGTTCTCATCCTGAAGCAAAGTTCTTAACCTGAAGCACTATTTCTGGGTTAGCGGAGTCTGTAACCTGAAGCGTCTGTAACCTGAAGCGCATGTAACCTGAGGTACCACTGTATAATTAAAAACACTTTCAGTTACAAAGTATTCTAAAAGCAATTTTGGTAAGAACAGACCTCCATCCAACGATCACAAGAATTGCCAGGAACGGCCACCAAATGCCTGAAGAAACAAGCATGTTTCATATTCTTCCTTCAAGTTAATAATGATGGAGGGCATTACACAACAGGGGAATCACCACTGAAAAGGCCCTGCTATGGATCAGTGGAAGCTGGCGAATGAGGCTCCACCCAGACGAACCTTCATCTGCCACCAGCCACTACCCCCCCACCCCGTCTACCTGCCTTCTTATTTACAGCCAATCCAGGAAGTAGCCCTGCCTGTCATCTTCCTCCTCCTTAGGAGAAGGAATTAGTGTTGCCCTTTCTGTGATTGCTCTGGCTCCCCCTGTTGTTGGTCTCTCTACCTTCTGCCCTGTCACTCCCAGCAGGCAACAAACAGCAAGCCCTGAACATTACCATCGACAGTAAGCCAACTTGAAGGTCTTTCCTCAAAAAGTGGCGCGTGAAACTTCTACATGAATAAGTTCGTGGTAGATGTGTGTGTGTGTGTGTGTGTGTATGCACACAGATGTGTTAATTAAGCATGTAATGTATTTTCACAAGAGCTAGGAGTACAAGCAAGAGAACAGAGAGGGGCAGGTGAGAGTTACTCTGTCTGCATGTATATTTTTAACCAGGAACGGATGTGGCTGTGCAATATATTTCAGGCTAAAAGGAATCAGGTGGTGTGTCTGTTGTTACCCAGGTGTTATGTTACATTACTGCTTAATTTATATGCCCCCAAGGCAAAGCCATACACACATACACCATAGAATCATAGAACTGTATGTCTGGAAAGGACCCCAATGCAGAAATCTCAACTAAAGCATCCATGACAGATGGCCATCCAACCTCTGCTTAAAAATCTCCAAGGAAGGAGAGTCCACAACCTCTCGAGGGAGACCGTGCCACTGTCAAATAGCTCTTACTGTCAGAAAGTTCTTCCTGATATTTAGTTGGAATCTGCTTTCTTGTATATTGAAGCCATTGGTTCGGGTCCTATCCTCTGGAGCAGGAGAAAACAAGCACACTCCATCTTCCATGTGACAGCCCTTTAGATATCTGAAGTTCGCTACCGTACCTCCTCTCTGTCTCCTCTTTCCTAGACTAAACATACCCAGCTCCTTCAACCATTCCTCATAAGGCTTGTTTTCCAGACCCTTGATCATCTTGGTCCCCCTCCTCTGCACATATTCCAGCTCATCAAGATACATCTACAAGTGTGTAGATATATCTGTCTTGTGCAGCCACTGCCAACTTTATGCCCTGCTGGTGGTGTTGGACTACAGTTCCCATCAGCTGGTGCACCTGATGGGAATCGTAGCGTGCCAACATCTGGAGGGCACCAGCTTGGTGAAGACTGCGTGTGACTATGTACACTGGGCATTTGAATATGGGAAATTGTTGTGCACATGAATTTCAGCAAAGCAATGCATCTGGTTCCGTTCTCTCTGTGGCTGTCCCTTCATCTCTCTGTGTGTGTGTGTGCCCAAGCTTGCTTCATTCCTGATTCCTTCTGTGGTTCCTGTATGCTGGTGCTTTTTTTGGTGCATTCTAATGTCTATGTGTATATACTTAATTGTTTTTCTCCTCTCAGCATTGGGGGGGGGGCCAAGGCGGACACATTCTTTGCCCTTTCCCTTTTCACACTCCTGGGGAGTAGGGTGGTGATGATGATAATATTGTGGCATGTCCCCCTCAATCCTATCATGCCACCGGCGTGCCCCCTTGATCCCCCGCTTGCCTGCCTGCCTACCCGCCCGCCCCCCAACGCTGTGGTCCCATTTCTCTTTGCCTGCTGCTCGCTGCATCACTGGAGCGGGCGAGGGAGATATTAAATATTAATGCAGCCTCTTGCAGTTGCTGAGCCCAGCCCCCCACCCCGGCTCTCGGCACTGCGCACAGGCACGGCGCAGCAGCAGCCGCCGCCACCTCCAGCGTTGGCACTCCTCCTCTCGCAGCAAGGCGATGGAGGAGACACCGTCCCCTTGGGACACCACGAGTCATCCCCAACCTTCGACGCAGGGGGTCATGAGCGAGGCATATGTCTCTCTCTCTCTCTGTGTGTGTTCATTCCCCATCTGGCATCCAAGACCTAATTGGCTGTCTGGCATCGGTGCCAACATTCCGCGCCGAAGAAACCCAGATCCTGAGCTCAGAATTAATCATGCAAATTAAGCCCGCTGACAAGGCATCTGCTTCACCAGCCGATCTTCTCATTCCGAGGGCAAAGCTGGGAATCAGGGGCGCCCCACCTACCCCCCACAACAGGCACAGGAAAACACACGTCCACGGCGTTTCGGAAGTTTTGAAGGAGCCACAGCCAGGGGGAAAGGGAGAAATGGGAAGATGAAATACTGTACGGGGGGGGGGGGTTGTGGTGGGAGGGGGAGGAGAAGCAGAGAGGAGAGAGGGAAGTGAGACAGGGGAAGCAGGTTCTTCCTAACGGTTCGTCGGAATCTCCTTCCTTGTAACGGATTCGAATGACGAGGAAAGAGATTCCAACTAAGCGTCAGGAATGTTTGAAGGGGGAACGGGCTACCGCGGAAGGTGGTGGACTCTCCTTCATTGAAGGTCTTTAAGCAGAGGTTGGGTGGCCATCTGTCAGGGTTTTTTGAGTTGTGAATCCTGCGTCTGCAGGGGGCTGGACTAGATGACCCTCAGGGTCCCTTATAACTCTACAGTTCTATGATTCTAGGTGGGCAAAGCTCCAAGGGCTCAGATGAACCACCTTCTGAAGTCCCCCCAAAAAGATGTCACGGCACAGATGCTCCACCTTCTGAGAAGGGAACTAAACTGTACACCTTTTATGCTTTCTCAGCTTTTATGAGATGCTGCCTGAGCATGGTCAACCTTATTGCCCCCAGTACGATGAGGACTAGACCCATGCCTTACCTTTAAATGAAGGATGTGTGCATTTTTATTTTTATTTTAAATGGTGACAAAGATATCCGGACTCTACTTGTACCAATCAACATGTGGAAAGCAGGAAGACAGATTTTTTTAATTCTTTAAAAAGATGAGATGTCTTCCCTTACAAGGATGTTTCCAAACTTTGGGCTATAGCTAACCCTGCAGCTCTGAAGGCACAATGGACTTCCAGGCATGACACAGAGCAACTTCTCTCTCTCCCCCCATCTCCTCTGGCCCATGAACACCCCCCAAATCAGGGTTGGGAGAATTTCCAGAGCAGATTTGAGGTAGGAAAGCAAATGGAAGGAGAACTAGTGGTTCTGTTGGAGCATCATTGGATACAAGCCTTTCCCTCCAAGTGGCCAAAGGGAATAACTTACACGATAGGAGCAGACAAACATTTTTATCGCCCGCTATCCTGCCTCCAGGATGACTCGTCCACCCTGTCCCCTTATTTTTCTCCCACCTTGTTCTCAAGATAGCCCACCGTTCACCCCTTCACTTCACATATTCCTCTACTCTTTCTTTCCCAAAAATATGGCCATGTGGCGCCAATCACTCCTCTAGCCACCTCTCCATTTGCCCTTTTCCATTCACCATCTACCCCAATGAAGAACTGACTTTCTAGGAAAACCAGAAGTGCTACTGCATCAGACCAATGGCCTGGCTAGACCAGCATCCTCTTCCCTACAACCAGTTGCCCATGGGGAGTCCACAGGTGGGGTAGGAGGACCCTGGCCCTCTCCCTCTGCCCTCCCTCGAGACCAGAGCTATATTGCCTCTGGGATACTTGAGGTCCTATATAAGCCACCATGAGTAACAGACATCGATGGGCAGTAGCTCTCCAAGGTTTCATACAGGGCAAATTCCCAGCCACTATCCTATCTTTGATGGATTGGACGAAAAATCATGGACGTTAAGGCTATGAGCCATGATGGCTATTGCTCCGTCTCCTGAAACCACAGGAGGCTCTTGTGTTCGGATCCTGCTTGCTGGTTTCCCACAGGTATCTGGATGGCCACAGAGAGAACAGGATGCTGCACTCGATGGGTGGACCACTGGCCCAATCCACCAGGCTCTTCTTATGTTCTTACTTGGAGAAGCTGGGGATCAAACCTGGGACCTTGTGCATGCAAAACCGATGTCCTACCACTGCGCTACAGGCCTTCCCTATCTTCTGGCATCATTTAATGGTTCACTGCATAAAGCAGCCTGGCTAGCTCAGTTGGTTAGAGGGTGGTGTTGATAACGCCAAGGTCGCTGGTTTGATCCCCATATGGGACAGTTGCACATTCCTACATTGTAGGGGGTTGGGCTGGATGACCCTCAGGGTCCCTTCCAACTCTACAATTCCATGATTCTAAGACCTTCCTCTTGTCTGTCTTGATGTTTCTGTCACTCAGTTTCACTGGATGAGCACAGGTTCTGGTATTATGAGGGAGAAAAACTGTGTTTTGTCCACTGCCTTGACACCATACATAATTTTCACATACTTTGACCATGTCCCCCTCTTAGTCACCTTCTACCTAAGCCAAAAAGACCCACAAGCATTTTAATCTTTCATCATAGGGAAGTTGCCCAGCCTTTGATAATTTTGGTTGCCCTTTTCTAGCTGCACAATATCCTTTTGGTGATGCTTGCTAGATCAGGCTAAGCTCACACCCATATTTCTGAAACCCTCTTACACTATTTTAAGAGTAATGGCTTCCCCTCCCCTACCCCCCCCCACCAAAAATAAATAAATCCCAGGAACTGTAGTTTGTGGAAGGGTGCTGACCTCACAGAGCTATAATTGCGAGCCACTTTCACAAACTACAGTTCCCAGGATTCTCTGTGAGTGCTTAAGTGGCGTGGAAGTGCCTTTGCCCATCTAACCCAGTATTGTTTGCTATGACTGCCCAGACAATCTCCACTTGCTTCCTGATTCTATTAAACTGGTTGGGCTGGGGAATTGAACCTGGGCTTGTCTGCCTGAAAAGCATGCGCTCTTCCACTGAGCCACGGCCCCTGCAAGATCCCTCAATCCTGAGCGAGAAGGCTGACCGGGACCCAGCTGGTCTAGTGATTTCCGTAACATCATGTGGCTGAGAGTTCCACAGGAAACCAGCCAACTGAATGGTTGTGCTGCAGCTCATCATAGGATCTGCTCACAAGAACAGTCAACGCTAGAGGGATTTCTAGCACATGTACGCCACTTGTGGCCACAGGCCACCTGACCTAGAAGAGTTGTCTGAGTTGGGCATGTTAAGAAGGCAAGCGAGAAAGGAAGGCGCATACCCCCCACCCCAGTGGTCATTTTGTACCTGGAACGAAGCTACCGTGAAGTGTCTCCTTGTATGCCCACCAGTCCTCGTAGGTCTTTGCAGGAACAAACTGCACTGCAGGGATAAAAGGGGGGAAGGGTTAATTAGTGGGGCAATTGAAGGGGGAGACAAAAGCATGGAAGCTTAATCGCAACACTGACTTATACTGAATCCACCATTGATCCATTTATATTGTTCTATGAGATTTCAGGCAGGGGTCCCTCGCAGCCCTAAGTGGAGATGGCGGGGACTGAACCTCAGACCTTCTGCGTGCAAAGCAGATACTACCACTGAGCTATATGCTACCTACACCTCTGCTTCTTTCCCCCCCCCCCCATCAATGGATGGCAGGCATGTCAATGGATTGCACAGAAAACACATGAATGAACAAGGGAGTGCTACTGAGGTTCTTCAGGGAGAGGGAGATACTGGAGCTCAAGGAAAAGTAGCTGCACTCCCTGCCTTGGGCAGCCTCCGCAAGGAAAGTGCTCTGCACATGCTCAGAGACACCTTTGGTCCTCTACTTCTTTTTAAAATTACTTTGTGGAATGTTTTTGATGGAAAGGAATATTACGGGTGGGGGGGGGGTTGAGCCCCGTGGTAAAAAATTAAGAAAGCGCAGGGAGAGAAAATACAAATGGAGATATGGAGGGGGAGAGACTGAGGAAAGAGGTGAGAATGGATAGATCAAGAAAGGAAAGGCTACAAAGGAGACCTGATAGGAGGGTGGATCTGATATAGATAAGCTAGTGAACATAAATTAGGAGGGTGATCTGTATGTGTTTATAAATAGCATATATTGGAAGGGGGGAGGAAATGGAAAGAGGGGGAGAGATAGATGATAGATAGATAGATAGATAGATGATAGACAGACAGACGAATGATAAGATAAGTCAAGACAAGATAGATAGTCAGACTGGCCGCTAGCCCTTATCTTTTTCTTTCAGGGAATTCCCGTTCTCTTTGCATCCACCAACTTAACCCCCCACTCCACCCCCAGATCCCAAGCTAATCTTTTCTCTCTCACTCACCCCGCGCCCCACTTTCCCCATTCATCTCTCTCTCTCTCTCTCTCTTACCAGCCATACAAGTTGCCGTCAGGACTCCCAACAGGCAAAGCCCCCCCAGGCTGGTGCCCATCGTGGTTTGGGAGTAGCAGGAGGAGGTTGCTGTGGGGCGGGGGTGGGGGTATCTCAGACCTGGAGGAGGCGCCCCCTCCTCGGCATCCCGCGTGGAGGTGCCCCCCTCCGGGTGCGCAGCCTCTGGAGGTGGCCCCCGCCACCCCCCGCGATCCACGTGCGGTCCGGTGAGTCCTGGGGGTGGGGTGGGGGCCGCGCGTCAGACAACACCTCTCACCCCCGAAAGCCCTCTGCCCTCCCCATGCCCCTCTCTCTTTCTAATCTCCTCGCCTCCCCCCCTTCCCTAGCTCTCTTTCCTCCCCCGTCCCTCCATCTTCCTCCCGCCCCTTCTCCAGGGGATGCCCCCCCCCGCCCCTCCTCTCGCAATGTTGATGAGATGGGGAAGATGGAGACGGCGTGGACGGGGAAGCGGGAGGGAGGGAGGGCTTGGCCACTCGGGGTCGGATCACTCCGTGGGGCTGGACGTGCGGCACGAGAAACCCGCTCCCCGACTCCCTTCCAAAAGGGGGTTGTGCGGAGCTGTGGGACTCCCCGCGACGTGGGGTTGTGACGGCGGCGGCTGGGAATAGAGAATCACTGGGGAATAAGGCGAAGGGAGGGGGTAGGTGGCTGGGGGAGGGGGAATGGCGGGAGGAGAAGAGCTTGGAAGTCCCTAACTTAACTTCTCCCTCTTTCCTCACCCCCCTTTCCCTGACTCTCTCTCTTTCTTCCCTGGCCCCCACTCCCCTTGCTTGCTGTGGGGTGTGCCCCCCCGCTTCTCCTTGTTTCCCCACCTTCTCTTATTCACCTGCCTCCCCACCACCACCACCTACCCCGGGCTTTCTTCCTCCCTCCCGCCTCTCTTGCCCCCCACTCCTTCTGGGTTTCCCCCTCTGGTCCGCCGACCACCTTCCACCTATCCTGTTTTCTTCCCCCTTTTCTTGTATGTGATCCCCTCCCTCTTTTTGGGGGGGGGCTTCCCTGGTCCTGAACTCTCCCTGCTCCCCTCTGTCCTCCCCCCTCCCTACACCTCTCTCTCTCTCTCCTTTCCCTGCTTTCCCCCTTCCCTTCTTCCCTGCCTCTTACAGCCTCGGCTTCCCTCCCCTCCTCCCCCCCTTCTCAAATGCACAGATCTTCTCTCTCACTTTCCCTTCCCCTCTCCCAAGGGACCCAAAGAGATGCAATTGAGGGAGAGGGAGAGGAGCGGGAGGAGGGAGAGATGTTTTAAGGTGGATCCGGAGGAAACCAGGGGATCCTCGGAAAGGTCTGGCGCTCACACGCCTGGATGCGGCTCAGGCAGCATCTGCTTTCCCCTCGAGATTATGTCATGTGGAGCCTGGTCGGGTTCACACGTTCAGTTCCACGTGTTAGCATCGGGCAAGCACACTGCTGCCAAGCACAGGAGCGAGGACCACAGGTTGCGCACGCAGAGCGAGGCTTCATGCGCCGTGGATGCTGGTGCCCCTTGAACTGATGGGGCAGAAGGCAAAGGAGGCCAACAGAAAGCAAAAACCCAGGACAGAGAAAAAGAAAGGACTTCTAAAAATCATAGAACTGTAGAGTTGGAAGGGACCAGTCCCCTGAAATGCAGGAACCTTTCTGCCCAGAATGGGGCTTGAACCCATGACCACCCTGAGATTAAGAGTCTCATGCTCTACTGAGCTGTCCTTCTTCAAGCAGTGCATAGTTAAACTGTGGAACTCACTGCTGCAGGAGGCAAGGATGGCCACCAACTTGGATTGCTTTAGGAGTGGGCCAATTCATGGAGGTGAGGGCTATCGATGGCTACTAGCCATGATGGCTAAATGCTTCTGAATACCATTTGCTAGAAACCGCAGGCAGGGAGCGTGTTCTTTTGCTCAGGTCTTCCATGAGGGTTTCCCATTGTGCCCTCTGATTGGCCACTTGTGAGAACAGGACGCTGGTCTAGATGGGTCATTGGCCTGATCCAACCAGGGTCTTTTTGTGTCCTTAAGACAGAACCAATCACCAACAGAGTAAGCTGATTCCAGTTTTGTCCCCATCCTTCTGAGTTCTAGAAGGGCTACCCTGAGACTAAGGAGGAGGAAGGGGACAGGCAAAGCCACCATGTGTGGGTAGAGGAAAGAAGGCAGGCAGGAGGCGGCTGCCTGAGGCCAGACCAAGTTTGGTGGGGCAGCCTCCCAGTTGCCCCAATAGACCAGCTTCCAGTGCACTTGTTTGCCTTCAGACTATCAGTCAGCAGCTGGCAAACCCTGGGTCAAATCTGGCCTTGCTAGTTTCCCCATCCACTAGTTGACAACCTGGGACACCTTCCCTAACCTGGTGCCCTCCAGGTATTTTGGAGAGCAACTCCCACCAGCCCCAGCTGGCCCAGAGATGATGGGCTCCATGGGGGACCCAGAGATGGACCTAGAACAATCCAAAAGGATATTGTAGAAAGGGGCATCTGTAGGAAAAGGGGCAACCGCAGCAACAGAAGTTGCTGACAGACCCACATTTGCTGACAGAGGGTGAACAGCCAGCTCCCTGTTTCCCATGCTCTTCTCAAAATGGTCTGCCAGGAAATTGGCTGCTAATCAAGATACAGTGGTACCTCAGGTTAAGTACTTAATTCATTCCGGATGTCCGTTCTTAACCTGAAACTGGTCTTAACCTGAAGCACTACTTTAGCTAATGGGGCCTCCTGCTGCCGCCACGCCGCCGGAGCCCGATTTCTGTACTTATCCTGAAGCAAAATTCTTAACCTGAAGCACTATTTCTGGGTTAGTGGAGTCTGTAACCTGAAGCGTATGTAACCTGAAGCATATGTAACCCGAGGTACCACTGTATTACATTCCCATAACACCATCAGCCTGGTCTGGAGATGTCTAGGATTGAACCATCAATGGAATCAGGCTAGCCATTGGAAAACATCAGGATTCTCCACGAATGGTTGGTTAGACAAAATACGGGACGTGGTTCTGTCGGAAAGTTCAACATAATAGTATCGCGTAAGTACCAAGGTGAACTGCTAAAAAAAGGCAAAATCGAAATTGCCGGTATATGGTGGCCTTTTCTGTCGTAAGGAGGGATGGCATTCTGATACGTCTGCCGTTGACTCAGATTGTTTTATGGAGATTGTTTTATGAAGCTGATATATGCAGGTTCCACCCTTTTAATTTTCCCTAGTAAAATGTGCTCTTAAATACTGTGAGGACACAAATGACACAACACATTTTGATGTAAATCTCCTTATTGTAGGAGGCTGATATGTCCGCCTTATGTACCTCAAGGACTCTTGTTAACACGCCACTGTTTACTGTATGTGTTTGTATTCTTTCCAAATTATTTTTATTAAGATCTCAAATTATAAAGAAGATGGATAAGATATAAAGAGGGGGAAAGAAGAAACATAAATAACATGCAGCATCATTGCAGGGAGGAAAAGAATATTATTACAAGACTTCCTTGTGTAACCAATTAAACTGTCAAACTTAAATATATATATGCATGTGCAGGCTTGACAGTGAAATAAAAATAAAGATAAAAGTATTGCTTCCTGTGCCCTCTCTTCTCAGTTTGTCATAATAAATGTGAAGATATATTCAGCCAGCTGTATGCTTTCTAAAAAAATTATATACGGTATATATATTAAAAAACTCATACACCTGACTGCATGGGCGTAGGCAAGGGGGGCAGTGGGGCAGTTGCCTCCCTTAAATCAATAAAAAATAATATAAATTTGAAGTCCCCCCCCCAACAAACATTCTGGCTACACCCATGCCTGGCTGAGTATATTTTCATAGAATCCAGACTGTGGAACTGCCCAACCATTTCATTTGTAAATGAAATAAAACCATACCATGTTGCAAAAAAACCCAATCACGTCTTGTTTACTATGTGCCCAGGGTACTTTTAATTTGTAAATGTTTGTATTGACATTTTAAAAAAAACCCAAACCCAATAAAAATATTCAATAAGAGAAGGAAGAACCATCAGTGAATCATTTAAAAAAAAAAAGATTGGGGGAGAGACAAAATAGATTCCTGTTTGATAGGAAGATGGCAGCTTAGAATCATAGAATCATAGAGTTGGAAGGGTCCCTGAGGATCATCTAGTCCAACCCCCTGCAATGCAGGAATATGCAGTTGTCCCTTATGGGGATCAAACCTGCAGCCTTGGCTTTATCAGCACCACACTCCAGCCAACCGAGCTTGCAGTGGACAAATTAGGTACAAGCAACTTTCCAGGGACAAGGGACATGGGTGGCGCTGTGGGTTAAACCACAGAGCCTAGGACTTGCTGATCAGAAGGTCGGCGGTTCGAATCCCCACGATGGGGTGAGCTCCCCTTGCTCGGTCCCAGCTCCTGCTAACCTAGCAGTTCAAAAGCACGTCAAAGTGCAAGTAGATAAATAGGTACCACTCCAGTGGGAAGGTAAACGGCGTTTCCGTGCACTACTCTGGTTCGTCAGAAGTGGCTTAGTCATGCTGGCCGCATGACCCGGAAGCTGTACACCGGCTCCCTTGGCCATTAAAACGAGATGAGCACCGCAACCCCAGAGTCAGTCATGACTGGACCTAATGGTCAGGGGTCCCTTTACCTTTAACTTTCCAGGGACAGGGCATTTGATTTGCCCATGTTTGCCCCCCTCTCTGTACGTGGAAGCTTAAATTAGACCCAATGGAGTTTCCTGATCAGGGATCATTCAAGTCTCCAGTTCTGGGCCTGGAAGAAGGGAGGATCTGAACTCTGCCAGGATCCTAGCAACTATTTGCAACGATCAAGGAGGTTCATAAGCTGTCCTTTAACTGCCCCAGGCAATGAAGAGTCTGACACCAACTGGCTGAAGACCTGTGACTCAGCAGCAGCTCAGGCAGGCATGGCCAAACTTGGCCCTACAGCTGTTTTGGGACTACGACTCCCCTCATCCCTAGCTAACAGGATCAGTGGTCAAGGACAGTGGGAATTGTAGTCCCAAAACAGCTGGAGGGCCAAGTTTAGCCATGCCTGAAGGGAAGGCTGCGGTTCAGCTACAGGACATGCACAGCCAATCTCTGAGGAGATAAAGGAAAGCCCAGGGCTGTGCAGAAGGCCAGAAAAACCGCAGGTGGGCTGAAGAAAGGGGAGGGAGTAGTAGGCCAGGCAGTGACCATCAGTGGTTGGAGGAAAGGAAGGACACCAGTTAAGAAGGGCAAAGCTTTTCCCACCACATAGTTCCATGCCAGGAAGAACTTCACCTCTGATTCACAGATTTGCAGAGCTGGAAGGGACCGTGAGGGCCGTATCTAGACCAACCTCCTGCAATACAGGAATCTTTCACCCAACACGGGGCTCAAACCCACGACACTGAGATTAAGAGTCTGCTGCTCTGACTGAGCTATCCCTCAACTCTGAAAAGTGGCAAGTCTCAAAAGTGTTGGAGTCTGAATCTCACATACAGTGGTACCTCGGGTTAAGAACTTAATTCATTCTGGAGGTCCGTTCTTAACCTGAAACTGTTCTTAACCTGAAGCACCACTTTAGCTAATAGGGCCTCCTGCTGCCACCGCACTGCCGTCGCACGATTTCTGTTCTCATCCTGAAGCAAAGTTCTTAACCCGAGGTACTATTTCTGGGTTAGCGAAGTCTGTAATCTGAAGCGTCTGTAACCCGAGGTACCACTGTACTGCTTTAGACCAGAGCAGTTTATGTTTGTTTTTGCTGCAGGCTTCTAATGATTCTTTTAGGGCAGCCTTTGCCCACTGTGTGCCTTCCAGCTGTTTAGGACTGCAACTCCCACGATCCCCTGCCAGCACCTCCTGGTAGGGGATGATGGGAGTTGTAGTCCGAAAACAGCTGGAGTGCACCCAGGGGTAAAGCCTGGCCCACCAACTATCCTCCTGGATTAGATTTACACCCTGCATAAATTTCCTGAAAAGGAGCCCCCTGGGCACCTTCAGGGTGAGGTGTGACTTTGGATGGCTCGGAGGGAGACTTCCCCCCACTCATTCCCTGGCTTCGCATCCTTTCATTCTGGCAACCGGCCAAATGTGCAGAACTCCGGCCAAGCTGGGCACCTCCTCTGGCTGGGAAATGACGAGATCCGAGGGGCATCTCCGCGGTGCCACCTTAACGGCGAAGGCTCCCCTGGCAAAGGAGGCAACGCTTGCAAGTTTATTCAAAGGGAAGTCCCGCCCAGCGCTGCCCTCCTTGGATTGGTTATCGCAAAATCAGGACTCCTGGGTCCACTGGGGATGAAGTGAAATTTAGTAGGTTATGGGAAGGGGAGGGCAGAGAGAACTCACGGAGTTTGAGATGCTCTGGGAAGGGAGCTGGAGTTTGTTACAGAGAGAGGAGAGAAAACACTGCCTAGGTGGCTCTTTCTGGAGGAAATCATTATGTGCAGTGGGCCAAAATGGGGCGCGCGGGGGGGGGGGGAAGACCCTCAGAGAGAGGGGGTCAGTTTACAATAAAGATGAAAGCTGGGAGAACTCCTGGGTTTTCTGAAAGCCAGGCAGGTTGAGTGCTCTAACAGACCGTTAAATGAAAAGTGGACAAGGGTTGCCAACTGTTTATTCCTGGCAGAGTGCCTGTAGTTTTAGCTGCTGCACAACAAGCAAAAATGCAGCCAGTTTATTCAAATGCATCGCCACAAAAAAGTGGGGTGGGGAGAGCAGTAGCAGCAGCAGCAGCACCTGTTGAATTGCTCCATATTCTGCAGCTATTAAAGGTAAGGGAGTCCAGTAAAGAGGAACGGGGAATGGCTGCAGGGAGTAAGTTTTCTTTTAGGGGAATGGATGTAGGAAGTAGCCTCAGAGGAGCAGAGACGTAACTAGATGTGAACTTTGTTGTTGTTTAGTCGTGTCCGACTCTTCGTGACCCCATGGACCAGAGCACGCCAGGCACTCCTGTCTTCCACTGCCTCCTGCGGTTTGGTCAAACTCATGTTAGTAGCTTCGAGAATCTCGTCCTCTGTTGTCCCCTTCTCCTTGCACCCTCCATCTTTCCCAACATCAGGGTCTTTTCCAGGGAGTCTTCTCTTCTCATGAGGTGGCCAAAGTATTGGAGCCTCAGCTTCAGGATCTGTCCTTCCAGTGAGCACTCAGGGCTGATTTCCTTCAGAATGGAGAGGTTTGATCTTCTTGCAGTCCATGGGACTCTCAAGAGTCTCCTCCAGCACCACAGTTCAAAAGCATCAATTCTTCGGCGATCAGCCTTCTTTATGGTCCAGCTCTCACTTCCATACATCACTACTGGGGAAACCATAGTTTTAACTATACGGACCTTTGTCGGCAAGGTGATGTCTCTGCTTTTTAAGATGCTGTCTAGGTTTGTCATCGCTTTTCTCCCAAGAAGCAGGCGTCTTTTAATTTCGTGACTGCTGTCACCAGCTGCAGTGATCATGGAGCCCAATAAAGTAAAATCTCTCACTGCCTTCACATTCTGGGGGGGGGGGTTACCCTTGATTTAGTCTTTGTTTGGTTACTTAGCACCTGAGGGCTCTCTGCTGAATGTGTGAATGCTCTCCATGGTTTAGCATTAGGGACATGAGCCCAGCCTCCTTGCCCCACTTTGTGCACATTCCCCTGTTCCTCCGGTGTGGAGATCAGAAGCTTCCCCCTTCCGCTTTAGTGTAACCATAGTGCAGTGTGCCATTTGAACTGTAAACTATGGTTCAGGGGAAACATGATCACCGTCTTCAACTAAGGGTTGTCATGCAGAAGATAGAGCAGACTTGCTTTTTGTTTCTCTGAAGAGCAGAACTTAAATCCAATGAGGAGAATTTGTAGGGAAGTGGATTTCAGATGAAAGTAGAATTGTTGTTTTTTAGTTTAGAGAAAGGACCAGTAAGAGGCAACATGATAGAAGTGTATAAAATTATGTGTGGCATGAGGAATGAATGAATGAATGATAAACAAATTAAAACATGACCCAGATGGGAAACGAGCCCTCAGGCAGTAAAAAGGATTCTCACTCACCCAGACTTAGGTGAAGTCAGGATTCCTGGTTCACCAGTAACGTTTTCCAGATAAGGAGTGGAAATTCAGAACTTCTTAGTTCTTTAGAAGGGGAGAGCACTATAGGAGGTTTGGGGGCTAGGCTGCAGGTGGGGGTCAGGGCACCAAGCCTTCTTTACAAGACAGATGCATTGTACATGCATTGCCTTTCACGGCCAAGAAGAACAACTGAGAACACACACACACACACACACAATTATTTTTCAATGATTAAGAAGGAAGTGGTGTGAGGATAGGAGCTGGCTGTGGTGGAGACATGTGGTCACATATGTCTGGGTTAGTCTTTTATTTCTATGAGGCAAAGGAGAGCTGCCTATCAAAATATGTGGCCTTGGTTTTGCTCTGCTTCCTCCCTCTAGCCTTCCCTCCACAAAGAACAAAGTCTCCTTTTGTGTGTCTTTCAGTGAGTGGCCTGGATTTCCGCCCCTCTGCAGAGATCATGCTACCAGGAGTCAGTAAAGCAGGTTCTGCTGCTGGGGATCTGGGCCTGTGAAAGGAGAAGCAACAGGTGAGTGTTTTCTCCTCCTATTGAAAATGCAAAGGGTTGATCAAATAGAGAAGCCTTCGCAAACAGCTGTCTCCCCTTCCCTTCCTTTGACTATCATCCCAGACCCTCCAAGTGTCCCTATTTTCCAGGGATGCTCCCGGATTTACAAAGCCATCCCAGTTTCTGATTTGATCCTGGAATGTCCTAAGCTTTTCCTTAGGACATCCCTATTTTTATCAGACAAATGTTGGAGATATGGTTATGCAATCCCTGAGCCAAGGAGATAAGTAACTATACAACATTTAGAAGACATCTGAAGGTAGCCCTGTAGGAATTTTAAAAATGTTTAATGTTTTGTTATGTTTTTTATATATGTTGGAAGCCACCCAGAGTGGCTGGGGCAACCGAGTCAGATGGGCAGGGTATAAATACTATATCATAATCATCACCAGCATCATTATGGAATAGGATGTCCTTATTTTTGTCAGAGAAATGTTGGAGGGTATGTGATCCCAACTGTTGAAAGCTCAGAGTTGATCTTCCTTGCTGCTCCCACTCCCTGCTCCTGAGTCAGTTTAAAATGGACTTAGCTTTTGGGTCAAGCTCAGTTTAGGTTATTAAATGCAACATATAAATGGGAATGTTAAGCCCAAGCCTCAGTCCAAGTTAAAAAGTTCAGCTTTCAGCTCAGTTAGTTCAGCGGGGGCACTGTCAGACTAATGCTGTTTTCCGGCAGGATTCAGTGGCATCCTGGCAAATTCAGCTTGCAATTCACCACCAGAGTTGCTTTGGAGCTCCTGGGCAACAACCCTCTCCCAACCCAGTAATTTTGCAGTAAGGAAAGTGATGGGGAAATGTGGGAGAACATTTGCTTGGCACACTGCGCATGTCCAAAGAACAGTTCCCACAGAAAGTGTCCTTGCATAGACAAAATAATCTCAGCCTTCTGCTGCTTCTTGAAACTTCTTCTCTGTTCTTCTCTGTTTCTGGAACAAATGATTCTCTCACACAGAGAGAATATCCAACACTTCCTTCTACCACAGGGAAATATTTGGGGTCATTTAGGAGAGTCAAAATTGCTTCAGGATTTCTTGCCTGCACCATTTCAGAATATGGTCTATGTACCTGTGCATTTGCACCCACCCTGTGTATTTGTGAACATTTATTTTTGATACCTTAAACCAGGCCTAGGCACACTTGGCCCTCCAGATGTTTTGGGACTACAACTCCCATGATCCCTAGCTAACAGGACCAGTGGTCAGGGATGATGGGAGTTGTAGTCCCAAAACATCTGGAGGGCCGAGTTTGCCTATGCCTGGGTTAGAGCTTCGACTTTTGCAGGATTGTTAGGCCTCTGGCACAGGTCAGCAGACCCCGAGGCCTGCGTGCTCCTTTTTGCCCCTCTTTCCTCCTCCTCAGCAAGTGTGGCAACTCTGCACCAGCCAGGAGCCCTCCCCCTGCCAGTAAACAAGTGGGAACCCCAGCTGATGAAGCCGCAAGGTGTTAGAGCATCAGCTTTTCATGCAGGAGGTCCCAGCTTCAATCCCCAGCAACTGCATGTGGTGGATTTAAGGACTCCTGCCTGAAACCCTGGAGAGCCACTGCCAGCCAGTGTAGACAGTACTATGCTAGATGGACCCATGGTCTGGTTTGGTGCAAGGCTGCTCCATGTGTTCCTAACCAGCACTGTCCAGTTCTGTGGGCATTTGAGGCTCATGAGGCGTCTTTTGCCTGCAGGATCTTGGCCAGCTCCCTATACAGTGGTACCTTGGTTCTCAAACGCCTTGGTACTCAAACAACCTGGAACCCAAACACTGCAAACTCGGAAGTAAGTGTTCCAGTTTGTGAACATTTTTCGGAAGCTGAATGTGCTCCGTTTTGAGTGTTACACTTCTGCCACACTTTTGTTTTGAGTGTTACGCTGAGGTCTGTTTGTTTTTGCTATTTATTTTGCGTTTCTGTTTTTGTGGCTTTTTTGTGACTGTGTGGAACCCAGTTCAGCTACTGATTGATTGATTGATTGATTGATTGATTGATTGATGTGTGACTGCAGTACATTGTTTATTGCTTTCATTTTATGGATCAATGGGCTTGTTAGATAGTAAAATTCATGATAAATTGCTGTTTTAGGGGTTGTTTTTAAAAGTCTGGAATGGATTAACCCATTTTGCATTACTTCCTATGGGAAAGCGTGCCTTGGTTTTAGAACGTTTTGGTTCTGGAACAGACTTCCGGAACAGATTAAGTTTGAGAACCAAGGTACCACTGTAAAATGAACCAACAGAGATGTTGCCCCTGCAGATAGCTGGAGGCAACTGAAGCCCCCTATAGGCTGACCAGACCTGGGTGATGGTAGGCTCCGCCTCCCTGGCTGGTTAAAGGGCCCTCGTCTCATTTCTGTGGTTTCTTTGAAGATGGGGAGGTAGCGGTACTGCAGAGAACTCCCTCCCTGAGTCAGGGGATGCTGGCAGGGGATACTGACAGTCCCCTCTCCTGCTCCCTGGAATAATCTGACCCTCACCCACCATCAGAATCCTCTGCTGTACATGGTACCCGAGTTGTGGGTCACAATACCCACTTTGTTGACTTTATGAATCACAAGTTTCCCAAGTAAAACAACTCAATAAACAATAAAGGGCTGTAGGGGCTTACACGCTCTGACCTTTAGGCCAGATTCACACAGAAAGCCAGTATGGTGTAATGATTAAGAGTGTGAAACTAGGACCTGGGAGACCAGGGTTCGAATCTTGACCTACCTCACAGGATTGTTGTGAGGATAAAATGGAGAGGGGGTGGACCATGTAAGCCACCAGCTTGGAGAAAAAGTCAGGATATAGAATCATAGATTAGTAGAGTTGGAAGGGACCGCAAGGGTCATCTAGTCCAACCCCCTGCAATGCAGGAATATTCTGCCCAACATGAGGCTTGAACCCATGACTTTGAGATTAAGAGCCTCATGTTCCACCAACTGAGCTAGCCAGAGGGGTAAATGTGGGGGCATGGAACCAGGGTTTGACTCTGCCCGGATAAATTGCTTCATGTTTTCCAGTAACTGTTTTCCCGAGCACAGGAAGACCAGAAAAAAACAAAACCTCAAAGCAGTAAAAAACAGTAGGGGAAATATTAACAATATTAAAATGAGCGAGGAACTGAAATCAGATTAAAGCATGCAATCATGAAATAAATAAATGCAACAATTAAATAAATGCACGTTTGCGTTTTCTTCTTTTCAACTTCTTCCCCGCAATCCCAAGACCATGGCCAGGCGGGTTGCACACTCCATAGAGTATGGTGGAATAACCCTCCCCGCTCTGGTGCACAGTGAAGACAGCGTTCGGTATGCCCATCGGAGCTTCCAGGTGCAAGACAGCGACGTCTTCAACATCACGTATCCAAAATCTGGTGAGCCATTTGAAAGCACACACAACGCAATACAACAACGCAACACAACACCCCACCCCTGGGCTCTCACCTGCCCAGAGTTTCTGGACTGACAAACTCTATCCACTCATTTTTGTCTACCCCACTCTTTCTATTTGAATCTAGAAGATACTCAGATCCCAGCTGATGCTCTTCTACAGGAAAACAGCCTGTTACGGCTGTTTCTTACTCTGAACAGCTGCGGGACAGGCAGAAATTAAACAGGTCAGCTTTTCAAAAAGCAGCACCCGTTGAGCTGTGCTGCGTCTCAAGCTGTTACGGGGACAGGAGAGGTGATGCTAACTAACCTAGATAGCTCTTTTTTATTTCAAAATCCCATCTGCAGATGCCCTCTGGACTCCCTTGGGGAGAAGCCAAGAGGGTGCTCATCTCTCGTCCTTTCCCAGGAACAACTTGGATGAAGGAAATCCTCACTTTGATCCACAGCAATGGGGACCCCACTCGCTCACGGTCACTACCCTGCTGGGAACGGGTGCCCTGGATCGAACAGATCACAGCAGTGAAATACCTGGAGAACCAAACGTGCCCCCGCCTCATAACCTCTCACTTACCCGCAGCAATCTTTCCAGAATCGTTCTTCACCTCACAGGCTAAGGTGAGTCTAGGACCTTCTTGGGTACTAAGGTACAGAGGAGGAGGCTCTCTTGGTCACCCCAGTTTCCTCGGAAGCTCAGAGGGTCGAGTTGGGTGGCAATGCTTCTATCCTTCCACTTAGTGTATATGTGGGGTTTTGTGTCAGCGTCACTTGTGTGGGTTCTCTGACTATTCACTTGTTGTATTTACTTGGTGGTGAGAGAGGTTGGGGTGGCCTAAGGTGTGGTTGGTTGTCTTTGGCTGGCTGTGGTGAGATTTGTTTTTGTGTGTGAGTGGTGTGTGTGTGTGTGTGTGTGTGTGTGTGTGTGTGTTTGGATCAGCTTAGCCAGATTGATTCATATGCCGTCGCCGGATTCTTGTCGTTGTCTTGTTGGGCTGTGTATGTGACAAAGAGGAGCCATACCGGGTTGAAGGTGTCTTCTTCTACTTGTCCCCATGTCAGTTTCAGTTTATTGGTTAGTTTTTTTAATAAGGTTGTTATCATTCCTCCCTCCCCTTCTTTCCCCCTCTTTTCTTCCTAACCCAACACTGTATGTAACACTAATGTCTCACAACAAATGAAACTGATCTGTAGAAAACACAACTTGAAAAACGAGACAATGCATGTATTTTTTGTAAACTAAGAAATCTTTAATAAAAATATATTTTTTAAAAGAAGAAGCTCAGAAGGTGGTGGCCAGGGAGACCTCCTAAGTTATGCTTTACCCTGCCCTTTGACACCTGAGATGTATGCTTTAGTACTCACCTGATTTCCATTATTGTAAGTTGTTTCAAACTGTTTTTAATATGGTGTTTTTCATTGTTGTAACCTGCCCTGGAACATTAGGGTAAAGAATGGATTGCAGTGGTACCTCTGGTTGCGAACGGGATCCGTTCCAGAGCCCCATTCGCGACCCGCGTCTGTGTATCTGCGCACGCGCGGGTTGCAATTCGCCGCTTCTGCGCATGCTTGTGACATCATTTTGCGCGTCTGCGCATGCGCGAGTGGCGAAACCCAGAAGTAACCCTTTCTGGTACTTCTGGGTCGCTGCAGGACGCAACCTGAAAAAACGTATCATGAAGCAAACGTAATAAGAGTTATGACCGTATTATTATTATTATTATTATTATTATTATTATTATTATTATTGGAAGGGGCATGGTACCATTGTCAATGCTAGGGAACCAATCAGTGCATGGGGTGGAACTGAGATCTTTTGATGAAGGGCAGTATATAAATCTAATCATCATCATCATCACAGAGACTATTGAGTTACCCTAATCGACAGAAGAGCGCCAAAGAGGTAGTTTCTTCGTGACCCTCTGGGAAGGGAGGTATTTTCTTCGCTGCCAGCCTCCCTAGGAGAGACCCTGCCTCATGGCATGAGGAAGAGCCATTGGCAGTTATTCCAATGCCTGACAAACCTTTCTTTTCCAGGCCATTTACACCGTCCGCGACCCCAAGGACGTCTGTGTCTCGCTCTTTTATTATACCAAGATGGCTTCATTTCTGGAGCACGAGGAGGATTTTGGGGAATTCATCAGGAAGTTTGTTTCAGGGGAAGGTACATGAGCGTGTGGGTTTTCTGGGAAGGGCAGTGGGACCTGACATTTGGTAGGAGGTGTCAGGGGTCACAAGCGGCATAGCCTGGGTCCCCGCTGGGGCTGCTTGGTCGAAAGGCTGGGAGGCTGACAGCAGGTGGCGCTAGCAGCAATAGCAGGCAGAGCCAGAGCCAACAATAGCTATATCAAGTTAATTCTGGTTTTGTCCCCACCCTCCTCTCTGTTGAAACCAACAAAGGCACCTCTGAGACTAAGGAAGAGGTTGTCAGCCAGTTTCACCTCCTGGACTGGTTGTTAATAAGGAGGCAGGTGGAAGGGGGCTGGCTGAGGGCAGGCTGGACCCACACATTGTCCCTATGCTGTGGCCTTTGGCTTTGTTCAATCTCACATGGCAATCCTGCCAATAGTCTTGATTTCCTAGTAATTCGCATTGCTCACCTACAAAGGAAGTGAAAGATGCAATCCGTACGTCTGATTGATCTGTTGTCAGTTCCAACCTGTCAAACCCGCTTAACCTGGAACCAATTAAATGAAGGGTGGCAATGGTGGGTGTGGCCACAAGTGGCTGTGGTGTGATCACACACACACACAGATCCCTCACCCCCAAAAGCACATAACTCCCCTCTGCAACTGAGTTATGCAGGTTCTTAACAATCTGCTGTTGGTTAAAAATAGATTCACTTAGATCACCTTCCCCCAACCTGGTGTCTTCCAGATGTTTTGGACTACAACTCCCATTAGCCTCAGCCAGCATGGCCAACACTCAGGGGTGATGGGTGTTGTAGTCAAAACAACCAGATGGAGAAGGATGAATTAGTAGCTTTCAATCTCTCTCATTCACTTATTTCCATATATGCCTGAATCTTCGTTTGAAACTGTGGCTCCTGGTGGACAATATTGTAGACAGCAAAAGAACAATCCTATGAAAGTTTCCTCATAAGTCTCAAAGAAATTGATAGTGATTGCTTCCAAGTGACTGTGTGTAGGATTGCATCTTTTTAAATTTAACCTTCATTTTTTTCATGCTGCTGCTCTTTAAAACCACAAAACAAATCCCCTCTCTGTTTCTCTTTAGTTCTCTTTGGCTCCTGGTTTGATCATGTCAAGAGCTGGCTGGCCTACAAAGACCAGGCAAACTTTCTCCTTCTGACCTATGATGAATTGCTGAAGGTGACGTATTAAGAAAAAAAAACAGGTTTCTTTGGTCTTCAACCCCTGGTCCTCTCTCAGGTCAGACCCATAAGCCATTCTAGGCTACTCGGAGGCCCTGGCAGTCTAGCTCCTTCCAACCCTTGCTATCTCCCCTTCTCAGGATTTACGGGGCAGCGTTCTCCGCATCTGCCAGTTCCTGGGCAAGGACTTAGATGTGCCTGCTGTTGACTCCGTGGTGGAGAATGCCTCTTTTGAAGTTATGAAGGGAAACAAGATGGTGAACTATAGCCTCGTCCCTGAGGATATTATGAACCAAAAGATCAGCCCCTTCCTCAGGAAAGGTAAAAAAAACCCTGAAAGCCGGGGAGGGGAAATTCTTTGGTGGGACTACTTGCAAGTCAATATTTGAGGAGGTGGTACGTCTAGAGTAAAAGATCCCTCCAGCTCTCTCATATTCCCCTATGAACCTTTTTTTTTTTTTTTGCAGGGATTTCTGGAGATTGGAAAAATCATTTCACTTCAGAGCAGAGTGCTGCATTCCATCATCTCTACCAGGAGAAGATGAAAGACGCAGGGATCAGATTTCCTTGGGATGAACTCCAAACTGAAATCCACCAGGAACCTTAAGGTTTCAGAGAGGGAAACGTTAGGCGCAGAATTTCCCCTGTTCTAACGTCCTTATATACCAGCCTTTGTTATGAGAACCAGCTTACTCTTTTTAACACAAAAGCTACCATTCACTTCTCACATAATATAGGAGTCTCAGCTATCAGCACTACTGAGGATTCCAGAGCAGGTTTATGCTTTGAGCAATGAACAGTAGGAGCTCTTCACTCTGATAGAAAGCAGAGGGCTAGCTTGTACAACTGGAAGAATTAAAGTTTTCTTGGATTGTATCATATCAAGCTGCAGTGGTGGTGGTGGTGATGTTGTGTGTCTGAGTCATCCCCCACAAAATAAAATGCTTCCTGCATTTAGAAAGCTAGCCTTTCAGGGACAAAGGGTCAGACCTTTCCTTTTCCCCCTCACATTCTAGATTTTGTTCCCCAGGCAAGGAGTTCTCTTGTGTTCTTTTGCTGCTGTGTCACAATAATCCTGTGCCTCTCTTTACTACAAAAGAACATTTGTTTTTGCCAGTTTTGTCTGCCTTTCCTCTTGCAGGTGTCTTTTGCTTTATTTGCAGTCGCGACCGGTTATAAAATTTTGCCTCCCCAATAATAAAGCAGCAATAGCTCTCCCGACTGTCCACTAGATGGTGCAGTTGTTTTAAACAAGGACAATGTGGCACTATGAGCTCATCTGCACTGCCTCAAAGCTCGCCTTGTACCATAGGTTGCTCCCTCCTTCATTTTTTGACAGGAAGCGCATGTTTCTACTGTCCAGGTGACACATCTGCTGACCTGAAGCAAGAAACTACTTTTCCACTAACCAATAGCAATGTAAAAAGGCTTCCTAAATCAAGTACATGCCGCTGTGCTGTGTTTGCCCTATCATGGTTTTTAGGTTATCCCATTCTCCTCCTCTGCCGCTGCCACCAAACCTCAACACTCCTTGCCTCGTATATCTTTAATTGCTGCTGCTTCAAATTTCCAGGCGAGTATCTCTCTCTCCTTTCTGGCAGGCCTGACCTGGGAGGAAGTCCTTTTACACTCACTGGGGCCTGCTTCTTGAGACTGGGTTGTTAGCTGTGTTAGTCAGTAAGCAAAGCGCTATCCTCTTTCCGCACTCCTTCAACTCGCAGAAAGCTCTGCTTATTCTTTTTAGTCCTATTGCTTCTTAGGCAGCAGCTCAGAGCAGGCACTCAAGCTGCTTTGCTAGCTAAGAGAGTCTGAGCCCGTGTGCTGCCATTGCTGCAATGTGGGTGTGGTGGCCTGTGTCTTCCCCAGCATCCTGGGTGCCTGCATGCAAGAGACAAGGTGGAAACAAGGAAGAGGCACAGGCAGGTAGGAGCAGATTTGCCTAGGAGGAAGTCCCTTTGCCCTCCGAGGGGCTTGCTTCTGAAGAGGAGCGCCCAAGACTGAGTTCTTAGTTAAGTCCGCGAGGAACGTAGGCTGCATTTCCCTTTATTCATTTGTAATATTACTAGTAGCTCCCAAAAGCACAAAGTTTAGCGTTTGCTTGCTTGTGCATCACCGAGGGGGGCTGTTGCGAGGGAGAAACAGATGCACACTCCTACCCTGCCACAAACGCATGATATGCCTTTTCCCTGCCTGTGAGCAAGTTTCGCAATCTGGCAAGAGCTTTGCCGCCAGAAAGCAATAAGTAGATCCACTGCTACAGCGCATCAACAACACCCAACCCAAAACGTATCTCCCTCCTCCTTTAGAGCAGCCGTCGACTCAGAGCAAACCACCTGGTAGACATGACAGCAAGATAGGGATGCTGATCTCCAAAACGCATTGTGAAAATGAAGTTCCTCAGCCCCTCCCCCCTCAAAGGGGTGGTACTTTCCCCTCTGCTGATGGACAGACACGCATGTCCGATTTACCTGTTCATTTGCAAGTCTGTTCCATCCTCATTACCACATTAACCTGCAACTGAAATAAATAAACCAACCCCACACAAAATACGTATTTAAATACACCGTTTATCTCCATGTACATTATTTCTAAAAGCATCTTTATCTTGAAATATGCATGTTGGCATTTATTTATTTATTTATTTATTCTTTGAGCGGAGAACTGCGTCGTAAATTTCAGACACGTGCGGAGGGATAATTACGCTCCAGTCGGCACATTTTCAGTTCGACAGGCGCAGATCAGGTCAGGTTGCCTTGGGATTCACGGGCATTGACTTCTTTTCAAGCGTTCCTTACTTGCCACACAGGAGAGGATGGAGGAGGTAAGAGAGGCCTATACGTCCTCAAAACTAACACTTAAGAATCCAAATGTTTCCCTTATGTTCTCTAATAGCAAGGGAAGTGGAGGGGTATCACCAAATGTACCCATTTGTCCCCCCCATTCCCTCACTCTGTTTTCCTTCTGCCCAGCTCCCTGCTCCCCCCCCCCCCGTGCTGATTCAGCTGAGTCTACATTTCCCACGCCTGCTTTGCTGCTGGAAACTGCGCAGTTTGTGTGCCCAGGCGTCCCTCCAAGGCAGGGACAGGCTGTTTTTGTCGAGGATTAACCGGGCAGGGTCGGGCGACTCCTCATCGTTGCCGATCACCAGGTAAGATTTGCCGACTTGGAGGTGGAGGCAGCGGCATGCCAGGTCCTGCTCAGGCACCCAGAGCGGCTGCTCGCCCCGCCGAATGGGCACCCGGCGCTGGCGGTAGACGGTGAGGACCGAGGCTGTGAACTGCCACCACGTGCCCGACTTCTCCATGGACAACAGCTGCGCACGGAGAACTGGCAGGGGCAGAAAAAGGAAAAAATGACCCTTGGGAAGTCGCAACATGATGTTGCCCTGCAGCTATGGCGTCACACACACAAGGCTTATACTGAGTGAGATGGTTGGTTCACCTCCATCAGTATTGTCTACACTGATTGGCTGTCGCTCTCCAGGGATCCAGCAGAGGACCATTCCTGGCCCTACCTGGAGATGCCTGGGATTGAACATGGGACCTTTCACCCCCTTTGTAAGTTGTTCTGTTCTTCCCTCCCCAGAAGCTGGAGCATCTCCTGGCCCCCATTTTCAAGCCTGTGATGTCATTGCTGGGCATGTCATCCCTTGCAAAACAAATACCCAATACTTTCCAGAAGGCTTGTGCTTCCAGCAATGATGTGCAGATAGTGGGAACTATGTCATGAACAAGCCTGCACATCTCACCTTACATTTTCCTTTAAAGGTGGGGTTTCCCAGGGTTTCCCATTTCAAAACTATAATCTTTCCTACAGTTAGGATAGTTCATGGCCATAGGGCTCCCTGGCTGGTTTTTTTTTGGGGGGGGAGGGGGAGGAGAAAAGGTGAATTACAAAATTGTAGAGTTGGAAGGGACCACCCTCCTGCTATTTAGGAATCTTTTGCCCAACATGGGGTTCGAACCCATGAACCTGAGATTGAGAGTCTGATGCTCTACCCAATGAGCTATGTCAGAGGTCTCTGGCATCGCTTCTGGGTTCAACCTACTTTTCGCTCATTTGTAAAGAACAACTTCACACAGAGAGGTTGGTGGCAGAGGGCTGAAAGGGTGTGGGGAGCTGCGGTTTCAGACACGAGTGTGAATTACCGTAATCCTTTTTGCAGTAGTTCCTCAGGTTCATCTGGACACGTCCTCGCGGTGGCTTACAGTGGGTCTGACATTCAGTACCTATTGAATGGATCAGGTTAGGCTGGTGTAAAACCACCTCCCAAATAAACCCTCCAGCAAAATAACATTTCCCTCCCCTGCCCACTCCTTCCTTCTCACCTGCATTCCACTCCTGTGGCGGGGCGACTGTCGTTGTCATCACTTCCTGGATCCCTGTGGGAGGGAAGATATAGAAGAAGCCATTCGATTTTGATTTTTTAAAGTAAAGAACATTCCTCGCCCAGAAGACAGAAAAACTTGGTGAGACAAGAATTCTGGGAACTGTAGTTTGTTTAGTGTTCTGTGAACTGCAGCTCTGTGAGGGGTAAACTACAGTTCTTGGGATTACCGTATTTTTTGCTCTATAAGACGCACCAGACCACAAGCCACACCTAGTTTTTGGAGGAGGAAATCAAGAAAAAATATATTCTGAATCTCAGAAGCCAGAATAACAAGAGGGATGGCTGTGCAGTGAAAGCAGCAATCCCTCTTGCTGTTCTGGCTTCTGGGATAGCTGCGCAGCCTGCATTCGCTCCATAAGATGCACACACATTTCCCCTTACTTTTTAGGAGGGAAAAAGTGAGTCTTATAGAGCAAAAAACACAGTATTTGGGGGCAGCCATGTGCTTTAAATGCACGGCATGTCTGCAGCTAAGTCTAGCTGCACCAACTTGTTTTTAGATCAGTTATTCTGCCTTTGATTACAGAATGATGAAGAACTTGTCACTTGTCACTCAGCTCTACACTGGATTCCATGATTTGACTGGGTGTCACCCACACCCTCCCCACCCAAACTGATGCTGACCACCCTCAGTATTGCACATGAGACCTCAAGAGAATATTATTATTTTTAGTAATGAATCACCCACACCCGAATTGAATGACGCTGCTGGAAGGCCAGAGCCTGGCTATCTCACATGCTTCAGCATCAGTTCCATTACAGATGGGATCTTTACACTACCTATGAAGTTATTTCCTGATATAGCATCGCCTGCAGAAAGATAAAAGATCAAAGGTTTTCTGGAACACATGTGCTTCCACAGCTATGACCTCATTTCCTGTTTTAGCAACTACTTGGAGGCAGAGCCTCTCAAAGCGCCTTCTCATTCCAGAACAGTGACAGAAAGGTTATTGGAGGGGCTTTCCGTTCACCACCATTGGCAGGATATTCTTCTTCTTCTGCATTATACATTTAAAGCTGCACCATACCCCTTTAAACAGCCGGGGCTTGCCCCAAAGGATCCTGGGAACTGTAGTTTGCTAAGGATGCGGAGGGTTGTTAAGGAACCTCTATTCCAGACCCTCCAAGTGTCTCTATTTTCCAAGAACAGTCCCTGATTTAGAGAAGCTGTCCTGGTTTAATTTGATCCCGGAATGTCCCACTTTTCCTTAGGACGTCCCTATTTTCATTGGAGAAATGTTGAGGGTACAGAGTAGGGTTGCCATATTTCAAAAAGTGAAAATCCAGCCAGAAAAGTTGTCGAGCCTTTTTTTTGCTGACATAGGTGTAGCCATACGCTCGCATTTCCCCAGACATTTCAGTGGTTTCCACCCGGACACTGTTTCCGACGCCAATTTGCCAGCTATGTCAGAGAAATTCCGGACGTATGGAAACCCTAGTACAGAGTTTTCCAACCGCTGAGCCATTAGAAGGCAGCCCTGTATATGGAAGTTGGTTTTTAAAAAATGTTTAATGTTTTATACTCCACCCAGTCAGATGGGTGGCATATGAATAGTAAATTATTATTATGGAATGGGACATCCCTATTTTCATCAGAGAAATGTTGGAGGGTATGCTATTCCCCTCAGAGAGCTACAATTCCCAGAGTTCACAGGGAAGAAGGCTTGACTGTTAAACCACCCTGGGTCTTGTTGCTTTGTGAGGGGAATAAAGGTAAAGGTAAAGGGACCCCTGACCATTAGGTCCAGTCGTGACTGACTCAGAGGTTGCGGCACTCATCTCACTTTATTGGCCGAGGGAGCCAGCGTACAGCTTCCTGGTCATGTGGCCAGCATGACTAAACCTGCTTCTGGCGAACCAAAAGCAGTGCACGGAAATGTTGTTTACCTTCCCGCCGGAGTGGTACCTATTTATCTAATTGCACTTTGACGTGCTTTCAAACTACTAGTTTGGCAGAAGCAGGGACCGAGCAACGGGAGCTCACCCCGTCGCAGGGATTCGAACCACCAACCTTCTGATCAGCAAGTCCTAGGCTCTGTGAGGGGAATAGAGGCCTCTTTAAAACTCAGCATCCTTAACAAACTACACTTTCCAAGATTGTTAGGGGGAAGTCATGACTGTTTAAAATGGTATGATACTGAGATAGATAGATGATAGATAGATAGATGAAAGATAGATAGAGATAGTGCTGATGAGGCCTTATTGCATTAGGCTCTTTATTCAACAACAACAACAAAATATATCAAAGCAACATTACAGCAACATAAAATACAAACAGAGAAAATCAATTAAAAGCCAAATTGAAGAAAATAACACATGGCACAAAATTCCTAAAATACTCACCCAGCACTGCCATAAGGAAGACAATTCCTACCTCACCCCACTAAAAGATGAGCTGTGCAATAGAGGCTAATTTAACCACCCAAAGCTTGGGTAAATAAAAATGTCTTACTCTGGCTCCTAAAAATTGGCAATGACAGTGCAAGTCATGGTTCCCTGGAGACAGCATCCCACAAATGGGCAACCGCTGAAAAATATAGTCGCTGATATATTACTACACTGGGATCAGGCGAAAGATAGGGCTAGCTTATGAAACTTTTAATATAGAAAAGGATATTGCCTTGGTACCATATTGAACAGAATACAGCAGTGAGGTGGCGGCAGCAACTTTATTGAGTTTTCAAAACTTCAAAAAGACCCAGTTAAGGTAAAACATTCTCAGTTGTAGGTTATGCTAACATAAAAACAAACTCATAATATAACATAAGGTGAAATATATACAGCGGACAAATATTAAGGATGCACCGCTTACAGCGTGCATACTTTATTTTAATTCCAAGAATTTATATTTTCATTTCCTGTGCAGGATTTAAATACCTTGCACTGGAGAAGTTTCATATATACTCCAGTTCTGAAGTCTTTATGATAAGAGAATGTCTTGGGATGTGTCCATGTGTTTAAGCCTTCCCCCCCACCCTCCACCGCAGCCGAGGTACAGCACTAACCACTATTCTTTATAGATATTATTGTGCTAGATTACAAATGTCTGGTCACTGAAGAGGATTTTATGTTGAATGTGCCTGGATGAGTCCTTTAAGGAGCACTTACATTTAACAGGCATTTGGCCCATAAGCAGATTATAGGACTGCATTCTTAATATTTGCCTGTAGCGTATATTTTATTTTATGGAATATTTAAAGTTTATCTTTATGTTTGTACAACCTACAAATTCAGTACATAACGTACAATTGAGTGCTTTACTTTAACTTAATCTTTTGGAAGTTGTATTTTGTTACCGAGAGTGGAACTTTTTTTCCTGTTTTTGAGGGTGTTTTGTTTTTGTTTTGTTTTTAAGACTTTCTGTTTTTATTGTACTGAAAACCATATGCAGATGCCCACAACCAGACACTGGGTAGAAAATAAAGGGTCCCAAGATGTAGTCTATGTTACAGACGTGTTAAGTGCTCCTACTCAGTTTCACAGCCAGTCTGCCATCCCCCCCATAGGATACTCTATTCTATTTTTTCCTCCCAACAGGATTTATTGTCATTTCCCCCCAACCATCAGGCTATGTCCACATTAGCAGCTTGAAATGCACCGATGCCAAGCCCCTCTCACTGCGTTTCAAGACTTTCTTTTAAAAATTTGCTGTACACACCAGCGAGGGAGAGAGGATGTCTTCATCTGATGCTTGTTCCCTGCTTTGTTTCCCCATGCCTGCAGCAGCCCCCACCCCCACCGCAACTCCAACGAAGATGTCATCTGCACAGGTGCAATAGCTATCTTTGACGTACACACCTCAGCTCAACTGTGGCTTACGTTTTCAAACCAGATGGCAGCTGGTTTGAGGAAAATGCATCAACAGTGATGTTTCTCAAGAAGCTACAAGGCACATATGGATTGTGGCTAACGTTATGTGTACTTGGCTTCAGACGCTAGCTGTGGGTGTGCACTGGAGCTGGAGTAAACTGTAATATTGTACGTACACAGCCTCAGTCAGCATTCTGTGGCTACTGAGCATGCCCAGTCCCCATTGGGGTGTTTTGTGGGGTGTGTGTCTCTGTTAGCCTCCCCCCCTCCCCGCGCTTCATATCGCACTTCTGCAAAAGGCTGCTGAAACCACTCTGTTCAGCACGGGTGATACCATTTTGGGTACGCAAGCATCAGTACTCAGTTCTGAACATCCAGAAATGGAGGTTTCTGACCTCCAGGAGTTAAGCAGCGGCTCAGATGGGTGTCATAGCCTTTTTGACTGAACCGTCATGAACGGCTGGTTCTAAGCAGGATTCAGGAAAAGTGGCCGCACTTACGCATGCAGGGGGCATGGGCGCTTCGGCTTTGCTGGAAACCTGGAGCACAGCGGTTGCAGGTCAGGCCGGTGACTCCATTCTTGCACTGGCACTGCCCTGTCGTCTGGTTGCAAATGGTGCCAACCGCACCAATGGGATGACACTGGCAGGCTGAAGAGGAAACAAAATGGGGAGACGGTGTTAGTGGCTTAGAATGCTGAGAGCTTCTCTGAAACTGGTCTGCCCCTCCCTCTCCCAGCACGGTCTTCTGAGAAGGTGCCATTGTTAGTTACTCCAATGCTGTGTAGACTTTCTCACTGCTGTGCCCCAGGCGGAGGGCCTGTTAACACTCTCTCTCCTCTCCACCACCCCTCCTGCCACACACAACTTAGGTAAAGGTTATAAGTCTCAAGTTGTAGACTCCAAAATCGAAAGGATTCAGACACGCCTATGCTACCACTGTAAATATCACAACATTCTCCAGCCAAGAATGAGAAAGCTGCAAGGATCTCTGAGAAGTCTGAGGACTCTCATAAAACTACATTTCCCAAGAAGCCATGAAGGTCACATCAACTTACATAGAAGCTAGCTGAAGGACTTTTCCCTCAGTAGAAGGGGGAAGGTGGCTGACTTGACTTGTCATATTCATGTTTTGCAGATATAACATTGACAGAGGTAGCACAGTTTTTTTAAAAATCAATTTTCTTTATATCCTGCCTTTTCTCCAAAGAGAACAAGGTGGTGTACATGGTTCTCCCCTTCATATAATTCCCCACAACAGACCTGTGAGGTAGGTTTGGTGCTGACAGCCTCCAAGATAGTTCCTCCCAAGTGCTGAGATCCTGAGAAAATACCCCCTACAACAGGAGTCAGCAAACTTTTCCAGCAGGAAGCCAGTCCCCTGTCCCTCAGACCTTGTGGGGGGCCGGACTATATGGGGGGGGGATGAACAAATTCCTATGCCCCACAAATAACCCAGAGATGCATTTTAAATAAAAGGGCACATTCTACTCATGTAAAAACACGCTGATTCCCGGACTGCCCATGGGCTGGATTTAGAAGGCGATTGGGCCAGATTCGGCCCCTGGGCCTTAGTTTGCCTACCCATGCCCTATAACATGGATTGTTCAATTCTGACAAGCCTTCAGAATGTGGCAAACAGTGGAAACAGCCTAGGTCGTATCATGTGAGATGTCAAAAACAAAGGGACAAAGCTGTGCTCAGGTGAGGAGCACATGGAAGAAGGGGTGCATGGCCCCAGGGACTACTCACTGAACTGCCCCCCCCAAATGCACTAACCAGCTTCCACGCCAGTGGTGACTGCAGAAATACAGTGGGTTGCTCTTACTTAATGGATTTCCGATGGTGAAATCCAGATTAAATATGGAAAAAAATGTGGGCTGGTGCTTTGATGATGTCAACATTAAAAAAAAAAAGTATGTGCACGCACAGCATTTATTCCACCATAAACACCCATCTAGTAGCAGCCTAACTCTCAGTGCTTCTCCCTAATTCTAAGTGTGGCCATTTTAGGGGAGCAGGAGATCAAAATTCCCTGAAACCTTACACAGATACAATTTTTTCCAGAATTCCGGGCAGCGTGTGAGGGACAAATAAATCCAGGCTGTCAGGAGGCTGTCCCCTCACTTTCTCTTATTTCCCTTGTGGCTTTTTGGACATTGACAGGGCTAAGCCCACCCAGGTACGTCCCCTTCATTTGTCTGCTGTTTTCGGGTTCCACTGGTGTGTTGCCCCTACAAACCCCACTCACCTTTACAGGCCTTGCTGCTCTCCATGGGCCTGCTGAGGTCACGCTTGAAGCCTGGCAGGCAGTACTGGCAGTGGCGCCCTGCCGTGTGGTGGCGGCAGTTCAAGCAGATCCCACCACTTCGGCGCCCCGAGAGTTCGTAGAGCTCCATGCTGAACCGGCAGCGGTGGGAGTGGAGGTGGCAGTCGCAAGCTGAGGACGCAGGAAGGGGGTCTGTCAGCTCTGCCAGCTGCCCCCTCCCAACCCTGTGGAAATCTCTTCCCCACCCAAGAACCCCCATCACCCCCTGCACCCCTGGAGCCCCTCACCTCTGTAGATGCATGCCCCAGTCCCCTATTTCTCCTTGAACAAAGGCCGGCCCTGCCAGTAGTCAGGGTACACCTTTGTCCGAGAGCCTGGATTATAATAGTGTTTGTCTGCACCAGTGAAAATGGTCCAATACTCTAAACCATGGGTGGAGAAACTTGTTCATCCTGAGGGCTACATTCTCTTCTAGGCAACCACCCAGGGGCCACAAATTAGTGGTGGGCGGGGCCAGAAGCAAAAGTGGGTGGAGCAATGAATGTTAAGTATTCTTTTGTACAGTGGCTTGTTTCTTCACACGCTCGCATACCTCTGCCTTCCTTTCATGCAGGCAAGCAAGAAGCAAGGACACATTCTAGCCAGGCAAAAACACCCAAGGAGGGGTGGAAAGCAGGGCAAGTGGGATGTGTGCTTGGGAAGTGGGTGTGGCCTGGAGAAAGCCCCAGGGGCCAGGTAGAGAGGCCTGGAGGGCCACATCTGGCTCCCCTGGCCTGAGATTCCCAATCTCTGCCCAGTTGGTAGAGCATGAGACTCAGGGTCATGGCTTGCAGCCCCACATTGGGCAAAAGGATCCCTTCATAGCTGGGGATTGGACTAGAAATCAGTGGTTCCCAATTTTTTTTGGGCCATGCCCCACCTAAGCATCTCTAAAATCCTGATGCCCCCCTCCCGGTGACATATAATTGTTATTATTCAAAAAGTGAACTCCTATTCACGTGGAGGAAGCCTAAAAGGCCATTAACTGTTAATAACTCATTCTCAAACAGCCCCCCTTAAAAATTAAATTGTCCCTCTGTGGGATGATCCTTGCGGTCTCTTCCAACTCTACAATTCTGTGATACATGGAATTGTGCTGCAAAAGCCCTCTAGGCTGTTAAACGTGGTTGTAAGAATGTGAGCAGGGCTACGATCTAATACACAAAGCTAAATCTTGGAAGAGGGGGCCCAAGGAAACTTGGGCCACAATCACACCGTAAATTTAAAATGCTGTGATGCCACAGCCATGGTTACCCCCATGGAATTATGGGAGCAGTAGCTGCTTAAGGGCTGTTCAGAGACCCCTATTGCCCTCACAGGACTACAATTCCCAGAGTTCCCTGTGAAGAGGGATTGATTGTTAAGCCCCTCTGAGAACCGCCGCTCTGGAGAGGAAACCCACTCAGACACGGACCAGGAAAACCCAGACTTGTGCCTAGAAATGTGGCACGAAAGGAAATGTGGATGAGCTCTAAATGAGCAGCCCGGCTGTGGACACACAGTAACTCTCGGCCTTGCATGCTCAGCCTCTCCCTCTGCCTCACCCACACACTCATGCGCGTCTTTGGGGGTTGCCCGCTGCCAGGGCCTGTCCCAGTAGAAGGCTTTGCAGGTGTCGCACTCCAGCCCGGCTGTGTTGTGGCGGCACTCGCACTGGGGCGCCCCTCCGTCCCGGCCGGCTGCGCACCGCGAGGCGTGTCCGTTGCATTTGCACCGGGCCCCAACCTGCAGCTCGGCCACTCCGTAGGACGCCTCCTTCCTCCGCAACCCCAGCGTCCGTGTCGGGTGCATGCGGTCAAATGACACGCGGAGGTCGGTGGCTGTGACCCAGTCCTGGAGCACGGGGCTGTACTCAAACATCCTGGCAGAGGGACGGCCTGCCAGGGGCATAAAGGCCACCAGCCCCCCAGTCAGAGGCTTGGGGGCCGTTTGGGCTTCGACACAAGCCGCCTCGTGCTCCATGGCCTTCAGGATGGCGGTGGTTGGTGGCAAATGGTAACGCCGCCGGCAGTGGGTGGAGAAGAACTGGAAGGGCACCCAGGTGCGCCCGTAGTCCATCGACTTGTAAATTGCAAGGGATTCTGGCCGTGGGGAGCAGAACCGCAGAGCCACGTAGAGAACTTCCACCCGGCGCCCTAGAGCCAAAGTCAGTGTGGCGTTAGCCGCCGGCTGGGACCACCAGCAAGTGGCGCTGCCCTCGGCGTCGGTGAGGAACTCTGGCAAGTGGGCGTTTTCTTTGCAGCGCTGGCAGAATTTTGAGGCTGGGTCGGCGGAGTCCCGGAAGGTGCACAATCGTCCGGGAGGGTTCCCGCACGTGCTGGATGCTTCCACCAGGCGCCCCGAGGCCACTTCGGAGAGTTCAGGGAGGCAGTAGTGCGGGTGATGGTTGGCATCGTAGCAGGGATCGCGAGGGTCCGACGCCAGGCCCAGGAGGAATGGGAGGAAAACTGCAAAGCCCCATGGGAAGTGAAGCATCTCTAGGGGGGCAGGAGGGGAATGAGCCAAGAGTCGAAAGCTAACTATACATCACCTGGAAAAGAAGGAGGGAGATAATGGTTGTAGTTGGACTGCTGTTGACAATCAGGGAAGAAGAAAAGGTCACAATTGTTATGTATAATTGCTTAATTCACACAGAAATGGAGAATACCTGAATGTGTATTGCTGAAGGCTTTAACCTGGGGATTTCCCAGGAGTTATATTAAGCTTTCTGAGCTCCTAGATGGGTTGATAATTAACTATCATTGTTCTTTGCTAGTTCTGATGAGGTGTTTAACTTTAGATCACATGGGAGGCTATTGAACTACAAATTTGCCACCTTGGAAGGGTGGTGGCTGTAGTCTTTGTTCTCAGGCTCTGTGGGAGTAAGGATATGCAGTGATGCTCCCCCAAAGTTATCATGCCATTGCCATCTGGGGGAGGGTACTCTATAGGATGGGCGTAGCCAGGATTTTTGTGGGGGGGCAGGCCTTTTGTTGGAGGGGGCAGAACCTCAGTTTGCTATGTATTTTATTGGTTTTTATTGATTGGGGGGTAGCTGCTCCCCCCGGCTAAGCCCATGCACAATAGCACAACAAAAGCCAGAGGCAGGAATGATTGGAACATTTCTGGTATAATTAGCTGCAGGATTTCAGCAGGAAGCTATGGGACATGCATGGATTGGAAACAGAGCAGTATGTCTGCCCCAAAACTTATGCAGGTGCAAACAGTTTTGAAAGTGGGATTGTGTATGACCACCTGATACCATCATGAGCGCAAATTCACCATGAAAAGGATGCCCACAGGGGCCCAATTCCATCCTTTCCCCACTTTTTCTCTCTCTCATCCTCTTAAGGACTACTATATGTAAAACGCAATAAATGTGAGGCTGTTATTCTGCTGCATGCAATCTAAAGCCCCCCCCCAACATCTCACTCCTCTTGCAAAATGCCACATTTTCCTAGTGTTCAAAGTACAATATTTTGCCACTGGGAAAATGTGACCCATGGAGCTACGGTTCCCAGAATTCCCTGCGAAGAGGACTGTTAAACTACTCTGTCAATTGTAGCTCTGTGAGGGGGATCTGTGGTCTCCTGAGAACTCTTCGGCACCCTTAACAAACTTCCCACAATTCTTTGGGGGAAGCCAGGACTGCTTAAAGCGGTATGATACTGCTAAATAAACAGGGTATTTGTAGAAGCCCCAAAATAGGATGCCCCTGCGGGTGGCCACTCCTTGGTAATCACTAGTAGGGAGGTGAATTTGTGTGCGCGCACACACACACACCCTGCAAGTTGCTGCTGCACCTGTTCTTTGCTCTGTGATCATTCATGGAACAATAATTCACACACACACATATCTCAACGACCCGCTTCAATCTAGAAACTAGGCCCAAAGAGCCAAATAGATGAGAATTTAATGAGCATGAGAAACTAACTTTAAACCCCCTTTTCACAGTAGAGGCACGAATGGGAATTAACCCAGTCCCAAGGGCTGGGGGTGGGGGAGAGAAATAAAGGGAGGAGGTAATAAGCAATGAGGGGTTGCATCTGGTTATTAGTGTGTGGGTGTGGGTGTGGAGAGAGAGGAGGGTATAACTTGAGAGCGGTGTGCGTCCAAAAATAAATGACTGCTCAAGGAGTGCTAATTTGTGGGATTATGATAAGCCAAAATTCTCAATTTTCCCTGCGTGCCAGCACAGCTGGGGGTTGAGTAAACATGTTAGTTCCCCAAGGAGGCCACAACCATTGCACTTCAGGGCAGAAAAAAAGTATGGAGGGTGAGAGGAAATGGAGAAAAATTTGTCCCCTCTCTATGGGGCAGCGGCAGGCTTCTTTTAGCAACGACCAAACCTAGGGATCGAGGAGTCCTCGTCTGTGGGTTAGGATAGGTCAGATTTTCAATTTTCTCTGTGTTCCTTATTGATCCTTAAAAAGGTAAAGGGACCCCTGACCATTAGGTCCAGTCATGGCCGACTCTGGGGTTGCGGCGCTCATCTCGCTTTATTGGCTGAGGGAGCCGGCGTACAGCTTCCGGGTCATGTGGCCAGCATGACTAAGCCGCTTCTGGAGAACCAGAGCAGCGCACAGAAATGCCGTTTACCTTCCTGCCAGAGCGGTACCTATTTATCTACTTGCACTTTGACATGCTTTCGAACTGCTAGGTTGGCAGGAGCAGGGACTGAGCAACGGGAGCTCACCCCGTTGCGGGGATTCGAACCGCTTGACCTTCTGATCAGCAAGTCCTAGGCTCTGTGGTTTAACCCACAGCACCACCTTCGTCCCTCAGGGTTAAAACCAGAAGGAAATGCTGCCTGGCTTATTCTTATGGCAACCTAAAAGCAACACGACAGGCTAATAATTTGATTACAACACTTTATATAGCGACTAAATTGTATCTTCATTCAGAGTCAAGTGGCATACAATATATACAAGGTAACACCAACTAATGTGACTTCAGAGAATTTCCCAAAGTAGGGGATTTTTTCGATGGTCTATCAAACAGAGAATGATTCAAGCTTGAGGCAACATGCCTTCCAAAATAAGTATAAAGTCCAAACCACAGCACGGATATGCCTGGTTATATTCATGACTTATTCATATATTTAGCAGTGAACATGCTGAAAGAAGTCGGAGCTCCAGAGGCAGTAGCAGGGTAGCGACGCTCAGATAGGCATAACCCCAGATTTTTGTGTTCGCAACACAGGGGGTCTTGGCTGGCTTATTCTTATGCCTAACACCAGCTTGTTGATTAATGTGAACCAGATTGTGCCTGGCTGTCATTGTTCATTATTTGTCATTGTGTGTGTGTGTGTGTGTGTGTGTGTGTGTGTGTGTGTGTTTTGTTGTTTTTAAATAAAGGCAAGCAACACACAAAACACATTCATTTGACAAGTTTTGACATGTACCATCCACATATCACTACCAATATTTAAATCTCCAGCTGTGACATAACTTGCACCCAAAGACCCAGTGAAGATATATCTTAGGGGTTCCAGATACACCCACACCTAACTCACAGATGATATCATTGTAATTCTATCTAGTGCTTCCTAACTTGCTCAGTACGGCCCTCCAGATGTTGCTGGACTACATATTCCACCGTCCCTGGCCATTAACCATGCTGGCTGGGCCTGATGATGGGTGCTGGAGTCCAAACAACATCTTGGGGGGCCACAGGTTCCCCATTCTTGGCAATCCAGGCCGAGGGAAGACTAATAATGCTTTCCAGGCAGAGCACATCTGCTCTTACGGGATTCCTTCTTTACATGTGTCCATACCGCATTTTGCAGCCATTCGTACATGCAAAAAGAAGTAAAGCTGCCAACTTTTTAATTTAGAGATGCTGACCATATAACCATGCCAGCTGGAAACAACCTGCGGGAGAGGTCAGAGGAAGAATCAGGGCAACAGCTGGCTGATCAGAGGGCAGGGCTTGTAGGAAGCTGGCAGGGTTACCATTGAATGCACAGCCAAAAAATGAGAAAATATACCCACCCCAAGAGTTGACACATTTGCACAAAATTTGCATGTGTACAGATGCAAAGTTAGAAATAACAGGCATCATTTAAATAGAAATAAAATACAGCATAGTGAGGGAGATTGTGACCTAGTGTCCTCTGTGCCTTCTCAGTTTGCTGCCCTGGTGCTGCTAACTTTTAATGGGAAACTTCAAGACCCCTCCTGCTCGCCTTTCTGGGGGTTCTTCAACCTTTCAAACAGGAGGCCAAATAGTAGGACACATGCCCCCCCCCGGAACAAAGGCAGAAGCTGATTGGTTAGGGAGTGGAACCAGCAGGAGCCAGGGCAAAACTTCGCAGGTCTGGAGGGCTGGAACAGAGCTAGGATGGAATCTGGAAAGAGCAAGACTGTAAGGCAAAATCACGAACCCTAAACTACAGCAATATCCAACAGGTCATTTGATGGGTAATACCTGGCAAAAATCCAGAGTTAATGAACTTTCCAGATTCCCAAACTGGACCCCTGGAAGAACACGGTTATCCTCGTCTAACCAAACACCTTTAGGAGATACTAAATGCACTTTTAGTGTGTCATTTTTGTAAAAACACGCAATGTGTGGGGATTAGAGAAGACACTATAAGCCACAAACTGTGAAATCTGTGATTGACTGCTTTGGGGTGTGTTTTTATTTTATTTTATGACAGTCCTGAATAAGGTTTGAGATTCAAGTGAGACAGTCAATTATGGGATGGGCTGAGGCGCTGATGGAGGTCTGGCGACCCTAGAAGCCTGATCTCCTGTTTCTTCTCCCTTGATAGGGGATAATCCTTGGAAGAGAGGAAAGTGATGCCTCTGTCTTGTCTCTGATTTCTCCCCCCTCACACACACTAATCACTAATTGCCTGGGGGGCTTTGATTGCGGAGCATTCCTCAGCCACCAGGGAGGTCTCTTCTGTCTCCTGCAGTGTGTGTGGCTCCTTCTCACTGACTGGCAGGCAGTTCCTTGTTCCCAGGCACGGTTGGACCCCCATCCCCATAATCTTCCCCTCTTCAGCAAGGATTGCTTTTGTAATTTCTCCCATGGAGGTCTAGGGGTCTGACATGTGTTGGAACTGGCCATCCACGTGGATTTAAAAAAACACACCCAAAAATCCCAAGAGAGTAATGAGTAGGAGTCTGCTCTGCAATAACTTTCCTGAAATTGGATGACCAGGCTCTAGCCAGAAATGGGGTGACCAGGGGACCCTAAAGTACACCATTGTGTGTGTTTGTCTGTGTGTGTGTGTGAGAGAGAGAGAGACAGACAGATAGAGAGATATTCAGAACAGCCAGAACATAAATAACACCTAATCCGTCTGCAGTGATTTAATTGGATTAAATATGAATATAATCAAACCGCATTTAGTCACACTTAAAAGCAAGCACTCGGCAGTCATCCCACCGAATTTTATTTATTTATTTATTTGGCATATCTACAGCTCAACTTTCATCATGGCTGTGGCTCAGTGTGGTTGCATTTGTATTTTGTATGCAAATAGTCACAGGTTCAAGCCCAGCTAAAGCATCCATGCCAGAGTAACAATGTAACTTCCTTACAAAGAAATTAGGATGAATGCTTATTAAATAGCCAGTGCCATCTAATCTCCTTGCAAAAAGAATTCAGGATAAATGCTCGATAAACAGGTTGTCTGGAAGCAGCCTGATTCAGTACAAGGCAGATTTCTAGGTCCCTAATAGATTCCAGTAGCATACAACACTTAGGTGACAATACACAAGGATACAAAATCAGCTAAAAGCAATCAAAACTATTAATCCACATCACAATTAGAGCAGCGGCAAGAAACACAAGATTACAAAAGCTGCCATACTCTCAGTCAGTAAATGCTCTTGATGCTACGCAAATGCCTGAGCAAATGGATAAGTCTTTACATGCTAAAAAAACTGACAGAAGCATCTCAATCAAAAATACTTTCACAAGCGGAGAGCCACCACCAAGAAGCCCCAAAGTGTAAATGTAATATGTGGGGTCTGAGTTGAAAAGTAATCGCAGTTCCAATTGACATCGCTAGTTGGTGCTTGTGATAACAGAGCTGTATAAGATACACCAAAGAAAGTGGAAGTGTGCTTGTTTAGCTTGTTTTTTTAGTTGCTCCGTTAATAGTTTCTTTTTTATATAAATTTTAATTGTTTGCTGATGATTTGTTCATTATTCGATACAATTTGTGTTGTATTTGTGATGTTCTACTATGTCATTGTTATTTATTGTTTGCAAGTTGCTTTGCGAGTCGTGTGAATGAAAAGCAGCACAGGAATATAGTAAATCGAATCAATCAGTTATTTGCTTCTCATCAGCCCCGAGTGCGGGTCTCCCTCCTTCCTGCACAGCGCATACAACAAGACCTTACAGTGCACGTCTCCCAGCAAAGGGACACAGAGATGATCTTCCTCTACTAGTTTAATGGCCATGAAACACTGGCTGGCAGGAGCTGATTTACTTTGTATTGAACAATTTCTCATTTGTTCCTTTTCTGCCTTGCTCCTCTTCCATGAGGGAACTTAAGATGGAGTTTTCCAGACAGGCACTGACTAGCCCCAAAGACCCACTCAGTTTCGGCAGTTTTGTAGCATCATGCAGGCCTTGCCTTGAGCTCAAGGTGGTGCACCTGGTTCTGCTCCCTATTTCATCCTCACAACAACTCTGCGAGGTATGTTAGGCCGAGAGACACCAACTGGCCCAAAGTCCCCCCTCATGACTGAATGGGGATTTTTACATTCTGGTGTCCTGGGTCCTAACCCAACACTCCAACCAGCAAACGACATGAAAAAGCAATCACTGGCCCCCAAGTGCTCGCAAGCTAAATGGAAGCAGGAGGAGCAGAAAGAAAGAAAGAAAACCAGAGGCGAAATGTCTCTGAGCATGTGCAGAGTGCATTTCCATTGCCAGGCAGGAAACACAACTGCTTCCTACACTCTTTGGCTGGGGTGTGTGTGTGTGTGTGTGTGTGTGTGTGTGTGTGTCAGGAAGTGTGGTTTTCAAGCTGTGTTGTGTGCTGCTGCTGCTGCTACTGGAGTGAGTCCCCCTCTTTTTAAAGGAATGAATCTCAGGTATTCCCCATTAGTCTCGACCAGTACAACTGCTGTTCTGTTCTTTTTTGCATGCTTCAAATGCTCCGCATAAAAGCCGTCCCTCTCCCTTTCCACTGCAAAGGGCGAAACGTCCCAAATTCGATTTTACGCCCCTCTCTGAAACTCTAAACATCCCCACTGACAACCGTTCTGTCTTCACACCTGCCATGGAGGGGCAGGGAAGGGGAAAAAAACACTTAAAAGCTGAGTCTGGGGTGTGGGCGGATGTTGGCGGCTCTATCATTATGGTTGAAAAACTGGCACAGCCACTAAAGAGAGAGAAGGAACCAATTTATTCTTCCTGTTGTTATTATTATTATTATTATTATTATTATTATTATTATTATTATTATTACAGCTCCTTCTCCTGCACCCCGCTCCTTCCAGTAGCAAAGGCTATTTTGACAAATTGGGAAAAAGGGGTTTCGAAAACATCTGGAACTTCAATAAATCATTTGTCAAACACAAAAGAAAAGCTGTTGTTTTAGGGAGGGATGTGAGGATGCAGCGTTGCCAACTAACCCCCCAAGTTTCTGCAAAACAAGGGAACTCAAATTTCTGTGGGGTGAGGGAACGGGAAGCATTAGGTACTATCTGATATCTGCTGAAGCCCAATTCACACAACTCAATTCACACAACCAAACGGGTGCAGCCTGTCTGGGCTCGATACAAATGCAACCAGCAACCAAAGGAGCATTTCTGGCATCTCCTGGAAACCACCCAGACAAAAGCTGATCTGCGCACATATATTTTTGAAAGCCTTCCTTGTTTGGTTTTAACTCAAGAGGCCGGAGCGCTGTTCCAGGGCAGTCATTCAACAACCGCTCCCAAGAATTTAGCCCCCAAAGCTGTTTTCAAAGGTAGTGTTCCAAACATGAAACTCTTTTGCAAAGGCTCAGCCTGGAGACACATGATGCAATAATAAGAATGAAAGGGACACTGAGCATGGACAGAGCGCTATTTGCACACCACTCTGTAACTATGAAAGTTCATGCAAACCTGAAACAACAGGTGAGGGAGAGGGCACAACTTTTAGAAAGGTTCCAACTTTATTGTTCAACTTTCCTTCAAGGAGGCATATATATATATATATATATATGCGCACACACTCCTCAATTTTATAATCACAGCAAGCCTGTTAGGTGGATTCATCTGCAACAGAGAGAGAGTGACTGACCTAAGGTCAACTTGTAATTTTCATGGCAGATCCTCGTTTTACATGAACCCCTGTAATTTCTCTCTCTTAGAAAGTAACTCATTTAAAACATCTCCATCCCACCACCAGCAAGTAGATTTCCATTTCTGTTAGTAGTGTTGATTCAAGGGACTTTGGCATTTGAAGCTGCTTTATCTCATGCTCCCTTACACTATAGCTTTCTTGGGAATGAATGAATTTCCTTTCAAGTTCTGGCTGTGAAAGAGATCTTAGTCCCTGCGTGGGGCACTTTTCCCCACAGACTGGGAGAAACAGACCCTTCCCAAAGGGTTTGGGGGAAGATGTAAGAGATGGCTCAAACTCTATCACCGTGCAAGATAAAAATTACTTTTGCTGCTGCTGCCCTCACCCCATATCTTCTTGTATGTGGGGAAAAAGGGAATTATCTATCTCCTTTCCCTAAGTCACACAACTTTAGCCATAATCCACATCTATCCAATAATTTCTTATGAAGTACTGCATTCTGAGGTGTTTCCCACACTAAACCAGACAGAGGGCCTTCTCGGTAGTGGCACCTTCCCTGTGGAATGCCCACCCTTCAGATGTCAAGGCGATAAAGAATTACACGACTTTTAGAAGACATCTAAAGGCAACCCTGTATCAGGAGGTTTTTAATGCTTGATGTTTTCAGATATGCTGTAAGACTCCCAGAGTAGCTGGGGAAACCCAGACAAATGGGCGTGGTATAAATGATAAAAATTATTATTAACATAACAAACCAGCTCCAGTTCGAACTGAGAAAAAAACACACAACCTTGCTATGTTTTAAGCCAGTGCAGTTATGTAAACGCAGCCAAGAAATTAATCGGGGCGTTTTTGGGACCCATCCTGCTTTAGAGATTGACACATCAACAGCACAGCGCTTAAAGCAAACTTAGATAAAGCTGGGCTGGGGGGTTATACTGAAATAAGAAATTCAATTCTCCCAGCCCTACGATGTGGAAGTTGGAGGGGCTGATCCGCCCCTCACATGTTTATTAGATTTTACACTTTGACACTTCTTTCGCATCCCAGAGGCCAGGTGGTTGGAGACATTGCCACCCCAGGAGGGGGTACGGGAAGCATAAATCATGGCTAAAAGCGGCTCCCCCCCCCCACTATCCACATGACTGCCACCCCCCTCCTCCACCCATTTTTGTACACAGGCCTGGCTCTGTACTAATTCGTTACACATATGTTGCATCACCTTCTCCAAGCATGCAGGGTGTGATGGCTTATGGCTTCAGCTCACAAATCGATCCAGAGTAGCAGAGGTGCCATTTAGAAATGTCTGTGGGAAGGGAATCACCCTCAAAACTTTCCCGGCCTTTTAAACTGAATGGGAAGAGCTGAGGGGGCATACCCAGGGCCAGATTTAGGTTTGATGAGGCCCTAAGCTACTGAAGGTAATGGGGCCCTTTATATGTCCAGCTGTCCTTCGTCAACGACAAATTGTCGCTGCTTTTTGTGTTGAATATATGCTGTATGGTAATTTATGGACCTAATAGGTATCTAAAGCCATTTGAACATGTTGCCATGCAGAATGTAGGCATCCTATATATAGAAATGAGTAAAGCAGTGATATTTTAGGGAGCAGGCGGGGCCCATTACTTACATCGTAGGAGCCTACACAACACAAAACACTGTTGCTGTATGTGGGTTTTATTTTATTTGGTTTTTTTAATCTTATATTTTTGGAAATGTACATCCAGTTTTTCCCCCTTTAATTTTTTGGGGGGTGCCCAAGAGAGTAGTGTCCTAAGCTATAGCTTGTTTAGCTTATATGTAAATCTGGATACCGCAAACCTTGCCTGCAGAAGGTCTCTGGAAGTTAAATCCTCTCCATCTCTAGCTAGGGCTGGGAAAGACCGCCTATCTGATTTTGCCCAGGCTGCTATCATGGCACCTGCCAAATGTTCCTTGACTACAGCTTCCAACGCTCCTGACCACTGGCCATTTTGGCTGGGGCTGATGGGCGTTGTAGTTCTACATCTCTGAAGAACACCAAATTGAGGGCAGTGTGGGTGGTTCACCCGCACAGGGCAGCAAGCCGAGGTGGCGCAAAATTGAGAAGATCCATAACTGAGAAGATCCATTTGGGGGAGCCAAATTTGGCCTCACCCAAGGCGCCGTATTACTAAATATTACCAAAGTGCACCCCTGCACACCGGCTGCCCCAAACCAAGCTAAATGCACCAGCAGTCTGACTCCATATGAGGCAGCTTTCAAGCCTGCTGATGCCTCCCACTTTGGCAACATAAGCAATGGCAACTCATACTTTGAACACTTGAAACAGGGGAAGTGATTTTTCAAAAGTCACCACAATAATCACATCCATATATTTTAAAGCACTTGGCTGCCCTCAAAGAATCATGGGAACCATAGATTATCCTTCACAGAGCTACAATTCCCAGCACCCTTAACAAACTACAGCATTCAGGATTTTTCTTTGGGGGGGGGAGAGAGATGTATGGTGTGGAAGTTGTTTTAACATACCGGTAATTCCTTTCTCCCCAGGTTAATCTTCAGGGTAGCCAAGTAATCTGATGAAATTTGCTATGAAACCTCCTGTCTCCCCACCCTGATACCTTGCCTCCCGCTAAACCCGAAGTGGGGAGAAAGAACCTTTAAAGCTGCTGCTATGATATAGAAATAACCTGGCATGCCTCCTTCGGAGAGAAGAATTTCAATGTATTTCCTGGGCAATCTCCTTGTAGATTTCTATTCAGCAGTACTGAAAACCTCACAGTGGGCTTTGGTGTGGTTTTTTGGTGCAACTCTATTAAAGCCAATCTATTCATCACCGCCACCTTTACAATAGCACTCTATGTTGCATATTTGTAATGCAAAGAAACACAGCTTCTGCAGGTTCCCTGTGAAGCACTTTTCAGATTTTGTGCTCAGATTCCTATTATCATTCTAAAGAACTTTCTTTAACCTCTGTTGGGTCAATCAGCCTGAAAGCATCTATGTGAGCTAGGAGATTGCTATTTCCACAGGGCAACTGGGGTTGCTTCCATGGGCTGCTGAGGTCCTCTAGCGTTGCTAAGGCCCTGCATTTCTGCAATTATCTGGAAGTGGAAGCTGAACAGAAGTTCCACACATAATATATATTATCCAGAAATGGCCTTCCCCATGACCAAGATCCTCCGATAATGTTCCCATTCAGCAAAGGTCCTTGGAATTGTTAATTAAAAGTTTCCTTCTTGTAGGTCCAGACTATTTTATTGTTTCCTGATGATGCAATGGCTCCTTCCAGGCTACCAATATTTTCATGTAGGCTTCGTTCACATACCAGCTAATTCAAGTTAGGCAGTTAAAATTGATTGGGAGTTGTCATGCAAACAATTCTGCTTCCCCCCCAAACCGGGTTTTTGGCAACAAATAAAGTGATGAGGAAATTTTACCGCAAACTGTTGGGTAACAATTACTTGATGCAATGAAATATAACTTTCCCACAAACAAATAAGAACAACTGCACAATAAATAACTGATGCCATCTATCCCACCCCCAGTATTTTGTGTAAACAATCAGGAAGGAATGCACAATAAACAGGTTGTCTGGAAACGACTAATATGAGCGACCAGATTATATCTGCAAACAGGAACTGTCTAATTAAGCGTGAAGGTGTTTTTAATAACCTCAATGTCAAGGGAGGAGGGGAGATGTTGATGTATTCATTTGCCATGCATGCCTTTGCAAAAACCAATCAAATATGTTTGTTTTTTTAAAAATAAATAAATTCAATGACACTTGCTTTGTTCAGACAAGACGGGGCTGGTTGTGCAATTGCCACGTTGAGCAAACACAGAAAACTCCAGAATTCATTTGGGCTGATAATGACCTTGCCTGGATGCTCTGTGAAAAACTAGTCAGCATGGAATTGCAGTTTTGGAGAACAAGGCAGCTGGAGACTGAGAGCCACTTGCTCAAAGCTGTCTAGTAAGTCTCTGGAGGTCAAGCCCAACACACTGTCCATCAAATGACACCAGCTCTCAGTAGCTATTCACAGCCCCTTGCCTTCTTTGGATGTTTTTCCAGTGGGGAGATATGGAGAATCCCCAATTTTGGCCACCTTCCCTTTGCTCTTTCTGAGGCTTCCATGCTACCAGTTCATCCCGCCCCCTCCCAGAAGAGCAAAATAAAAGCGTTTGTGGTTTTTCCAGGATTAGGTGGATACATTATTTTGTCATGTGTCTTTACTTAAACAAACGTCAAGCAGCAGGGCTTCCTGTTGGCCTAAAGGCCAGCCTCTTCCCCTCTCCTGCTTTCTCCCAAGGCTTCGGCTCTCGTGTGACATCCTTTTCCATGATGTCAGCATTTTTGGCGTGAACTCCCCTCGTTTGAGGATATATGGTTCTTGGCTCCCAACGGCGTATCTCCGTTTCATCTCCTTTTGCTGCTATGCCAAATTAAACCCAGGAGGGGCCAAGTGTTGCCGGAAACAAGCCCCCGCTCTCGACAGGGTCAAGTAATACCTCAACGGGGAGAATGGCAATTTTCCAGCCATTGGATATCCAGCCCCTAACCTGGAACTAACTTACCACAGGCTGGGCTGCCTCCCCCATATTAAAAGCCTCACCTCTCTGCCCCCCCCCCCCAGTTCCCCACCATGCTGGCATAAATACTTTCATTGCCTTCTAGTCAATTCAGGAGCTACCGTGCAGCGCTCTTCCCTCCACCCACCAGATATGGGAATCTAGGGTGCTTCCAAGACTGTCACTATTTTCAGGCGGGAATCACACGATACGATACTCTTTATTGTCATTGTCCCATACAGAACAACGAAATTGAAAAAAATCTACATCAGACATTCAAAAACTAACAAGCCTGCTATCCCAGCCTGGTTGACCCCCTAAAAACTCTGATACCCCATAATTAAATACAATATACTCCCATAGAGACTATCTTACACTGCATTTAAAACCAAAATTGCATTTGGATAGAAACTGTTTCTTAGGCAGCTAGTCCTAGTCTTTCTAACCCTGTACCTTCTTCCAGAAGGCAGACACACCCCAGGGCATGCAGTTTAAGTTGCCTTGGTCTCTTGGGCAACAAACCTGCTCCCCCCCCCCGAAACAGACCAGTTGTGATAAGTGATGGAGAGATGCAGAAGAATAATTGCTTGAGGCAATGTCTGCTAACCTCTCTGAAAATAAATCATAAGGAATGCTTAATAAAACAGTCGATGCAAAACAAATCGGGCTGCACACTCAGGTCATCCTAAACAGCCCCACTCTGGCCTTGGTCACAGCCACCCTTTATAGGCCCACTCATTCTGTGGAACTGGCTCTGTTACAGGTGCAACATAATATTCATTCAGCATTTGTAAGAAGTTGGTCTTTCAGTGTGGAGGCACCCACCCTTAGGATCTCCCTGCTTGCTACTAGGCAGGCACCTTCACTGAACTCTTTTCAGCACCGGCTAAAAACACTGTTGTTTAGGCAGGCCTGTATAATGTTTGTATAGTCGTACCTTGGAAGTCGAACGGAATCTGTTCCGGAAGTCCATTCGACTTCCAAAGCATTCGGAAACCAAAGCGTGGCTTCTGATTGGCTGCAGCAGCCCCGTCGGACATTCGGCTTCCAACAGAATGTTCAAAAACTGGAACACTCACTTCTGGGTTTTGATCGTTCAGGAGCTGACTTGTTTGGGAGCCAAGGCATTCAGGATCCAAGGTATGACTGTAGGTATATATACACTATACAGTGGTACCTCTGGATATGAACGGGATCCGTTCCGGAGCCCCGTTCACATCCTGAAGCGAATGCAACCCGCGTCTGCGCATGTGTGGGTCGTGATTCACCACTTCTGTGCATGCACGTGACATCATTTTGACCGTCTGCGCATGTGCAAGCGGCGCAACCCGGAAGTAACGCGTTCCGTGACTTCCGGGTTGCCACGGAGTGTAACCCGAAAGCGCTCAACCTGAAGCAGCTTTTTACCAATAATGTGATTATTTTATACTTTTCGTAAACCGCCTTGAGGTTTTATTACAACCAAGCGGCATATAAATCTTTTGAAATTGTTAAAAGTAAAATAAATGTAAAGCGCCTTTAAAGCATACGCCTTTCCTTCAAAGAATCCTGGGAACTGTAGTTTATTGAGGGTACTTGAAATAGCAGTTCTGTAAGCTACAGCTCCCAGAATTCTTTGGGAGGGTGTTTTAAATGTATGGCGTGGATACTTGCCAGAATCATAGTTTGAAGGTTCATCGGAGGCCATCAAGTTGAAAAGCCCCCCCCCAACTGCTCAGAGCAGGATCTGCAATGCAGGATACAGTTGCAGCATTCCTGAATCCACCCCGCCCTGAGTCAAAATAGCTTGTTTCTTTAACAAAATAACCAGTTCCAGTCCTGATATTTTTATTTTTTATTTTAAAAACCTAATAGGTTGGTAAATTACTTGATTCTTGCAACCCTGGAGAGGTGGGGAATGTGATAAAATGGCACCAGTAGGAATGGGAGAGAAATTTGATTCAGTTTGCATTTATAGGTAAACCTACCTAATTCTCACTTTCCAAACTAGATTGAGAACTGAAACACAGCCATTCTTTCAAATTCACCCGTTTCTGAATGTTGCAATGGGGTTCTCCAGCCAAGTAACATGGAGAGAAATGCATATACAGTGGTACCTCGGGTTACATACACTTCAGGTTACATACGCTTCAGGTTACAGACTCTGCTAACCCAGAAATAGTGCTTCAGGTTAAGAACTTTGCTTCAGGATGAGAACAGAAATCGCGTGGCGGCAGCGGGAGGCCCCATTACCTAAAGTGGTGCTTCAGGTTAAGAACAGTTTCAGGTTAAGTACAGACCTCCGGAACGAATTAAATACTTAACCCGAGGTACCACTGTACAGTCGTGCCTTGGAAGTCGAACGGAATCCGTTCCGGAAGTCCATTTGACTTCCAAAACGTTCGGCAATCAAAGCGTGGCTTCTGATTGACTGCGGGAAGCTCCTGCAGCCAATCGGAAGCTGCAGAAGCCCCATCGGATGTTCGGCTTCCAAAAATAGTTCACAAACCAGAACAGTCACTTCTGGGTTTGCGGCGTTAGGGAGCCAAAATGTACGAGAACTGAGCTGTTTGAAAACCAAAGTATGGCTGTATTCGGGGAAGTTGCTTTGGAAAAAGTGTACAATAGGCAAAACTGCATACAAACATGTATGCCAGGAGAAATTCACACTTGGGTGCTGATGAATTTTCTTGAGGGATTCGTAAAAAATATATAAATCACAAACTGATGTGGAAATGTAGAGAATGGAATTAAAGATGGGGGAAATGAGGAACCAGGAAAACCCAAAACTGACGGATTCTATGCCCCTACCTTAGTTATGCCCTGGTAGTAGGAGTAGCCAGATGTTTGATTCATTTACAGAATTTATTTGCCCAGGTCTAATTGGAACCACCACCGGCCTCAGACTGGAACAAGTAACTCCCTTAGACACTGATTAAATGATCAACTTAATCAGAGTCTCTTCCAAGCACGTCTGATTCTTTAAACAGTGTGGACCGCAGACAAGAGTCTGCAGCTATCCCACGGAGTTTCTGAATTACAACATGCTTAAGATTGGAATATCTGCACTTTACTTGACTTTCCTGGATTACAAAATGTTTCTCTGTCATTCCCAGAGCATGAGTCTCCCTGCAGAGTGCTTCTCTCAATAAAGGCTTGCATTTGCATTATATTCAGATCATATTGCAGCTGCTACTCTAAATGAACAAAGTATTTTATTAAAAAGAGGATTGCGGCTAGTCCAGTGTGAACCTCCCCAAAAACAATAAAATTGTTTTCTGGAAGAGTAGCCACGTTCAGTCTATTGCAGTAAAAACAACAAAGAGTCTTGTGGTGAACAGATTTATTATGGCAAAGGTTTTCATGAACCAGAATCCACTTCCTCAGATAACACTGAAATATAATCCTCAACACTTCAGACATTAGCATAAAGGCACAGTTAGATGATCTTGTGTCAAAGCAAGGGTCACCCCACGCTTCCCCTATTACCTTCCTCATTGCAAAAAGTCTGAACTTTGGGGGAAATAAAGCATTCTAAATCAAGTGTCTCCTGCCAGAAATGAGGGAATGTTTGTTTCTTTGTTTGATGTATTTATATTCCACATTTCCCCCAAGTTGGGATTCACTTCTACACGTGTAAACTCCCTTTCGGACTAAACATGTCATAACCATGGGAATTCAGTAAATGCCTGGGGCTGGAACGGGACTCCTTATTGGCGTAATTAAAAATGGAAAGCGTAATGCTGGTGGTCAACAAAAAAGGTTTAAAGACTCCCCCAGGGCAAACCTTTAAAAATGTAGTATAAACACCGACAATTGGGAAACACTGACCTGCGAGCGCTCCATCTGGAGAACAGCCTTTACCAAAGATGTCATGGACTTTGAAGACGCTCAAACTCAAGACGAAAGGGAGAAACGTGTGAAGAGGAAGGCACGCTTGGCAAACCCTCATCATGATCAACTCCCATCCGGAAACCTATGTCCCCATTGTGGAAGGACATGTGGATCCAAAATTGGCCTCCACAGTCACTTACGGACTCACTGTTAAGACTCTGTTCATGGAAGACCATCTTACTTAGCCACAAGTGGTCGCCAAGGAAGAAGAAATTGTATCATGAGCAGAGAAGCACCGGGGCAGCTACAATTTTAGGTTACTTCATCCAAGGCAAAAAAGAGAGATTGGGGGGGGGCATCTGTTCTCATTCTGTTATTTTTCTTTTTATCTTTGAACCTTTGACTCAGCAGATTTGTGGAAAACCACAGCTTGGCTTGAGAACATGTTCAAGATTTAGAAATGCCAACTGCCAGACGTTGTGGCAGATGTATTTCAGGAAAGGGACAGTGTGAAAACCTTTGATATGTGTAACATCTCAAAAATAAATCACTGTGCCCTTTTCTTGCTGTTTGGGGTCCAGGTTGAGGGGGGGGGGCAAAAGTTTTTTTTACTAACCAAGAAATGAAGATGTTACTCTGTCAATAATGATTTCAAAGGTAACCTAGGCTGCAATATAATGCCTATCTACTTGAGAGTAAGCCCTATTGAACTCATAGGAACATACATCTATCTGTACAGTGGTACCTCGGGTTAAGTACTTAATTCGTTCCGGAGGTCCGTACTTAACCTGAAATTGTTCTTAACCTGAAGCACCACTTTAGCTAATGGGGCCTCCTGCTGCTGCTGTGCCGCCGGAACACAATTTCTGTTCTCATCCTGAAGCAAAGTTCTTAACCTGAAGCACTATTTCTGGGTTAGCAGAGTCTGTAACCTGAAGCGTATGTAACCTGAAGCGTATGTAACCCGAGGTACCACTGTACTGTATAGGGTTGCACTGTAAAATATGGATTCCGTATTAGAGCCAGAGGAAGTGATAATGAAGTCCTGTATGGTGAACTGAAGACTAGGAAAACGAGAAGCTCAGAGAAACTGAAACCAACAGATTCCCCTCTCATCACTACATAACTAACTTCACGGGCAACAAAAGAATTTACTCCAGTAAAGCATAAGTAAGATTTTTCCGTTAATCAATTTCCAACTGAAAAACAAAAGGTCTGAAAATGGGGGAGGAAGCATTGCTAAAACGACACATTAAAAAACCCACCAAGGGCTCACCTTTTGCAGCACTTTCTAGGCAGAGATCCATGCCTTAAAGTGTCATGTCTGAGCACCTTTTTTGCCTCAGAGTTTTGCCTGCGAATTCCTGCTCTTTGACGTTCAATCGGAACAAACATCAGTTTGGGTTTTCAGTGGTAAAGAGCAGGTTTTCACGGGGAAAGCACCAGGGCAAAAAGAAAATTGCTCGGACATAGCCCTTTAAAGCAAAAACCTGTGCCAAGAAATGCAACACAAAACGAAGTCTGTATGAGCCCCAAAGGTAAACAGAACACACTGCACCATTTAAAAAACATAAAAACACTGTACTCCAACTATGTTTGTTTTTTTCCTAAAAAGACGGCTCCACTACTGTTCGTCTTTAAATGTGAACTGAGTTGGATTTCTCCCTCTGCTCTGAGTAAAACTTTGTTGGAAGCAACACACAATGTTGTGTAGATGGGAGGCTGCACAAAAATTGCATGCATAAGCAGCAACAATCCCACACCAGTGGACACCCACCTTCTTATTCCAGACTATCTTTATTTTGGGGTAGAGACTTCAATCGCATAACTGGCAAATTCAGGATGCGCAGTCCAAGCTGATTTATGCTGCTTGTTGGGGGAAAAGAATAAACACTTCTCCAAAAGACTGGACTTTCGGATGGGAAAAATGGGTTGGAAAGTGTGGGATGACACTTGCTTTAATGCAAAGGCCGTCGAGCTGCCTGCCAAGCAGATAAGAGTGGGTGCTCATTAAATAGCCAACGCCGTCTAATTTCCCTGCAAACACATCAGGACAAACGCTCTACAAAACAGGTAATCTGGAAGCACCCTAACTCTCTGCTCTAGTAAGAGCGTGTAGGATTGCAGCCGCCTTAGACTCCTTCAGTGCAGCAAGATACAGAACCTCTCTCTCCACTGAACAATAAATATTGTGATTGAGAGAGTTCTGTATTGTTGTTATAATGCAATTATTTTCAGTGTTACATTTCTGCGGTAATAGAAATGATTGATGATCGAAAGATCCCGGTAGCACAGAGAACAATCGGAATGTTTCAAATGGGTTTCCCCCCCACCCCCTCTTCCCAGACTCTCTGGCTACGTTTCGGGTTTTGTAGCTCTTCAATCTCTGCCTTTGGCTGGCAATCTCTGCTGCTATTGCATGCTGATTTGTTCCTCTGAATAATGGAAGGCCCGTTCTAGTGAAGTGTTGCACCTGTGACTAATTCTGAGAAAGTGCCTGTACGTAAGTACTGCCAAGGCCTTGGACCACGTTCAAGGAGAGCACCTCATTTCCCAAGGGTTTGCCAGTTGTATAAAATACTTCTATATTTTATACAAATTTCTAGTTGTATAAAATATTATTGGCAGTAATATTTCAAAATTCACTAACTGAGCAACGGGTCAAATTATTAGTGATTATAATGTTAATATAGGCCAGTATTCAATCAGGTTTCACTGAAGGGAGACCCACTGAAATGGATGGACCTAACTTGGCCATGTTTATTAATTTCAGTGGGTCTACTCTGAGCGATACTTAGTTGAATGCCATCCAAAATTGGCAACAATTGTTAAAAACGAAGCGACAGCAGTGGCAAATGTTTTCTCTTCCTTCTGTCCTGGGATTGAGTTCCAGCTTTTATCCTGAAACCAGAGAGCCAGAACCCATCAAAAGCGGAGCCCTCTGCTGAAATCCTATGCACAATTAACTTGGGAGCAAGCCCAGCTGAATATGGTGGGACATACATCTGAGTAAGCTTGCATACGCTTGCCCTGTAAATCTCCCTTCTCTCTGAAATCCATCAGTCTTTAAAAAAAAATTCACTTTGTCTGGACTGTGCCCAGAATTTGTGAGTTTTCATCAGTGGTTTGCTTTGGATAATCTTTAAAGTATAATAATGTGTTTTTGTAGGGCAGGATAACATTTGTGGTCCCTCCACCTTACAATTTTTTAGAAAGATTCATGAGGTTGAGGATGCTATAAAATATACAAAACAGGATCAGAAATATACTCTGGAAGATTAGTCATTTAGTTAAAAAACAGCAACCCTTCTTCCCCATCTGAAATGGATGGGTTTTAAATCCATGACAGATTATCCACTCGCTAAGCCTTTTAGGGGGAAGGGTTTTAAAAGAAAAACATACAAAATAAATCTTGAATCTACTGTCTACTGCTTTGCAATGCTGAGAAACTGAGAAAACACAGTTCCTTTTATTGTCGGGTGGTTAGGTAAAACTTGGCAGGAGACAGGAATAGCTGAAGACGGCAATCTGAAATATACCTTCTGAGAAACAAATCTCATGGAAATTCATGTGACATTTACAGGTAAATATGTTTAGAGCTGGGGTGGAAATAACAACCTTTCCTGAATATGTATGTAAATAAGGAAGTCAGACGGCAGACCAATATGTCTGAAGGCTTGATTTCCTTTTATTAACTTTTGTAGGGAGGAGAAAACCCAAGCCTAGCATGAACAACACAAACCCTCACCACTGCTTTTTCGGCACTTAAGAGCATGATTTTGGTATCAACTGCACCCCTTACTGTCTAAAAGGCAAACAGAAATAAACACTGAAAATCAATTGCCATCCTCACACCTCAACTTTAAGTGTGAAAACACACACAAACAAGCAGACACAATGATTGACGATACAAGTTTCCTGTACTGTGGAGCAACAGATTTTCCATTGTTTATCTTCTACATACGCTGAATGGAATACATACAGTACAGTATAGAAGTTTACAGTTCTTGGGGCCCAAAGAACATATATAATTCCACCTGCCACCAGGACCGTCTCTGTTCTCTCATACTTGTCCTTGGTCCTCGCAGCTTGAGGAGGATGGGGTTTATTCAATCAATTCCCCTTTGTAATCCGTTCTGCTTAGAGCATTATTCTCTCCTGCTGTACCAGTTTAAGAGGCACAGTTATTACCCTGGGATTGCTAAGCCGGCAAGAACATGCTGTTCCCATCCATAGGCCAAAAGAGCCACCAGCTACCATTCAAGCAAGAACAGCAGCAAGGGAAGAGGAGCATGGCTAGATCTGGGTCTAAATGCTCACCAAGGCACTTTCTTTGGCCTTGGTTAAACTGGTCTCTCCCTTCTACCTTTCCCCTCCTCTTCGCTCCTCTTGTGTGACTGCCTTGTCTTTTTAGTTCGTAAGTCGGATGGCAGGACCAGGCTCTCATTTCCCCCTTTTCTTTTCAATTGATGTAAGCTGCTTCGGAAGATGACAATTGCCTGACAAGCAGGTTAAAAGAAAAATACAGTAAATAAATTAAACTGCCTGCTTTCTCAGCGTGTCTAGTGGTTGGAGGGAATGCGCTGAATTTGTACCTAATACTCCAGCAGATCCTTCAAATACCCTCTCTAAGAACTTTGCCTGCATTTGCTAAACCTTGAAACGCTGCAGATACCAGTAGTGCTGGGAAGGGAAGCTATATTTATGATCCAAAGAAAAAGAATACAAATCTCACATGAGCAGGACATGAGCATTTCTAAGCTGTAGGAAAATGCATGATTTGAAGGTTTCCAAAACAGTTGACTAGGGAATGCTGGCTGCCAGGCACCATGGAAATATTATCATTTTGCCTTTCATTTTCAGCTCCACTAGGATATTCCACCTAATATAATAAAAGTATATTTAATATTGGATGGGAATGTTGAAGTAAATCTTCAAGTTCACCCCAAGAGCCCCTGAATTGTGTATACATCTCCTTAACTCTTGCTTCATGATATTATTATTATTAGCAACAGAAAGGTCATTTCTAGAATTGTTCCTAGAATTGGAAGAATTTCTTAACTGCGGCATTTAGGCTGAAATCTTGTAAACACTTGCTTGGGAATAAGTGCCACTGAACTTGGTAGGACTTACTGTAAGCATATATATATATACAGTATAGGATTGCATTGGTAGTCTATCTGTCCTCTGTACCATTAAAAAAAACCCAAGCCCACCTGATATCATACACACTATGTAAGTTGCTAAAGTGGAGTAGGAAATTTTACCCAAAATCGAATTGTACAAGTTATGAAGAAGAACCATTTCACAGCAATTCAATATCTGGTCAGCAAAGCAGTAATGTGGTGGTGTTTTAAACCCATTTTAATTTAAATGAGGTGAAACTTTACAGTTTTAAAACGTATTTTTTCCTCAGTGCATTTTCAACAAACACCATGTTAGTGAGGATCCAATGTCAGCAACAAGAAAACTTGCCTGCTCCAAGTTTGAATATGTTGTGGCTGTGTAATGGGTTTTCACCAAATTGTTAATGTAATCAAACCGAGTACAGATAGGTTAGATGAGATTCTCCTCCTCACCCTCAAAAACCGCAATGATTTCAAAACAAATTCTCTCCAAAGGCGCACAAAATGTATAGCGGAAGCTACTGCATATATAAGTTGCAACCCCTGCATAACATGTAACGACAAATATTTTTGTGTGTATTGAAGCAATATAGAATCCATTACACCGAAATTGGCTAGCTAACATCAACATAAAGCTGCCATAGTCAGAGCAATCGCTCATGCTAGCAGACTACTCAGCCCAGCTCCTGTTCATTTTGTGAGCTGCGGTGAATGTAATAAACTAACAAAACATTAAACGGAAGGTCATAATAATTTCAACATGTCACTTGGGACAACTCAAGATTTCCCCGGGATTTCAGGAAGACGGAGGGACAAGAGATGGAATATTTGCAAGTTTTGAGATTCAAACACTTGGGGGAACTCCCCCCCCAAAAAAATACATTTCAGGAAACCTTAAAAAGCTCTCCTGGTTCTCCACAAAACTGTCACTGAGCCCAGGCATATAAACAACTAATGAGCCGCTAGCTACAACACCAGTCACATCTCCCGGCATCTATTACACATTTTATTACCAAAGGTCTGCTGTAACTATGGATATATTTAGCGATTTAAGCTCCGGCACATTAGCTGTCTCGATCGCTTGGCTAATCTCTGACTAATTTTCCTTGCCTGCGTCAGCTGAGATATTACGGCTTCATTTGGATAATGCTGCAATATAAACACTGCAGGCTTCTGGTGCCACACATCTCGATCTCCAATAACCGCGTCCGCATTCTGTTGCATTTGGTAGCTGGGGTATTATCTACCTCCCATTATTCCACAAAACATCGGTAAGGCCGATATAATGCAGATAACATATCCACGCGAATGCTGCAGACTTTGCTGCCTTAAATATTTCTCTGATCGCATTTTTCGGGTTTGGCTGCGCATGCTGCTTGCGCTAGGATTTATCATGCATTAGGGAAAAGAATGCAGGGGGGGAACCCCTCAATGTGATACAATAACATAGTGACACAATACAGCGATGATAGCAAACCAACCTTTTTACCCCCCCGATTGCTTGTGTCTGGAGACCGCGTCCACCACTCTTCTCCACCGAGGTTCCTGGAATCTGATATCAGCTGGGCTGGAGTTTCTTAAAAATGAAACCTTCTTTGCTGGGAGTTTATGAGGAAGTTTGGTGAGTTTTACAAGCCCTTGGGTAAATGGCAGACGGTCGCCCCATGGAGTCAGATCGGATCCACTGATGGGGAAGGGGAAATAGAGCCTCCAATGATCTGTTGAAGCATTAATGAGCTATGCAAGCCTGGATGTTCAGGTTTCTCACCCAGGCCTGGAACCATGAGCCACTGGTGGTGAAAGAGCTTTCCAGAACTCTGGGGCTTTGATCTGTGGTTGCTACATTCCCTGATGGAACTGGACTGAGCGAGTGGGCTTCTGACAGTGATAAACAGTGTGTCAAGGGGGGGGAAACGCCCCGAGAAGACAGATCCCCAAACACATGCGGACAGGTGGGCAGATGGCATAGAAGAGAGAGAGAATGAGAAAGGGGAGCATAAGGCAAATGGATCCATGCATTGCCACGAACCGTGAAATAAACCCAGGTTGGAGACATGTGAAAAAGTTGAGAGACAAAGAGAGTTATGCTCTCTTTCTCAGACAAACACATGACGGGATATGCGCTGGTTGGAAATGAAGCCGTGTGGACACTCCAAACCTTTGGCAGGCAGAAACAGTATCGAAAGCAGGATCGTATACGACCATCCTGATAGATCATGAGCGCAAACATCACAAATGTAATTAAAAAGGTCATCTGGGAGGGGCCTGATGGCTATGAGATGATGGCTATGGGAAGGGGGCATGGTGTAGCAACTCATCCAGCTTTTGCTGGAGAATGTGACTTTCCGCTCCCATTCCGCAGGTCAGGAAAGAGGAACTGCATAAAATGGGGGTTGCAGGGAGGAAGAGAGGTGGCAATACTGTGCCGGCTCACCTGGGACAACGGGAACGAGGCCCGTTGAATTACTGCTGAATTACTGAATTACTGGGACTTACTGCTAAAGAAACATGCACAGGTTTGTGATGTCGCATAGTTGCTAAGGATGTAAGAAGGAACCTTTTTCATTCCACCCTGTTTTTGCCACATTCAGCACTGTTTCTCTGCCATAGCTGTTTGCCTTCTACCCAAAACTACATTGCCTCACTGTCTGTTGCGGTGGAATTATTTGAAGTCTGGTTTTTATTAATTTGAGGTATGTAAGTCCAAATGACCATGTGCCATTTCAGGGGATGCGTGTACAGAGTTATGGGGTGCAGGTTCAAATTAGAAAAGGCACCGCCTTCAATCTGAAACTCCACCCCATCCTACATTTCCCTTCCCTGGAAAGGTACCTACCAACAGCCTCCAGGGTCATCTGGACTTACCTATATAAAATCATTTTTAAAAAACCAAATTCATTATCTAAATGTACCCAATGTTGCATAATCATAGTAGGGTAAATCTGTATTTGGAACACAGTGGTGGCAACCAAATAATTGCCTGTGGAGTTAATGAATTACCAAATATAAACCCAATTTTTAAAATGGGAACATTTACTTTCTAAGTAAGAAATGAGAGCAATCTCAATCTCTTAAATATTTTTCACACTGTTCAAGGGTACCATTGGTCTGAAATCTCAAACTAAATAAATAAAATGCAATAGCGTCCAATATGAAGCTACATGAAAGCAAACCCAAAATATAGCACAAGTGAGAAAGACACACTTGCAAGCTTCAGTCAGCAGAGTAATTGAGGTCTGAACCACAGTTTCAACCCCCCACTGCTCCAGCACTGATTAAAAAACAGGGCTGTCATAAATAGCTGTCGCAGCAGTCCATACAGAGGCACACCAGTTCCATCCACCTACGCCCAATACAGTGGTACCTTGGGTTAAGTACTTAATTCATTCCGGAGGTCCGTTCTTAACCTGAAACTGTTCTTAACCTGAAGCAGCACTTTAGCTAATGGGGCCTCCTGCTGCCACCGCGCCGCCAGAGCACAATTTCTGTTCTCATCCTGAAGCAAAGTTCTTAACCCGAAGTACTATTTCTGGGTTAGCGGAGTCTGTAACCTGAAGCGTATGTAACCTGAAGCGTATGTAACCCGAGTGTTAAGTTGTGGGCGAACATATCAGACGACACAGCGATTCTTCCAAAGCAGCTCTTTATTTGTAAGCTGGAACTGAACTGAACTGAGGAGCTCAGTCAGCCTGCTTATATAGAGCTCCACTAGAATGCAACAGTAACCATTTTCTGTAACTAGCCAATCACTGAATGTCACTTTCGATCCTTCATTTGCATAACTATCTACAGTATCCCCCTGCTGGCCCAGGGTGAGAACTTCAGTACATAACACCCAGGTACCACTGTATGCTGAAAAAAGAAACCTGAATCCCCGATCCCATGCATATCCCTCTATAACAGCCTTTGCTCTCCTGATGTTTTGGACTATTTCATCAGCCCCAAGCAGCATGGCTGTGCTGGCTAATGCTGATTAGAGCTGTAGTCCAAAACACATGGAGGGCACAGGCTGGTGCATCCCGTTTTGCTGCTTGAAGTGAAACCAGAAGGTACCGTCACTCTGATGATGCCACTGCTGTGTTGTGTGGCCTTGTCCTTGAAGCGGCAGTGGCAGTTTCTGGAGAGATCTCATGGAAGCTGCTACCATTGCCGCTTCTCTGGCAGTGGTGGTGGTGGTGGCAGGACAGGTGGAGCCTCACCTCATGAACAGGCCAGCCCTGGGTTAGTGAATGCTGCTCTAAAATAATTATCACTGACTTCAGTGGGATTTACTCAAATTAGGGTGCAGAGGATTACATTCATACCTGAGATTCTACCTGACTTTTAGAAGACATCTGAAGGCAGCCCTGTTTAGGGAAGTTTTTAATGTTTGAAGTTTTATTCTGTTTAATATTCTGTTAGGAGCCGCCCAGAATGGCTGGGGAAACCCGGCCAGATGGGCCGGCTATAAATAATAAATTATTATTATTATTAGAGGTTTTCCTTCCATTTTGTATCCAAAGCAGATAGTCGTCATCAGGGATGCCTGAGGAATTCTTGTACTGCACCTCCCAAGCTTTAATGAGTGGATCAGAAAATAGATATCCTTTGGATTTCCCACTTCCCCAAAGTTTACATTAGATTAAATATATGCGGAGTTTGCTAGAAAATCTATATTGCAACATACATTTTCTGAGAAAACCTATTCAAGGATACAAATTTAGATTCTTATTTAAATTGGGACTTTCATGCATCTTTAAAAAAATTCCAGATTAATGTGGAAATAACATGAAACGGATTTATGAATGAACAGAGACACAGGTAGCACAGAACAAATATATTCAGAGATTTCAATCCCTAGTTGTCATATCCGAGAGAAATTGGTCCAGCTTTCCTTCTAGCAACCACAGCAACAGGCAAGTGAAGTGGATAATTTCTGGCCGAGGTCAGTGCTGGAATACCTTGCTCTTCCATTTAGCAAGAATGTAGAAACCTGTCGCCATCCAGACTCCAACTCCCAGCAGCCCCAGCCAGCATGGCCAGTGGCCAGGGATGAAGGGAGTTGTAGTCCAACGTCTGGAGGGCCACATCCAATGCCTGTTCCAAAACATGACTTTATAATTCTTTTTTGTTAAAAAGACTTATATGAATTTCCTGTCAGCCTCCTTGACTACAGTATTTTTCAGCTAAAAGACAGGATGTAAGTTATCTTAAATAAACAATACTTGCGGGGGTTTAACTTGTTCATTTTAAATCCAGTTTGCCTTTTTTTATTTGACAATAATAGGGAAGATTAATCTTAAAGACTCCCAAAGCGAAATTTCCTTCCATCAAGTGGGAATGAGGGAGAAATGCTATTCAATTTGCGTTTAAAGGTGAACTTACCTAATTCTCATATTCCAAAACAATTCATGAACTGAAACAGCATCCTTCAACATTTAAACGCCTCCGGATTTTGCAACGCGGTTCTCCAGCCAAGTAATTGCATACCCTAGGGCAAAGTGTGAAAATAAATACATATAAGTGAAAATAACATAGAAAAATGGAGTACATGATAGAAAATTGCTTTGCAATAATGTGCATATTACGAGAAAAGCTTGTGAATTTTCACAAAGAGAGTGTGTGTGATATGAGAATGTGGAGAACTAAATTTATTGTCAGAAAAATGAGAACCTGAAACTGACATTTTCCCACATTCCTAATACCAAGTGTCACTTTTGCTTATTAAATTGCTTACTAAAGTTATTAAACCCATCTTTTCAAATCCTTAAAAAAGAAACTATATTGAGATGTTGGTAATGCCCGTTTAATTATTTGGTTTCATTCAGTAAATTTAAAATTAAATAATCAGTTAAACATATCTAAGCAGCTGATAGCACAAGATAATACTTTATAGGGGAGAAAGTGAATTTGCAACCAGAAAAAAGCAGGAATTAAAAAAAACACCACCTGAATAACAATGCACTATTAATCCTAAATGCACATGAGAAGAAGTCCCATAGTGGGGAGGGGTTATTTCAAAGTAAACATGTATAGGTTTGTGCTGAAACATACTATCAATTACAGTAAATAGCTGTTAGATCAATTAAAACTAAACTAGAAAGGGAGAGGGAAATGGCACAGAGGCCTTTGCAAATATCAGAAAAACTCACAAATAAGATGCTAATGATTAATCGGTGCTTTTTTCCTGTGGGGACGCAGGGGTACGCATACCCCTAAACATTTTGTGAATCTACGTTTGGCCTTATTGAGGGACAGTTTTTCCAAATGAGTAGGAAAATGAGAGTACCCCCTAAACATTTTTTTAGAAAAAAAGCACTGCGATTAATAATTAGGTTTGGGCCCAAGAAGCTATGTATGTTGTGCTTCTAATATTAATGCATAATTTGAGTTAATGGATTCAGTAGAAATAAATCCCAACATACAATGATCTTCAGATGTTTTCATGCCTGCAATGTACAATTTAAGATCAAATTCTAAAACTATGCCCTGGAGCCAAGTACAGTAATCTGGACTCACTGCATCGGGGTTGCCAACTTTCCAGCCGGCCTCTGCAGCTGTGCTTTTCACACAGTTGGTAAAGTTTATCCTGATGCTGAGAAAAAAGCTGCTTCTTCTGATTTCTGCAAATCAAACTGGCGTCAAGGGCGCAGGAGCAGGCCAGGCTGCTTCCCCCTCCATCAGTTGGCAACCCTGCTCACAGGGTTTCTTCTTGCTATTGCAGCCTGAGAGGTTTCCCCGGTTCCCAGATTGCTGCACAAGCCCCCTTTCCACCCGCCCTCAATACCCGTCCGATGGGCTCCTTTCGCCGCCCCCCTCAGCTGTCCAAAAGTCTTGAAAGTGAAATTGCTTGCTTGCCATTAATCTCCCTGTTGTTTTTACGAGGCTCTCCCGCCTCTCCTCCCCCGGGGTGCCCGTTAAGGATCAAAGGTTAATTAATGCAGAGCAGACCGTGACCGCAGTTATTCTGACCCCACAAGGCCAGGTGGTCCCAGAGCCCCGATATACAAGATGCGATGAAAGGGTGACACGGCCCAGGAATTTACAAGATGATGAGGCGTGGCGGGTCGGGTTGGGCAAAGTGAAGAGAGAGGAGGCCTTTGGGGAACTGACCTCCTTAGGGTCAGCTGGGAATGGGGGGGGGGGTGAGGGAGAAGCATTATAATAAGGGGGCAGTCCAACACACATCTTGAACCAGGCCCATTTTAAATGCTAAACTATGGATTGGCGCTATGGGGATGAGCCTCAGGCTGCGTACACACGATATCTTCGAAGCACGTTTGAAGCACATTCCCCACCCCTTCAAAGAATTCTGGGCCCTGTAGGTTATTAAAGGTTTCTGGGAATTGTAACTCTGTGAAGGGTAAACTACAAGTTCCAGAATTCCTTGATAACAACACTTTGGAGGTCCCGAGCCTCAAGGAGGTCAGATTGGTTTCAACTAGGGCCAGGGCCTTTTCAGCACTGGTCCCGACGTGGTGGAACGCTCTGCCACAAGAGACTAGGGCCCTGCGGGACTTAACATCTTTCCGCATAGCATGCAAGACAGAGCTGTTCCGCCTGGCCTTTGGTTTGGACTCGGTCTGACCCTTATGTTTCCCTCCCCTCATGGTCTTGATTTATCAGCTACTTTAAAATGAGGCTGCTTTTAAAATTGCATTTTAACCTGTATTTTAAATTGGGGTTTTTTTCCTTTCTTTTTCTCCCCCTCCCTCTTTCCCCCCTATTATGTTTTTACCGTGATTTTATTGCTGTTAGCCGCCCTGAGCCCGGCTCTGGCCAGGGAGGGCGGGGTATAAATACAATTTATTATTATTATTATTACTATTATTATTATTATTAAGGGAAAGAATGTGCTCCGAATGTTCTTTAAGAGTATAAGTGTGTACACAGCCTCAGGCAAGCTCCTTCCTCTCTTCCCCTTATGGGTTATGATTCCTTCCCTACTCCCCCAGTTTAAATAATCATTTACCATCACCGATCACTATGACATCTGAATGGGAAAACTGGTGTTGGCACTTGCCCTGTAAGCCAGGACTGCAAGCCGGCAAACTTAGCTTACAATTCAGACTTTTTAGCAGCCTTGGCAAGGGTTTTGAAGAGTGTTTGCCGCTCACAATGCCTCTTGCTCTGAGGAAGAAGGGCAAGGTGGCTCCCAGAATGCTGGGAGTGGTTGCATTTGCTACGGAGGCATTGGCAAAAACTATTTTAAATGGTAAGCTGGCAGGTCTTATGAAGAGAATGGGGAAGAGTGGACAAGGTGTGATGGGGAGCAGGAAGGCGGTGGTCCCAGACAGACCAATGAAAGCAGCTTCCCATGACCCACGAGAGGAGGTGGGGCTTAATATACAGGAGGCGACCATTTTGGGTGCATTCAATTGACGTACAAGCACTAACACGTGGCCCTTTTGGACCCAGAATAGGGCAAAATAGGGTGTAACGGGCAGAACGTAACGCGGCTGGGTGGGCTGGGCTTATGCACACTCTACCAAGGTGCGCAGGGGCCAGAAATGGAACCTGGCACAAAATGGTTGTCGTCTGTATTAAAATTGCAGTCAAATGTGCAAATGTGTGAGCACATGCCAAATATTTTTGCAACAAAAAGGTGCAAAGACACTTCTATCAGATGGTGAAATAAGTGGACAAAAAAATAAAAAAGCGCAACAAATTTTATATCCTGTCTTTCTTCCAGGGAGGAGTACACAAATCTCTTCCTCCCCTATTTTAACTTCACAACAGCCCTGTGAAGTTGGTTAGACTGAGACACTGCAACCTGACCAAAGCCACCCTATGAGTCTCATGGCTGAGCAGGGATTTGAATCTTGGTCTCTCCCAGGTCCTAGACCAACACTAACCGCTATTTCACACTAGCTCCCAATATGCCTGGGAGTCATCTGCAGGATTATCTAAAAGTGATTTTGTAGATTCTGCATTTTATTTTATTTTAATCTTCCTGTTATTGTTGTTTTAAACAAAATGTTTTTAATTTTATTGCATTATGAAAAAATGTTATTGGGGGCAGAGAAAGTGATTGTGGCAAACCCACTGGCCATGGTACTCCTGAATGCATAAGTTGAATGAACTCCTTCTTGAGAAACAATGAACAGGCAGACAATCACAATTGGCTTTGTTTTCATTTTTTTAAAAAAAACCTGCATAATATTATGCTGAATTCAACAGAAACTGCTCTTCCAAATTTATTGAATTCCTCTTTGCCCCCTCAGAAAAGAGATGCTGGTTGCATCAGCTGTTTATTGGCAGTAACAGCATAGATCAAGCAAGTTTAATATACATTATTTACATGTGCTCCATGATTGCTTCTTTTTCTGGGCAGAGGTTACGGACCATATTAATTTGGTATCAAGTACTCGCTTTAAGGTTTAATTATACCCATTTAATTGTGAAATATATTCCAGTGTTGTGAGAGTGGACTGATGGACAACGTAAGTGGTTTCTGAGAGCCCTCACAACTGCGCAGAGACTGATCCTAGAACACACACTGGAAGGACAAATCCTCACCAACAGATGGGCAACAAACTGAGGACCTGACTACATGGCCTGTATTTGATGGTGCAGCATATCAAAGACAGCTGCCACCAAAATAATACAAGTATGTGTGGCCTACAATGAGATATATGACTACCCTGGCCTTCTGTGCTAGTCGTTGTACCATTGTGAATATCTGCATCTCAGGAGCTGCATATGCACTATATGTTTAAAGCATATTTAAAGTACCTCTACTCCCATAGAATCCTGGGGACTGCAGTTTTTTGCAGGTGCTGGGTAGGGTGGCTCTGTGAGGGATAAACCACAGCTTCCAGAATTATTTTGTGGTGTGTGTGCTTTAGGTGTGTTTTCAATGTACGGTTTGTATGCTACCTGTGTTTGAAGTATCACTGGTAACTGGGAAATGGATATAAAGCCCCATTTCTCTCCCCCCCCCCACCGGTGCCTTCTCCCCTCTCCTTTCCCTGGGTCCTATTTGGCCAAAGAGGGGGGGAAATGAGGAAAAGTATTCGCAACAGAGAGAACTGGTGGTTGAGTTTGTTTTTCCTCTTCCTTCCTAATCCATTTTTCCTTTTGTGTCAGGTCTTTCATAATGTAAATCCGTAGAAAAGGGCTGGCTTATTACTGATCTTTGTAAGATGCTTTCTCAGCTGAAGAGCAGGGTAGGAATGCTTCGAATAAATAAAATTCAACCGTGATTATTGGTTGAGAACATGTGGGCTTTGTGATGTCATAGCTATGACGTCACCTCAGCGCAGGCCAAGGCTCCTTTCAGGCAACCACAGAAAAGGGTGATGCCTTGGCTCGTGTTTTGGCTAATAGCCCAGGACATTGCAGGATCCCATGGATGCCTGAAATGCAATGCAGATGCCATGGCAGTTGTGAAGGAATTCAAAGATATCTACCTGGACAAGCATCTCTTCTGGAACCCACAGCTCAAAGCAAAACTGAAGGCAGACTTGGATAATTTCTTAGAAGAGCTCCCTCATCAGGAAATCGATCAAAAAAAATACATGGCTGTTATTGGTATGGTTGCACCCATCCCAGTGCTCCTGCCTGGGAACCCATGATTTTGGGGGGTGAATATTAAGAATTCCAGGGTCCAAAGGCACCACTCTGACCTCTGCATCCCTTAATAGGATCTGCATGCATATTTATTTATTTGCATTGGAACTTTAATTGTACAAGTTGTGGGCTGGATAGCATATTATCATATAAACTGCATTAATTGCCCTGCCCTTAGTATTAAAATGTTAGAGGTCCAGTCAACAAAACCTAGTAGCTTATGGCATATCCTAGATGCTACGAAATAAAACAGAGTGCAGAAGGCAGTTTGGGCTGGGGACCCAGCCAAGAATCAGCCTCAAAATCTAGAACTCTGAGGTAAATTATTTCCTGCCAGGTAAGGCTTGAAAAAAGGTCTCCCTGACAGGTAACCTCACCCCCCTCACAGACACTCACTTCCCTAGGAAAGAAGGATATGAATCAGCTAGGGTGACTTAAGCAATATATTTTCAATGTGTGTGTGTGTGTAAAACAGGACAGTGGAGATTTAATTTAAGGAGATAATGTGCCTACCCACCACCTGAAGTTTGGCAGGTAGATAGGAGATAGCAGAAAAATTGTCATCAAAAAATCCTCCCTAGGCAGGCCCACCTGGCTTTTTCGTCCTTGAGCTCTTATGGTTTGGCTAAAGAGGGCTAATCCCACAGTTAAGCAGAGGGTGACTGAGGGATGGAGTCCAGGTTGTGGAGGACAGAGACAGGTGCTTGTGGCCTGGCCTGCCATGTGCCCCCTAAGCTAGTCTGTGGTAAAAAAAACTTTGTGTGTGGAACTGAGGAGAGCAGCCGCCATACTGGGGCCGCCATACTGGCCTTCATCTCAGGCGAGAAAGTGTCCTGACTGAGGCCTTTGGTTTAGTAAATTGACAATTTGATGACTGGTGGCCGTCACTGCTGAACTTTTATTTTATGGTGCTTTTGTGTGTGGCGTGCTTTCAATCTGGGTTTAAATCTTATTGTTCTTCTCTTGATGCTGTGTTCTAAATCTAATTTGGAGGATTTCTATTCTTGAAAGAAAGATGGGGCGCCAATCTTCTCTGGCATATTCCTACGCCTTTTATTCGAGTCACAAGAAGTTAGCTGAGCTATCGTTGAGTTCTTATGCTCCTATAAGAGGCCACATGATAGCAGTTTCAACAATCGTGCTTGGCATGGAAAAAGTGGAGGGACTTTCTTCTCCCTCTCTCCTAACTCATGGACATCCAGTCAAGCTGAATGATGGACTAGGTGATCCACTGGATCCCTTCCAACTCCACAATTCAAGGATTCTAAGTACTTCTTCACACAATGCGTAGCTAAACTGTGGAACTTGCTCCAGCAGAAAGCAGTGACAGCCACCGACTTGGATGGTTTTAAAAGAGGATTAGAGAAATTAATGGAAGATAAAGGCTATCAATGGCTGCTAGCCAGAACGGCTATGTTCTGGTCAGCCACTGTGAGAAGAGCCACTGGTCTGAACCTGCAGGCATATGTTCTGCTCTTATGTCTGTATATGCTCTTTTGTGTGAGCTGCCCTGAGGTTTATTTTGAAGGACTGCATAGAGATTTGACTGAATAAATATTGACTCCGGTGGGATTTAACTCCCAGGTTTACATGGGATTGTATGCATAATAAATACATATTAACATGCAGACATACAGTAATAGGGAGAAAAACAATGGAAGGAAGAGGGAAACAAGCTGCGATTGCTCTGAACAAAAACTCCATGTTCAAAGGCATTATACAACTCTTATCTGTGGAGGTGCCTGGCTTCTACATCAGGCCCTGCAAGAAAGTTTTATGGGGAAGGAGGCAGACAGCGCTCAGTGATTCGCAAGGCAATTAAGAATAAAAAAAGATGGAATGAAGCTGGCTATTCCCCCCCCCTAACTGTATTCCTCCCACCTCTCTCTTCAGATGACTTTTCACTGGCAGACTTAGGTGCCCACTTCAAACGCTGTTTGAAACACATCATGGAAAATGAAGTTAAAGGTAGAGATGTGCTAAAATGAATGGTATCACATGGCCATCAGGAATATATGACTGTTTTCTTCCAAATGGCTGTAATATGTTGCATGTATGTCTATTGGAATGTATTCAGCAAAGTGTCTGGTGCAGCCTCTGAAGGCATGCTCCTCAAATGTAGGTCAAGATAGCTTTGCTTTGGCTGCCCGGCTCATTCATATATCTGGCTGATTGTTGCCCAGTCTTTTACACTGTAAATATTTCAGCGCCTTTTACCTCACAATCAACTAGGCGTCGCCATCTGGTGGTTTCTTTAATATAGCGCACCGCTATCTACTGGGTAGGTACTGTGTTGACAAATCAGTCTATGAGTGCTTCCAGATGGGACTTTAAACTTCCAAGTGGGTTGTTCATAACATTAAAGACAAATGCACAGAGGATTTCCCACCAAAAGGGAACATCTGATTTAAACAGGGGAGAAATGCAGGCTGGCATCATGGCCGTAGCATTGAAAGTACTAAATCAATTTAGATTCAGTTGCCCCCCCCAGCAGATGACCCCCCCCCCCGAAAGCTGGCTCCCTGCAATGGGGGTATTTTTACCTGTGATTTCCCAAAAGAAGCTCAACAACTTTGGCTGCCCACCTAACAAAACTCCTGGCTTCTTCTGAAGCTCAGAACATTGTATGGACACAGTAAACAATGCGCATCCACTAAGAGCTCCAATCTCACAATAAACACATTCATCAAAACTCTGCTTATAGCCCATTCCCACAAGAATGGAGCGGGGTGTTAGCCTGCATGTATACAGACACCTCTTTGGATTAATTTTTGCGCTATTCAGTTGCTCATTTAAATTGGCCTCACTTGCCCTCATTGACACCATCATCCAGCCAAATATGATTCATTATATGGCCTCATGACATTATATTCACTTTAGGATTCTTGATTGGGTGGACTCACCCATGTAACTACTCTGGAGGAAGGAGAAAGAAGCAGCACCTTGGGAGGGAGAGTGGCACCAGAGCAGTTGCCAAGGGAAACAGTGGATCCGTAAAATGACAAATAGGCACACTGTCTTAAAAAAACAAACAACACTTTTAGAATAAATTTCCACTCCACAAGCTCTTGGCTCAAAAATAAACGAAATAATGATCCCAGTCCTATTTCCCATAAAATAAAGGGGGGGAATGTAAAATGTGGCTCAACAGGTCATGCTCAGATACATGCATGTTTCTGATCACAGTGGTTGACAGCAGGTTTGTTCATATTTATGTAGCTCTGCTGCCTCCTAACTGAATTATAATCCTGAATTATATAGGCAATATAGTTGTTGGGCGCCCCTGCTGGAAACCCTGCTGTTTCTGTTGTTATCTAGGTCTTTGGGGAGGAATTTGGAACTGGAAGAAGCATTTCCTTCGACTCTGCTCCTCCTGCATGCTGTTAAACTTTGTTTTAGAGGATAGATTGGATGAAAAACATGAGGCGGGGAAAAAGCACAAAATGGTGGTGTGTGTCATGTAAACCACCCTGTGATCTTCAGGGTGGCATATACATTTAATAAATCAGAAGAATAAATAAACAATTAAAAAAAAGAAAAACCCAACAAAAATCTACATTTTAAAATGCGCATTTCTAAACATTCTGGCTTATATTGCACTCCCACTGTTGGCCCTTCCTCCTTTTCCGCATCACAATTCATCATGCAAAGGGACAGCCCCAGGGGTCCACACGGCATGTGGGGGTCCCTGGGCCTGCTCCTCCTCTTCGTCAACTGCTTTCTTGTTTGCCCACATCTCTCTATGACATAGAAGTGCTGGAAAGAGGAAGGAGGTCCACTGCCTGCCTGCCTTCTCCCTGGCTCTCTGCCTAGCAGGCAAGCAAGTGGTAGCAATTCAGTGGTGGCCGGTGCCGTGTGGGACTGGTGGGCCAGAAGGCAAAGAGCCCAAACAGTATGTGGAGGCAGAGCCAACTAGTCCTAGTTTTGTTCCCATCGTCCTCCCAGCTGAGTTGCACAGGGACAGTGCTTGCACCAAGGGAGTAGGAAGCTGATATGCAGTGCCACCCACTGGATTGGTTATCTGTAATGAAGGAATGGGTTTCTGTGTAGTAAGTTTAAAAACTGACTCAACCCCCCCTTTTTGTTCTTTCAAAAGAGAGCACTTTTAAATGTGTAAAACTTGAACTGTTGAGCAAAACCATAATAAGGACACAACTGCATAAACAGTTCTGTCCTTTATCAGGACAGGCAAGGGATGGCCTTGGCTCTCCAGGGGAACAAAGAAAACACGTCAGAACTTTATATTATGTGCTGACCACAAAATACGCGCAAGACCAATGTCCGGGAAAAACGCCAAAAGCGTGTTCCCGGAGATTATGACGTCCTCCCAGATAAGAGTAGGAAGAGGAAGATCCTTTTATGGTCAGAAGTACAGGAAGGAAGACCCTTTTATGGTTGAGAGTACCAGAGCAGGAACATATGTGATGTCAACCTGCGTACATAGGCTGACATGGTTGGGCTCCTAGGGGAGGAGTGAGAGGGTGCCTGGAGGATATATAAACTGCATGAAACCTGTCATTTCTTTGGACTTGCTGGGGACTAATCACGCAAGTGCCTTCTGCTATCCGGAGAGCAGAATAAACTCTTTCTTTGAACCAACCTCGGTGTCATTTTGACTTCCTTCCTCCTGTCCCGGAGCAACGCAGACCCAATCAGTGAACTCCAATAAGGCTACAGTAAGAAGACGGGAAGGCCTGGCAGATTGAGGCTGGTAGGGCAGTGCCCCATTAGCCTGAATGGGCCAGCCTCCATTGGCAGCAACCATGGGGAAGAGGAGGAGGAGCTGGTGAACATGACCGTGAGGAGGTCAGCTTCCTGACGGAGGGGGCCCCAGGGTGGGTGTCTTGTCCAAGGGCCCTGTGAAACATGGAGCCCACCTAGACCTCCTGCTCTTACCGTTTGCTTTTCCTTTGCAGAGGCTCAGCTTCATAAAGAGATGGATTCGTGTTTTCAGAAGCTACTGACTGTTTTTCACGAGCTATTGCCCAGAGTTGCAACACGTAAGCTGTGCATAGCTTGGCTGAGCCATATGGGGCGGGTGGGTGAAGGGGTTGGCAGGTGAGGCAGGCAAGGGTAGCAGTCCCTAGTTAGTAATAGAAAAATAAAATGAATAGTTGTAGATAGGAGTTATATGGGACGTGGGTGGCACTGTGGTCTAAACCACTGAGCCTAGGGCTTGCCAATCGGAAGGTCGACGGTTTGAACCCCCGCGACGGGGTGAGCTCCTGTTGCTCGGTCCCAGCTCCTGCCCACCTAGCAGTTTGAAAGCACGTCAAAGTGCAAGTAGATAAATAGGTGAGAAGGTAAACAGTGTTTCCATGTGCTGCTCTGGTTTCGCCAGAAGCGGCTTAGTCATGCTGGCCACATGACCCGGAAATACTGTCTGTGGCCAAACATTGGCTCCCTCAGCCAGTAAAGTAAGATGAGCGCCACAACCCCAGAGTCATTCACAACTGGACTTGATTGTCAGGGGTCCTTTACCTTTAGATAGGGGTTATAGGTCCTTCTTTCTCCCTTTGCACCATACAAATACCCACTCATCCTCTGAAGTTAAATAGATGCTGACCGGATCAGCTGTAAGGGAAGGTCTGCAGGGGCCAGTTCAAAAGTTGGCAATCCTAACTGGGTTACTGACAATGGTGTGTGGGCGGAAGGGGGTGTACAGACACACACAACTGCCAACTTCCTTCCTTCTTTCTCTTTGCAGATCATTGCAGCAATGAATGCGGTGAGTAAAATGAACTTAGAGAGTTCATTTTTAAAAGGAATTAGTTCGACCTGTCCCCAAAGGAACTCATTCTAGTTCACGTTCAGCCCTTTGAGAAATGAACTAGTTTGGTTCACATACAGTTCACAGTTCAATTCATGTCCATCCACATGATTCTCTGTCATTTTCTAACCCCTCAACATTTAGATATTGTGTGTGTGTGTGTGTGCATAGCCAAAGGCCTTACAGTGTACAGCAGAGAGCAAGGCAAGGCTTTCCTTTAAAATCACACAACATACCCTATAAAAAGTTTACAGCATAAAAAATTAAAATTAGAGAGCATTAACATATCCAGAACGGAGCTTCTTAGCAGCCAGAGCAAATTTGGCTACCAGGTGTGTAATCTGTAGGTCTTTATCAGTTAGGAGCACTATAGTCTGCCCTTCACAGAGTTACAATTCCCACAAGCCCTTAAACTGTAGCACTCATACTTATTTTAGGGAAAGTACGTGCTTTCAAAGTATTGTGTCTCTGCAGCCATACAACTTCGAGCCCGTCACAATCTTTTTAGCGGTTTTGACTGCTAAAGTTGGTCAAAGAGGTTTTGACTGCTAAAGTTGGCATGTCCTGGATTTCTGGTTCTCGACCATACCTGGACAGGTATGGCACCTCCTTTATAAGGAAGAGATCCTGTTGTAAGTGGAGCAGGGAAAAAGCCATTCTCTGTCTTTCAAGACTTCCTTATCAGAGAGGGGCTATTGCAGAAGTGTTCCGACTTTCTCCTGCCAGATGTTGGGAGAGGGAGGTAACACCTGTCAGATGTCTGGGGTAAATGGATCAATTCCTCCTACCCAAGAACAAAATGGCTGCAAATCGATGCTTACATGCATAGGCTTCCCCGGTCAGAGGAAGCCTTACCTGAGGTACTGTTGTTTACATTCCCTGGCAGCAGCTCTCCAGGGTCTCAGACAGAGAAAAGTCAATTATTTCACATGCGAGCTGATTGTTCTAGCTAGGCATGTCAGGACCAGATCTGGGGACATCTACATTCAAAGCATGTACTCTGCGATTGAACTATGGCTCCTTCCCTCAGGAGTCTCTTGAGGCCTTTTGCTGCCAGAGGCAGAAACCCCAAATGATCCGCCAAACCCTCCCACCTAGTTAATACACGAAACAAGCCCCAGGAGAGTTCTGCGCTATTAGAGCTGATAGCTTATCAGCCGGCTCCTGTGGATCTGCCATTAACAACAACATGATGTTACAGCGTGACCATGTCTACATATGTAAAGGGATGCCCTTGTCCACGTGTATCCAACTGATATGCTCAGAGTCAATGCACACAATGGGGCAAATTAAACTGCTGCTATGGTGAATTAAAACCAAGCAACAAACCAAAGCTTAGAATAAAGAAGGCAAAAGCCAGAATGTTTTGCTATAAGAATTTAAAATTTCTGTTTTGTTAGTCTCTCTCTCTCTCTCTCTCTCTCTCTCTCTCTCTCTCACACACACACACACACACACACACTCCAGTTGGACTGGTGGCTTTGGGGTTAAATCTAAAAGTCCATAGGGATAAGAGGCAGAGTGTGAGAGGAAGGTGTTGAGTGCCAGACAGACATGAATACAGCTCAGCTAGTTTAGAGTGGGAAGTTAGAACAGAATAGCAGCAGTGCTGGTTAGAAGCAGCATAGCTACCCTGGTTGAGAAATTAGAGAAACAGAAAGGCAGGAACAGAGAGGTGGCAGTGGAAGAAATGGGCACTGAAGGAACAGAGCACAGACTTTGTTCTCTGTACCTGAACCAAGCTCAGCATCCTTTCACCCGAAACTCCATTCCATGTCATCTTCCAAGCTTTCTTAGTCTTAGCAGCCTAATTTAAAGGGGGCGGAAACCCTATCGCTGTTGTTAAACAGTTGCAGATCTATTGCAAATCAGCCAAAGGTATGCTAAGAAATCTGCTCACTCTTACCTTAAATAATGCCAGCGAGTACTAAAGTGACTACACTTGGTGTCAGTGCCTCAGGTGTGGAGCTTTTTCTGTTAGCGCCTTTGAGGAAATCAAATCTAGATGTGCCAAGGATGACTTGGGTGGAATCTACGCACACATATAAGAACAGTTCTGAAAAGGCTTCTTTTTTTAAAGCGTTTTTTAAAAAAATACATTGAATTTTCCATGAGGCTCACCATTGCCATCTAGTGTCACATTGTATATTGCACTTAAAACACACTTAAAACGTTTTATTTGCAGCTGTATAGCTGTCTCCTTGATTAGGTTTGAGTTTGGTGGGGGGATAGGAAAGAGAGTGAATTGACTGCTTGACACCCCACACCCGCTACCACGAGTGCTCTCACTTTGATATGCTGAACTGGTAAGAGTCTCCCTCACTGATCAGTACCAAATAAAAACTACAGTGGTGCCTCGCAAGACGAAATTAATCCGTTCCGCGAGAGTCTTCGTCTAGCGGTTTTTTCGTCTTGCGAAGCAAGCCCATTGACGGATTAGCGCTATTAGCGCTATTAGCGGTTTAGCGGCTATTAAAGGCTTAAAGGCTTAGGGGATTAGCTGCTAAAAGGCTATTAAAGGCTATTAAAGGCTTAGCAGATTAGATAAAGGGGGGGGAAAGCGAAAAAAAAATCTCAAGACTCGCAAGGTATTTTCGTCTTGCGAAGCAAGCCCATAGGGGAATTCATCCTGCGAAGCAACTTCAGAACGGAAAACCCTTTCGTCTAGCGGTTTTTCCGTCTTGCGAGGCATTCGTCTTGCGGGGCACCACTGTATTACCTTTCTTGTCCTGAATGCTTTCACTCCCCTTCACTATGCTTTGCCTTCAGGTGGCAGTAATGCTCCTGAATACCAGTGGCTGGAAACTGCAGAAGGGGAAAGTGCTCTTGTGATGAGGTCCTGCCTTCAGCAGGCTTCCCATAGGCATCTGGTTGGCCACAGTGAGAACAGGATGCTGGCCACTGGCCTGACCCAGCAGCTTATTATGAAATTTCAGTGTCAGGGTGCTTGAGATATATTTAAAATGACAGGCAAGCTGGGTTTGGTTTTTTTGCTAACACCAATGTGCTAAAACCAGGATGACAATGCTTATCTTCACACATGCACTACTTTCTGTTGTTAAAGGTGTAGGAGTGGAGCAGACCAGAGGGGTGGAGGCACAGAATCAGTTGGTGACCCCTATGTTCCAGCCTCAAAGCAGTAATGAACAGGAGCTGCACAAGGCCGGTGCCATCATTTGAACTGAATTTATTACGGTCCCAGATCAGACTTTAATGATAAACTGGGATATCAAATCCAAACTCCTCCTCCTCTTCTTCTTCTTCCTCCTCTTCTTCTTCTTGTAGTGCCATCATTTATTGTCAAGAGGTTTGTTCCCAGGGGAGTTTGTGTTTGGTGAGCCAGATTGGTGTGCTTGTCCCACTATCTGTCACCTTCTCTCCAGTTCACCCTCCTTCTGCCTGAACCCAGAACCCTCCTTCTGGTCCTCTCGTTCTGCAGGTGTGATGAGCTACGTGCTTACTCATTGCTTCACGTGCCTCGTACGGACTTACACGTGCAACAAGAAATACCGGTGTGGAGGTAAGAGCTGAGAAAAGGGAGCAGGCTCAGTTTGGGGCCCACAAATCTGTGGCAGAAGACAGGGCCTGGCAGGATTGAGATACAAGAGAAAGACGCCCGAGGCCAGTCTAAACGGACCCACCGGGACTACTTGTAAGTAAGAAGGCAGGCAGGAAGGGGAACACTGGCTGAGGGGAGGAGACGGAAGTCGGCAGGGCAGTGTCCCATTCGCCCTAGAGGACAAGCTTCCACTGGGCTTGACAGTGGAATACGGCCATGTTGCCCTTCTCCCCAGGTGAGCTAGCTACAATTTTGTGGGTTGGGGGGAGGGTGGGAATTCAGAACTTTTGGGAGCAAATGGGAGAGCTCCCCTCCTCCAATCCAAACCTTGCAATGGCTTCTGACAGCCAGTGGAGGGAAGTTGTATATGGCTAGTGTCCTCAGAATCAAAGAGTTGGAAGGGACCCCCTAGGGTCATCTAGTCTAACCCCCTGCGATGCAGGAATCTTCTGCCCAAGGGATGTCTGTTTTAAAAAACCATAAGACCAGAGAGCAACCATAGGTTGTCTATCCATCCTTAGCAATACCTGGGGAACAGGCTGAGCAGGCACGCAAGTCACCTACTCAGTTTCCCCCACTATGGTGGACCAGGTTGTTTTTCTAATTTGCATCTATTATATAAATGAGCACATGCACATTTTATGTGAATATGTGACTCTCTCTCTGTCTCTCTCTCTCTCTCTCTCTCTCTGGTGATGCCCAAGTGACCACCCAACTCATCCTGCCCTGAGAATAAAATCCCAGCTCCCAGATTTCTCCACCAAGCCCTTCACCAATCCCCTTCCTCCACCTTGAACACAATAATCCCCAGCAGGCTCCTTCCTTCCCTGCCAGTCCCATTAGTACTTAGGTGATGGCTTTGCTGGGCTGTATATCATAGGGACTGTCTTGTTTTGACTATATGTAAGCCGCTCTCTTTTTGGCTCAAGAGCAGGGTATAAACGCTTTAAATAACAGCAACAACTAACAACATGTCCCTGTATAAGTAAAAAAAAGGTGCCTTCTTAGAGTGCTATTTGTATGTTCTAATGGTTTTACTTGTGACTTGTGGGGCAATCAATGATAATGTTGCATATGTGGCGGGCAGTAGTGGATTAAATGTTAGGTACCTAGAAGAACAGATTTTGGATACTTGGATTTTGCAGAAAGGAGAATACAAGTGGAAATGGATGAAGATCTGGTTCTGGATTGTGCTCTGCAGTGGCACAAGTTTAGTCAAAGTGTGAAGAAATACATCTTCTACCGGGTAGGCAGTGCCTCTGAGAAGTGGCCTTCCCCTTCGCCAGCCCACTTGCCTCCCCAAAAATCTACTGCCACTGACTTTTGACCTGTAACTCCCCACCCATGCTAAGAGTTAGCTTATGTGTCAATCACATTTTCATGCTGCAAGGTTCAGGGTGACATACATGTGCCCCCTTTTTAATGCTCACGACAACCTTGTTAAGTGCAGAGGGTGTGACAGGTGCCACAACCTCTGTGAGCTTCATGTTTCAGTAGAGACTTGGGTCTCCTTACAGTGTTTCTGAACCTGTGGGTCCCCAGATGTTGTTGGACTAGCCAGCATGACCAGTGGTCAGGGATGATGGGAGTTGTAGTCCAACACTTTGAACCACTACACCACTCTGGACCTCACTTTAACAAGGAAATAAGTTGGAGTTCAAACCTGTGTGGAAAAGATATTATCTGATGCTGATAACGTCTAATATTTATAACTCACCCTTTGTCTGTGCAGCAGGCACCCAAAATAAACAAAACCATAAAATACACAACAATAACAGCCACAGAGCACACTAAACCAACAACCAGCTAACTAAAATGTCTGGGCAAACAAGTCTTAGCCTTGTGCCAGTTGGGCTTCTAAGGGAAGGGCCGTCTCCCACATAACGGCAGCACACACCTCGCCCAGCGATGGAAGATGGGAAACAGCTTCCTTTGAGAATCTTACAATACGGGAAGGGGGAGGTGATCCTTCTGGTATTTGGGTCCCAAGCCATTTAGGGCCTTAATCAGAATTTGGCCCAGAAACAAAATCCCCCATTACTATTATGGGTGGTTGTACAACCGTAGAATCTAGTTATCGATTGAGGTTTGGGGTCAAAGGCTGCAGTGTCCTCAGCTGTGCAGTCAGACCAGGTTCAGGGCTCCGAATCTGATGCTGAAGAGCAGGAGATCACGGAACCTGAGGCTGGCAGATGGGACCCCGCTGAACAAGCACCCAGATCGCCAGGGTCTGTAGGGCTAGAGCCAGGGATCCTTTCACACACTGGAGCCGGAGGAACCCAATGTCTCCTGCTGCATCCCACCAGTCTAGTGCTCCAGGGAGCTCCCTGGGAAGGAGGCTATGGAACAGAGAAGATGTGCCTGTCTTTTAAGTTATCCACAAGGGGGCAGAGCCTGGAAAAGGTAGCCTAGACAGTGGTGGAGGAAAGGGGGTCCGGTGGATGCGGGCCGCCCTGGGTGTCATCACTGAGGGGGGCTGACAAAAATATGAGTTTAAAAGAAAGGGCTTACGAAACTTTTTAGTTCAGTCAACAAATGCAACGAAACCCAGCTGGCACTAGGCGTCACACCGCGGATGCTGGCACTTATTGCAGGGCCTGCAGCGTGCCTGAGCCACTCGTCTCTCCTGGGAGTGACGTGGGGCCTTGAGTGCCCGCAGGCTCAGCGCAGCCTGAAACGGCAGCGTGGAGTTTGCATCTGCCCACCGCCTCTCCCTCAGCTGCCCTACAGCTGAGGAGGAGGCTGTGGAGAGGCACTGGGCACCCGAGCGGCTAGCTACACCGCTGAGTCTAGAGGCAGATTCTTAGAATGGCTCGTTCTGCTTTCAACTTTTGTTGAAGCGAGTTGTATAGTTGGGGCTCTCTGTGGTGCTCCAACTCCCTATGGGGGCCTGGCATTGAATTTGAACATGGACAGTGGTGGGCTGGAGTCAAAGAGGGCTTTGCAGGGGTTCCTGTCAGCAGGAAAACACATGCAGTGGTACCTCTAGATGCAAACAGGATCCATTCTGGAGCCCTGTTTGCATCTAGAAGCAAACGTAACCCATGTCTGCACGTCATTTTGAGCGTCTGCGCATGCGCAAGCGACGAAACCTGGAAGTAATGCGCTCATCCTGAAGCACATTCAACCTGAGGTATGACTGTACATGCACGAAAAGCCACTTCTTTCTCAATGCTAGCATCCAAATGCAACCCTTCTTCTTAGGTAGTGAAAGGCAAGCTGCAACCGATGAGCAGCAGTATGGATTCCTTTCTGGTAAAGAAGGAGGTGAATGTAAATGACTCGGGCAGATACCGGTGCGATATGGCAGATTTGAAGGGAACTGTTTCTAGCTACCTTGACTTCCTAGTACAAGGTAAGTTAAGTGAATATGGGGAAGAGTGGACTACGTTAAAGGGCTCAGATAACATCCCCCCAACACACACACATACCACGTTCAAAGTACACATGTGACTACATAGGTTAGCCCCCCACCACCACGCCACTAACATGTGAGAAGGGGTCTGCACACGTACTCATGCATGGAAGGCTCCTCTATGCAAGGGGCAATCGTCAGCCCGTCATGAGCAGCGCAACTGTGCATGCGCAGAGAACCCCTCCTCACATGTGCCTAAATGAGTAGATGGCAGTGCGTGTTTGGGCGCCAGGGGCATTGGAGTTTAAGGTTATCCCACATAGTTCGCAAGGCCTCCTCATGCATTCTCGGGAGGATGTTGACCCGTTGATCCACCTAGTCCCAAACTGTCTACTCCGACTGGCAGTAGCTTTCCAAGGTCCCATAGACTTTCACAGGCCTGCTGCCTGATGTTGTTTAAGTGGAAATGGATAGGGAATTTTCACCTTATATGTACATTTTTAAAAAATAAAATTGAAGCATTTTTTAAAAATTCTATTTTTTAAAACCAAAAAGTCTCCCAGAGAGGCTTGCACTCTAAAGGACATGACACAAAAGGAAAAGGGATAGGAAGGAAGGCAGGCAGGCAGGCAGGCAAAAACCCCCCAGGCACTATTTCTCAGCTACAGAATTCTTGTCTCATCTGTCTCTGTCTCCAATTGCCTGATGAACTGGCTGCTGGTGAAAGTTGAGGAAAGAGCCTGATGGAGCTGACTTTTCAATAGAGCAGATGGAGAACATGCATTTCACCTCAGAACCATGTTGCCTGCTGTAGTTATATGGCCAAAGGGATCTATCTAGTAGCCTCTGTTAAGATGAACTAGCTTTCGTTTTACTTTGCAGAGCTGTAGTACTGGCAAATAGCCAGCAGGGGGCAGTTGAAACTCAAGGCAAGGTATAGTAAGGCATCCCAGATAGCCATACATGCTTATGCAGAAGTACGTCCCATTCAGTTCAGTGAAACTTATTCCTTGGTGTGTTTAGGGATGTAGCCTTATTGGACAAATAAAAAATAGGTTTAACTAATTATGTCTGCATGCTTGCATTTGGCTAAATAATAGTTTTGAATATAAAATGTATTTTATATTTGCCATTTGAAGTTGCACATACAGGCAGCGACCATATTGCACACATCTAGTTGATGCGCGACCGACCAGAACGGGGCGGAGTGGGCTTTTGCACACTCCACCGACATGCGGGGGGAGGTGGCCAGGAATGGAACCCCTGTGCAAAATGGTCGCTGCCTGTATGTAACAGCAGACTCCATCCTAGGTCCCCCTCCAAACTGCTGTTTCCCTGTGGGTGGATTCTGCAGCGTGTTCTTGACACAGTGATAGTGCGCTACTAGTAGATTCATCTTGCTTTATTATTGGTGGTATAAAAAGTTACAGGATTTCAGCAGGAAGTGACAGGTTGTGCACTGATTGGAAATGAAGCAGTGCGAGCGCCCTGAAACTTTTCCCAGGCACAAACATACAGGGATTGTGTGTGACTCCCCCACAACAGCATCATGAGCACATGGTATCATGAACACACAATAAAAAGGAGGTCCGGAGGAAGAAGAGACGTTCTTACCAGTGTGAGAGGGAAAGAGGATCGCCTCATCTATATATTTTAATCTTGTTTTTAAGTTGTATTTTAATCAATTGTTTTTATACCTGGTGTTAGCTGCCTTGAGCCCGGTCTTGGCTGGGGAAGGCAGGGTACAAATAAAAATTTATTATTATTATTATTATTCATCATCATCATCATCATCATCATCATCATCATCATCTAAGATGGCACCCATCAGTCTTTATAAGAACCTATATTAAAGTATATGTCTCTCTCTCTCTCTCTCTCTCTCTCTCTCTCTCTCTCTCTCTGTGTGTGTGTGTGTGTGTGTCCACTTAATCAGGGATGCCTTTTAAAAGGTTATTTTAAGGAGTTTTTAACTAATTCATCTAGCTGATATATTGATTGAAGGACTTTCTCTTTCTAATCTCTTTTCTTCAGTAGTGCCTGCAGTTGGGAAGACCACTTGGTTCCCCCGGCCGTCGCACACAACGATGACAGTCCCCCTTGCCTTGGGGATCTCATCCAGGGCTCCACCCCCTCAAGCCGACTTCTCCGTTTGGATAGTGATTGGGGGCACAGGCGGGTTGTTTGTCTTCATCGTTCTTGCATTGTGAGTCCTGGGGGGCTGGGATGGCAACCCAAGGGTGACTGGTAATAGGTTAACACTAGGGTACGCCAGGCCCACCCCTCCATCTCGAGAGCCTCTGTTCCCAAATGCCCCCTTTAAGCTTGGAAATGACACAATGCCCTACTCAGCAGGCCAGCTGGCACCTTTGAGGTTGCACCACCATCCCAGAGGGCTAAAAGACGGACATATGGATATAGACTGCCACCAGGTGTTTGTGCATGTGTGTGTGTGGATGGAGAGGTACACATAGCAGTGTATAAGGCGAGAGTGGGGAATGCCTGGTAAACTCTCTGTAAGAGGATCAGTAACGGCAGAAAAGCTCCCTCAGATCCTATCAAAAGGACAACAAAAAATGTTTGATTACATTCCCGGCGGGAGCCACCTCAGATTCAAGCCTTGTGTCAGGTCTGTTCATGCTAAGCAGCTTCCCAGAATCCTTTGCAAGATATTTGGGCTCCATGACACAAACATAGAGTTTCGTGAGTGGTCAAGGCCCTGAGGAAAGCATTCTCTCAAGCTAGAAAGTTTGAAATCTGCTGACTGAGTCTCTAATTCTTTCTTGCTCCATAACCCCTTTTAACTTTACAGCCTGTTTGCTTACTTTCGTCGTAAGAAGGGGAAAGAAGATGAGGAAGATGATGACGATGATGAAAGTGAGAGTGAGAGTGGATCATCAGAACTGGTGGCAATGTGAAGTCTCAGTCACACACACACCCCTTTTCAAGTTCTTCAGACACAGATTCCTGCCCACAGGCGCTCTTATATTGTACTACTAGCTGGTCTACTTTATTTATTTAACAGTAATTGATAAAGATAGTGGATATCTTTTAATAGATAAAAGCCTCTCTTGGGTTCTGTGTGGGAGAGTATGAAGATGGCATCAGGAAGACATAACTGTCAGGGCTCCGAGGTGGCTTGCAAACAGCTTCCACACAACCTGTCTGGTGAACATTCAGCCTGAATTATTTGCAAATAAGCTAGTCAGGGTTGAGTTTGCTATTTAACAACATTCATCCCGATTTGTTTATGGGGAGACGGATGCAACGTTGCCTAATCAATCCCACATTATTTGACCTCATTCCTTTATTGCGAGGTCCATTATTTTGAGGAAGGTGGTTTGTTGCACAAGAGCTCCAAATCAGGTTTAATTCCTTAGCCTGAATTTGCTGGAATGCGATTGAATCCCAGTCCAAGATTGTTGACAGTCTGCAAGTGCCCTTGGTGTGCTTACTGGGGAGGACTAAAAGTTTGGAAAGGGGGGAACCATTGACCCAGATGGAGCAATGGAGGAAGCACGTAATGTTTCTTTTTTTCTGAGGAACAGTAGCTTTAAGGAGAAACGGTGGGTGGGGAAGAAGTGCCCAACCCTTTCCCCACTGTTTTTCCAGTCTAAATTCCTCCCCATAAATATAATGCTTGGGGCGGGGGCAGAGAGCATGGGGTTTGTGGAGCAGCAAGACAGAAGAGGATGCACTTATAACAAAGACATGTTCAGAAGAACCAGCAGGCTATCTGAGGAGTGGAACCATAATTGGACCTGGGAAGACTATATGGAGCCTTCTTTTTCCACTCTCCTGCCCCATGTACTCACCCATAAGACATGGCATTGCAAAAGACCAGAGGGCTGCTGCCTTCTTTTCCTGGCTGATCCCAGCACTTAAACTTCTTGGGTGTTGTGCATGATTTCTCCAGGCTTACTGAGTTTCTCCTCCACACAAGCCCTGTACAGCGCCTTGAACCAACCTAAGCCAATTTCACGAGGGTATTATAAAATGCAACAACAACAATCCACCTGTATTTGAGGCAGCGAGAAATGGTGTTTATTTGGAGACAGCAGGCGATGGAAGGTGATGATGGTTACAATGCTGAAGGTCTCTGTGTTGGAAGAACAGGCTACAAACATGGCTATCTTCCTTGTAAGGCTTAACCTGGTGGCTTTTTCCACGGCAGCTTTTCTGCTTGTGGAGAACAATCAGCTGGATGATTTTTAAATAAGCAGAACCCCACAATTCTGCATGCTGAATGCCAAAGACCCTGCCCCCCACATCGTATGACTGGTTTACCCTAGCCGATGAGTTGCCATGTCACACCCATGCCACACATTCCAAGCACATTCCATCCCCAGAAAAAGAATCCTGGGAATGGCAGCTACAATTCCCAGTACCCTTAAGCTATGGTTTCCCAGGATTCTTTGGGGGGAAACCATATGTGTTAAATGATGATGTTACCAGGAGGGCAAAGTCACACTGTTGGCTCTCGGGCAACAGGAGTACAATGGAACCTTGGTTCTTGAACTGCTCCATTCCCGAACGTTTCAGCTTCCGAATGTCAAAAACCCGGAAGTAACTATTCCGTTTTCGAACATTCTTCAGAATCCAAACGTCCGACGCAGCTTCCAATCTGCAAAAAGCCTAGATGTCATCCAGTCGGAAGACACGCCTCGGAATTCAAACCTTTCAGAAGTCGAACGTCCTTCGGGAATGGATTACGTTTGACTTCCGAGGTTCCACTGTATGTGCTTTGAAGTGGGTGTTTCTTTAATGCCCACACTCTCAAACTGCCTTCACTTTCGTACAATCCAACTTGTCAAGTCAACAGTGTGGACAGTACAGAAATGAAAGTGTTTTAAAGCTGAAATGGCTGGTGAAGCAAACTGTTCTGAGGTTACAGACAGAGGTACATAAAAATAGAGGACCCAGCACTCTTTGACCACTGCGTGGGGTGAGCTCAGCTTCCCTCCGCCTTTGCTCTTCAAATTATGGGGAATGCAAATTTTCTTGCCAGTTTTGGCCCTCTCCTGCATGCTTCTGGTATACGGTGTCTTTTTTTCTTACTACAGATATACAAGTATACAGTATCTGTATATATGTATATGTGTGTGTGCATGCACGCATGCATTAAAACCTGAGGCTGAAAGGCTGCTTTGGGGAGGGGAAGCTTATGATGTCACAGGTGCCCAGCCAGTCAACGGTCTGCACAGCTCCTTCTACTTCAAAGCAGTAAAAGTTATTTCCCCTGCACTTGGTCCTCAAGAGAATATCATCTGTGTGAGACAAGACCGGGGTGAGTCCACTTTCTACAACAGAGTGCGTCCTGTTTTTATGTAGATCTAGAGACTGTAGTTTGAGAGTGTAGCTGCAGTAGGCACACCCTAATAGTCTATGTACGCTTTGAAACGTTTGGCAATATTATCTCAGTTTAACTTGTCATACCTTCTTCCAAAAACTCCAGAGAAACACAGGGCTCATCCACAGGGTATTCTAACAGAGAATTTCCTCTGCTCTCACCAAACTAAGGACTTATTATTCACACTTCTGTTTGCCCCATGATTTCTAGGCAAGGGTCTGGGAGGTTTTTTCTTTAGTCTTGCCAGTTTCCCCAGGAAAACCTGCTGTTCACTGCTGAATCGGAACAAACGCCAGTTGGGTTTTCAGCAGATTGACTTTGTTCTGATTGGGCAGTAAACAGGGCACTTTGCTGGGGAAACCCACAAGACAAAAGAAAAACCTCTCAGATCCGTGCCTAGAAATCATGAGGCAAACAGATAAGTCCTTAGCTTGGTGAGAGCGGTGGAAATTCTCTGTTAGAATACCCTGGGCCAGTCTCACAGAACCACAGTTTTCAGGGATTCCAGTAAAGATGGAATGGCTATAAATGAAAGCAGAATTAAGCCTTTGCTTAGATGGTTCCACATGAGCAGTTTCCATAGCTGTGCCCGGATCCTGCCACAAGCCCATTGGCCTAAATGTCCCAGCAACCTTTGGCTACCAGGATATGACCCACCACTACCATCATCTCCCTTGTGAAAACAAATCCCTCCATATCCAGCTCCCTTTGGGAGCTTTCCCATCCCCGCAACCCCAGACCAAAAAGAAGTGGTCCTCAGCCCTGTCTGCATATGCACCCTCTACTTTGCAACACCAAGTAAGAATGACAGTAAGGATCAGAATGGCATGAGCGGTTGAAGCTGCATTTCACCCTTCCAATCCCATCTCTCTTTGAGTGGCCACAAAAGATGGTTCGGTCCCCAACACAGATGTTTTCCTCCCTCCCGCCCCCCCGCCCCCGCTCTCAGTAAAACATGAGGTTGCCACTGCTGGTGTAGCCCATTCAGGGCAGCCCCAGGAAATCTTAGCTTCTCCCCTGTTGTGCCAGGGGCTTGAGATGGCACGATCCAAATTGTTTCGGAGCTGGCACTTCCTCTGTTTAACTCAATAAAATGATGGTATCTCCCCACACCAAGGTAGAACCTGCATTTCTCATCCTAAGCCAGCGTGCATCTAGATCTATGGGGCCACGCAGATGTGTGCAGAGCTGGTGTTGTTCTCATGGTTCAACCGAGCCAACATGACCTCTTGAAGATGCTTTGAGGGTAGACCACGGCACTTCCTGTTCTATTAATGACTTCTGGAGTTGAAACGATGCAGGCCTCCAAGGTTCAATGTAGCGTGACCCATATGCCAAAGCTTTCATTCAAGATGGCTTCCAAAGTTGTTAAGAACCCAGGTTCCAGGGAAGGTGGTGTTGAAAACTGGTGCCCTTCCAAACCCTTTTTTAAAGAACTGCTTCACGGTGGCATGGCAGAAAGGCACACATTTTAATTCATCTCCTCGATGTCTTGAACCATCCCAATGCAGCAGGCTGGCTGGACCACTGTCCTTGCAAATATTAGTTTCATGCATCTCAAGCTAGAGACATCACTGAGGACAGCAAAGGGTTTCTGGGGCTGTCGGGCCTTTGAAGATGAGGTGCCTGGTGCTGACACAACCCAAACATCAGGGTGCTTAATTCTTCTAAGAGAGCAACTGGACTTGGCATGAACCGAAACAAAACCACCAGTGACAATGCTTGACATTAAACTGCTCTCTCGTTCTCACCCATTCAAGGTGGGACCCAGTGCCGGCAAGGCCTTACAGGGTATGCAGAGGATTCTCACCCCTTTCCCTCCAGGCCTTGGGGTCTCCGAATGGGCTGCTAGCACCCCGCCTACCACTGCTCCACCATTAAGTCTATCATGTGGTTGACGCCAAGGTCGGTTGAATCAAAGAAGTCCGTGCAGAAGATGCTGCCCCCAACAGGACTGGTGGAGCCGAGGCCTGATGCTGAGCCCGAGGTCAAGGCCTCTAGCCAATCGACCGGGTCAAATCCAGCACGGGCACCGTTTCCTTGCCAGGCATCTGGGGGAGATGGGGGCATCTCCAGAGAGTCAGGGGAGAAAACAGAGGACAGTGAGTCCAGCGACGCAGAGGAAGAGGAGGCCGTCGAGAGGAAGTCGTAGGGACCAGGAAAATCAAAGATGGCGGAGGTCACCAAAGGAGGTTCGCTGCTGGGCCGCGGTTTCTTTGGTGGTGACGCTTCTTGTGGGGATGGGGCAACTCGATCAGGGACTTCTGGGTTCAAGGCAGGTGCTTGAAGAAGGTCACCTGGAGCAGATGAGGAGAAACAGGAGATGAGGAGAAACAGATGAGGAGAAACAGGATATAACTCCTAACCCTGAGCTTGTTCAGATCTAAGCCGCACAACCTGTTTCTGTGTCAGGACTTTGCACTGGAAGGCATGGCTAACAATGGCTTTGGGCATGTGCAGAATGCCTGCCGCTCACCACTGAGTAACCAACAATCCTGCCCCACCTGTCTGGGGTTCGGGGGTTATATTTCCAGGGCAGAGAATGATTCTGAAGCAGGGCTTGGGAAAAAAAATGTATCATTGCCCCATTGGCTCCATTCTTGGAGCTTCTCCAATAGCAAATTGTGATTTACGGCTGCCCCCTACTGGTAAACTGGGTTACGGTGGCCATTTCCTCACCTGAACACATCAGCGGTTCCTCTAAGATATCTTCGATCGATTGGCTTGGCACCAGCTGCAGACAGGGAAGGAAAAAGACGAGCAGTTACAAAGGGATCCCTCAACAAGCCCAGCCATTCAGCCAGCTCCGGGGAGGGTCCTTTTTTGTACAGGGGTCTCCTATGCCATGATGAGTTTCAGGCAGGGGGTAAGCTCAATATGGCCTACGAGCTCATCCCATAAATTTGTTTTCAAGACTTCAGACTTGGAACATGTGGGATAATTATAATTAAAAAGGGGAAGAGTTCCTCGGTGCATGTGCAGAGGTTGAAGAAGCCCAGCTGGGCCTCCTCGCCCCACAGTACCTGAGCTTTCTGTATGGCTTCTTGGAGCTCCTCCTCCAGGGAACGGGTTCCTGGCGCTGGGTCCGGGGGGCTGGCTGTTATTTCAAGGGGCAGCTCCATATCAGAATTAATCGGCTCACAGGAGGCAGGGCACAAAACCTAGCAGGAAAATGGAGGAAATACAAAGTCTAGCGTTTTCTGCCCCAGACAAAAGCCCTCCCTGCTACCAGCCACACTGATGCTACCCAACCAGGGCTAAAGCGGACTTATCTTAAAATGTCCAATGCTCACTGGTTAGCAGCTCATTGGGTGATACGCCCCACAAGCCCCCAAACTAAGGCCTGCCACATGCATACGCATGCAAACATGTGCCTCTGTGGCAAGGATTTTTCTGGCCTAAGCCTTAGGGCTGCCAGCTGCTGACCTTTAATGTCTAAGTTATCTGAGGCAACAGGGAGACAATTTGGTTTTTGCCCCCACCCCTTGCTAGGAGACACCATTAGCAAAAGGGCCACCCCTACTTATTTGAGCAACAGCTTAAGGTGGGGGAACAAGCAAACCAGTACTCCCCTAGCAGATAAAGAAAAGCCCGGTTTGTTCATCTTAATCCTGGAAAAAACAAACATGCAGTTCATAGCACACAGCTCTGTATCAGCTTCTCTAGCCATAATGTTCTCTAGAACACTTGGGGGGTTTTGAATTTAGAGAACAGATGACAGCGGTGGGGGTGAGGCCATGGCATGTGGTGCGTATTATGCATGTTATGGAGAGAAGGTGTTTTTCTCTCTACCATAATACTAGAACTCAGGGTCACCCACTGAGACTGACTGGCAGTAGATTCAGGATGAAATAAAGGAAGTCCTTCACACTCACACAAATGCACAGTTAACTTACGGAACTCCCTGCCACAAGACGTGGTCATGGCCTTAAAGACTTTAAAAGTAGATTAGATAAATCCATGGCTTGTTCCGTGGCTATTAACCATGCTGAAGCCTAAGGTTGCAGCCTAAAAGGATGGAGTCTCCATGTTCAAATGCGCCTGAATCCAGTGGGAAGAGGGGCTGTTGCACTCATTTCCTGCTTCCCAGAGCATCTGGTTTGCTACCATGGGAAGCAGAATGCTGTGGACGTTCTTATGGCCCAGCAGCCCTCTAGAATTGCAAATCTATCTCCCAGCACTTTGCTCTAACCCACTGGGATAATCTCCTTCACACAGGCAACCCGGGAGGCCCCTCACTCTCTTTTAGATCAGCTGGAGAATGCTTGTTTGCTCACCATGAAGCCATCTTCTGTGCCTCCTCCCTCCTTGGCGCATTCTCTCTTGGGGATGTAGGGCGGAGGTGCCCCCTGCTGGCCGTGGGGCAGTAGTGCTCCCTTGCGGCGGTTCTTGATCCGTTTGTGCATCTCCAGCTCCACTCGGAGGTCGTCGTCGTGGTGTTTCTGCTCCCGGTGGAGTTTCAGCGCCAGGCTCTCAGCCACCCGCTGCTTCTCCCGCAGGGCCTGGGCCTCCTCCTCTAGGTCGGAGGGTGACAAGCGGGCACTGGAGAGCGGGACAGGTGGGGGCTTGGCCCTGGCCACCTGGTAAGGCTTGAGGCGCTCCAGCAGGGCTGGCTTGGTGCCAGAAACAGGGAGGCCCCGCTTCCGGAGCTGCTGGCGGAGTTCGGAGACCTGGGAATCAAAGCAGCGGCCAAAGGAAATTAAGGCTGGATCTACACTGATTGTAAAAACGCTATAAAAAACAAGCAATAATAGCTCTTAAGGCAATTTGCAATTGACGACGGATCGCTGCTCTACAGCACCCTCTGGTGTCACATTTTTATATTGCATTTTTAACATTATAACTGGCCTGTGTAGGTTTGCCCTACAAAAGGTACTACAGAATATTACACAAGACACCAGGAATGGTCAAGTGTCAGTCATGTGGGATCTACTTTGCTTTTTATAGGACTCTTCCTCACCTTGCAAGATCCGCCAACAGGAGCATGGTGCAAAAGACTGGCATTCAGCATTAAATAATTCTGAGCCCGGGAATTTGTTTTGAATGCCAGAATGGAACAGAGCTCACAGTCCTTCCATGCAGGCAACCCATTCCTGGTTTTCTTCCTCGCTTTTGCTATTCATCAGTATAATTTAGAGTGCAGGCCTAGGGGTCAATCTGTTGCAGCTATTGTTAAACAACTGACAAGTCAGGAAACCTTGCCGATCTATTGCAAATCACACAGCCTACTGCCCACCCCTAAAATGCACACAGTGTGTGTGTGTGTGTGTGTGTGTGGTATCGTTTTATTGTTGCATGTTCCCTTCCCTGAGCAATAAAAAGATCCATGACAGCACACTACCCAGGCTCCGCTTGCTCTAGATAATATTAATATTAACATGTGTTTATCAAGTAGGGGGATAAGTGAAGGCATGTGCAGCATGCACACTTTTGCCGGGTGGCAGATCTACAAGTCCCACCACATTAGATCCCCGGAGAGAAGCACCCAAATAAAAGCTAGAGATGCTTCAAGCCCTCAGTTAACTTAGATCTCTCTTCTCTTTTTCTGCCCCATTCTGTTTTCCTTTTGTTTGGAAGCAGGGAAGTCCAGCCCTTTAGGGAAAACGGGGCACTGCCCCACTGACCTTAGCCTGCAGAACTCAGCAAAGAGGAGCAGGAGGATGGGGGGGGCACAACTTAGTTATCTCTGCCTGTCCTTGGCTCTAGCTCCACCTGCTCCTGGCCTCTCTGACTGTGGCACCAGACGCCAATATTTGGGAGAGAATGTGTCTCCCCTTCCAAGCTTGGATAGTTCCTGGGCCACTCACCAAGAATCTGCCAGATGAAAGGAATGGCTGGTCAGCAGCCTTCAAGGGGTGGTTATGACGGGCAGGTGAAGTTGCACATACTCTGCAGTCTCATCTTAGAAGATCAGGAATTACCAACGGGTATAATTCAAGGATGGAAGCTTCCCCAGAGTTCCCTGCCTTCATTTCATAACTCCAGGTGTCCATCTTTCTTTCTTTCTACATATCTTTCCCCCGCTACCATTTTATTTCTTGGCTTTTGCTTGCTTTTGTTTTTTAAAGTCCTAAAGTCTAAAGTGGCTTCCTAACAAAAAATAAATAAAGCAACCACCACCAAATAAAACAGAATCGGCAGTAAGCCGTGGGAAAATACCATTGAAACTACAGCTCTAAAATCAAAGGCAGCTTAGGGTTAAAAAGAAAAATAAAGTCTTGGTCTGGTGCTTTATTCTAATCACTAGTGCAGGGACCAGTCCATAATCGGGGCACCAGTACTGAAAAAGCCCTTGCCCCCTCCTCACCACTTCGGGTGAGGAGTTTTTAATGTCTGGCATTTTATTATGTTTTTATATGTTTTGGAAGACGCCCAGAGTAGGCAGGGTATGAATAACAAAGTTGTTGTTGTTGTTATCTCGGATGGCAGAGGGCAATCAGAGACAGGGTTTTGGATGCGGATCTTAACTCATGGGCAGGTGGTTCATGGGAAAGGAGGAGGCCTGTCCTCCTTCTAGGTGGAGAGCCTCAGGCGCGGGTGCAAATAAAGCCCTCCTGTCTTCTCCCTTTGGCCCATGGCAGTTCCCTCTAGGCCAGTCCCTTTGGCCCTGCTCTGCCCCTTCCCAACAAGAGCTTGTGCCTGGCTGGACTGTGTCCTTGCACTCTGATAGTGCCTCTCGCTCACCTGGATGGAGGGGGGTCGGGGGTGAGATTATGTGAAGAGACCTCTGGCTTTTGTGTGTAGCCTGCTGAAGAAAGGAGCAACATCCATTGCTCTGCCTGCTTGCTGCCTCTGCCCACCCACCTTTTGTCCCTGGCCCCGCCCACCTTGCCCATGTGGCCCTCAGAAAGTTGCCCCCTTGTGCTGACGATTATGTGCCCCTCCTCTAGATCTTCCCATCTAACCAGGTTCTTTGGAAGCAACAGAACTGCTGAAGCGGTTATTTGCAACCGGACTTGATTTGCAGAAACCATCTCCGAGAGCGGAATTCCGCCCACGCGGAATCCGATGTATGATGGCTGGGAGTCCTCCAGCCCCAACTCACCGTTAGCTCCTCCAAGTTGGCAGGCAGCAGTTCCGGTTTGGGCGGCGAAGGGGAGGTTGGCGTGGCTGGAGAGGGGAGAGGGAGCGGGTGAGGCCCACTTGGTGGCGCAGGCGTCCCAGCGAAGCTCAGGACCTGCTCTGGAGCACTGCTGGGCAAAGGGAGAAAAGAGAGGTGTTGATGCTGGGTTTCCCCATCCCAATCTTCTCTCCAGCCTCGCTAGTGTGCTTTTGTCTCAGGAGAGCATTCCCGGAAGCAAAACACCTTACCTGGCTGGGACAGCGTGCACGGCTCGGACACAGAAGGTGGCTGGCGACGTTGGCGTGGGCTGCTGCTGGCTCATGATCTGGAGCTGCAAGAAGACCTGCTGCTGCTGGAGGACGCGGGCGTAGGCTGCATCCATGGGCACCGGCGCCTGCTCCCCCTTCTGGTCGGGCGGCATGTACTGGTGGTACTTGAGCTTCTTCACTTTGGGGCGCGGTTCCTTGGCCTTCTTGGGGCGCGGGGGCTTCCTGGCCTCAGGGACCTTGGATGGGGCCTGTGGGAGGCATCAAAGTGTGTGAAAGAGAGCAGGAACGGGACTCTCAAAAGACAGTGGTGCATAGTGGTTAAAGCAGGGGGGCTCTCTAGAGCTAGGTAATGCTGCTACCTTGGGTTCCCCCCACACCGTTCTTGGGCCTTCAACACACGGGTTAGCAGCAGAGGAAGAGGCCAAGAACCAGCCTTCAACTGAACAGCCACAAACATCTGACTCTGTCCTTATGCAGGAGCAAAGGTAGGGGGTGAAAACCAGCCACCTGTTTGTTTGTTTTTTTGCATTGGGTTATATAGATTCACTTCTTTATTAGCCTCCCAACTAAAGTAGGGATGTATAAAAGGCAGAAATATTCAAGAACCCTCAGAACAGGTTTTGTATGGCAGCAGCGCAAATGCCAATAAAACCATTTCAGTCTGTGAAAAGCAATAAGGCAGACTTAGCTGGGCACCTGAATGGCAATGAAGACAGCAGCGGACATGTTTTCCCCTGAGGGTAGCTGTGGGATGTAGTCGCTGCCGTCGCCACCAGTAAGCCTTGCGCTCTCCCAGAAACCTTTGCTCACTTTTTCCTATGTGAAAATCGGCGGGGTGAGGAGAAGAAGTTCCCCAACAGCTCTGTTCAAAATAGGCAGCTATCTGGATTCGGCCTGCAATTCATCCTGCACCAATTCATCCTTTTCTCTGATAAAAGACAGAGCAGTGGACTTCTGCTTCCTCCCCAACCTCCCCCCCCCCCCGCCCCCGTTCCTGCTCTTGATTGTCTCTACCTTGAGGAGTGAAACGGAGGGCTTGGCAAGGGGGCTCCCCCCTTGGGGAGGGAACTCAGCCTCAGAGGTGGATGAGGACACAGGAGGCAGCTGTTGATCCAGGATCGGAGGGAGGTCCAGCTGCAGGGAGAAGAGGGAGAAAATGGAGCCCAAGTACCCTCCTAGCTCCCAACTCCTTCTCTAAACTGGCAGCCCCCAAACTTTCCTTTCCTATAAAGCCAAGCCTCCTTCTCTTCTGAGAGTTAAGCTTTCAGCTTTCCCATCAGCTGGCATGCCCCAGTTTTCCCTCTTGTGTATAATTTCAGCTGAGAAGGAGAAGACCTGCAGCAGTGGGAACAGCGAGAGGCAATGCTTCTGGGCAGAAAGTGGGACAGGGCTATAAAGCATCAAAATCGAGATGTGGAAAATATGGAAACAATGAGGAGAGGCAGGACTGAGATGTGGAGATATGCTTCAGAGATCCAAATTGTGGGGAGCTCCGAAAAATTAATAATTATAATTTGGTGTTTTTATTTTAATTGGAGTATTATGATTGGAAATATTAATTGGATGTTTTTTATTGGAAAATCAATAAAAATGATTAAAAAAAGAAAGTGGGACAGGGCTTTGAAGGAGGTGGTAAGGAGCTGGGGAGTCGACGGGGGCTGGTTTGCTATACGGCACCTGCCCACCACGTCCAGCCTTAAAACCCTACAGTCTGTCCAGAAGCCTAGAATGGGAATTCTTTGGCATGTGCACAAAGACGTACGAAATCTAACAGCAGTTGAGGACAGGGTGCTGGACTAGATGGGCCTGTGGCCTGACCCAATAAGCTCGTCTTGTGCTGAATGCAATCTTGGGGCGGTGTGGAGGCCGGGGGAGAGCACAGCACACAGGCAGTGCTGGCTTCAAGATTTGGGCAGTGTGGAGGATGGAGGGGCTGAGTGCCCAAATAGCACCTCAGAATAACCTCTTCAGAAAAGACAGGCAGCATTATTTGTTAATACTGGGAGTACTAACAGTCACGTTACAACCAAAGGTCAGAGTCATTATTCCCAGAATTGCTGCCCTGGAACAATCTTTCTCTCTCTCTCTCTGCCTCCAAAGGCTTCTGACCTCCTCAGTGCCCCCAGCCCTCTCTAGAACCAGGAATAATTTTGGAGTGTGTGTGTCCTGTGTGAAGCTGGGGGAAGCCAATGGTGGTGTCAAAGGTTTTGGCTTCTAAGCGAATCAGAAATGACTCTTGGGGTGCAGGATTCTGTCCTTCCATCCCTGCCACTTTAGGCCTCGGTGGGTCGCACATGTAAGGGTTTGTTGGAGTGGTAATTGAGGTACTGAAAGTGGCAACTCTAACCTGAAACTACCCCCCCCCCACACACACACAAGAGCAGCAGACGGGCAGCAGGCCTAGTTATGTTAACTTCTAATTAATTCTGCTGTGTATAATTTTGAGGGGGGGGTATTATTGTGTCCTGCAAAAGGGGAAAAGAGGCCAACCCCTCACAATTCACTCATCATTGTGATTCTTACGCCCTGCAATATTCAAACATGTCCTGTAGAGGGCAGCACAACCACATCATATACAGTGGTACCTCAGTTTAAGAACGATTTGGTTTACAAACTCCGCAAAACCGGAAATAGTGTCTTGGTTTGCGAACTTTACCTCGGTCTAAGAATGGAATCCGAACGGTGGAAGGGCACCAGCGGTGGGAGGCCTCATTAGGGAAAGCGCACCTCGGTTTCAGTTTTGGTTTAAGAACAGACTTCCGGAACGGATTAAGTTCGTAAACCGAGATACCACTATATATTTATTTTACTTACTTGGAAAGAGAGATATTATAAATTATTTAGATTGATTGGTTGATTTTACAACTTTGCTTTTCCAATATTTACAACCCTTCATATTTCAGAGTGTATGTACAGTGGTACCTCTACTTACAAACGCGATCTGTTTTGGGGTGCTGTTCGCACCCCAAAAAGTCTGTAAATAGAGCGCCACTATTGCATGTGCACGAAGCGTGATAGAGAAGCACGGCGAACCTGGAAGTAAACACTTCCGGGTTTGCCGCATTTGTAACCTGAAAAGTCGCAACGTGAAGCAAATGTAACACGAGGTATGACTGTAAAGGTAAAAGGTAAAGGGACCCCTGACCATTAGGTCCAGTCGTGGCCGACTCTGGGGTTGCGGCGCTCATCTCGCTTTATTGGCCGAGGGAGCCGGCGTACAGCTTCCGGGTCATGTGGCCAGCATGACTAAGCCGCTTCTGGCGAACCAGAGCAGCGCACGGAAACGCCATTTACCTTCCCGCCGGAGTGGTACCTATTTATCTACTTGCACTTTTGACGTGCTTTGACGTGCTAGGTGGGCAGGCGCAGGGGCCGAGAAACAGGAGCTCACCCCGTTACGGGGATTCGAACCTCCACCTTCTGATCGGCAAGTCCTAGGCTCTGTGGTTTAACCCACAGCGCCACCCGCATCCCTGGTATGACTGTACTTGGACGTAAATTCATGAATGAAACTTGGACTTCAAGATTACTCCACTTCTTTTGTGAATTCACTAGGCCTTTTTGACAACCCAGTTTGTCCAATGTATTTCTGTGTGGACCTGGGCCATAGGCCACGGGAGGTGTGGGTATCAAGGGGTGTTCTTAACAAAAGTGTGGAGACCGCTCAATAAGGAGGCAAACCTAACACCTCAGGAGCCATTTCTGGCCAATCTGTTGTACAAGCCATGCTACCACCTCACTTCACATGAAACTCCCAAAAGGGTGAGAGGCAGTGGTGGCTAGTAACTATTGGAGCTGACGAGGTGGTGATGAACAACTAATGGCCCCATTTGCCCTGCACATTTAAAGCAGTACCTTGCCACTTTAACAGTCATGGCTTCCCCCAAATAATAACGGGAAATGCAGTCTGCCAAGGGTGCTATGTGGAGGCGCCCTATTCCTTCACAGATGCTATTCCCGGGGAAATCCAGGAATCGCAGCTCCATGAGGGAATTGGGATTTCTAACAGCTCTCAGCACACTTAACCAACTACAGTTCCCAGAATTTTTGGGGGGAAGCCGTGACTCTTTGCAGTAGCATGATATTGCTTTAAAAGTATAGTGCAGATGGGGCTGGAGTCAACTTATTCTGGTCCTCCCCCCTTCCTCCTCCCTTTCAAAGATGCAGTGCTCACTTAAGCAATTCTCAGACACGAGAATCAGATATTTAATACTGAGAGGGAAAGCTGGACACTTACAAAATATTACATTTCCAGGAGTATTCACCAAGCGCCCTGTTCTTATCCCCTGTTCCCCTTTCATCTTATGTCTCTTCAGCATGTACAGGTGAGTTCTACGCAGTTGCTTACCTGAAAGGCCGCCGTTGCGGTGGAAGGGTTCCCATGGGCACTTCCAGGAGATAGTGCAAAGCAGGGGGAAGAGGAGGAGGAGGAAGAAGAAGAACTACTGAGATCTTCCTCAAAGGTGAAGGAATCAGGAGCAGCAAGAGTTGCATCTGCAGACGTTTTGAGTGAGAGAAAGGAGGGGCAGCATTAGTATAGCAGGGTAGAAGAAACAACTGTTGTTGTTTCTCACATAATTTTCACACCGTTGTTAGTTTTTCACATCGTGAAATCCAGGGATGACTTAGGGGCCTATTCCATGTCATTTGCCCAAGTGCAAGGATACCTAGTTCTGGCCCTAATCCTAAACATGTGCCCGGAGGACGAGGGCGGGGCAGGTGGACAAGCAAACACACACAAACACACCATTGTCTTTGTCACCTTCAAACTTGTGGAAGGTGGCTATCTGCAGCAGGGAGCCTGTTAACAGAGTCTCCCCTTACATTTTAGAACCCTGGAAAATCAAGAGTTCTAGAAGGTGAGTCCCTGTGTATACAAAAGGCTCCTTGGTGCGGAAGCTCACCATCCGTGAGCTGGAAGGCAATTGAGAACTGTGACTGGGTAGAGCTTGTTTGCTTATCCTTGCAGCCTGGCCCTCGCCCCCAGCCACACATGTTTAGCTGATGCATTGCCTGAGGAGGGAAGGAGGGTGATTTGATGGGTGTTAACAGAGCAGCAATTGGAACCCTACTCTGCACACATTCCATCCAAGGAGCCGAGAAGTCCCAATTAGGCAGCCCTTTTGCAAACCTTTTGCAAAAAGCTCCCCCAATTTCCACCATGTTTCTTCTCATAACAACCTCACGCTGTCAGTATTCCCATTTTGCAGATGAGAACAAGGCGAAAGGCTGTGTGCCAAGCCTGGGACAGAAGCAGGATTCAAACCCACTTTTCCATATTCAGCTCCCTAGCCCTCACTGGAATTTGCTCTATCCTGTTACAATCCCTCCTGCTGGGATTGCGCCAGAGTCCAAGAGCTTTCTATTAGGACCTGCCCCTCCATAAACAGCCACTGGATCCCTCCTCTCTCCCAGGCAGGATTCCCCGTTTCCACTCCATGAGACAGGAGGATTCCCCAGTAAGGAGAATGCCAAGTCAAGTCCTTACCTGCCATAGCATCCTTGATACCTGGATCCAGGGAGAGGATGTTTTTCTTCACCAGCTCAAGTGGTCCAGGGCGGTGTAGGATCTTCTCACTCAGGTCTTCGGCCAGGCGAGCCTTCTTGTCCTGCAGCTCAGAAGGGTCCCCCGGAGACACTGCAGTGAGAAGAGCAACTATCAGAAGAGCAGGCTTGTGGGATCAGGCAAGAGGACCCTGCAGTCCAGAATCATACCTCCCAACAGGAGCCAGCCAGATATTCCTGGGGCAAACTCTGCAAACAATGTTTGAGGGATGTAGTCATCCCCTGGGGTGACCTGGAAATCCAGTCGGAAATCCAAGGTCCATTTGCCTTATTTCCACATCAATTTGTGATTTATTTATTTTTAAAAGAAGTCCGCGGAAAAATAATATGCATATTTCTCCTAATGTGTGCATTTTAAAATGCTACTTTGCCTAATATTTTGCAAACAATTTCCCCTAATGTAATTTCTGTACATTCTTTTTGCTAATTTGTGTGTTTTTGCACACACTTTCCTCCTAATGACATTCATTTTATCTGCTCCTTTTGGTTTGCGATCTGCACCGCAAAATTCAGAGAAGCGCTGTAAGTCCTGGAAGGCCTGCTTCTTGCCCTGCTTCTTGCCCTTGCCCTTGCCCTTGCCCTTTCCCACCAAGCCTGGGAGGGCAAGGCCAGGACAGACTCCAGCTACGAAAGTTGAGGCTGCAGAACAGATTCTTGAGCTGCAGTATTACTTAGGGGTTGTTCTTGCTGTTATTTATATTAATTTTTTGTATCTTTATTTTAGACCTGATTATAATTTATGTGGAAATTGTTTTGTGTATTTGTCTATTTTTTGATGTCTTACTTATTGTTTATGACTATTTTTGTTGTAATTATGTGTTTTTTCATGTTGTGAGCATGGTTTGATTTGTGGGAAGGTGGCATACAAATGAAATGATGTGTGTATGTATGTATGCATGTATGAATTTCAAACAATAGCTGCATTTGGATGAATTAGGCAGGCTCACATTAAAATATAAGCCAAACCAAATGCTTCCTAGGCAGAAGTTGCCCCTTACCTTCTGACAGCTGGCCCTTAGCAGTGCTGGTCTTGTGGGGCCGGGGTGAGACTTTCAGCTTGGCAATCTCATTGGCCTGAGGAGAAAGAAGCAGAGGAATTTTTAGCATCCTTAGCCAGGCGCTCAGGTAGAAGAGCTAGGAGGCATCTTTTGCTCACTTAGGCTCTGGAGAACCACCGCCAGTCAGAGTTATGCCTTCCAACTTTTTTCATACCCAGGAAGACCCTACTTGAATTGCAACCCCGCAACATGGAATCCACGTTTAATTTTTCAGCTATGCACGCCCATGGCTAATGCATAGAAGAGGGAATTTTGGTAGCTGCAGCTTGCGGGACTAAAATAACAAAAATCTGCACACACACACCCTACAAAATGCCATTTTTAAAACATTAAAGTCCAAAATGCTTGCCTTCCATTGCTTCTGCTCTCTCTCTCACACACACCTCTCTATTTTTGGGCTGGGCTGCCTCCAGGCCTGAGCAAAACAACCACTAGCAGTGGCTCTCTTCTTCCAGTGGTGGGATATAAATGCAGTAAATAAATAAATAAAATTAAAAAGCACCTGCCAATTTACATATGCCTCTGCTGCCGTGCATAAATTAGTCATATACCACACTGTGATTAATATATTTTTATGTCTTTTTATTTTACAATAAATGGTGGTGGGTTTTGGTTTTTTGTTTGTTTTTTTGCATTTGAAAGTTTGGTCTGGACCACGTTCCTGCTTGCACACGACACTCAGGTGCACCCAGAGCAGTGGCCTCTTGCTTCCTGCAAAAAGAAGTCGCTCCTCGCTGGGAGATGGATGCTTAATAGAGTCAGTGTCTGTAGGGTTCTCTACAGATTTTCCTTCTGTAACAATGTTTGTAATCGTACTTTGTTTTTGTCTCTTCTTTAGTTGCCAGGCTAATAATTTCCCACATTTATTTGCAGATTCAAAATTTCTTTGTCTCATCCTTCTTATCTTCCATTCAATTTCTTGATTTACTAACTGTGAATATTGAACCTGTAGGGCTTTAATTTCTTTTTGGATCTGCAAATTCTTTGGGTTTCCTCTAAGCTTCTTCTCTTTATCTTTCAGTTGTTCCATAATTTTATCTTTTGTCTCATTCTGTGACTTTCTCCTAATTGCATTTTGTTGTCTCAGAAACCCGCTCATTACCGCTTCGCTGGCTTCCCAAATCACCCTTATTTCCGTTCCTTGATTCATATTGAGTTCAAGATAATCCTTTAGGGTTTTTTGGGACTCACTGACAATTAATGAGCTTCTCAGCAGATCATCATTCATTTGCCATCTGAAGGAACCCTGAACAAACATTTTCAGGTCCATATGGGTGCTTAATAGAGTCAGTGAGCAGTGGACCGTCACAGAGTACCATCAGACAATCGTAGCGCATTATTCAAAGCCTTGAGCCCAGCTGGTACTCACCCTGTTCTGGCCCTGGGTCCCATTGGGCTGCGAGAAACTTGCAAGGGGTTTGTTGAGTGCTGGAGGGATGATAAAGGGGAGCATGTTAGCAAACTCTAGAAGAAACTGCCCTCCCTGTTGATTTTGGCCTGCCACTCTGTTGTTGCTAGTCCATAAAGAAACAGAAAAGAAAAGAAAAGTGGCAACCTTCTCTCAAGGTTAGAAGACCCGCTCTTCTTTCCTTAGCACCCACCCACTCCTTCATCCATGCAGAAATACCCTTTGCAATGTGACTCCCTTCACTTTTTGCAAAGGGGTGCGAGGGAGGGGCTCACCTGGGAGTAAGTGGCGTTTGGAGAGCTGCTCTTGGGACCGCCGGTGTTCCATGCGCAGCTGCAGAACTGTAAAAGAGGTAACAATATATGAATAATGGTAATTACTTTATTCGTCTCAGCTAACTCTTAAATCATTTGGTGCTACCCACCCTAAAATGAAGCCAATAATTGATACCGTATATAACTCCAGATTACTGATGTTGACAAATTTTGTAATCACTTGGGCTGAGAGTTGTTAGGAGATTCCTATTCACCGCCCAGAGCTAACAACTCTCACTACTCTTAACAAACTACAGCACTCAGAATTTGTTGGGGAGGGGGGAGATCCATGGCTGTTTAAAGTAGGATCACAGCGCTTTAAATGTATGGTGCAAATGTGAACAGGCCTATTTGCCCAGCTCCTACTACTCAGCTGCATTATGAATCTAGCACTGTTTCCCCCAAAAGTTCTTCTCTGGCTCAGAATGCGCAGTTAGATTCTTCAGGGGTTTGTAAATCCCAAGATCAGTATTCAAACAAACTGTTGCTGCAATCGCTGTACAGTCATACCTCGGGTTACAGACGCTTCAGGTTGCGTTTTTTCGGGTTACAGACGCGCCGAAACCCGGAAGTACTGGAATGGGTTACTTCTGGGTTTCGGCGGTCACACATGTGCGGAAGCGCTAAATTGCTCTTTGTGCATGCGCAGAAGCTCCGAATCGCAACCCGTGCATGCACAGACACGGCGCTGCGGGTTGCGAACGCTGCGGGTTGCGAACATGCCTCCCGCATAGATCACGTTCACAACCTGAGCGTCCACTGTATTATCTTTAGAAATGAATGATTCGCTGTGGTTGTGCTTTGATACGCACCCCCTGCTCTCATCTGGTTGTGAGCTGCTTTGGCAAGCCCGTGTGGAAGGGCAGCCTACAAATTAAAGTAAATAGCTACTACTACTACTGCCACCACTAACTAAAGCCTGCAGCTTTGTAGACGTATGCACAACATTTCTTTGCTGTCAGCCTACTTCCTCTCAGTTAAACCTTTAACTACTTATTGTGATTACCAGCAGCTCTCCTCCACAGCTGATGCTGAGAACTATAGCTCCCAAGGGGCAGTGCAGAAAAGTGAAAATGCACAGCACAACCATTACAAGGGCAGGAGGGAGCCCTTGGGAAACAAATGAAGGTGGGGGGCGGGTTGAGTGTGCACAAAGGACGCGTGCAATTATCCACTCCTGAAGTGAAGGGAAAGGAGTTTGCACTCGTTGTGGTTTGAGATTTTAAAGTGACAAATAAAAGCAAGCTAGGGAATACATGTTAGGCAGAAATAACTAAAACAGATTACACCATAGAATTAAGGTCTTTTGTGGCTTTAATCTGATTTCAAACTTGCAAACCAGCAAGGATCAAGATGCTCTGGAGTCTCAAATGTTCAGTCCAGCAACCAGCTGAAATATTGGGTGCTACTTTGCTTTATCTTTGACAACTGTTACTTATTCAGAGCTTGCTCCAGAGAGTGGCAATGCTGGGCATTTGCTGGGGCCTAAAGAGCAGCAGAAGGCTCAACGCCCTAACACTGTTACAATTTCCAGAGAATATCCAATAAGATCAGATGCAGCCAGAGAATTTTCTTATCTCCCACCTCTTCCAGATTAGGGGCCACCAGTGAGGGCGCCATGCCCAGAGCCCCCCAAATCCTGGTACTAGCACAGTCAGTATTTATGTATACTGCATCACAGTACACATGATGTTACACAGGTAAAAACAGACAGATCGCTGGCCCCAAGAAACTTACAATGGGAGATATGAGGGCAGGGATGAAAAAATGTGGGTGCTGCAGTTGGGACTAAGGAGAAAAGTTAAAGGTCTATGGACAGGTACTTTTTGAGGAGGGGTCTGCAGGAAGGCAGGGAGGCGGCACAACATTTGATTCTGGGGAACTCAAGACTGTCCACAGTGCATTGAATGAGATTTGAATGGAGTAGGCAAGATCTCTGTTGACTTGAAGAAATTGAGGGAAACTGGATTGGAGAAATCACCCTATTCAACAACCCAGGATGCATCCAGGTTTGCAAAGGCGTGAGGCAAGGTAAGGCAACACAATGTTCTCTGGAATTGCTTTTCAATAAAACAAACTGAGAACAAAATGCATCAAGCTTTTACTGACTGCTGTATGATACTGGGTAATTATACTGTGGAATTGGAAGGGGAAATTAAACGGGGGGGGGGGAGAGAATCACATACTGGCCTGGAAATGAATATATAAAAATGAAATGGATGCAAATTAAGTATTGCCCAGAAGCCTCTATTTAAACAAACAATGAAAAAATTGAAAAACTGGGAATTACATCTTGTTTGACCAACAAACGACTAAATCCAGCCCTTTTGGAGGCAAATCCAAGCATCAGAAGAAAGGTCTGCCTTAACGGAATAAATTCATAATTACTTGTCAATGAATGGCAAAATGAAAGCTAAAGGAGAAATTTACAACTCAGCACTGAAACCTCCTGTGGATCTATGCCATATAGTGTGGTGTAGAAGTCTGTTATATCTATGGTTGGTTGACAACATTAGCTGATGTAGTATGACAACGTTAACTCGTACATAAAGAGCTGTGGAATGATATATGCACATAATGTTTCTTTGTTCCCATATGCCACGGGAGAGACGTGACAGGGGATTGGTGTAAAAGAGCTGCAATACGAGGCCATCTATGATATCAAGTGTAGAAGGGCCAGCTATTTGGTCTGCCAAGCAAGACAACAGGTGGACTTTCCCACCGTACAGAATAGATTCCCAGGGATCAAGTGCATCCCCTTGGCAGAAATAAAATGTGATGAGGTGATCCAATGACGAACCCGTTTGGTTCCCAGTGGAAACAACATGCTCAAGATGGAACGGAATGGTGAGGCGATTCTGTACATTCATGGAGGAGGAACGAACGAGGAAGAGCCAGATAGAATTAACTTAGGAGGCTCTGATTTGGACAAGGACAAGAGCAAATCTGCAACCTCCTTGGTTTACTCTGCCTCTTTTACTCCCAACAGTGGATATGTGCCCCTTAGCATAACAGAGTTAATGTTTTCCAGTATTTGAGTTCTTCATTTGTTATCTAGTGTCCATTTACAAAGGGCAATTGAATGAGCGATGGGGCAAATCCTTAACCATGGCAGTTTGACAAGGTATAGGCAAAAATATTTTTCCAGGCATCGTTTGGAATCTAAATGTTTGATGAGGGCAATAATAATAATAATAATTACAAAGAAGTTACTCAAAAAACATGCACCAAGGAAACATGGAAGGCATAATCATACGACAAACTGTTCTAATTGGCATGCTCTCTCACTTACCCTGCACAGACAGAGGGTGGGGGTGGGGAACCTGGGAATTATAATTTTTGCACGGACGTTGAGAGTTCTCTGTAAGTGTCCCCCACATCACAGGGAACCAGGTAGAGCTGGGAGGCTTCTTGACACACTTTAAAGCAGGTGTAGGGAATATTCTTCAGTCCAACGGTCACATTTGCTTTTGGGCAACCTTCCAGGGGCCACATGCAAAGTGATGGGCAGGACCAGGGGCAAAAGTAGGTGGAGAAAGAAATGCAAATTTTGCCTGTGTACAGTAGGCTGGTTTCAGCACGCACTCATATACCTATCTCCATACAGCCAAGCAAGAGGCATTGTTCAAGGACACATTCCAACCAGGGGAAAACATTTGAGAAGGGTGCAAAGTGAAGGCAGTGAGGGGTGTGGCCTGGGGGAAGGGTGTGTGGCCTGGAGACAGCCCTGAGGGCCAGGTGAGAGGCCCAGAGGGCCACATTTGGCCCCTAGACCCGAGCTTCCCCACCCCTGTTTTAGTGCTATGACCTATGCATCAAATGTCAATTAATTTAACTGGTAGTAATTCTGCCCCTTTCTCCACCCAGAATCTTTAAAGAGGCCAGGAAGTTGGGACAGAAATTTCAGCATACTTAGAAAACTGCAGCTCCCACTGTTCACTGGGAAGGGAGCCGTGGCAATTTGAAATGGAAAGTGAATCAAGTAAGCCAGACCTGGACTACAGTCACACCACACATATCATATCACCTTAAACAATCATGGTATCACCCCCCCCCCCCCAGAATTCTGGGAGCTGTAGTTTGTTATGGGTGCTGATAAGTTATTGGGAGGCCCCTATTCCCCTCACAGATCTACAGTTCCCAAAACTCCATTTGAAGAGGGATTGACTGTTAAACCAGTCTGATAATTGTAGCTCTGTATGGGGATTGTCGGGGTCACCAGCACAGAGGCACAACTATAAAATAAGTCCAAATGCACCGGAAACTTAAATTAGTCTTGCCACCCCCAACCTTGGAACAGAAGCAGTTTTCAGGGCCCTTTAAAAACAAACAAACAAAAGCCATGTACCGTATTCTTCGCTCTATAAGATGCACCAGACCACAAGACGCACCTAGTTTTTGGAGGAGGAAAACAAGAAAAAAAATATTCTGAATCTCAGAAGCAAGAACAGCAGGTGGGATCACTGCGCAGTGAAAGCAGCAATCCCTCTTGCTGTTCCGGCTTCTGGGATAGCTGCGCAGCCTGCACTCGCTCCATAAGACGCACACACATTTCCCCTTACTTTTTAGGAGGGAAAAAGTGCGTCTTATAGAGCAAAAAATACGGTATATAAGCCCACAGAAATTCAAATGTTGCTGCACTGGGGACATCGCTGGGAAGGATAACCTTGTCCAAGGAAGAACACCAAAGGGATATGGCTGAGCGGGTGAGCCCTCCCCTTGCTTTGCCGTCAAACAGTAGGCACGTCATACCTTTGGAGGGTGGGACTGCTGCAAGCGTTTCTATTCCTGTGCTCACTTCTCTCCTGCCTGGGCATTTGTCCCGTTGTCAGCAGCAGCTGGGGTGACGCCACTCGCTATTTATTTAAAAGGCTGGAAACACAAGATGCTCCAAACTCCCAGGCCAGAGGCTGGCTGCAAGGACTGCTTGCGGGGAACCCACCACCAAACTGCAGACCCTCCAAGTGCCCCTATTTTCCAGGGACACCCCAAATTTACAGAAGCCGTCCCAGTTTTTGATTTGATTGCGGGTACCACTTTTCCTTAGGATGTTCCTATTTTCATCGGAGAAATGTTGGAGGGTATGGAGTTATGTGACCTCAGAGCCAAGGAGATGATACAACTTTTAGAAGACACCTGAAGGCAGCCCTATAGACTTTTATTATGGTTTTTATACATGTTGCCGCCCAGAGTATTGTTATTATTATCAATATTATGGAATAGGATGTCCCTATTTTCTTTTTTCTTTGAGGAAATGTTGGAGGGTATGCAAATACTCAACATGAGGGGCAGGACATAGGGGCGTTGAGTGTTTCACCACTTTGGGGAATTGTAGCCAGTTCCAGGCCCTCAATATGAGAACCTGTGTACACTCCACATACTGTACTTAAAGCATCCTGGGGGTTGTTTTAGGGCCAGTTTCCCCCCTTTTCTAGTCACTTCCAGGTTCAGTGTGATGTTTGCGTTGCAGTCACACACATATTGAATGCACATAAAATGGTTGTTGCCTGTAATCAATACACTGATTGAATGTAAAACACATTTTTGCATCAGTGCTTCACTGTAGGAGCCTTTTTGAGAAACCGGAGGAAGCAGGATAATTTACAAGTTAAGAAACAAAAGCTGCCACTGCACATATACTATGTAAAAGAATGAAAGTTTACTACCCCAGCCTTCTCTCTCCTTCTTCCCCAACCTTATACTGTATATAATATCGAATATCTGCATAAAAGATTCTATGAACGGAAAACTGAGGCATGGTGTGTACTTCTGTACTTCAAGAAAATCTTTGATAAAAACAATTTTTAAAAAAGTTGTCACACATTATTCCTGTGACTGTACTCTGTTTTTAACTGTTTCTAATTCTAAATTGTTGCAACCTACCCTAGGACCTGCTGGTGAGGGGCTAGTAGTAGTAGTAGTAGTAGTAAGTATTATTTAGGGGCAGGAGAGATCATATTTTTCATTATTGTTATTATTCCCTAGCACCAGAACCAACACAGCCACTAATACACAAGGAAACAAGTGTCCCTGAATGCTCAGTGGGCCCTCCATGATTAAAAATGGTCCCTGCAAAAGCTTTAGCAAACCTACCAATTAAAAGCAATGTTGATTTTCGTATGTCCATAAGTATTGCACAAGCAGGAGCTATATGTGTGGAGAAATTACGAAGGGTGGTTTGTCATAGGAAAGAAACATGTGAAACTCAGAAAAACACCATAGTTGCCACCGAGGAATGCCTATGATGCCACAGGCAGGTTGACTGATTACTTGGACTGGCTGGGCCTGAACAAAATGGCTGCTGGACGCCAGGGTTAGGTTGTGAGGTACCAACGGAATGGAAACGTGACAAGTGGTCGTGAGGAAGAGCATGACCCTGGTCCTTACAACTGACTCATCTGGCTGTCACACACCATACATTTAAAGCAAATGATTTTCCTCAAAGAATCCTGGGAAATGTAGTTTGTTATGGGTATTGGGAATTGTAGCTTTGTGAGGGGTTGCTCTGTGCTGCACTGTGCTTCCCATTCCCCAGTCTGGTCAAGCAAGTGGTAAAGTGACACATTTATTGGCTGGGCAGGGGGAAACCTTAAAAGCATTCCTTTAAAAAAACCAAAAACACAACCCTTTAGATTTGAAGGTAATCCAGAAATATTCAGAATCAGGGCTGGTCCTCTCTCTGTTCTGCCTTAGGTACCTCCGCCTACATAGATAGGCAATGTTGAGTTGCCAGAATTAAACTCTGTGCATGTTTAGAGGCACTCAGTCTAAACTGATGCAGTTTTTGAAAATTGAATATGCCAGACCTTCCCTTCCTTCACTCAGCCGGTGCACAAATCTACATGAAAAATTCAAAGCCTAAAGATGTATTCACAAATAAGTATCTGGTGCAAACAATAACTGAAGAGGAAGAGCAAACAGTCTCTCATGGGCTATGAATTTCTGAGGGAACATTTACTGGGACCTTTCGCAGGTGCCACAGGAGAGACACTGGCATACAAAGGTGGCATGCTGGCAACTTCTGGTATAAGGCCCACATTGTGCAGCTGTGAGGTGACGTTGGGGTCGAGAATATCATCAACCACATTGACTTCAGGGTTTGTTGCAGCCTCGCAGAAACGTGGATGAGATGTGTTCCATTAAAATCCCCACTGATGGGGCCCTGAAGGGCTTATTTCGGAGGGAAGTGACACCCTGCACCCTTAATTCAGTCCCCTGACTAGTGGAGCGGTGAACTGTTGTTTCAAAGGGGTAAAGGGAAAGCACTCTGCACATGCCTATAGACAATTCCTCTTTACTTGCTCCTAGAGCAAGACCTGACCACAAAACCTGGCTCAAGTTAAGATTTGGGGGAACTGGGCCTATGTTGTTGCTTCACACAATGCAGTGTGGTGAGCCAGTTCAGTGGTTAAAGTGTTGGACTAGGACCTGAGATACTAGCATTTGTATCCCCACTCAGCCATGAAGCTCCCTGGGTAACCTTGGGCCACTTTCTGTCAGCCTAACCTACCTCACACGGTTGTTGTGGGGATTAAATGAGGAGGAGAAAAGGCGGGATATAAATGCTATCAGTCATAGGAGCCAACTCATAGCGGCCAAGATTCCTTTGTGTCCCCCCCTCCATAAAATGGTGCTGACACAAATCTGTCCCTTGGGCCACAATTCACCACCAGCAAGGTCTCCTGTGCAGATCAGAGACTTTGCTTAGCTTATTGACCTTTCCTGCAACTAGCAGAAGCTGGGAAAACCATTCAGAATAAGCAAATCTGTTACCAATTCTATCCATCTGCATCATTTATTTTCTTATGTATATATCTTATGTTGATTCCCCCCCCCCCGAAGCAGCTCACAGGATAAGGAAAACATAAAATGATATTCAAACTGTCTTGAAAACTGCAACAGAAACCGTAGAAGCAGCAGTAAAACTACACAGAACACCTATGATTTACGCACGCATGGGAACTGACATGACCTTGCTTGTAGAATGTGTCTTGCCTTGATTTTTTTTTTTTTTTATAACTCCAAGCAACAAAATGCAGCGTGGGCTGTTCTCTTAAGAGGACAGGAAGGTGCCTTCTGCTTAGTCAGAACTTTGGTCCACCTAGCTCAGCACTGCCAGCTCTGACTGGCAAGAGCTCCGCAGGGTTCCAAGGCAGGGTTTTCTCTCACAGCTGCGCCTGGAGGGGCTGGGAATTGAACCTGCGACCTTCTGCATGCAAGGCAGATGATATACTCCATGAGCCACAGCCTTTCCTTTACACAGCAGGATATCTCAGGAGGGTTCTGAGGAGAACGATTTATTTATTTTTAATGGAAGGTGAAACAGTAGGCGATGAGGTCCCCCTGTCTTAGCCTGCCATAATTACCACCCTGCAAAAAGTCTATTTTAAAAATTTAATAGCACCAAGGTGCCTAAAGCCCCACTCAGATCCTACTTACCGGAGCGGAATTTGCTTCGGATCAGCATGGATCGTTCAGAAGCCAGGAGTGTCATCTTTGGAGTCCTTGCAGGTATAATCCCAAATCTGAGGTAGGCCCCATGGATATTCAGAAGAGGGGGAAACAGGAAAAGGGGGGAAATGATGAAGAAATCTCCAACTAGGATCTAGAGAAGCCAGCAACAGACCTTTTAAACAGAGTGCCTGGGCCTAGGGACACAGAGTTGGATATCAGCAAGAGTGGAGACCAGGGACACCTGGGTTCAAATCCCAACGCAGCCATGACTCTTTCATTGTGACCTTGGGGCGGTAACTTTCAGCCTCACGGGTCACCTACCTCACAGGGTTGTTTTGTAGATAAAATGGGGGGGGGGAGTCATGGACGCCACCCTGAGATCCTCAGAAAAAAAGGTAGGCTTACAAATGCAACGCTTAATAAACTAACCTACCTCACTGGGTTGTTGTTCTAAGGCCAATGCTGTGTAATGGTTAGTGACTACTGGACTAAGATTTGGGAGGTCAGGATTGTTCAAATGTCTGCTCAGCCATGAGCTTCACTGGGTGACCTTGGCCCAGTCACTGTCTCTCATCCTAGCCCACCTCACAGGGTTGTTGGGAGAGATAAGTGTGATATATTGAGCCCCTCGGGGGTGGGGTGGGGGAGTGGGAAGGTGGGATATAAATCTAAACAAATAAATAAGTAAAATTTCGAGGGAGGAGCTTTCCAGTCCTCCTGAGTTCCTTGCCGGGGGCGGGTGGAACAAAATAGCAAAATTTTAGGAGCAGGCAACTAGCAGAAACGCAGCAGCAGGTGGAGCAGTTCCGTCGCTAAAGATGCAGTTGGAGACGGGGCTTGACCTGTTGAGTTTTTGCCCTGTTTAAAGGGACAGGAGCCCAGCTGGCGGCGTGTGTGAAAGAAAGAAGAGCGAGAGAGATGGTTTTTTGTTTGCTTGCTTTTTTGATCACCTGCTGTCCGCCTGCACCCGCGATTCCCTCCTCGGGGAGAAAGCCCAGGAGGAGAGTGCGCTGCCTGTGCCATCGCCCTAAAGCCTCTCTCGAGGAACCCAGGAGTCCTGGCTGTCCCTTCCGCTGCCCCGCTACAGCCCTTTTCAATGCCAGCCCCTTCCCCAAAGCCCAGGGGGACCCAGGCGCCCCGACTCACCGGAATGGACGGTGCAACCCTTTTCCTCCTCCTCCTCCTCTTCTTCCTCCTTCTGCTTGGCTTGGGGGGCGCTGGGAACCGTCCGCCCCCGACGGCTTCTCCGGGAGGGTCTGCCGGCGGCCTTTCCGGGGGGGAGGGGGTGGCGTCCTTCTTTTCCTCGCTGCCTAGGTGAGGATGGCACCGGCGAGGGACGGCCAGGCGCACGGACCTCCGGAGGAGAGGGTTGGGCCGACGGCTCTGCCCCCCGCCTGGGGGTCGGACGCCACCGCGCCCCCCTCCCCGGGCAGCTGGGATGTCCCCGTGCCTCTGCCATGCGCCCCCTCCCCTCCCCGAGGGTGCCACCTGCCGCGACACCCGACACCGGGAACGCGCTGCTGGCTCAGCAAGGACCACCCCCCTCCGCCATCCTCCCCGTCTTCGTCCTCCGCCCCCTTCTCCCCACAGATCGCCACCGTCCCGCCTCCTTATGCTGGCCAGGAGAGCCTCCAGGCTGCCCAGCAGATCTTGCTATTGGGGACATCCAGGAGTCCTGGCAGCATCCCTTGCGAGCACCGAGGGTTGGTACTTGGTAGTGGACCCCCCCCCCGACTTCTCAAGGAACCCAGGTGTCCTAGCGCCCCCGTCCCGCCGCACGCTCCCCTTTTATTTATTTATTAATGCATGCAATTTATATCTCGCCTTTTATTCCAAGGAGCTCAAGGTAGAATACAGCCCCCCTCATTTGATCCCCACGCAAACAACCCTGTGAGGCAGATTTACTGTAGATTGATAGGCAGTGACTGGCCCAAGGTCACCCCAGCTGGTGAACTTCATGGCCGAGTGGGGATTTGAGCCCTGGTCTCCCAGGTCCTAGTCTGACACTCTAACCACTACACCGCACTGGCTCTCATCCCTAAGCACCATCGCCCGCCCACCATTTTTTCTCTTTCTCAAGGAACTCAGGAGTTCTTTCCACACAACACCCCTGGGTGTCATCTCACAGTCACTACCTCTTTTCCAAGAAACTCAGGAGTTCCCAGGAAACACATCTGCTGCTGAGGTTGGAATCCTCATGTGCTGGGTGGGGGTGCATAGCTCTCTGGGCCTCCCTGTCTGGTCCAGGGGACTTTCCCTAGACCATACCCACTCCCTTGGTCTCAACCCCTCACTGCCCCTCCAATGCATCCTCCATAGCTGCTTTCGCCTGGCTGCAATGTATCCTGGAACATTTCACCCTGCAAAAAATAAATAAATGCTGGGCATTGTAGTTTTATCCCTTGCAGAGTTAATTCCCAGCAACCCTTAACACACTACAGTGCCCAGAATTCTTTGCGGGAGGGGATGTGCGTTGAATGTGCTTTCAAGGTAATAGTGTGTACACAGCCATAATGCATGTTGCTTGCCCAGATGAAGGAGCAGTATGTGGGCGGGTGCATAGAAACCTCTGACTTTTTAAGGGGGAATCATCCCGGTTGTAGAAAGCTTGCTCTATCCCATCTTTGTCTTTGGCCCCACCAGGAATGAGAAGGTGGCTTGCTCATGATTTTCCTAGGGAACCCAGGAATTCTGACTTCTCCACATATCCCTTAGCACAAGCATGGGGATTTTAGAAAAACGTTTGCTGGGGATACCAAGTCAGATTAATCTGAAAGATTAGAAGTTTGGATGGCTTCCATACACACCATACATGACTTCCCCCAAAGAATAATGGCCACTGTGGTTCATTCACAGTACTGGGAATTGTAGCTCGGGGGGGGGGGGAGAGAACAATGGTTCCCAGGATTATTTCAGGGTGGGGAGCCATTTGCTTTAAATGTGCTTTAGATGTATGGATGGCTTTTTTGCTGACAGATAATCTGGCAGTGTACGGCCTAACCTTTTAATTATAGCAGTTGTGTGCTCAACACCGGAAAGGCATCTGGAGGCATCTGCAGAAGCCATCTGCACTGCAGTGAGGGGTGTATACTTTGCACATGCACAGAGGCCGTCACTCCCTCCAACAGCAAACTCAGTGATTCCAGGCAAAGTTACATGGAGCTGAAACAGGGACACAGAGAAATAAGAGTGACAGTTGGAAAAGAGAAGCTGAAAACCAAGCGAGGAGGAAGGTGGGTGAATTGTCTTGCTTGAGACCCTAGCAGCTTCTGCAGTAAGGCATGGCTGGACAGAAACTCTTGGTGCATGTGCGGATAAAGTGAATTTTTTTTGTGGGAGGTCCCACTTTGCTCTTTTTAAAGTTTCTCCAGAGGGTTCCGGACCTGAGCCCTCCTGGCTGTGAAAATAAGCCTCTGGTTCTGTTTACAGGACAGGGAGCTTCCTTGCTGGAAACAGAAATGACTATCCTGTGCAATTCCTCCAGGTAGCCCTAAATGCAAACTGGGCAGGCCTCTGTGTCGCTGCGCAGAGACTGGCGATCGAAACAGGGGTCCTCTCATCATCGAGCCCGGCACTGCAAAAGACCCAGAGTGACTGAGGTGGGCGCTCGCTGGGTCCCCTTTGCCCTTTCCCTGCGGCTGCTGTCGGGCCACAGAGAGCGTTTCTTCACACAACAGGTGTCACCTGTTGCCAGCCGTCAGGGGCCCGCGCTGGATTTCACTGACGCGGCGGATCAGGTTCTGACCAGGGTATTTAAAGTCAGACATGCTCCCTGTCCTGCCCCCCTACTTTGGGCCCTGCCCCTTGGCACCACCCTTGGGCCCACCTTCCTCTGGAGCCCAACCAGCTCTGGAGTTGGAGCGAAAGGTCATGGGTGTGTGCATGTGCGCGCACACACACACCAAGGGAAAAATGTGCAGATGTGTGCCCAAACTTCACTGTGGTTGGTATGTGCATGATGGGACGAGCATATGGGGGGTGAATGGATGATCAACACTGACCCCTCCTGGTTTTATGTGGAAAAGGACACCCTCATGGGGAATGCAAAAGCACAGGGCTGGGAAAGTGAGTGAAGCAGACAGAGAGGACAACAGGGTATTGTGGCATACATGCACCTGTGTGCAAAAGGGAGAAATAAAAAAGCGAGTTTGCTATAATAGATTTCTACAGGACGCATAGCCATATGTCTCAGAAAACATTTTGTATGAGCGTACGTTCAAATATCCAAGTGAAAAGGCATGCAGATAACGAAGAGCACACACTGCTTTTCTCGTTAAGGATTAACACAAGCCCTGGCCCAGTTCTTTCTTCCTCCCTGTGCATTTTAATGAGAAACCTGGTGATTTACTGCCTTAGGTGCACTTCAGGGCAACATAGGTGTATTCTTTCCCTTCTGGTGTCTGTAGCGCCACATGAATGACTCCTGCAAGTTGGAAATAGCAAGGAAGCAGATTTTGGCTGGACATTAGAGCTGCTTATCAGTGGTGCAGGCTGCCTCAGATGGTGGTGGGCCCTTCTTCAGCTGAGGTATTGAAACAGAGACTGGGCGGCTGTTCCTGCAAAGGCTTCCTTGGTTACATCATTCCCAGTGGATTGTGCATTAAGCAAGGATGATCTCTAAGAACCCTTGCAGCCCTTTCAGGATTTTATGCGTATCACATCCTGAGCGATACCCTCCAGCCTCCCCAAGGACCGGGCTGTATGTGTGCGCCAGTCTCCCAATATTGCTGCATTTGGCGGTCGGACAGTACAGGGAAAGAGGCCTCATGATTCAGAGCTGAAACACCCCATGTATGTCTGCTGAATTGGCTGCTCTTTCCCTTGCCCTTCTCTCCACACCGGCCACTGCCGCGTCTCAGGTGAATGGCTCTGGATTCTTACACCTTGGCTGTGGTATCCTCGGATCACTCCAAAACCAGACCCTGGTACGATTCCTTTGCTAGGAGCTGCATATGGTGTGGGTGGCTGGCTGGGTGGACGGGGTGAGCTCATAGGTCTTTCCCAGGCTCAGATTTCAGAGATTAATTCCAGGAGCAGCCGTGGACCTGACGCCACCGACAAAGATAGCACTTGTGGCCTGGGACAATGGGAAAGAGGCACGTCCCAGAGACAGCGAGGCCTGTGTGGAGAAGACACCAAAGAACATCTCTTCTCCCACTCCCTACAACCTAGTGCTTCACATGCATGCACACACACACACACACACACAATCAAAACCAGATAAAATATACACCTATGAGGAGTCATGTAACCAAGACACTCTACTCCTTGCACTCCTAATATCTTCCTGTCCTGCAACACTGTGTGACTCCCCATTTATGCATGTTCACGGCACATGTGACTGTGCATACATCCATTGTCTCCCGAAACAGATGGATTTCAACTGGATTTTTTTTTATGGGAGCTTCCCATCACATCAAAATATCTGTCCAATGTTTTTGTCACAAGTTAATAATTTTATTGCATTGGAGGAAAAAGCACTACATAGCTTTTGCTATAAACAATATATGCTTTTCACAGGGCCAAAAAGTAACAGCGAAGTTTGGGTCAGGGAGAAGCTTTGATCTCTCGAAGAAGCTTTGATCTCTCAGAGAAGTTTCTGGGCTTCTGGTCCTTGAGATCAGTGTCTGCCGCCAGGGTCCGGCAGTGGGTACGAGGCTGCAACTGAAAGCCTGAGATGTCAAAATGACCTTTGACCTTCAGGACAACCCTGTATTCAGACAAGCAATAACTGGTTTGGATGATTCCACCCTTCCGAAATCAGTTTGGGGTTTCCGTCTGTCCACTGGCAAGGGTTTCCAGGGGTTCAGGAGCCATCTGATCATTGTGGTGGTGTGTGCCCTGCTTCTCATTGGCTGGGATCCAGCCCGTACACTGCCCTTTGGTTGGCTGGAAGAGATTCGCGCTCCAGCTCCCAGAGGAAACGTCGCAGGCGTGTGAGTTGGCGATGGAGGGTGTCGTCTGACACGGGCTCCGAGAGGCGCAAGCGGAAACCGTCACATGGAAGGATCAGGGGCGGGTGGTCTGTGAAACTCTCAAATATGTCACCTGTGGGAAGACAAGGCATTTCTAAAACAACAGGTGTGCTCAAGCTGCTCTTGAGGCTGCTGCACCCAGAGGATTAGCTGGAAATTTCAGTGCCCTGCGTAGATTTAAAAATGTGAGGCCCACCCTGTCTGTCTCACACCCGTCTCCCCGCTCCCAGCTGCTCCTTGGGCAACTGCACCAGTAGCTCTACTCTAAATGACGCATGGATCACACCCTCTGGATAAGAGAGAGGGACAGAAATTGCTGCAGTTTGTGTGACCGTTTGCAGTCAGGTGTGGAAATCAGGCAAGCAAATCGGAGAAGCATTTGTTGTTCTTGTCTTTTTAGTCTGCAAATGATACGTAATTAATGATGTGCACCCTTCCTGGGGGGGGGGGGGCTTTCTGGTTTTTCCTTTGCACTGAAATGGTGTGGAATTGTATATTAATTATGTCATTAAAATTAAGGGCATTAAATTTGGCCATAACAGACAGAGATGAAAAACATATTTTTTTGGCAGAAGCTGAACTGCAGCAGAAACAAAGCAGTGCTGATTGTCACAGATACCAGTCCAAACAAAAATAGCACTGCCTTCATACATTCCTGGTAAGAGACAATAGGAGAAACTGCTAATAACATGAGATGTGAAATGCTTTCACATTCCAATTTCCACATTTTGAGGGCAGAGAGAGGGATAGCAGGGGATGGGCATTTGGTGTGGGATGTGGAAGGTCACCAACGTGGGGTTAATGCAATGATGGGGAAAGCTTCACTTGCTGAATTTCTGCCTGATGAGGGCACAGAAATCCTGCCAGAGGTGGTGAGAGTTGAACCCTGTGTGGGTCAAAAACAAAGCATTTCCTTGACTTACTGTGTGCAATCTCGTCTCTTTCCTTTTCAGGTGGGCTCCAGCATTCAGGAGACACTCGCCCAGGTCCCAACTGGTAATTTGTGAGCACGTGCTGGAGCTGAGCCGGGGTCAGTGCCGGATAGTCATTTCTCAGGCGAGACCAGGATGTCTGTGTGCAGCAGGTAAAAGAGAGGTTAGCAATAAAGCCTGGAAGAAAAAGACCCATGAAACACCCGTTCTTCCTTAGCGGCTGCCATGACTGGCTAGCTCTTTCTCTATGCCAACTGCAGCATTTACCTTAATAGGGGCAGAAACTAGACTTGATAAATCATGTGATAATTGACATATTAAAAGAATAACATTTCCTTATGAATGAAAAAATAGCCCTGGAAGAAGAAACAAACTTCCTTTGTATAGCCTTGCTGCATAGCAGGCGCCATCTTAGGAGAAGCATGCCTTTCTATGCGTGGGAGGGGAAGGAGCAGGATTTTTTTTCAGCCGAAACTTCCCAGAACTCAGTTCTGTACCTCTCAGGTGGGCACCATAGCCATTCTAAGAGAAAGAGGGAGGTGTTCATGGTGAGTTCTGGCACCTTTTTTTCTAGAAAAACAGCACTGGGCAGGAGGATGTCTCTTCTAAGATGGCAGCTGCCACCTGCAGTTTTGACAAGCACACACATTTTTAAAGAAAAATTAAGATGTTGGCTGCTTAACGAGAAAAGCCTTCCCTTTTTCAGTCAAGAGATTTTAATTAAATTGATCTAAGCAGTTTATTGGCAAAACGCTTTCCAAGTGTTAGCAGGAAGATACAGAAAGGGCACTTCATTGACACCATGCCTAGCTATAAGGCACAACCATTCACCCTATAGCTTTTACCCCTGTGACAGTGGTAAACCAACTCAATCCCAGACCGGAGTTTGCCCCAAGCAGATACAGGGTAGGAAGGCGCTTACAGAGCCAATGAATCCAGATTGGCTCATACAAACATGACTACTATTCTGCAACAAGTTATGTGGGATTCTGCAACTTGCATATTTTATGCAAATTAGTATATTTGCATGTTGTTAAGGGTGGGTTTTTTACATGAAGTATTTGACCTCTGTCATATATAAGGAGGCATCAGCAGCAGGGTTGGCAACATAGCCAACACATTTGTACAAATGTCATGCTTCTGAGATGACTGCATCTATTTCCATAGGGACTAGAAATTTTTTTAAAAGGGAAACTGAGAACCTCAAGGTACTGTTTTCTGAGCCCAACAGGAAAACCTGCACTGGTGTGAACTTGCAGAAACCTGCACCTGGGTCGATTAAATCAGGCTTCCTTATTCCTACACAAAGCAAGGAGGGTGGGTGCTTCAAAAAGTTGTTCATTTTTAATAGTCTCTCCAGCACACTCTTATCTTAAAGAAACAGGCCATAAAAGAGGAAAGGGGGAGAAATGAAGCTTCCCTCCTCTGTGCCTTCAGCCACCTGTTCCCAGATAAAAACGGTGACACCTAGTATTTGTGGTATGTGTGTGTGTGATTCTGATGCCCAAGAGTTGAGCCGCTGCCACCCTAACCCTCAAGCCCCAAGAAGGGGAACAATCACCTGAAGCAAGCTGGTTTTGGGCACACACAGTAAGTTGGCCGTGGTGCTGAGCTTGCGGAAGAATTCAGTTGCAATGTCCCCCAGGCCCACCCCTTGTAGCCAGTCCAGCACCAGGTCCAGGTTGGTTCGGATCTGCACTGCCTTGGCCCACTGGAATAAGGACTGGTGGGAACTGCCTGGAAAAAGGCGAAAGCATGTTAAGAACATAGAGCCTGGGTGATCTTCCACCTTCCTTGGCAAACCGTCTTGGGATCCCCCCTGCCCATCCCCCTCTGTTCTGCAAATGCTGAATGAGGGAGCCACCGCCCCAAGCCAGCCTGCTTGTTTCCTGTCCTGCTTGGGGGCAGCCCTGAACTCTGGGACAGGCAGGAAACAGCCTGTTTCCACCAGAGACCAGGACAGAAAATAGGAGGAAACAGGAGAGGGAGGAGGGAGAGTTGTGAGGGGATTTGTTCTTCTCACTAGAAGAGAAGTTTCAGGCATTCTCCCTGGGCATTTTTGCAATGTGAATAGTGAAACCTCTCCTGTTTGGAATGCTCACTCAAAAAAAGAAATAAAAAGAAAGAAAAGAGCTGTCTCTCCTACTTCTTTTGCTTTCTCAAAATGTAACTTACAAGTGATTTATGCCTCACTGTGAAAACATTCTCAGATCTAGCACATATTATAACTCACTGCCTTGATCCACACACACCCTGTGTCTCACAGGATTGTTCTTGATTCTCAGAAGACCCAGGAGTCTGTCGCACACTATCACTATTATTCTGTTTGGCTCCTCCACACGCTCAAGAATCGCTTTCATACAACCTGTTTCACAGTGCATTCACCCTGATCTATGTGCAGGGAAGCTGTGAGACAATGTGAGGCTAGGCGGCATTAAGGCACAAGATGAGCCTGCTGGATCAGACCAACAGACCCGTCCAGTCCAGCATCCTTTTCTCACAGTGGCCAGCCAGATGCCCGTAGTAAACCCACAAGCAGGACCCGTGCAAATGGGAGCAATGGGAGGGCATCCTCTAGCGCCCTGCTCATTCACAAAATGGGCTATTGAGCCTTTCTTCTAGTTCCCACCCTGAGAAGCCAGGAGCTCATTCTAGGCTCACCTCTCTCCATGAGAGTGTTAAAGAGCGAGGCATTGGAGAAGAAAAAGAGATATCCAAAGGTCTGCGAGACAAGGTCAGGGTGCAGGTCACAGTCACGGGTCAACTCGAGCGTGGCCTGGTAGATGGCAAGGGTCCCCTGGATTCCTTCTGGCATGCTGCTGAGCTCCGGCACGTGGGACAGGTCAGCTGTGGCTGTGAAGGGGTTACTGTCTAGCAAGGCAGGAAGAGCCGAGTAGAGAGTCTGCTGGGTGAGGAAAGGGATGAGAAACACAGGCTACTACAAAGGGTGGGTGGGAAGAGAAGGGGAGGCGGGGGGGGCTTTACCGTCAAGAGTTTGCTCACCCACCTTAGTGAGGTAGTACACAGACTGCTGAAATGTGGACATGATGACTTCGTCCAAGACCGCCATTGCCTCATCACACGTCTCCAGGTCACTGGAGAGCAATGCATTGTGGGAAGCTCCTGCAGAGATGGGGGAAGAGAGCGAGTCTCAGGGTGTAGCTACATCACAGGAAAGCAAACTGATTGCCGACTCATTTGCTCTCCAATGGGAACTGTAGCGCTGTAGTGCATCTTTACTGCAGCTTTCTCAGCATCCTCCTCAAACTGTAATTCCCAGGATTCTCTGGGGGAGGCCTTGGTAAACTGGCATAATGCATTATTCATCTGGTAACAGTGTGTAGAGTGTCTTGAGAGTTCTGTGATATGTCCCTCACATAAGGCTCCACCACAAAGCTTATGCAGAGGTTGGGTTATGTCCTGTCTTTTGATTGGTTTGTGGGGAGATTTTGTGACAATGAGCATCCATCCTGATTTGTTTGTGGGGTGTTTCCACGTGTTCCCAGTGATTATTTGTTCCTCCTGATACTTTTTAATGCATTTCCCTGTCACTTTAATAACTGTGAAAAATTTGTTCAATGTGCATTCCTTATGCTAGCACAAAAGTGCTTCAGTCCATCTGAACTAGATTTTCTGTTATGTGCTTGAATCTCTCCTGTAAAATACTGACCGTCTGGAGGCACCCACAGAAAACATAAGCTCCCTTGCTATTTGAACCCTTCCCCTTTCTGGAAAACCCAAACAGCTCTCAGCCATCAAGTTCTGACCCTCAGGGTCTTCCTTTATCTGTCTCTTCTTGGCCCTCTGTTCTGATGTATGTCCTAGAGAACCAACAGCTACCCTTCCACTCTCCTCTGACCCCAGGGAATGTTCAGGATTCTTGGCTCACCCTCCAAGTCCAGGTCCTTCTCAATGTCCAGGACTCTTTTCTGCACGAGGCTGAGCAGCTCCATCGCGTTGGCCATCCAGAGCATCAGGGGGCGCAAGTCAGCAGCCACTTCCTCGATGCTGAGATTTCCCAATTCTCCTTTGTCCTGCTGGCTGCAGGGATCAGACAGCGCAAGGGGGATTAGCGCACTGCCGAATGACAGGAGGGTGCTCTCACCTGCTGCCCAGAGGCAGCTGACTCTTGGCTGGGGCATTAAAACAACAGCTGGGCTGACTACTTGGAATTCAATCCATTCCACAAATTTTCAGAGTTCACACTGAGTTCAGGATTTCTTGACATATGTGAACTTTGCTTCCAAGGGACTTAGGTCTTCATTACTTGTGGATTTGCCTTCCACATTTGCAATGTCGCTATTGTGCTGGCTATATTATCAAGGAGGACTTATCTATGGACCTTTCTGGATGCATTACAGTTGTTACTCATTTCTGCAATGAGTACAAGTTGCTTTCCCACAACTGAACTACCGCAATGGAGATGTTGCATTTTCACAGTACCCTTGACTGAACTATCTTTTTTGCATCACAGAAAATGCAGTTTTTCCTCAATTATAGTGTGCTTCTTCCTCTCCAGAAGTGGAGCATACACGTGCCGTTTGTTTGTTTTAATGGTGAAAATAGTACTGATATTCTCCTTCAGAAAATCTGCCTCTTCCTGCCACCCCATATCAGTTATGCCCCCTCCTCCATCAAGTTATCATGCTATTGATTTTGAAATGGTATTTGCAGAAAGATCTATCACACAAAGGCCAAAATTAAAGTCTTTGCATAGAAGTGGATGGAAGGAGCTGACACATGCAAATATATTGGGAGGTATAATAATAATAATAATAATAATAATAATAATAATAATAATAATTTATTATTTATACCCCGCCCATCTGGCTGAGTTTCCCCAGCCACTCTGGGCGGCTTCCAATCAAGTGTTAAAAAGAATACAGCATTAAATATTAAAAACTTCCCTAAACAAGGAAGTAACAGGTAGTAACTTATACAAGAGTGGGAAGTGTTAAAGCTGCAGAAGGCTGGAAGGAACTTCAGTTGCTAGTCACCTAACTGATATTTGTCTCTTTATGTCAAAAGTACGGTAACTTATTTGCTAGACCACTACATCAAATAAAGCGGAGCAAACAGAAGCTTAGAAAAGTCTGTAGCTCCCTCAGGGACAGACTTTGAAAATGCCCATTGTGCTGTTTGCTGTAGAGGCATAACTCTACCCCTGCACCTTTATGGTGAAAGCCCCAAGTCCCTGGCATCAACCCTAACCCCATTTAATACCAGAACGTGTCCATGAGGACTGCATTCAGACGTGGCAACTTCAAGAATTCATCCTAGGAAACAATTTAACAGTTTGATAAAAACTAGGATAAATTGCTCAGATGCTAAGTATAGCACCTCCCAAACATCTTGCGAGATGCAGAACAGCACCTTCTGGAAGCCAAATTTGAGACATACTTTAGCTCTTACTTACTTTTCCGGCTGTCTATCTCCAATCTCTTTTATCTTCTCCTGGGAAGAAGGATATGAAAAAATAAAATGAATTAAGGAGGTTTGGAACCCAACACAGAGTAGCCTCGAGCCCTTTCCATGCCTGAAAGCCAAAGGGAAAGAAGTCCATGGAAAACAGGTACTGAAGGAACTGATGGGGAAAATCTATTTCCTTTCATTACATTTACAACTTCCTCTTAGGAACTCAGTGTTTCCTACATGCTCTCTCATACCAGCTCCAATTCTGCTTAGCTAGAACTACTTTAGTTGCCTTCAGGGAGAGCTTAAGGGCCAGAAGGATCCATGTTTTTACCCAAAACCATAAGAACCAGCTTCTCGCTGCCACCGCCGTTTCTTAGTGAAAGCGAAAATGCTCCAAATGCTGGATTCCTTCCATGCCATGCTTGATTATCAACTCCATCTTAATAGCTACATACACAGACCTACATAAAGGGCTTCAGAATTGGATATGGAGGTGGAGGGAATACAAGGGAAGGACGTCAAAGAGGCATGAAGGTCATGAACCAAACTGCGAGTCACTTACCCAAACAGCCTCCTTGACCAGCTGAGCAATTCTGGCTATCAACCTGGGGAGGTGTCCTGGCTCCAGCTCCCGGGCAGCGTGTTCCAGGCAGAGCCCAAAGAGGAAGGCAGGGCCCAACCTGCAGTTTGGCGCCTCCTGCAGCCTCACAATCTCGGCCAAGAGGGCCTCCTGCTCCTGGGGCCGGTAGCGCAGCTGAGGTTCTCGGCTCTTGAGGTAGGCCCGGAAAGCTTCCTGGCGCTCCTGCAGGGAACGGCCGCAGGCCTGGCACGCCAAGGCCCCCACCAACCCTGGGGACACCCAGGCCTTGGGCAGCCAGGCCGGCGGCGCAGCTGCAGCTCGCGGGTCCTTGTACATGAAGAGGAAGTGCTGCCCCATTCCCAGCAAGTCTCCGGGAGCCAGCTCCACCTGGCGATGGAGTGGGGCGCCATTGTGGGTTATCAACGCTCCCCGGAAGGGCCGCACCATGGCCGAACCCCGGGGCTGGCTGGGGTCTGCGGGCGGCACCGAAGACACAACACAGCAGTGGCGCGGGAGGATGTCTGGGGCGCTCAGGAACGTGTCCACATAGTTGGATTGGTCTGGAGCCGGGCAGCGCTCAGGGCGGCCGAAAATGTGTCGGCGGCGTGTCATCACATGGATTACAAACTCCTGTTGGTGAAGAGAGAGAAGGGAATAGAGCAATACAGGAAGAAAAGATCAGCCACAGCAGTTGCTATTCCTGTTAGTGGCCCTGAGGTACCCCAAGTGCATGTGTTGGGCCAGTGGGACACTTGATCAAAACATTGGCCTTTTAGGCCAGGGGTGGGAAACCTTTTCAGTCCCTTCCTTAGGCGTGGGCCCACACCAGTGGTGGGTGGAGCCAGAGGCAAAAGGGATGGAGCAACAGATGCAACAGAAACAAATAAAGATGAGGGTTTGGAGAGGTAAGAGATCCTCTGGGTGCTCAAATAGTGACAGGTCAGCTGTAGTGTGACTGATGCAACAACTAAAAGATCCACTGTGGGCTCATTCACACTTCCTTTTAAACACAGGTCTGGGATTTCCAGGTCTGTGCCTGAGCAGGTTTCCCCAGAAAAACCTGCATTTTACCACTGAATCCGAAGAAAACCCACTTGCTGTTTGCTCCAATTCAGCGGTAAATTGGTAAATTCAGCTCAAAAGGAAGTGTGGATGAGCCCTAAGTCACCACAAAAGAGGTTTTTATACTGGTGGCTCAGCTGTGGCTCACAAGGAAGAAGAAGGCTTCCCACCCACCCCCACGTAAATGTACGGGAAATCTTGCTCCCTTTCTTCTAAGAAGTTGCCTGAACTAAGCTTGAAGAAATTCAGTGGATCATCTTAACTTCACTCAGGCTTGGGCTACACCTGTTTGCCTTTCCCTGTGGCCTGACACTGAAGTGTCCTGCTTGGGTCATTCATTCCTGTTTGCTCCACAGGCCTCCAGGTGGACACGTCTGTCAATTTCAGTTTATCCCAGTTTCTTTTCTTTCTTTCTTTTTTGCATTCTTAAGTTCAGCTCTACACATTTCTGCAATAGTTTGTGATTTTTTAAAAAAAGCTTCCCAAAAATTGTCAACATTTGAGTGCACGTTTCTCCTTATATGCACAATTTCCATACGCAATTTCCCATGAGATACACAATTTCACCAGAATTTTTGCCAAATATAATGTATTTTTATTTTTATTAATTTTTTACTAATACATGCTTTTTTAATACTTTCCCTTTATAGACACATGCCTGTACACATTATTTGGCTAAAGAACTGCATCACAAAATTAAGACAAGTGCAAATTTTGAAGGACAGCTGTGTTTCAGTTTACATGTGGTTTCAGAAAGTGTGAATCTGTTAAGTCTGCATTCAGATCCAAAGTGGATTGAATTTCTCCCCTATCCCTAGGTAGATCCCTCTTTATTTAATTCTGCTCTCTTTTCCTGACAATATGGAATAATAGAGAGGGCAAGAGTGGCTGACAGGGGTGGGATGAGGGCAACCAACCTTCCTTCCGCCGAAGTTTCTAGTATTTTCCAACTCTATGTTGACATGAAACCTGAAGGACCCTGAACCCCACAGTCACTCAGCTTCATCAAAACCATAGAGTTGGAAAAGATTAGAACTGCCCCAATCTTCCAAGCAGGAAAGTGGACCTACCTGCTTTTCGTTGTAGCCCAACAACTGTAGGAAATAGGGGTGCTCTGTTGGTGGTTGTATGAGGCACTGGGAGAGCTGCTCCAAGTTGGCCACATCCATGGCCTCTGCTTCAGATGCTGGAGGAGTCGATGTGCCCTCGGCCCCCTCGGCTGCCTTCAGTCGTGACTCCTCAGCCGCTTCCTGTGGTTCCCCAACCGCCATGCTCAGCACTCCTTTGCGGTCCCTGCGGCGTTTTGTGCTGAGATTCATCTCGCTGATGCTGCGACGGAGGGAAAGGTTGTCCGCCCTCTCTTTGGGGGCCACATGGCCTCCTGAGGCGGCCCGAGAACGGCGAGATTGCTGCCGACGGGCCTGGGAGATACCTAGAAGAGGCAGGGAGAGATGGCAGACAGACAAATCTAATCTATGTGAACAGTCATGCAAAATAAAAACAATACCCTTACCTATGTTGGTTTCTGTTTCCCTCACTGAGCAGCTGCTGGTAGTCACAGGACTATGTTTTCATTCCACAGTCCAGGTAACAACCTAACCTATATATTTTGAAAATTCTCCCAAGTTGGGGGCCCATGGAAGGGAAGGAGTACTGGGAAATATCCAAGCAGTTTTGGGGGGAAATAATTTTCTCACACTTCCCCTTTGATATATTTGTATACAAGGAGCTGGAATTCTTTCTCCTATTCAATTAGTTAAGGACTTTTGCTCCATTTACATGTATGGAATGTGTGAAAGGGGACCACATTAGTCTGTAGCCCCTGGAATTCGGTTTCCCCTTGCAGCTGCCTGTGTGCCCACATTCCAATATAAATAAAATTGTTCTTGTAAAAAATGTAATGTGTGGGTACTTAGGAATCCAATGTATGCAATGTATGTTTGTTTATTGGAAAATCATAAATAAAACTTAAAGAGAGAGAGAGAGCACTGTTACTTAGCCCCCAGTATCTGGTACTCAGAGAGGTATACTGCCCTTGAATATACTTGCAGCTCTCAGCACTAATGGCCATTAATCAATCTTTCCTCCATGCATTGGCCTCAACCTTTTTAGAAGCCAACTAAACTAATGACCATCGCCACATCATATTGTGGCAAAACAAATTCCACATGCTAATTAAGCACTTGACAATGAAGCTGATTAGCCTCTTTGCAGCAGCAAAGCTTTTTGATCTTTTCCTGACAAATCATAAGTTCTAGAAACCTAACTGGATGGTAAATGAAATGAATGAAAGCCAAGCTTCTAAAGAACTTGAAAACACCATGAAACCCTAGAGCAGAATTGAGACCTAGGACCCAGAAGAGCATCTATTGACAGTTCCCTGGAAGCCTCACCCACTACCAACAACCCCGCACATACCAGACCCATCGCCATCTTCGCCTTCTGCCATCCTCTCCACATCACATCGTCGGCGGATCTCAAAACGGCGTGTGCAGCCGGTCTTGGGTTTCCACACATCCTGCAGCACAAGCGGGCGTTCAGAATCGCCTACTGCACGGAGATACTGGGCCTGCCAGGAGCCATCTGTGCCATTGACATTGCCAACCACATCGCACAAGACATACGCATCTTCGGCATTGGCCTGCGCCACGCCGTAGCGCTCAAGCGCTTCCTGCACCAGCTGCCGGGCAGTGGAGCGTGCTGTGGCCAGCACACTCTTGTAGTTGGCACCTGTGGAGATGTCGCCTCCATAGATTTTCAGGATCCCCGGCACTTCTCCCTGCGACGGGGGCTCAACTCGATCTTCGGGCAGTGGATCAATGAGATCGGCCAGTTTCTTCTCACTGGCCCAGCGACCTCTTCCTCCGCTGGTGGGCACGCCGGTCCCACCCCGCTGGAAGAGCGCTGAAATCCTCTTGTGTCGACTGGCCTTATTCTTGGTGGCCGGGCGCATCTCCACAGGCTCACTTCCACGGCTGGCTGTATCTGAGGATGTCGATCTGTGAGGAGGATAGACAGACTCAAAGAGACAGCAAGGGTGGCACCACAATGACAGGATGATGCAGTGGCCAAGCTGCTGGTTCAGAGGTGGGAGATCTACTGTAACAAACTTGCTCTGCCTCAAAGCTTGTTGGGCAAGTCATAAGAATATAAGAAGAGCCTGCTGGATCAAGCTGTAGCAGGAAACCCCCCCCCCCAATCATTCAGTTTGTACAAACTTCACACACACTCACACTCACACACTACATGCGCTACGCTTCTGTTATAAATTCATAGAAAATCAACCATAAATCGGATTTGCACTGTTCCACTTTTATTTTACTCCATGAAGGAAGGACTACAAAATGGGGAAAGTTTGATACAGGGCAGCCATAATCCCTTCAGCATACCAGCACATCCACAGGAGCCCTGCCCAGTTGCTATGCCAACCCTGATGGTCCTAGACAGAAGACCATCAAGATCACAAAGAACTTGCATATGGGAGTGGATTCAGCACAGACTGGAACAAAGGACAATAATCAGCTCTTCCCTCTGGGGGCAGGAAACTGCAAACTCCCCTCTGTCACCTGGAAAGTACTCATGGGGAGGGGGAAAGGGGGAACCAGCCAGGTGACAGACACCCAGGTTACCACCACAACTCCTCCCTCAACCCCTCCTTTCTGTGATGTATGCATGATGTTTCTGGGGGTGGGCTTGATCTACAGGATGGGAATTTCAAAAGTCTTTATAAGACCTTGCACACCATTTTTCTGTCTTTCCTCTCTCCTGCAAGTGAGGGGAGCACCCCGTTGCAACAGTTCTGGTTGCTGGTGCCCACCAGCAGCTGAAATTCCTGGAAGTGTGATCACTGCTGCTGCCAGGATCAGGAAATGACTGGTGCCAAAACAAAGGTGAAGGGGGACAGTTTAGCAATACTTAGGGTTGCCATATTTCAAAAAGTTAAATTCCTGACACCTGCAAACTTGTTGAGCTTTTTTTTAAGAAACCCACCAAAATTGATTTTAAGCTTTTTGAGCTATTTCCACTCCTGCCATACATATGATTCGGCAAAATTCCCCCGACGGCACTTTTACACCTGAAAACCAGGACATGTCAGGAATTTTCCTGATGTAAGGCAAGCCTAGCAATACTTTTCTTCACTTCTGAGTAAAAAAGTTATGAGAAGTTCTTGTTCAATTCTGATTGCAAATTAGTTTTTGTCTGTTTTGCTCATTTTACCCCAAACCCCGGAGAATGTTCATTCATTGCAGTCCCCATTTCATTAGCACAGATCACACATTTGTGTTCTGCTGTGTGCTTCGCCTCCTAAAATATTCCATACGATTTCTGAATGGATTAACTTTGAATTAATTCCCCACCCCCCTGTAACGTAGCCCTGGCACCCCACCCCATAGTGGTGGTTCAGAGCACATGATGCTTCCCTGAATGCTGCATAACCAGGCAAAGGCTACAGTGCATGTACACAGCTTAGTCTGAGGTGAGAGCCAGTGGTAGCATGGAATGCCCAGCTGCTAATTGCCAGTTACTGCTAGGGATTGCAATTATGCAAATAGATGTGAGAACTGGATTGGTGTGATGTCAGAAAGGCAGGGAAGTCCACATACACAGACCACCCTGCTATAGTTTTCTTCTCTGTAATTCCTGAGAGGTGATTTGTCATGGATGGACCAGTCCCAGGGCTGTGAATCTTCTTAACAGTTGCATTATTTCATGGTGCCTCTTTTGCCTGAATAAGTAAGTGTTTTAGGCAGACCGACAAGCAACAGAACGGCCTATGTACTAACAGTGAACTCATTCTCTGAGTACCTATTCATATATAGCCAAAATGGCACCACCCGTGTTGGAAGAGGAGGCATCAGCAGGCTTGTGGAATCTTTAAGGTTTGCAAAAATACAAAGAAATCTTAATTGAATAAACCCTAAAGAGAGGGGGACAGGGACAGGGGAGCAAAACAACAAGGTCAGTTATCAGTCTAGCTGGGCACCACAAGGCAGTCACTTACTTGACAGATCCCACACTAGGCCACCTGCGTCCCAGCTTGGCAAAATGTTTCTTTGGGGAGTTGATCCAAAGGCCAACAGGAAAGTGAAGCTTCCCAAAGCGGGGGCTCCCGTCTTTCCGCTCATCCGAGAACATGGTCACAGGGACCTAGAGCCTTTGACAGGTGAATATGCGGGGGGGGGGGGGGAGAGAAAGGCATAAAATAAGCAGACCCGTGCAACCTGTCCATCTACAACATTTGTTACAAGAAACATCTGAACATTTCAGCTTTAATTGATTGTATTTTCTTTAAAAACACAGAGACAACCCCAAACAGCATGCTTCTTCTAGGCTTTATTTCCAAGTGCCCTGTATCTGGGGAGAGGAAAACAAAATTTCTATGCACCACCACTGAGCCAAAGAAGAAGATGACAGCATGGCCCACCAGAAATCTGCAATATGGAATTTCAACTGGCCAGAGCAGATCACGTGATAAGGTCCAACACCTATAAAAGCTTCCAGTCAGGTTGGTTCTTCGGTTTGAGCAACAAGCTTGGTGGTGTCCTGTGCCACAGACTTCCTCTTTCTCTACCTTTCTCTTACCTGGCCACACCAAGCCTTGTTTTGACTTGCTCCCTGGATATCATTAAGGCCTGCCAGGCCATATTGTAGAATCCTAGAATTGTAGAGTTGGAAGGGACCACAAGGGTCATCTAGTCCAACCCCCTGCAATGCAGGAATGTTTTGCCCAATGTTGGGCACAAACCCAAAACCCTGGGATTAAAAGTCTCATGCTCTACCAACTGAACTATTTTTGAGGAGAGAGAGCCGAAGGGGACAGGGAAAAGTTTTAGAGCAGCCAAAATTTAAACACGGTTAGCCTAAAATTATATAAGGGTGGAATCTGACCCCTGGCCAATGGAACCTTGGGGCCAGGGGTGTAGGAAGGGGGGGGCGGTGGGGGTGGACCGCCCTGGGTGCCCTCACTGAGGAGGGTGACATTCGGCGCGCCACCTGCCCGTGATTCCCAACCTACCCCGAGCCATCAGGGTAAGGGGGAAGCTGTGCCGCTTTGCCGGCGGCATTCCCCCATTCCCCCTTCATTTTGACAGCTTGGGGGAGGCTTGGGAGTCGCGGGCGGCACACCAAATTTCTGCCATGGGTGGCTTGCTCCACCCCGGCTGCAGGGCACACGCACTGCTCTGGGCACCAGAGCGGCTAACCCATGCCTGGGAGAGCACCCTCCTTGCCACACCCCCCTCGGGAGCGCGCCTACTCTGGGCAGTGCAGGCATATGCTCCGCCGCTGCTTGGGGCCACTGCCACATTAACAGCCCTGTAGTTATGTCAGCTGAGACAGAAGGTGGGGAGCAGGCAAGCAGAGAGGACCTTGCTTCCCAAAGAAGGCGGAGAGCTTTAAAAGCTATTTTTGCATTGAGTTTTCCCAGTATAAAAAGAGGTTTTAAGATTTCCACCTTGCTTGCATTTAATTTGTGGGATTTCAGCTAGTGGCCTTCAACTGTATATGCTTGAAATCGTGCAAGTTAAATGCACTTAAGATGCAATCATACTGTATAATTTTCTTTTCTTTTAACGTTATGCTTTTGATTGGCTGTTGTCTCGTGGCACTGTAAGATGCTGTGAATATAACAGACAGAAGAAGCAAACTAATGAATAAAATCCATATACTGTATTTAAGTATGTGTATATTTGCACAGACAACACTCAGCTTACCCCTGATGCCTGAGAAACCTTTCCCCTCCCTGTGGCTTTATTTTTTTTGTCCTTGCACTCCTCTTTCATGCCAGGCACTCTCCTTGCCTAAACCCTATAGAGAGATCTAGATTAATTTCCCAGAGAACACACACTGCTCACTTTGCTTCATGGGGAGAGCTGCCTGGTGGAGTTCAAACCCAGATCAAAGTGGCAGCAGAGGCACCAGGCCTGTACTTCCACCCTGACCACGAGGGGTGAGTCAGAGGCCCTGAATCAAACAGTTACGTCAACAGGAAAAGCAGAAAAAATGAGCTGAGGGGTTAGGATAGCTTGAAGCCACACCTCACAAAGGTACCCCCTGAGCTACTGGGTTGTTGGAAGATGGGACACAATGAAGGAAAGCAATAAACACATCAGCCCATAGCCCATTCCCACCCTACCTCCTGCTTCTCCATCATAATCAGTAGGTTCCTCTCCAAAATACTTAGTACTAATTCTTTAACTCTTTAGAATTCTGACTTCTTTCCGTCTCCCCATAAGAAAACCCATGAGTTCTGGCTCTCATCACCTCTAACTGTAACCAAGGACAACACAAACCCTTCTTTGGTGCCTGAGGGAGAAAACCTAAATGGTGTTCTACTCCTCCAGTCCCACCCCATCTATCCAACAAATAATCCAACATCTGCTGCTTTATAAAGGTACATCTGAATCTGCCCCTCCAATCAGAATGCTTCACCCTGCCTAAGGTTAGGGCCGGAGCAGACTGTAAACTTGCACATCTCGCAGAGAACCGAAGCATCTTAAGTTCTGTGTCCTTTCTCCACACTATCAGGAGCTTTCTAGAGGCAGAAAGAAAGAGAAGGCAGGAAGGCCTGAAAATTTTATATTCTGAAATAGAATCTATCAAACAGGTAAATCAGAAGCAAGGAGCCAGGAGTCCTGGATTCCCTGAGAGGAAGTTTTGGGCATAAGAAGGCCAAAGACAGATCTCTTTGGGTTCTCTTTGCATGAGATTCAATGGGCAGAGGAGGAAATGGGTTCAGCACACATTTTCCCACCTGTTTAATGTCCCTCCCCAGTTTTGAATTCTGTAGCTTTGCTGCATGTTTACCTGTTCCGCAGAGTGTCCCCAGGTGCTGCAGTCTCCCACTGTCACCCACTCTCACGCATCCAGCAGGCCAGGCTGCATCTTCCACTGGGGTATGGTGGCCACTCTCAGCTCTGGCGTTCCTGAGTGTGCTGTGTGTGACTTAAGTCCAGCGATGACTGCGCACGGATTTCCCGTGCCTCTGGTCATTCACACACAGGAGGTGGGGCAGGAAAGAGAGGTGGGGGGGCAGGAAACTGACTGGGAAGCAGGGCCTCTCCCAAGAACCGGGGAGGGCGCAGGAGCAGGGAGTGGGGCAGACAGGCTAATAAGACCTCTGAACTAGCAGGAGCAGGAAGCCCCAGGCTGTTAAACAGAGGTGGGGAGGGGATAGATTTAGAAAATCAGAAGTTGGGGTGTGCGGTTTTTGACATTTGATGGCTTTGCTGTCATCCAACAATGAGGCCTACAGGCAGAATCATTTGGCCTTGAGGGAAGCTATGTGAAAAGCCTGCATAGTCTGGCTCCTCAGAGCTGGTTGTATTCCTCCACTACCATGTGCAGGATTCAGCTTTGTGGCATGCTGCTAAGGTTGCCAACATTTTAACCAGCCACTGCAGTTGTGCCTATGCTATGAAGATATGTGCAGATTGGCAAGATTCTTGAAGCGATTTACAAAAACTGTAAAACTGAATGCAAGAAATGCAATAGTAAAGATCAAAATAGGGTGGATACCCTGGGGGACAGCCTTAGGGACAGCCTAGTGAAGCCTTCCCTAACCTGTTGCCTTCCAGATGTTTTGAACTACCACTCCCATGATGGCTAGTGTGTATAGGAGGAGTTGGGAAGGCCCTCCCTACGTTGTTGGACTCAGATTTCCATCAGGCCCAGCCAACATGGCCAAAGAACAGATATTATAGGAGTCATAGAAATCAGGAGCCATATGCTCCAGTTAGATCCCCACTATTCAGGAAAAGCAAAAGCAATTGCAATTGCAAGCTAAGGAAAAACAGTGTGTTGTCTGCACTCAGTCTGTATGCATACTATCATAGGCGTGTGAATGTTGTGGGCAGTATTATTGGCTCAGATGTGGCATATGGGTGGGAGAATTTGGCACAGTATTAGGCAGGGGCCAGGGCATGAGTGCTGCCAACCCTCTGGACGCTGCACGTGCATAAATATATTTCCCACACCTGTTTCCTTAGTCATTATTCTGGGCGGAGATTTGCTTCCCCTTTGCCACGCTCCCCTTCATATGCACTTTCGCCCACCCGCTTCGGCTGTTTTACAGGGTGTGTGTAGCTTTCCCCCGACCCCAATCATTTTCTTCAGCTGGGACTTGGGGTGTGTGCTTGCACAGTACATGAGCCTACATTTCCCCTACACCCTTTTCCCTGGTCCTGTAGGCTTGGGTGTGGGCAAGGGAGTGGGTGTTTATGACCTGACTTCACACCTTCCATTTGTTTCCAGTGTATGTTGGGTGTGCCTTTCGTATGTGCTCGCAGGACCTTGGCTTCAGGCAAATTGCTGATCTAGGTAATATTTGAGTCACTCTGAGCTCCATGATATTGCGATTCTTCAAGCCTCTTGCGTCCCACATGGTCAGATGACAAGAAGTACTGACCAGTTGACTTATATTCTTCATTTTAAAAGACACAGCAGTGTGTGGGTGGGTGTAATTCAGACCATGTCACTGGAGGGGGATTTAATCCTAATACTTTCTTACTAGATCTGCTCCCCACCCACCAAATTAAAAGCACCTCAATCTCCCTGAAGCTGTTGTTTGACCTGTTCGGGAAAACTTACCTGTACAGATTTGAATGAAAATTAAATGTACCAATTTTCTGTGGCTTTTATGTTCAGAGTTCACAGAGGGAGATGATTGCAGAAATGCTCAACAGATTCAAAAGCCACCTCAAGATAATGGAAAAGGTCTAAACAATATTGGATGGAGATAAATCAAACATTCATGCAGAAGAATGAGGGAGGGGGTGAAATAAAGGAAAGAAAATGACCTGAACACTGTCATTTATAGGAACAAATTTATTGAGAATGATTATTCCCTCAGCTTGTTTTGAATGAACATTTTATGTTGTTTTCCCCTTCTTTAAACCTACCAAAATAACCTTAACTCAGTGTCACATCTGCTGAGGTAACTAACAGCTTGACCAAGTTATTTCAGATGGTCTGGAAGAACATCTGCTGTGGGTCCATAAGGCAAGGGGAGGTTGAAGTTTATATCCTACCAGCAAAGGTTCCCTGTGCACGCTCACCATCCCAGCGTTGTATCTGAAGGGAGGGAAATAGAAAGGAGGTTGCGGAAGCTTAGTCAACAGCCCCCGACATTGTGGTACTTAGGGCAAAATAAATCAAGTTATATCTTCCCACAGTAATGGATAATATAATTAACATTATCATCTACGTAATTCACAATTTTCAGTTCTCAAACAGTATTCCAAAATCTCCCACCTGAGGGAGAAATATTGTGATCAAGAGCCTGTATACTTTGCTGTATTTTTAAAGTTTTAATTCTAGAATAATCTGATTAGGCCAGGGATGGGAAACTCCAGGTGTTGTTAGGGTGACAACTCCCATTATACCATCCCGACCATTGACCATGTTGGAGCTAGCAGGAGTTGTGGTCCAGCAAAAGCTGGAGAGCCACAGGTTCCCCATCTGTGGCTAAGCAATCCAAATTCTATGCTGAGAAAACTGGATTTTGTGACCCGTATAAATTATGCAAATTTAGAAAATGTTTTGTATAGCTTATTCTGCACTTGATACTGTATTTTTCAAAATTCTGGTTTTGCTAGTCCTGAAGAGCCTAGTGGCCTGGAATCTTGGGCCTGGTCTATGCAGCAGACTAAGATAGCAGAATGATCCTGAGGCAGAACAACAACACTTCAGACACTAGGTGTGGGATACCATTCCTCATAAGAAAAGAAAATAAAACATTCAAGGCATATAAAAAGCTACCAGATCAGCTATCTGCTGTCTTATTTTTCTTCTTACTGGAAGTTGTTGTTTTTTAATGCAGACTAGCAGTCTGAAGTGACTTTAAATATAGTGTACATACATATATTTCTGCTGTTCAGCCAGTATATCTTGCTATGTATCTGATTTTGCTCCAAGGATCCTCTGTGATAAAGGATTTTGCATAAAGATACTAAAAATTGCCCAAAATGCAGGCCATGACTTGAGTTTTGGCAAAAAAATTATCATTTGCTACGTTTGCATCAAGCTGCCCCTTTTTAAAGGGGTGGAATTTTTAATCAGGCAAGTTGTCATCCCCCTCCCCAAGGCTGAAATTTGGTTCAAGGTACAAAATAAGCCCCATTTCATTCCCAAAACATTAAAGAGCATTTTTAAGCAAAAACAAAATGAAACCATATCTGTTGTTTCAACTCCATGTTGGTTACAACTTCATTGACATTGTTGAAAAGAAAGAGTGCAACTGACTTGATTCTTTTTTACTTACCCAGGAAACTGGACACAAGGATTTGTAGACCCTGTGGTACCATTCACACACCTTGATGTCCTTGCCGTTGGCTTTTACGGTCTTCACACAGCGGTAATAATCTGCAAGAAAGGAAAAAGAAGCAACATGTCAACTTCTAAAGTGTCACCACTTCTGTTTCTGCACTGGTGGACATTTAATGTCTGCTTAACTTCCATATCATCTGTAGCTTTGTACCAGCAAGCAGGAGTCACCCTCTCTGTAATGATAAAAAGTTCCTCTAGCCACTAAGATATCTCAGTCTGAACCTACCAACAGGACACACTGAAGCAGAAGAGCACATGGCTCCTCTTGGCTTTGGCTCCAGGGACATTAACAGTACAACCCTATGCATGTCTAGTCAGAAAAAGTAAGCCCTATTGAGCTCAATGGGAGTGTGAAAGATCTAGTGGAGGGGGCTTTTGCTTACTGGCAGACCCACCCATCCTTTCACTAGGGTGAAATCCCAAACTCTCCAGGAGGTGCTGGTGAGCTAAAGTGGAATATAGAGTTTCATTTAAAAGACAGAGTGTTACTTCCAGATGGGGAGAATTTTGACTTTTTGGTTTATGTATCAGAATGTCATTTAAAGCAGCATTTGGTTGAAAAAAAGGGATCCTCCTGATACCCAAGACAGTTTCTTTGTTTGCCATTTTCACAGGCATTTCCCCCAGCTGCCTTGTTATCTGAGCAACAGAGTCAAAACTTTCTTAGCAATGAGTCTTTATTACTTCTGTGTATAGTACACCACACTACTAAAGCTATACTATATGAATAATAACAACAATATATAAAGCTGTAGAGCAGGGGTCAGCAAACCTTTTCCGCAAGGGGCCGGTCCACTGTCCCTCAGACCTTGGGGGCGGGGAATCGGACTATATTGGGGGGGGTGAACGAATTTCTATGCCCCACAAATAACCCAGAGATGCATTTTAAATAAAAGCACACATTCTACTCATGTAAAAACACCAGGCAGGCCCCACAAATAACCCCGAGATGCATTTTAAATAAAAGAGCACATTCTACTCATGTAAAAACACACTGATTCCCGGACTGTCCGGGATTGAGAAGGCGATTGGGCCAGATCTGGCCCCTGGGCCTTAGGTTGCCTACCCATGCTGTAGGGGTTAGGAAGGGCATCTAAGCATATATACGATGAAAAGCCTCTGACAAATAAAACATATCTTATCAGCCTGCCCCTCCCGAATATCTCAAAAGTACCATGCATGAAAAATTTTGCCCAATGCAGCCATATCCCTCTCTTTTACCCACCCAGGTAGTTCTGGTAGCAGTTCTTGGTCTGGTTGGTGTTTGGAAAGCGTGGGTCAAATGGGGCTGTGAGATAGTCACCCTGTTTTTTCTTCAGTTGGTTGATCTCTTCTACTGATGGTGCAGCAGCTGAAAAGGTCTGCATTTCTGAGAGGGGGGAAGATGAGACTCAAGTAACCTGCAACACTGCCTATCGTCAGAGCAGACAGCCACCCCAGCTCTCAGCTACATCCTAGAGAACTTAAGAGTTCTGGTCAGAAATAGCTTTTAATTCCCAGTTCCTTTGCTCTAAAGCAGGGTTGCCATATTTCAAAAAGTAAAAACCAGGACACCCCAAAGTTGTTGAGCATACTTTTTTTACAAAAACGCGATTTTTCGATTGATCCTGTACATCAATTCTGCCTTTGAAATCCCAGTTAATGCCTTGGAAAATTCCGCCATATGGCAGTCCTATCTAACAATCCCAAAGCGCTGCAAGATTACCGTATTTTTCGCTCTATAACACGCACCAGACCATAACACGCACATAGTTTTTAGAGGAGGAAAACAAGAAAAAAAATATTCTAAACAAAATAGTGGATATATGATTTTTGTGGTTCATGCTGTGGCCACAGACATGTGATCTGACAGTGAGTTTGGAGTAGCCCAATGCAAAAATCCTGAGGATCCATGTGGATCCATGCTTTGTAACCATGGAGGAGGGAAGGAAGGGGAACCATGGATCCTCTGCTCACGACTGCAGGAGATCCCCCCCCCGCCACCCGCAGGCATTTGCTCCATAACACGCACAGACATTTCCCCTTACTTTCTAGGAGGAAAAAAGTGAGTGTTATGGTGCAAAAAATACGGTAATACACCTCTGTTTTTCTCTTGGCCTAGTGTTCAACCCAATCCGGCCCATGCTTTAGCCTAGCGGTTCTCATATTCCTTCCAAACTCTTATTCCCCTCCTTGCATCATCTACTCCTCTTCTCTGCTTTAGTCCTTCCTTTCCACAGATGTCATATTACAATGACTTGTCATGGGCCTCTTAACTCCTAGCTGTTGCCACCAGAGGTGTACCTAGGCTCCCCTGGCAAGGAGCTGTATCGGTGCCCCCTCCCCCGACCCTCGCACTCCTCTGCCGAGGTGCCTAGAGTAGCCTGTGCACCTCGCCCTGCTGCCCAGAGCAGACTTGTAGTGTTGGGAGGGACCACGAGGCTCATCTAGTCCAACCCCCTGCAATGCAGGAATCTTTCACCCGGCGTGGGGTGAAAGACACACTCTGGGATCAGGCCAAAGGCCCTTTTAGCCCAGCATCCTGCTGTCACAGTGGCCAACTGGATGTGTCCACATGCAGGACCTGAGTACAATAGTACTCTTTCATTCACGATCCCTCACAATCCTGCTCCATCCTCACTGGTGATTCCTAGGGCCTGGTATTCATAGCCATCCTGCCCCCCAACAGCATGGACAGGGCCCTAAAGCCTCTCTGCCAACCAAAGTGCTGAAGGAAAACCAACCCTGGGATTATGGGTTGTATGGCAGCTGCAAACTGGCAAGGTTTTCTAGGACTGAGGTAGTGGTTTCGTTCCGACTTTTCTCTCCCCCAACCCCCTGCATGGAGTAGCAGCCCAAGAAATTTCCAGAAGGCGCTGAAGGGAAAGCCTTTCAGCCAATCAAATGGCAGATACCCTCCTCCTGGCACAACTGACGGTGGGTTGGGAATAACTGCCACGGAATCTTCTGGAAGGGGTGCAAAGGGAAGAATGGACAGTGGTGTGTCTTAGCGGCCAGATAGGGCAAAATGTTCCCACCTCTGCCAGAGGAAAGAGGCCACTGTTCAATCCTGTATTTTCACACACACTCACACACAATCTGAAGAAAAAAATGATGTGGAATCTTCCTGATTCAAATTAGAGAATAGAAGTCTGTCCATCCCGCCTCCCCACACCCCATTTTTATGACTCCCAATGATGGATGTTGCCAAATTTGGAGAGGGTTTTTTTTTAAGGGGAGGGGGGATGTAACTGTAGTGAGTTTGGTGTTTGCATAAATGTATGCCATGTCCTTTCCCTTGAGGGTGCAAATGTCCCCAAAAGAAAGCAAAGCAGACGCAAGAGTTAGGCACAAAGCAAATATGTTTATTGTTCAGCTGAACAGATCTAACCAGATCTAACCAGCTCACACCAGAAAGGCAGGGTAGACAACTTGCATCTACTGTTCCCTAAACAGATACTCCTACAGCCTTTGCTCTTCTGTTGTCAGCTATAAGTGGAATTGCAATTGGCTTTCCACACTCCCAGTAGTCCAGCATTTTTGCCTTGGCCAGAAGGCCCCACTGCCAACAACAACAACAACTACAACAATTATTTATACCCCGCCCATCTGGCTGGGTTTCCCCAGCCACTCTGGGCAGCTTCCAACAGAATATTAAAAACACAATAAACCATCAAACATTAAAAACTTTCCTAAACAGGGCTGCCTTCAGATGTCTTCTAAAAGTCAGATAGTTGTTTATTTCCTTGACATCTGATGGGCGGGCATTCCACAGGGTGGGTGCCACTACCGAGAAGACCCTCTGCCTGGTTCCCTGTAACCTCACTTCTCACAGGGAGGGAACTGCCAGAAGGCCCTCGGAGCTGGACTTCAGTGTCTGGGCTGAACGATGGGGGTGGAGACTCTCCTTCAGGTATATTGGGTTGAGGCTGTTTAGGGCTTTAAAGGTCAGCACCTAAACTATGAATTGTGCTCAGAAACGTACTGGGAACCAATGTAGTTCAGTGGCCACTCCCAGTCACCAGTCTAGCTACCGCATTCTGGATTAGTTGCAGTTTCCGGGTCACCTTCAAAGGTAGCCCCACATAGAGTACATTGCAGTAGTCCAAGCGGGAGATAACTAGAGCATGCACCACTCTGGCAAGACAGGTAGGGTCTCAGCCAGCATACCAGATGGAGCTGGTAGACAGCTGCCCTGGACACAGAATTGACCCATGCCTCCATGGACAGCTGTGAGTCCAAATGACTCCCAGGCTGCGAACCTGGTCCTTCAGGGGCACAGTTACCCCATTCAGGACCAGGGAGTCCTTCATACCCACCTGCCCCCTGTCTCCCCAAAACAGTACTTCTGTCTTGTCTTGTCAGGATTCAACCTCAATCTGTTAGCTGCCACCCACCCTCCAACCGTGGCACCATTGTCCTGCGGAGTTGTAGAGCAGGCTGTGTAAAGGGCTGCTCCGATCCCGACTCCCTAGCATAGGAGCAGCCAAAGTGGCCAGTTTCTCAGAAGTTATTTCAGCTGGCTGGTTGGCTGGCTGACTAGCCTGGATGGACTAGGTGCTGTTGCCTTAGCACACTCCACTCCAAAAGGTCCAGCAGCTCCTGCGGTCAGTGAGCCCAGCCCTTGACTCTCCTGAGCCTGAGTAACTAAATAACAGTGGAACGGATTTTGTCAGGAGGTGGTGGGCTCTCCTTCACGGGAGGTTTTTAATAAGAGATTGGATGGCTATCTGCTTTAGTTGAGATTGCCTGCATTGCAGGGGGTCCCTTCCAACTCTGCAATTCTTTGATATGATTCTAGGATCCAGGTACCCTGATTTTGGATGTTGCTGCCTCTTTAATGTAAAAACTCCTCCATAATGTTCTCCCTCCTCACTCTCCAAGGCCAAATAGTCTTAGTTTAGCCATGAACATCTCAGCACTTGGTGCTTTGGAGAAGCAGCTGAGAGTTGGCACCTCTGGCAGCACCATCATTTCCCTGCCCTTCATCTCAGGGGTGTGTGTGTGTGTGTGTGTGTGTGTGTGTGTGTGTGACTGCAGCTGCAAGAGTATGCATAGCACCACCCCTGGTGGCTATTTCTGGAATGCACCTTCCTCAGAAGACCCACTCCAGAGCTCAGATTGGATCTCTTCAGGCTGGGAGCGGGTCTCCTTCCAAGCCAGAGGCTTGTTGAGGCTGCTCAGTTGAGACAAGGGGAGCCTTCTGTGCCTCAGCTGAGCAGCTTAGAGGGTCTCCCTGTCTCTCTGGGAGGCTGAAGAGCCTCAGCAAAGCCCCTTTGCGCCTCCGGCTCACAAGTAGACCCTCCCTGGAGCCTGAAGATAAAATCATCTACGGTCTCCAGAGACGATCTCCTTGCGAGCCAGAGGGGCTTTGCGGAGGCTGGGCAGGTCTCTCCCCTCACTTCGGGGCCCAGCTGAGAGGTGCCAGAACACTGTTCCAGCGCTTTCCAGCTGAAAAAAAAGCCCTGCTTTTACCACCCATACACTCTGTTTAGGTAGTTCCTTCTGGAGTCCCCCACAATCTCTTTTTGTTTTACTTACCATGGAACAGTTTAGTATCATCAGCAAAATTGGTCACCTCACTGACCACTCCTAATTTTAGATCATTTATGAACAAGTTTGAGCAAACTGCAGGAGGCAGTGGAAGACAGGAGTGCCTGGAGTCGGACAAGACTAAATGACTAAACAACAACAATGAACAAGTTAAAAAGCACAGGTTCCAATACGGATCCTTAGGGCACTCCACTTTCTACATCTCATCATTCAGAGAACTGGCCATTCATACCTACTCCTTGCTTTGTGCAGCTTAACCAATTCCTGATCTACAAGAGGACCTCTCTTCTTCCTTGACTGCAAAGCTTACTTTGGAGTCTTGGGTGAGACACTTTGTCAAAAGCTGTGGACTCATCCACATTTACCTTTTGCCCCGAGCTTTCTAGGCACAGGTCTGCACTTTAAAGCACTGTGTCTCAGCACTTTTTTTCTGGCACCAGCACTTTCCCTGCAAAAACTTGCTGTTTAACACTAAATTGGAACAAACAGCAATTTGGATTTTCCAAGCTAGCCTTTTCCTCTGAGGGAAAAAATTTAAATGGTGCTCCAACCCTCCACATCACCCACCCACCTAGCCAACAAATTATCCACAAGTGGAGTGATAACATTTCTTCATTTGGCAGGTCACACTTGAGCAAAGGTAGGCAAACTAAGGCCCGGGGGCTGGATCCGGCACAGTTGCCTTCTGGATCCGGCCCACAGATGGTCTGGGAATCGCCGTGTGGATCGGCATGGATCTGATCGTTCGGGCTGCACCAGTGTGCACATTCAGCAGCGCCTCCTCCCTCCCTCCTCCTTGCTTCTCCCTACCCTTCCTAGAGCCAAGAAGAAGGGGACTGGGCTTTGTTGGTGCCAGCAGCAGCAGCGTTAGCGCTCTAGTGGCCACCATTGTAAGCAGGCTCAATTTGGGCTTTGTTGCTGCCAGCCCTCTCCGGAGCCCTCTCGCACCGTCCTGCTGCCGCCAGCCCCTGCCGCTCGCAAAACACAGGTAAGGAGCCACCGGGGCTTGTTCGGTACTGTGGAGAAGGGAGGGGAGAGTCGTGGGGGGTGTGTGGCTTACCTAAGTAGAATGTGGGCTTTTATTTAAAATGCATCTCTGGGTTATTTGTGGAGCCTGCCTGGTGCTCTTGCATAGAATGTTGTGTCCTTTTATTTAAAATGCACCTCTGGGTTATTTGTGGGAATTCGTTCATATTTTTCCCCCAAAATATAGTCCGGCCCCCCACAAGGTCTGAGGGACAGTGGACCAGCCCCCTACTGAAAAGGTTTGCCGACCCCTGCACTTGAGGGTAACTATCTGGCTTACAGTCACAGGCATCAAGTCCTCGTGTCAACAATCTGTGAGATCTGGTTGGGTTTGGCTCTAACCAGAAAAGGAAAGAAAACAAGACCTCCTCCTCTTCCTTCTTCTATGTTTATTAAAAAATAGTCTGATACTTGGCATATCTATAGCAACGAGTTGTTCCAATTTCTCTTTATATATATAAGTAACCTTTATTGAGTAGTATCCTGGTTCACTCATCACTTCAACACGGGCTGTGACAGGAACCAAATGTGCCGTGGACTCCATCCAGACAAGGTCCTTTCAAAGTGGTTCAGTTACAACTTCTGAAAGCAAGAGCAGGGGAGCACAATGTTACAACACACCATCTATTTAAGGTGGTCCTATCCTGGTTTTCAATTTAAAGCCCTCAAGGCAGCTTACCTAACAAATGCAAACTATATAAAACATAACTATCAAAGAGCGGTTGTCCTCTTTGTCATTGCTTCCCCTACATCCAGGATCTCAGATACCAGTAAAAGCTTGGGTAACTAGAAGGGACCTAAGGGATAGTAATGATGGTGCCAGGCAAGCATGACTAGGCAGAGAAACCCTCTCCCTGTTAGCTGTCTACTAGGACTGTTCCTAAGCAGGTTCTCCTAGGAAAACACAGCCTTTGCTCTTCTGTTGTAAGCTATAAGTGGAACTGCAGTTGACTTTCTACACTATCAGTAGTCCAGCATTTTTGCTCGGGGCTAATGTTCTGTCCACCCTGGTTGTCATCTTCTTCATCATCATCATCATCATGATGGCTTGGTGGCCATGATGTAGCTGCAATGGATGGGGCAGCACACCTTTCCCACAACCCTTGTGATTTGTGTCATTTTATGACCCCAATTATATTTAAAATCATTATTGTAATTATTGTAAAAATGGAATGTGTTTTGGGGAGGGGCCGTAAAATTAACACTTATGGACAAATTTCCGTTGGAGCTTCAGTGGTTTAGAAATGCAGAAAGAAGCCCCTGGAAGAAAGAAGAAAGCATGGGAGAACTTTTACACTATGGGCTGGTTCAAATATGACTGCAACCTCAAGTGAAGGGTGGCACATGGAAATGGGCTATCACAGATCATCACCTCAAATGCACATTTTGCTGTCTCACCAGTACCATCCATTTAATACTGCTCTTATATCATGGTCTCATAGATAACCCTGGCAACTGTAGTTTGTTCAGGGTGCTGGGAATTGTAGGTCTGTGAGTTCCGCGTCCTAAGCATACTACAGTTCCCAGGAATCTTTGGTGGAAGCCAAAATCTTTAAAGTTGCATTAGAGTACTTCAAATGTATGGTGTGGGTTAGGTTTAGCATCTTACATTAGGGTCCGGTACCTTGTAATCACCCTTGCCTTTCAGTCTCTCCAGCGATGAGGACAAGACACTATAGATGGTTATGAAAGTAGGGCTGCTTCTTTGTCTCGCTGCAAAGCAAATGGAGCTGTTAGTAGGTGCCTGGCTCTCAGTGATACTAGCACCAGGCAGGAGCATGATGGTGGGGGATATGGGAGCTAAGCATTGCTGTAGATCATTTAATTGGCATTTAATCTTACCTGAACTCAGAGCCTTTCCCAATTTGTTTATGGACTTATTGCTCCTAGTAAAAAAGAAGTTTAATTAGTTCACTTTGTACAAGGAGTTAAACATAAAGATACAGTTATTGATTCCTTAGTATTATTATTCTAAGGTTTATAATGGCCTGAGACCATTTACTGGCCTTGCTTGGAATCCCAGGAGTGTTCCATTGAGTGTTATACAAAATAGAAATGAATGAACATGGGGGATGTTAGGGTGGTAGGCTGCTCCCACGTGCATTCCTTGGAACATACAGAGAGCCCTGTATGTGCAAGATTTCTGATCATAGGAAGAAAGGGCTCTCAATGCCAGTTGGTTCTCCCAGCTTACCTGGGTGGTTTCCCTGTGGCGCTTCTGGACTGGATCTGTTTAGCTAGATCTTTACTTTGTTTTTCTGTTTCCAGTGCTTTGCTCTGAGGTCTTGATGTTTGGCCACCCACTTTGGAGGGCCTCACACCCGCATTATCCCAGCCTTGATCAGAAGGTCCCACTGCCAGCGATGCCTTTGTCCTGCGGAGTTGTAGAGAAGGCTCCTTTTCCTTCGGGGATGGACTCTGAGAAGGGGGGTGCTCCTGCTCTGGGGAGGGGCTTAAAGGAGACTGTGGCCTGCTTGGCGTTGGGGATTTCACATCTGTGCGGAGTTGTAGAGAAGGCTCCTTTTCCTTCGGGGATGGACTCTTAGAAGGGGCGCGCCCCTGCTCTGGATAGGGGTTTAAAGGAGTCTGTGGCCTGCTTGGATTTGGGGATTTCACGTCTGTGCGGAGTTGTAGAGAAGGCTCCTTTCCCTTCGGGGATGAACTCTTAGAAGGGGGGCGCCTCTGCTCTGGGGAGGGGCTTAAAGGAGTCTGTGGCCTGCTTGGCTTTGGAGATTTCACGTCTGCTGTCTGTGAATGTGAGGGGCTGCTCCGATTCCGACTCCCAAACGTAGTAGGAGCAGCCAAAGTGGCCAGTTCCCCAGAAGTCATTCGATCATGCGAGCTAAGTAGCCTGGATGGGTTAGATGCAGCTGCCTTAGCACCCACTCCACGAGGTCCAGAGGCCACTGAGGTGGGAGATCTTGGGGCAGAAGTGGCGGGTAGTGGTCTGGACGTGTGCCCCTGGAAAGGAAGAAGGAGATGCTATCCTCCTGGCCTAGGTGGGTAATGGAGTCCCAAAAGGCAGGGAAAGATAAAGGCAATTATCATACCTTTGCTTCCAAGGAAAGCTTGGCCCACCCACTTCTCGATGAGCTAGAGCTCCTGCTTTCTGAATCCATTCAGGAAGGTGGTCCCCTGAGCACTGCCAGCTGAGCGCTTTCCAGCTGTTGGGCGGGAGACTCCACTAGACTACATGGGCAGGGGACCATGTAAAAACATTTTGCCTACTACAATACAAAACATGGAGCATCCCCCATCCCAATCTTTTGCTTTTAAACATCTTGCCTGAACTCAGAAGCTTGCACACTATTTTGTTATATCTTGGTTGGTCATAAGAACATAAGAAGAGCTTGCTGGATCAGGCCAATGGCCCATCTAGCCCAGCATCCTGTTCTCACAACTGCCTACCAGATGCCTACAGGAAACCTGCAAGCAGGTCCAATAAGGGAATCGTCTGAATATGGATTGTAGAACATGGACAGCATTTGATTTCATGTGAAGAACTGAAACTCTGCTCTTCTCCCAGGCTCTGGCTTCCCACATTGGTGCCATTTTTTTGTCATAAAGCACCCCGAGTCGCATAGCCAGTGGGTCATCTGTAATGGCATCTACAGAGTCGGAGAAGGAAACGTTCAGACTCTTTTAACTGTTCTTACCTCCCTGGCTGGGATTTCACGTGTTTCTTGAGCAGAGCGGCCAGCAACACCTTTAGAGGGGGGAAAGGAGAGGAGGCAGGAAGCAAGATAGTGAATGCTGTGGAGGCTCCAAAGAGACTTGTGGATGAAGAGGGGTCTGTAGAAAATAGTGAAGAGGCACAGGTTCTAGGGAAATATACCCCTGCTCCCCCAGCTGCTTCAGACACTCAGCTGCATTAAAGCTGACGTTTAACCTGAGGGGGCCCTTGACTTCAATCCTTCCATCCTTACCTGATTTTCGGATGATACGTTTTGCAACAGGGGCACTTTCCCTGCAATGGAAAGGCTGGAATGAAAACTGCACCAAAAAAACCCAACAAAACAACACTAAAAAAAAAAAACTACCACAGTTTGACCAGAGCTGAATCATTGACTCCAGCATTCTGCAACTTGGTGCCTTCCAGATGTTTTGGACTCTAACCAGGGCTGGGCCCAGGACACCTTGCCACTTGAGGCATTCCACCTCAACTCCCTGCTACTCTGCCTGTGCGGCAGTGGAGTATGTCACGCAGACGCAGCTGTGGTGTGGGAAGGACATGGTTGTAGACGAAGTGGCAGATGAGGCAGCGTGGAGGCAGCACAGCCACAGAAGCAGTGGCAAGAGCAGTGCACTCCTCGGTCCTGATCTGCTACCTGAGGCAACTGCCTCACTGTGCCTCATCTCCCATCACCCTTAGCCAGCATGGTCAAAGGTCAGGAATGGTGGGAGTTGTAATCCAAAACATCTGGAAGGCAGCACACTGGGGAAAGCAGATTTACTCACAGAGATGGGAACAGGGACACACTTGTGCTACCTGCATTCTCATTGTAAAGTTTGCTAGCAAGGCCTCTCCTCTGCCACTACCCCTCACCACCCCATTGCATATTGTTGAAGACTCAGTCCTCCCCCCACCCCATAGACTGGAGTGGCCTGACCACCAGCTTAAAAGCAACAATTGTGTTTGTCCTTTTGGTTAAAGAGCAAAACACAGGTGCCTGACAATGTGTTCTCTCTACAAAATATACTTCCAGATACCCCTTGATTGTCAACTCATTGCATTTCCAGAGTTGGGTCGTTAATCCATGTTCACATGACATTATCCAAAATGCCTGTGTCTCCTGGGTTTTGTTATAATACTGTTGGGTGAAATGTTTCTCAAGCCAACTTCACACTGATTGGAGTGCTTAAACCATTTCTAATTTCTAGCCAAGATAAGAACACCTTTCCATAGGGTAAAGACATTGCCACCCCATCAGTGCCCCCTGCTGTGTTCACAAGCAGAAGCTAATCTGACAGTAATGAAGCTGGGCTGATGTGAACAGCTAGTGTTGCTGGCCAGGCACTATACCATGGTGCAAAGCATAATGAATAAATGAAATGCAACTCCTTCTACACTCCAGGGCAGCTGCATTGGGCACGCAGGCTGAATCAGAAAAAGTACTGCCTCAATGGACTAATGCAGAGCTTTCCAAACATTTCATGTTGGTGACACACTTTTTAGACATGCATCATTTTGCAACACAGTACCATAATTCAGTTTTACCAGCAAACTGAAGGTTAAAACTAACCCCTTTCCAGCCTGGGGAGGAGCACAGGGAGGGTTAATGCGACACACCTACACACTGCAGCCAACACACTAACATTTGAAACCAAGTAGGGAAGCAAGACCTGTTAGGAGGCTAATAATGTAAGTCCCTCCATCCTATGCTCAGGTTGTATATCCTAAAGACAACAGTGTCTCCGCTGGCCATCATTTCGAGGCAATGAACTCTGGGTAAGCACAGGCAACCCTGGAGTCTCTTGCCACTTGGAGACTAGGACTGCATGCAATGATATCAAGTTAAGGGTTGTTAATCCCAATACAGATGAAACACATACAGGGATCCTGACGTGCTCTTGACCAGGTTGGCTTCACGCAGCTGCTCCTTCACTATTTCATTGGAGTCTTCTTCAGCCATGACAATTGCAAGCCAATGCTGATGGAGAAAGACAGCGAGTCATGCACACGTATAAGGATACAGTAAGGATGGCAGCCAGGGACTGGGATGTGGGGCAAGGGTGAGGGTTAGGCACCCATAACAAACTACACTTCCCAGGATTCTTTGGGGGAAAGGCAGGTTTTAAATGTATGGTGCATGTACGCATCTGAAACAGAGAGACTGATGGGTTGGCCAATGTGACGGGCAAAGGTGGTAGACTTTGAGGGGGCTTTGTTTCATGAGACTGACCTTCTCGGGCGTAGCACGAAAGCTAGCGCTCTTCCATATCGTGTGGAGCCCGGACTGCTTTGACGTAAAGCTGACTGGATCACTGATCCTGCCACTGGCCACATTCAAGACATAAATGAGACGCAGCCAGCGCTGAAAGATGATGTCCTCTTGCCCTGCAGGGGCACAGAGTTGCAGATAATATTTCCGGCCATTTGCCATCTTCACTCTCAGCTGCCGTTCATTCATGCTATGTACTTGAAACGCCACCAGGTTTAAAGAGATCAGCCTGCGGGCAGAGGAAAGACTCAGCCTAGGAACCTCTGAGGTGGTGGTGGTGGTTTCTCTGGGAAGGTTTTGGGGCGATGGAGAGCAGGAGCTGGGTGGCTGTGCTAGTCTCACCTAGTGACTTCCAGGTCTTTAGCCTTTGCCTCTATATCTCTGATGCCTTTTCTCACCCGGGCAATGACCATCATGTCTGGAAGCAGCAAACCTGGACTGCTGGACAAAATGCCAACCATAACTAAATTGGGTTGGTTGTGGATCACGGCATATTCACCCGTCTTGGTTAACTGCATGGAGAGAGGAGGGTAAGGAGTCTGCTAAGAACGGAACAAATGCACGGGTGTTGGGCACCTCAAACAAGCTAGAGCACCTGGAACTGACCGGGCGCTGCAGGGAGTAACTAACAGGACATTTCCCCAGCTGTTCCTCAAAGGATGGCCTTCTGCAGGCCTGGAGTCTCTTCAACTCGCTATCAAAACTGGGTGGAAGGAGGCAGAAAATGGTCACTGCCTCTGGCTCCTCCTCCTGTTTGGGCTCCCTGACTCTCTGCCCTATCAGTTCCAATGGGCACCAGCAGTGGCAGATCTTGGGGTCTCACACTTCAGCGGTGCCCAAAATTTGGTGCACCCCACCTCTCATACTCCAGTTCTAAATCGTAGTTGTGGCATTCCTTGGGTGGGCTCAGCCCCATCAACTGCATTTTGGGGGGGGGGGGCTGAAGTCACCTCAGCCCTTAGGAGTTGGCACCCCTCCTCCGACAGGGAGCCATGCAAGAGAAATCTCTCCCTTCTGTATGAAAAAAACCCCACTGCCCGGCCATGACCAACGGTCCATCACCTGTAGAAAGGTCCCCTCAAAGATCTCCCCTTCTCCTAATGGAGAATACTCCGGCCTCCGCAGCAGCTGCTTGAGTCTCCCTGTTGCTGAGGACCGGCCCTGCGCAACCCGTCTGCCTCTGCGGGTTTTACGTGGAGCCCTCCTCCACTGACGTTCTAGGAGACATTGGGAAATAAAAACAAACAAAAATAAAAAAATAAATCCCACCCTAACCCCTCCCCCAGACTAGAGGCCTCTCCCTTAAAATCACAGACTGCATGCACACACCGTATGTTCAAATTGAATTCCTCCAAAGAATCCCGGGTACTGCAGTTTGTTAAGGGGCTGGAAACTACAGTGGTACCTCGGGTTACATACGCTTCAGGTTACATACACTTCAGGTTACAGACTCCGCTAACCCAGAAATAGTGCTTCAGGTTAAGAATTTTGCTTCAGGATGAGAACAGAAATCGTGCTTCGGCGGCACAGCAGCAGCGGGAGGCCCCATTAGCTAGAGTGGTACCTCAGGTTAAGAACAGTTTCAGGTTAAGAACAGACCTCCAGAACGAATTAAGTACTTAACCCGAGGTACTACTGTATAGCTCTGTAAATACAGCTTCCAGGATTTTTCAGGAGGGTGTGTTGCTTTAACTGTGGGGGTAATTCTGTGGTGACATCATCTTTTGTGTTTTAGGTAACATTATTTGAACTCCAATTGTTTGTTAACTGGCTGGATCTTCCCTACAAAACTAATCAAGAAGTATGCCTCAGGAAGTTTGAATGCTTAATTCTTATTGCGATTTTACACACCCCACCCAGCTCAACAACTCAGCATCTTAGCTCCTCCTACCTTGAGGGCGTTTGTTCATAGCTGCGTTCCTAGGATCACAAAATGCTGTCTTTTGTGACTGAAAGGATCAGTGTTCAAGAACACCTCGTCTCTGCAACAGGTTCACCAGAAACTGATATGCACCCCTCTCCCAATGTAATATAATGTTGGCTTGCAAGCCTCCACATTGTGACATCAGCTGTCCAACCGGGGCCAGGCTGCTCAATTGTTGTCAGGCAGCTGAATGAATAGTAAAAAGGGAAAGGGACAAGCATGGGCATAGTCAGGATTTATGATGGAGGGCAGGAATTATGGGGGGGGGGACAGAAGCGAGCTTATTGCAACACGGTTGGTTGGTTGGTTGGTCAGTTAGTTTATTTATTTGTTTACTTGATTTAGGTGGGCAGATGCTCCCCGCCTTCCCCCTTGGCTACGCCCATGGGATCAAAATGTAGTGGAGCGAGAGTGTGATAGTTGTGCATCCTGCTCTATCCCTTTAGCAGCCTGACAGAAGGCAGCACCGTAGAAGTGTATAAAATTATGTGCAGAAAGTGGACAAGGAAAAGTTCCGCTCCCTCTCTAGTGTGAGATCCACACCACACATTTAAAGCACACCCAGTGCACATTTAAAGCCCGCGACGTCTCCCCCAAAGAATCACGGGAACTGTAGCTGAAAACTCGTTTGCTTCGACTAAGCATGAAAGAATGGTTTTCCCCAGTGGAAAAGAGCAGCAGTGAGGACAGCCCCCGCAGTGAGCACATCCAGTTTTTGAAAACTCCTCCAGTCAGTGATGCACTTTGAGGCCTTGTCGGTGCTTAATGGCGGTAGTTGTGATTATCACAACCCTCCCATTTCTCTGTAGGACTCGCCTGCTAAAAGGCGTGCTGGTTTTATCAGTGTCGATGTCCATGCCCCTTGCCGGTTCTACTATGTGAGTTGTGTTTCTGGTCATCCCATAGGAAGGAAAGCCCTCATTTTAGTAATGTCTGAACATCTATTGAGAAAGGAGCAGATACACACACAAAAAGGTGTGTGAGAGAGTAGGACGTCTTTTACAACAGATGGGGAACTTGTGGTGGGAGAAGCCAACAATAAATCCAGTTCATGTGCAAACAAGAGGATGACCTGATGACAATGACGATGATGATAGTAATAATAATAATTAAAGCTTTATTAGAAACCAACCCACAGAAATAGACCCTGAGAGGCCGCCGGAGACCCTCACCCTTGGGTGAGACAAACAAACAAGGAACAGCAACCCTGAGAAACTTAACAGTGAGTTGTGTGTCCCGGCCGGCCCTAGCATCACTCCAAAACTGCAGCCAGGATCTGATCAGCTCAATAGCACCGGGAACCAATTCAATCAATATTCCGCTTCCAGATCAAAGGCAGCACAGCAGGGAGAGGGCTCCCCCTTCAGGCCTCTCTGAGTAGTGCTGCCTCACAGCCTTCAACAAATCCATGCCTGTAGTTCAAGATTTTCCATGTCTTCTCCTCATGTCTCAACCCGTAGAATCAAAAGTGCATCAAAGAATCACACGTGAAAGGAGGACGGGATGGTGGTGGTGGTGGTTGTAGCTCCAATGCGCTTGGATGCTGCTCCTTTTCCAGATAAACCTAGGAGTCCTGGTTCTTGGCCTTGTGTGCTCTAACTCACCAGATCTGCTTCCTTCATTCCCAACTGGAACAGAGGCCTCTTCCCTTCTACATGACCCAGATAGCTGCATTCTGGCTCCCAACCATCTGGCCACTAAGAGGGAAGTTGCTGGTGCTGTATAACCCAGGGAGGCATGAACATAGCAGGATTCGACAGGGGTGTAGTCCGTATCAGAGCAGGTTGACTTACTGCAAAGCAGCACAGTGCTCCAGTTCCTTAGCAGTGGAAGTGCTTCTTTAGAAAGGGGTTGGGGGTAAGGAACCACCCGTTGCAGATCCCCTCAACGTGCAGATTCACAAAAAACAGATCCTGGCATCCAGATGGCTTCTGCTACAATCCTCGGGCTGAGAACATTGCAAAAAGTCATTGCCCCAACCCTCAGACACCAGAGGGTTAAACACGTGGGGAAAGAGGGCAGGAGAGTGAGATGGGAAGCCCACAACCACCAGCGTCTTATCTGTCCACAGTGCAATTCCCTCCTAGGCTGGAGCTGTGCCACACCACCCTGAAGTAGTGACAGTGCCCATCACCAGAGCCTCAGGCCTGCACCTGCCAGACAATGAGGTGGCTTCGCTCGGCTCGGCGTAAGCGTGGGTTCGGGAGGAGCAGGTCGCCGTAGCGGTCGTCAGTGTCATCGCCTGGGTAAGGAGGAAAAAAACAGAGGGCCAAAAGGAGTCAAGAAGACATTGTACCTGGTGCTGGGATAATGGGGCAGGATGCCTATATCCCGTACCCACGTCATTCCCTCACACCTGTAAAGTAAGATGCTTACCTATCCGGAAGTTGATATACCCCTCCCCTCCACTTAGCACCAAGCTGCAAGGTTTGCTTGGTGCCTCTTGGCCGTGCGATTCCTTGGTGCTCTCAGAAGAGGATGGGTTCATACACCCTAAAGTAAGCAAAGAACAGACAGAGCTGAAGTTTGCATTTATATATCCACCATTCTCCTCTTGTGGACAGCGATAGTCTGGCTACAGTGATTCTTGCTCCAGTAACATCCCATTTGGACTACTGTAAGTTCCTCGGGGCGAGGACCTGTCCTCTAGTACTCTATTAACTGCACATCTTTGGCATTATCTAAAGAATGGTAGCAGCAGCAGCAGCTTTGGATTCCATGCTCTTAAGTTCTTTTAAGCCACTGAATTCTGTTTCCCCCGAAGAACCAAGGAATGGGCATCGATTCCTCCGTGCTGGTTACCTGGGACTGAGACAAAGAAGCGAACAGCATCGCGGTGCGCGTGGTAGCTGATCTGGGCTTGCTCCAGAGCACAGTAAGGGATGCCAGTGGGAGAAGACGTTTCCGAGCTCCCAGCAAATTCTATGAGAAAGCAAGAGAGAAAATTCACAGAAATAGCCACCAGGGAACTCTGCTATGTATACACTTGCAGCTGCACTCGCTCTCCCTCTCCCTCTCTCTCTCTCTCACACACACACAGGTGCTCACCTGAGATGAAGGGCAGGGAAATGATGGTGCCACCAGAGGTGCCAACCCACAGCCGTTTCCCAAAAGCGCCAAGTGCTGAGATGTTCATGGCTAAACTAAGACTGTTCGGCCCTGGAGAGTGAGGAGGAAAAAAAAGGAGGAATTTTCCATTAAACAGGCAGGAGATTCCAAAACTAGGGTACCTGGATCCTAGTCATCTAGTCCAACCCTCTGCAATGGAGGCATCTCAACTAAAGCAGATGGCCATCTGATCTCCCATGAAGGAGAGCCCAGCTGCCCCATTTGGTGAGCCATTGAACTGCAAGTGGCAGCTTCACAGTGAGGCACCCCCAAAGCCCAGGGCTGGCCATTGGCTCCTCCCAGGCAGGAAGAAGCATGTGAGGCCTTCCTGTTCCAAGGTCTGCCTGCACTCTGGCCTGTTTCTGTATCCTTGGTTATTCTTTGGCGCTGATTTCTGGCTTGCTTTTGTCACTTGCACACGACTACTGTGGTGGGAGTGCACTGGAACCGGAGTAAATCATAAAATAGACACAGCCTTCCTCTTTGGTCCCGCTTGGGACTAATGGCTGGTTCCCAGCTCCTGACTCACCTCGGACTACTGCCCATGACCCAGCCCAGATACTGATGCACAGGAGGAAGCAGCAGGATGCCCCTCTCAGGCCTGAGAGCCTTCTATTAAAAGCTTCCTGCCCTCATAAAACCCTCCTGTCCTGGACGTTCTCCCTGCAGTCTGCTTCTTGGCTCTCCTCTGCCAAGGCTTGTTTGTGGCTAATCCAACAGCTTTGCCTTGCCAACTCCTTCCCGGATGCTGCAGTGTCCCTGCATTCTGCTCAGAGTCCCGCCCAAAGCCCCCAAGTCATGGTGGCCGTTGACACTCACCAAGCATGCGGCTGACGCAGGGCCCCAGCTCCACCTCCTGCAGCGGCTGGCCAGTCTCGGCATGGAGGAGGCGCAGGGTGGACTCCAGGCGAACCGAGACCCAGATGCCGTTGCCGGCGGCTGCCATGTGCCGCACCTGGCTTTCAGGGTGTGAAGTCACCTCAAAGTACCTCTGGGGGGAGGAAGAGAAAGTGGGTTGCAACAGGCAGCCTGGATTCAAGACCCCGACCCCAGACCCACATCCACAACATTGACATCTAGATTTTGGATCTCAACACTTCTCCAAGTTGTGCCAGCTAGCAGTTGTTCCTCGGGATCTACCCATTTCAATAAAGGTAAAGGTAAAGGTACCCCTGCCTGTGCGGGCCAGTCGTGTCCGACTCTAGGGTTGTGCGCTCATCTCACTTAAGAGGTCGGGAGCCAGCGCCGTCTGCAGACACTTCCGGGTCATGTGGCCAGCGTGACAAAGCTGCTCTGGTGAGCTGGCACCAGCGCAGCACACGGAAACGCCGTTTACCTTCCCGCTATAAAGCGGTACCTATTTATCTACTTGCACTTAGGGGTGCTTTCGAACTGCTAGGTGGGCAGGAGTTGGGACCGAAAGACGGGAGCTCACCCCGCCGCGGGGATTTGAACCGCCGACCATACGATCGGCAAGTCCTAGGCACTGAGGTTTTACCCACAGCGCCACCCGCGCCCATTTCAATAGGAATGGCCAAAATTCCAGATTTTGTAATGCACTGGTACTTTTGCCTGACAGGCTTGTTCCAATTAATTTCACAGTTTTATCTGTCTTATGTTTCAATTCTTTGTTCAGTTTCTTTTTTTCCACTCTGTAGAGTTTATATGCTTTTGCTTCTTGCATTTGTCCTAAAACCCAATAAAAACATTAATAATAAAAAAAGAGAGAACAGCCAAAATGAATTCACCGGCTAGTTCTTGTAGCAATACTGTTCTAACACTGATACACAGAATGATCCTGGCCATTTCGAACTACCGTTTTTACACCATAAAACCAGCCATGCAAGTCTCTGTGGGTTTCAGCCACCGCCTCAAGCTGCAATTAGGGGCACACTCACCTGGATGCGAGCAGTGCGAGGATCCAGCACGTAGACTCTGTTCCCATATCCACACCACAACCGGTCAAGCACAGGGATGGCACAACGAATGGAGCGCCGTGGCCGCCCCAAGTCAAGCAGGCGTGGGGAGCGCAGGTCCCAGTTCCGGACTGAGGAAGACAGGGATTAAGTGAAACCGAGGACCTGAGCTGTGGGGAAGGCAGGGCAGGGCAGGGAGGAATGAAAGGAGCAGGACGTACCTGTGTCTCGGTGGAAAATGGCCAGAGATCCGTCCCCTAGAGCAGCTGCTACACGGCCCTGGGTGTGGCTGAGACAAAAACAGCAGAGTAAGGCCTCATCTGCACTGCACTGTATCATACCGCTTTAAACAGACATAGCTTCCCCCAGAGAATCTTGGGAAGTGTAGCTTGCTGAGGATGCTGAGAGTTGTTAGGAGACGGCCTATTCCCCTCACAGATCCTTCACAGTTCCCAGAGTGGTTGAACTGTCAGTCCCTCTTCCCGGGGAACTCTGGGAACTTTAGCTTCCTCTCAGCACCCTTAAGCTTAGGGGGGAAACTATGGCTGCTTACAACGATGTGACATTGCTTTAGTGTAGATGGGGGCCTAAAACTAAGGAAAGTCGCACCAGCACCAGCATGGGAAGGCAGGCGACATCCACGAGGGGCAGGCAGTGGGGCTCCACAGCATTCAGAGAGGGTGATGGAAGTCCACATACTCACACAATACAGTGGACGGCATCCTTCAGCTGCACTTTGCCCTGGCAGCGGCGCCAATCAGTCTTGGCGGAGTGAATATAGATGCTACGGGAGGGGGGGGGAGATGCGGTCAGCCTCCAAAGGTGACACCCCCTGAGTCCTCCTGATGACCAGCCCAACCCCCAGCACAGCTCCAGGCCTGCTCCCCCATCCCTCCCTTGAAAGACCTACAGTGTCTCCCAGTACGTTTCCGAGCACAATTCAAAGTGTTGGTGTTGACCTTTAAGGCCCTAAACGGCCTTGGTCCAGTATACCTAAGGAGCGTCTCCACCCCCATCCTTCTGCCCGGACACTGAGGTCCAGCGTCGAGGGCCTTCTGGCGGTTCCCTCACTGCGAGAAGCAAAGCTACAGGGAACCAGGCAGAGGGCCTTCTTGGTAGTGGTGCCTGCCCTGTGGAACGCCCTCCCATCAGATGTCAAAGAGAACAACAACTACCTGACATTTAGAAAACATCTGAAGGCAGCCCTGTTCAGGGAAGTTTTTGAAGTGTGACATTTTGCGCTATTTTTAATCTTTGTTGGAAGCTGCCCAGAGTGGCTGGGGAAACCCAGCCAGATGGGCAGGGTACAAATAAATTATTATTATTATTATTATTATTATTATTATTATTATTATTTATTATTATTATTAACTGCTCTCATCAGCCACCAGCATTTCAGTTCCAACTGTTGCATCTCCTGAGGATGCTGGGCACCCTCAGTGTAAATAAACCTGGTGGAAGCCCATGGGATTGTCAAATATGGCAGCCGAAGCGATGGTGGCAGCAGCAGTCAAAGGGCAGGATGCTGTTCCTGGTGGTTGGAGTTGGTGGGAGCAGGAAGAGGCAGAGGTTGGCCAGAGAAGCTCAACAATGGCAATCCATTCAGGAACGGGGGTTTACCCCCACCTCCCATTTTTTCTCCCTTCAACCTTGCTGGGTGTCAATTACCAGCCCTCCTGGGTGCCAAACCACACGGTGGGCTCTGTGCCAACCGCCTCCATCTCCAGCACTTCATCCTCGCTGTCGGATCCGGGCGCCAGGGGGTCTTCGAGGATCTCTGGCTCTCGCTCGGGACTCTCGCCACCAGGCACAGCGAGGCCTATGGAGGAAGAACGGAGAAGGCAAAGCGGCCTTCCTCAGGGAGCACAGAAACAGCTGGAGTCCCTGCTTAGGAATCCTACAAGGCAGGGCTGGGGAGAACCTTTTTGGCACAGCAGGTGAAATCTTTATCTAGCTGCACATAGACACAAAACTTCAGTCCAAAATCTATGGTGCTTGCAGTCTAAAATATGTAAAGTTGGTAAAGTTTTGTGTACTTGAGGCTTGGCTACAGCTAGGAATAAGGGTTAATAGGATAAAGTCAAGGGCCAAGTGGAAAAGGTGTGTTTTGAGATGCGGTAGAAGGAAAAAAGAGAGGTGGCACCAGGTGCAAATCTCAAGGAGGGAGCTCCACGTGTAGGAGCAGCAGGAGAGACAAGAGTCATTGCCAGGGCTGGGTTGTGAGGGTATCAGGAGCCATGAGACAAGACAGCAGTGAGGACCAAAAGGCAGAACCAAAGCACAGGACTAAAGAACAAGCCAATCAGTCTAAGGGCCCAAGTGTGCATGTGTGTGTATTAAGAGACAGTATAAAATGATAGATTCTCCTTCCTTGCACTGACCAGGCACGCATGCGATGGAGAGGACGTGAACTCCAGGCAGCACGAAATGTTCCAGGAGCTGGTTTGGGTTCTGGGCATCAAATAGAGTCACTTCGCTTGCAGAGTGGGTCCCTGAGGCCACCCACAGCCGAGAGCAGTGATGAGAGGTGCCCTGGAAGAGAAAGAAGTGGAGGGATCAGCAAGACATTGTGGGCGTTGACCAGCCTCCCTCCCTTTTATGCTGATGGGCGCGTGCGCACACACACACACGCCCTTGACAATCCCTAAACTTCAGTCTTTGTACCTGTTTTGTCACTTCAGTTGACAAGCACACACATGCCTAGGCTTTCCAGGCAGCCAGGCAAGGACATTTACACAACCTGGGGAAGTGTGTCTCCTTCCTCCCCGCCCCCCTCCCATCCTGTGTTCAAGTTCTCCATGCACAGCAGCAGGTTAAGCATGTGGGTGGGCAAGGAATGTTTCTGGTCTTAAATCTGAAGGGGCACCATAGAACGGCTGAGTTAAGAACCCCAAACTGCAACCATGTCTTGTTTGCCAATACAGTGGTACCTCAGGTTACATACACTTCAGGTTACGTACGCTTCAGGTTACAGACTCCGCTAACCCAGAAATAGTGCTTCAGGTTAGGAACTTTGCTTCAGCATGAGAACAGAAATCGTGCTCCGGCGGCGCAGCAGCAGGAGGAGGCCCCATTAGCTAAAGTGATCTTCAGGTTAAGAACAGTTTCAGGTTAAGTACAGACCTCTGGAACGAATTAAGTACTTAACCTGAGGTACCACTGTATATAAATTACAAAGACAGAACAAAACAAGCCGCTGAAGTGTCTTACAATTTTATGTGTGCATGATTATAACAACAATAAAAACATGAAATAAATTGAATGCAGCATCAGAACAAAAACAAAATGCTGAGAAAAGTCAGAGGAAAAACCACTAACTTATTGAAGGGGATATACATCTTTTCTCATGTGTTACCAGTGCTGGATATCTGTTCTAGTCACTACTTCTTTCTTGCTAACGGTTCCCTGCCCCTCTAAATGCATTAATGCAATAATCCCAGCCCATTATCATCAACTTGCTGCTATAACAATGTGCCGATTTAGTATATATTTAAGCTCCAATGATCACCGACTGTAATTCTTGAATGGCAATCTATATACTTGCCACTTAACACATCTGATGAAGACGCCTCGAGTCCACAAAAGCTCATCTCATAATAAATTTGTTAGTCTTTAAAGTGCTAAAAGACTCTTGCTGCAGGAGACAAACATCTCTCTGAACTGAAAAAAGGAAAAAGGTAAAGTCCAGTTGCAGATGACTCTGGGGTTGTGGCGCTCATCTCGCTTTACAGGCCGAGGGAGCTGGTGTCTGTCCGCAGACAGTTTTTCTGGGTCATGTGGCCAGCACGACTAAGCCACTTCTGGCGCAAAAGAGCACCGAAACCAGAGCATGGAAACGCCATTTAACTTCCTGCCGGAGCGGTAACTATTTATCTACTTGCACTGGTATGCTTTCGAACTGCTAGGTTGGCAGGAGCTGGGACTGAGCAACGGGAGCTCACTCTGTCACAGGGATTCGAACCACCGACCTTCTGATGTGCAAGCCCAAGAGGCTCAGTGGTTTAGACCACAGTGTCACCCACGTCCCTCTCTCTGAACTGAAGGTCAGCCTAAATGAGCAGTTTTCACTTCACACACACCAAAACAACACACCAAAAAAAACACACAAAAAAAACCAACCCTGAAAAGGGAACCTTAAGTGAGAATTCTGAAGCAAGAGTAAAACCAATAATGATGATGGAGATGATGATGGTGATGGTGATACTTACGGTTTCTGCTTCTTCTTGAGTCTCAGTGCCAACTGATGCTGCAGCACACCAGAGCTACAATGAGAGAGAGGCAGGCACGACATTGAGATCTGCTGGCCCCCTGGTAAAAGGAGTCGCTTTCCATACAAGAATGACACCCCACCCTTCCCAATTGCAGCCAGAAACCTTTGCCACAGGAACTGCAAATGTGCCACTTTAATAAGCCTTAAGCTTTTTCTGAGCCTGCCACTGCAGGAACTGCCCAGAGTCTCTGCAGGGTTTGGTCTCCTTCCACTCACCCTTCAGAGGGCCTGATAACTCAGCTGATGCCAACGCCAATGGATCACGTGAATCACTCCCAAAGCAGACATGCAGCTGAGTGGCCTATCCTCAGAGGAGGCTGCTTGCTACCTCTCTGGACGAGTCCCTGCTCTGAACTCAGCCAACACCTACTCAAACTAACCCTTTTTAGCACTTTACAGCAGGAAAACCGCACCATTTTCCTAGAGTGGCCGCAGATTTCAATTCAGTGGTGCAGTGGTTAGAGTGCCACTGGGAGACCAGGGCTCAAATCCCCACTCAACCACATGAAATCCACTGGGTGACCTTGGGCCAGTCACGGTCCCTCAGCCATAAGCTACCTCACAGGGTTGTTGTAAGGATAAAATAGGGGCAGGTGGAGAAGCATGTATGTCACCTTGCGCTTCTTGGAAGAAAGATGGGATAGAAAAGCAATAATAGTAATAATAATAACTCGGGGGGGGGGAAACATCCCTAGCTATTCAGCATTTGGAAACCCACTGCTTTGTTACCTTTGTATTGGGGTCCTTCTGGTCCAGCATCCGTAATTGTGCGAGCACAGGTACGTCGGCAGCCCCTGAAAGGGGGTCAGAGCCCTGCAGAGAAAAGGTGGCTGGATTTTAATGTGTGGAGACTCACTGCAAGAGTGGCCAGTTCAAAACTAAGGTCAGATCCCATGACTGGGATAGAACAAGGCAAATGTATAGTCTAAAGCACCACATTGTTGGGTGACTCAATAGGGTCGAATTCAGTGGACCCCATTTCCTAGATGGAATTTGTTTATTTGTTATATGCCAAAAACGGTTTCTAAGCAGTTCACAACTATGAAAATCAGTGTGTGAATCGAAATACCCAACAACAGATCCATTGGGGGCAGTAAAACATCCTTAATAAAAAATATACAATAAAAACAAATGAACAATCGAAAGTCTAACAATGAAAAAACAGTTCAAGCAATAACATCAGGAGTTCAGTTTTGGGAAATGCTTGCCCAAATAGGTGTGTCTTCAGGAGCCGGCAGGATGCCAATGCTGATGGCAATTGTTATTTATTAATTTTAGACAATCATTCCATTGTCAAATGTGGGGAAATTGTTGCACACTGTCTGGTATGATAAAACACACACACACACACACACACACACACACACACACACAATGCTGCATTTACCTTTTTCCTGACCTGCTTTGAAAAGACAGTACTTGAGGACCTAGCCCTTGGCATGGGATTTCCATAGGGTCAGATACCTTGCTGCCCCTGCTAGAATGCTCACCTGGAGCGCAGGCGGCTGGCTCCACCCATGGATCTGCGCCCGACCATGCTCCTGCCAGATGTGGGAGCGGATCTCACGGTACAGCTCTCTCCGCTTCTGCTGAGGGGAGGCGTCAGCTCTGCGGATATAAAAGCCAGATATAGTAGGGGGCAGCAGAGAGCTTCCAGTGACAACCCTGCGTCCAGTTGCAACCAGGGGAAATGCTCAGGTTTCAGCTGGATTTACCCAGATGGGCCTGCATGCAATTGTTGCCCAAGGCGGACTTTTGCCAGAGACCCTGAAGAGCTGCTGTCGGCCTCTGATGGGCTAGATGGATCCAGTTAGCAGACTCCGTATAAAGCCTCTTCATTTTATGTAGAGTGAGCCCACAAGGCACACTCTGAAAGCAGAAGGCTCCAGGGTTCAAGCCAGGGCGTCTCCAGTTAATAAAAGGGATCTAAGGTCTTGGGGTCGGGCAACATCTCTGCCCAAGACACTGGAGGGTTGTTGCCAGTCAGAGTAGACCAGGCATGGGAACCCATTGGCCCTCCAGATGCTGCTGAACTACAACTCCCATCAGGCCCTGTATGTATGGCCAATGGCCAGGGGTGATGATTGCTGTAGTTTGGCAACATCTGGAGGGCCAAAGGGTTCCCCATGTGTTATGTACTAAGCTGGGATCCTAGAGCAATAGGGAAGTAGGATCCTAGAATGCAACAACTGATTGGTCTGTAGGAAAAGACCAATCAGGCTCCAGGAGGGAAGCAGAATCAGGCAATCAGACGGGACTCATTGTGTAAATAATGTATATAAAAGCCTGAGGTTGGGGGGGGGGGGCGGCAATTCAATCACTATTTTACAAGCTGCAATAAAGAGCATGAAATCACTACCGGACTCCAAGTATATTTTACCATGCCTGGAGGAGACAATACTGAGCTGGACAAACCAATGGTCTAACCTGGCATCAGGGAGCTGATGTCAGCCTGTGCCGGACTAGATGGATCCACTAGCAGCCCAACCCCATATAAAGGGAGCAACAGGTTCCCAAGAGGTGCCGATGATGGGATTGCAAAATCAGCTTATGCACTCTCTGGCTCCTACCTCTCCCCCTGCCAAGCTACTGCCACACAACTTACTCGTTGGGCGAGGTAGCTCGTGGGATGTATCTCAAGGCTGGAGACAGCTGCCCCCCATTCCTTCCCAATTCATTGCGGCCGCTGGGGCTGGACCGGGCCCTCCCGGGTGGCAGCGGGGATGCAGGAGCCCTCTCTGGGGAGTCCGAGGGGCTAAATAAGCGATCGAAACTGCAGGAGGAAAATACAATGCGTTCAGGGGAAATGAGGAGGGAATGGCAGGGGGCACTGTCAGTACTCGGTTTTGAAAAGTAAATCAAAATTCAACAGAAAGAAAAGGGGGTTTTGCACCAAGAATGATGGAACTGTGATCTGTCGGAACCAGACTAAAAGGAGCCCACGGATTGTTTGCTTGCAGAGTTCTGTTTGACTTTGGTCCAAGGCAGGGCCATTGTTATGAATGGCAAGGAAGGTTCTCTCACAAGGACATAAGGAGAGCTCTGATGGATCAGGTCAGTGGCGCATCTAGTTCAGCATCCTATTCTCACAATGGCCAATTGGGTGTCTATGGGAAGCCTGCAAGCAGGAGTTAAGTGCAACTGCCACTCTCCCCACTAGTGATTCACAGCAACTGCCTCTGACAATGGAGACAGAACACAGCCATTATGCCCAGCATCTGCAAACTAGTAGCCTTCACTAGGCATTGCTCCCTTGCACGCTTTCAAACTAATCCATGCAGCCATAACGTCTTGCTAAGGGAGAAAGAAATTTCTCAGGATGCAAAGTTGTATGCCCAATATCAAATGTCAAAGCAGAGTATGTCAAGGCAGAGTGTGCACAGCTACAGCTTCAGGGGCAGATCTTAGACGGCACCTACATTTTCCAGAAAGAGGATTTTTTCATCTGAACAGCTTGTTCCTCCCGCGAAGCCCTGAGAAGAGAGAAACAATTGCTTTAAGGCTGCCACCATGCCGTGACTCCCTCCATTAGCCATTAGTTCGAGGCTGGAAAAAGGGGAAACAGGCAACCCAAACCATTTGCACGACTGGCTCCCTGATCCTCTGTTAATACTCAGGGCAGCCCTTCACTTGCTACACCTAAGAGCCATTTGCCTCCTCTTGTCTGAGTGACAAACTTGTGTTATGAGTCTATAATCCCCCGTTTAAATCTCACCTCTTCAGAGTGTATTTCTATAAGCCAATTCTCTCCTGGCTTCCATTCTGACCTGCTTCCCTCCCGCCCAGTTTGTACTATGGGAAAATAATTATTGGCTGGGCAGCCACAGAGTGATTGACTGCCCTGAGCAGCTTCAAGGATTGGGATAAGGAACCTCTGGCCCTCTGAACACCGATGGATCACAGCTCCCATCATCTCTGAGCTTGGGGCTGATGGGAGCTGGAGTTCAACAACATATGGAGGGACACAGATTCCCCATTCCTGGTTCCTAGGGAATGGAATGAGCAGGTTGCCTGCAGTTGCTGGTTTCTCCCGAGAGGGAAAAGATTCTACTAGCAGTAGTGGGGTGGGACTTAATGGATAATATGGTGTCATTCGTGATGCTGCTGAGTCTCCTAATTCCCTGCCTCACAACACAAGCCTCCGTGACTCGTCCTTCTCACCTCCAGGGCTTTTTTTAAAAGCTGGAACTCACAGGAACTGAGTTCTGGCACCTCTCAGGTGGGTGCCATTGCCATTCTAAGAGAACAAGGCAGGCGTTCACGGTGAGTTCCGGCACCTCTTTTTCTAGAAAAATAGCCACTGCTCACCTCCAACATTAAGGGGACCCCTCAGAAGTACTAATTCCCTTCCTTACTGCTGCACTGGCAGCAGGGAGAGAGTCCTCTCCCTTCTTCTCCAGTCCGAACTCCCTGGCACTTGGGGTGCTGTTTGGGAAGGATCGCCAGAAAGGAAAAGAAGCCTCTAGCTGCTCTGCTGCTAGAGCGAAGCAAGGAGGGTTGGGGGAGGGATTTCGATTTCCCATCATGCCCCTGGTGCCACATGGCAAGCTCCAACAAGGGTCACAGTCACTGAGCTGCTTTCAGACAATTCAGCGGGAAAAACCCAACCTCACGTCAAGTTGAGGTAGAGGGCGGCTTGTCAAAAAGAGTCATAACTTAGGTTATGGGGTCACAGACCCATCTGCCTCCCCCCCCCCCAGCCCCAAGCCATAAACCTCGGCGCCACTGACCTTAGCAGCTCCGTGCGCCGAACAGCTTCCTGCAGCTCCATCAGCCGCTCCTTATAGAGGTTGCGCTCCATCACCACACGAGCCATCTCGGCCCGGGTGAACCGCTGAGGCCGGGACAGGCCTCCTTCAGCCTGCTGAGGAAGAGGGCAGATTCTGCCTCAAACGCACACAAATGCCACTCCCAGAATCCTGACCGCCCACCCCAACCCTGTCTAGTTACAGCCCGGTCTAGTCCGCACCCCCATCCCTCAGCCTTCAAGGGAAAGCTGGCCGCCTCCGGCCTGTCACAACATCCTTGCGGAGGGTGCTCTGCAGAAGATGCTCTGGTTACCTCCCCATCCTCACTAGAACGTCTTGATTCCTGAAACTCCTGCCGTATCCTGGAAAGAGAAAGACGAACGACTGGAATTTGGGCACACTCATTTATTTTTTAAAATAATTAATTGTAGGCCAGTGTCTCAGGGAAAGTGGATTCCATCTTCCCTTCTAATAAATGCTCATGTTGTTGGTCACACATAAGAACATAGGAAAAGCCTGCCGGTTCAGGCTAATGGCCCATCTGGTCCCATATCCTGTTCTCGCAGTGGCCAACCGGGTGGGAAGCTGAGCACAACAGCAATCTCCACACACACATGGCAGTTTCCAGAAACTGGAATTCAGAAGTAGAGGCAGAGCATAGCCATTGTGGCTAGTGGTTGTTGATGGCCTTATCCTCTGACCAGCTCAATACAAGCACAGCAGAACACACACACACGCGGGTTTCTTTTAATGCATGCCAAACAATGGTTAGGCTGCAGTAACCAACGCCTGATAGGTACACAATGATTTGTTAAGTCGTTCCAATAAAGCCCTATCACTTCTTGAGCTAAGCTGCACTTGTTCAGAGGAATAGGCTAGCGTAGAAAGATTTGGGTTTGTCTGAAGTGCTTAGGCAGAAACACACAAATCCATAGACTACCTTTATTACACAGTGGTACCTCGGGTTAAGTACTTAATTTGTTCCAGAGGTCTGTTCTTAACCTGAAACTGTTCTTAACCTGAAGCACCACTTTAGCTAATGGGGCCTCCTGCTGCCGCCGCGCTGCCAGAGCCCGATTTCTGCTCTCATCCTGAAGCAAAGTTCTTAACCTGAAGCACTATTTCTGGGTTAGCGGAGTCTGTAACCTGAAGCATATGTAACCCGAAGCGTATGTAACCCGAGGTACCACTGTAGTATTATTAATCATTATTAGCAGTATTGCTATAGTTATTGTTGCTGTCAGATATGCTGCTCTTATTATTGTAGCTTACTGTAGCTACTTAACAGCAGTGTTTCTTCAGCTGTTTTTGAACTACAATTCCCATCATCCCTGGGCCTGCGAGCTAGAGATGGTGGGAGTTGTAGTCCAACAAGAGCTGAAGACCCAAGTTTGGGAACACATTGCTTCACAGCATCAGGATAAAAACACTACAGTATAATCCTAAGAATACAAACAACGCAGGCTGTTAAAGCATATAGCATAACCTGAAGAAAACTGGACAGTATCTTCCTACATTAGCTGTGTATTGGCTTAGAGCATTTATAATACACCTCTTAGGATTTGGCTCTCATAATGGCTCGCATATAATGATTTCATTTAAATGATGCTCTTTGTCAGAGACTGTGAGTGAGCGGAAATGTCCAGAGTGCTGGGGAGGATCAGGATCAAATCCACACCCGCCACAAAGCTTACTGGTTGAAATTGGACCATAAATTCTTTCTCTCTCTCTCTCTCTCTCTCTCTCTCTCTCTCTCTCACACACACACACACACACACGGTCTAACCTACCTCACAAGGTTGTTGTGAGGATAAGTGGGACAGGCATGTGACCTCTGAAAGAATAGCTAACTCAAAACACATTGGGATTTGTCTGCATTGCCTTGGTGACTTTGCTGGGGAGGAGTTGTTCCTGTGTACTACTAATTTTGAGGTGCCCCTCTCCTTTTTTTGCCAGCGCAGTCAGCAAGTGGTGGAATCAAGATGGCTGCCAAACACCAGGGAAGGCAGTTTACAAACCCTTACCTGATCAGTTCCAGCTCAGCCTCCTTCAGCTGGGCTTGGCAGCGGCTCAGGGCCCCCAGTGTTCCTTCACGCTCCGCCCGTAGCGACTCGCGCTCTTCGGTGAGCTCCTCTACGCGGGCGATAAGATGGCGACGGGCTGTATCCAGAGCAGTTCTAGAGGTGGGACCATGAGGAACAGCAAGACTTCAGCCCAGGAGGAGGTGGAGGGCCAGATCCAAGAGGGAAAGCAGGCGGGCCAGCGGAGAGAAGCAGGCCAGGCCTCGGCCCATTTCTCTGCCTGCCAAGTACCCTTGACAAGGACCTTCCTTTCTAAGAAGCTCCAGCTCCCATCAAGATATAAAGACCCATAAACAGTTCAGGACCAGGTGAATTGAGAGGTGGCTTTATCCCTTATACACTCAAGCAGGGTCACTACATTCTGTAGGACAGTTTCTCCCTCAACTTCCGAAGAGATCAGAAGCTGCCCCTATCTGTACTTTCTGGAACCAAATGAATGCATTTTTTTTTCATTTTCTTTTGGCAAGCTTTTCCAGTTGGATGCCTTAGGTTTCAGAAACAATACAAAACCAACACCTACCTTGAGCTGTTGGGAGCATTTTTGTACTGTTTTTATAACTATTTTCAGCTGGTTTGTAAGGCGCCTTGGCACACACGTAAAAGGAGATTCATAAATCAAAATAAACAAACAAACAAATGTTATCGCTTTAGGCTGGTCGCTCTTACCGTGCCTCCTGTAGCTGAGTGTTTTCTGCCACCAGGGTTTCCAAGGCATCCCCTGAAAAGATGGTCAAGCATGGACACTGCTGAGCTACTAGGACACAGGTAGAAACCTTAACTCCCCATAGGCTGGGGAACTATGGGAGGCAGGTTTTCTGGATTAAAATTGGGGTGGGGTGGGGAGCTCGGACTCCTGGGTTCTCTAGGAAAGGAATAAGGTCCCAGCAGGACAAGGAGGCAGAGGGAGGGGGAAGGTGGGAGTTTTACCTACCCTGCAAATCGGCACCGCCATCCATATCGCTGAGGAGTTCAGGACTGAGGCCCGAGACCTCAGCGAAAAGGGACACCGTGTTGCGCTCGAGGGTGTTACTCAGGGGGCTGAGAGACAGACAGACAGACAAATAGACAGACAGGAGTACCCACCCGCTCCTAACCTGGCAACAACACCCACCCACATCTGACGTCACAGTAGACAGAAACCAGGGGCGGGACTTTTTTTTTTCTAAAGAGACAATGAACACAGAGAAGTCCTCCTCAGCCTCGTTTGCCATCCTACGGCTGCGGTGCTTTTGAAGCGGCAGTTTCAAATGCGGGTGTGAGGAGAAAAAGAAGTTGGCTATCTGGCTGGGAAACTCAGGGATGTGTGGCCCTTCAAAGCAGTGAGCAGGATAACCAGAAGAGCTAACTCTCCCGAAATTAAAACACCTGTGGGGAAGCAGGGAGGGAATAGATGGGACAATGGAGGATTAGAGGACAGTGTGGGCATGCTGTGGTCAGAGGACACAGGAAAGAAGAGCCGAGCTGTTTCTTCACTCCAGTGAAGGAGCATCCATGTTCAAGCACAAACCACTCAGGCTCTGCCCACCTGCGCTTTCTGCTCAGAGGCTTAATAAGTAGACACATCCCTCTTACCTGCTTGGCTGCTTTTGGTCCAGTCCCAGTTCTGGAGTGGAGCTCAGGAGATCGTCCAAGTCCAAGCGCCGCTGCAGAGTAGGAGAGGCTGACAAGAGAAGAAGGTTGTGGGGTGCAAACGCAAAGCACATTATTTTTTCTAGATTATTATCCTGTGTTTGTTAACCACTACACAGTCCTTTCCATACTGAAAATAATCTAGAAAAGCATTGCTCCTTTGGGCAAGGACCTATCTGGCATTTTGTTGTCTGCATGCGGAGAAAATTCCTATTGTTATAAGAATAAAGAGGGTCAGGCAGGTCCCTGCCCCACAAGAGCTTAAAATCTAAATGTTGGCAGTGGTGGAAACGACTCTGGCAGGGGTGTGGAAGAGGCACAGCTTACAAGGAACAGAAGCCCAGTAAAAATGCAAAATATATAGCACAACTCAAGAACCGGCACACTACTAACTCATTAGGCTGCAGCAGAGAACCTGAGGCCCAGAGGCCAAATATGGCCCACCAGCCCTCTTCACTTGGCCCTCAGGGCTTTCCTTTGGCCACGCTCACACCCCCTCACTGCCCCCCCATACCCTCCTCAAGTTATTTTCCCTGGCTTAGCCCCACCAAGACAAAACAGAGGCTCCCCCTTCATACCATCCTGTTCCGGCTGCACCATTTCTTGTGCCAAGGGGAAATTGTTTCTTTCTGTGTCCCTCTGCGGAGCCTTCTCCGTGCTGGGAAGCTCCTGAAACTCTGCAGTCTTCTGAAGAGACGGGTGGTGGTGGGGAGAACATAAAAGGCCATTCATTCCTGGCTCCTCTTAATGCCTCTGCTTCCCCCCTCCAGCCTCCCCGTCCACCGCTGCTGCTGTTTGCCACGGGCCAAGGAACAGTTCAGGGGCTTGAGCCCCACAACACAAAGCCACTTACCCCTGGGGATTGAGGCAATTCAGGAGACCCAGGGTCCGAGGTGCTTGGGAGGAACTTTGGGGGTGCCTGGATTGGTGGGGGCTTCAACCTGAGCAGGGGGAGGAGGGAGAGAAAAATATCTATTTTTAGTTCCTTGTTACTGTACAAGGCTGGCTGATCGGCTGCCCTGGAAAAGGCATGCCTGTAACCTCCTGCATCTTGCCTTCGACCCCTTCAACGTCTCCTTCTCTCAAAAGGATTCTTACTCACCTTTCTTCCCTGCCTCAACAGGCAATAAAGCCCTCAACGTGGCTGCCAAAGCCAATCACCAACATTACACAGAAATTAAAAAGAAATCACTACAAAAAATGTCGGAAGATAGCCAGTAGAGTTCCATTGTTGTCAAAAGCTTGAAACGTGGCAATCTCAGAAGCTGCCTTGCAGAGCCGGAGCAGTCCATTGGTCCTTGCTCAGAAGTGCCTGCACTGACTGGCAGCAGCTCTCAGACAGGACTGTTCTTCCCTGACATACCTAAAAATGCCGGGAACGGAACCCGGTACTTCCTGAATCAAAAACGTGTGTTTCACCAAGGCCTATGGCCAACATTCAAAAAGTATCATGTGGTACTATATTTGAGCCACACATTTCTGAAGAGTGAAGGAATTCTGTAATGGGGGCACCACCACTAAAAAGGCCCTCTTCTTCCAAGAAACCCATCAAACCCCTGAAGACAATTGGAGAAAGGGTTCATGTTTCCTCGCCCATGGCCCCACCCCCCACCCCATTTCCACCAGGTTTGCCTTGGAGCAGCTTGTCCTTGTCAACCTTTCTTCGCCTTGGGGCAGGGGGAGATTAGATTTGAACCCAGTGCCACCCCAACTAACTATTCTGTCACACGCAGCCCTTGGTGGATTGCCAGTCGGAGTCCCATCCATTCCTGCCTTAATCCAGATGTGGTACTTGCAGTAGGTCTGGCTGTTGCTAGGTAACCATAGATGACTTCTACCTTTCCCCATGAAATGAGTGAAAACAGTTTGTGGTTTGACAGCTGCTCACTGTGGTAAGGAACAGAATAAGCTGGAGTACAAAGCAAACTGGCCATACAGCACACTCCGCAACCTCAGCAGCTTGGGCAAAAATATCATTATTGGTAGCACAGTGCCCCTAAGTGAACCCCTGACACACACAAACCCCGCTGCCACCCCACAGGCCAGCTTCCTCTTCCAAACCTTTTCGTTTCTGTAGTCAGAGATCCAGCTTGACTTGTAGCAGCCAACGCCACCCTTTGCGATTTCAATTCCTTGTAGTTTTGCACAATCTGTAAAAGGCAGAAGACAAAATGAGATTGTGACCCAGCTTGGCTTAAGAGTGGAGAAAAGAAAAGAGCAAATGAGGGATGGCAGCTGCAGGCTGACGGTACCTTTGTGTGGCTCTGGCTGAGAGTTGAAAGCTCCTTTAGGAGTGAAGATTTCTGTTCTTCCAGACCCGCCACTGTGAAGAGAGAGCAGGGGGGCAGGGAGGCATGGCGGTGTGATTTTGATGTACAGACAAGAAACCTAAACCAGCTTTACATTAGTCTTAAGGGCATTTTCAAAATGGTGCTAAAAATGCATCTTGTGCGCTATTTGTGTTGTGTACAGCGAAAGCAGGAAAGAGAGGAGGCAGGGCCGGCTCAAGACATTTTGCTGCCTGAGGCGAAGGACAAGATGGCGTCCCCCTCCCAAATCCATGTACTGCAGCCAGCTGGACTGGCAGTAGAATCAATAACAGACTAGGGGGCCCAGGAAACTCCATGTGGCGACAGAAGGGAATGGCTGGAGGCTCAAGAGGAATAACCACAGCTGCTCCTGAGCATCTATAGCCCAAGGCAGTTTCTTCACTCTGCCTAATGAAAGGGCCAGAAAGAGCCATCTTTAAATAAAGACAAATTTGCAAGCTTTGCAGTGGCAAAATAGGCCAAATGAATAATAATAAGAAAAGATTCAAGCCTCATGGGTAAGAATATCCTAATGTCTTAGATTCACACAAAGAACACTGAAGCTGCAATCTGATACTTACCAGAAAATAAGTCCCGATAAATGCAATGTTACCCACATTTTCATTTTGTGAGGGTATGGAGAATTTTGTTAGAGATACACTTTGATGGGGTATACAATTCTTTTTTCCCCCTTTTTTAAAAGGATGAGGGGGAAATAATCCTGTCTGCTTGCAAAAAATGTCATTGTGTATATTGGGCTGGGACCTTTTTAACAAGCACTGAGCATAACTTTTTTATGATGACTTGTGAATAGGTGGGCATAATTAAGCTAAAAGAGAAGCAGCCCTGAAAAAGGTGATGGTGGTGGTTGTGGAGTGGATCACTGGCAAGGGATATTAAATTAGCTCTTCAGAGCTAGTGGTAACAGTCAGCCCTGGGTGGTATGTGGTCAGGATCTAAGAGCATCATTAAATATAACCCAGTCTAGATAATAGCAGGTCACAGAATTAGGTTGCGGACTCTGCAAAGCAGCTGAGAGCTGCTGGTTGGAGGGCAAAATCCAACATGAGGTAATTATAACTAAGACCCTTTCAAAGAAATAGAACAGTGTAACCTTATGGGTGTTAGCATGGCAATATGCCCTGTGATGCTGAGTAGAGAAGATGTGGAGAAGGAATTTAACCTTTTCCTCGCCTGCTGCAGTGCTGAGAAAAATCTCTCTTTTGAAGCTGGTATTTGCAAGGGGAGGAAGTCCTCTGTTCGTGTCAATGAGTAATTCCCCTGCCTCCCACCACCAGCAAATCTCAGCTTCAGAACAGGAAATTCCCTTCCCTTCAGTGGTTCTAAAGAAAGGGATACATTCGCTCTCCAAATCTTATCAGACTCCAAGAATTAAGAGATTATTGAAACTGACATAATTTGCCAGTTTATAAAACCTGCACATTAGAGTCAAAGATGCACCTAAAGTCACATATAGTTTTGTCTCAGCTTTTGCTAAAGCACCTACAAGCCCTGATTCCGTATGTGTTTACTTGGAATCAAGCCCCACTGAGCTCAATGGGATTTATTCCCAAATAACTGTGTGCAGAACTGCAGCCTAAGACACTCAGGTATTGACAGGTACTATCCCTACCTGTGAATTTGTCTAATTCCTTTTTTTTAAAAACCCACCTAGGCTGGTGGCTACAGCCTCATTTGGCGGCAGGGAGTTCCAAGATTGAATTATGCATTGTGTGAAATAGTATTTCCTTCTGTCTACCCTACATCTGCTGCCCAGCGGTTTATGTGGAGCATTGCCAATCCTAATGTTATGGGAGTGGAAAAAATATAACACCTCCCTCTCTTTTCTCTACTTCTCGTATAATTTTATAATCCTCCATCATGTCCCACATTGTATTTCCCCCCCCCCACAAACCTGAAACTAAAGAGAGCCAGACATATATGTGTGTATGCACACACATAAACATATACTGGAAACAATCGCAATTGTGACCAACAGTTGCCCCATTTTGCAAAGAGCCCAAAAGATATACGATGAGATTGTTCTGCTCCCCGCTGCCTTACACCCCAATCTCATCAAACTCGATAGACCAGCTTAGCCAGAACTTCCAAAAAGGAGAGTGGGAAAAAGATGGGAGGGTGCAGGATAGGGCATGCCTGTCAGTGGGAAGGGCATGGGTGGGCGGAGAAGCCATCCTGTCTGCCGGAAGATGGGGAAACAGAATTCCAAGGCCACACTTTGTCTGGCCTGGCTAACTGGCTTCCTCCTAGGCAGAGAGATAATTTCTTAGAGTGTCCGTATCAAACGCAGGTTCTTCAAACAATCTGCACGGGAGAACATTCAGCACTTCTGATTTTAAAGGCATAGGATGCAAAGGAACCCGCCCCTCTCACCCTGGTCTGCGTAGCTGCGTGCTTTCCCTTCCAGGGCACGGCTCTGGCCCTCCAGCCGGCTCACAGCCCCTGCATGCGCCTTGCGCTCCTGCTCCATCGCGTCCTCCAGCTCCATAAACCTCTGCAGGAAGAGAACCCCGAGAGTCCAGGAGATCCCAACAACCTCTCCCACCCACCCCCAGTCCCAGCACTTTCTCCCAAACCCATAGAGGGCTGTGTAAAAGAATCCTAGGAATTGCAGTTTACCCCTTAAAGGTAAAGGGACCCCTGACCGTTAAGTTCAGTCGCGGACGACTCTGGGGTTGCGGCGCTCATCTCGCTTTACAGGCCGAGGGAGCCGGCGTACAGCTTCCGGGTCATGTGGCCAGCAGGACTAAGCCGCTTCTGGCGAACCAGAGCAGCGCACGGAAACGCAGTTTACCTTCCCGCCAGAGCGGTACCTATTTATCTACTTGCACTTTGACGTTCTTTCGAACTGCTAGGTGGGCAGGAGCATGGACCGAGCAACGGGAGCTCACCCCGTTGCGGGGATTCGAACTGCCGAGCTTCTGATCGGCAAGTCCTTTGACCCACAGCGCCACCCGCATCCCTACAATTCCCAGCACCCTTAAGAAAGCAGTTTCCATTATTCTTTATGGGGGGGTTGCTTTGAATGTGTGGTGTGTGTATATACAGCCTTAGGTCTCTTTCATCGGCAGCTCCATCAGCCCTGTGCTATCCACTCCAAGTCTCAACATGCTAAAATGGGCAGTTGAGCTCATAGAGTCGTAGAATTGTAGCGTGGGGAGGGACCCTAAGAATCATCAGACCCCTGCAATGCACCCATTCCTTACACTCAGAATGAAATAGACGGAAAGCACAAGGATCATTTTCCTTATCAAGAAAGCTTGCAGACTGGTAATACTTTGACACTTTGCAGAGGCTAAATGGAAAGGTGGTGGTAATGTACAATCTTAACTGATGCACAAAGGATGAATAATTTCCTCCTGTTCCTTCTCTATTAGAGCATGAAAGCTCAGGGGCATCCCCTGAAACTGACAGGCCACAGGCTTAAGAAGAAGCAAATTAAGTACTTCCTGATAGCAACTATAACCAGCCCATGGAATGCCTTGCCACAAGATACTGCAATGGCAGCTCACATAAACAATGGTAAATATATATATAGTTTAGATGACTACATGAAGGATGGGGCCCATTGGTACCTACTGCCCGTGATACACAGAAGAACACTTTCAGTTTCATAATACAATTGCCCTTCCATTAGCGGATGCCGGGGATTAGCAACCGGGGACAGAAACTGCCAACCTCCCCTGCTTGCAACTTGAGCCTAGATTATTTCTTTCTATTTCTGTTAGCTGGATGTTTCTTGGTTCCATATAACACCAAGACCTCTAGAGAAAAGTACATTCACAAGAGTGGCACCACATAGAGAGAAAATCCTTCTCCGTTGCTGCTAGTTCTGTAGCAAAAGTGCTGTCTGCTAAAAAGCACCAGCCTGGTCAAGCACGATATTGGAGAAACTAATACTAGATTTGCTAAGCGTGAGAAGGTAGGGAATATGACCCCCGCCTTCACTCACCGTGTTTTGGCTCAGATTGGTGTGCCAGCCAAATCTGGTAGTTGCCAACCAGTGTTGTAAAACCTTTGGCCCAAGACTGTCACCCATCTCTGACATGCACAACACACAGCCGAGACTAAGGCTGCATACACAACATATATTTAAAGCATCTCCCTCCCCCCCAAAGACTCCTGGGAACTGTAGTTTACCCACCACAGAGCTACAGTTCCCAGCATTCTTAACAAACTACAGTTCCCAGTGTGTTTTTTTGGGGGGGGGTCTGGAATGCGCATTAAATGTACAGTGGTACCTTGGGTTACATACGCTTCAGGTTACATACGCTTAAGGTTACAGAGTCCGCTAACCCAGAAATAGTGCTTCTGGTTAAGAACTTTGCTTCAGGATGAGAACAGAAATCGTGCTCTGGCGGCGCGACGGCAGCAGGACGCCCCATTAGCTAAAGTGGTGCTTCAGGTTAAGAACAGTTTCAGGTTAAGTACGGACCTCTGGAACGAATTAAGTACTGTACTTAACCTGAGGTACCACTGTATAGGGTGTACACAGCCTAAACAAACATTTAAAAATAATAGCGGTAGCAAAACAAGTAGAAAGAAAGCGGTACCAACCTCCTCTGCCCGCTTGCGCCCAGATCGCTCCCGCTCATACTGCTCCAGCAGCCTCAGCCGGTCATCCCGCAAGCGTTCCAGCGCCTGGTCCCGCTCTCGCACTTGCCCACAAGCCCCTTGCAGCGACTCCAGGACAGAAACCAGTTGCGGCAGGAGTCCTGAAACCGCACCAGGCCCATGGGCCCCTACAAGCCGCTCCAGTTCCCCATACAATCCGCCAGCCATCGCAGACACCAGCTCCTCATAAGGAGCAGGGTTGGGGTCTCCATCTCCTCCAAATATCTCCTCAGGGTCATCCATCATAACCTGCTCTAACCACTGCCCTCTCCAGCCTCCAGACACCCCAGGGGTTTCCTGGCTCCTTGATCCTCCTCCTCCTCTAACCCACCAGATCCCACCTTATTAAGCACAAAATCTCTTGCCCCACTTCGGCTCCCTGATCCCAGAACCCAGGAGTCCAGCCACTGTTCTAAGCTACTACTGACACTACTCAGCGCTCTCTCTGAGCAGCCAGGACCCGATTCTTCCTGTCCCTAAATTTTCTCTAGAGTACACAGGATTATCTACCCCCCCCCCCGCAAATCTATCCACCCAGTTACACCCTAACTCCCTTCCCAGTCCCTTCCAGCGCCAGGCACATGCACGTATATACAACCCCCTTGCTATAGCCACTAGGCAGCACTCCCCTTACACCCTGTCTCAATATGCCCATTTCCCTCTGCCAGGACTTTGACTTCCAGGCTCTGTGCTCGAACCACTAGGATCCCAGGAGTCCTGCCTCTCCCTCCCACCCGCCCCGTACCGAGGGATCGCGGGGGGATCTCTCGATTCCTGCCTCGTGTTTTGGGCTCCCCTTCCTTACGCCTCCCCACCCCGCGCACAGGGAACCTCGAATCCTCCGCCCGGCGCCGTCGACAGCTGCGATCCTAACTTCATGTCACTTTCCAAGAGGGAAGAGAGGCGGAGCCAGAAGCCCGTAAGGCGACCAATGGGAACGCGGCTTTCGTGAGGGAAGCCCCGCCGGCGGCCAATAGCGCGACGAGACAGGCTCCGATGGCCAATGGCGCGCGGGGGGTGGGAGTCTTCCTGCAAAAGGGCCGGCAGGAGACGCGGGGAGGGGGGGCAATGAAGAAGCAACAGCAGCCGAGGGAGAAGAAGTATTAACTTTCTGCACTCACGTGACACCGGGTCATATGACATGTTAAAGCTGGTTGGGCGTTCCTGCCTGTAGGTAGATAGATGCACGTTTCGCGTCTGAGGTTGATGGTCTTTCTTCCCGCACTTTGGATTATTTGATCAGTTTTCAGTTCAGCTTCCCTTCAGAGTCACTTGTTGCTGAAGTAGCAGATCAACTCCAAGGATGGCAGGATCCACAAGATCCTGGTGTAGATCTTTTATTTCCCCCCTTGTTCTTGATGCAGATCTTCTCATCCCCTCTTCCCTGGCGGGAAGTGGGGTGCCGTTTTGTGGTTTGCCTCAGGGGCCAAAAAGCCTAATCAACCCTACCTTGAAAGATTTCACCCTCCTGCCATAGGAGCCAACTCCTAGGGGCCGAGGGATCTTCGCCTCCCCCCATAAAATATTTGAGGGGCTGCTCCCCCCCCCAAAAAAAGTTGCCATTCAAATGATGTGTGTGAACTGTATCATGTGATCAGTTGTTGAGGGGGCTTAGCTGGGCCTCCCCAATATTTTATTCAAGTTGGAACCCCTGCCTCCTGCTACTCTGGAGGGTGGTTCCCCGCACTCCCCCCCCCCTCCACTGTACCAGCCTGCCTTAAGACAGTTTTTAATGTACTTGTTGCTGTGTTGTTTCCTGAAAGGAAGTGGTTTTGTTTGTGTATCAACAGATTTATCTTTCTGGTCCTGACTCAGACCTTTGGAACTTGGTTTCACAGAGATACCTGGTTTGCCTTTATGGAAAGCAGAATGCTGGGCTAAATGAATATTCTGACTGTTCCTGTCCTGCTCCTATATGAACCTGCCTGACCTTAAAAATGGACTGCTCTCTGTCCCATCTGTGTGTAACATCTGGTGGGCAGATACAAGAGTCAGGGCCGCCTTTGTGGAGGTGCTGGGGTCCGAAGGGGCTTCCTCCCAGGGTTACAGCTTCACCCACTGCATATGTTGTTAGTTGCTGGGTGTTTTAGAACTCTTGTCTTTGATGTTTTTAAAGTGCTAATATAATTATTCATGTTACTCATTTCAGCACCTGCTGAAAACATTTTGTTTAGGTAAGCCTATGCAGCAATACAGAATGTAAACATATGTTTTAATCTGGTTTTTAGCTTATTGTTGATTTTAATTATATTTTAATGTTTTAAATATTTTCAGCTGTTTTTTTACTCATTGTTTCTGTGTTTTTGCAAAAAAAATTAATAAACCAATAATAATCATTTTAATTTTGCTTTTTATCTTGTATTATTTATACTGTATTTTTATTGGGATTTTAACGGATTTTATATCTACTGCTCTTTGTACTTTTAATGTTGCTATGATAATTGCTTTTTTCTGATGCTTTTTTTTTTATCTGTTTTATACTTGTTTCATGGTTCTCTCTTGAAGGCTGTCTTGAAAATCTAGATTAATAAAATTTAATTATTATTATTTTTTAGTGTAAATCCATGTTTGTACATTTTGTGCTTTCACAGAAAAGCGGGATATAAATAATGAATTGGAAGTAACTAAGCTACTGGCTGGTAATCAAACAGGCAGCTGTTCTTTAAAGGTTTTTCCCAGCCCTTAAAAAAAACCAACTGTAGATGCCAAGGATTGATGCTGGGACTCGTCTGTAGGCAAATCATGTCCTCTGCCACTGAGCTAATATTACTAATGACTTAACTGTGAAAGTACTGTACAGCACAGCTCAATTGCCTCTGCTTGGCAGTGTGCTTGTTTCTCTCTCTCTCCTTCTAGAACGGGACTAGAGGTGCACATGTTTTTGGAAATTCTGACACAATATGTGAAAAACACCCCCCCCCCAAAAAAAAACCCTTCAAATTGAACTTTTTAGGAAACAGAAATATGTGTAGTCATTATTTTTATTGTCGGTTTTAAACCTATGCATTGTCTAACTTAGCACATCAAATTGAATGTTCAGCTCTGTTTAAAAATGTGAGTGCCTTAATTCAACCGAACATTGCAAAATTGGGACAGATGCAGCACTTTGCGGCTCCATTGCTAATGTACCAAACACACCTCGGTTTTTGCCAGTTGGGGGGAAAGAAAGATAGTTTAAAACAGACTCAATCAGCATTGTAATAAACAAGAGGGTGTTCTTATTATTTGAGCTTAGAGGATGGCTCTTGAAAAGGAATACAAGAACTGCTCTGGGTCCTTACTTTCTCATTTACAACAGTCTCCACAGTTAGCATTATCAGAAAATGTGGGAAGAAAACTTAACCCCTTCCTGTGAATTCATGATGACACTACACACTGGCTTCGTGTGTCTCAGGTTAAGCCGTAATGTATAGATTAGGGATGGTAGTGCATGCTGCTGAATTGCTCCTGTTGCACTCCTCCCTTTTGTCAAGCAGGGAGCAATTGACCATAAGCCTTGGCTTAGCATAAAGGTAAAAAGGTAAAGGACCCCTGGACGGTTAAGTCCAGTCAAAGGCGACTGTGGGGTTGCGGCGCTCATCTCGCTTTCAGGCTGAGGGAACCGGCGTTTATCCACAGACAGCTTTCCAGGTCATGTGGCCAGCATGACTAAACCGCTTCTGGCGCAACGAGACACCGTGACGGAAGCCAGAGCGCACGGAAACACCGTTTACCTTCCCGCCACAGTGGTACCTATTTATCTACTCGCACTGGCGTGCTTTCAAAATGCTAGGTTAGTAAAAGGTGGGACAGAGCAACGGGAGCTCCCTCTGTTGCACGGATTCAAACCACTGACCTTCCAATCAGCAAGCCCAAGAAGCTCAGTGGTTTGGACCACAGCGCCACCCACATCCCTTTGGCGCTTAGCAAAAGGTACACCAGCACTCATGGTATGCTTCTTCCCACACCCCCACAATGATAGCCAAGGTTTGCCCTTGTCTTGCTGGTCATGGTTTGTTTGGGAGAAATAACCCATAAGCGCTGGTTTGCAAGTTTACACTAAGCTAAGGCCTGTGGTTTGTTCCTCCCTGCTTAACGAAGAGGAGCAAAACAAGCAATTCAGCACAGTACACTTGTCCTCTGTTCATCCCCGCTAAGCTTTAGATTATGGTTTGGCATGCCATTCAGACATGGAAAATGTAAGCAAGAATTTCAAAAAGATTCCAACTCTTTTTTTTAAAAAAAGAGAAAGGTTTGATGCATACAATAGACAACAATTATTATAATTACTGTATCCCGTGTCCCTACTGTATCTTTTACTGTTGCTTGTCTTGTACAATTAGAAACTATTTTGAGAGAGAGAAATGCAGCTAACACAGTACTTTGCAACCCTGTATTATTATTTTTTTACATTATTCTAAAAGAAAAATGGTTTGTAAGAGGGTTTTTTAAAAAACATTTTTACTGGGAAAATTTAAACAACTCATTCTTTTCTCTCCCTCCTCCCCCACTATCTTTCTATCTCCCATTTACCCCTTCAGATCTGTATAATGGGACCAATACAAGGGACATTTGTCATGAAAATTATCCTGAAAGGGGGTCTTCCAGCTCGGCCCTCTGTCTTCTCTGGAGTGTCACACTGAGTTGTACAGGACATACTCCAAAGCCAGCGTTTATGAATTATTGACCATAGACTTTTACTGATTCCCACATTTTTCACTGGGGATTGCCTTCTTAATCTGCGTTCCTCTACATGCTTACTTGGATATAAACTCCATTAAACTCATTAGCTATGTTTGCATACCATGGAAAACTATTGTTAATGGTTTGCCATGAATATGCAGATGGCTCTAACTTTGTCCCTCCCACAGCACACGCAGGAGCCACAAACTATAATCCCCAGTTTAGTGTCCAAACCAGGGACACTGGCTTGATCCTTCCAAACAAAACCATAATGTGAATACAATGTTACTCCCAGCTCTGGCTTGTTTGACTGAAGCAAACCAAAATCCCTGGTTCAAATGTAACCATAGAAATTATGATTTGTTATTTCTGCTCACACCAGGAGTGCAGTAATATAAGGAGCCACCTGGACCTTCAAAGTAAACCATTAACGACAGTTTACAGTGCTCTGCATACAATCTAGGCCACTGGGACGTAATTGAATAAATGTGCACAGGCTCAGGCAGTTAGCTGAATAATATTGCCTGGGTTGTGTCTCGTTTTGCTAAGTGATTGTGATGTTCTTATTTTTGTGACTGCTGTGGGGAGAGCTGCCTTGGGCTTCGTTGCAAAGGAAAACTGGGCTATAAATCATTCTCTCTAAACCCTTATGTAGGTGGGAAGCTCAGACAGGCTTGCAGTAAAAGCAGAGTCACTGAGAAACAAGAGGGATGGTATTAGCATGGTTGGGAAAACCCCAAGTTTTGCAGATGTACAAAAAGAATATAATTCTCATATATATATATATATAGAGAGAGAGAGAGAGAGAGAGAGAGAGAGAGAGAGAGAGAGACAATACTGCCCCCAAAAGGACAGCCCAATGAGCACTTATCAAGCTCAGTAGCCATGGAATGTTGAGTGTCACTTGAAAAAGAAAAATGAAAATGGAGTTGCAGCAAGAGGAAATGTTTTAGATAACAGTATTTTGGAAGAGGATGTGGCCAGCTTGCTAGAACCCTGAACAGGAGCACTCCTGGTAGAAGGTGAAAATACACTGTAACATTCTGTTGTTGTTCCTATTTGCTTGGGATAAATAGTGCTCTCATAAACCACCTGGTGATAACATCCCCATTTTAAAGATAGGGATACTGAGGCCAAAACCACCTCCTGGTGTGTCTCTGGTTGAGGCAGGGCTTGAATCCCACCACCCAAGTGACCAAACCCATCGCACAAGACACTCCAATACATCCCCCCACCCAAAAAAAGAACTAGGTTTTTGATTTGTTTTAAGGTTTGCCTGGGAGAGAAGCTTGCAAGCTTTTGAGTTACACAGATACTTTAATCAGGCAGAATGGAAAAACAGCTAATTCCAGCCAGAGGGAGAAGTGGAGTGGAGAACAAAGCATGTTAAAAATGCAAATCATTTTATTGCCTTGGGGGTGGGGCTTGCCATGAAGCTTTTCCTACATCAAACAGTTGCAAAGATCAAAGCGTGTTCAGAAATGGCAGTGCAGTGTCTTGGAAGAGTGCAAATTTATTATGTTCCGTGGAAAAGGGGGGGATCTTGGCCATTTGGAGCTAGTCACAGGGTCCTTAGCCGTCTTATCCGATGTGCTAGAGATCTGATTCACATGTCACCAGCATGGTATCGAGGTTGCTTTCCCCATGCAGCTCTGGTGATGCAGGAATAAATGAAAGAATCCCATGAGACAGGAAGATCATGTGAAGAATTCCCACACCAGTGCCAGGCCAGCACTTCGCATGTGACCTGTTGGTCTCGCATGACTCTGCTGTTCAAACAAAGTGTGTTTGATCCTCCCACCAGGAAGCAACTGTCCTGCTAAGCAGGAAACACGAACCAAGCTTTTGTAGCATAGCCAAACACATAGTTCCACTTCCTTGAATTCCCAAGAAGCTGCTGAGAGGCGGCAAACCTGGGTTTCCACCACATGGTCAGGGGCTATATGTGGCCACCATTTAGAGGCAACGTACAGAAAGCATTTAAGGGGCTCTGTGTAGCTTCTGGCACAATGGCCTTACATTTTAGGGAATAATAAAACTGTAGAGTTGAGAGGGGCCCCGAGGGTCATCTAGTCCAACCCCCTGCAATGCAGGATTTCTGTCTACCGCTGTCCCTGGGTGGATTCAAACCATCAACCTTCTACTGACCCATTGCACCACCACCTGAGATCAGTCTGAGATCTCTCGTGTTAGAAGAAGAAGAGTTTGGATTTCATATCCTGCTTTATCACTATCCGAAGGAGTCTCAAAGCGGCTAACATTCTCCTTTCCCTTCCTCCCCCACAACAAACACTCTGTGAGGTGAGTGGGGCTGAGAGACACCAGAGAAGTGTGACTGGCCCAAGGTCACCCAGCAGCTGCATGTGGAGGAGCAGAGACACAAACCCAGTTCCCCAGATTATGAGTCTACCGCTCTTAACCACTACACCACACTGTCTCTCAGATGTTAACCAGAAATGGGTAATGTTGAAGCCGGCTACATGTTCCCAGCTTCTTATTTGCATGAGAGTTTAAAACATCACCCAATACCTTTTAATAAAAGACAATCTCCTGGAGCTGCAGGTGTATCATTTGGGGTGACCCAAAGCTTATAGTGGTATGCACACCCATAATGCCTTACCTGTTAATGTCATCTGCAGTCATCATCACACATGGATCAGGCCAATGGCCAATCCAGTCCAGCATCTGGCTGCCGCAGGTTGCAAGCACAAGCGCCCCCTCCCCTCCTGTAGTTTCCAGCAACTGATATTCAGAAGCTTCAGAAGTAATGCTTTACTGCCTCTGAGCATTGCCACTGTGGCTTGTAGCCACTGATAGCTGTATATGCGCCATTAATTTGTCTGGTCTTTTAATAACTGGAGAAGATTATTGTTGCTCTCATTTCAATGCTCTTTACTTCCCTGATTTCAAATACAATATAATGGTTACCTTAGTCTAAAGTATTGGTTGTGCTTAGAATAGATTTATGGAAGATTTAGAAAACTTATTGATTAGAATATTTGTGTGAGATTGTATGGGAAAAATACGGAATAACAGATACAATCTTGCTTAAAAGATATAGGATATAGGAAGTGCAGAGTAAGCGATGGAAGTCAATCAGTGAAATTTTATTAATATTTTCATACTGAGATATTTGTAGAATAAATTTGGAAGAAATTCTTCCAACTTTTCTTCTTCCTTTCTCTATTCTTTTTTCTTTTCTAGTTTTTTCTCTTTTGTTCTTTTTTTTATATATGTGTGCTTATCTGAAATATATACGTATGTATGTACCGGTATGTATGTATTTGCAGTATATTGCTTATATTTTGTAATAATTATGTTAAATTAATAAAATAAATAAATAAATAAATAAATAAAGAGGAAAAAATGGTTACCTTAATCCTTCCAGAATTCTTTTTATTGTGCTCTCATGATGATTTGTGCTCATGGCGCTATTGGGGCAGTTACATGTCATCCTGCCTTCAATACTATTGTTTGTGCCGGCAAAGTTACAGGAGGGACATACTGATTCGTTTCCAATCCTCGCATGTCCCATAACTTCCTGCTGAAACCACGTAACTTTGCACGACAGGTGTGTGTAGTCAAGAGAGGACACCTGCACCCACAAGGGCAAGTGTGAAATGCCTACTTTAGGGAGGCGAAAGATGGCGGGCTGTTTCCTATATGTTACCTAAGCAAGTCCCATTGAGTTCAGTGGGCGTTAGGCCCTTGCCGGTGCGCTTAGGAATGCAGCCTTGACTGAAGTTATTCCTGCAGGGTTGCATCATTGACAAAAGGCGGCTTAAGAAACACAATGCATTCCTGCACATCCAGGGCTGTAAATAGCACCGCCACCCGCCACACCCCTTCCAACTTGGTTGGCTGTCCGCACAAAAGGGAGCAGGAAGCTTCTCTTGCGCCTTTATGATTGGGCTCACTGTAGTGCGTGCATGAGTTGATGACTAATTCTGTACATGGTGAAAAGGGAACGGGGTTCAGACGACAAGGCGCGGACTCCTGGGTCCCCTGCAAGCCAAGTGAGAGACAGATTCTTGGGGAGGAGTGGGGCAGTGAGAGAAAACGAGCAAGCATCGTGGACTCCCAAATTAGGCGGGGAGACAGGTTAGCTCAAGGTTGGCAGGGGGCTTGGAGAGCCTGGATTCCCGGATCGTGAGTGCAAAGCCAAGCCGATACGTCTACTACCTGTTTGCCGGTCCCTCCCCTTATGAAACTGGTCGGGCCGCTTTCCCGGGTCTCTCTCACCTGGGCCACTCCTCCTTCCTGCCCGGGCCGCCTTCCCCGCTGTCCTTCCTCGCCCTCTTCCTCCCTCCCTTTCCCCGGACGGGGTTTTGCCTGGAAGGGCACCGTCCCGGCTCCCCTCCTCTCCCTGCCCTCTCGGGTTGCCTCGCTGTGACTCGGGAGCTTTTGCGCCGTCCAAAAACTCCCACCCACCACCCCACACTTTTGCTTTTGCAGCGCCCTTCCCGATCCTGAAGTTCGCCCCGCTCCTCCCTCTTGGGAAGCAGCCCCGACGTGCCGCGCGGCCCCCCTGGACGACGGGCGCCGCCGATCCCCGGCCATCATGGGCTCCCCCTCGGGGCTGGGCCGCTGCCGGCTGGCCTTGGCCTTCGCGGTGCTCATGGACGCCGCGGGCACCGGGGCGCTGCTGACGGGCATCTTCGCGCGGCTGCGCCTTCGGGGCCGCGACTTCGGCGACCTGCTGATCTACTCGGGCGCCGTGCTGGTCTTCCTGAGCCTGCTGGGCTGGATCATGTGGTACACGGGCAACATCGAGATCGCCCCCGAAGAGCTGGCCAGGGACTACGGCGCCAAGGGCGGCACGCTGGCCCGCCTGGCCAGGAAGATCTCGAGGACGTGGTCCCGGCGCCAGGAGACTCGGCTGGCCATGAGGACGGTGCAGAGCAGCCGGGAAGCCGCCTAGACGAGGTAATGCCCAGCCCTGCCCGCCCGCCCCGTCTCCCGATGGACGGCTGCTACCAGCCAGGGTCGGCAGTATTGGACTAGATGGACCGGTCCCGTGGTCCTTCCTGCTCGGGGTGTGTTGACGTTACTAGGCTCAGGGCGCAGTGGAGTTGTCGCCGTCGTTTTCAACGCCTTGCGTGGCTCCTCCCCGCCGTCCAACTGTTCACATCAGCGCCGCTTCATTAGTGTCAGATTCGCTTCTGTTTGTGTTCACACCAGGAGGCGTTGGCGGGGCGGGATGCCTTTGCACGATGCAAAGGGGTTCACAAATTGGCTAGAGAACCAGTTGGTGTGAAGGTGGCTTGAGAAGCGATCCATCAAAGATACATGTGTAAACAGTTTGACAGTGGAACAGAGTCCCTTTGGAGGTAGTGGACTCTCCTTTCTTGGAGGTCTTAAGGCAGAGTTTGAATGGCCATCTGTCATGGATGCTTTAGTTGAAATCTCTGCATTGCAAGGGGTTGGACTAGATGACTCTCAGGCTCCCATCCAACTCTACAATTCTATTATTTCCAGATTCTATTATTCTGTTTAAAAAACCAGCACTGGAAACCTAGTAAGTGTGAACCCAGCCTTGGTATAAATTACCTTCCAGTGTCCTGCCCTGATTTTCTTGGGCAAGTCTCTACAGCCACAAGAGCTGCAGACTTTCTAACCCGCTGCCTTTAATAGCTTGCTTGACATCAGGTGGGCAAGATTATGTTTCGCTTTCATGCCGTGAAAACCTCCCCCTGCTGATTTCTGCACACCAGCTTGCTGATAAAAGGCGTTAGGAGTTATGTGTTTTTGAAGTTTTATTTTCCTGGCCATCTGGATGATTTGGTTGAGGCAATGTCTGTCCCAATCGGTCATAATCCTTTAATATTGTGGGATGTGCATGCTTTAACCTGGACCAGTTGCTCCCTTGGCATCCTTTTGATCTACAATTAGCACAAAAGAGGTGGAGTTAAACTAGGCTTTCCCCCAAGGCATTTGTGACTGTGTGAGAATCGAACCAGCAGCTATTCTGGGACAGATTGGATTTGTAGGGTGAGCAGCCACACTTTCCCTCGATGGGCTGCTTCTGCCAACCCCAGCACCCCTCTGCTGCAGATCATTTAAGGCGAGGATTCCCAAACCAACACAGATCCCTGGTGGTCCAGAAGCTTCATTCAGGTGGGCCGTGGTGTGTCTCTGAATTTGAAGACAGAAGATGGCACATCCATTGAGTTAAATATATTGATTTTTAATCATATCTTTATTGCTCCTTTTACTTTTTATTTCATTACCACTTGGATTCTATAGAAATCAAATTGCAGTACAATAGAATACATTATGTAAGAAATAAAAGATGCAATAAAACTACGATTAAAAAATCATCCAGCCTCTAGCAACAGCACGTTGCAAACGCTACAACAGGCAGAAACTCGTTTAGTGGTCCGCTAAGACCCTCAGCAAATTTCAAGTGGTCCATGGCAAGGAAAAGTTTGGGAACCACAGCCTTAATGGAAGGGGAGCCTTGTTGACCCGGAGCATCTTGTGAATGGGCTGCAGCTCAATGACAGAGCAGATGCTTAGCATTATTACCTGTTCACTTACGTTTCCCTGGAGAGCTGAGAAAGAGCCCCAGTCACCCTTATGGACCAGCTCAGCTGCAAGTGTGTGTGTGTGTGTGTGTGTGTGTGTGTGTTCTTTCACGTTGAGCAGCAAACAAAAATTCAGCTAGCAAAACTTTGCTCATCATCACTATCTCTCTGCCAGAAGAAGTTGCACCTGATAGATTTCTGCCTGCTGTGCGGATTTTTTGGATGTCACAACAGCTGAGATGACTTTTAAGAAGGATTGGACACATTCATGGAGAGCAGGTCTATTGGCCGTGTTTGCTAAATGAATCATCCGTGTTCAGAGGCAATATATACCAGAATCTGGAAGACACAGTGAGGGGAGGGGGGGAGGCCAGACGCCTTGCTGAGATCTTCCCCAAGGCAGCCTTGGAAACAGGGCACTTAGTCTAGACCAGGCATCCCCAAACGCTGTCCTCCAGCTGTTTTGGGACTACAACTCCCATCATCCCTAGCTAACAGCACCAATGGTCAGGAATGAAGGGAATTGTACTCCCAAAACATCTGGAGGGCCGAGTTTGGAGATGCCTGGTCTAGACTCCAGAATCTTAAGAACTTGATTCAGCTGATAGTTGGCGCTTCAGCCTCCTTGCAAAGGGCTTTGCAGGCGCTGTCCATCGTCTGTGCCTGAAAAACCCCTTTTGACCCTACTGCTATGCCAATCTATCCCACACCTGACACCATAGACATGATACCAGGTGCAAGGCAGGAGGGGGTGACCTGGCCAAAATGGCCCAGGAGACCAAAATCAAGGATGGCCCAGGTGGAGCCTTGGTCTAATCCAGCAGAGGCCAGCTTCTGTCCTTCCACATCCTTTGCAGACCACAGCCCTGCTCTCTCTTCTGCCTTTTAACTTCCCTTTTCACTTTTGTTCCTCTTTCAGTATCATCATTAAACATTTAACACAACATGGCCTGAAACCAGAGACAGCAGGTGTTGTTGGGTGTTGGTTTTTTTAATCTGGATGAAACAAGAGACAATTCTGACGTTCACACACACACACACACACACACACACACACACCCATCCTGGCATCTCTGGCGGACTGCGAGGGTGACCACCTTCTATGCTGAACACAGCATCATTCCTGCTATATATGTGACAAGCTCAGTTTTGTTTTCCGTCTGCTTGAGAGGTGGATGGGGTGGGAGCACATAAAAGTCTGCTCGCTGGGTTGCATTCAGCTGTTCTTCAAGTTCTTCACAGCCCTGTTTCTTGAGCTTTCTAAACCTGCATCTCCCCACCCTCTACTTTCTAAAACTTGCTAATGTGGCTCAGTCAGTAGAGCAGGAGACTCTTAATCTCAGGCTTGTGGGTTCGAGCCCCACGTTAGGCAAGAGATTCCTGCATTGCAGAGGGTTGGACTAGATGGGTTGGACTACCATTCTATGATTCTACTTCTATTTATTTAGTTTATTGCTATCGCACCCTTCCTTCAAGGGGCTTACAGCGGCATACACAGCCTCCTCCCGCCCCCTCTGCCCAGCTAGCCATTTCTCGCTTTTTTCTTTGCCTACCAAGCACCTGAACCCCTGCTGCCATTAAGATGGCTTTGCAGAAGCCTCTGCTTGAAAAGGAAGAGCTCATAGCGCAGTGGTAGAGCATCTGTCTTGCGCACAGAAGGTTCTAGGTTCAATCTCTGGCGTATCTGCAACTATGGCTGGGAATGTCTCCTCTCCAAAACTCTAAAAAGCCTTTGGTGACGATAGACCACTGGGCGGCATCCATACCAGCACTGTTATACCACTTTGACAGTCACGGCTTCTCCCAGAGGATCCTGGGAACTGTAGTTTGTTAAGGTGGCTGAGAGCTATTAAGAGACCCCTGTCCCTCTCACACAGCTACAATTCCCAGAGTGCCCTTGGAAGAAGAGGGGTTGATTGTTAAACCACTCTGGGAATTGTATCTCTGCAAGGGGAACCCTAATGGCTGTCAGCCCCTCTTTAACAAACTACACTTCCCAGGATTCTTTAGGGGAAGATTGGCTTGGGGATCAGCAGCACTACTGCCATATAAACATCCTCACTGAGCGTGGGAGGCATGAAGCCTTGCCACCATATTGTCCACCAGCAAGCCACACATCCTCTCTAGGGATTCAGACAGCCTTTACCCTAGAGGGGCTGGGGGGTTGGGCTTTGTCTGCACATTTCCTACCACTAAGCTGTGGGCTTTGCTTCCTGTGGCAGCCTCGCAATGTCCAGGCGTCTAGGCTTGCCACCTGTTTTCCATTTTTTAGCAAGGCTTTTAAAAATCGTACTAAATTGTGAGCCTTCACAGATGCTAAAGGCCTCAGATGCCTTCCCGCCTGTCCCACCAACATCTGACGCATATTGGGCAGCAATTTCAGGGAGCAGCCTTCTTGGCTCTGGAACCCTCTGATGCCCTTCATTTGGCAGGCAATAGCATTTTTATTTAGACAGGCCTTTGGCCCACCAGGTGACTTGCAAATACGCTGAAAAACTGTTGTACCTGGTTGTTTTTAGTTCTGTTTCACTGGCCTTGTGGTGTTTCCTTTTCTCTTTTGTGTTCTGTTGTGTTTTATTGCATCTTACTGTGTTTGCATTTTTGTCACTGGCTGCCTTGAGCACCATTTGGTGGAAAAATTTAACAGCTACAAAACCTTGTGCGAGTGCCAGGTGCTTCTCATCCTTGCCCGGGGCAGGGGACTCCGACATGCCACCGCCTGAATTTCATTCCCACCCTCTTAAGTGCCTCTCCCCTTCCCCCTATTTGACTTGGGAGCTGTTGCCACTATTTCCATTCCTGCTCCAACCCCCAATTCTAATTTTCTTGCAGGTGTCCTGCTTGCCATTAACTGGAGGATCTTCTGGCCCACTTGCGGGATGAATGAATGGACTCACCAGGTTGGATGATGTTCTCCTGGGACTGGACCTGACCTTTGACCATATCCCAGGAAAGGGATATTAGACTCATCTCTTCGCCAGCTGTGCTCACCTTCATCCAGTAGTTTCTGTGTGGATTTTGCTTTACATACATTTCAATAATGCATTCCTCCCCCCACCCCATCCCCAAGGTCTCTGTTCTTTTCTTTTTACTGCAATGTGGGTGGGCAACCCTTCTGAATCAGGGCCCATAACAAAGGCACAACAGACAGAAATTCTGGCTTTCTACTCAGTGGCAGGGCCATGGGCGAGAAAGTGGCCTCCTTTCTTCTTGTCTCAGAGCTTTTGAAGTTGCAAAGGCAGAAAAATGGGACCGAAAAGTATAGCTGGGGTGGATGGGAGGATTGTCAAAGGTGGCCAGGAACTGGGAGTCCTGATTTCTCTCCCAGGGGACCAAGGATTCTAGGGGGATTGGGTCTAGATACCACAGCAATAACCAGAGGCTGGGGAAACTAAACTCTTTTATTGATAATAAATATATATGTGCTATATGGGGTGGTTATGCTGGTGGAGGAGCTGGTGGGGGTGGTCCCGGGGGTGGTTCCCCAGGTGGCGGAGGTGGTGGCGGAGGTGGAGGTGCTGGGGGTGGTTCCCCAGATGGCGCCGGGGCTGGTTCCCCAGGTGGCGGAGGTGGTGGTGGTGGTGGAGGAGCTGGGGGTGGTTCCCCAGATGCCGCTGGGGCTGGTGCCCCAGGTGGCGGAGGTGGTGGAGGGGCCGGGGGTGGAGGTTCCCCGGCTGGCGCTGGCGGAGGTGCTGGAGGCGGTGCTGGCGGGGGTTCTGGGGGCGCCGCCGGGGGCAGCGCCAGAGTTTCCGCTGGCTGCATTGGCCCTGGGCTCGGTTCCGGGGTGATTTCTGCACTCCACGGTGGCTCCTCCATACTTCCCATCCTCGCTTCTGTGCTCCAGCGCGGCTGTTCCACATAATTTCCTTGCATCCAGGGGTTCCTGTGATCTAGGGCGTCGTCCACTTCACTTTCTTCGTCCAGGAGCTTAACCAGATAATCGGCCATTTCGCCCTCGCTCCGCGGCCTCTCCAGCTCTCTTTCCTTTACTTGGAACTCCTTAAACTTCCTGTGTGGGAGAGAAGCACATCAGAACATGGGGAGGGAGAGGCGGATTTCCTATGGCATGCAGGAGTGGATGCATGCATGTAGGGTTTTCTATGGGGTGAGCTCTGCTTCCCCTACCCCTCTGCCACAACATTCCCTCCTCTACTGATAAATACACCTGGCTTCTATTATTCAAGTTGGCTGCTTCTCCCCCCCCTTATCTGGAGCATGAGATTCTTGATCTCAGGGAGAGGAGTGTTTGGGGACTGCTTCATTATCTATCGGTTCTTCTCACAGTGTTTTTACCCTTTGAAAACAGCTCTAATGGGATGAGGGAGGTGGCTTTTGACTTGGCAATCGGCACAGGCCTGCAATCAGCACAGGCCCACAAAGGGGTGAATGAGAGATGATGATGCTTCACGACTGAGATACGGATCTGCTCTTCCACAGCAGGCTGCTCCCTGAAATCACGTACTTCTGCATGTACCCTAGTTCTTTCTGACAGTGAGCCTTTCTAATAACTTTGGCTAAAATATGAGTCCACTGGTGGTATATTTCTATCATGTTTCTGACAGCTCTGCTAATCCCACTGCCACACTGGGTCATGGACAAGGCCCAGGACCTTTCGCAGGAAAAAAGGTAGCTACTTTAACAACAGTTGTGTTCCTAAGCATGCCAGGAACCCGTGTGGAGTAGTGTTACTGGTGAGTCAAGAGGGTCTCGGCCTAACCCGAGGAAGGCTGCACCGGTAGAGTTAAGGGATCTGCTTTTCTAGAGAGAAATCACAAAAGATGGTGAAGAGAAGGAGGAAAAAGGGTACGTCCTCACTACAAATCTTCACTCATTTCTGGTTTGCTGGTTCTTTACTAGTTTAGAACAAATTATCATCAGTTGTATACAGCTAAGCCCAAATGGGGAGGGGCAAACAGGCCTTTAAAAGCCTGGGGGCCACATTCCATTATGGGGCAGCCTTCTGGTGGCTGCAGGCCAGCGGGGGGAGCAGTGGCAAAATTTCGCAGAGAAACAGGTGAGATGCTCACCTTTGTACCATAGGCACACGGACTGAGGCACAACTTGGAAGCTGGCCCCTGAAAGGATCACCCCAGAGCCTGAATGGGTCACATGGGGGAGGAGGCTTCACTACCATGACTTGGGGGGGGGGGGGGTGACACGTACTTTTCTCCCTTACACTGAGGGAGGCTTTTTCTGGCAGGAGAGGGAGAGAAAAGAATAAAAGAAAAGAGGGAGGGAGGGAGGAAGAAAAGAGATGTTGCCCTTTTGGTGAGCAAGACGGTGGGGTGTGGGGAGGTGTGTCGTTTATCTGGTGGGGAGCTGCAATATTGTTTGAGATCTTGCCTTTTTGTGGGTTCAGAAGCTGAGGAAGAGACAACAAATGGTGGTCTCGAGGAGGAAACAGGCATGGCGAGGGGAGATGTGGTTGTAAAAAGGGAAACACTATAGGATGGAAACTGAGGCAAGGCAAGGGGTAGTGGCAAATAGAGCAAGCGGGAAGAGGCACCCCCTGTCATGTAAAATAATAATAATTAGGTACTTTGTTACAGGTGGGTATTGGAGGTGGGCCCCAAGAATGAAAAGGTGAAGTCATTGGTGATTGGGAAGGTGAGATGAGGTTTGGCAGATCCAGTTTTCTGGGTTTCTTTCTCTTAAAGGGAGCTGGACCTCCTATGGGCTTAGACTAGAAGTACTATGGAACTCCCATATTATTGTGGAAAAGGACAGGTTTTTTTAATATAATTTTTTATTAGTTTTTTTTTAACATATCATTTTCAACTGTAATTAAACATACTTTTACATCTTATTCAAATTTTTGACTTCCATCAATCCTGTCTGAAAATTTTCCAATCTAATCTCTCAGTATGCATTTCTTATCTTCCCTCTTACATTTCAAACTCATAACCAATATCAGGAAAAGGGCAGTTTTTAGTATGAGGGTGGGGAAACATCTGACTAGTGGCGGCTGGCGGACTCTGGACCTTTTAGGGCAGCTAGGTGGGGCCTTCTGAAAGGGGTGGGGAAGGCAGCGTTTGAAATAATGCAAAACCAAGCAAAACCTAAAAATGAAATAAAAAAAACATGGGACACAACCAGGTCCTTCTGGCCTATAAACATTAGACTTTACATGCATGTGCTCAGCAAATCCAGTGTGCGGGTGTCTGCTAGAGTCGTGGAGGGAGAGAGTAATCCATGCTCTTTTACGATACACAGGCTGCGCCCACTGCGTTCTCATCTGAACCATCTCTGCAGCTTCCAACTTTTTGTAATAGCATTTTAAATTTGCGGAAGTGCTTTATAATTTTTCACCCTCGCCTTGGAAAGCAGGCCACAGTACAATTCTAGCAAAACACAAAGAACGATATTTTCACTTTTAACAAAACCACAGGCTTGGGGGGGGGGGAGCCTGAGATCTTACCCAAATAAAAATAGTAAGTGCCATACATTTGAAAACAAGATCTCAGGAGCGGTTGGAACAGATCTCACCCCCGCAGCCACCCCGTAATATCACTACCATGAGAAAAGCATTTTTTAAAAAACTGTTCTCAATCAGGCATTAACCCTTGAGAACTTTCACTCTCGTAAAAAAGGCAGAAGCATGATATTTCAAAAGGAGCCGTAGGCACTCCAACCCCCCAATGCTCCATTCCCCAAATACAATGGTAATAAGGCTAAAGACTCACACTTTTCACACCAATGCTTTGCCATCTTGATCCCACATACAAGCACCAAAGTTCCCTCGCTGATCAAATCAATCATAACAAAATAAAGCAGCTAAAGCTGGCTGGGCTTTTAGCGAAACATCTAAAGGGTTGTCACATGGAGAACAGAGCAAGCTTGTTTTTTCCTGCTCCAGAGGGTAGGGCCAGAACCAATGGATTCAAATCACGAGAAAGGAGATTCCTGCTAAACACCAGGAAGTACTTTCTGATGGTAAGAGCTGTTTGACAGTGGAACAGACCCACAAGAGAAGTTGTGGACTCTTCTTCCTTGGAGGTTTTTAAGCAGAGGTTGGAAGGCCATCTGTCATGGATGCTTAAGCTGAGCTTCCTGAACTTCAGGGGGCTGGACTAAATAGTACCCTTGGGGTCCTGTTCCACCTCCACAGTTCTGTGATTGAGTGTTTAGGATTTTAAAAAATCCACGCAGAGAATTCACAAACGGCTGTCCTAACGCACTGTGAGCAAATGCAATGACCAGGTTTTGAAGGCACAAAGTATAACATTTTCTGCAAAAGGGATGCAGAACATTTGATTCCTGAGTATGCTAAAGGTGGGCTGGGTAAAGCAGTAGCATTTTTTAAAATCACAGGTTTTTATGTGCATTTCCTTTTCTGCACGTTCCCATCCTTCTTCGATCCCCACCTAGGTACACAAAAGAAGCCAAAATGGAGCCACCTACCAGCTGAAATAAAGACACATGCTGAGGATGGCCACAATGACAGAGATCCCACCAAGAATCCCTGCATTCCGGCGTTGTCTGGCAGCTGTTGGGTGGAAAGGCAGATGTTAGTGATTCCCTCACCCAGAGGCTGAGATGTAATGGGTGATGGCATGGCTTGATCCAGGCCAAGTTAGAGGGCGCCCTAGGGCACAGACCCACCTAGTCCAGCATCCGCAGTGGCCAACCTAATGCCCGCAGGAAGCCCACGAGAAGGACATGAGCACAACAGCCACTCTTTTCATTTGCAATTCCCAGCAAACAGTATCATGGACATACCGCCTGCAATACTTGTAGCAAATCACCATCATGGCTAGCGGTCACTGCTATCCTCCCGGATTGCTGCTAAAAATGCGCTTCTGAGGAAGGATACGTTCTGAAACATGCAGAGTGAGGCTGGGCAACCTCAGACCGGGGGGGAGAGCAAATGTGGCCCTCAGGATTCTCCCCCCTCACTCATTCACCCTCCTTTGCACCCCCTAAGGTGGTTTTGCTTGTCTGGGATGTGCCCTTGAACTCTAATTAAGCTTCTCGCTTGCCTGGATGGAGGACAGAGTGTTGAAACTGGCAGTTAGGGCCTGAATATTATTATTATTATTATTATTATTATTATTATTATTATTATTATTTCTGTTTATATACAGCCCTTTATCAGAAGATCCCAGGGTGGTGTACAACATTAAAAACACATTACAGAACATCAATGATCAAAACATAACAGAAAACATAATGGCAGACGGTCTAATAGTAAAATAATCATAATAATAAACAAATCCTATTCCAAGCATCTGGAGTTCCCCCTTCTTTTCTCCAGGTGGGTGGGGCTTTCCCAGTTTTGTGGTTAGTTTTTTGCACCATACCCCACAGGCTACTTATCAAAATCTATAAAATGCTTACTAAAGCAAAAAGACCTCTAAGTGGTTTACCTACACATGATGTTAGAACATCTTCTAGAGAGCTGGTTCCCAAGCTTCCCTGCCTCACGGACTGGACCGCTTGAAATTTTTCGAGCGTCTTGGTGGAACACTTAATGTTTTTTCCCCCTGCCTGTTGCAGCCATTGTGATGTGCTGTGTTAAATGCTGTATGGTTTTCACTAGTATTTTTACAGACAGGCTGCAGACCTCCTGAACAAAGGCCATGGAAACACAGGGGGCCAGGTGTCACAGTTTGGGAATCCCTGTTCTAGGGAGATGCTCCCATCCCAAAACGATTGCAGCTGCTGTTATCGGCAGATGTTGAAACAAATGGGCACAGCTTGGGGGCACAGCCGGATATTCCCTCAGACATTCATTGTATCCACTTAGAACGAGGCTGTGTGCTCTGCAGTCAGTCCACTCCCGCCATTGGTATGTGAAGCCGTGTACATACAGTGTTGTAAGCCAGTAAAATGTACTCAGCCTGAATGAAAAGAGCTTTGCTGGCAGCAGTCCTAAGCAAACTGGACACCATGAGTCTTATTTTGAGTAAACATGGATAGGATTGTGCTGTTAGTTTTAGCTCGCCTGTGTGTCTCCCCAGAAAAAAATATAATAATTACAATTATAATAAAATATTTGTTAGTCGCTTGTTACCCAAAGGTCTCCAAATGACATTATTATTATTATTATTATTATTATTATTATTATATGTATTTATATCCCACCTTTCTTCCAAGATGGGATTCAAGGTGGCTTCAGACATTTAAAAACATCATGATGTGAAGAAAGTACAGTAATAATGACAAACTAGTAAAAAACAATAAACACATTTACACAGAAGCAGCCGTTAAAATGCAATTTGCCCTGACAGTTGTCAGCATAAACTTCACTCTAGTTTTCAAAGGACTTACGGCACTGTTAGAAACAAATAGATATATTGCACCATAAAACAGAACAAAAAACAACAACCCCTGTAACAGCCACTGTGGCTTTGGCAGCATACTAATAACAAACAATATAGTCTTAGTCTATCAAGAGCCTTGGGAGGGGGCAAGATAAGTCTTTACCTCACATGCCATTGTAAAGATGTCAGTGAAGGCATCAGGTGGACTTTGCTGGGGAGCTCATCCCTCAGATAGGGAGCCACAGCTGAAAAGGCCCTCTCCCTTGTCACCACCCCCTGAGCCTCCCTCAGAGGGGGGACCTGGAGAGGCATCTGAGATGTAGTTTTAAGGGTCCAAATAGGTTCATATTGGGGCAAGGAGTGTTGCAGAAGGCATTGGGATCCTGAGCCAGAAAGGGCTTTAAAGCTCAAAAACAGTTATCCCTGTCCTGATAAAAGTTGTAAATGGGCCACTGGCCCAAGCTGACAGAAGGCATTCTGTCCCACTGAGTCCACCTGTTACCTCAAGTGAAAGCAGTGAGCCCAGGAGAACCCCCAAACCACAAATTGGCCCCTTCAGAAGGAGTGTGACCCCATCTAGAGCAATCTGCACACCACTCAACTGGTCACCACCAACAGTATCTCAGTCTTGTCTGGATTAAGCTTCAGTGTATTGGCCCTCATCCAGTCCATTATTGCAACCAAGCATGGATTCAGCAGACTGAGCGCTCATATCAGGCACAACGTGGCACAGACATGTGTGAGGAAAGACATTTGTTCCTGTCATCCGTGATGTCCCAGGCGCTGTCCAACAGGTGCCTGCGACAAGAAGTCTCTGCTTGCCAAGGGAAGGAGAATATTATTTATGCCACAGACTCGCACTGGCTCGACAGTCATTCTCTCTCCCCAGGACGCCCTGGTTCTGCAAGAGGGGCTAATGCAAGAGCATTGCCAGCACCTCCATCCAATTCCAGTTCCCAAAGTCCTTTTGGGGCGGGGGCAGAGGGAAACCATGACAATTATACAGGAATGGTTTGTAGTGCAGATGCTGCCCTTGTGATACAGGCCCTCCCTGAAAAGAGACATGTTCACTTTGAAGAAAAACGTGCAACCAGTGAGCGGGAGTTGCCTTTACTTATGCTATGTAAGCTAATTGCCACGAAACTTTGCTCGTCCTTACCATCAACAGCATGGTAGTAGCAGGTGTGGTTATTATAACAGCATTTCTTCTGCTGGCACTGGTGAGGGTAGAAACTTTCTGCTTCGCCACCACATTTTTTCTGAAAGGAAGAGTCCTGTTGGCATGCTAGAAAAGAGACAGAGATTCGTTCAAGCAACCCGTTTTAAGGTTGCTTCTGTCCTGCCACCTCTCACAAATAAATGACCTACAGCTCCACCACACTGGTACGTTGGGACCCCCCCCCCCCATAATTCCCATGACAATAAATAAACAATAAATCTCCTTCACTGGAAGTTTTTAAGCAGAGGTTGGGTGGCCATCTGTCATGGATGAGTCCTGCATTGCAGTGAGTTGGTCCTTTCCAACTCTACAATTCTACGATTCTACAAATGTCATGTGTGCAACACACCAAAAATGCACCCAAGTTCAGCATTCAATACACATGTTCACACAGTGTGGGCAAATCAGGATGAACGCTCAATAAATGAATCACCCGGAGGATCCCACAATAATAATATGTTAAATAATTTGCCAATTCCTTTCCTGATACCCAGCGTCAGCTGCCTGAGGTGATTGCCTCACTCTGTGTCTATTGAGAGGGCCAGCCCTGCTGGATATGCAGAAAGAAGGCATTCAGCCTCCTCAGTCAGGAGTAGGGAATCTTTGGCCCTCCCATCGGCCCCAGTAAGTACAGCCAGTGGGTAGGGATGATGGGAGTTGTAGTCCTCATATTTTATCAAAAAACACTTAGCTGCCAAGCAGGGCTTTTACAATCACACCACACAAAATTGGTATTGAATGTGAAATTTGAGTATCCTGAAAGCATCAGGCTTGGCTACAACTGGAACAAATTGAATCGGTGCCAAGCCTTTCGTTCAGGGGTCAGCAACCTTTTCTAGCTGTGGGTCGGTTCACCGTCCCTCAGACCATGTGGTGGGCCGGACTATATTTTGAAGGGGAAAAAATGAACGAATTCCTATGCCCCACAAATAACCCAGAGATGCATTTTAAATAAAAGCACACATTCTACTCATGTAAAAAACACCAGGTAGGCCCCACAAATAACCCAGAGATGCATTTTAAATAAAAGGACACATTCTACTCATGTAAAAACACACTGATTCCCAGACCGTCCGTGGGGTGGATTGAGAAGGTGATTGATCCGCATCTGGCCCCTGGGCCTTAGGTTGCCTATCCCTGCTTTAGTTCTTATGGCTGTGAAGGGAAACTTGGGAAAGTGCAGGCAAGACAAGGGGGGGGGGGACATTGTAAGCCGGGGGGGGGACCTGTGGCTTTCCTGATGCTGTTGGACTCCAACTCCCATCAGCCCCTGCCAGCCTGGTCAATTGTCCAGGGGACGATGGGACACATTTGGAGGGACACAAATTCTTCCAGCACTTGCTTTTAAGTGTTGGACTTCTTGAGGCTGTGGTTCTAGTTGTTGCCTCAGGAGGGAGCCCCTTGATCTCTCTCTTTTTTGAGAGCAGCACTTCAGGGTCAGAAGAAAGGAGGAGAGATAGGGGAGGAATCAAAAGAAGAAGCACTTTTACTCACTGAGAGGCTTGAGGAAATTCCCACTAGTACCTGCTGGAAGGCAAGGGGCAAAATCAGAGTTTGAATGGAAGGCAACGGCAAACACAACCACCACCAATGACCCCACCACCACCACCTGCCAGATCCTCTTGCAACCTCCCACTTAGAAGCCTAAAACTTTGGCATGAAGCGGTACAGAAATTAACAAATGAATGGCAAAAGAAACTAGCATTGATCCCAGCCTGGGGGACTGAGGGAGACGGGTTCCTCTACATACCTTCTAGGACCAGCACTAGACAAAGAAGAAAAGCCAGACCAGGCTGGCTCATATCTCATATCTCTCTCCTTTTGGGGACGCCAGTTCCATGTGGCAGGGGGTGTGCCTGAGCCATGAGGCTGCCTGCGACATGAACGGTGTCAGAATTGCAGAGAAGTGTCATAGAACCTGGGAGTTCTAGAGTATTCGTACACCTAGCAACCAGGAAGCTGGGGGTCTGGGGTAGGAGGAGGATCAAGATCCTGTCCGTTTGTTTCCTAAAAACATCTGGTTGGCCACCGGGAGAACAAGATGCTGGGCTAGATGGGCCACTGGCCTGATCCTGCAGGCTCTTTTTGTGTTCCTATGCAGCCCTCCCAATAATAGAATCCTGAGGAAGAGCACGCGAGAGCACCCCTGAAATTGGGGAGATCTCGCCCACAATGGGCGCCAATGCTAGCGCCGCTTCTCTGCCAGTGGCGGAGGCAATAGGGTGGGTGAGGCAGGCAGCAGTGGCAAGGCAGGCAGGCACTTCCCATTTCGCCTCCAGCAGCAAAATGGAACGTGCCACCCCTCCTCACAGAGCTACAATTCCCAGCACCCTAAACAAGCTATGGTTCCCAGTATCCCTTGGGAGAAGTCAGGTGCTTTAAATGTACGGTGTGTGCACAGCTTTAGTGTAGCAGGTAATGCTGGGGCAGATGAGCCAAAGTTTTGATTCACTTTAGGGTTCGAGTCTCCGCTCCTCCACATGCAGCTGCTGGGTGACCTTGGGCCAGTCACACTTCTTTGAAGTCTCTCAGCCCCACTCACCTCACCTCACAGAGTGTTTGTTGTGGGGGAGGAAGGGAAAGGAGAATGTTAGCCGCTTTGAGACTCCTTAAAGGGAGTGAAAGGCGGGATATCAAATCCAAACTCTTCTTCTTCTTCTTCTTCTTCTTCTAGGGCGCCCTATGTTCATAAAAGGAGCAAGAGGATAAAGCAAAGACATGAAGGCAAGGTGGGTTTTGAGGAGGGATTGAAAGAGAAAGGAGAGAAACAGAACCACATACAGTGGTACCTTGGGTTAAAAACTTAATTTGTTCCGGAGGTCCATTCTTAACCTGAAACTGTTCTTAACCTGAAGCACCACTTTAGCTAATAGGGCCTCCTGCTGCCGCCACACGATTTCTGTTCTCATCCTGAAGCAAAGTTCGTAACCTGAGGTACTATTTCTGGGTTAGCGGAGTCTGTAACCTGAAGCGTCTGTAACCTGAAGCGTATGTAACCCAAGGTACCACTGTATATGCTCAGGAAGTGAGTTCAATAGACAAGGAAACAATAGTGGAGAATGGGTGAGCTGTTTAAGGAAGCAGGAGACGTTTGCCCAGCAGAGGGCAGCAGAATTCAAGGAGCACAGCTCTGCCACTGAGCTGCAGCCATCCCCATTGCAAGCTCATCCAAAGGAAACAACCTTCTAGTACTTCACCAAAACATGCCACCACTCTGGAAAGTGGGAAGTGTTTTAGGGGACATCTGTTTGTGTTGAGCAGTGGGACGTAGGCAAGCACCTAGCGAGACAGCACCGGTTCTGGAATGCGGCAATATCCTGCCCCCTGCCTCCCTAATAGTAAATTAGACCCTCCATCTAGTCAGCTGCAAAACCTAGATTTTTGTCTCCTTTCCTGGACATTATTCAAGTCTGCTCTTCTTTTACCTGGGCATGCAGTGTGTCCTTGCCCACTGGTCCATGTAGTTCAGTATTGTTGACTCTGACTGGCAGCTGCTCTCCAGGGTGTCAGGTGGGAGCTTTTCTCTGGAGAAGATGAGAGATGGATGTTGGGATCTTTTGCATGTGAAATGACCAGGTTTTATTGATTCAGGGGCAAGGTCACTCAGTTAACTCCAGATCGACTCAAACTATGCCAGCCTCTATTAGCTGCCTGGATGCGGATTTGCCAATAAGTGGTGCTCTGGAAGGGACGGGTGGGAGAGCCTCCATTTTGAATCACCTTGATTGCCGCTGTAAATAAAAATGATTAAATCTGATTGCAAATAAAAAAATGATTGTGCTGGCTACATACACCTTGACTTTTGCTGGCAAAAAGACCAGTTAAACTGCACTCATAAGTGGTTTGAAAACCAGCATTTTAAAACTTGATTAGCAGTTTGGCTTGTGTGTCGTCCCCCCGCAACCCGGTCTTTCTTGAAATGTGTCCTTTGATGCTTTCATTACTTTGTCCTGCTATCTTCAGTCACACACACACACACACACACACACACACACACACACCCTCTTGCTCGTGGCTTTTCATCAACAGACAAGCCAATTGTTGCATTCATGGGCTGGGACTGAGGGGGAACCGTCCTTGCTCCCCACCCTAGCGGGAAGCCATCTTACAAATTCCCGGCCACTCGTGGCTCCGCCGTTCCTGGCGCCCAGCAGCGTGGAAGGACAATCTAATCAAGGGTTATTAAATGCAGATACAACCCCCCCATCCAGGCTCAGGCTATAAAATCTGGAGCCTTCACGTTTATTGGGAACTGAGGTCATGGCTGTGCTGCCCCAGGGGAAATGATGGGAAACAGCGATTTCCTACCCTGCTGTTCTTTGCAGATGCTCTCCCACATCCTATCCTGAAATGCTCCAGTATCCCTTGCAACTCCCCATGCCCCACATTTAAAAGCACGTGATTTCCCCCAGAGAATCCTAGGAAATGTAGTTTGTTAAGGGTGCTGTGGGTTGTAGCTCTGCGAGTGGGAAACTACAGTTCCCAGGATTCTTTGGGCAGGGGTCGTGTGCTTTAAATGTATGGCGTGGATCTGCCCATGGTCCTGGGATTAGAGTAGATGGAGTAGAGGTGGCATCAAGACTTGGGGCTCAGCCACACTTTTCTGCTCGTCCTGCGCCCAGAAAGCAAGGAGGATCCAAGCGGTTTTGCATTTGCCCCACAGCTTTCCCTTGGAAAACTGCTGGTTTTCCTACCTAGGGGAAAGCTGCAGGGCAAATGGAGGTACAGATGAGCCCCACTCGCGGTGGGATTAGAGGTTACTTCAACCTCAGTACTTTCTTCTGCAACATGGAATTACAGATACTTGTTGAGCAACTGAATGAGATTTAGGAAACTAAAAATACTGCATCATTATAATGCTAACAGTTTAGCAAAAATGTTTTGTTTGGGGGGTGGGAATAGTTAAGGGGGGGGGTTATATAATTAAGCATGGTGTGGAAAAAATGGATTGAGCCTTTGTCCTCTCCCAAGATACTAAGAAGTGAGGGCACTCAATGAAATTGAGGAACAGTAGACTCAGGAAGAAAAGCAATGATAAACCTAGACAGCATATTAAAAAGCAGAGACATCACCTTGCCAACAAAGGTCCGTATAGTTAAAGCTATGGTTTTCCCAGTAGTGATGTATGGAAGTGAAAGCTGGACCATAAAGAAGGCTGATCGCCATTCAATTATGGTGCTGGAGGAGACTCTTGAGAGTCCCATGGACTGCAAGAAGATCAAACCTATCCATTCTTAAGGAAATCAGCTCTGAGTGCTCACTGGAAGGACAGATCGTGAAGCTGAGGCTCCAATACTTTGGCCACCTCATGAGAAGAGAAGACTCCCTGGAAAAGACCCTGATGTTGGGAAAGATGGAGGGCACAAGGAGAAGGGGACGACAGAGGACGAGATCGTTGGATAGTGTTCTCGAAGCATGAGTTTAACCAAACTGCGGGAGGCAGTGGAAGACAGAAGTGCCTGGCGCGCTCTGGTCCATGGGGTCACGAAGAGTCGGACACGACTAAACGACTAAACAACAACAACAACAAAACCAGTGCCTCTTCACACAGTACATAATTAAATTAAGGAATCTGCAGTGGTGCCCCCTACTTTAGAAGACTTAGAAGGGGGATAGACAAATACCTTGAGAATAGACGGGTATGTCAGTGGTAATTCACCACGATAAATACATGGAAATTCCATGTTCAATAGTAGTATAGCTGAAAATGTAAGTTGCTGGAGGGAGGCAACAGCCAGGAAGGAATATTGCCCCCATGCCTTGCTTGTTGGCTTCCTGGAAGCATCTGATTGGCTACTGTGGGAAACAGAACTGTGGGTTTAGTCAGGGCTGGGGAACCTGTGGCCCTCCAGATGTTTTTGGATTCCAGCTTCCATCATCCCCGACCACTGGCCATGCTGCCTGGGGTTATTGACAGCTGGAGCCCAACTTGTGCTGACCATTGCTTTGGCAAACGGCAACTTTATATTTACTTATTTATTTGCTTTTGCACTCAATTTATGTATTTATTAGCTTTTGCCCTCTTTTAAACTGGTGCAGTCACAGGTTTTGGGCACTAGAGGTCGCCAACCCCTTTTTGGAAGAAAAAGATGAGCAGTTATTTCTAAAATTGAGATCCCTCAGTTTACCTGATGTTAACCAGATTAAACATGGGCACCTCTCCCAGCCCCACATCTTTCTTAGATGCATAGAAATTTGGCAATTTGCAGCATCTCTCTCATTGGTTGGAGATAAACCACGACTTTAGGCTACTCTTATGAAAGACAGAAGGGACCCTCCAGCCTGGCTGGGTGTTGTTGTTTGTGGCATAGCCTTCAACATATAATTAAGGCCGCATTGACACAATACATTTTGATACTGCTTCTTTAAACAGTCATGGCGTCCCCCAAAGGATTCTGGGAGCTGCAGTTCTTCAAAGGGCTCTGAGAGTTGTTAGGAGGCCCCCATTCATTCCCTTTGCAGAGCTACAATCCTTAAAGTGGAAGAATAATGGCCTACTCACTGTGGGAACCAAAGTGTTTGGCTGGTTGTTGCCTAGAGGGAAGGATCTCTGCAGAACACTCAGCAAAGAAGAAGCAATATAAAGAGCTCCAGCCTTTTCCATTGAGTTATGTAAGGGCTGCTCCACGTTGCCCTGAAAACCTCAAGCACCCTCCTCTGTTTTTCAGGGTAAGTAGTAGCTCCGTTTCCTAAAAAACTCTGAAAAAGCAATGTGTTTTAAAAGACTACCTCATGATCATTTCTTTGGGTAAGGCTTAAAAGAGAGAGAGAAAGGGCTCTCAGCAACAGGAAGGTCCAGTTCTGCCTCAGTGGGGTTATACTGGTAACAAACTCAACTTTTCCCACTTTCTGTCTGTCAGTGCAAAATATAGACAATTGGAATCAGACTTCCAGTACACACTTCTACTCAGAAGTAAGACTCATTCAGTTTAATGGGGCTGCCTCCTAGACAAATCCAAAGAGTATTGGATCGTAACCTCAGGCTGCATTCCTTAACCCACTTACCTTGACGACTTGCTCTGTGAGTTGCCCATGCTTTAGCCCCATTTGTTTCAATGGGACAAAAGTGTGACTGACTTAGAGTCCTGTATGCATTTACCTGCAAGCTCCTGCCCACCTAGCAGTTCAAAAGCACATCAAAGTGCAAGTAGATAAATAGGTACCGCTCCGGTGGGAAGGTGAACGGTGTTTTTGTGTGCTGCTCTGGTTCGCCAGAAGTGGCTTAGTCATGTTGGCCACATGACCCGGAAAGCTGTCTGCGGACAAATGCCGGCTCCCTCGGCCAGTAAAGCCAGATGAGCACCGCAACCCCAGAGTCGTCCAAAACTGGACTTAACAGTCAGGGGTCCCTTTACCTTTACCTTTAAGTCTGGCTGAATTAAGTGGCACTTACTCATGAGTAGACATTTATGAGTGTGTTATTAGTCTGCATCGAAGTCACAGGACTTTCACCATTGAGATGCCAGCAACATCTGACACTGCTCTGCAGTGCACCCTTACACACTGCATTGCAGTGCAGAATTACAGATCTAATTACAGACCATGGGGGGGGGGAGGAATCAAAATCAACACAATCTCACTGCAAATCGAAATCTAGCACATCAGGGAGAAAGTATATATCACAGTCCTTTGTCAGCCTGTGGTCATTTTCTAATTGGCAGATAGTTTTTAACATAGGGGAGCGTTCAGAAATGTGACTGCCTTCGTGAGGTCTGGAGCGCTGCAGTTCATTCTGCTACATCAGCACTGTGCCAACTCATTCACTTGCAGGAATAAGTTAGTCCTAGGAATAGGGTTTCCAAAGCAAAGGTGGTTCTTTTTCCAAATACTTCATGTGGTAGTTGTTTGTTTGTTTGTTTGTTGCACTTATTAGTTGGGTTGCTTTACAAAAAGTAACCAAGAGCAACTTTTAAAAATGGTGCATACATTAAAACCAACGAAAAACTAAAAACATATTCACATTTATAAAAAGGCGGGACTAACACATCCCACCTACCCACTAAAAGAGACCATAGACAATTAAAGGCCAAATAAAGGTCTGGTGGAAGACACATGCTTTTGTTTGGCACTTAAAAATAAACAGTGAAAGTGCCAGGTATGCTTCCCTGGAGAGAGTGTTCTTCACGTGGTGAGCCACCACTGAGAAGGCCCGTTCTTGTGTCAGCACCCTCTACAGCTTCCTTGGAGGGGGCGCACAGAGAAGGGCCTTGGATAATGAATGCAGTGTCTGAGTTGGTTCATGTGGAGAGAGGTGGTCCTTGAAGTATTGGAGTCCTGAGCCCCATAAGGTTTTATAGGTCGAAACCAGCACCTTATGAAATCTGTGGCTATGCCTGGAACTGAAGCTCGGGGGTAGAGCACATCCTTTGCACGCAGAAAATCCCCGGCATCTCCAGATGAAAAACAAAATTCAGTGAGCAGGTGTTGGGGAAGACCTCTTTGCTTGAGAAGCTGGAGAGCTGCTCCCCCCGTCAGAGTAGACAATAGTGGCTACGAAGCAGCATCCTATAACCACACCAACATTTTCTGTAGCTAGTGTGCATGGGAAGTCCTAGCCCTCCCTAGCAGGTGGGGAGCTATGTCTTTCAGCCTACACTTACCCACTGCTGATGCCACCCATGCTTAAGACTTAAAAGGGAGCATCTTCCCTGTGCCTGGGTCCTCCAGGCCTCGAGGGCTGAACTCCCTATCGTTCCTTGCGGCCGGGACTTGGCTTTTTGCTCCCGCCGTGATGGCCTCACACCCTCTGGTTGGGACAGACGACAAGCCGCTGTGATGAAAACAGGAGGTCGCGGCCACGATCGTCCTGTCTGAATCAACCACAAACCCACCGGGGCCCTCTAAGTAGAGTCACAGCAAAGAGGGAACACCCTGCGCACCAGGCACCGGCCCAGGAGGATGGGGAAAATGCAAACAAAACCATTGTGGATTGGGTGGTTTACAGATGCCGTTCCAACCCAAGGGGAGCGGAGCAGAACGGGAGCGGACTCTACTTGTTGTGAAGCAACTGTGTTGTTGTTGTTGTTGTTGTTGTGGGGAGTGAGATAGTCCTGCGGCTGAACCGTCAGAGTTACGTTAACCGGCATTCACGCAAATGTAAAGTTTGCCATTGTCTAGAAGCAGGCTAACATTTAAAACACACACATACACCCTTGGCTTGGTGGCCAAAAGCAGGAGGGGGAAAAGGGCTGGTTCAATCCCAGCCTAATGGGCCAGAATGAAGGTGGCCGGGAGCCAGGACTCCTGGGTCCTCTGGAGAGCCGGGAGTGGTGGTGGTGGTGGTTGAGAAGCTGCCGAAGGGGAGTAGGATCACGGCTCTGTCTGAGGGAGGGAGGAGAGGATGGTAGGGAGTAGGACAGGAATTGGCTCTGCTTCCCCCTCAAGTAGGCTGCCTCCCAAACCTCAGACTGGGCAAGAGTTCAGAGTGAGCGAGGAATGGAACAGCGGAGGCTTAGCTTGTCTGATGGTGCTGGAGGTATGGCTGGCCAGCTCCAAGGGAGGGAAAAGCCTGGAGCCCTTTGTAGGGGGGATGCCTCGGAGAGCTCACGGAGGCAGCTGGTTCAAAGTCGGAATGTGCTGGCTTGGGCCAAATTCTCTGAAAAGGGACCTACAGAGTGCAGAAGGATACACCCTTTTGTTAGGAGCCGTCTGACTCTCTTACTCTCTTTCTTCCCCACTTCACTTCCTCCAGCCACCCCTCAGACCTTCCTTCAAGGCTTGCAAAGAAGGTTCTTGGGATTCTGTGGCCAAAAAGTGGGAGCAAGGGATTCTGGGAGCTGGGGTTCCTGGCTTTTCCAGGAGTAGTGAGGTTTGTAGGTTGAGCTGGGCTGGTGCTGCTGAGAAATGTAGCGTGAAACTTCGGAGCAGCGGAAGTGACGGAATTAGGCAAAGCCTACTGGCACCTGTCAGAATCTTGCACCAAAAATTTGCAGCTCCTGGCAGAAGTCAATGAGGAAGTAGGGGAAATGATCCCAGGGTTCTGCAACAGCTGATGAGCTAAATTTCCAAACTTCTCTGTTTCAGAATATAATCCTTGCTGCTGCACACTTATCTGTCATATTGCATCCACCTCTTCCTCCTTTTCAAAAATACGCTACTTGTCTTCATTGCAGCCTCTTGAGCTATGCCACTATTATGCCTATTTTACAGATGGGGCACAATTGGCACTTTTTTGCAGCTGCTTCCATCAGAGCAGGTTTCTTACTCTGTGAGTATGCAGCAGGGAACCAGTGGTAGTTTTCCAGCACAAGTATGTGGAGCAAAAACCTATGTGCCAGGTTGATGCATGTTTATTTCTGCAGAGAATTGTGCAGAGACCCTCTGTGGGATTTGAACCCAGGACCACTATGCCCGCTCTGGCTCTCTTGTCACCCAGTAGCTTTTAGCACCCATGGCCTTAGGGAGGGCTTATCTCCTTTGTGATATGCATTCAGGACTGGGCTTACTGTTGGGTCACATGGCTACACTGGGGGCTGATGTGATGATACCTATTGGGCGAGAGACAAGGAGGCCAACATTTGGTGAAGCCAAAGTCAATGGCAAGCAGAGCCAACTAATTCACATTTTCTCCCTGTCCTCCTGTTGGCTGAATTCTGCAAGGGCGGCACTGAGGCTGAGGAAAGGGCAGCTAGGGGCCAGTGGCACCCTCCAGGCTAGTGGTAAGTTGTGGGCTGGCTGGCCGAAGACTAGTGGGACAGTGCCTTCACTGCATGGATATCTCTCTGGGGTTCCAGGAACAGCTGGAAGAAGCCACCTCTTTGATATGAAGTGGAGGTCGGGGCCCTTCAGTTGCTAGGCAACAGCAAAGAACCTCTATTCCCCTAGAGCCAGAAGCCAAAAGGCAGCTCTTTGTGGGTTGCCTAACAACCAATGGGCCTACTCCCCAACCACTTTTCGGCTGGGACCATGCTGCTTTGCGGGTGTGTGTAGTCGTAGTAACAGTGACTGACGGCAGGCCCGGCCTCAGTGCTTGGCATTAGGCAAGCGTCTGCTAGGGCCCAGCACCAACTGGAGCCTCTGCAATTGCCTTGGCAGCAAGGAAGGGAAGCAACAATTTGCTCACCCTCTGGGACCATCTCCACCATGGGGCGATAGCAAGCCGGAGGAGCTGCAGCTGCCAGCCATTCAACCTCCCTCTTTTCTGTTTCTGGGCCCAAGCCGCCAATATGGGGTGGTGGAGGCAAGCTGCGGTGAGGAGGAGGACCCACAAAAGCCTAGAACCAGCCCTGAGTGATTGACAATCCCCCTTCTTTGGAGTTAGGAGAAGGGGAGGATGGAAGAGGGAGCAGGACGAGCTTAGAGCACAAAGGGAACAAGCTCAGTGTACCAAAGAAGAGCAGGGTGCGTGGATACGTGACCTTGCAGGAGGGAATGAATGCAGTGACTAGGGGCTGGCCTTGTGGGTACAGATATCCCCCTCCCCTTCCCTCCTTTGAGACAGAAATTAATTCCTTCGGAGCCTTCTGTTTGAAATCCTAAACTGACGGAATGTTTGTGGCATCCAAAAGTTTAGAGCTTGCCTTCAGCATTGCAGGATTCTGGCTGGCTTTTGATGTTAACAGTCCGGGTTGTTCCTGGGGTGTGTTGGCACGTCTCTGTACCCCTGCCTCCCCCAAGAAGCTGCTCCCCACCCACCCACTCACTCCTAATTCTGTTTTAAGACTTTTTTTTTTGCTTCGTGCAGCGCAGTGCTTATTTTCATCTGTCAAAATGCGGAAGGGTCTTTTACTAGCCATCTGGCAGCATCTGCTGCTGAATACCTCGTCTTGCTGAAGAATAGGGAGAGTTGACTGACACACACACACACACACACACACACACACGGGAACCTCCCACCATGGCTGTTTCAGCTCCGTCACCTGCTAGCTAAGAACTTTTCCGTCTCAGCGCAAAAAATGACACGGACTCGCTGGAACGACTCATCCGCCCCATGAGCGCAGCAACCTCAAGAGTCTAACCGCCGTGCCCAAAAAGTGACCCCACCCCTGGCAACGCGTCCCGGATTCCCCTGGAATGTCTAGACGCCAGTCCGGACAAGAAGCCAGCCTTCCTTTTGCACGGGATTCCCTGTCGCGCAGGAGCCAAAACCAGGCTGGCAATGGGGACTTGGAACATGGCAGAAGGGGTTGCTATTCTGTTTTGTTTTTTTTCCTTTTTGGCCGGGGGATTCCCTGAAGGCTGCTATAAAGCAAAAGGAATGAAGTCACGTCCTTTGAGGCTGGCTCAAAGGTCATGCACACTGTCAGGCTTCCGTGCTGTGGCTTCTTCCCCTGGGCTCTAGTACACAACACAAGAAGATGCAATAGCGTCATCAATAACAACGACTACCGTAATAATTACTATTAATATAGAACCATGAAGTACTCTTTGCAGAGGGCACGGAGGAGCTTACAATCTAAAATTCAGCGCAGAGGTGGGGAAGGAAACTGTGGCAAGGGTAAACAGGGAAAGTTGTATGCACCTGAGGTTTGGTGGCAGGTTACAGTTGGTTACCGTAAGATGTGAAAAATAGGAATTGCGCCAAAGGAGATACTAGAGTTGTGCCAGATTCAGGACACTGGGCCAGCTTCTGTTTCCAGTGCTGTGCTTCATTCCGGAAATATGCTGGGAATTGATAAGAAATAGCATCAGAACATATGCAGAGGGTGCTTTCCTTGACTGCTAGGTCAATACTGGCTCCCACAGGCACATCTGAAGGCCTCCAGGCTGACCATTCTTGGCTGTGAGTCCTGGAAGACCTGCTCTCTGCCTTGCAGACCTTTTCCCACCTGGCCTGGGAGGCCTGATCCCTGACTGACTCCAACTACAAAAGCAGAGACTGCTGAACAGACTTTGGGGTTGGGATGTTGTTTAGAGGGGGTTCTGTTGGGTGGGGGGGGGTTGTTGCTGTTATGGATATATCTATCTATCTTTAGATTTTATGGTTTATGTGAAAATGGTTTAATTTGGCTGTGTACTTTTTGATGTTTCGTTTATTGTTTATGACTAGTTTTGCTAAGTTTGTAATTGTATTTTTGTTTCATGCTGTAAGCCACCTTGAGCATGGTTTAACTATGGCAAGGAGGCATGCAAATACTGTATAATTATAGATGGATGGATGGATGGATGGATGGATGGATGGATCTGAGCAACCACAGGGGAGCCCTTGAAGCAAAGTGAGGAGGCAGCTGTACATGGCTGTACATGTTTATTTGAAGCTGCTCCCCATACAGTTCAGGTAACTTTTGAGTGTTACAAAATAAGGACTATCCCAGACCTTCTCCCCAGGCCACATCCATTGTCCCCTGGCCAGTTCTGCTCTGCACCATCCTTCTGTACATTTACCTGACTGGGATAACGCCTCTTTCTTGCCCATATGGATGGTGAAAAGATGTGTGTAAACATCAGTCTTTTATGTGGCTGGAATGTAGCTTTTGTCCCTGCCTCCACCACCTACATTGGCATGTGGTCCCCTGGAAGATCACCATGAGGACATGTGTCTCTTTGTGTGAAAAAGGCTCCCCAACCCCCAACCCCCCGGTTTAGATAATTAGACATTTCTGCACCCTGCACAGACTTACATATCTGTAACTCCACACCCCCACACCTTTTCAATCTTCCAGCAAAAATGACAATCACAGTTCAAGATTGTTGCCTTTTGGTTTTGTCCCTTACATGAACTTTAAGACACTTTGAAAATACTGTTATTTCAGGCAACATGCAGGAAGCTGCAAAAGCAAGCAGTAATTGATCCACTCCATTCCAAGTGGTAAAAACAAGGCACAGCCGATTTGCCCCACAGTGTCTATATTCAGATGTCCTGGGCCTAAACAATAGCTTGGTGTGATGAGAATAAGCCATGGTGAGCCTTGCACAATTCCCTCTCCTATTTCCCTCTCCTCTGAAGAGTTCAGGAAGTTTTGCTGCTGATTTTGCTGCTGTGTTTAAACTCTAAACTGTGGTTAATGGTAACTGCGACTTGCCTAAATAAGTCAGTTCATAACCCATGGTTTGAAGTTCACTTGTGTGAAAGAAGACTAATCATGGGTTGTTGTTTTTTTGGTTTGGTTAGCACAAGAAGCTGTGGTTCACATAAATCAGTGCCAAAAACTTTTACACTCCTCCTTGCTGCTTCTCACAGCTCTGCTAGACTGGTATATGGGAGTGTACAAGCCCATGGTTTGCTGTGGCTTGTTCTTGTTATGCTAAACCACAGTTTAATGCTTTGGTACGATGTCTGAACTGGGCCAGACAGTCCAATGTACGAACAGATTTTCTTCCATTCCCCTGCTTTGCACAGGCAAATGTGAGTAGACACACAAGAGACCTGTGCTCTGGGCAGCCTTAATGCACCAGTCACACTGCCTTAATGATGGCCGGTGTTCCACTGGCCCTTAGACACAGTGGAACACACAGCTCAGCTCCCATGTATTTCCAAACACAGGGCGCAATTCAGAATTTGCTTGTTCTGAAACCCTCACAGAACTTCAGCCTTCAGCCCATATAGATGCCCTGGCTGGTGTTCCTTTGTGCATAGATCTGCTGGAAGCGTTGTGTGTTTGGGCTTGAATGCGTTAACGTGTGTGGCTGCAAATGTATACGTGTGTCCTATTACTTGCATGGAGTACAAGATGCTCTCCCTCCCTGTCCTTCTTCTCTGTCCCCCTCCCCCAGCCTCCCCTCTAAACCAATGCAAATCCCCAACTCCGTAGCCAAACCGCACGGCAGTCCCCCTCCCTGCACCCCCTCCTTTGCCTGCATCACGAAAAGATTTGGACAAGAGCTGGGTCTCTGTCTCTGAAGGGAGGGGACACTTGGCACTTTTGCGTAAGGGTGTTTGTGAGGATCCTGCAGGCCTCCTGGCACAAATAGGTAGACCAAATGGGGAATGGGGGGGGGGGAGAGAGAGAGAGAGAGAGAGAGTTGTGTGTCTGCTGCACATTTTCTTTAATCCCAGCTGCTGATTCAGCAGATTTTCCACACATAACCCAGGAATTCTCTCTAGCCAGGAACACTGTTTCTCTGTTGTTTGTACTTGGACCATGTTCAAGGCAAGGGCTGGGGGTTGAGGGACCGTGGGGGGTGGGAGAGAGAGATGAACAGGATCCACAGACTTTAACCTGATATGTTGAACTTTCTGTGTCGGGAGTCAAGATCGAAGGATGTTGGTAGGACTGGGGAAAGCCCAGAATTCATGGCAGGATGTGTGGGTGGAGAGGTGCAAATTGGAGATTGGATGCCTTGGTGGAGATGAGAGGAAGAAGGAAGGCAAGTTGGGATACAGTAGGCATCTGTAGGCTAGGACTGACATATCTCAGCAGCATGCAGGTGGGGAGGGTCCAGATAGGGAAGCCACTTTGCTTGCAGAAGGTCCCAGGTTCATCCCCCAGCTGGAAGGTTTCGAAAGGATCAGGTAGCAGAAGATAGGGGGAGACCCTTCCCTGTCTCACACCTGACAGCAAGAGCGGACAATACTGGGGTAGATGGACAGGTAACCTGACCCAACACAAGGCAACTTCCTGGGTTTCTAGGGGGTGACAATACTTGGCTACCAAGAGAAGACCCCGGTGGCTCTGTGGTCTAAACCAGTGAGCCTCTTGGGCTTGCTGATCAGAAGGTCGGCAGTTCGAATCCCTGCAACGGGGTGAGCTCCCATTGCTTTGTCCCAGCTCCTGCCAACCTAGCAGTTCGAAAGCACACCAGTGCAAGTAGATAAATAGGTACCGCTGCAGTGGGAAGGTAAATGGCATTTCCGTGCGCTCTGGTTTCCGTCACCATGTTCCATTGGCCACATGACCCAGGAAAGAGCTGTCTATGGACAAACGCCAGCTCCCTCGGCTTGAAAAGCCTTTGACTGGACCTAACCATCCAGGGTCCTTTACCTTTTTTACTAAGAGAGCCCAGGTGGAGGTCATGCTTGAGGTGTATTTGCGAACAATTCTACTGACTCATCCTGCTTCCCAGACGGCGCTTATGGGACAGCACCTGCCGTTGCTTTCCCAGCGTGTGCCCTTCCTGGAGGGTGCGCTCAGCCCAGATTCCCGGAGCTGTTGACATACTGCGCATTCCTGCTTTTGCATCAGCGGCTTTTCGCCCGACTGCCTCTCTTATCCCCGTCCTGGAACCTGGCACTCAGCTGCTCATGCAATCAACCAAAGGCTACGGATTCTGAGCATGAGGCAGGATGAGGTAGCGGAACACTTTGGGTTCCAGGTACAGGGTAGGGTCATGTGGGGGTTTTTTTTGTAATTCACCCCCTCCCACCTACTCACCCACATAAAATGTTAGCTCAGGGAGATGGCTAGGCTAAGCCTTTCTCTCTTGTGAGTTAGGGCTCAGCCAGACTTCTGCTTCCCCCATCGCTTCCCCCCAGGAAAACTCGATCTTTGCTGCTGAACTGGAGCAAACAACAAGTGTGGACGGGGCCTGTAGTTAACATCCTGGGAGAGAAAAACAACAGCAATGTGGTTGCATCGTTAAGTGGGACCGGATTAGAGAAATTCTCAGAGGATAAGGCTTTCAGTGGCCATGATGGTTATGTCAGAGGCAGTGTGCCTCTGAATATCAGTTGCCAGGAATCTCAAGGGAAGAGTGTTGCTGTTGGCCTCAGGTGCTTCTTTCAAGCCTCCCCCCTGGTTGGACACGGAGAGAACCGAGTGGTAGACTAGGTGGGCCGCTGGCCTGATCCAGCAGCAGGGGTGTTCTTGTTTCCTTCTGATTGTGGAATACACACGTCCCTCCTCCTATGGCTCTCCTTTCCATTTTTCCATTTTATATGTATTTTTAAACTGAATATAGGTATTTGGAAGGGGTAATACCAATACTCAGTTTACCTCAGTTTACTCAGTTTCATAACTATACCCACTTTATGTATTTAACACCCCCCACCCTCTGCAATCCCACATGTGGGTGTCAGTACATCAAAAACCACCTAACCAGAAAAAGTATCTCAGCATCCACCTCTATCCTACATTTTAATGAGCCACCAAAACCTAGTTCAGGTAAAAAATGCTTTACAGTGTGGTTTATCAAATAACCACAAACATAGTGAGAGTTTCGGCATTTCTTTTTACATCAATCCAGTGGAAAATTCTCCTGTGCCTTCTCCATTACAATTGCACGCTTGCGCGTGCGCGCACACACACACACACACACACAAAACTGTATTATAAATATGTTCGTTGATGCTTCTGTGTTTGAAATGTATTGTGGGATATGACCGTAGAGGTCCGTGTTAAATTCCCCATGTATTTGTGATGTGGGACCAGTCCCTCAGCTATCAGCCGATCTTCCCTCGCAGGATTGTCGTGAGGATGAAGGTATGCGTGTGAGCTCCTTGTAGGAAGGGCAAGGTGAACGATGTAATAATTAACTTTAATCAATTAACAGTCATTAACTTTTGTTTTGAAATAACAACAATCAAACTCTCCAAGCAGATTGTCTGTTTTTAAACCTGTTTTCTGTCTTGTAGTTGAGTGTGCCGATATCTACGACTCTCAGAACTTCATTTAATGTGCTGTGTGTGTGTGTGTGTATGTGTGTGGTCTTAAAAACGCTTCTCAAATGCATTTTTTAGAATTTACTCCATGCGTGGTATAATAGATGTTGAAAAGAGTTGCCTTTCTGCACATCCATCTGCTCATATTTGTCTGCCCGTCATTGACCTACCTAGCGATCAGATCGCCTAAGGTTAGGCTGCCTGTTGTCTGTGAACTGCTGCTCCTTGTGGTTATAGCTCCCCTGTCCAGCCCCCAGGAGAGTCATAACTCTGCGGTTGGACATGCCAGCTCTCCCCCCCCCACCCCAGTAGCTCTGACGTGGCAGGAAGCGTCAAGGGGGATGTTTAGATAGGACCAAACTCTGCCGTCAGCAGCGCACACTGTAATCCAGGCTCTTGTGTCATCGGGACAGTGAGAGAGATGGGATTCACACCAGAGTGTGCACAGTCAGTGGCTGGAAAGGGGAAAGGAGATCTAGGAAAATATGCATAGACAGACACACATACGCTCCACTCACAATACATGCTCATCGCAGTGTTTGTATATAACTGCCCACTCACAAACGCTCACACAGACACAAATGTCACGCAGGAAATGCACTATGAATACACACAAATGTACACAAGCACACCCATACAATGCGAGCTTGGAGATAAGTAGGTGGGAGTATGCATTGTTGCGTGCTAACATGCATATTTCTGTGCCGTCCCACACAGTTATTTGTGTCATGGAATAACTGTAGTGTTTGTTGCACAGGACCCAGATGTCTTTCCTCAGAGTAGCATTTCTGTTGCAGGTATATTCACCCATCTGAATACATCTGCTAGCGCAAGTATGTTTGGCTGCACAAAGGAACGTTCCCCACCCACTCACCCCCGTCCTTTCCTTGCAGCCCTCCAGAACAGATTTGGGAAGGGTGTTGGTGGGGGCGGAGGGGTGCAGAGAAAGAAGAGGGAGGGGAAGTTTCGTTGTACAAGCTGAAATCCTTGTGCAATGGATCTATTCAGTTGGATAGCACCCATTGCTGTTTTCTTGTGTTCGGTGTGTGGTGTCTTATAGCACAGAAAATTCCACTCCTGCCGCAATGAATGTGTGTATGGCAAGTTCTTAGGTGTTGTGTATCTGCTGTACCAAGTATAGAATCATTCTTGCACTAAGTGTCGCCCTTACAGGCCTTATTTGCCTCATCTACACATACATGCACCCACCCACCGCCCTTATTTGCCTCATCTACACATACATGCACCCACCCACCGCCCTTATTTGCCTCATCTACACATACATACATGCACCCACCCACACCCAGGCCTTCTCCCTTACTCTAGTCTGCTATGTGCATTTCTGTTCATAGCATGGATGTAAGGGCCTAGCGCATAGATGTGCTGTTTGTTATATGTCCAATATGTGGTAAGACAATTGTGATTATTTCTAGAGAAGTTTAGTGGTTTCTCTCTGGCATTTACATTACATTGTAACAGCCCCTTTCACAATTTAGGTGTGCATAATAACAACATACTGACCACATTTTCACTGTTTCCACATTTTCAATTGTGAACTTTTTGGTGTACAAATACGTTTATGGCAACAATGATGACTAGTGGCTAAGAACACACTTCAGTAAAAGGGACTATACTTGGGATCAACTACTCAATTGTGAAACAGGACATTCAAGTCTCACCTCTACCATAAACTTACCAGGTGGTCTTATGAAAGCTCAGCTCCTCCATCTGCCATGTGAGGGGAATAATAATAATACTGACCCACCTTACAGGACTTCCGTACAAGGTACTGAGATCATGTATGTGAAGCACCTTGAACACTAAAGTAGCATAAAAATGTTGCTATGCAGTATATACAAACAACATAGGGGCTGATGCCACTGCTCAATTCAGAGGGTCCAACCCTCCCCGCAAAGCCGCCTCCCAGAAAGGACAGAAAATTGCCCTCCCTCAGACCTAGTGGGGGGCTGGACTATATTTTGAAAAGAAAAAAATATGAATTCCTACGTCCCACAAATTACCCAGAGATGCATTTTAAATAAAAGGACACATTCTACTCGTGTAAAAACACGCTGATTCCCGGACCGTCCGTGGGCCAGATTTAGAAGGCGATTGGACCGGATCCGGCCCTCAGGCCTTAGTTTGGCTCCCCATGCTAAGCCAACTTATTCTATGGATGTTCATCTTAGAAACAATCAGTTCTCCCCCCCCCCCCCCAATTCCCTTCTAGTGCCTTCAAAACCTCAGTGGCTTTTTCAAGTACTCTAAAATAATTTTGAACCACAAATGTTCTTATTTTTTGTTGCGCCAGACAGGAATAATGTGATAGCATTGGGGAAGCATAATAAATCCACAACTAGTGCACTGTTATTCTGTCAAGAGCATGTTTTAAAATACGCCTGCAGTAAAACTCCAGTCTGGAGGGACCCTAAGTGGTATGAAAAGTTGCGGGCCGACCAGATACCTGTGGGAAGCCTGCAAGCTAGACATGACTGCAACAGCGACTCTTCCAAACCGGTATTCAGAGGTACAATGCCTCTGACAGTGAAGGTAAAACATAGCCACAGTGGCTGGTAGCCATTGGAGGGCTGGGGAGGGGGAAAAGCCCATTTCCCTATAGGAAATAACCTGAGCAAATGGGTCTCCTGCATGGGGTTGGATCCCCGCCACCCCCAACAGCAGTTGCTTCACAAACACCCCTGCAGAGCAGACCCTGTGCAAAGTGACAGAGACGCTGAGCTCTTCCAGAGGGGCCTGTTTATTGAACACTCATTCTGATTAGCGTGCGCAAAATTTGCGTGGAGATAATACAGCATCACTGCTTCCCAAGCATTTGTGTTCCCCACCCCCTGTCTTTTTAATAACCACAAATTTAAACAGAACCTCTGAAGAATTATTATTTGCTTGCACAGAGGTTACAGGGCATCATCCAGCATCAACATTATCCCACCCTTCCCAGGGCATTTTGTGACACAAAAATTTCCGGGATTTATATGGAAGCAGGTTAGCTGCACAAAAGCAATAAGTTTGCTTTAGTTGCTCAACCTAAATTTCACAGTATATTATTAAATCATGCCTTCTAGATTGCGACAGCCTGTGTTTCCCATCCCATCCCATGTTTTGATGGGCTGCAGCTGGGCTGCTTGAGCTCTGGGCCTGCTTGAGGCGGCTGGTGCTGGCCTCAATTCCTCTTCCAAAATTCTGTTTCACACACTGCTCTGAATTCTTGCCCCTATGCCTGTCTACTACGTACTGGATATTTCCTACAGAGGAGTGATTTCAACACAGGGGTTTTGTAGCGTGTGGAAGAGTACATGTACATAACAAGAGCCGTACATAACAAGGGACGCGGGTGGCGCTGTGGGTTAAACCACAGAGCCTAGGACTTGCTGATCAGAAGGTCGGCGGTTTGAATCCCCGCGACGGGGTGAGCTCCCGTTGCTTGGTCCTTGCTCCTGCCCACCTAGCAGTTCGAAAGCATGTCAAAGTGCAAGTAGATAAATAGGTACCGCTACGGCGGGAAGGTAAACGGTGTTTCCGTGCACTGCTCTGGTTCACCAGAAGCGGCTTAGTCATGCTGGCCACATGACCCGTATGCTGTGTGCCGGCTCCCTCGGCCAATAAAGCGAGATGAGCGCCGCAACCCCAGAGTCGGCCACGACTGGACCTAATGGTCAAGGGGTCCCTTTACCTTTAACAAGAGCCGTTGAGTTCAGGCGACTGCAGTGTGTTGTACATGGGGCTGCTTCTGACGAGCGGTTTGCAATCACCAACGGGTTCAAAACTACACTGGCCGGGTTACTAACCAGATTTGTTTCTAGGTGCAGCTTGGAATTGGTTTTGTCGTTATGGTTTAAGCCATAAATGCTTTGAGACCAATGATATCTTGAAGAACCACTTGCTCCAGGGTCTCACACCTTGCAAATTGAGGTGCAAGCAACGGGGATACAAGCCCTTTTCCATAGTAGACCCCAGACTCTGATATACCTTCTGCAGACACTTCTGTTTTGACACCCACATTGCGTCAATTTTAAGCTTTTCTGCTCAGCTAAGCCAGACCTCCTATTTGGGGGCTTGATCCAGTCCCTCAAAATGCCAATAATTTTGGAAGAAAAATATTTTTTTAAACAGGTAAACTGACCTGTAGCTTGGATTTGTTTTGGTTCTTTGACCAAAACAAGTTTGCCACCTCTGGCCTAAACATTTGGTGGCATTTAATTTGCAATTATTATTATTATTATTATTATTTATTAGGCTCAGGTGGGTAGCCGTGTTGGACTGAAGCAGTCGAAATAAATAAAAAATTGTCCAGTCTCTAAGGTGCTACTGGACAATTTTTTTATTATTAGGCTGTTTTTGTTGTTACGTTTTTATTATGCCTTGCTTTGTAATTAGTTATTAAGAGTCCCCTTTGGGGAGCGGTATTGCTGAAAAAGGTGGGAAATAAAACATTTTAAACACCCAGAGATTTGGATGGTGGCAGACTAGCTCCCGGGGACGTTTTAGAGCATGCGTTTTGATGATAGGCCTTCTCCCTCAGAAAGAACCCGCACCTAAATTTCTGCAGTAGCATAATGTGGTATTGGAGGTAAGAGCCATAAATGAAACCATGGATTTCGGAAAGTGTTCCCTTGATCTGGCAGAGCCTTCGGCAAATTTTTAAAGCGGGGAGAGAGTCTGGGAGGAAAGGGGGGCTGCATGATGAATATTCCCATCCACCCCCACCTCCTGTTTAAAGCCTTGTGGTCTTTTTTTCCCTTCTCTGTCTCTTGCTCAGGGGCTGTTTCTTTTCCTCGGGTTTGATATTTTCATAGTGAGTCCATTTCCCCCCAAGGTGGGGGTCAGAGCCAGGGTGGGGGCAAACGACGCCGGGACGGAGACTCATCATAGCCTTTTGCTGTGGCAGTGTCTGAGGAAAATGCAAACAATAAAAGCCAGCAGACGCTGACCACAGTGACCTTTTGGGCAACTGACGCAGAGGACGTCAGGCAGCCCAGAAGACCCACGGGGGGCTTCGCCCCTCCCCTGATATATCCCAGCTCGGGGGTTCCCTCTTCGCTTTTACCCTACCGCCCCCTGCCTCCCCCCCCCCCCCAGCTCCCTTAGCCATTCCAGATTCATCGGATCCCCCGCCTCGGCTTTTTGGCAGCTGCCTCCAAACGAAAGAAGATAACAATCAAAAAGTACACAAGCAAAAGGATATACCTAGTGGCGTACATGGGGAGATGGATCCAATATCGCACACTCGACATTGCAAGCCCCCACACCTACGCAAGAGGAACTCCTCGTCTGCTAACCGGTTGGGTATGCATAAGTGAAATGCATATAATATGAAACAGGCATGGACTCAGTTCTTCCTCAAGACGGTGGTTCATGGGGCTGGGGGAGGCAGCAGAAGCGACACACAGTCATGGATCCGCTTCTATAGATTCCCAGTATGGGGTGGTGTCTACAGGGTTGGACTAGGACCTGGGAGACCAGGGTGCAAATCTCCAGTCACCCATGAAGCTTGGACCAGTCATTGGCTGTGGACACACCTTACTTTGGACACGCAGTTCCCCGTCACCAAAAAAACCCTGAGAACTGTAGTTTATTACAGGTGCCGGGAATCGTAGCTCTGTGAGGGGTAAACAGCACTTCCCTGTGATTTGTGTGTGGCTGCTTTGAATGTATGGTGTGTACACAACCACTGTCTCTTAACCTGGCCTACCTCACAGGGTTGTTGTGCGGACAAAATGGAGGGGGAGAGAACTATGGACGCCACCTTGAGCTCCTTGGAGGAAAGGCAGGATATACATGTTGTGATAAATAATAGAAATGTGCTTACGCAGAGTTATGGTATCCACGTCCCTCATGTGGGAAAATACACAGACTTTCCATTTCCATGTACACATCCACAAATATGCACACACAGAGAGTGAAGGGAAGAACCACACATGTACTTCGTCGTAGAAAATGCACAGCTACACACCAAGGAATTCAGTTTTTCAGGCATGGCAAAGGGAGCGAGGGACCCACACACCCATGAAAGACCCACAGAATGATGCAATTGCACACTTATCTACATGCTGTGGCAGTTGGGTGCTTCTGCTACCATGCAGATGGGTGCATGCAGGCTAGCCAAAAGCACGTACCTGCAAACATTCATAATTATGCATATGTGAAGACAGAAGCAAAGTACCACACACATATGCACAGATCCACTAACCGATCCCGTTATGCCTTTATACATACATTCATGGCATGTGAAAGTTCTGCCTGAGGAGGAAAAAACCACAACCACACAGACACACAGAGGCAGCAAAGCAAAGAACCACACGCATCCCCACATAGAAGAATATACAGATTCATAAATTCCAGTTCCACGGTTACCCACTCCCATATTTCTACCAATGAAAACAAGAATGCGCAGCCAACCAAACCTCATGAAGGAAAGCATACACAAAATTACTTTAATCCACAAACCAACCCAAGTTGCATGAAACATAATCCTGTACTGCTCTTTGCATTTCAGCAGACAACTGAATGCACAGTTACGTATACAAGAACTCACACATAGCCAGGCTCAATGCTGAAGCTCATAGCTTCCCACGGGCAACAAGAAAAGGTTGGATGCAGACTGAGGGTTGTAGCTGTTGTTAATCATATCCAGAGTCGATCCACTGAAGTTAATAGATGCGACTAACTTAGGTCCATTAGTTTCAGTGGGTCTGCTTTGAGTATAACTTAGTTGGCACAACTCTAATTGCACTTCTATTAAAATCAGTGGGACAAGTTAGGCATGATTTATGTCCCATTGATTTCAGGGGGAACTAAGTATTACTAACCTGCGTCTGGACCCAGCTTAGTACTGTACAGGCTAGATTTATAACCCACCTTATCCATAAGGTCTAACCTGCTTAGAGGATTGCTGAGATGAAGCACCCTGTGCTAAGTTTATGTTGTTGTTCAAAGTTTGCATCTGCATAGGAATTGTTTTGAGATGCTTTAATTTTGTCAGTGTTATAGTTTGCTGCCCTGGGCTCCTTGGGGAAGAAGGGTGGGATATAAGTTTAAATAATAAGTGTAATGGCCATGAAAGAAGAAGATGGAGAGCATTGCTGCTTTTTAGTTTTGGCTCTCACAGAGGAGGTAAGCCTGTGTTTGGCTGTAGTATTTCATACCAGATCCACAGCAAGAGGTGTAGGGCCCCAGCCTCCAAAAGCAGATGATTAAAAATGAAAAAGTTGGGTGGGAATAAAAATTGGAACTTACTGCTTCTAAAATATTGTAAAGAGATGGCTATACAGACTTTACTAATGCCACAATACATGAGAAATATCAAATTGAGATACAATAAAATAATGGTGGTAATTGTTTTAATACAATAATAAATGTAGTATTATAGCCAATCAAATGCTTTATCCACTAACTAGTATGACGAATGTTAAGAACAAATGCGTTTCAACCCTTTAGGTGAAAGCTGACGTGACTGAATTTATTTTGTACGGAAAAGCATTCAATCTCCATGGAAATCAAACATGTCATGGAAAAAGGGTTCTGGGCTAGCCATCTCCAATATGTGAGGTTAAGATTTGTTTATTTCTTTTTAATGGAGGAGTTGTCCGTCCTATAAAGCCACCCCCACCTGCGGTTTGCAGTTGTCCTCTTCAGACCCAGGTTTTACCACCATAATGTGGACAAGACCTTAGTCAATTCTGACCGTGTAACTTTGGAAACATGAAAGGTTTTCTTTCTCCATTGCTTGTTTTATTATTCCTTTTGGTAGCTTTTAAGACTGCAGCGGTTGGAACCCCTGCTGATAGGAAAAGACTCATTATCTTTTACCTCAGAGTATAAAATTCCTTCTAGCCACCCATTCTTATAAAGTGTTGAAACCAGTAGTAACATTTGTCCTACAAGCTCTGTATCATAGACAGGAAAGGGCAAAGAATGTGAGTTGGGAGCCAGTTTCTGGAACAGATAGCAAATTGGCTGACAAATCAAAATAGCATCAATTATTTGCAGTTTTAATCATTATTATTTATTTCATAGTGTGCCATGGTGATTTGCAGAGTAACACATTTTACCTCACGTGTCTGTGATATGCTTTTATTTTAATTTTGTATCTGCATATCAGATGGTTTATGGCTTCCTAGCATTTTTTAATTGTGTATTTCTGAAGAAACAGTTCCGTTTTTTAATCCCATCGGTTTTAAGAACCTGTTAAGCATGCTAAATCCATTTTGCATTTTAGCAAGTGGCTAAATGTAACTGAGGAAGCCCTGGTAGCTAGTGATATATTATATCCACTTAGAACTGCTTTATGTCTCACTTAATTGTATTTCGTTTTACAGTTCTCTTTTATTTTCCTGTTATAAGAAAAGGCATAGAGAGTTGTAGAATTTCTAATAAATGAAACTGAATTAATGACTGGCAGTTAAGGCAACTGATGTTTAAATATTTCTTACAAGGATTTCTGGGGGCAGACGTAGTTTATCCAGACATACCCAACAGGGACCTGCAGCTGATTCTAGCAGATTCTCACAAATATACCTGTAGGACGTCAGTGTTTGCAAGCTAGGCTGGATCTAGACACATCAAAGAAGCGTTTCATTTAAACGCATTTTAAACTTTGTATGAGAAATCGGGTTGGCAAAAATGGAACTTCACAGCGCCATCTGGTGACACAGGATGCATCAACAACGCTTATAAAGCGCTTTTTCTTTGCCAGTGTAGCTGAGTCCCTAGTATCACATCAACACATTAGGGGTATCCTTAGAACAGCTTAAGCATAGGCCTGAAGGTTCAATGTGTGAATATTCTCTGGGGTTTCCATGTACCTGGCACACTGATAGCCAGCCACCTGACCCCTGTCCTGATTTTGTGTGGCCTTCCACGTCTCCTTGCGCAAAGTAAGGGCACATCCGGGTTTGCGCACCCCAATTCTTGTCCCATTTACGTGCTGCAAACCAGCCCCCAAGTACCTGCGTTCTGAGCGGTATAATCATTCTGCAGGTCTGAGTACATTTTAAATGTTTACTGAAAGTATCCTTCATTGTCTGGGCATTCCCCAGCTGTTGGTTGCTGAATTGTACTTACTGCTTATTATTTTTAATATTCTGCAGCCTGATGGTTTGAAGAATTTGCATGTTGTTCATATTACCTATATAGATTTGTTGTTTTGCTGTGTGCTTTTGACTTTTTGTTATTTCAGAGAGCCCCTCCAGACCGGGGGGGGGGGGGGGCAGAAGTGTTTGCAGGGGTATTCTGCACCATGTTACAGAACCCATAATATTACATTAGTTGCAGATTTATACAGTACTACACATTTTTATGCTTTATTAATTGTTCTGTGATGCTTCCCCAGTGTTTTGCGTTACTGCCCTCTTAAGGGGCACTTTTGCACTATAGCGCAAGAAAAGTGATACCAAAACAAAAGTAATAAAAGCATTTCTTGGATGAAAGGTCACATGATTTCAGCTGGAAGATGTGGGACATGTGCTGATTGGAAATGAAGCAGTGTGTCTGCCGCAGAAATGTTTGTACGTGCGAACGCTATTGGAAGTGGGATTGTGTATTACTACCCCAATACAATAGGGACGCAGGTGGCGCTGTGGGTAAAAGCCTCAGCGCCTAGGACTTGCCGATCGAAAGGTCGGCGGTTCGAATCCCCGCGGCGGGGTGCGCTCCCGTCGCTCGGTCCCAGCGCCTGCCAACCTCGCAGTTTGAAAGCACCCTCGGGTGCAAGTAGATAAATAGGGACCGCTTACTAGCGGAAAGGTAAACGGCGTTCCGTGTGCTGTGCTGGCTCGCCAGAGCAGCTTCGTCACGCTGGCCACGTGACCCGGAAGTGTCTGCGGACAGCGCTGGCTCCCGGCCTCTAGAGTGAGATGAGCGCACAACCCTAGAGTCTGTCAAGACTGGCCTGTACGGGCAGGGGTACCTTTACCTTTTACCCCAATACAATAATCAGCACAAATAATCATGGGTGCATAATTAAAAGGTTGTCGGGGGGGGGCAGACTCTTTGATTCCTTATTTTAAACCCTTTTGAGAGATATTTATAAGATTGATTAAATAAAAATAAATAAATATTTCCATTTCTAAATGTAGGGAGCAAGGTAATAGGAGGAAATGTTTTAAAGACGTTGGACAACATCTGTAGGACAAAGTGGGTTTTTAATCTCAATGAATGAAATCATTTTCATAATTTATTCTGGTTACAGAATTGGGGGCTTTGTGGTTATAATGTTAGGGGTTATTAGTGATAAATCCTACATTGGCCTGGTTGCATATATTTCCACCTATCTCCCCTTATGTATGGCCCACGCTGCATACCAAATAGTCAACAGGAACCTTTTTGCCACAAGCAGTGCACTGTTTTTGCTAATGATTCAGGCAGATGGTACATGTGACTCTTTGCAAAGCCTCAAAGGCCTCAAAAATTTGGTTAACCTGTGTGCGGGCAAGAACATGTATATGACCTCTGCCGGGTCCCCTTCCCTTGCGCAGGGGGCTGGATCCATTCCGAGTTGCTTAATCTGGGCACCCTGCTCTGACAGTCACTCCACCGAGTTTGTGTGCCATTGGAAAAGCCCCCATGGGCGCCAAGCCAAAGGCGGAGAGAAGGTTTCCCCCATCACCTCATGGCCAAATATTTGCCCATCCGGCTTGTGTTTTCCTTGGCACCAACCCTGCTCCTTGACATTCCATCCCGGGTTTTGCTGTTATATGTCTTCCATGCACAGAGTGTTCTCAACCCAACGAGCGCCTAAGAAAATTGCAAGGTGATCCGTGATGACACAAGGCATTGCCAACACAGTTTCAAGTCTAGCTTTGCCCTCAAGAGGGATAGAAACTTTTTAAAAAGGGAAGCTAGGGTTCTTGGGGAGCTGAATTCTGTTTCAGTTCTGTGCCTTGCTTGCATTTGTGCATAGTTATAGAATAAGCATAACCAGTGCTCTTTTTTTAAAGAAAAAAAAGGTGCTGGTATTCACCATTTTGTTACAGTAAGTGCCATACTTTTAACATGGGGGAGGGTGCCAGCACTATGTACCCTTGAGTACCCCCCAGAAAAATGCACTGAGCATAACTTTGGTTATAAGGTTGTTGCGAGGGTGGAACTTTTCTCACCTCAAGTTATTTTAGAAATTATTTAAATGACAGCACACTCTTGGAATGTGAAGTGATACGGATGTTTGCCTCTGAGCATCTTGAGTATCCCTGCCCCAATGCACGCAAATGGGTAATGGTATTTGGGGCTTTTACGTGGGGAAGAGCAAATAAAGGGGAACAAAGTTGATAAAACTATGCCTGGAGAAAGCGGATAGTTGAGAGACAGGTTTTTCTCCCGCTCTGGTGATGCTAGAACCCAGAGCCATCCAATTTAACCCGAGTAGGACAGACAAATAGAAGTACTTATGTGTACACGTAATTAAACTATAGAATTGTCCCCACAAGATGTTGCGATGGCTGCCGATTTAGCTGGCTTTAAAATGAGATTAGTCACAATGGCTGTGTCTTGCTTCCAGAATCAGAGGCCATATGCCTCTGAATACCAGATGCTGGGAATCATGAATGAAAGTGTACTCTTGCGCTCATGTGCTGCTTGTGAGCTTCCCACAGGCATGTGCTTGACCACCGTGAGAGTAGAATGTTGGACTAGATAGGCCTTTGGTCTCACCCAGTAGGGACGTATTATGATATGAGATACATCCCTTCCCCGAATGCCAGGCATTGTGCCCACAACTTCTAGATCAAATGGCTTTCATGCAGCTTTTACTCTCCGCTGTGACACACCAAATCAAGGACAACTGCCCAAGGTACAAGGGAACTGGGGGGGAGGGGCTTACAACAACCCTCCATGCTTGCTTGCAGCAGATTCAAGATCAAGTCTTGAACTGTGTTTGAATAACAAGACTACATTCTGATTTCTCACCAGATTCCTTTTCTCCTCTCCGCCTATCAGCCTATCATCTTCTCATCAGCAGTGCCCTGGACAGGCCCCACAGCAGAATGAACGGGAGAGCCCTTAAATGCAGCAAAGCTTGGTTACTACATTTTAAAGTAAGTAAAACCATGATTATTACAATGTAAAGAGCACTCCCCAAATAAGACCATTCCACCCAGAGTCCAAAATCGCCTAATTGCACCACTACTTCTCATATTAGAGCTGGTGGGTTGTTGTTTTTTTGCAACATGTGATTCCCACCCACTTTTTTGCTAAATATTTTTATTGTCACTGACACTATAATAGTGCATTAATGGTGAATTGATACTGGATTGTCCGCACATCAATCTGCTTTACTCGTTCTGCAATGCTTCCCCAATGTTATTGCATTTTTGCCACCTGGAGGGGCCCTCTTGCTCTATAGCACAATGGAAGTGGGGCAGAAAGCAACAATCCAGAATATTTGCAGTGTAAAAAGTCACAGGAGTTCAGCAGGAAGTTACGGGTCATTGAAAATGAAGCAGCGCATCAACCCCAAAACTTTAGCAGGCACAAACAGTATTTTGCAAGCTTATGACCACCCTGATGCACAAATGCACGATAAAAAGGATGTCTGGAGGGACCCTGAGGTATATATACACAAATCACATTTCCCAAATACTAGCAATAAAGGACTGCTTAGATATTACATGCTGAAGTGGTGCGATTCAGCAAGCCGGGTTTCTGCTAACCTCTTGCACTGGGGGCATCCTTTATTTTGAACATGATTCGGAAGTCAGACAGCTTATCCAAGATGGAGAAAAACCTGATCTGTAATAGGTTTTATAAGGCACCAAGCTTGCCACTTATATGGTTGAACTGGGAGCAACCAGAACATGGGAAATCAGCAGAAGATGCTTCAGGAAGGTTAATTCTCACGAGACCTTTCAGAGTAGCCACTGAAGTATCTGGGGGTACTTCTCTGGATTCTGTTCCCCTTGGGGGATTTTTGGGGACCTTGTAAGGCCTGCATTTCCACATTGGGAATGAAAGGACCTAGCCATGAAGTCTGGCTCCATATATGGCCAATTCTTAAATAGAATATTTTTTACTTGTATGTGGGGGGGGAGAGGAAGAGATATATCCAAGGTGAAAGAGAGGTGAAGAGAAATTCCAAGGTGCCTTCTTCAGAAACATCATAAGAGACAGACAGACAGACAGACCACTTGAGGGGAGTGAGACCAACTCCCCCCCCCATGCCCATTAGGACATGCAGGCTAAAATTACTACAGGCCAGAAGATGGTTCATAGTGCCTCCTCTACCCCCCAACCAAGAAAAACAGGGGAGCATATGAGACATCAGTTTAAACGTTTGTCTCTCTCTCACACACACACATACGGAACGCGCCACTCGCTCCGTTGAGCTGATGGTAAAGTTCCGATTGCACACACACTTACACACCCCCTCACGCCACCTCACAGCACACACACCTTGGCCTGGGGCTGTGTTTATGCCTGAGTCACACTGGGGGAAACTGTACGTCTGGGGCCCGCCCGGCTGGAGGGCTGGACAGACAAGCCTTCCAATGGACAGACAGAAACTGTCTACCTGAGAAGGCTGTCCCTCCCTCCCTCCCTCCCTCCCTCCCTCTGTGTGTGTGTTTGGCAAGACATGAGAGAGCAACGACCTGTGTGCCTGCTTTTGTAAGACTGTATTCTCCAGTCCTCCACTTTGGCTTCCTTTTTGCCCCCCACCCTCAAAAAGAGACTTTGGTGCATTTGAGCCCAGTGCCAATACTGACTTCCTGGCCCCTAAAAGTGTGAAGAAGGAGAGTATTCAGCTGTATAACCTTCTTGCCTCCAAAATCTACCCGGAGCTAGTTGTAATTGTTCTGTGTAAACCAAAAGCTCCCACAAACTTAGAGACCAGCAGGCAAGACTTTGCATTGGTAGGTAGCAAGGGGTTCACACCCACTGAGCTCCTCAAAGGAAAATCCATAAGAATTGTATGAGGCTCCTCAGATAACCCTCCCTGTTTGTTAGGTTTTTCTGCTCAGGCTCTTCTCTGACGGCCTCCTTGTGTCAGAGGTAGGCTCTTCACTCACAAGGGAGAGGACTTCCTCAGCAGTTGTGCCCCAGTTATGGAATGCCTTCCCTAAAGTGGCTCACCTGGTGCTGACGTTGTAATCTTTTCTGTGCCGGACAAAGAGGGGTTCCACATCAGGCTTTAAAAAAATTATTTGTGTTATTACACCTCACCTCCTCACAATACACATGACACCCCAACACTTGTGTTGATGGTACTATTTCTGATCCTTCATGACAGGATTTCCCAGACTAGTTTTAAAGCTGACTTTTTTTCTTTTTTCTTTTAGTAACTGCATTTTACTTCCGCTATTCTTACTGGATTGCCCGAGTGGCTTTGATCCTGCAAAATTGATTTGGTCCCCCCTTTTCCACATCTTCCTCCTCCTCCCCATCTTTGACCATACAATGGCTGTGTGAAAAGGATGTTTTATCCTCAGTTTTCAATGGTGACTCCCCACTTGTGGAATGCTCTCCCAAGGAAGACTCACCTGGCATCATCGTTCCATAGCTTTAGGCGCGGGGCAAAAATATTTCGTTTTCACTAGGCCTTTGGCTTTTAATTACCTGAGGCCTCCTTGAGTGGGTAGGATGTTAAAATCCTGTCTTTTAAAAGATTGTGTGTTATATTTTCTTTTTCCTTTATTTTATGCTGGTTTTAATGTTTGCACTTGTTTATATACTGTATTATAAATCACTTTGAGTTTCCTTCGTAAAAAAAAAAGACCAATAATTTTTATTAATAAAGAAACAAATAAATAAAATTTTATTCCCATTGACTGAACAGTTATGTTAATGATCGCCATATTTAATATATATGTGGATGTTACTTCCCAATGCACACCTGTGCTTCTGCACAGCTCCAAAGGTAAGTTTTCAAATAAAGTACAGTGGTACCTCAGGTTACAGACACCTCAGGTTACAGGCGCTTCAGGTTACAGATTGTGCTAACCCAGATAGAACCTCAGGTTGAGAACTTTGTTTCAGGATGAGAACAGAAATTGTGGCGCAGCGGTAGCAGGAGGCCCCATTAGCTAAAGTGGTACCTCAGGTTAAGAACAGTTTCAGGTTAAGAACGGACCTCCAGAACGAATTAAGTTCTTAACCCGAAGTACCACTCTATATTGCTATCTCTGCTGCTTCCCTGAGCCAATGCATGACGCTGCTGCCGGGTGGACACAGAAAAAGGGAATTAGACATAAGCATGAGGCAAGAAGATGAGAAGAGAGAACTGGCAAGGGGAGCTGACAATGTAACATAGGCTCAATCTGCACTATGCATTTAAAGCAGTATCGTGCCAATCATCACTCCTAGTTTCCTGTAAAAAATTCAAGGAGCTGTAGATTGTTAAGAGTGCTGAGAGTTGTTAGGAGCCTGTTGTTCCCGTCAGAGAACTACACTTCCCAGGGTGGTTTAACACTCAATTCCTTCTTCCTAGGGAACTCTGGGAATTGTAGCTCCCTGGAGGGAATAGGGGTCCCTGGGTCACCTAACAAAGTTTTAGTGTGGTTCAAGCATTTTATTTGTTTTATTGTTGGTTCTGCATTACTATACAGGGCTTTTTTCAGGGGGGAACACGCTGGAACTCAGTTCAGGCGCCTCTCAGGTGGGTGCCATTGCCATTCTCAGTAAGAGAAAGAGGGAAGTGTTCATGGTGAGTTCCAGCACCTCTTTTTCTAGAAAAATAGCACTGACTGTATACATTGGTTGTACACTGAACAGGATGTAGAGTTGTATAGAGTGGTACCTCGGGTTACATACGCTTCAGGTTACAGACTCCGCTAACCCAGAAATAGTACCTCAGGTTAAGAACTTTGCTTCAGGATGAGAACAGAAATTGCGGCGCAGCGGCAGTGGGAGGCCCCATTAGCTAAAGTGGTGCTTCAGGTTAAGAACAGTTTCAGGTTAAGAACGGACCTCCAGAACAAATTAAGTACTTAACCCGAGGTACCACTGTATAATCATTTTAAAAATAAATATATGAAAGAATGAATCTAAGAGGCTGTCTTCACCAAAGAAGCTTCCCGGCTGAACTTTACCCCAAAAGTTGGTCCAAAAAGACTGTTAATCTGACACTTCACCCCAGCAGGGGTGCTGGAAGGAGCAAAAGTTAGGAATGTTGACAAGGGCCAGAAATCCCAGCCTCCGTTCCCATCAGAGGGCACTTAGGGGAAGCGAGCAATGAACACTCATTAGCTCTGCACCTTGTGGTCACTGCGAACTCAGACGATACTTCCGTTTACTGTGCAGCGTTGACGTGAGCTGGGATTTTCATTCCTTGGCCGAGGTTCAGGATATCCAAACTGTTTGTTTGTAAACTGCAGCGAAGCACTTGGTCATTCTCACTGATTCACTGACATTTCTCAGAGCCCGGTTTGGGACAGCCCCTTGAAAAGCCCAGATTGCACCAATTCCTGGTCTCGGCTTCCTTGCAGGAGGCTGTGTTTCTTATGCGATGACAAAGGAGAACAGGAGCTTCCATTCAATGCCATCTAAAAGGCACATGGAAAGAAACCTAGACTCCATTTCCCCCAAGGTTTTGTTGTTCTTCCCTCATGAAACTTCCTCCTTCCCTGGTCTCGAAGTTGGTTGAGAAGTTGATAGCAAGGTTATATCACTCTGGCAACTCACCTTCCTTCATCCCCAGTATGGGCGAAATGGTTGGTCGGTCTGAAACGGGAGATATAGGAGATTGCTCAGCCCCCACTTCTCCACAGGAAGCAACTTATTATGGGTTTTGATCCTGCTGTCAGAGCCAGGTCAAGGTCAAATACCTGACAGCATACCTCCAGATTTGGAATGTGTGTCTTCCAGCTCCAGGCTTGGGAGATTTGAGCATACAGTATACAATTCCATATACCTCCCGTCAGCCAGTGTTTCAAGCCTCAAGTCTCTGGTCTGTGCTAGCTGTTATATGTAGCTGTGTGTAACTTTTTCTTTATGTTTTTGAAAAGCAGCCTTAGGAGGCTGTTTTCGGGAGCAGAGAAATGGTAGGTGGGAAGGGAAGCAATTAAAATCCCCCACAAAAACCCTCAGTTTTGTTTGTTTGTTTTGCTTCCGTATAATCTCCACCCTTGCTGGGCAAAAACACAAAAACAAAAAACAGCTTTTGGAGGGCAATTTTTCTTAAAAATTTGTTTGTAAGCACCTCATCACAGTTGCCCACAACCCCTCCAGCCTTATTTCCAGACTCCTGAGGCTGCTTTCAGAAAAACTCAGTAAGTGGCCCTCTGATTCCCACTAGACTGTAGCAAGGCATTGAATGACGGTAGGCTGCTAAAAATTATTTCTGTGGCTGTCCTTTAAAACAAAGTGCTTACATGTCCTTGTGTCAGCCCTTGAGACATCTCACTTTAGCTCACATTTTTACTCATGGGAAAGTGATAGCGAAGCTACCCAGTGAGCTTTCTAGGCCAAGGAATTTGGATTCTGGCCAATGTAGTGAGCATGCTACCACTGAAAGTCTTCATGGCATTTCTTTGCTTGCAAAATCTGTCCTGGTTTTCTCTGGGTCTGTGGCCCCCCGTCCATTAAAATCCCTCACTTAAGAGTCATTGATCAGTGTAAGGAGCAGGGCCTACACTGTGGTGGCTTTTATAGTCCCTCCAGAAGGTTCTAGAATAAATGTGTCTGTGTGGCCTCACCTGAATAACGATTGAGACTCTGGCATGTTAACTAGCTATAGTATGTGACCTCCAAGCAGTTTGTGTCCAACTTCTCTTAGCAACAAGTGGCGTTCAGATGGAGCAATAACATGTGAGTTAGACGAGGTAACTATTCAGTGGATTTGTAGTTGGTTGACTGACTAAACCCAAAGAGTACTCTCTAATGGTTCCTTGTCATCCTAGAAAAAAGTGGCAAGTGCTGAGGGTTCTGTGCTGGGTCCATTGTCGTTCAATGTCTTTATAAACGAATTGGATGAGGGAATTGAGGGGATGCTTATCAAATTTGCAGATGGCACCGAAATGGGAGGAGTGCCACTGAAGATGGAATTGGGATTCAATATGACAATAGCAGGTTGCAGAACTGGGCCAAAACTAACAAAATGAATTTCAATAGGGCCAAATGTAAGGCCCTACACTTAGGTGGGAAGAACCAGCTGCACCAATATAAGATGGGGAACACCTGACTTGCCAGTAGTAGATATGAAAAGGATCTAGGGGTCTTGGCGGACCACAAGCTTAACATGAGTCAACAGTGTGATGTAGGAGCAGAAGAAAACCTAATGCTATTCTAAGAAGAAGAAGAAGAAGAAGAAGAAGAAGAAGAAGAAGAAGAAGAAGAGTTTGGATTTGATATCCCGCCTTTCACTCCTTTTAAGGAGTCTCAAAGTGGTTAACATTCTCCTTTCCCTTCCTCCCCCACAACAAACACTCTGTGAGGTGAGTGGGGCTGAGAGACTTCAGAGAAGTGTGACTGGCCCAAGGTCACCCAGCAGCTGCATGTGGAGGAGCGGAGACGCGAACCCGGTTCCCCAGATTACGAGACTACCGCTCTTAACCACTACACCACACTGGCTTCTAGGCTGCATTAGAAGAAGTATAGTGTCCCAATCAAATGAAGTAATAGTACCACTCTATTCTGTTAGACAATACCTGGGGTACTGTGTCCAGTTCTAGGCACCACAATTTAAGAAGGATATTGACAAGCTGGAAGGTGTGCAGAGGAGGGTGACCAAGATGATAAAGGTTCTGGAAACCAGGCCTTATGAGGAATGATTGAGGAAGCTGGGCATCTTTAGAGTAGAGTAAAGAGTAGACTTGAGAAGAGATGTGATAGCCATCTTCAGATATCCCAAGGGCTGTCACACGGAAGATGGAGCAAACTTGTTTCTTCCTGCTCTGGAGGCTAGGGCCCAAACTAGTGGATTCAAGTTACAAGAAAGGAAATTTTGACTAAACATCAGGAAGAACTTTCTGACAGTAACGGCTGGAACAGACTCTCACGAAAGGTGGAGGACTCTCCTTCCTTGGAGGTTTTTAAGCAGAGGTTGGATGGCCATCTGTCATGGATGTTTAGCTGAGATCCCTGCAATGCAGGAGGTTGGACTAGATGACCCTCGGGGTCCCTTCCAACTCTATGATTCTGTGATTCTATGAACGTAGAAAATTGAACCAGATTTAGCTTTAAAGAGCAGGTTTTCGCAGAGAAAACTCAGGGCAAAAAACCCCACAATCAACCCCCCACTTGGACATGGAGTGTTATAGCGCGGGCATTTGAAGAACTGGGGCAAAAGTTAAGTGTGGATAATCCCTGCTGGCGCAGGAAAGAGGGCATCCCATAGAGTGGCCACAAAATTTTTGCCTCCAGTGAACACCTCAGGAAAACATCTGAGGAATTCTGAGGAAAGCCTTGATAAGATCAAACAGGGGGATTTTTGTGTGTTTGATTTGGGGTCCTGCACATCTCTAGATTTCTGCCAGATCTCATCCCATGTGAAATTCAAACCAGGCTCTTCAAATTTTGAAGGAACCTAAAAGGGTTGCGTTTGTTTTCATTGCAGGCCCCACCCCTCAGCCGGCACCCCTCATTTCCTGACCATGTGTGAAAGGGGATGCATTTTCTTCCTCGGGGCCTAAGGTACCTTTGAGCTGGACTTGTAAGCAAGATTTCAAGTAGGATGGAGAACCACCTTGCCTTCAGGCACTGGGAAATCCGGCTGAAACCCGATACTTTTGCACAATGGCGTGTAACTCTGTGAGGTAAGACACTGTCCATTTTGGTACAGGGAAAAAAAATTAAGCATCCCTGGGGCAGGCAGGGGTAATTTGTTTTATGAAAGTGTCATGGATAGGGATGCTTTTCTAGGGATAGCAAAGGTGTACCTGGCTTGGCTGAGCATTTAGAAGACCACATAAGGCAGGGGTAGGCAACCTAAGGCCCATGGGCCAGATGCGGCCCAATCGCCTTCTCAATCCGGCCCACGGATGGTCTGGGAATCAGCATGTTTTTACATGGGTAGAATGTGTCCTTTTATTTAAAATACATCTCTGGGTTATTTGTGGGGCCTGCCTGGTGTTTTTACATGAGTAGACTGTTGCTTTTAATTTAAAATGCATCTCTGGGTTATTTGTGGGGCATTGGAATTCGTTCATTTTCCCCCCCCCCTTCAAAATATGGTCTGGCCCACCACAAGTTCTGAGGGACGATGGACCAGCCCACAGCTGAAAAAGGTTGCTGACCCCTGACATAGGGCAACAGGCAGAAATGTCTCCCTCCCACCCCATACAGCTTTGGGGCATGCATGTGTGGGTCTCTCCTTTCTGCCTGCCGCACACCTGCCCTTCCCCACCACCTCCCCTGCCGGAGTCGTATCTGACCTGTGTTTTCCGTTGCTTCCCTGCGTTGTTATGGAGAGCGTTTACGACGCTGTCATCTCACACAGGCCCCATTCACGGCGCTGAAGCTACTTCCAAGGACCTGGCATTTAGGCTCTCTTTCCTTTGGAGACCATTGGGGAGGGGGTTTCAGGCTCCCCCGTGAAACTGCCGTTTCTTCCATTTTGGGGGCACCACAGCTATGTTTCGGCAGCACCTCCTGCTGGGTGCGAAGGAGAACCTGGAAGTCACTCCTGCTGGGAATTAAGATCCTCCAGGAATTGTCTCCCATCTACACACCCCTCCCTATAATGTTTTGACACATCCCCCGAATCCCGCCTCACCCCTAGCAGGACTCACCTGTCTTTAACATGTCAGAGATTCAGGCGGCCATTCAACCAATGCAGATTTTCCCAGTATGGAGATGCCCAAATGGGGAATGTATTGTTAGTTGCATATAGCAACCCATCTCATAGGCACCAGAGACCTTAGCAAAATATAATTTTAAAAGGGGCACCCATATTCCTAGGTAATGTTACCGTCTGGTTTGATGGCAGTTTTTGTTTTGTCCCATGGAAGATCTCCAGCTTTTTGTATTTAATCTGTATTGTTTTAATTTGTATAAACTGCCTTGGGCCCCGGTCTGGGGGGGAAAGGCAGGATATAAAAATATATAATAAACATCATAATAATAACCCGCTTTCTCCCTGGAGTAAATGGCTCATGGGCGAGTTGCCACATGGTGGCAGTGTGGGGTTAGCAGAGGTGGAAAGGGCCAGGGCAGGTGTGGCCTGAGGCCTGCGTTCCCCCCCAGCCTCAAGGATCGAAGGTTGTATCTGAAGCTTGGATGCCTAGGTTCAAGGGTACATTCAGGCCTGAAGTCTCTGGACGCTCTTTAGAGAATTACTTGACTCCCAGCCTCAGTTGCCCAACCTGTTCAATGGGGATAATAGCAACCTGTTTCACAGAATTGTTGCGAATATAAATGAACTTAAGAAGCACTTACTCTCCTTGAGGCAAAGGGATAAAATGAACAGAGGCTACAAATCTGAGTGATAAGCGTTTCACAGGCAAGATGTGGTGGAAAGTGAGCTGTTAGTTCCAGAGCAACTATTGCCAAATTGCCCCAACAGCAGGAGCGGCAGTTGTGGGGACCTTATCTGTTCCTCATAGATGTCGCAAACATCTACTGTTGCAAAGGTAGAATTTCGTTCAGCACCCCATTTTGGGAGTGAAAGGATCTGACATCATTCTGATTTGCTGAACTTCGGGCTGAGAGTGTCTCCTCTACCCACAACTCCTCCTAGCACGTTGCTTGGCTTGCTTTCTTGAGCCATCAAAATCTACCTTGCTCTGTAAGTTCAGTGCACCTTGTCTGCTTCTGCTTGCTGCAGTGGGCTGGATTTCGCAAAAGGATTCTGCTTGGTGGGCCCGAGTGTTGAACCCCAAAGTGCTTTGATTCTCACACTCTGGTTAGGGCTCACTTATAGGTTTATTTTGAGTCCACACTGAATTCTAGCCACCTGATTGCAGTCTATAGGAGGGTGCTCTGCCATGCACTGAGACAGATTGGATTCTGCACTGAACTTTAAGAACTTGGAAAGCTGCAGCAGTGGTTATGTGCAAAAAGTGGCTCCACAGCAGGTTAAAGGTAAAGGGACCCCTGAACATTAGGTCCAGGCGAGACCGACTCTGGGGTTGCGGCACTCATCTCGCTTTATTGGCCAAAGGAGCCGTAGTACAGCTTCCAGGTCATGTGGCCAGCATGACTAAGCCGCTTCGGGTGAACCAGAGCAGTGCACGGAAACGCCGTTTACCTTCCCGCCGGAGTGGTACCTATTTATCTACTTGCACTCTGATGTGCTTTCGAACTGCTAGTTTGGCAGGAGCAGGGACCAAGCAACAGGAGCTCATCCCGTCGCGGGGATTCAAACTGCTGACCTTCTGATCGGCAAGTCCTAGGCTCTGTGGTTTAACCCACAGCGCCACCCACATCCCCCACAACAGGTTAATGAGGGCCTAAAAACAACCATGGCTGTTGCAGTCTTGTGAAAGTCCTCTTTCGAACTGCTATGGGCTCATAAACTCAGGAGCAACATCTATGGGGCCTTCCCATAGATTAGGTGTGGGGAGCCTTTGGTTCTCCATATGAGGACTGAACTACAACTCCCATCATCCCTGGTCATTAACTTTGCTTGCTGGGGCTGATCAGACTTGTAGTTCAGCAACATCTAGAGGACCAAATGTTCCCCACACCTGGGCCTCATCTGTGGACGTTATTTATGTATTACTCTTTGTCAATCCCACCCTTCCTAACTTCAAGGAACTTAAATTGGCAAGCATGGTTTCTCCTCATCGTTTTAACAATCCTGTGAGGTGGGTTAGGCTGAGAGACAGCAGCTAGCCCAAAGTACGCTCTGTGTGTGAACAGTGATTTAAACCTGTGTCCGAATCCAGCACTGTATCTACTAGGTTACCTTGCCTCTCCCATCACCCCAAAGGACCCTTTCCAATCACTTACTGAAGAGAAAGATTTGTAATGATACCCACCCACCCCCTTGCAGGTTCACAACAAGGCCCGTGGGTTGCTAGGAAACATAAAAGGGAGGGAGATCCATCAAACTCCTCCCCCCCCCCATACCAGAGGCAAGGGAAAGAAGCTGAAGCCAGGACATTTTGGGAAGAAAAATGAAGACTAATTGTCTAAGCAGGGTCAGTGCGTGCGCATGGATGCAATTGTAAAAAGAGCTTTGAAGGAGCCAGGACTCCTGGGTTCTCTCGTGAGGGGACTACGCCTCTGTGGGTTAGAGCAGAGGATTGTGGGAAGAGGCAAGATTTCCCATCCACCGTATACTGCTTTCCCAGACGGACCGCACCGGGCGATGACCGCACAGTTTTTGTGTGGAGTTTGTGTCACTGTCTCTCCCAATTACGACCCTCTTCTCCCGCTCCCCCCATCCCCTCCCAGCCAGCCTGGCTGGCTCCCTCCCCACATCTTCTCATCTCTGCCAGGCACAGAGGAAGTGAAAAGGCACCTGTAACTCTCTCTCTCTCTGTATGGATATTAATCCTTAGCCCCAGAAAATTTCCCAGAAACCCCCAGTAAGCTGGCTCTTTATTTCCTCTGACACCCTTTTTCTCCCTTCCTAGAGAACACGGCGTCCTTCCTCATCCCATCAGCCCCCGAATGTTATGTCAGCAGTGTGACATGGTCCACCCCCCCAACCTGTGACACAATCAGTGATTTGTGGGTTCTTCTGTCAAGCTGACACATCGACTTTGCTAGGTCCGGAAGACCAGTGGTCCCCGGGCGTTGTGCGTTTGCGTGTGTTTTAAGAGGAGTCAATGATTTTTGACGAGTGGCTAGTGACTCCACTTAATGAGGGTGTTAAAAGGGCACCCTGCCTTGACTCAGAGAGCTGGACACAGGAGGAGGGGGGCATTTTTCTGTGATCTTGTGCAACTGACCCGAAGAGAGTCAGAGCTGCAGATTCAGAGTCTCCGATCACAAACTTTCATCTCCTAGCCTCAAAACCACAATTTAGCCATTGGGATAGGTGACTGACCCAGCTACCTCGTCTCGAATCCTCGGGCTATCCGGGACTGACTCAGGGACAGGATGGCACCTAGAGAAATCCTGGCTCCGAGACTTCCTCCCTTTTTATCCCAGTCCTTTCCCTCAAGGTATGAGGCATGCTACCTCCCTAAAAGTGCTAACTTTCTCGTCAGATTCAAGACTTAATTTGAACTGTGTTTTGCCTGAGATAGAAACCCCCAGAACCTGTTTCCAAAGTCAAGGTTCCTTATTTACAACATACCTGCTAACAGTGTTGGTGTCATCTGAGTCTTCCTTCCTAAAACTACTTGTCCTGTGTGGCTGGAGGAGTGCCTCTGAGCATGTGCAGAATGCAGTATTTTCGTATAAACAAGTAAAAAGACATTTCCATGCATCTAGGAGAAAGGAATGGATTATTTCATGGCACAGTGGTACCCAGGAAGATTTAAGAGGCGGTGCTTTTCCTTTTAAAAATTAGGTGGAGATTAGGCTCCTTTGTCCCCAAAGAATTCCAGAAACCCGGTGTCAAAGCAAACATTAAAAGGAAGGAAAAACAAATTTACTTAAAGCTTGCAAACTATTCCCTTCTCCAGCCCTACCAGTTATTGTGCCCCTCAAATTTCCTTCCTCAGTTTTGCAGTGATAGGTTCAATCAAACACTTTCAATTCAGCCATGCTGCCTGCTGTCTAAATTCTAATCGTTGTCAGAAATTAAAAGTGGGTCTCATGTTGGAGTTGAGAGAGAGCTAACCTTGTGCCACAAAATGTTGAACCAGAGCTCCCATCAGCCCCATCAGTGACGTGGGATGATTATTGTGTTACAGAGTCCCTCCAGACTGGTGGGTGGGTATATTTTGGACTGTCCACACATCACTGAGCTTCATTGGTTGTTCTACGATGCTTCCCCAGTTGTTGAATTGTTGCTGTCAGGTGTGAAAAGTTGCAGAACTTCAGCAGGAAGTTATGGGACATGCATGAATTGGAAATTAAGCAGTATGTCTGCCCCCAAAAAACTTTTACAGGCACAAGCAGTTGAAATCAGGATCACGTATAACTGCCCCAATACAATCATGAACACAAATCGTCATGAATGCACATTAAAAGGACTTCTGGGGGGTTCAAAATAAAGGTCTATTCTACCTGACTGTTTCTGCTCCGGACGGAAGCAGAGAGAGAGAGCTCCATTCTGTTGTTAGACCATTTGCCATTTTCTCATTTTCCTGAATATCTGCAGGGTGCAAGGTTGTCCAACTGAGAACACTAGTGTGTAAGTAGTGAGGGTAGAGGTCTGGGAAGCTTTCTTGTCACAAAGTCCTTCTTTATATGTTGGGCCGTAGCCTGTGCATTTTTTTGCTGCTGACTCTGCAAGAAGAGACTGTGCTAATATGTACCCTAAAATCTTTCCAGTGGCTCCTCCTCTCTGCATCCGACCCTTCTGGTATCATCTTCCTGCCTGCTCTTGCTTCATAGTTGCCTCCTCCCAAAACACAACTCCTTCTCTGCTCCCTAAACATTTATTCGGAAAGAGAAACATAGGTAGCTAACTTATGCTAAATCAAGGCATTGGTCCATTGAGCTCAGTATTGCTTGCACTGACTGGCAACAGCTCTCCAGGATTTTAGACAAAAGTCTATCCCATCGCTACCTGGAGATACCAACGTTTGAATAAGTCCCACTTCGTCCAGTGGAACAAGTCAATGTACATAGAACTGTTGCCTGTAACACTCATTTAAACAGCACTTTTCAAAGGGCAGCCAAGTTATCTCGTTTCTTACAACAGATGCCTTTAAAAAATGGTGACTTAGGGGCGTGTCTCTGTGGATCTTCCTTTAATTCCTGGTTCAATTATGTAACCCCAGAGAGGAAATAAACCACACACCCAGACGACCTAAAATATGACCCACTAACCTTCACCTGGGGCACCCATATTGGTCTTGATCTGCTAGGTGAGGCATCAGCAGGATCTGCTGAAGATCTGCTGGGGAAACTGTTCCCCTGACCTCTTTTGGTGCAGAGATGTGCTGTTTCCATACCAGATCTTCCAATATAGCTGCACTGAAATGTAGCCTCTGAAAGTTAATAGCTGACAGGGCTGGGGGGGGGCAGTGTCAGACCAGATCTCCATATCCCAGACCCAGTATTCAATCCACTTTAACCCTTGGGTAGTGGGTAGGTGGAGGAAGTATATGATGAGAAGGGGCCATACCTCAGTTGTAGCACACTGAATAGTGTGTGCAGAATGTCCCATCTTCAATCTCTGGAATCTCCTGCTAGCCAACGCGATCTTACTGATGTCTACTCAGACATAAGCCCCGTTAAACTCAGTGGAACTTACTCCCAGGAAAGTGGCCAGAGCATTGCAGACTAAAAGATTCAGGTAGTTAGTATTGGGAAATGCCTGAGGCTCTGGACCCCTTCCAGCCAAAGTGCACAGCCTTGGGCTAAATGGTCCAGTCGACTGACTCAGTATAATGCAACAACATAGGAAACTGTAATCAGGATGAGAGTGCTTCTGAGCATGTGCCAAGTACATTTCTCTTACTGCTGATTACCAATAGTCAGCCCACACAGAGAGAGCTGAGATCAGGGAAGGGAGGCTTCCAAGATTCAAGATGAGGCATCCAAATTGCCCCCTGCCTGAATACGTTACCTGCCTTCTATTTTCCCTGTTTATCTTCTGTCTTCTTTCCCTGTTGTTTTGCCCATGCCCTTGTTCTGAAGGTGTGTGATGTGGCAACTGCACTAAAGCTAGGCAGGTTTTTGGGTGGTCGATGAGAGACTCTCCTAGGAACTCCTTATGCCAACTTCAGTGAAGGCGGGATAGAAGTATAAATAAATAAATAATGTGGCAACTTTATGTTCTAAGCTATTAGTTAACACGATGCCAAAAAAAAAGGTGCTTTGGAAATGCCCCCCCCCCCCCCCGAGATCCGTGGATCACAACATGCTGGAACCAGTAGGCTGAATTCACATGTGCTGTTAGCTCCTCTTTCAATGAATAGCCAAGTAAAGTAGCATCATGACCAGTATTCCAGATTAATAGTGATAAATTTGCATTTTTTAAAATAGCTCAGTAAAGCATTAGACTCTTAATCTCACGGTCATGGGTGCAAGCCCCACGTTGGGCAGAAAGATTCCTGCATTGCAGGGGGGTTGGACTAGATGACCCTCATAGTCCCTTCCAACTCTACGATTCTGTGATTGCTAAGGTTGGAGTCACAGCTATCCTATAGGAATGCTGACCACGAGACAGATGTTTGCCAAGAAGGGAATCATAGAATCATAGAGTTGGAAGAGACCACAAGGGCCATCGAGTCCAACCCCCTGCCAAGCAGGAAACTGAGAATGAGTTTCTTCAGCTGAGAAAGGTCCCTCACCTCTTGATATAATTAGAAGGACCTCTCCTCTATTTTCTGATTGGCTGTTGGCGGTTGTGTAATTATGCAAGCAGTAATGAGGATTTCAAAGTCTGAAAACTCCATGAGAGTTCACGAAAACCTTCCAAGGATCCTTTGCTAGAAAGGAAGACTGCCCGATGACTCACCACCAGGTACCCTGAATGTGGAATTTTTGTCAATGATGGTCAGCTAGCTCAACAGCTCAATTAGCACTAATTACCGCTCTGCTGTCCTTTATTGGCTCACCCTCTGCACAGGTTCCAAGGTGGACTTTGAGCCACCCTTCTCTAGGACTCGATTCCTGCCAGCGTCAAGCTCAGACAAGGGGGCTGCTGTTTAGATTGCCGCCTCCACCCCACAGTTCGCTGCAGCTCAGGGCCCAGGCGAGGGATTCCTGTGTAAACAGCCACCCCAGGGGCAGCTGTGTCCCCGCCAAGCCTGCCCTTTCCCTGGAAAGGAAGCCTGTCCTGGAATGTTTGTGGGGAGGTTCGCTGATTTGGTTTGGAAATCAGCAGAAGGGTGCAAGTGACCCTTTGACCCTGGCACACGCCCCACATGGGAAAACTGACAGTGGGACCTTGTCGGTCAGGTTTGGCCTTATGCGAGAGAGGCTGGGCCCAGCTCTTGCCTGAGGCAACACAAACAAGGAAGAACCTTTCCCCCCCTATGAAATTCCTTGATGTGGAGGCGAAAGTTTGAGGAAGGACGAAGGGGCGGGCTGCTCAGGTCACCAAGCTTTGGAGCCTGGGATAAACAGGCTTTTCTTGGTGTCTGCTGGCACACCATACCTTTTAACCACATCTCTTGCCACCAGCTCCCTGAGAATCATAGGAACTGTAGTCTACCCATCACAGTTCCCAGCACCCTTAACAAACTAGTTCACAGGAATCTTGGAGGGGGGGGGCTGCTTTAAATGTTTGGTGTGTGCGCAGACTTGGCCACTGACCAGCTTAGGACAAGGGATTTGCTCCCGTTTTTCGCTAAATCAAGCTTTGCACTGCCTTGCTTTCTTGACCTCGATGAGGGAATCTTCTTAATGGTGCATTTGGGACTTGAGGACCATTATTCATTAGGAAAGGTGCACTCAGTGCCCGGAGAAATAATCAAGGCCCCGCTTGAAAATCTTTTAAACGGCAACGCTGAATATTATACAGGCTTTCACCCTTGGGGTCAGGAATGGGGGGCAGTCCAATGAAAACTGGGCATGCTCAGTGGCCACAGAATGTTAAGGAGGGGTGGGGAAATGGTGGGAAGGGAATGGAGTGTCTTGGAAGGGGTCATTGATGGCTGGCAAGCAAGAAGGAAGGAAGGAAGGAAGGAAGGAAGGAAGGAAGGAAAGAACCGTGAACAAGAGCAGTCCACGCCACAACATTTTATGTAAGGTCCACTGGCCGGACGCTGAATATAAAAAAAGTGTTTCCTAAGAGTCAACTTTGCATTAATACTTTCCTGAACCACCATTGTGGCCAAGCGCAAGGGTCTAGTTTGCTCCTGTGGGCAGGACATTTTATATTCTCAGGAGCCTCAGCTTGGTTAATAGTATGATGTAGCCTAGTACAGTGGTACCTCGCAAGACGAATGCCTCGCAAGACAAAAAACTCGCTAGACGAAATGGTTTTTTGTTTTTTGAGCTGCTTCGCAAGACGATTTTCCCTATGGGCTTGCTTCGCAAGACGGAAACGTCTTGCAAGTTTGTTTCCTTTTTCTTAACACAGTTAATACAGTTGCGACTTGACTTTGAGGAGCAACTCATAGAACGCAGTGTGGTAGCCGTTTTTGAGGTTTTTAAAGACTTTGGTGATTTTTGAAGCTTTTCCAAAACTTTCCCGACACCGTGCTTCGCAAGACGAAAAAAATCGCAAGACGACAAAACTCGCGGAACGAATTAATTTCGTCTTGCGAGGCACCACTGTAAAGGTAAAGGGACCCCTGACCATTAGGTCCAGTTGTGGCCGACTCTGGGGTTGCAGCGCTCATCTCGCTTCCGGGTCGTGTGGCCAGCATGACTAAGCCGCTTCTGGCCAACCAGAGCAGCGCATGGAAACGCCGTTTACCTTCCTGCCAGAGCGGTACCTTGCACTTTGGCGTGCTTTTGAACTGCTAGGTTGGCAGGAGCAGGGACCGAGCAATAGGAGCTCACCCCATCGCAGGGATTCGAACTGCGACCTTCTGATCAGCAAGTCCTAGGCTCTGTGGTTTAACCCACAGCGCCACCCGCGTCCCTTTTTATGATGTAGCCTATCATACCATTAATATTGCCACCACCTGTTTGCATTTGAATTTGCTTTGGAAAAAGTGGTAGTGGTTTGATTTAGACCTGGGGGACACAGGTTCAGACTCCTGGCCTTATCATGAAATTTACTAGGGCATAATCTACCTTACAGGCTTGTTGTAATAAAAGGATGGGACCGTGTATGCTATTGTGGGCTCTCTGAGGGATTTTAATAGCGTAATAAAGGAATACATGTGTTGTATCTGAGAATCTTCTTTGGTCTCTTCTCTGAAATTGTCTCAATTTCATTTTCTGTCTATGCTGCTTTCATAAATATGTATTTCTGTCCATCCACAATGACTCTCTGGAAAGACGAAGTTGATAAATTAGGTATTTATAATACTCTTGAGTAAAAGAGGAGTTTGTGTCATGCAGAAAGGCCAAAGGGTTCTGTGAAATCCAACTCAAAGGTAAGACTTAAGGTAAACTTTAAAAAGGGAGCGATCAACAAAAAGTATTGTAATGGTGCTATAGAAATTATGACTTGTCCTTATTCAATATGCAGTTTCTTTTTTTCTTTTTTAAAAGCATTTACTTGTGAGTACAATCCAGACAATGTTTAAAGTCCCATTGAGTTTAGGAGGAAGGATTTAAGCATGTAGTTAGCATTCCTCATTGAAATCCACAGAGGAATTTAATGTCAAGTGGGAGTTCCTTCCAAGTAAACATGCTTCACTTTTTCTGGATCTTGCCCTTCCTGTCAAAACACTAGAAATTTAGTCATATCGTGAAGCGAATTGGCTGGCAGATGAGGAGTTTCTTTGTGCAATGCATGGAAGTCTCTGATAACCTATGGAACTCGCTGCTACCAGATGTTGCCATTGCAGCTGGGCTGGGAAACTTTGAAAGGGGCTAGCATATTTATAGAGATGATCCTTGGTCAGTGTCAATTAGGCAGAGATCAAGCCTCCATGTTCACAAGCAGCCCATCTTTGACAGCCAGACGGTGGGGAGGAACAGCAGCAAATGGTTATTACTACTTCCAGTGAATGCACCTTTGTGGTGACCTGGGGCAACATGATGTGTGTTACGCTTTCAGATCTATGTGGGTCCGGGTTCAACCCCTCCTTCCCCTTAGTTCTGAAAAGATCTCCAGCGTCAGACCTCCAAAAGAGCTCCCACTTTTTGCTCTCTTGGGTTTGGTAGTACGAAGAAGAAGACACCTCTGATTGGGCTAGGTCCTTCTGTTGATAAATCTCTCAAGCATGGGAGTGTCTGCATGCAGATGGTTGTGAGGGGTCCTCAATGAGTTTACTCTTCGCATCCTTTCCTTTCTTGATCTCCAGCTTTTGCAAGCTCTACTTTCCTTATCTGTCTTTCCCTCTCAGTTAAAGTTACTGAGCGCTGTGAGTTTTTTGGGTGGGTAAGGGGCTTCTCTTTTTAAAAAATAAAAAAGTGAGAGACACTGTAGAACCTGTGGAGTTTTGGAGGGGGGGGGATTGGAGCATGACCTCATCAAACACCCAACTCGCATCCCCCCCATCCAGTCTCAGTCTCTCTCTCTCTCTCTCTCTCTCTCTCTCTCTCTTTCACACACACACACACACACACACACACACACACACCTTAAAAATCCCTCTTAAAGGGACAGCGCACAGCATTGCAGAGAATATGTGTCATCCTGGGCCGCCCACTTCAAAACGCAAGGTTAACTCAGAGAGTTTTTCCTGTGCCCTATGGGGTTTTTTTTCTCTTCTTTCTCCCTTTCTTGGTTTTTTTTTTTTTTTGAATGGAAAAGTGTGTGAGTCAAGATGTGTCACCATTTGAGAAAAAAAAACACGCGCCTAGACAAGAGCCGGGGTGTATATAAAGACCAATTTGTAAGTGATGTAAAACACACACATGCACATATACAAATACTGAACAGTTAAAAGCTGGTCTGGGCAACGTTTTACAAAATTAATTTTCTGTTCTCCTTTTACCCTTTTTTTTTTTTTAAAAAAGATTTTTTTAAAAAAAGAAAAAACTGAACAAGGGGCAATCTGGGAGAGTTTACATTTAATATATATATATATATTAGTTGTGCCTTTTTTGTTATTATTTATTTATTTATCTATTTATTTATTTATCTGTTGGAGAGGCTTTTGCCATCTTGCACCTTTTTTGTGTGTGTACGTGTGAACTCATCTACCTCAAAGGACCGAACCTCCTGCAAAAGGCAGAGAACAGGTGTGGTGTGGAAGAAATTTGCAACCCAAAGAAAACTTTTTTTTTAAGGAAAAATCCCACAAAACAAGCAACTTCCAAATTAAACCTTACAAGAATAACACCAAACTAAAAAGCAAAGGAGGACTTTTTCTCCCTTCCTTTCCAAGAAGAGGGAATTTTAACTCAGGGAAAAGAGACCCTCACATCGTCTCCAAAACATGAAAAGTAAGTTTCTCTCTCTCTCTCTCTCTCTCTCTCTCTCTCTCTCTCTCTCTCCTTCCCACCCAATGTTACGACAAATTAAATATATAATATGTATATTATGCTGTTTAAAACAATTTCCCACTGAGCTGTTGAAGACGTCTGTCTTAACAGCACCATCTATCTTGAAATGTACATATTGACAGATAATGTATGTTCCTCGTTCACTTCACATGATTTATGATCCCATAAATTCAAGGTTATTGCTTTTCGTGGGGCGGTCGATTTTTGTCTTAGATACGCAGATGTTTCCCTTAACCTTTGCTTACAGCCAGAACTTTCTGAGTCCTTGTTCCTTAGGATGTACAAATATCTCTTTGTGGGGTTGGGAGGTTTGGGGGAAGAGGGATACAATTCTAAGTCTAGCTAGCTAAGTATGAATCAATCTGTGGCTTGCAGATCTACATGCTTGCGTATCCCACGAAGCTGTGTATCTTCTCTGCTGGGAAGATCAGCCACTTTCTTCAGCCACCTTCCACATGCTCTTCTGCTTAGCCTTCTGTAGCCTTAAAACATCCTGGAGGCAATCTAGGCAAAGTCAGTGGGTTGTGCTCCAATACTTAGAACTGAAACTCCTGAACCCAAGTTATCCATTAATTTTAATGTGTCTACTCTGAGTAGGACTAGCCTTGATAGCCAAGGGGGGAGAATTCAGCACTCTCGCCGATTCATCTTAACGTTGGCTGAACTGTGTGTCCATTTGTCTTTATGCACAGATCTCAGTTATTAGAGAATCATATTGTAGGAGGGACCTCAAGGGTCATCTAGTCCAACCCCTGCAATGCAGGAATCTTTGTGGGGCTCGAACCTTTGAACCTGAGAGCACAAGTCTCATGCTCTACTGTTGGAGCTACTGTGTACTCTTTTCTTTTGAGTAGGTCTGTTACTTCTTGGGTAGATGGGTAGATGGGTACTTCTTGGGTAGATGGGTACTTCTTGGGTAGATGGGTAGATGGGTACTTCTTGGGTAGATGGGTACTTCTTAGCTAGATTCCTCCACATTTTCTTTCTTTCTTTCTTTCTTTCTTTCTTTCTTTCTTTCTTTCTTTCTTTCTCTCCCCTCTCTCTCCCACCCACCCAAAATACATAGTCAGCATCACAGTCTTGCAGTCCGATTCCATGGAAGTTTGATCAGAACTAAGTCCAAGGTGAGCATGCCTAGGATTGCAGTCCTAATAAAACATTTAACCTGGAAAAAACAAAGTGATTTCCAAGGAAAGGGCTTTTAAGACCAAGGTGCAAGTGCAAGAGAGAACAGAGAAACAAAAGACCGAAAAGGCAAAAGGAGGGAACCAACAAGTAATATGTTAAGGGCGCTGGGAAATGTAGTTTGGCGAGGGATGGACGAAGTTCCCAGGATTCCTTTTTGTGTGTAGGTGTGTGCTTTCAGTGTGTGGCGTCTATGCAGTCCCCCGCATCACAAACGTAGTTCATTCTAAACCCCGTTTTTTGTATGGCTGTGCAGCCTCTCAAACCAATGGGCTCTAGCAGGATGATTTGGACTGGTGAGAGAACCTTTTCAAAACCCTCATTAATGCTAAAGCTTTGTCCAGTCATGTGCCAGGCAAACCTAGCCTCACCTATTGTAAAGACAAAATGGGAATAATCCCATATATTGGAAGTAGGGTAAGATGATGAGATAAGGTCCTTCTACCCTCTAATTGCATTCTCTATGAACTCATCTCCCCACTAACAGGAGATTTTCCCCATGCATTTTACCCCCTTCTCTCAGGTGACCTCTGTCTCCCCCCACCCCTGTGCATTACCTGAGCCAGCTGCTTAGCATCAGAGAATCATAGAGTTGAAAGGGATCCTGAGGGTCATCTAGTCCAACCCCCTGCGATGCTCTAACCACTGAGCTAACTGCCTAGTTCTCAGCAGCACTTCCTTTACTGGCTCTTCATTCAAATATGGGGCCAGGACCTATTTTCACATGCCACATCCATTAAGCTTGATGATTCGGGACAGACAAAGGGAAGTAGTTTCTCATACACAGCAGCACATAGTTAAACCATGAAATTGGCTCTCACAGGATGTGGCGGTGGCCAGCAGCTTGGATGGGTTTAGACAAATGGATGGAGGATAAGGATTTTGCTGGCCGCAACCCATGAGGGCATTGCATCCTCTCCAGTATCAGAGGCAGGATGCTTCCGAGTGCCGATTGGAGGCTCACAAGCAAGGGAATGCATACTATTGCTGTTATACCCTGCCTATGGATTCCCATAAGCCACTGGTTGGCCACTCTGAGAACAGAATGCTGATTGAACGGGCCTTTGGTGTCCTCCAGCAGGGCTCTTAACCTTATTCTTTTGAGTGCTGCAGCAAGCAGAAGTGTGAATTTGAACACTGTAAAAGCAACAGCCTGCAAAGAACTTCATCACAGTACCATGCATTTCCTGTGTGAAGTGAATTGACCCCCCTCCACCGCCACCAGCAAAGCAGTGGTCCAGTTGCGAAGAAAACCAGATCTGAATTAGACATAGACAAGCTGCCATAATTGCTGCCAAATGTGCTGTTTTGTTCTTAAATTCCGCCCCGCACCCCCCGAATTAGGGATCCATGCAACTTCAAAAATATCTGAATCGGCTTCCTAGGTGGATCAGCTAAATATAAGGATAAGTGCCTGTGCCAATGCTGTCAGGTAGTTGTTGTGTTGACGCTGGGACTTGCCATGAGATCTGGCCAGGTCAGATATTGCTGAAATGGCAGGAACTGCTCCTGAGCAGAGGCAGAATGCAGAGGCTTTTATCTTAGATGGTATGAATGTATTATTATACCATGATGATGATGATATCCTTTTTGAGTGCTTTAAACTGCTTCATGTCGATTCCCACCCCCCATAATTTGTCTAACGATCTGGTAAGGCCAATACACCACTTTTTCCAAAAACCACCTAGTAAGTTCATGCATACGGTAGGATTTGAGCTGGCAACTAAAACTTGCTCATCCTTTTGCCACTTCCCTAAACTAGAAATGAGGATGTGGTGCTAGGGAATAAAATAGTCTTCCAAAAAAAGACAAAAGGAGCTGCATTGGTCCATAAGGAAAATAACAATCCCATGGTTGGTCAATACCTTTATTAGGACCAATTCATTTTGTGACATTTTGTTTGGTCCTAAATCAAATAAAGGTATTGCCCAACTGGATTTTGGAATGGTCTCTTTCCTCTTTGACCCTGATTGGTAGGGACACCTCTCATCGGAACCTGGTTGTCCCTCGCTACCTTAGTTTTCCCCTCCTTTGACCTTCCCAAGACCCTGGCAGGGCTTTTTGTTTAGGCATATAAAGTTGTTTCCAGCTATAGGGCTTTTCAGATTACTTTTCTGGACTGTTACATATCAACTGTATTGGACAAGCTGCTTCTTAGAGAATCCTAGATGTTTATATCTTTTTTAAGGGAGATTTCTAATGCAGCAACCCTAGATCTTATAAACATCTGCTTGGGATAAACACTGTAGCTCCCCGATTCTAAGCGCACTGGACTCGTTCTCACATGCATTTATTTTGCTTGATTACTATATACTTGGTGGCTGAACTGCCTCCATTGAAAAGCATTGGCTCAGGTGGCATGAAAGGTCTATCTGCGGCTATATAACTGTGATCTGTGATGTTCCTTTTATACACACAAGGAGTCATCCATCATCTTCCTCTTGAAGAAAGGCATAAGTGCTTTCCCCATTAACCTGGGAAAAAAGCTGACTCATTCATACATACATGCACCTAAATCATAGCTGTCAACTTTTCCCTTTTCTTGCGAGGAGTCCTATTCGGAATAAGGGAATTTCCCTTAAAAAAAAGGGAAACGTTGACAGCTATGACCTAAATGCATTGCTCAATATGTCATCACTTGTTTGTTCAACCCGGAGTGACATGCAGCTGAATTGTGTGAACAGGCTCCATGGAAAAACACTGTGCTGGGCCAATGAGCATCCCCTGTTGTGGCTGTTTGAGCCACGGTAAAGGTAAAGGTAAAGGGACCCCTGACCATTAGCATGGTACAGGTGGTCAAATGGTGGGTGCGCATGTGTGAACCAGCCAGGAACCCCAACTGTTGTGATGAAATTCTATTTCATTCAAAGCAATCTGTTTGGCTGTAGGTAGACAGGAAGCATAGCTTAGTGGTCCAGGAAGCATAGCTTAGTGCAGGCAGAACGCCCCAGCCCCTCGGACCTCCAGTTCAAAGGACCTCGGGCAACAGATGGCATGAAAAACCTCTCTGCCTGAGACCTTGGGGAACCACAGCCAATGAGAGCAAACTAGGCTAGGTGGACTGCTTCCAACCACCTTTTCTTGCAGAGAACCCCCAAGCACAACTTACACCCATATCTATGGGCTGCGTTCAATTAAGACTCATTAATTTATGTGCCTAAGTTTGTCTTCTCCATTGATGTCAACTTGGAGCAGGACTGACATTAGATCAAATCTCATAACAGTGCTTCATTGTTCTGAAAATGACACTGTTTTTGCACATTGGTTGTGCAGACCCAAGTACCCTTCAGTCTTCATTCCTGGTAAACGGCATTCCTGGTAACACTGGAATGTTGAAAATGCTGGACTTGCAGCGGCATAATCCTACATATGTTTACTTGGAAATAAATCTCACTGCCTTCAGTGGGGCTTACTTCCTGGTAAATGGGTTTGGACATTGCAGCTGAATGGACATTCTTGCCCTGCAACCAGTTGCAGTTAACAGTTGCCCATGGTTGTATGACAGCGCTAGGTGTCTCTTCCCAGTACCAGTGCCGTTTTGAAAAGTTACAAATGTACCCTGCTATTTCAGAAAGTGGGTTTGCTATTGGCACATTATTTTTATTGGAATTAAATGTTGGATGTGCCCATATTACCATGCTTGTGCTCAACCAGTGTTGCTTCAGTCAAACTATTGCTCAGTATTCACTCTTGAGTCTCCAGATGTTGTCAGACTACGGCTCCCATCATCGCTGGCCATTGGCTAACATAGATGGGAGTTGTAGTCCAACATCTTGCTACCAATGGGTGAAGAGCATGGAGTTTGCTGTAGGTTACTAAGCAGTTTGAAAGAGAAAGTGGCAAATAGTCCTCAGAAGAGAGTTCAGCTACTTCTGTCCTCTTGGGCAGAAATAATCAGACTAGCCCAAACCCTCTTTTATTTTGACCTCCCCAGAATTCCTTTTCATTTTGCATGCATGATGATTTGTGTTCATAGAAAAGCATGGATGTTTGAAAAGAGATGTGCAAATGACAACCCTTTATTTCCTCACACACACCCTGGGGTTTCTCCCTATTCTTTTCCCACCTCCTTTAGAAAACACAGCACTAACAACCTTGAACCCAGCATTTCCTAGGAATAGTAAGACACCCCGCCAGAAATCACTGCAGTTTGGATGCACCATTTTGATTCAAAATGGCATCTGATTGTATCTAAATATACACAGTTGTATCCTACCCCTTGATCTCAGGAACCCTCGTATAAACTTTAGTTACAATATTTTAAGAGGTATCTGAATGCACAAAGAACAGATAATCAACTTTCCAAAATACATATAGTAGATGCATGTGTGTGGTGGTATACGTATTTTATACTTGATCACCTGTGACCCAGTGTTTCCTAATAATAAACCTTAGATCTACCTTCCTACAGTCTTAAGCCCATTTTGGCTGAGGTGATGGGAGTTTTGAGTCTAGCAACACCTGGAGGGCCACAGGTTCCTCATTCCTGCCATGCAGACGGAAAAACATCCAATCCTGATTTTTTATTTTTTTTAAAGTCACACTTAAGTCGTTTATTTGTTTATTTATTTTCTGGCACCAGCTGTCTGCATCTAGCTATTGTTATTGAACATTTATGGACATTTTTAGTGGGCACAGTGTTTTTACAATCCTTATCTCATTTAGCCTCACAACAACCCTGGGAGGTAGGTAAGATGATGGCTGCCTCAGAAGGTTGTTTACCAACGAATGAGCTCAGGACCGTTAAGCGATTTGTGCATTACAAGTGCTCTATAAACATTAAGCAATATTTCAAGATGAAGGGCAAACCTTACTTTATGGGGAGACAGTGTCAGCAGACATCAAATTTTGCAGAGTGAGGCAAATGAAGAACAGCCATAGCCAAGCAGACTAAGATGAGAAACAGGACGATACTTTTTAAATTTAATAGCAGGGACGAAAATGAAGTAATTAAATGGCCGTGGAATGAGGTGGTTGCCTCAGGCAACAGGTTTGCAGGATATAAAACTGAGTATGGGGGTCAACGCAACGAAGTGAATGCTTGGTCATAATATAATATATGGATTTGTGTTTTATCATTGGTTTGTGAGATGACTCTGTGTGTGTGTGTGTGTGTGTGTGAGAGAGAGAGAGAGAGAGAGAGAGAGAGAGAGAGATTTGGATTTTCTGCCTGAGGCACCATAGTGGCCCTGCAACAGGCTACCCAAAGAGTGGGTGGGCATGGGGCAGGCTCCCTATCAGGTCCAGAATAAAAAGGAAACTGTTAAGAGTAGATCTAGGGAAAAAGTGAAAGCAGTTTCACATTCTGGGTGGCTAGGAAGTGTTCACACAGTGGACCATGCAGCCTCTCTAGGCTATCTAGTTAGGGCATCCTTTTTCAGCAGGGGGTCGGTCCACTGACCCTCAGACCTTGTGGGGGGCCGGACTATATTTTGAAAGAAAAAAATGAACAAATTCCTATGCCCCACAAATAACCCAGAGATGCATTTTAAATAAAAGGACACATTCTACTCATGTAAAAACACGCTGACGGTCCACGGGCCGGATTTAGAAGGCGATTGGGCAGGATCTGGCCCCCAGGCCTTAGTTTGCCTAGGTAAAGGTAAAGGGACCCCTGACCATTAGGTTCAGTCGTGACCGACTCTGGGGTTGCAGCACTCATCTCGCTTTATTGGCCGAGGGAGCTGGCGTACAGCTTCCGGGTCATGTGGCCAGCATGACAAAGCCGCTTCTGGCAAACCAGAGCAGTGCATGGAAACGCCGTTTACCTTCCTGCCGCAGTGGTACCTATTTATCTACTTGCACTTTGACATGCTTTCGAACTGCTAGGTGGGCAGGAGCAGGGACCGAGCAACGGGAGCTCACCCCGTCACGGGGATTCGAACCACCAACCTTCTGATCGGCAAGTCCTAGGCTCTGTGGTTTAACCCACAGCGCCACCTGTGTCGTACACATGTGCTAATTTGTATGAGTTGGGGGATCTCAAAAGATGCATCCTTCAACAACACCCCCAAACCCACTTACTGTAATCTGCCTTAGTCTGATTTGCTTGATTCTCTACCCACCCCCACCCCTCCCACCCCCTGCCCTGTGCTGTATTCCTGTCCTGGTCTACACATGGCAGCAGAATGCCATTTTTAACTGCCCCTCCATATGAAAACTCACTGCAAATGTTTGGGGGAGAGGGAGGGGGAACCCAAAACCGTATGCACGGAAGATAAACGTTCTGTCTCAGGCATCTCCCTGCTGTACCCTGTTTCCTGCTTACGAGGAAAGCGTTTCTCCCCACCCCCCTCACATGGGAGCATTTGGAAATGTGACTTCCTGCCTGCAACCTGAAGTGGTCAAGTCCATTCTGCCACCTCAGCATTCTACCACCACCTCAGCCTCGCCTGGCTCTGCTGCATGTGTAGACCAGCCCTAGAAATATGTGTGATAAGAGAACAAGAGTCTCCAAATTCCTTGGAGTGCTTTTTCATAAATTCAGTTGTCTGCTCGGGGCTGACTTTAATGGTTCTTTTCTGGGCCTGTCTTCTTCACCTCTGCCCCCACCCCGTCGGCCTGGACTGGACACATTTTGCATGCAGGAGGTTCCAGGTTCAATCCCTGGCTTCTCCTAGGAGGGCTGGGATAAATATCCCTCTCTGAAACCCTAGAGAGTCATTGCCAGTTAGGGTAGGCCAGGAAGGTGGACTTGTTGTGCTCCAGATATGGCTGGACTGCAACTCCCATTGTTCCTGGCCGTTGACCATGCTGTGTGGGGCTGATGGGAGTTGGAGTCCCGACAAGATTTGGAGCAGAAGCCACAGGTTCCCCATCCCTGGCATGCAGCTAGAGGAGCCATCCATGGAGCCAGATGGGCCAGTGCTCTGACTTAGTAGAAGTCAGGTTGCATTGCACATGCACACATTGTCCTCTCCTTCCAGCACCAGTGGGGAGCAGGGTTCCTCCTAGATGGTTCTGGGCATGTTCACCACATGCATAAGCTTCCTAGAGCGATTGCAAGAGGGCAGTCACATGTGTCCAAGATGCGCATGCGGTATTACCATCCTGTGGTCAGATTTCTTTTTTAAAGTTCAAAAAAAAGGGGGAGAAAACCTGTGCAAAATCTCCTGCCTTTTGATGGACCACTTATCATGAATGCTACATGAGTAGGAAGGGGGGTTGACTAGATGACCGCCAAGGTCCCTTCCTGTGTGATGCTATGATCTGTACTCTGAAATATCCATCTCACTCTGGCTGTTTACCCACTGTCAGCTTAAAATGCAACAAGGCCATCTCTTCCCCGCTTCGTTTCAGATCATATTTGCATGTGGTCGTACAAATCGGTATGCTTAGGTATGTTTCCAAGTCACTGTCTGTCCACACTAGTGGACAGAGAACAGGTGCAAATGTCTCCATATAGCTTTGTAGTTTACGTCCACACTCCCATTTATCCTACACCCAGTGCGCTTTCACCGCAGGTCTGAGTAGTGGTGCGCACATGATGTTAGCCACAATCCATCTCTATCCTGTTATTTCTTAGGATGTTGTACTGCATTTTGGATGCATTTTCGCCTTAAAAAGGCACCCAAATTGGAGGGAAGAGCAACCTAGGTGTGCTTTAAGCTGGTAACATGAATGCAGGTTTACATTTTCAGATTGGACGAGGGGACAGTAGTCTCAATAAAGTACAGGATGAAAGTGGATTGTGGGTGATGTCATGTATATAAAGCATCACAAACCAGCAGTGGGAGCTCCCTGGATGCAGAGTGAATGGGGATGTGTACACAGCTCAAGTGTCTGTCCCGTGAGCAAAATCCATGAATTTAACAAGTTACCCAAAAGCCTTCTGTATTTGGGTCAGATATTATGAAATGGCAACATTCAATTCCATGAAAAGATCAAAAGCCCAAGTGCATTTTATAGCAATGAGAGCCAGTCCGATAAAAGATATCACTCTTTCTCTGCCTGACTTCCTCTCTTTCTGCCAGATAGTTTTAGGATCTGCCCTTTCCGTGTGTGTTTTTGGCAAACAGTTGCAGACTTTAAAGTGCCTTTGAGCTGAGTTGACCTACCTACATTGTGTTAACAGCAGCCCCCTGCACGGGGGAGAATGAGGAGCTTAACTCCTGATGTTACAGACTGCATGTTTGAAAGAGACACATGTCTCTGTAGCCGTGTGTTTACATATCTGATACCCATATGTAGTTTAATTTTGAAATTTTGGGTGTGCAAAACATGAGTGGGCATAACTGCTTGTGAGCAATGTTGCCATTTCTCCATGTGCTGGTTTAGTCGAGTTGTGTGTACCTCAGCATTGTGGCAGCTGAGCTACAGGTAGGCAGCTGTGTGTAGCTTCTTAGTGACAGTTGGATGTCTTTGTTTATTGTTATTGTATAGCTGCTGTTATTGTATAGCTGTTTATCTGTGTGTAAGATCTTAGACACATGTTTCTCTATGCCCCTATATGGCTGCTTTCAGCTTTTATTTTTTTGGGGGGAGGGGGTGTCTTATATCACAAACAGGTTGCTCAGATCTGTTTTTGTGTGTCAGTGTTTGGCATGCTAGCCTCCCCACATTCCCATATTTTAGCCCACTGTACATGCCATACCTTGAAAGTACATGACTTCTCCAAAGAATCCTGGGAGCTGTAGTTCATTCAGGGAGCTGGGATTTTAGCTCTGTGATGAGTGAACTACAGTTCCCAGGATTCTTGGAGGGCTATAATGTGCTTTAAATGTGTGGTTGCAGAGACACTCTTGCATACTCTGCATTCAGTGCACTGCTGATTTGAGAAGTGGTGTACACATGGTGTTAGCCAAAATCCGTATCTGTCCTGTCATATCTCATTAAATGCCATGTTTTGATGCATTTCCCCTCCAAACCAACTTCAATCAAAATTGAGGAAACGAACGACCTGGCTGCATTTTAGACCAGTAAGGTGTACACAGCATCTGTCATGAATACTCGTTGCTTTTCTGCTGTTCGCCATCCACACCAGTAGATGGCTCTTTACCAAAGGTGCCTGGAGTTGTTTCTTGTCCTGCCCGTCTACCACTTCTCCCCTCCACTACTTTCCCCTCTCGCTGCCTTCTTCTGTCCTGGGCATGCAGGCCTTTCTACAGCAAAATTTTCCTAGGAAGTGATCAAGAACAAATGTTACCACCCTTAGTTATCATGTTTCTCAATTGGCAAAATAGAGGCTTGTGCTTTGGGGCGGGAGGTACACAATACTGTATTCATTTCTGGTTTGGTTTGGTTTTTTTAACACTGAGCTTGTGCAAGAGTGGCATTTACCTGACTAAGACTTGCACAAGAGTGATGAAGAGGCCTTGCGCAAGATCTATGTATTAAAACTTGAAGAAGAAGCCCCATCTGTGTATTGCAGTTTCAGTCTCCCATGCCCTATGTGGAGATCTTGAGAGAACAGCTCACCTTTACAGTTGTGAAGATTCTGCATACGGCAGTTGGTGCAAATAGGTACACTGGTAGTGTTTGGGCTGCAGCAAACAAAATTGCTAGGTTGTCCTCAGGTGAGGAGCAAACAGAAGTCGTAGGGGTGTGGCATTAGAGGCCTGTCCACTGAAATACCACCACACGTGACAAACCAACCACCCTGCCAAAAATGCACCAATGAGCTTCAACGGCAGCAGCCAATGCAGATTTATAATGGGTTGTTTTTGTTTATCAGATTTTCCACGATATGGAGAAATCCAAATTAAATGCAAAGAAAAAAAAGGAAATGTGCTAGATTTTTATTTTGATGCTAACAATGTCAGGTGGACGCTGCTCAAAACTTGAGTGCAATTCTACAATAAGCTCCCATCTGGAAGCCTCCCTGTCTTTATTTTTGGCTAATAGGCTTTCCTGCTCTTGTGTGTTTGTTTGGACATGCACCCAAAATGCACGGCTGTGTCTATGCATCTGGTGCACACTTGCGCATGCAGCCACATGAGCATCCCTCGAGGTGAGGTGTGTGAGCAACTGCACACACGGTTGTGTGTGGGGGGTGTGTTTGTGTTGGGTTGCCTGCTGCTGCTGTTGCAACCGCCAGTATAGCTCTCCTAACTAGCTACACCTTTCACGCCTCCCCTTCGCTCCTTCTTTGAGCCAGTTTACGAGGCTTCATCCTGCCAAGCTAGGGCTGTAAATCCCAGAGCTGTGAAACCAACCGCCACCTGGGGGACTACATGGTGCGCCACGTGACGCCGGCTTGTTCAGTCTGCTGTAGCTCAATCCTTGTCTCTGTTGTGGCTGGGAAGTATTTCAGGGCAGAATTTCCAGCAGAATCTAAGGCTGCTTGCACACCATGCATTTAAAGCACATGACTCCCCCTCCCCCCCAAAAAAAAGAATCATGGGAACTGTAGTATGTTAATGGTTCTGGGAACCATAGCTCCGTGAAGCACAAGGACTGTCCAACGTCCACTTTATATCTTGTTTTCCTGGGAACTTGCTCAGAACTTCCAGTGTGGCACTTAATGGGGAAATCTCCCAGGTAGATCAGCACCGAGGGTCTCTTTGGCCAAAAGGCAGCTGATATATAAAACTCGCGATTACCCATCCTTTCTGTTATCCAAGTGCCTGTTCAAGCATCGCCAGTCTTTACATTGTTAACCTGTACCAGTAGCATGTTTTAGGGGCTCAGCTACAAAAGCAAAAACATTGCACGCAACAGAAACGTCTTTTCAACCATGCACTCTGAGAAGCGGGGGCTTGCTGCCTTTGCCACCATGTGCCACGCAAAACAGCACCGTCTGTTGATCTGCCCATCAACCCATCCCAGCCCATGTGCAACTTGCTCAGCTGTCTACCCCTTGCATGGCATCCATTTTCATGCACACTTACCTGCTGGTCCCCTCAACCTGCTCTATAACTTCATCTCTCTCCCATCGTTCCCCCCCTCCTTGTGTGTGCCCTCCTGCCTATTGATCATCAGAGACATCTACCGCAATATTTATGCATGAGTCTCCGTGGCGGGCCCAGAAATGTATCACCCTGTGGGTTTAGCACCGTGTGTCACCTTCATTGATCTTTCGGCTTCGCTCACTCACAACAAGAGGAGCTGGAGCGGGTTCAAGGGTCAGTGGTTTTAATGGCCGAGTTGGTTGAGGAAAGGCTGTTTAACAGAGTTCCAGTCTCGGTGCTTTACGAGGCAGTGGGTGGTGGGAGAAGCGGAGCCTTCTCCAGCCGCTGGCTTCTGAGTTTGCAGAGTAAACACGAAACCTGACCAGGTCCTTGGGCGAGTTTACCCAATGGCCTCTTTTCTCTCCGGTATCTTGTTTGTTTTCAAGTTCTTTCTATTGCACCTTTCATCACAATAAAGCCAAATACTCCAATCGAGCAGCTAGCAAAGCCATAAAATATGAAGGAAAACAATTACAGCACATGCTGTCAATATGATGACATAGGAAAACACAGTGACATCAGGAAAGAGGGGCTGCCTTGGCTGGCAATCAGTCCAAGGCCCCTCTGGTCCAAGATATATTCTTCCCTTCATGGAGGGAGGTTGCATGTGGACCCACAGACACATTCAGTACCTCTGGAACTGGATTATGTGAACCGGCCTCAGCGTATAATCAAGGATTCTACCCTTGTGATAACGACCAGTGCTATCTATGTTGCTTTCGTTCCATCTTTAAATGATCCCGATGTATTTACTTCCCATTTTGCCTCTGTTTCTTCGTCTTCTGCAAAGTCTGTTGGCCATATATTGAGGCCAAGAAAGCAAGCCTTTGCAGGAGGAAATGGACATACACACACCTGCCTTGTTCACCAGGCCATCTAGTGCCCAACCATAGCTCAGTGGCAGAGCACTTGCTTGGTGTGCAGAAGGTTCCAGGTTCAATCCCTGGCATCTCCTATTAACAAAACCCAGCAGGGAACAAATAATGTGAAAGGTCTTTTTCTGCCTGAGACTCTGCCCGGAAAAAGCTGCTACCAGTGAGAGGAGGCGATCCTGGCCTAGAGGGACAAAAGCCTAACTTGGTACTGGGCCCCTTCCAATACTTGTTGTCTAATTCTGAGAGGAAAGTCTTCCCCTCAGCCCAGCTGCCTGAAAGCCCTTTTAAGTGGAGATGCCCCAGGACACCTTGTGCATGCAGAAACTGTGCTCTACCGCTTAGCTCAGGGGTCAGCAACCTTTTTCAGCCATGTGTCCCTTAGACCATGTGGGGGGCCAGACTGTATTTTCGAGGGGGGGGAATGAACGAATTCCTATGCCCCACAAATAACCCAGAGATGCATTTTAAATAAAAGGACACATTCTACGCATGTAAAAACACGCTGATTCCTGGACCGTCCATGGGCCGGATTGAGAAGGCGATTGGGGCGCATCCGGCCCATGGACCTTAGGTTGCCTACCCCTGGCTTACCTTGAAATTGAAGGTCATACAATGCAGGCTGTTAAGGGGCAGACAGGCTGAATGGATGGATGGGAATTCAGGCAGGCAGCAGCCGGGTTTTATTTATAAAAAGAAAGGTGCTTTAAGCCTTCCTGGAACCACACCCTTTCCTAATGCCGGCTGAATGAGAGCTTGCCTCCTGTTCCTCAGTGTCGGAAGAAATAGGGCTCTACGTGCATAGGTGTGAGGTTGCCAGCTTTTCCCCGGAAGGACCCTTGTGTGCTAGGAAGAGCTTCACCGGTTAAATTCTGGCCTGCCCTATCTCTTTGCCCAGGCTGGCTTTCAAAATGGCCACCTTGTATAGCCTCTGGTACCTTTAAGGGTTAGCTCCTGGGGTGGGGTGCCTTTTTCATCAGGCTGGTTCCTCCCTAGATCCAGGGATCTAGATCCAGGGCCATCCAGGGAGACCAGAGACATGATTGGAGTTCAGGACATGCCCCAGTTAGGCAAAGGGGGTGGGTGGGTTGCAAGGCAGGGCTGGGGAGATGGGGCTGTGGCTGGGGGAGAGGCTTACAGGCCACATAGAGAGAAGCCCCCAGGCCTGAGGTCCTGCAGCCCTGTGTCAACAGAAGGGGGAATTATGCCAGGTATGACCTCTCCAATCAAACGCAATGGGGAAAGTTACATGGTGGGATTCTTGCCAACATGTTAAAAAGGAGGGTAGGCTGTTTTTTTCTCTATTACTGAAGGGATGAACTGACCAAGCATGAATAGAGGAGCACTGCAGAGCAATTCCAGTCAAGGCACCTCGCAGTGCCAAGCTGTGCACATCTACTCACAAGTAAACCCCATTGAGTTCAGTAGGGCTTATACCCAAAGAAGCAGGCCGGGGGCTTTGCTTTCAGCCCCCTTCAAATCATTTTAGCGGGATGTGGGGCAGAATGAAATAGCTATTTTGAAATCAGAATAGTCCGTTCTGCCCATGTTGGTATTGTAACAATGGCATTTTAGGCTTCCGGTGTGAAGCTGGGCATAAACCCACTGCCAGAATGAAGCAACATTCAGAGGTTTTGCTGAAGAATGGCTTGAAACCAGGGCTGCCAACTAAACAGGAACTGCCTACTTGGGCCGATCCTATTCTTTTCACACCCGCTTGATACACAGCAATCGGCAGGTGAAGCTTTTTGCAGCATAGGGATAAGTGTTAGCCCTTGATCCTTGCTCTGTTAGAAACACAGTAGTAGGGGGAATAGGGCCCAGTAAAAGAAAAAGAAAAAAGAAAAGAGTTGGCTACCAACCCTACATGTCTCCGTAAAGAGTCGGCTTCTGTGAAAACCCAGCGAAGGATCCATGATTTTATAGCCACACTCCTAACAAATTGACCTACTTGGTTGCACTGGCAAACTGGTAGATGGTTTCGGTTCTGGGAGGCGAGGGGGAACCCTTTGAAATCCAGACTTGATTCCCCAGCTCCTGGCAAAGGGAAAATATGCAGTTTGCTCTCTAAGACAACACAGGATGGCTTTTCCATGAAAACACCTTGACTCACCCCCTCCTTTACCCCTCCCTCCTGCAACAGCATCACTATTTCCGAATACCGACGGCTTCTTTTTTCCTTACCTCACGGCAAAGGCGCCGGGATGACTCTGTCGCAGGGCAGGAATTCCCTAACCCAACCAACCCCTCCTTCCCCATCCTGCCTGCCAACCAGCTGTATGCTCAGAACTCTTGCCAGGAGCCTTCCAGGGCCACCTCTGGGCCATCCCTTGTTCCCCTCCGAATTCCCTCTGCAGCCAAGCCAAGGCATTTCCACACACACGACGCTGAAAAGTTGCAGCACCATCCTCTCTCTTCCCCTGCCCCACACCACCCATGCCCACCCTGCAGGCATGAAACCTACATTGACCAAACTGCACATTTTGTTTTTGTTTTTGTTTTATTTCGTCTGCCCTGCAGAAACTACATCTGCACATGTGGGCAGGGGGCAGATCTACTATGAAACTAATGATCTACTATGAAACTAATCCCAGAAGCAAATTTGGCCCACATTGCTTAAAATTTGGGGGTCTAGTAGAACCAATTTGAGGCACACAACTCAAATGGTTTAATTTTTTGTTGTTTATATTTCACCAGTTCCAAAATTTGAGATGTCGTAAAGGTAGAGTGTTGCAGTACAGCAATTTGAAGCAAAATCTGAGGGGTAGCGGTTTTGTTGTTGTTGTTTTGGTGATCGTATCATCGAACAACCCCACTGGAGAAAATAACAGTGGTTACCCAGACCTTGTTGCTGTTTGAGAAGAGGGCCCCATAAGAGTCCAAGCTTCAGGGCCCCCAAAATGTAGGTCCACCATTGCATGTGGATAATTAGCAATGGGGGTGGTCAGAAGTCAGGCCGGCCCTACCATGAGGTAGGCTGAGGTAGCAACAAATCCTTCAATTTAACATAGCCTTCCCCAGGGGTGAACTACAGTGGTGCCTCGCAAGACGAAATTAATCCGTTCCGCAAGAGTCTTCGTCTAGCGGTTTTTTCGTCTTGCGAAGCAAGCCCATTGACGGATTAGCGCTATTAGCGCTACCAGCTGTTTAGCGGCTATTAAAGGCTTAAAGGCTTAGGGATTAGCTGCTAAAAGGCTATTAAAGGCTATTAAAGGCTTAGCAGATTAGATAAAGGGGGAAGCGAAAAAAATCTCAGGACTCGCAAGGTATTTTCGTCTTGCGAAGCAAGCCCATAGGGGAATTCGTCCTGCGAAGCAACTTCAAAACGGAAAACCCTTTCGTCTAGCGGTTTTTCCGTCTTGCGAGGCATTCGTCTTGCGGGGCACCACTGTACAGGTGCCAGGATTCTTGGGGAGAAGTTTTAAATATATGGTGTGAATGTGACCACTTGGAACATCTAAAACACACAGGTGGGGAACCTGTTGCCGAGGTCCCATTTGCCATACCTCAATGACGTTTTTGCAGTACTTAGCCCCTTAGAATCACCTTTATTGCCCACACAGAGACACCTCTGTGAAATGGGACTAATTTAGTACTACTGCATCATAGGGCTTGTTCTGAGGATGAATGAACACAATTGAGAACATGAAGGTTTTTGGACGGAGGGTTGTCTGTGCTCTTAGCCACAGGGATCAGACCACCCAAAGCCCTGGAGACAAAGCAGTTTAAAAAAACGGAAAAGAAAGCATTGCAAGAAAATATTATTCAAGTATTAAGCAGCACATATTTCCCGACGCTTCCTCTCTCTCGCCCAGTGAAAAAAAGGGAAGAAGGAGTGGGTGGTTGAATTACAGAAGAAAGAATGTGTACAAAAATACATTTTATCCCACAGCCAGAAAGTCCGTCTGTCCAACATTCAGCTCCACGAATATTTTAAGGAAGTGGGCAAGAGGTCAAGGCTGGATAGCAGGCAGGGTAGGGCGTAATTTGAATCCATAACCTTTGGAGTTGAAAGTGGCTTCTGAGGAAAAGAAGAGAGAAGGGCGTACTTGCTAACAGAATCAAGATTTCGGGGACACAGTGTTCCAAATTCTTCCAGCAAACCCACCCAATATTTTCCAGACACACACCTGTTCCCCGAACCACCAGACTTCTCCTTCGCTGATAGATCCCAGACACCTTGGCTCTTAATCTCCCACTTTAAGATAATAGGACACCTGGTCTACACATGCAACAGGATGAGGTGGTAGAGTCCTGAGGTGGGAGACTGGACTGTACCACCTCGAGCTGCAGCTGGGGAGAATGTTTATTAACCCATCATAAGTAAACACACAAAGCACTTTACTGCTTTCTGTATTATTTCTATTTTTATTGCTTAAGTTTCAAAAATGCAGCTAGATGATGATGATGATGATGATGATGATGATGATGGTGAAAGGCTGTTCCTGACTGAACTTCTTTCCACTTGCAAGTGTTGTATCTTCCTCTCTTCCCCAAGTTTAAAGGCCAGGCCATCATAGAATCATAGAATCATAGAGTTGGAAGAGACCACAAGGGCCATCGAGTCCAACCCCCTGCCAAGCAGGAAACACCATCAGAGCACTCCTGACATATGGTTGTCAAGCCTCTGCTTAAAGACCTCCAAAGAAGGAGACTCCACCACACTCCTTGGCAGCAAATTCCACTGTCGAACAGCTCTTACTGTCAGGAAGTTCTTCCTAATGTTTAGGTGGAATCTTCTTTCTTGTAGTTTGGATCCATTGCTCCGTGTCCGCTTCTCTGGAGCAGCAGAAAACAACCTTTCTCCCTCCTCTATGTGACATCCTTTTATATATTTGAACATGGCTATCATATCACCCCTTAACCTCCTCTTCTCCAGGCTAAACATGCCCAGCTCCCTTAGCCGTTCCTCATAAGGCATCGTTTCCAGGCCTTTGACCATTTTGGTTGCCCTACTCTGGACACGTTCCAGTTTGTCAGTGTCCTTCTTGAACTGTGGTGCCCAGTTCGTCCTCCTTCTAACCATGATCTTTGTCGCTTCCTCACTTTCTCTGCAGCATGCTTGTGTCAGGTCTTAGTGGTGCTGCTGAGTCTGTGTGAGGCCCTGTGGGCAGCTCCGGGCCCCCGTCCAAAGCCTACAGACTTCCGAGCCGAATTCGATTCCATTGTCCATATGGCGAGGAACCTGCTGAGCGACACCAAGAACCTCTTCAACCACTTTGTAAGTCAAGCGGCCAGCTTGAAGCTGCTTTAAAACAAACTATTGGTCTACTTAACTCAGACTATTGGTCCACTTAACTCCAGCGCTGTCTGCTCTGCCCGGGAAAGGCTCGCCAGAAATCTGCCACCAGTGTTTCCCGTGAGCTGGAAATGCCAGAGATTGACCTTCCACACAAAAAGCAGATGTTCTGCTGCTGGGCTATGGCCTGCCAAAGATGTGAGCTTTGGGTGGCTTCTAAATGAAGTGGCAGTACATTGACTTTTTTGCCTCCTGGCCCAAATGAGACAGATTCAGAAAATGGCTAATTGGGAGCCTTCCTTCTGTTTCCTTTTCCTTTTAAGAAGCACAAATTCCCACTTGGGGGGGGGGGTCCTCCTAAGAGATCTTAGGAAAAAATATGATATTTCGTCTTCTTGTTTTGAAAATAAAATAAATAGGAGGGCCCTCAGTTTATTATTTATTGGTTGATGTTCCTGTTCATTTGCACTATTTTGTAGTCTGATTCTCGCCGTTCCTCTTCCCTGTACAGAAAAACCGCTACCCAGCAGAAGGAGAACACAAGCTAGAAACGCTACCTGTGTTGTCCATGACTGCGGTGGAACTTGCCAACATCCAGGTAAAAGAGGCCTCCTCTTCCCTCTTCTCCCATCGCCCCTGCCTATAGCTGTCAACCTTCCCTTTTTTGTGGGAAATTCCCTAATTTAGCGCCGTTTCCCACTGCTTCCCGCTGCTATCCCGGATTGTTAGATATCCCATAGACTGTACCTGGGACAGGTGAGGCTGCTGATCCCTTATTTTCGAGGCTGCTGATCCCTTATTTTCAAACCTGAAAGTTGACAGCTATGCCCCCGCCCACTGGAAAACCAGTAGGTTCTCCTTTGCACCACAGCTAGTTGCCTTAAGCAAAATCTCTCAAAGTGGCTGCTTTAGGGAATACAGGCTTCCCATGGCTGGTCTCACTGGCCCCTCGCAGTAGCTGCAGTTCTCCCACTCTTTGTAGGTTCTAGGTTTCTGCCAGGTTTAGTGGCTCCGGCTCCCTCACACAGACAGCCTGAGATGACTCCCAGGCTGCGTACACATCTTACAGCCACGCTTTGTACACGCTGTACATTTAAAGCACGTGGCCTGTCCCAAAGAACCCTGGGGACTGTAGTTTGCTCAGGGTGCTGGGAAGCATTGCTCTGTTAACTATAGTTCCCAGGGGAAGCCGGGTGCATTAACTGTGTGGCGTCCAACTTCTCTTGGCATGACCCCCATTTAACAGAGCTGTTTCTTGGTTCCCCTCTGCAGCTCCACTCACTCCAAAATGGCTCCCTGGCCCCAATGGTGCACCCAGATTTTCTATGTGGGCAGAGGAGGGGAAGAAACTTGCCTTATCAGATCTTTGGTACTGTCTGCACTGATTGGCAGTGGCTCCCAGGGTTTCAAGATAAGAAATCTCTCCTGCCCTACCTGGAGAGGCTGATGATTTAACATGGGATCTTCCCCATGCTGTAACCACTAAGCCACAGGCCCTTTCCCTAATACGGTATATTTCCAGAATACAGTGGTACCTCAGGTTAAGTACTTAATTCATTCTGGAGGTCCGTTCTTAACCTGAAACTGTTCTTAACCTGAAGCACCACTTTAGCTAATGGGGCCTCCTGCTGCCACCGCACCGCCGGGGCACAATTTCTGTTCTCATCCTGAAGCAAAGTTCTTAACCCGAGGTAGTATTTCTGGGTTAGCGGAGTCTGTAACCTGAAGCGTATGTAACCCGAGGTACCACTGTATATGCAGACAAGGCAGCCTCTACAGGTGGCCTGCTTTCCTGCCCCACCAAAGTTCTTTCTCATACAGCCCCTCTCTGTCATGTTCCTCTCTCCTCCTCCTCCTGCAGGTCTCTGTAGGTCTGGCTCGGCTCAGCTCCGACTTGCAGTGCTACCAACGCCATTTTGAGTGGCTGCGGAGGGCAGCCCCACTGCTGCTGAGGCCCATGGAGCACGACATCACCACAGTGCACAGCCGGCTGGAACGCCTCCTCAAAAGACTGGAGCACCTGGTAAGGCTTTGAGAGGAAGGAACAAATCCTGGGGGGTGGTCCCAATTGTGTGGGGTTGGCTAGATGCACCTGCAAGGCCCCTTCTGGCTCTATGAGTGCTTCCAGGCTGTGATGCTTTGGGGTGGGATTCAGTCCCATACCAGCAAAATCAGATTGTGGGGTTATAATTGGTTGGGAGGTCTTGCACAGCAAAATGGCTTCCCCAAAAGATTGGACTTTTTGCTGTAAGGAAAGTGATGGGGGAAATGCACTGGGAAGCCTGGGGTGATCCTTGCATTGTCACCTTAGGAACATAGGAAGTCGCCCATCATCAGAAATAGGGAGGGGTTAATATGGGCTACCTCTGAGCTTCTTTCCTTGCTCCACAATGTCACAACTCACCCGCTTGTCTGCTTCTCCCCCAGATGACCAAGCTCAGCCTCTCACGGCCCAACGACCCCCTGCCAACCCTGCCAGCCCACGGCACCCACTGGTCTGTGGTTCAGGCAGGACACGCCATCGTCCACTCATTTCACCTCTACCTGGACTGGGCATCTCGCGTGCTGGTTCTGATCCGGAACAAGCTGTGAACGGCAAAGAAACTGAACCACCATGGGTATTTTGGAAAGCCTTCTCACGGACCTGGAACTCTTAGATGCTGCTTCAGCAATACCGGTGGAGGAGGGTGCAAGGAAGGAAAGAAAGTCTATGAAACAGGGCGCCCCTGGATTCCTCTTCTGGGGGGTGCTGCAAGGGGGGGATGCTGAGACCTAGGGCCCACTCACACACCCTTCCTACTCCGTGGGGGGTGCATCGTGAAACAAAAAGCGACTTCCCTTGCCCTTGGAAGGACTCATTCTCCCTCAAGGCTTGGGGAAATGGAATGGGGAAATGGGGGCTTCCCCTTCTTCCAAGGACATTTTTGCCCTCTCCTGCTCCCTGTTAAGGGAACACTATAATCTGTATGATAAGCGTTGATCTGTGTCAAGTATCAGAGACCCCTTATAGGTATAGTCGTGGTGGATAATCTGCCCGAAAAGCACCTTTCCCACCACGATTGTTCTTTCCCCAGCACTAGATTTTGTGCTGCAGTCTAGGGCGCCCTCTCAGCTTGTGCCCCAGGGGACTGAGCAGTGTGTGTGAGAAGATGCCGCAGTTCTGTAGGCCGCGGAGGGGAGGAGAGGATTCATTGAAGGTGGGAGGCTTGACCTCTCATTGGCAGCCATCCTGATTTCATCAATAGCCCCTGCCAGTTTCTGTCCCTTGTCCACCTGCAATCTAGTAGCACCCCAAAAGTGTGGCCACAGTCTAGCACAGAACCAATGGTTTTCAGCATTCCTCATATAGGGTGTCACTGCACCACACACATGCATATGGGTTAATAGGGTAAGTCAGGGTGGTTGCTGTTGTCTTTTTAAAGACGCTAACTATTTTAAAGATAAGATAGCATAAAGGGCGTTGGACACAACATTTAAAGGGGGCATCCTTCCCCATTCTCACACTGCAAGGCAATTCTTCTTCTAAGATGCGATATCATGCATGTCTTGTCTAAAAGCAAATGACGTTTGCTTTTTATCCCCTTTCAAAACTATTGTTACACATATGCAGATTTATGCAGATTTCATCAGTTAATTATAGCTGGACGATCAATCAAAACTCAAGAGACAGAAAAGCTTTTAGAAGTTTGAGGCACCTTTTCTGAAAAGAGATGTTCTTGTAGTTGGTAGTTGCTTTAGGCAGTAATGAGTCTTACCTTTTGTTTCAACCATAGGCAAAAAAAATCACACATAAAACAAGCCATGTTTTTGTTAAAAAATAATTTCATTGGGAAGGAAAGTCAGAAAGTCAAGATTGTGAAATTAATTTTCATGCTCCTGAAGAAACAACTAATCATCAAAAGTTCAAGGCAGATTTGTTTACCAGCAGCGCCCTCTGCTGGATCGTTTTTGTCAGCCCAGCCAATACTGTTGCCGCAGTGGGATACAAAAAGGACCAGTTAAAAAACAAAACAAACAAATTTCACCTTCAAAAGAGTTTTTGAATAAAGAGTATTAACCCAATACGTATCCTTCTGAATGTACCCATTTGAATTTTGGCCAAACAGTTCTATAAAATGCATTGATCATAGAATCGTGGAATTGTAGAGTTGGAAGGGACAGAGGGTCATGCAACTCCCAGTCATGCAGGAATCTCAGCGAGAAAATGCATTACAGATAGCGATCCATCTGCTTAAAACCTCTGCTTAAAAACCTCCAGGAATGGAGAGTCCCATCACCTCCTGAGGAAGTCTGTTCCACAGCCAAATAGCTCTTACTGTCATAAAGTTCTTCCTGATGTTTAGTCGGAATCTGCTTTCTTGTAACTTGAATCCATTGGTTTGGGTCCTACCCTTCGGAGCAGGAGAAAACAGGCTTGCTTCATCTTCATGACAGCCCCTTAGATATTTGAAAATGGCTATCATATCTCCGCTCAGTCTCCTCTTTACCAGGCTCCATATCCAACTCCATATCCAACTCCCTCAACTGTTCCTCATAAGGCTTGGTTTCCAGACCCTTCATCATCTTGGTCCGCCTCCTCTGCACAACTTCCAGCTTGTCAATATCCTCCTTAAATTGTGGTGCCCAGAACTGGACTCAGAACTCCAGGTGTGGTCTGACCAAAACAGAATAGAGCAGTACTATTTTTGATGGAGAAGTTCATCCCATTCTTGATACCCCTTCACGGCTGTAGTTAACCCTCCCCACTCCTGTTTCAGGTATTTATCATGAGCCCTTCATTGCTCCACAGTATTTATAAAGCCATTAGGTTTCTTCCTTGTAAGTTATTATTATTTTTTAATTTATTATCTGTTACAAGTCTGGTTCATTTTATTATTATTAATTAATTATTATTATTATTATTATTATTATTATTGTCATCATCATTGTGTTTATTATTATTTTTATTATATTTTATGAATGTTATTTTATTTTGAGCATCTTCCAAGTATTTATTGACCGGCTCCTCTCTCTTTCTTTATCTATCTCTCTCCCTCCCTCTTTTCCCTTTTTTGTAATAAAAAAGATTTTAAAAAAGATGGGGGGAAATAAATTTGAAATAAAAAAAATTAAATGGATAAAAACAAAAGAGCTGTGTTTTTAATATGAGAAATGATCTAAAACATATAATTCAATTGTCGCTCATACAGCAACTACTATTATTCAGACAAACAGCCAACGACGGTTTCCGAACCCGGCATTTTGGAGCTGCAAGTGGGAGGCTAGCTGTGTCAAAGCAGAGCACCCAGCTACAATAGCACTTTACCTGCCATGCCACCAGGGTTGTTTTCCTCAGCAAGCCTGGCATTCGCAGAGCTTTGGGCTTCTAGGCTGAACTTCCAGCCTGCATCCAGTCAGCTCATCTTAAGGGCCAATTCCTGTCTCCAAAACCCCATAAAATTTGGAGCTTGCTCCTCACAGTCCACACCACACATTTCAAGTACCACAGTCATGGCTTCCCCCAAGGAATGCAGTGTGCTGCTGTTTGTTAAGGGAGCTGCAATTCCCAGAGAAGACCAATTATTAAACCAATCTGGGAATTGCAACTTTCTTTGTGGGTGGAATAGTCCAGCAGCACAGGTTCCCCTCCCTCTGTGACACTTTATTTATTTAGATTTATAATTTATATACCACCTTTAATCTTGCAAGCAGCTCAAGCTGGCGTACATGGTTCTCCCTATTTCAACCTCACAACAACCCTGTGAGGTAGGTTAGGCCAAGAGGCAGGGACTGGCCTGTGAATTGAGCTTCATGGCTGAGCAGGGATTCAAACCGTCGCCTCCCAAGTCCTCCTTTCCAGCTTTGCTGGGCCTAGAAAGCAGGGCTTGATGCTTGATGAATTTACCCTCCCCTCTTCCCTCCAGCTTTATAAAACGAAGCAGACTGACACTGATTAATCCTTTAATTTATTTAATCAACCAGAAATTAACAACTCTTGATCTTCTCATTCCCCACACACGGGGAGATTATATGAAGCAAAGCCGATGAGATAAATCAGGAGAGCTGCAGACGGGTTTTGGGGGGAAGGCGTGTGGGGTGGGGACAGTGTTGAGGGGCCATGGCTGCCATCAGGGGGGCCAGGGCTACGACGCTGAAGGAGCCCAGAGCCTTGAAAAGGAGCCATAACAGTTCAGTGCCTGGTTGAAATGGGCAATGTGAAAACAGGGCAGGGCAAGACCTATTTTACTACTCAAACATATTGTACACGCCACATACATAAAGACACTTGGGCCTCGCTCGCTGACATCCCCTCAGGATGTTGGGGAGGCTATCAGAGTTGTTAGGGCGCTTTCACAACAGAGAAAGCTGGGGTTTAGTGTATACGTGTGCTCCAGGCCTTGGTTATTGGAGGAAAAGTCTGAAACGCCTCCTAACAGCAGTGAGAGAATAAGCCAGCTACATGCGCCACAAAACAGGGAGCTGCAGGAGTTTCTGCTGACCCTGGAATTTGTAGATAGGAATATTTGATGGGAATGAAGGAGAGTGGGAATTTTCCCTCTCAAGAATGAAACACGAACTGAAGCAGCCCGGTATCTACCTTTGCGAAGTGCAAACTGACTAATATACTAGTAACCTTGTTAATAGACAGGCCCTATGCAGGATTAGTGAGGAACAAGTCCAATATGCACCGCAAACAACCTTGGATAAATAAATGGTTATATACAGCCCTTGGTGTCAACTGACGGTGGATACACACAATTCTACTGCAGCCGCAAGCAGAAGGCAATCCTATTGGTTTCTACTAACATAAGTGGGTGCCGCAGCACCTAAATAACAAGGCCGAAAGTTTATCGTGGTAGCTATTTCCTAACTAGCCACAGCCCTCACAGAACATGCCAGAAAGCATAAGAGGGCCTCGAAATTCACGGAGTCACAGTGGGATTGGGCCAAGATCTCCTGCCACACTCCCCACGAGCAACTGCAATGCACAATCTGAGAGGTATCCCCCATGATCTGTGGCCATATGCCAGAGGCATGTCGGCGCCTAAAGAAGAAAACATCCGAACAGCATTTATGGAATAAAATCGGGACACACAATCCTCTGGGATTTTGTCATTGGGCAAAGTGAGGCAGCCGCCTCGGGCAGCTGATTCTGAGAGGTAAAGAGACAGGCCTCATCGTGATCCCTGAAGTTGCCTTCCTCAGGTGCCATGGCAGATGCTGCCCCTCAGTTTTTAAGAATGATTCAAATGCCAGTGTATTGGCGGGGACCATCTTGTCCTTTGCCTTAGAGGGGAAAATCTCATGGCCAGCTCTTGGTGTTGCCTTGTTGAACCGAAGGAGCGCTCCACAAGAATGCAACAATATCATTTCACAGCTTCCATTTATTCCTATGAGGTTCCTCCACAGTGGCTTCCTAATACATTTCACCCTCTGGGTTTGACCTGCCCACCTCCCACTCTACCGCCCCAAACTCAACACATGAGGCAGCTGCCTCCTCTTGCCTCCTGGTAGGGCTGCCAAAATAATAATAATGATGTCTTCCCTGCCCTACCCCCCCAAAAAGTAACTGCTTGTACAGTTTGAAATGGGCCTGATCCATAGGTCTGCTCTCGCCCTTTTACCCAACCTAAAAATCATGGCAACCTCAAAGAACCAATGTTTCCACAGGTTGTGAAATGGCCATAGGTTGCCTAAGCAGAGGGAAGGGCATATTTGTGATGGGACAAACGGATGGATGGGTGAGCAAATGGAAGAAAAGGGATGTGATGGTGGGAGGTCTTGTTCTCCACCCAACATCCTCTCTCTCTCTCTCTCTAGCATGGCTCCCCGTCATCCTCGTCACCAGCATCTCCACTGTGACCTCCTGCGAGCCCAGCATACCCTCCCGCGTAGGCCTTGCGCCCGCTGCAGGGAGCCATTGGGCCCGGAGGGCTAGGGGAGAAGTCTAGAGAGTCACTAACGCTGAAGATATATTTATCCCAGAGGAAGCGTTCGAGGTCAGGGGCCAGAGCGGGTGAACCAGGACCTCTGCTGCTCCCCATTGACGCCGTGTGCTTCTCAAAAATCCGCCGGCGGTACTTGAATTCCAAGATGGTCTTGGTGTAGGTATTGAGGGTCAGCACAGAGGCTGACATGCAAAGGGTGAACGAGAGCCAGGCCATGCTGTGGGAGAGAAATTGGGGAGGGGGTACAAAGGGATGCGTCTCAAGGTCATTCTTGCACTGCCAAATCTATCCAGTTCCCCCATGATAACTGACTTCCCAAAACTCCTTTTCCATGTATACACCGGTTCTTACACAATTCTTCACCCATTCATGTCATGCAGCCATTCTCAACCTGTGGGTCCCCAGATGTTGTTGAACTACAACTCCCATCACCCCTAGCTAGCAAGGCCAGAGCTCAGGGATGATGGGAGTTGTAGTCCAACAACATCTGGGGACCCCACAGGTTGAGAACCGCTGAAAGGTAAAAGCAAAAAAAGGTACCCATTCATGTACCGCTCCTTCTGTTGGTGCCTAGATAGCTGGAAGAGGACCAGCCTAGACCAAACAATAAATGAGATGTTATGGGCTGCCATCCCATAGTCAGTGTGTTCAGTGCTTCCGAACCCTCTCTTCTTCACCCTCACAGAAACCTTTTGACATCAACAATCCAACCAACCAAATATGATTAGGTATTTCCAAACCATGGGTTTTTGTTCCATAGGCTTCCTTTGCTTATGACGTCAGACACCAGATGGGGAAACAGAGGCTGAAAGGTTTGCTCCAAAGAGCAGAGCTAAAACAAAATTGGGGTGGGAGGAGGGAGTGTCAAACAAATGATTCGAATTCGGGTTTGCTTGCAAAAATGCAAATGCAACAAATTTAGGGGTTTTAGTGGGGCAGGGGGAGGGGACAAAATGGAAATTGGGCACATTGCTACTATATAGCATGGGGTGGTGTTATAAATAAGGGAGAGTCAGCCTTGGATTCCATGCTGGGTGACCCCAAGCAGCTGTCATAAAAAAATCTGAAAAATCCCAGAATGAAGAGGCAGAAGGAGCAGCATTACTACTGATGGGGGCATGTGTCATGTCGAGCCCCAAGTCCCAACCAGCAAGCAAGAAGTAGCAGAACTGCAAAATAACCCTAATATGAATGGAACCCCGAACACAGGTTCTCAGCATAGCTGTCAACCTTCCCTTTTTTTGCAGGAAATTCCCTTATTTCAGTGCCGTTTCCCACTGCTTCCCGCTGCTATCCCGGATTGTTAGATATCCCGTAGACTGTCTCCGGGACAGGTGAGGCTGCTGATCCCTTGTTTTCAAGGCTGCTGATCCCTTATTTTCAAATCTGGAAGTTGACAGCTCTGGTTCTCAGGTCTAATGCTTTCAGTCACAATAATTTACTGTCCACTCATCCAGTAACTTCTCCCATCTTATATTTCTTCTCTTCCACCTTTGTCCATCATTCTGTCTCTCTTTCTCCCCTCTTTCCACTTCCCTTCCCATATCGTCTCCTCCTTTCATCTTTGGACAGAGCAACAACTCTACTCTCAAATGCAAATGCCAACACCCAAAGTGGCTGGATTCAAAAGGAAAGGGGGCTCCTGCACCTTTAAGCTACAGCTGGTGAAATTCCTGATGCTATGCTTTAATTAAAGGTGTAGGAGCCCTGTCCTGGGTTGCATTTACCCTACCCACACCCCACTCCTCTCCCATGCTGGCTTTACTCACCCAAATGACCAGCCATAATACCATGTCTGAGGTCTCCAGTCTTTTGGTCCCAGGTTCACAGCCACCTGAAAGACGGTCATGTACATCATATGGGCTACCATGCCCAGGAGCCCTGTTGGGAAGGGGTGGTCAGAAAGATACTCAGAATATGCCCAGCCACTGTGCGCTTACTTCCCTTGGGTACCACTTTCTGGGGTCTGAGCTGAATAGGAGCAGAGCCATGGCAGCCCAACAGAAAGCAAGTTTGACAGACTTGAGAGATTTCACTTACAAATGTAAGGCTGTACATTTCAGAATCCTGGTGTCTGCTGCCTCGGGCAGTCACCACACTTTGCCAAATGGTAGGGCCGACCAATCCCTGAAATGCTGTTTTACTTTGCTTGGGAAACTGTGTCCTTGAGAAAACACTCAAACTTGAGATTCTATCCCTACCTGAAAGCTTAAAATTGTACATTCTAGAGAAAGCTATACCAAGGCTTGATCCTGCTGAATACATGAACTGACAGGCATTTGTGGCCCGGCTTAGCTCATGGCTTCAGTATTTCACTGTATTGTTTGCCTCTAGCAATGGACACACACTATTGATCACATGCTGGGAAATGAGGCCAGCTACCTCGGATTACCCTTTACAAAGCTGGCAGAGTGCCTTGCTGGGCACCACATATGAATAAGAAATGTTGTGGTGGTTTTAATTTATATCCCATCCTTCCTCCCAAAAGTGCCCAGGGTAGCAAACAGTCTTTCGGCCAGTGATCTCACGGTTGCCAGGAAGCGTATCTTTCAGCTATCAAATGTTTGCGTATACAGGAATGTTTTAAAATTCCTCCTGAAACTCAACAATGAGGGAGACAGACACAAACTCAACAATGGTGGAGGGCACCACCACTGAGAAGGCCCTGACATGGACAAGCATCAAGCAGGCAGTGGGGGAAGACGGCACATTACACACAAATGGGTATAAAGAAACTAGAACAGTTTGGGGTTGCATGGTTTTGTTTTCATTTTTGGGGCTTCAACCTTTGCCTGCCACCTGTTTCCCCACTCAAAATCACTCCCCAAATACTTTTCATTTAAAAAGAGAGACTTCCTTGTACACATTTAGATATAATGTGAACATAATACAGGAATGACTGGACCATGATCTCTAGTACTATATGGATGGGGTTTGGGTCAGTGGTGAAAGTCCATACAGAATGAGAGAATCGGAGAGTCAGGGACGGAGATCTTTAAAGCGTTAAAATCAGGATGTGGAAAATATGGAAACGAGGAGAGGCAGGGCGGAGATTTGAAGATATGCTTCAGAGGTCCAGACTATGGGGAGCCCCGAAAAATCAACAATTATAATTTGGTCTTTTTTATTTTAGTATTTTATTTTAATTGGATTATGATTGGATATATTAATTGGGTGTTTTTATTGAAAAATTAATAAAAATGATTTTTTTAAAAAGGAAGTCCATACAAAATGAGTGTTAGGTCTAAGTGCTAGTGGGAACCTAGTGGGGAAAGTAGCTGACTACTGGAGGTGCAGAGTAGATCGAGATACCTGAGAGAACAGTGATGACAGCTGCAAAAGCATTGATCTTGAGCCCATCAATGAAGTTGGCATAGTAGACGGCATCCAAACACATCAATAGGAACCCCACAGTCAACAGGATAATATAAAGGAATTCGGAGGCAACGGAGAGCCACAGCACCCCTGGAAAGTAACATGGGTGGTGAGTGGGAGATTATAAACAAGCTATATGTCTCACAGGACGCGAGTGGAGCTGTGGGTTAAACCACAGAGCCTAGGACTTGCCGATCAGAAGGTCAGTGGTTTGATTCCCTGCGATGGGGTGAGCTCCTGTCCCTGCTCCTGCCAACCTAGCAGTTTGAAAGTGTATCAAAGCGCAAGTAGATAAATAGGTACCGCTCCGGCGGGAAGGTAAACAGCGTTTCCGTGCGCTGCTCTGGTTCGCCAGAAGCAGCTTAGTCCTGCTGGCCACATGACCCGGAAGCTGTACGCCAGCTCCCTCGGCCAATAAAGCGAGATGAGCGCCGCAATCCCAGAGTCAGCCACGACTGGACTTAATGGTCAGGGGTCCCTTTACCTTTACCTTGATATGTCCCACAGAGTCTGGGGAAGGGCCATAGCTCAGTGGTAGAGCACCTGTTCCCCATGCAGAAGGTCCCTGGTTCAACCCCCAGCATCTCCAGGTAGGGCCACTGCCAGTCAAGGTAGACAAAACTGGGCTAGACGGACCAGCAGCTTAACTCAGCATAAGGGCTTTCCCGCTTTCTCCAGGCACAGGCCTGGGCATTAACGCTCCATGTCAAAGCACTCTTGTTTTCGTCCTGGAGCTTTCCCTGTGAAAACCTGCTCGATGAACGGCAGCAGCTTCCTAAATTCCTGTTTATAACACTTGTGATGTTTTTAACATGTTGATAACACATGGCAAGCCTTTGGGATGGAGTTAACTCTACAATGAATCGGTTCATACATAATAAATAACTAAGGAGGAAAAAATAGTGCTCAGCCTCATTACTTGGTTCGGCAATAATGAGTATCACAGTGACCTGTTTTGTAGGCACATTTAAACTGCGGACTTCAATTGATTTCATAGTCGTTCCTTCTCCCCGCTGAATCGTGGAAGCTGTAGTTTGGGGATAGAGGAAGATCTCTAATGGAATCCTCACCAACTAGATTCACAAGATTGTTTGGTGTGGGGGACACATGACGGTTGGTATAAAGCCAACTTTTGTAGCCGGGATGTAGAAGAGAAGAGAAACAAGAGGAACACAGAAAACTGCCTTATGCTGAATTGATTGGCAGTAGCTATGCAGGGCTTCCCAGCCCCACCTGAGGACACCAGGGATTGAACCTGGAGCCTTCTGCTCCATGGATGCTCTACCACTGAGCTGTACTCCTTCCCTGTGAATTAAAGGGCTGTGGAACACTGCATATTAATTAGAAGTATGGTAAACAGAGAGCAGGGGTTGGGTTTCCTATTTGTCATTGAAATTAATGTAAAATATTCAATGCTGGAGTAAAACGTTCATGCACAACAAATAGGTCCAATGCAAGTATTTAGCATTAAGCTCATATTCCAAAACTGCAAACTGGTTGCCAATATTGTAAGATCTTTCAAAGATGTCATCCTTTGCTCCAGTACTGCAGGGTATGGTGAGAGTTATGCCCATGTCATTATGATGACCTAAGTGGCCCCCTGCCGTATCTGGAGTATAGGATTGTTCAGCCTGAGTTATTAATTTCAATAACTTAATTAGCTCCCAGGCTTTAAATAACACTCCCGTGTCAAAGGTTCCATCTGTGATTTCTGAGTGTTTGTGAAACATACGTCTAGCAGCGGGCAACAGATGCAATACTACATCATAATATTTTATAGGCACTATGGGATGCACATAATTTAAAATAAATAATAGGAGGTCCAGAGGAAAACCTAATGCACAGAAGTTTAAAAAATATTGTGCTGACTACCAATGTCCAGTTTCTGCCCTATGCATTTCCACTATGGTGGTGGGTTTTATGGGGGGGGGTCAAATTTTATTACAAAAGCCAGTCATGTTCAGGAAGTGGGTAGCTCTTTCATGTACATAAGTTTAGCCCTCTCCTCTGAGGAAAGGTTCAGAGCTGGCAGCCATCTCTGCTTCTAGTAGAAATGAATTCCATAGTTTAACTATGCCCTGAAGAAACACTTCAGTTAAACTATGGCATCCGCTCCCACAAGAGGAGGCTTGGATGTCTGGAGCAGACAGGACTCAGTCGGATGAGCCACTGGTATGTCTCAACATAAAACAGCATTATTAATTCTGCCATTTCCCGTTTGTGTTTGCACCCTTAGACAAGATGGCCTGTTTTGCCCTCCCCAAATCTCACCTTTCTCCGACTCGGGGGGCAGCTCAATGAAGCTCCGGCACTTCTCCTCTAAAAGGGTGGAACAATGAAAGAAGACGGCGTCAGTTTATCCAAAGGCTGGTGCTGATCGCAACAATTATGTCATTCTTCTGTTTGTCAAGATTTCCTTCTCCCCTCGCAGCAAAAGAGGGCTTCCCACTCTTTACTCCCCATCCAGGCTTGGAACGCACTTGTCTTTTAAACTGCAGGTGGCTTCATTTGAGCCAGGATGCAGCCCCAGGACCGGGGGGTGGGGGGAGGTGAGTAGAACAAACCCAACAACATATGGGGTGGATCAGGAATCCAGATCTACACCACTATTTTAAAGCACATTTCCCCTACAAAGAATCCACAGAGCTACAATGCCAAATGTCATGAGCAAGCTAGTTCCCAGGATTCTTCGGGGGAAGTTGTGCGCTATAACTGCATGGTGTGCATGCGGTCTGTTCTGCATGACCACTGGCCCTAGATCACAAGAGGTGGAGACCTCATCTCATTCTGCTCCTCTGCTGCCCTTTGACAGCCACCTTCCACATCCCCACCGCCAACACTCTTCCCCTTTCCCTCTCTTGTCTATCTAACAGGAGAGGGGCTTGTGACCTAGCTGTCAAAGTAATAACAGCCATCATGGAATCTGCTCCATCTGAGATGTAGGCTGGTTTCGTACCTCCGTGATGCTCCTCACATGAGAGCCAGAAGCCCGTGTGGAAATAGCGGAAAGCATACTTGTCTTCGCCCGTTTCCCAGATGTACTGGACCACGTGGGGGTCCATGGTCACGTTCCCATCCATCGTCTCGTTGCTGTTGATGGGCACGCAGTTCCCCTTCTTGACGGCCGAGAGGCAGGGGGGCTTAACCACCTTGTGGGTCCCCTCACACCAATAGCTGGTGCAGAAGGCCGAAACGGAAAAGCAGAGGGCCAAAGAGTTGAGGCCCAAGGAGAGCATTGAGCGGGACCTTCGGCTCAGTTTAATCATCGTCCCTGTTTTCCCAAGAGATGTGAGGATCTGTCTGTTTTGCGGCCTGAAGTCGCACCCAAATAATTTGAATTCGCTCACAATTCCCAGAAAACTATGTTCTACTGTTGGATAAATCTGCTGGTTCCTTGTTTCAGTGGAGCGAAGCCAATTCTGAACAAACCTCCGTTTACAGAGAATGCCTCACTTTTGATCATGATTTTCTCCTCCTTATTCATATGCTGTGGCCCATCCAATATGCCCACTATGAAGGAGTACACCACAAAGTGGTGTAATCATAATTTGAACTCAGCCTGGGGTTCTGTTCTTATTAGGGACTAGTTACTTGAGGAGTGCTTAAGAGCCAGGAGGGTGCTGGGACCCAAGATACCTGAGGTCTCAGAAAGAAATTAGTTTGAACTAATGAACACAAAAGGAGCTTGGCAGCATGATTCCTACCTAGACCTTCCAGATTTTGATTAATGATCTGTGTAAAAAGTAATTATTAGTAGGTTGCCTAGTTTATGCTGAGTACTTTAAAAAGAACTTTAAAACACACACACTGCTAACCTTCCCCCTTTTTATAGCTATATTAATTAATTATTAACAACACCCATTCAAAGTCTTGTTAAAAAGCTGTTGTAGGCCATTGCCCCGATTAAACAATCTTCCAAATTAAAATCTTAAATCCCTTAAGGTTTGGTTTGGTTTTTTAAAGTGATGGGTTTAAAGTCAATGCAAAAAGTCTTTTAGAGTCCACAAAGAATTGCAAACCATCTCTTCCAAACAGACAGAGTAGAAATAGTCTAAACTTTAGCCTAATTGCTGCAGTCTAAATGCTGCACAGTAGCCCTTCTGAAATAGTTTTAAAGAGTGAAAACCTCCCCATTAGGGTTGGGGTGTCAAGAAATGTGCACACCCAGCTTCCCCCTTTTCTAGCAGCTCAGAGGGGACTGTATAAACAACTCTACAGTTTGTCACGAGGCATGAAGTGATTTGAGGTTTGCCAGTTCTGCTTGTCTGCTAAGAGGGGAAAGCTCTGTGAGCTTTCAAAGGCCTCGTCCACCCCTCAAATTCAAGCCCCTGAGAAGGGGGAAAGGAGTGGAAAACCCAGCCTGAAACCCTGACTCCCCAAAATGACTTACTACTAGCAAGTTCTGTTATCTCGCGCACCCCTCTTTTCCCTCTAGATTGTTACCCCTCAGTGGTCTTTTTGGGAGTAGCAAGATTAAGGCGCAGTCTTCACAACCCACAATGCCTGTCACTTGTGGTGAAGGGGCAATGCTTAGAGTTCTAGGTTCTGCTCACTCAAAAATCCAACTAGCCCTCTGAAATGCCCCCTATTTTTCATTCAGATCACTCCATTTAAGAGTTTCCTTCTGGCCCTCCAATTCTGTTAGAAACTGTCTTCAAATACGGCCTGTCTGTCTCTGCCCCCTAAACCCAGTCAGTCAGCTGTGTCCTTTTGGGATCAGACAGCTCCAAGGGCTTTTTGTTCGTCCTCCTTTAAGAATTATATTCTAATCCACTTTCCCTCAGGCACGAAGGAATCCAATCTCTTCCCTTCTGTCCTGATTCCATCGCCGCTTTCCTTCAAAAATATCCTCCAATTCACACTTGCAAGTTTGCAGGGTGATTATTGTTCAAATACACACTACAATTGCAAGAAGTCACAAGTTTGCCGTGCCGATTCTCTTCAGGGTCTTGAGATCTGCCTGGCCAAACAGTTGCCTGGAAAGGGATGATAAAAACCCAAAGTTTGTGCAAAGCTGAAGAATAACAGGCTGAGAAAAGAAAAGGAAGAGAGAAAGGGTTCTTTCTGGAGGTACTTTTGTCAAAGTTGTCTGGTGAATCTCAACCCCCGTGGAAGCAGCACTGGGTTCAAATAGAACAGGGCCTTTCGGTCTGTTGCTAGAGGGAGTTGAAAAAGTGGGTTCTGAGGAAAGCTCAAAATGCCATCCAGCAGCAACAGAAGGAGACAAGTGTCCACTTCAGTTCCAAATCACCCAAGTGGAAGAAAAGACCTGATGTTCAACACCCAAGTATTTTGATCCTCTTTCTTCCCCCAGGATAGGCTGCCAAACAGATTCAAAAAACATCGTTCACGAAGAAGGTTTCGCTGGAGTAAGGTTGTTGCTCCGAGTTCTTCAGCTGACCTGGTGGCTGGAGATCAACCCCCAAACATCAGATTTGGGGCCCACACTTGCACGGTCATTGGAGAGAAGGTCTGGAGTTCTTTCCTCAGCAAAGAGACGGCACCCAGCACATGTCCACCCCAAAGGTTTCAAAGGAGCCAAGGACCCCTCTGCAGGCGAAGGAAAGTGCCGCTCCCAAGGGCGCAGTGTGCAGCTTGTGAGAAAATGCTCCCCAGATGCTGCTCAGGAGGGAAGAATCAGGAGGTGCTCTCCAATCCGGCTGTGCAGAGTGGAGAGGTGGCATAAGCAGTGTGATAAATGAGCAAGCGGCGGAGAGCTCCGGCACCCTCCAGTGCGGCACCGTCCCCGGGGGATAGGAATCAGGCGGAGAAGTGCGGTGGCGGCTGATTAAAAAACCTCTTCATTAGTGCCAAGGGGGCACCAGTGCCAAGTGGTGGGGATTAGCATCTAATAAAGGGGGAGGGCAGGGGGGAGGGAGGGGGAGCATCTCCGCTTTGGTCTTCCCTTTCTGCAATCGCCCGGCTGCCAGGAGGAGAGGATGAGAAATTGGATGCGGAGATGAAGGAGCAGCTGGGGTCAGAGGGGATGGAGTGGACACGGAGGCAGAGAGAGACAAAGAGGCTGGAAGGCTGACAAGGGCTTGTTGGAGGGGAGAGAGGGGAACGGACGCCAACAGGAAGGCAAATTGTATGGAGATGGAGGGGGGATAATGGGGCACGGATCGATCAACAGTGGAAGACGTGCACATTAATGGGTGGATTGATCGATGTCACACACACACACACACACACACACACACAGAGAGAGAGAGAGAGAGAGAGAGAGAGAGATCATTATTTCAGAAGTGAAATATTCCCCCACCACCACAACAAAATCTGGATCTTCAGCACTTGTATGTGTGTATTAATGTATGTAAACAAACAAAACAAATATTGTGGGCAGATGGTACCAAAGAAATGCAAAAAAAGTTCATAGTTGTAGCTTTTCATTAATTTGCTTTTCACTGTCATATTTCACTCCACAGAAAATATCTATTGGCACGGAAGGATTGTGGGTGTGGAGAGGAAGGTGTGGAAAGGTAGAGAAAGACTGACCAGTGGACAGGCCAATACAAAGAAATGCTTTATGTTACAGGTGTCTATATATGAGAGAGAAAGAGGTGTAGATTAGTGAATTGACAGGCAGGAGATATGGCGATCCCGTGGAAAGGGGAAGAGCGAAAGAGAATTTCAGTCTGCCCAGCACATTCTATTTCCTCCTTTGCACGTACAATTCCTGTGCGCCTTTGTGCCCTGTGTGGCCCCATCTTGCACGCCCATCCTGCTGTGTCACCCTGCCCCGGGTTCACAGTCTTTCTATTTGGGACCCTGTGTCTCTTGGGATTAACTCCCAGCTGGCAATAAGGAGATTTTTTGTGTGTCCCTTTCATTAAGAGCAACACAGAGAATCAAACCACTTGCACCACAGCCGGCACGGACTTAAAACACAGCAAAGTAATTAGGACACAGAGGATCTAGCAGGATGGGCTGGGAGCCAGAACTCCAGTCTCCAGGGTTCTCAGAGAGAGGGGAGGGGTACGCCTGCTGAAATAACAGCAGAAAACAAGCAGAAAACAGGGGTGCGTGGGCTGAGGGCGCCCAAGGTTGTGGTGGGAATAGAATCTAGTCCCAGGATTAGAAGAGGCAGCAATTGGATGACCAGACGGACACCTCTGTATCTTTAATGGTGTTGTGTGAAGAAGGTGTTTCTGTGTGTGTAGCAAGGCTGAGAAACATCTGCGGTGTAAAAAAGCTGCCTTCTAAGAAGCCAGACCATCTACTGTCCAGTTACTGCCTGCACAGTGTTTCAGATAGACATCTACCTGAAGACGCTGCGGACTGGATCAGCGACATTCTGCCTGCAAAGCATCCACTCTGTTATGGCCGCTGGAGACTGGTCCATTAGGGTAACTGGAGCACTGCTCCCCCTCCCCCAGTCAGCCACCAACTTACAACCAGTCCAGAGGGTAGCACCCGACTCTTAACTTCCTTCTCTTCACTGTTGCCCTGGTATGGGCCAATAGGAAGGAGGGTGGGGACAAAAATAGCTGGTTCCCCTTGTCATTGGCTCTAGCTCCCTCTACTGGTTGTCTCCTTGCCTTTCACCCTACCAGTCTCATTGGTTATGACCCTTCCCTGCATGAATTCCCTTTTTTTATACAGCTATTTAAAGTTCCTTTGGATTCCTGGGTTGCTGTTGTATTGAGAGGGAGTTTAAGAGAATAAGGAGAAGCTGGGGGCCAGGAGGACCCTCAAGTTCTCAGGCATCTTATAATTATCACAGGAAAAGACACTTCCTTACTGTTAACACCAGTGTCTAACGGCATTACTTGTTGTGATTTATGGGTCACTATTCTTCTTCTTTCTTCTTCTTCTTTTTCTTCCCTGCCCTAGGCTTTTTGGGGTTGAGCAGGGAGGGAACTGTAGGCAAACAGTTTTGGAGACAGGTGCCACATGATGGGGGGAAGCCCACTGAATGCCCCACCAGCAGCTTCAGCCTCTCCCCTTTGGAAGGCACAAGTAGTAATCATCTACTATATGTATTTCGGAAAGTTGGTCCTCAGTTCTCTATGCATCTGGGCACGTCTTAAGAGACCATAACCAAATCTGGCATGATGGTTCCTGAGATCAATGTCATGTGGACTGACTGGTTGCAGAGGAGTGGTGGGAGGCACCAGCTGAGGAGCCCCCATGAGAAGAAGGCTCTGTGCCAGCGGACTGGTGATGGGTCTCGATGCGTGGTGAGGTAACAGGGTTTAGTGGGCAGGAAGAAGCTGTGGCAGAGAGCAGTTCAGAAACAGAGGCAGGTCAAGAGGCAGAGTGCAGGCAGGCTGCTGAAGAAGCCAGGGAATCTTCCTGCTCCGTCTGTGACCAGCTCCTCCCCACCTCTGGTCTCCCAGAACACAGAGGAATGAAGAGGGCAGAGCAAAGAGAGACAAGACAACAGAGCCTTAGGCTGCTGGGGAAGGAATCTGGGGAGGAGTCTTAGAGAGCGGTGTATTTTGTGGTTTTGTATCTTGATTTTATTCTGTGTACTGCCCTGAGACCCCCGGGTATATAAATTCAATAAATAATAATAATAATAAGGTGGGGACCTTCAGTCCTCACAACTGCCTCATTGGGGCAAGACCTACTGCAAAGAGTCGCTGCGATTGATAGGCCTGTGTTGTTTTGATTTCTTTGAATAAAGAGTTAGCTTCTCTGACACTGGGTGTTTTATTGCTGACTTGCTGCTGACTCTGGCTCCTGTCAATCAAGGCATAGGTCTGGATACAACTGGATGCCATTTTGAATCAAGACAGCAGACTGAACCTTTCGAAATAGCACTTATTTCAGCCACTGGTTTCACAGCGCTGATTTTTGGATTATTAGAATTCCCAAGCAATTCTGGGTATGAGGCTCCTAATCACTAATAAATTTTTTCAAGGACAGAGGCATGTATGCTCTGGATTTAATGTTATGGAGGGGGAAGAGAGACCCTCTTCAGCTGGTGAAGTGTATTACTTCAAAATGTGCTTAGCCGACCCAGTTGTACTAGGGGCCTTTCTGCTCCCTCTGCTGAGCGAGGGTCCTGCCCTGATGGTGCTACTCATATGTGATGGAGAGGGAGATCAAGGAGCTGTTCATATAGGGATCCATTTCTTTGCTGCTGTAATGCAGCAGGCTCTCAGGTACTGAGAGCCCAGCTGTTTCCAATGGGAGATTCCTCAGAGTTTTAACAACTGCTTGTCAATAAAGTTCAAATAGACATCTACACCAGACATTTAAAGCACATTGCATCACCCCAAAAGAACCCTGGGAATTGTAGTTTACCCATCACAGGACTATAATTCCCAGCACCCATAACAAACTTCAGTTCTCAAGCTTATTTGAGGGAAGCTTTAAATTTGTGCTTTGTGTATGGTATGGATGTGACCACAGCAGCCATTTCCCAAGGAAATCACATCCACTGTAAGAAATTCACCACTTCAAAGCTCAGGCCCATCCTCAGGCAAGTCATGACCTCCCAGCTGGGGATTTCTACCATGGCACTGAGAAGCTCCCACATACATCTCGGAACTGTCCAGGAGGGAGACTTCTAGGAAGATTGCCACCTTTTCCCCCTGGCACTGCTCTAGCGTTTTTAAGATCAGCTTCATCTGGCAAATACTTAGCAGGATGATGCTTTTCCTGGAATGAAGATAAAATAAAGAAGAAAGTTTGAGCTGCTAAAATTCCAGTTAACAGGTTGTTATTAAAGACATGCTTTAAAAGTCCACAATCTTCCTTCCAAGAGGCATTAGCATGTATTCTTAAAAGGTTACCATTAGATCTGAGGGAGAGAGGGGGGAAGAGTGGTGCAGTGGTTAGAGTGTCAGTGTAGGACTTTAGCACCCCAGCTTGAAATCCCCACTCAGTCATGAAGCTTTGGACAGGCCACTGTCTCCCATCCTAACCTACCTTGCAAGGTTGTTGTAATGATAAAAAGTGGTGGTGGTGGGCAGAATGATTTATGCTGTATTGAGTTCCTTGGAAAAGGGGGATATAGAGAGATAGATAGATAGATAGATAGATAGATAGATAGATAGATAGATGATAGATAGATAGACCCACCACCCATGAATCCCCTCCACAATAAATTTAGTAATTGTGAACACCACAAATAAGCCCACTTTAGCAAAAGGGTATGCATCTTCATTTCTGCCTTGCTTTATCTCAGTCATATTGCCAGGTGCCAGAATTATCCCCAGTGCAACCTGAAGCTGCTTTCGGTGTCTGTTCTGTAAGGTTGCTTCCAGACAGCTTACATGGAGCATTCCTCTTCATCGGTTTGCATGGAATGCTGCCTGTTTATTGAGCGTTCATTCTGAATTGTTTGTCGGCAGGTCCTACCACGTTGCATCAGGAAATCTGGCCCATTTTCACACCCAGTTGCTTAGCGTAAAAAAATAAATAAATCCAATGTGATAGAGAGGGAAGCATTTTCATTCCAAATCAACTTGAACTGTGCTAACCTGAAATTGCCCAAATGTGATTGCCCTCCTCGTGAAAGAAAAAAGCAACGTCTGGTGGGGCGACGTCTACAGAATTCCCCTTTAAATAGCAAATCCTGAGAGCTAACGGGGGGGGGGGGATGAGGCATTAAAATATAATTGCCAAGAAATCTACGATCTAAGCCCCAGGCTTAGAAACTGCAAGAAACCAAGGACTCCAACCCCTTTCTAATCACCCCCTCCCCAAGTTAGCTCCTTTCGGTCAAAAACTAAGTCAATGTATCCAAAGCATTTTGATCAACACTCAAGACTGCACTTGTTGATAATATCCACTGAAACATCTTAAACTTACTGTTCAAAGTACCCTTCATAGGCCCCACCCCCGATCACTTAGGACTGCTCAGCAACCATTGAGCTTTTGCGTACACCCATTCAATTACCTGTTCACAGACATTAAGTCGTCCATTGATGATGACAACGACGACGACGACAACAACACTTTTATTATTTATACCCTGCCCACCTGGCTGGGTTAGAAGCAATCCAGAATCAACAGGCAAGATTGCACAAATAAAAATTGTACCCAAAACCCTCTGGTGCAGGAGCCAAAGTCCAAGAAAAGGTCAGAAAGCATGATCTCCCTTCTAGAAGGTGGGAAAGGAAGCCCCGAGCTCCCCTGGCAGAGGCAGAGGAGCACTGTGCACAGATACGCACACACCAATGTTGTTGTTTTTTTCAGCCCATGACTTTTGACAACATCGCCATCAAGAGCATAGCAGCAAGGAGCCACGAGGAAGGCTCAGGAAGGCGGGGAGCAGCCATGTTTCGCCAGTGGGCATCTGGGCGGCAAGGCAGGTGCTCACGGAGAAGGTGTTCAGCCGTGGAATGAGAACCTGAAGGAAAGGACATGTTGTGAAATTAACCATTCTTCAGGCATGCACAACACACACATACCATTAAGCTGCTTTTCTTATTACTACTGTTATGTTGTGGGTGAACATATCAGACGACACAGCGATTCTTCAAACAGCTCTTGTTTATTCACAGGCCAGGACAGAACTGAACTGAAGGGTTCAGTCAGCTTGCTTATATAGAGCTCCAGTACAATGTAACTGTAACAATTTTCTAATACTATCCAATCACTGAACGTCACTTTCGATCCCTTATTTGCATAACTATCTACAGTATCCCCCTGCTGGCCCAGGGTGAGAACTTCAGTACATAACAACTACTTCAAGGGCTGAGGCATGAGAAAGAGGTTATGGAGCTGAGAGACCCCCCAAGTGTCCCTATTTCCCTGGCACATCCTTGATTTAGAGAAGCCATCCCAGTTTCTGATTTGATCCCGGAATGTCCCGATTTTCCTTAGGATGTCCCTCTTTTCATTGGAGAAATGTATGATCTGCACCCCCCCCAAGCCATCTGAATCAATCAATCCTGTATAGGGAAGTTTAAAAAAAAATGTTTACTGTTTTATTACATTTCTATATATGTTGGAAGCTCTCCAGAGCGCTGGGGAAACCCAGGAAGATGTGTGGGGTATAAATAGTTAAATTATCATTGTGGAACGGGACATCCCTATTTTCACCAGAGAAATGTTGGAGGGTATGAGCTGACTGAGATCAAACTATGTTTGGCCCAGGTCTTTAAGACGTCACTTCAGAGTATCCAGCTTCTGTGGATGATATGTGAATGGTCTTCACTTTGGAAAAGTACATTTCTGGCATTGGAGTACAAAGCGTTTCGCTTGCCACATTCCCATTCTCTGTGTATCTCCTTCCTTCCTCAACAACTGGGACTCAGATCTTTTCTTTCTTTTTGATCATTTATTTTAGCATACTTTAAAAAGAAGAAAAAAGACAAATACCAAATAACTGGACAATTATATACAATCCCAGGCTGTAAGGATAAAGGCATACCTCACAGATATTTTAAGGGAATTCTATATCCGATCTATCCTTCAAATGATATTTTATACTTTTAAATTATGCTTTTATACTTTAAATAATGATTTCAAAGATATGAGGAACACTGCTACATTTTTAATACCACTAGCTGAGTCACGAACAGATTTGACTAAGAAGAACATAACTATTAATATTAAAGCCGCTCGCTTGTTTGATACTTAACATTTAATTTCCTTGGCGTTTCTTATGGCTAATGGTGAACTGAACTAGAAACAGTCACTCAGTTGCTAATAAGGCATAATAAATAAAT